TCTTTGTCTTCTCCTTCCTCATCAGTCTCACTTTCTTCCGCTTCATCCTCCGCTATGACGGCCCGAGGGAGCTGCCCTGCCTTCCTCCTAAAGGTATTCAGCTTTTCGTCCACCGCATCTATTCCAAATTCTTCCCCCAGATGCGACCGCCAGTACCAGGTCGGTTCTGTCTCAGGGAATGCCACCCAAGCCATCAACATCGCCTCATCATCGAAGTCGGTTCTAACGGGAGCGACGCCAAAAATCTCCACTTTGTTCCAGCTCATTCCCCGCAATTTGGCCTTGTCCCCGGCCGCGATGTCTCTCCCACCCAACACGTGCTGGTTCCTCTCAACAAAGCTCTTCCCGAATTTGCTCGCCCGGACGAACTCGAAGATGTCGTACCCATTGCGACCGTCTCGTCGAAGCAAGACTCGATGACCATATCCCGCCCTGATGTAACCGTACAGTTCCTTCTCGGCCCCTCCTTCGAGGACGTAACCGTCCCTTTCATTGAAAGCCAGGGATTTTGGTAACTTCCCTGACCGAGCTCGGCCTGCTGTTGGGGCAGTTGGGCGGGCTGCTGTTGGGGCAGTTGACTGCCTAGGCCTCTGTGGGATGGACTGCGTGGTTGGCTGTGGTATGTCGATCTTCCAATGTGTAGGGTAACCGCGCTCCTGAATGAAGTTGTCAAGCCACTGGTTCATCACTTTGAGCTCCTCCCTAGCCTTTTCATCAGAGTTTTGCGTCCATTGAGCTAGGAGAGGGAGCGCCTTCTTGGACACCCCTTGATAGACTTCGAAATCGACCACGAATCGAGTTGAGCTGGGGAAGCCATTCGCTGTGTTGATCTCCACTATCTTTCGGTTCACTTCTTGCAGGCCGCTGATCGCTCTCTCGTCATCGGGACTGTTCGAGAGGACTTGCAACAGCCCCCAGGCGACATCAAAGGCATGGCGGTGAGCATCGGTCATTTGTGGGATCGCGGGCTGGCCGGTGTTTCCTATGCCCATGTCTTGTCCGCCCGGTCGGCCCTCACCGGAGCTCTCGTGGCTTGCGTCATTTGCTGACACGGTGAGAATGTCCCCTACGCCATCCCAATCTCTCATCGTCGCTATGGCAGCTTCGTTGATCCCGAGGTGCTTTGCCGCATCGTTGACTCCTACATCCCAAGCAGGCGTGCCATTGTCAGTCTCCAGTTTCCACGTCCCCCGAGATTCAAGAGTTCACACTTACTGAGAAATGCCTCCGCAGCTTGATTCGCCTTGTTATATTTTTCATGCGTCAAGCATCCAAGCTTCTTGAAGGCCGCCATCACCTCTCTCGACTCCTCTTCTCTATCTGGCTTTTCGTCTCCCAGGCCAAGAATCTGTCGGTAATCCGTACCCGAGCATTTCATCACTGTCTCCACGGCATCAATCTGCTCCTTCGTCGCCCCATTGTTCCCCTCTTCTCCGGAAGGCTTCGGACTCCCTGGGTCAACTTCCACAGTAGGTTGAAGGTTGGCCTGCCGCCTCTTCTCGTCTTCCTTCAACCGGGCAGCGTCGGGCTCCGGGGTCGATTCTGGCGTTGGCAGGCCATGGGCTTGTCCCGTCGCGGGATTCTTGTCACTGACCACAGGCTCAGAGGGAGAGTCGTTCGCTGTCGCCATGTTTTGACACAAACTTGGGCCACGACTGGGATTGTGCAAACGCAGATGTCTCTGAGAGAAAACGAATTCGGACCGGTTTGCCGTGTACCACTCGAACGCTGATATTTGAGGATCTGGACGGACCGACGTCTAAAAGGGCATTCAGAAGTGCAAGTCCCTGGGCAGGGATGCTATATAGGATGCAGCCTTGGAAGTGTCCGAATTGGGCTTCTCTAGCACGTCTCTGCCGTTGCCCCCCTCCGGTCCATGAGCCGAAAATGGCCCTGGGGCGCCATAACTTTGGACGTGAGATCCAAGTTCGGCTCCCTGGATGGGAGGGACGATGCAACCGCGACCACACATCGGTTGAGAGTGTGGAGGTCCCGGCGAAGACCCGTCTAAACTCTTGCCTTATTTGGACATCTTACATCTGCAATATGGTAGTAGCATTCCGTCGTAGAAGCTCTCGAGAGAAAGCCTGTACCGTGCATCGGACATGAGATGCAGCCAATTCCTCGTAATCCTTTTCTTTGCACATGCTGCATGTCGAGCCGTGTGTTACGTGATCGACGTTGCGGTTCTCGCGTTCCGTGCCGCGACATTTTTCTACCCCCTGAGCTTCGTTACATAAGGCAAGGGGGGACAACATTTATCAAGGATTAACGGGTGAGGGTTTGAGGACACGAGCATCAGAAGAGTCGAAGTTGAACGTTTCACGGGAGGGTTAGGAGGTCACCCAAATCCGCAAGTCACCATCTTCTTGCTTCCAGCCTGGATTCCCGGATCTGGTGACCGACACTTTCTACACCATTGGCAGCATCACTCAGACGCCGGATTGAAGGACTACTCGACACCCACTTGGCTCCTGAACGATCACGAAGCCTTTGTGCTTTTTCCTGCAGTGTTTGCAGCCCGAATGGATTGTCTGAGGGTTTCCGCAGGTTCTGCCGGTGTACTTTGTGGGCCTGATGATGCCAATGGCAGCTTCCCTTCAAGGATTTCAACGTTTCGCGCATCCACTATGTACTGTAATGTATCATGCTGCGAAGGAAAATGAATTGTGTTTTACTACAGTGAAAGAGGAGTCTCAAATGGACGTGAGTTGGGATGCCTTTACGAGGAAGACAGAATAACACCGCTAGATTCAAATAGGCAGCAGGCCCTATGATGGGAATCAATTGAGGAATCTTTGGAGGGCAAGAGCTACTCCGCACCAAGCAAATTTTATCTTCACAGCAAGTGCCAACCACCATCCAAGGTCAAACGTCACGGCTCTGGAAGCCAACTTTAATGCTGGCCGTGTCCGCGCGTTGCTCCAAAGTCGTGTCGAAATCGTCACCAATCTCCTTCTGGGCCCTTCTCCACTCGAATACCGCCTGCTGAAGTCGGTCTAAAACCTGTCTCATTTCTTCTTTAAAGGCCCGATTGGCGCTCTCCTGCCTCTGACATTTCGCGAGCTCTTTTTGTAGTGCTGTCTTCTCCCCGGTGAGTTGCTCAATTCTCTGCAATGGAGTAGGACGTGTGGCGCGTTTGGAGGCCTCCAGCCGAGACCTAGATGCTTCGAGAGCTACGGATGAGCCTTGGTTGTTGTCGATCAACGCGTCCATCGGACTCAGCGCAGGGGGTTGATTCGGTGGGGAACGGCTGTGAACTTTGCGTTGACGCGACATGTTCATGATGGCATGTAGGTTATGACACCCTTTTGGGGATTCGATTTTTGGAGACGATGGTGGCTTTCAGTGACTGTCTCTGCAGATATACTCGGCCAGGGCCGGGAACTGGGCGGTGTTATTTTCCTTCCTGTTCTTTTTTTAAATGACCATCGACCACGCTAAGCGTTGGGGATTGACGATGGGTTGGAAGGAAGGGGGACCAGAACAAGCCCCCTCTCGACGAGTGAAAGAAGATTGTTCTATTCTTGACATGCACAAAAGCTGGAAAGAGTCTGCCTTCCATTGCCGGAATGATGGCGGTCCGCCACCCGCACAACGTTTGTGACCCTCCCACGGGCTGCCAGAAGAAATCGATTTCTGAAAACTTTCTGCTAAAGACTGTACGAAATTGTGCCGGTACTGAATGCGGAAAGGGAAACGAAGACGGTGCGTTCTACTAACAAAAGAGGATAAACGAATCAGGTCTCTCAATTTTACCTTCCCTCCATCCTCCCACGCCTTTCAATGGCATACTACCCGCAAGTCCGCATTTTTGGGCTCCAGCTTCCGCCCCCGTCGAGCTCTCTTTGGTTGCCTTCGACGTCCTCCCCCCGTGGTCTCGTTTTCTTCCATTTTGACGTTTTCATCGATGCCTGAAGACAGTGGTTCCCTTTTGACGGCGGGCGAAATGATTAGATCCATCGTCCGGGTTCTGTCGGTGGTCTGTTCAAACTGCTTCAACTTCTGATCTGCCATCGCCAGACGTGCTTCAAGGCTGGATAGTTCGTTCTTGTAGCGTCCCACCGTATGCTCGTAGTCTTGTTCCATTTCCTTTATCGTGGCTTGAAGCTCCAGTGTCCTCACCGTGGTCATTCCGTTTTCGCTTGAATCCAGTTCGTGAATCACCGCGCCCTTCGCATGGTCCGTAGTGCCGGTCGTACATTCATGCACGGCAACACCCTTTTCCAAGGCACGGATCTTCTGACGAGCTTGATCTACGTCATGTTGCAAGAACCTCTGTTGCTCGGCCAGATGCCGGTTCCGGCCTTCAGACTCTTCGGCCTGGCGACGAGCCGCCTCGGTCTCTTCTTGGGCGATCAGGAGCTCTTGCTGCAATACGACGCTGTTTTCGGCCATTTCGTTCAGCTCGTCGGTCTTGGAGTTGTATGCCGTATTGATATCCCACCACGACTTCTCCAAAGCGGTCTTCTGGCCCAGCAACGTGTGGATGTTGGTCCACAGAGTGCGCTGGATATCGCATGCCTCTCTTTGAAACCCGGCATACTGCTGGGTGACGAACTGGAGACGTGTCCAAGTAGCATTCAGGTTGTTGACATCCACCGGGACAGGACCGGTCGGCATGAGCCGCCCTCCAGAAGTGCTGGGAGTGACCTGCAAGATCAATAAGAGTCCGAATGGAAGATACCGGGTAACACGTACTCTGACGGCGTCTGGTCCTGCGCTATCCCTTCCGCTTGTTTGAGAAGCCATATTTTTTGTCGATCGTTTTGAGCTGCCGTTATTCGTCAGACTTTACCGTCCAACGCGGCTCCTTTTAAAGTAGAAAACGCCAAGTTCCTCTTCATCCAACAGCAATATCGGCGGCGACAACGGCGACGGCAGCGACAAAGGGCTAAAATTAGTTCACAACGAGCGCACCATGTCCTAAATCTTGAAATAGAAGCGTCGCCCTTCTCGGTTCATAAATAGCTAGGAGTGGAGACACCATTTTGTTGTGGCCGGCGGTCAACTTCAACCGCAGAATGACAACCTCTTTGCGCAACGAGAGTCGCTCGGCCGTTGGCAGGTCTGTCGTTAGATGCATTGGGCGAGGCTTGGGGCTGTGGGCGCAGGGATGGAAATGATCTGCCCCTCAGGACTCTCCACTGAGCCGGTGGGGATCCAAACGGGCTCGGAGATCCCTGCCGTGGCACTGTCTGCTGCGAAATCTCTATTGCAGGAGCCCGGCTTGGACCCTTCGGTGCGAAGGGAGTTTGCACCATCTTCTGGAGGGACAGTTCCGGCCCCACGACAAGCGCCGCCGTTTGTCGTTTTGAGGTCGAAGGGCAATCGCCGCCCACGGTTCGCGATGGGCTGGGTATAGTAAAGCATACCTTAAAGGTATATTTCCCACTGGGTGTTGGTTGGGTGAACCTGCATGAGGAAATGACATTCAAGGGAGTGACATACGCAGTTAACCCCACCTTTGTACCATACTTCGATGGCCTTTCAGCAAAATACCCAAAACGCCACCGGCGGAATGTCGTGCGAAGACGCGCTTCAACTTCTCTTCTACAAACAGCCTATCACCAACGGATATGTCCAGGACACCACCAACTACCTACCCCAACAATCATCCTCCGCTTTCCAATTTCGACAGGACAATACGAGCATCTGTCCGCACATGTGCGCCGATACTACGTTTACACAATCGGCTCCAGAACCAGATGTCAGTTCACTAAAGATGCCTGCCGAGTTTGCAGCCACGTTGGAGGAGATCAAGCAGGGAGTGACCTCCCTCCACACCCGGAGCGATCAGATCGAATCTCTGCAGACGCAATGCAATCAACTGGAAATTCATTTCTCGGAGTTTCAAGATTGGTACAATCTTTCCGATGAACCCGATACTTTGTGACTGACCATGAGAACAGGGTGAAGGCTTCTATGGACACGATGAAGAAATATATTGAGCACCATAGACAGTGGTCTTTGATCTTCAAGAGAACGGTGGAAAGCCAGATCAGGGATCGAAATTCTAATCACGAGGGACAGGCCAGATCTGAGGGATCTGCAGTCGAATCGCAGGATACTTGAGAATGGCGTAGGCGTGTATCCAAATTTGCATGGTAGTTTGGCAATCGGGTACGATTAAGGAGTTACCGTCTTAGGGCATTTTGTACAATCGGCAGGCCAGTAAATTCACCAACTTCAAAGCATTTTGAGAATATCGTTTGAAAAAGTACCTTAACCCTCGATGCTAGAAACTGACGAAGCCCGAAGGTGTTCTTAATGAATTATTTGCGCTTAGGCCATGGAAATCATATCGTCATTGAACTGAGATCTGATCGTCTGCGGGTACATTTGAAGCCGACACTTGATTTCGACCCTCTGTCGTCGCTAGATCCATTCCTGAGGCCACTCCATCGGTCGATACTCTAGAGCTGACCGAGTCTCGATATGGATTCCCCAAAAAGCTAGCCAATCTGCATTGGCCATTTCTTCCTCTTCATCGCATGTCTGGAGGGCTGTCTTAATAAGGACGGCTGCATCAAAGGCTTCTTGCAGCAAATTAAAGGTGACGTGCAGACTTCTCTGGTGGCATGAAATCTGATATCGTAATGACGAAATCTCTTTCTCCAGTCTCTCGATCGTAATCAATTCCTCCCTCCTCTGGAAGTCGTCTATTCTCTTTAGCAACGCCTCCATGGACAGGTCGTCGTCGTCATAATTGGAAATGCTGGGCGAGTCCGGCTGTTCTTTGTCCATGTTTATTTGTTGGGGCCAGAAGCAGATGGTTTCAGGAAGATGCGGTAGACTACTCTCGGTGGCGAATGCCATATGATCGATCGGCCAAACCCAGGCAGATAAGCTGCCGACTTTATGTTCAACCGCTGAAGTCGGCCGGAAGGAGAGACCTGAAGAGGATCCTGGAGCTCGATTCGGCTCCCTATCCGATCTATATATACCGGAGGCCGAATTGATCAAGTGCATCTACAGTACCACTTGCATCTATCCTCGTGTCAGGACTACCAGCACTCTAGCTTTCTATCTGCATTCTCCTCCACCTTTTTGTTGTCGCACGAACACAGCATCACATTTTGCAAACCTCTCATTTTTGGTACTTAAAAGCAACACGATGTTGTGCGGGTGTGGTATCGTCATCAAGCTACCTCAATGGTTCCGTCGAAAGGAAAGCCAGAAGAAAAAAGACGACGCCAAAAAAGGGACAGCTGGGCCTCCAACATACATCAGTGCGATTGAAGCGGTTGCCTCTCACATCGACGAGATTGGTCCGCAAGAAGTGATCGCCGACGGTCCCAATTTTTTGAGATCCCAAACTCCATCACCCGAATCTCTGGGACAACGCAGCGAGCAGACGAAGGAGTTTTTCAAGAGCGTTCAAGTTTGATGCCCCACTGGGTTGGTTAGATAGAAACGAACCGTATTCAGATACGTATCTCATCAATGAGAATTAACATCGAGTTCAGTGGATACCAAACGTTCCTCTGGTGCTTTACGAGGTGCCACACTGATTTGCGTATTGAAAGGTATATATTCATAATATTCTAGGATAAACTACCTAAACTATCTAAGTCCCCATGAATTTGCCCGCAACAGAAGGAGCGCAGAAAGGAGACGAATCCGTCGATACATCTGCCGTTAGAAATCGTCACTCCAGACAGAAAGAGTCGGCATCAGGCCCATGAGCAACCACATCAGCAAAGTCGCTGGAGATACTCTCAATCGCCCTCCAACACCGGTGAAGAGGCTGATGTTGGCGGACGAGACAGTGGCAGAGGGAAGACCAAAGCTTGTGCTCTGGGTTGAGCCAAGAGAACCGTCGTCTGTGGTGGACAGTGGCGACGGCGACGTAAACGGGTTGCCAGAGGGAGCCACTGTCGCATTCGTCGAAGGAGGGTTCGTGACGGAGACGCTGTGGGTGGAAAGGGGAGGAATAGTCGCCCCAGAAGTGACATTGGCTGCGAATGGATTTGGAGAGCCGCAGGGGGTGATAGAAGTGCTGGCGGCGGTCAGATTGACAGCTGTAAAGCCGTAATTGCTGGTTAAGTTTATAACACCGGAGCCGACCAGGCCGTCGAACTGAATCTCAACGGTCGCCTGCGGTGGTGCGCTGGAAGTGTTCGTCCAGACAAAGTCCCTTGACATACTGGCCGTTGGGGTGATTGTCCCGATATCAGTTTGAAAGTCATCCGCAGAGACCCCTCTCAGGGGGAAGGCAAGAGCAACGAAGACAGAAACCCGGGTGGCAGTGCGCAGCAGCATCGTTGGGAGGGTCATGGGGAGAATGAACCACGGGAGCGGACATTATCTACCACGTCCTTTATAGGAAGAGTCCAGAATTGGATCCTCAAAAGGCTGCGTCTATGAATAGGTTGACTTCGAGGAGCCATAACAGGCTCCTCATCTGCTGCTGCACTGTGAAATATAAAAGGGCCACCGTGATGGAGGCTTCGCAGCCAGTCAAGTTCAACTGCCCAAAAAGATGGCAAAGCAAAAAGAAGAGCAAACCAGAAAAGAGAGAATCACACAGCGACGAAAGAGGAAGAGAGGCTGGGTTAACAAAACATTTCAACTCTGGGAGCTATGCGGGTTTGAAATTACGGCCTGTCTCAAGAACCCTGAGAGCGGGCAGGTCACATTTCTTCAGACGCCCGGTGGAGGATCGTTGCCACGTAACATCGAAGATCTGGTGAGGAGCCGGTTGACCTGATCTCCCATTGATTCCAGGCGCTAACTCTCGTTCAGAAGTCAACCGATCCGCAAGCAGAAATACTGTTGGCGAAGGATGTTGAGCATGTTGGGGGGAAGGGAAATACTCGAGCAAAACCGAGGCCAGGGGCGAGATCGAGGCGTAGCCAGCACGCGCAGGGCCATAACCAGAACAGAGCCTCGGCCAAGGGGAGAGGAAAGAAAGTTTCCCTCCACAACACTTCGTTGCCGGATCCACCATCCTTTGGAACTCCCAGTCCGAGGGACAAAAGATTCCCGTTCAACACTGAGCAGAACAAGTTGAATCTCGTGGAATCCGGGCTCCTGGAGGAGCTGAATCTAAACATAGTCCCATAGATATCAAGGTTACTGGTGTTATTCCTGGAAATCTCTACAATTTTGCCATTGTCCTATCCCGACCCCCGTTCTGAGCCATCGGCAATTTGTCGCCCGGCGCATGGACCCGGAATCTATATTTGGTTATCCTGATACTGTACTGAGAGCCAACCTCAAGCACCACCTGCACTTTGGATACAGAGCCGTTGTCCAGCAATCGACCGGAGTCGAAATGGGCTGTCTCGCGACGTGCTTGTGAGGGCCAAGTCGTGGACCGTCGGGGGGGCTGGCTACGGATGGCGGCTAACAATGTCAGGGGATGATTGATCGACAGATTGATCGACATGACCCGGTCGACCCGAGTTGCAAGAAATGGTAAAACGGCCGCGAAGGGTCTCCATTCTGTTCGCTCTGGGTGACCAGGTCCGGTTAGTTGTGCTGCTGATTGCGACTTTCATGTGAAAAATCAACCAGGGTTCACCGAAGGCACAACACCAGTCAAAAGGGCACTGGTGGATAAACTAAGCTTTGAGGGCAACGCCACAATGCTTAATTCCCCACACACCCATCAACTTCTGGCCCTGACTACCTCGTCGGGCTCAAAAGGACCAGGGAGTAGTTGTGCGCACGCAGACCCCAACGCATGCTCAAGGTTTGAGGGTTTAGCTCATGCTGGCGTGCTGCACTGCCACGGAACTCTGCTCATTGCTGCCATTCAATCTTGGTTTCTACGGACAATGATCAGTCGGGCGCGTGGTAAACTCGGCCGACCTCGGTCGACCGCGAACAGTGCCGTACCGCAGTTTGTGAAAGTGATCACAGTCCAAGACACCTAGCGAGTATACTTTTCATGGCTGTCGCCGGCTGAACCTAAGGTGCTGGAAGGTGCTCAATTTTTCATGCTTGGTACAGTGGTGGTTAGTTGACCTGTGGTGTGGGCAGCATGACCTTAGCCACAGGGACGAAATCGCAGAATGACCTAGCCGTCCCATTGATAGTTCCTATGAGGATAGTGTGACTAGAATTGTATGGTATAGATGTGAACAATATCTGAATCTCATCAAACATGATCCGTTGCAAAACCTGCAATACATTCCACCAACAAAACCGGCCGGCGGTTCCATTGCCAATTCCATCAGTGACCATCATCTTCAGATAGAACAACACAACGGAATCATTCATTGATGCCTGGGATCCGTGATGATGTGGGTACGGACGCGATGTTGACCCATTACAAAAGCTCCCAGCTTAGCGAGGTACAAAAGTTGGTTTGGTCATACGACTGACCCATGGAGCTTGTTGCTTATCTTCATATAGGTTGGGGTTCTTTTGCGTCCAGGCCGACATCTCATCATCACCACGAAGTAGCTCCTTTCGTCGGCCCTGCTCTGCCGCAGGGAGCTCGACCGTGAGAGGAGCCTCAGTGGAGTTATCGGGGAAAGGGTTCTCGTAGATGTAACAGTGCACTTCCAGGACCATCACCGGTGGAGGCTTCGTCGATAGAGACCAAGCTCGTTTCTGGGCGCTGCATTCAGGTCGTGAACAGACCCCCGGGGTCGGTTGTTCTCCCGGAGCGATGGGATGATCTCTCTGGTAAGCCGAAGACCGAAGCTTGCGGCAGAGGGCACATCTGTGTCTGAACGTGGGTAGCTCGGAGTATCTCTTCAGATTGGGGGTAGATCTCGGATCTTCAAGCTCGACAGGTCGTCGATTCGTATGACGAGGTTGGTTTCTGGAAGGCATCCTGCTGAGTACTTGTCTGTCTTGCCCCTTCGAAATGCCAGCAATGACCATGATCAGCGCTCTGCACTATGTTCACCTGCGCAGTCGCCAAAAGAGCGTCGATTCAGCTTGCATATCGAGAAGAAATAGACGGGGAACGCCAGTCAACCTAATGGTATCTTGTGAGGAGCCCAAAACGGAAACCAGATTCATGGCTTGTTCAAAATTGGATCTCGAAGGGCGGCGTTTGGAGCCTGTTCGAGTCTCTTCCTTCTGTCTGTTTCCTTTTCCTCGCTCGCTGTTCCAGGGTCTGGATTGAGCTCTCCTCACAGGACGACGGTTAGCCGTGATGTGTTAAAAGTATCTTCTCTTGTGCACCTCACAATCTCAATACTGGGACTCACAGTAGCATTTCGGCTTTCATGATGGCACGCTGTCATCACAGCGATTGGCTCAACCTCCGCATCGAACGAAACGAAGTCATCTTGTTCATCTCGGACCGGCTTCAAACGCTTATCGACGAATTTCCCAGCCCTGACCTTCAGCAGCCCAGCCTGTTGGTTTTCATCGGCCATACCGCCAAATTGTCAGCCCTTCGATCCCTCGGTGGAGAGGAGAACAGGCCGAAGTCGGCAGGCAGACGGAAACGTGGCGGCGGAGTACATCTCCAACGGGGAAATCGCGATGTGTTCCGGGACGTCCCCGTGCTTCTAGCAGATGGCGACCTTCCGTACCGGGACTTAAAAAAAAGGTCCTCGGCCCAATGCCACGAGACAAGACAGCTGATGCTTCCTCGCATCCGGGCAGGGGTCCGAGATCTGGCTTTAGAAGATGCCGCTGATCATCTCTATTCCCGTCTCCTGGGCGCCTTTGCCGATGTCTTTTGCTTCTTTTCCACCGACGTCGGCGGGTTTGGTCCCGTGGTACGTCGACTCGCATCGTGGCTCGAGCATGGCAAGCCGTCGACACTACCGAAGACAACATATCCACGGGTGGTCGTGGTGATGGAGGCCACAGACTCCGGAGCGGAAAGCGACAAGGAGGCCAGTGAGGTCCTTCTGGGAGCGCTCAGAGAAGAGACCACCAAAAATCCCGCAGAGAGGTTATCGGCTCTCGAAGTGGTAACCGTGCCCCACGGAGGGCACTGCTACCGGCGGCTGGAGGAATACTTGGTCCGGGTACTGGATCAAGGTCGAAGGCACAAGCTAGAGGCAAGAATGCTCTTCTCTGCGAGACATTTGGCCGCATTCTTCAAATATGCGAGTGACCACTTTGGCAGAACCACAAGGGAGCCGTTCGATTTCGTCAAAGCGTCGCGTTTGCAAAATTCTGTCTCGCCCGACCTAGACATGCACCTGTCCAACTTCCTGAAGCACATCAAATCGCCCGAAGAGTTGACGGACTTCGCGGTGCCAATGATCGCATCGAGCCTCCTGCTGGATCACTACCCTCCCGGCATGCACGGTAAGTCGGCCCTCCTTTCTGCGTTTGGCGGGATCAGTCTAACGGCCCCATGGCGTTCAACCCCGGAGATGTGTTTCACACCCTATACAATGACGCATGCTACCAGGTGGCCAGAACTGGTGTGCTAGTCCACGACGGTTCGACAAACTTTGTCCTCCCGTCTAGCTTCGTCAAAATCGTCTCGGAGGAGCTGGAGAAATGCTTTAATGACCTCATACGCGGCACCGGCACGCCATCCATGATGGTACACCGTAATAATCTCCAGAGGTTTAAGAATCGCTGGAAGCGGCTGCTGAGTGACGACCTCTGTTTTGTATGTTTGCGTCGCCTGCTGGAAACTAATCTGCCGTGCGGACACGGGGTCTGCGAAAATTGTGTACGAATTTTCGGGACGCCGGATAAGAATGATCGGTGGGCGTTCAGCATTCGGCGCTGTTTCCTCTGCGACATGGCGCTTCGAGACGTGACGGTAAAAATAAAGCCCGATACCGCCGGGGTCAACGTATTAACCATCGACGGAGGTGGTATCAAGGGAGCTATACCACTACCATTTTTACAAATACTGCAGGACAGGATCGGCCTACAGATCCCCGTTCAGGATTACTTCGACGTTGGATTCGGCACCAGTTCCGGTAAGTATGCTTGATTCGATGAATGACCAACGCTGAAGCTTGTTAGGGGGGCTTATCATCCTGGCCTTGTTCATCAATGGATGGCCAGTCGATGATTGCGCAAATGTGTTCGAATCTTTCGCAAGAAGGGCATTCAAGCCCCGTTGGATTTCTCACATACCCATCGTCTCCCGCATTCCGATCCTGTCGCATATTCTCTGGTTTCTTGTGTCGTATTGGGCCGACGGTCTGTACCCAGCTCATAATTTGGAAGGTGCGCTGAAGGGAGTTTTCGGCAACGACATGAGCATCCTGGATTACTCGTATGCAACCGCTATCGGGGCGAAAGTGGGAATACCGGTGACCACAGTTCTGGGAACAGACCCTTGCCTCTTCACCAACTATAATGGAGCGGGACCGAGGCCGCAGGACTGTGGTACTTTAAAACCCGAACTGGCAACGTGAGAGCGATTTCTGACGGATGGGCAGGATATCGCATTATCCGGTCGCAAGATGGGCGGAAAAGGATTCGTTTGTGGGAGATGTAAGTGTGCATTTGCTATTTCCTTCGTTGGAGTATGCAAAGATGACTGAAATTGCATGCAAGCGCAATGAGCGGATCTGCGGCACCGTGGTATGTTGCTGTCCAACCCTCTCAAAGTTCTGAGCAGCTCACACGGCCACGAGGTACTTTCCAGCAAAGCGCATTCCGGGGGTAGGAACCTTTCAAGACGGAGCTCTGTGGAGGAACAATCCCGTCGACCTCCCTCTGTGGGAAATCCCCGTGGTGTGGCCCCCGACTCGCAGGCCCAATGTGGTCGTCTCCCTCGGCACCGGGTCCTCAGGACCACGCATACCAACGTCCCACTCCAGCAGACTGCGTGCGATCTGGAGAGAGGGCTTCCTGCCACGATCGTACAGAGCCTTCATGGAATTAATCAACGGTAAAAAAATCGCCCAAGCGTTCAAGAATGGACGACGGGCAGAGTTAGATGGGCGGTACTTCCGATTCGACGTTGAACTGGACAGAGAGGTCGACTTGGATGATACAGGCAGGATGCACGAGCTGGCAACAAAAGCTCGGGAACAGTTCTGTCGGTCGGAGGATGTCGATGTCGTCGCGCGTTGCCTCGTTGCGACGCGTTTCTACTTTGAACTCGACTTAAAGCCGAAGAAGATTAAGGGGAAGTATTCTGGATCGGGCCATATCTTCTGTCGTTTGCCTCGAAATAGTCCCGAGCTCGAGGTGCTGCTGGAACAGTTGTCTAAACGGGCGGCGCGATTTATCGTGAACGGCCATGGGCTTCCCGGGTCGGTCGGCGATCGGTCGTTCATCGACCACCAAGGAACCTTTCGTAAAAGGGTCGAATTTGAAACCAAGGACACATTATCCGTTCTTCTTCAAGAAGGGCCAGCGGATCCGCAGCACATCAGTGGATCTCCATACGCAGTCCACGATCTACTGGATATGCAAGGCCTCAACAATGATTTTGGTACCCCGGATCATAGGAAGCGAAAAGAGCGCGAGGAGGATGAGGGAGAAACGAGGGTAGAGGAGCCGGCCAAGAAGCGTCGTCGGGCTCGGTAGAACATCATCGGTGCTCGTGGAGGTGGTATCGCGCTCGAGGAGGGACGGATCGGACAAGGTTGTGAACCGGCGCAGTCTTCACAGTAACCTGGTACGGCATCTCCACCACCAGGATAAAGACAGTCTCTGATTGGCGTGAGACGCGGCTGGAAGGGAGTAGGGAGGTTGATAAAGGGACGATGAAGTTGAGGCCGTCGAGGGATGGAGAAAACGAGTCACTTCACACTAAACCGCGGCAAAAACAACATTCCGGCGGCATGTCAGCCGAGTGGACCTCGGTCCAACCGTCATTCCTTTCGCAAGGAGATGAATTCTGGTATTGTTCAATCAAATCTTCTCATCCGAGATCTATCACAGTCTACTTATTTACATCAGCTAGAGCTAGCTTTCAGATGGACCACTACTCGTACAGTGACACTTGATCCACGTGGAGCCCGACGCTCCTCGACAATTTTCTGAGTGATGTTGATTCGACAGCGATCCTTGTTCTCTTCTTCCGCTGCATAGGAATAAAACCGTCCTAGAATAGTTCTAGAGCTCTCCTCAGGGCAACAGGACTCGAGGTATGAGCATCATTGGCCCTTCCCGACCTGCCGTTTCAGCCCGAGTGAGACATCGACAGCTACTGTCGTAATTCGGGGCTTCTCGTGCCCGAGAGTTCAGCCATCACCCGTACAGTTGGCCCAAAGCAGAGACAACGCCACTACTGCTCACCAAGTTACCGTCCCCCGCGGCACACATGAACCAGGCATAGCCGGACACGTCGTCGTTGCCGTCGAGCCACGGCAGGACCGTTTCCAAAAACTGCATTTGCTGGTCAGTACCTCCGTAACCGCGTAACTCTGTAATCCAGAGAGTTCCTACGCCGTTTTCTGTTGCCAGTGCCGAGGCATTAGATACGAACGCCTGGAAATCCGACGTGTCGACTGCCGAGCCATACCAGTGGATGTTGACGGCATCGACCAAGCACCTCCCTGCACAGGCATCGAAGAATGATGATAACCACTCAAGACCGAGCGAGTCGCCGAGTCCATTCGTCACTGACGGAGTGGCCAGCTCGGCTTGCTCATGGAAAGGATTCATATACTGTATGAACCCATCGGCCGCTTCGGATGCATTGAGATTTGCTTGTGTTGCGATATCGGGTTCATTGAAAGAGAAGAGATGTTTTGATCCATAGCTGATGGCGGAGGAGGCCTGTGTAAACCACGAAGACGTCGCGTCTTCACCGAGACCCCAGAGCGTCGGGATAAATTCAAGGTTAGAGGGAAGGGAGCCGTTGGCGAATGGAGCCCAGTTATAACCCCAGCTCACGGAGGACTGGTTCGCGAAGAGGTACGTGAGGGACGCATCGTTATAGGCCAGACCTCTTTTACCCCCTGTTAGACCTCCTGTTTTCTCTGGTGCAGGACTTGCAACAGAGCTCCTTGAAGGGTTATCAGCTCCTTGAGGAACTGATACGCAGGTATCCTTTTGAAAATTGGTATTTGTCGACGACGCAAGAGAGCTGGTTTGATGACGTAGTACGATGAGTAGGAAGCCCATGAGATACCTGAGGCAATTCAGGACGGACATCTTGATCAAAGCGGTAAGTATTCAACTGCGAATTCTGACTCGCGGGTGTGAGGTTCAAGGTAAAATTTCGCCACGGGAACGACAAAAGGGAACTGCATTGGGAACAAGTATATTCCCTATAGCATCACCACCAAAGAGACTATCATGGGATTGGGAGGGAATTCGACACCCAAATGACACGTCGAAAAAAATCCATTCAGAGAATTCCATGCCAGCAAATGTGAGCTCCCTTTTGGGCTCCTCAAATCTCCCCTGGGACGCAAAAGGGACTTCAATAGGCCCCTCTCTTGCCTAGGAGAATGCCAGCACATCTCGAGCATAACCCTCCTTAATACTGTACCAATGTGGCAGAGTCCCGAATTTCTCAGATTTGTTCATTGCTACTTATCTCTGTGTGTTGCCTTTAAAGGCTTAAACCAACAATCGACCAATTTCCTCTAGGAGATGTGCAACGATGTCGGAGTGGGAGCATCCTTTCTTCGGCTCTTCTTTCGTCGATGAAACCTGTATGGCCAGATAATCAGTGTTGTGAATGAACTAGTTGATTTTAACGGAGGGCTTAGGTGTACTTGGATGGCTTCTGCCCTGCTTCCTCTATGGAAAGACTCAAGCCCGTCTTCGGAACCGACGACTCTCGGATTTCACCTGGTTCAATCGCGAGGTGAGAACGTCTTCCTTTTGCCGGAATATTTAACTAATGTCTCCTTGAGTGCTGCGCTTGGGCTTTTCTTGCCTGGTGTGGTTTCTCATCGTGTATCCAAAGCGCGAGTCGTCATAACCTCAGGAAGAGGTTTGGACTGCCAGGCAATATTTGTTTCGATTTTTGCGGTTCACTCTGCTGTCCATGCTTCGCTTTAGTCCAGGAAGAAAGAGAAGTCGCAAAGAAAATACGCAATAGCGACAGAGCTTATCAAGAGCCGGAGGGAATGATCTACACCGGAAAGGACTATTTAGACAAAGGGCTGGAGAAATTGGTGTAGAGAGGAGCATTGTATTGGCTATACTGTAGCTGCTCATAGAGTGCTCAAGGCGGTGGTGGTGTCTTAATAAAGAAGACTAGAGCAGCAAGGCCTTTGGCGGATACTATCAGGACCGTCGCCGCAAATTGGCACAATGGCACTGAGGACTGTAGTAACTGGGATTGTTTGTACTGTATCTAGCGCACGTCGTATTGACGACGACTCGACGCCTGAGAAAGAAGAAGAGCCAGTTTCGGGTGGGAGAAGCTTCTTATGGCTTCCCCTTTTCATCACGTGTGTAATACGGCTGTAGCCGGAAGTCTCCTATCTTCCCAGCCTCGCTTCCGAATCGTCTGCTACCTGTCCTCCCACTCGAATCGGGTGGAGGTCTGGAAGGAACGGTAATTTCGTCAAGGTAGGTTCGTGACAGATACGCATATACTCGATTTCTTGTCAGGCAGACCCAGTGGAAAGGATCTGGTCTGCGGGGATCAATTCGTCCATGGCCGAATAGTTTATTGGTGCCCAAAAGGGCTCTGAGAGCCATTTTGGGACGAAAGTTGGGCCCGAATGCTCGTTCAACAAACATAAGTGCGCTTGAGCCTGCTGAGCTCGATGTTGGCTCTATTCAGTCTCTGAAGTAAGTGCAGCGTGTCGACGGTAGAGAATCTATTCGTAGAATTTATGGAAATTATCAATAAACTTCCCCTCTGTCGACTGCTGTCATTGATTTGGAGAGGTATGTAAATCGAAACGCGCTCCATTTAGTTTATCTACTCATGTACTGCAGGATGGCGCCACCAGAAAAGGAAGGGAAAGGGAAGAATGGGTGCCCGGCAAGAGCGAGCTCGACAGCCGTTTAGCTTCCCAATGCGACGGACTCCCCCACAAAGAACCTCTCTAGAGAAACAAGTTTTTGACAAGATGTGGAATGTGAAACCCGGATGGAACTGGAAAGAAACTGGCCGAGGCAAGATATTCTTCAACAGTACGAGGACATGTGTTGAGGAAAGAGAAATGTCGAAAAAGCGTTTGGAAACCTTTGGCGACATTGGACCATGGAGGGACTTTGTCGAGGAAGTTGAGGCGACCTTTCACGAGATGAAAGAACCATTAGTTGAGGGACGCAAGTATACGGCAGCTTTGAGTTGAGGCACCGGTCCGTAAAAGATCGCAAACAATATCAAGGGATGGCCATTGCATGGAGCCATCACGCATCAAGCATGTATCTTCGCCACTGCCCAAATTCGACCTTGTCACACTGGTTATGGGCAGTGTGCCTCCCTTTCGGGCAGCCTCGGGGTGTTTTTTGGGTCCCAAACGGGTCCATTTTTGGTCCCAAACGGGGCCATTTTAGTCCCTCAAATATCGGCAAATCCATGCGTGAAAGCCTGCGCCCAGTACATCAAATTCCGATTCGGTTAAGTGCTGTAAAAGGGACCGAGATAGCATTATAAGAAGTTTCAATGTATAAGACCTTTGATTCTTCTCGCTTCCATTATGGTATCGCTTCTACAGTACAACAACTTCCATGTTTAATAGGTTGACGAGTACTCTTACTCTATATCGATTGTACAATACCCCGATGAAAATGGTCGCTACCTTATCTTTCCTGGCTCTTGGCCTCATCGGTGCTTCTGCCGCTACTCCCTCTCTGCGATTCGCAAAGCGCAACTCCCCCAACGGTTGTGCGGACGGCGTCCCGAGCCAGGCCGCCGTCGCAGGCGCAATTAATCAGTGGAACAGTGATGTCACCACCGTCAATGATTTTCTCGATGTCGCGACTTCTCTGCAAGGGCTTCATTTACAATTACAGCTCGTAGGTTAGTATTAGCAATTCCTCTCCGTACTTACTATTTTCTACGAATTTTCACAGTATTTTACTACTTCTTAATCGAAAACTACGGGGTCGACATGAAGCTAATACAACTAAACCTTCTTATAGTCGCCCTCAGAGCTGCTAACGACGAGCCCGACCAATTACAAATTCTCGCGTGTGCATCAGATGTGAGTCCCAGCACGGTTGCGCAGGCCGCCGCAGACGACTTATTCACTGGGTTCGGGCCCAACGTACTCACGCCCCTAAGCAACATCCTCAACGATCCATCATCGATTACGCAGAATTTGCAGCTAATCAATCAATTTCGCTGCTGCCATGTGCTACCGGACCTTGACACCTTATGGAGCTTCACTGCCGAGGACGACGGCGTTGCCAATCAGGTGCCTTTGTCGGCTCCTAGACCGGCAGCCTGTGCGTCCATCTATTGCTGAGTGGACATGAAATACGACGACAGGGGGTGAACGAGAGCTAGTGGCACAATCGAAGGTAATGGACCTGGCAACCTATTTGTTGCACAAGTCTAGCAACAGCTTGGTAGGGGCTTTCCAAACCTTGTTCACTATAATAATGGGCAAGAGTAACTGTGCAGATAATACAAAGGATTGTGAAATTATGGAGGATTCAATTATGCCAGCATATATCCTTGTCAGATAAGTGGATTTGTGCAGAAAATTGTTGATGGTGTTCGGGTTTGATATTCTCAGACATGTTCCCCTGCCCATCCGCACAAGGTAACAATACCGTTCATTCGTTCTGGGTGCCTTCCCTCTTGGTCTCGAGCCCATAGCATTACGCTTGCCCTGACCCAATATTTTGCTGTTGGATTTCCGGCTCCGCCAACATGGCTAATCCGTGAATTTCCATGGCCTGATTGTGAAGTCGTGCTAAAGATTCCAGTTCCTCCCTAGTAGTCGACCCAATCATCGCAACAACTATCGCCCGCAGGTTCACGTACACAAATATATGTCGAGTTGACCCTTCAAGCTGCCCAAATATCCTTCCGAACTGTTGAATGCCATTTTCAGATAGCACTACTGGCTCCATCTCAGCCCCTGCGGGTTGAGTGCTTGCGGGTTGAGTTCCTGACATTGTGGCCTTGAGAAATAACAGTTCCTTCGCTGCCTCTATATTCGCTTCGAGTACATCTTTCACATTTTGCAGATATTCTTGACACTTCGGGTCCTGAGGGTCCAATCCGTCGATGTCGGTTAATAGATCCTGGAAACTTGGAGGACCCATCGCTGGTGTTATGCTAACGAGAAAATATCTCCTCCGAGCAGCGAGCGAAAGTAAAAAAGAGTCTTTCAAAACAGCCTGGAAACATACTAATATACCTGTGCGAATCGCCCTTTGTCTCCAGGTTCCCCTTACATCGCAGACATAAAGCGTATCTGCCGAATGTTGACGTGGCAACATGGTGGAGATAGTTCTGAGCCTGGAACTTCCTCTGCAGCTGTAGGGGACCATCCAGAGAGTCGAGCCTGGCTTGTGGCACGTTTCGTTGCACCCCTTTGCCCAAATTGTTCGTAGGTTAGATAAGGCCCCATTTTGAGCCACCTAAATCTAGCCAATTAATTGTAAACAGCGCGCACTCCTCATCCTCTCTCCGAGCCAAAGAAGCCTGGGAGGGCAAGATGGGAGTATCACCGCCCGAAGCAATTAGTTCCTCACCAAACCGTGCATGCTACCATTCCCAGGTGGCGTTGTTCTGAACGACTTGCAGAAACTCTATCTCTATGTGGACTGGAACATCCCTGAGAGTGTATGCCCAAGCAGAGAGCGCTGTCGCGTTCGGTTACAGCAGGAAGCTAGCAGGGAGATTAACCGAGCCTCACGAGGGAAGATATTAAAATTGGTGCTGCCCTTTTTTATTTGAAGACAAACAAATTCAACTAAAATCATGTCCGTTGGGGAACGACTCTTTGCGATAGCAATTTTCTTTGTAGGACCCTTTGTCGCCATCCTAGGAGGGGCATTTCTGCTCCTCCTAGCGGCCTTTCTACTCCTCCAAGCGGCCATTCGACGTGTCATCAATCTATTCCCAACCCCAAGCCGCAAAGATAAAGACAAAGAAGATGTCGTATTCGAAACGAAACTGTCCTAATTCTTCTACCAAATTACAGTGCTTCATAATCCCTGGAGAGACGCCGTGATACTTGTCACCGCGGCCGAGTAAGAGTCGTGATGTTGATAAAGACGGAGAAGGAGGGTTTCGGAAATGTTGATGACCTCCTCATGCGTTGTCAGAAAGCCCTCGCAAAGTTCTAGAAGGTCGCCGGCTGCTGGTGGGACAGGTTCCCGGTCCTGAATCCTGGTCGGAATATCTTGACTTGACTCGGCATCTGGGCTCACACTATTCATGACTCTAGCCCTGTGCCATATGGCCGCAAAAATGGCCAACCGCAGGCGGATACCTGTCTCCGAATTTCCGTTCTTGAGTTCTCGTATGCACAGGTCGACACTAGAGGAGGATGAGAAACGCAATATGAGTTCGGGAATAGCCTTACTCTGCTCCTGATTCCTCGACACTCAGCCAGTGTCTCACAAGTGAACCCCTCAAGGACTTATCGTCCCCAACACACGCAAAAGCGAACTCGTAGCCGTCCGAAGCGATCCACTCGACGGTAGACCGCGTAGCAGGTTGACGATTCAAGAGTTTCATGGCGGCATGAAAGACTGTCCCACTTTTTTGGTCCTTGTTGGCTTGAACTTGAATCGATTGCCTACATGTGGACTGCTCTACACGTTAGTCCCCCGAGTGGATAGTCCGACGGATTTCTTACCATGGTATCGTCGACTTGTTCTATCAATCTGCTCACCTCCGCCCTCCGGGCCTCGTTCTCCTCTTCAACGGCCTGTATTTTCTTAATGCCGACGTCGGTATGATTAATGAGGAGAGTGGCGACGTTATATTCAGGTCTCCGCAAGGACCAAAGACTTCGAGCCATCCCCTTCGTATATCTGTCTTTTTCTTCCTGACTCGCATAACCAAAGACGAGCTTGATGAGTGACTTGTAATATCGAGGAGGTGGGTTAGAGTTGAACTGGCAGTGGAGGGCAAAGAGAACTCTCTGTTGCTCCAAATTGAAGCCGTCGATCATGGTATTGAGATTCTCGTCGGAAATAGGGCAGGCTGGGATCTCCGTGTCGTCGTGAGAAAGTAGAAGGTCGGGGGAGTAAAAGACCGTTGTAAGGATCGTGAAAAGGTCCATAATTGGTTGCCGGAAAAACGGGGTTTGCGATATCGAGAGCGGTCTCCTTTCGATCCGTGCCTGTGGGTATGAGATATTGATCATCAACCCTCCACAGCGATTCTTCTGACGCAGAAAGATAGACCGGGGTGACTGACCTCAGGTGACGTGGCCATAGTCGCAATGCACAGACAGGAACTTCCTGGAGGACGGGTGAGCAAAAACGAGGGATTACGTGGGCGGAAAGGAAAGTCTTTGTCCCTTGGCAGTAAAACAAGTACCTAGAAATATCGTGAAGAAATGAGAGAAATAAAAATCAGAGGGATGGAAACCACAGAACATGAAAAGCAGAGATCGGTGAGGACAACTAGGCAGCCGATGATATACTAGCATGTCCAGGTTGGACGTAAGAACAGCTTCAGGTCCAGTTGGAGCAAGCTATTCTACCTCTTGACATATTCATAATCACTCAATCCGAAGGGAATTCGCGCCTCGACTATGTTACAGCTTGAAGATTGTTGACATCAAGTTTCGTAGATGTGTAGTTTAATGTTGGTCGCATCATTCCCTAATTGGCCAGTCGGCAAACTATCACTGGTCTGCCGCAGGATTCGGCGTGCGGTACTATCTGAACAGCTTGACCATGAAGCTTGTGTGCACTACTCTGCTTTCGCTCCGATGACATGTGCTAGTTCGTGCTGCACCTGATGACTATTTCGAGTAGTGTGCATTAGATATATGTCTGTCGATGAGCGCCCAGTTTGTATGACATTCTGTGGTCGGGGCTAACCGCTTACCTAGCTTCACCTCTCTCTGCATTATTTTGCGAGGCTGGCTTAGAAGCCGCTTCAACCTGCTCCCTAAGCTTATTCCCTTTTCAAATCAGGGAACCATGGTAAGATACCTTGCTCCAATTTCCAGCAAACTATTATTGCTCACTTCCCAGGCATCCACACCTACCCATTGGAAACTCATCTGCGTGCCAGCAGAGACAATTGATCTTCAACGGCTTACGGAAGAGTCGAACTCGCGGATCTGCATTGTTCAGGAATTTGATGACAATGGCAAAGCTTTCGAAGTGGCTGTCGATCCATCTTACCTGTCCGAGGTCCAGGAGCTTCAATCGCAGGAAAATCCTCCTTACAATCCTACACACCCGAGAGAGGTTGAGAAAGACATTCTTGGTATCTGTCAAGCGAACAGGAAAGCTCGCGAGCGCTGGCTCCAACGGGCTGTCGATGTAATCTTCTCCGAGCATCGCCACGAAATCAAGGAAGCCTATCGCAATCTTACTCAGCTCCTTGGTTTACAGAGAGAACTTGACAGAAAGATACTAATCCAGGATATATCGGTAAGTGATCGTCCCCAGTCTTCAGAGCGTTCTCTGATGTATCTCACAGGACTCTCTGGCTTCCGTCCGTCGAAAATTGGCAAGAAATCTTGTATTCTTGTTTCTGAATCTAGAAGCAGACCATATGTCTGCAGATGCCCAAATTTTCCTCGCAAGCAACGAGGAGGAGCTAATTGACAGTCTCAAGTTTGGACTAAAACCTCCAATACCTTTCAATCATGACGAATGCCAGATAACATCACTTTTCCGGGCTCTACTAGAGCTATCCGGTGGGAGAGTCGACTTCCTCCAGCATAATTTCGCAGAAAACTACACAGCAAAGCAAAACTGTGAGCTCTGCGCTAGGATTTTTGACATCAGCGACATCAAAAAATTCGGAGAATTTGATGTACGAGAGATTTCCAGTTCACTCTCGAAGTCTCCTCTTTTCATTGGGGAGACACTGAGTGCCGAAGGACTGGGACAATGGGCAGCGATAATGAAGAGTTCCTTCCAAATCGGATTTCCCCCAGGACACTTGGTAGGATCACGGCACGCCGTCTATCGCCAGTCTAACGAATATAGAATCTTCCGTCACAAATATTGAGCGGATTTGGTGTTGGTCAGATCAAAATGTTTGAAACTATCCTGTAAGTCTTTGCCTCAGACGCGTACACCACACTTGTAACCGGGAACAGGATAGATACTTATCAAAATCTTCCACCACTGAACAAGCCAGCAAATAACACTCTCCTTCTTTTGACCTGGAGCACTTCCGTCTCTCAGTGGAGTGAACATGGTCCCAATGGTCCACTCAAAGTTCTCGCGAACTGGGCAAAGTCAGAAGAAGGCTGGAATCTATATGTGCGAGTGGCTGAAGAATTCCAAGGCCATCAAACCGTAGAGCAACTCACTTTGACTATGTCTGCACTATTGAGCTATCGAAGACTTTATCCTGATTTTCTGGATTACTCCGAGCAACCAATCACAGCTAACTATATAGCTGACCTCGACGCACTTTTACATGGGACGTCGATCGGAAACAGCGGAAGAGTCGCTGAACGACTGTTGTTTGCTTTGGCAAGGCAACTTCAATCCATGGGAGAAGATTTTGGTGATATCCGACAGTTCCTCGAGACAATCCTTGATCGGGAGCCGCCTCAGCGGCATATCTTTGACGCACTATCGGATGAATACGTGCGTTTAAGAATGAGCGGTCGATCTCACGAGACTACGATGATAGAATTGACGCATGGCATATCGGCGGAACTGAGATGAGAGCTGATAATACTTCTGGCACAATGGATGAGGAGGAGTTATCGATTCAGACCCTTCAACGTTCAAGGGCCATCAGAGCGTGGATAAGCTTTAAGAATACACGCATATCGGGGAAAGTGATACTGTGTAATGATGACAATTCTTCATGGCCCATCGCGCATGAAGCAAGCGGTTTGAGTCCTGGATGTAGATTAGCTAGCAGGCTGCGTTGCTGCATTTTAGGAGGGATATTCTAGCTCAGGCTAATTTTCAATATGACTGAAGGACGAGTGTTGCACTGATTACTGGCACCTGGTCTTGCCTGCTTTATATGCTTCTGGTCTCGGGGCTGCTGCCACCGTTCACGATGCCATCGGTAACGTTGCAGCTGGTACTCCCAAGTCTCGTCACCAGGTGTATCAAACTGTGCATGTCGAACACCATGGCGCCCTTGCATCGGACGAGGAAGGCATGGCTTAAGTGCTGGAGCTCTGCCGGTCAGAGGTCCCTGGTTCAGCTACATCATGAAGCCCTCAAGGATATGGAAGGTCGCAGGCTGAACCGAATATCGAGCCAATTTATATCACGTGCAACTATGCTACGGCCAATGATAATGCTAAGGAACGGTGCTGCTTCTGCACGCAACAGAACAATCGGAAAGCCGAATCACATTCTTGTTTTAACACATTATCTCAAACGATGATCACACTGCCAGCATACTATAGAAGTAACCAATGTAGGCATCAATCTTTGGAGGGCACGGAATGGGCTCTCCATGTTTGCCGAACTTTCCGCTGTCGTTCGTCCAGCAGTGCTCTCGAAGCTTGGGTCCCTCTGTCGGATATGTTGGGTCCGGGGGCATGTCTCGTTCCGCAACACCACAACTCAGTGGTCGAATTGATCGAATTGAAGAATCTGTCACGCTGCAATCTTGAAACTTGTGGACATCTATATGTCTCTGCTAGAAGCAACCCTGGAAATCCCCGAGGGATTGTTATACCCTGAGAACTGCTGTCAGGCTCATCTTTGCCTGGACTTGTTTTTGATTAAATCGATATGCCTCAGGGTCCCGCGATCTTGCATAGAATAGAGAATATCGAATGCAAATTCTCAGATTGTACATGAGGACAATATCAAACTTGGAATGGTCGGCGGGTTAGTCTGACGGAATAGCAAGATCGTCAGGGCGGATCGTCAGGGCTTGACAGAATTGCACATCTAACACCTTCCCTTACCCATTGTGTCAAGGTCCCTTTCCCTGTTCATTGTCTCCTCCAGCACCCTTTCCCTCATATGTTCTTGGGAACTTCGCGCTAGGTGCAACTCATCCGGCCCATTCACAATACAAATTATCCATGTCAACAATATTGTCATCCCTTATTGTATAGGCAAGTTCACGGCCTGCCGGCTTCGAGCAAGGGGTGGATACCGAGGCGAAAGCTTTGAGGAAATGAATACTTCCAGACAATCTGTAGACACTTTCAACTTTGGTAAGGAGCGCGGTCTCGTCTTCGAAGCTTCGCCGTCCTAAGAGCCCCTCTAAATCCCGCATTTGTTGGAGATAATGGTTTAGAGAAGTTACGGAGTCTTGTGCGAGATGACTTTCGTATACTTCACTCAACGCTGCGTGTGCCTTACATCTGAAAAGGAGCAATTCTCGGATAATGGACGGCTAAGCAAACTTAGCGCTGGTATCAGAGAGTTTAGATGCCACTCACCACATCCAGTTTGATCATGATATTCAATAGTCCAATATAGTCAGTAGTGACTTTCAAGTGCCTGTAAAACACGTGGAGCTCAAAGTCTTTCTCCCCTCTGCTTATCCGGCCGACTTTGAGTTGAACATAAGGGTTGTCAGCTTCTTGAGGTCGGAAGATTTTGAAAGTACCGGCATCGTCTTCACCATCTCCCAGCCAATCCATTGGTGGTGTGAGAACATCCTCTCCGCACTGTATGAAAGTAAAATTGACTCCGTTTGAGAACTGCCGGTTGTATTCTTCCTGAACCACGCGTCTCGTCCGGGGAGCATTGGTAGCGCAAAAGTCCCCAAGTATTTTGAGATCAAATATTGTTTCTGCAGTGCCAATATACGAGAATGCAACTGTATCTGAGTCGTCTGTTGACATTCTGATTTGAGTTGCTTCTTGTGGATATCCGAAACTCCAGTTGTCTTGTAGAGGGAGAAAATGAAAATTCTACACAATGAAGATAGCACCACATCTCCTTGGTTCGGAGGATTTTATTTCCATCTGACATCTTTATGATACAGAAATGTTGAATTTCACAGACAAATCACCTGAATTTTGGCACGAAAGACTAGGTGTGACTGATCCGTGCGGTAGAGACTTACTCGAATGCCACCCGAATAAAATCCTAAAGTTCAGCGGCAAGTTACATCTAGTTTGCCGCACATCAACTCAGTTTGCTACAACCCTTAACGTATCCGGCAAGAGATCCCCACCAACGGAAGGTGTAGATGTCTGACGAAAATGGACGGAAAATATAGTGACATCTAAAGCTTCGTTGAAGTCCTCAGTTCGGAGTGTTGGGCGCTTACCTTCAGTCGGCTGCCAGGGAATGCTCGAGCCGCCTTGTCTTTCGCCGCTAAATGACGACATGTCAACGGGCAAGCTCCAAAGATTCAAACATAATTGGAATTCCAAGGTTAGGGCGACTAGACTATCATTGTCTATGGGTGCTCTGGGCAACTCACAGGGGGCTTTAGCGGGTGTATTCTGACCACTGTTCCGCAGTGCCTGGACAGTTTATGAACTGGATGCTTTCGATTCAGTGGCGTATGAACTGATCTGCTCATTTCCCCGGCTTAGAAATTCAATTAAATCTTTCGCCATGAAAGTTGGAGCCTGAATGATCTCTATCGGGTAGCAAAAGCAAAGACAACACTCGCGGTGCAAAGAAAGGAAAACAGTCTGGTCAAGGAGTCTCGCACCAGATCAGCTCGGTTTCACATAGCCGATAGATCAACCGAACATTAATCACATTAAGCATCAAGCCCAACATTCCGTGCCACTGTCGAAGAGACGAAATGCTCCACAGAGGCTAGATCATTGAAGGACTCCTTCAACACAAGATGACTTAGAGAGCCGTCGATGCTATTGTCATCGGTTTCTTTGTACTCATAGTTTGGTTTCACTAAATCGGGCTTAGAGTTCGTGGCTGATAGCATTCAGGTTTCACTTACTTGTCTCCTCCAGTACGGACTTCAATCTCTGGGGGACTTGGCCTGCAAAACGTACACACGTCACCAACATGTTGGAGAAATGCATATTCCTCTCTATCAACTTCTCAGGAGACTCAGGGTGTCTCCAAGCATAGCGCTTATAGAATTTAGTAGAGTCCAGCAAAGGCTGCATAATAACTTACTTCTTGAGGGTGATACTTCCAATATAGTAGCCTCCAACTATCTTTCTCGAGCACATGCAGAAGCACAATCGTGGTCAAACAGACAATATTCCAGGAGTAAGTCGATCGTTTCAAAATTGCCTCCTGGAGATCCTTCAATACTCTCTTCTCAGTTTCGAAAATAAAAGCCTCAAGGTTGCTGTCCAATTGATTTTGCATCACACGAGGAGCTGGAATTCTGCGATAAAAAGGTGAATTGTCTTTGTCGATGGGGGTCATGCCCAATGATTCTTCACCGGTCAGTTCCCAACCTTTCATTAGGAGACGGTTTGCAGTCCATAGTTGTAATGTTCGAGCTAAAAGGTCAGCCTGCCGAATATCAGCTAAGTATCCTCTAGACTAAGAGCGTGCTGACCTCAGAATCCAACTTCACTTTGGCAAGTATCTGTCCAAGATAGCTTTGGCTTTCTGTACGTGAGAGGTAGTATGATAGATGTTGATTGATATAATCTGTCAGATCTACCTCGCACGTTTTCAGGCCAAATGTCGTTGTCTCTGCATAATCCCAGCCATCTCTCTCCTTCCAATAGATGAGTATCTCATCTGGAGAAGATCCACAAAATTCATATGCATCAACCATGATTGTGGGGCCGTTTTCTTCATGTCGAAGTGTAGCAAGTCTTGTAGATGGTTTCCAGTGAAGATGTAACCATTTAAGCCTTACGCTGTAGGTCGTATCCTTCCCTGTTCAGTCTCAGTATTAAACCACCTTCATAGGGAAGAACTCACATTTATGGAATACGGGGCAATTCGCCAGTCTCGTTCGTATGCAGATTTCCTGAGGAATTTTTGCGGCCACGCAAGTTTTGCATTGACCACCGACATTGTCACACTAGACGGGCATAAGCAGCTGTAAATTTTTTGAAAAAAGGAGCAAGCAGTACTGATCGTTTAGAAATCCAACATTTGATGCACTGCTTGGTTGATTTTCGTCTCTTGTGACCAATCGCACTTTCTGCAGCGTCTTGGGCGGAATTGCGCTTCCTCTGTAGAGTGGTTGCGGAAGAAGGTGTCACATAGCTTGTTTGGGCTTGGTTAAAATGCTGATACATTGTTTGTTGCTCTCCATTAGGTAAACGTTCACTCCAGGACGATATCTGTGGTAGAGGGGTTTTCGTAGGCAGCCGCTCGGCCAGGATTGAGGTATCCCCAGGTAAGAAATCCAGGTTGTCCGAAAAAGATTGAAGTTCCGGTATGTAGGCCACCTCCATGTTGTATCCACCAACAAGTATATCGTCATCGAATAGTTCAATGTTTGAACCCCCAGAGATAAAGTTCCCATCTGTGTTTGGCTGAGGGTTGGAGCCATTGCCGATGGATGAATATCCTGCGTCTGCACCAGGAATCATTCCGTGGAGGAGCCACCCATCCGCGGGACGTCCATCCAAATCCAGTGGCTGGCTCTGAGGGAATACTTGGTGGCTGATACTGTTATGTCTCTCGAGCTCTGCATCATGTTCAACTGCGGAAAGGATGCCCCAAAGCGCGTGGAAAGCTTGTTCACTAATGTCATATCGCTGTTGCCACTTCCGAAAAAGCGTATCCGTCCTGGGAGATATTACACTATTGAGCATGGTGGAGCTGACGTCAAAATCGCGACTTTTCGTGTGACTTGCTGAGGAGAATTTGGGCAACATCTTTAGAAGCACTTGAGAAAGTTGGCGGGGTATGGGCGCGGGGGCCGCAAATATATGTGGCGGGCCGCACCGAATCGGAGCGATATTCCCCCGTCGCGCCAAGAGAGCATGAAAAGATTGCGCAGGCATGTTTCTCCGCTGTCTTGCTTGACAAACATCTTTATCTCACGACCCTGTCTGAATCCACGAGAGACTCACCAGTGATGGAGTCAACCTCACCCTTTGCATTCCTTCGAGTCCTCGAGGCTTTGAAGAATATCCAGCGTAAGGGCTGGGCAAAGCGGGGAATTCAGTCCCCAGAGAGCGTGAGTGATCACATGTATCGTATGGCTGTGATGGTTTGGATGATTCCCGAGGTATGTTCACAGAGGACCATTCACGAAAAGCCCTACTGCCAACTACTAGATCGACAATGAAATTCGAATGCGAGCGGTCAAGATGGCATTGGCCCATGATATGGGCGAAGCGATTGTTGGAGATATCACTCCGTCAGATGGCGTTCCAAGAGGTATTGTCTGTTGTTCCTTATCAGTCTTGAATCACTTTCTGATGTTTTCATAGATGAGAAGCTGCTCAAAGAACGCCTTGCCCTTGCCTACCTTGCATGCCTCATCAGACCGGTGAATCCATCTTTTGCCGATGAAATAGAGGAACTTTGGTCAGAGTTTGAAGCTGGTGATAGCAAAACAGCGCAGTTGGTCCGCAGTGTCGATGCTCTAGAGTGTATGCATCAGGCTGTGGTATATGAAGAGCGCTCGCAACTGGTGAAGGACCTTGGCGAATTCATGGAACTGGAGACAAAAGTCAGCGCGTCAGAGCTCAGAGACTGGGCTAAGTGTTTAAAGCAAGAGAGGGACACACTATGGTCTTCCAACGTGACACAGGATCTAACCTTCTTGTTTATCCTGGGTATATTACTACTTTTCCAAGTCTTTCCTCCTTCAAAACTGACAGCCCCATAGGAGGCCCTGGCGTAGGGAAGGGAACGCAATGTGCTCGAATTACTCAGGACACATCTTCTGTGCACATTTCAGTGGGCGATCTCCTTCGTGAAGAAACAAAGTCAACCTCGTCTGGGTTCGCCGACTTTATCAAGGACAGCATCAGAAACTCAGTCATCATTCCGGCAGATTTTTCAGTACGCTTAATACAAAAGCGAATTGAAGAATCTCAAATGGAAACAAAATCCATTGTTATTTTGGATGGATTTCCGAGGAGCTTAGACCAGGCCCGTGCTTTTGAGGAAAAGGTTGTTAGTTTCGATACAACATCAAACTCCTACTTACTGTCAATTATAGATCCGAGGAAGATTCTTTACCATACTTCTGAAATGCTCAGAAGAAGTTCAGCTATATCGCTTAAACCGACGCTCGGAGTCGTCTGGCCGGATTGACGATAATGACGACTCCATCAAGAAACGTTTACGGACATTCTCTCAGGAGAACTTGAAAATTGAAAAGCATCTTCAAAGCAAAGGTCCATTTTGGACGGTATGTAACCCGCAGATAGGGTATTCGCCAGGCTAACTAGCAAAAGATCGATGCTAATGGTTCTGCCGACGACGTGTACGCTTCCATCAAGGTTGTTGTGGACGAGATCACGAAAGATGCAAGTCAATAAAATGAGAACCACATTTGCGCGCAAACAATGCGGTGCCACGTCGGTCTTTCCTCTTTACTGCTGGAAATTTTATTCCGATCCGTTGACGACATATACGCTTCTGTCAATGCCGTTCTAGAAGGAATAATTCGTGATGCGGTTGCCTTAACAATGTCGTACGGAACTCGGACAGCTATCCAATCAATATGATGCTAACTAGACCCGTCAATGCCGTTGCCCTAATTTTGTACTTTGCATCATCCAGGCCGCAGCGGCGCCCGGTGACAGTGGGCATCTATTGGATTTGCGGCAAAATGTGATAAACTTGCCGCAGAAGAGCCAAGAGGGATGCAGCCTTGGTATCACGTGACTGAACTGCATGATCCGTTGTCCCTGTCGTTCTCGAGTAATCTTGGGTCTTTCACCATGCATAACTAGGGGCACAACTAAACGGACATGGGTTGAATAATGCTTGCAGCTCCCATGCCTTGTTTGTACTGTGGTGTGATGTCCAAAGCCATTGGTCCACGTAGACAGATACAGATATTCCCGTGAGTTTTATAGTTAAGTACTACAAAGTATAAAGCAGTTATCGCGGAGCAAGAATTGAAGTCATCTTCACTCCTACCATTGTAAGCATCACAGCCCTTATTCTCCAATAAAATTCTATACTCACCTACACATTGCAATCAATTTCATACAAGCCCGACTCCGCCATGTCTAACGCCAACGCTCGCAAGGAAGTCAACGACGCTATCATCAACTCCGGCAGCAATGCCATCGGACAGCTTGTCGACACTGCTAACTCGTCTAAGCGCAAGCGCGAGCAGAACAAGCTTGAGCGTGAGGCGCGCGAGAAGGCTGAAAGGGAGAAGGCCGAAAGAGCGAAGACGGGCGGCAAGTAACCGACCCATGGCCTACCCACGAGCATTCCCGCACCACTCCTTCGCCAATCCTCTTCCATCTACAGCAAGTTCGCAAACCAACGTTTGATGTGCGCATCGTTCCAGCCTTTACAGGTACCTTATTGGATCGCAGAAGCCGGCTCGAGAGGCTGACTACGGAGACCCTGGTTTCGCCGGCCTCGGGCAGCTCGATCAGATTGATCGAGCTTGAGGGTTTGCACCGTTATCTATCTTTGTGGGCTGAGGCTGGAGCGTCTCTCCTCCCGCCAACGTTGTATACTTATATATCCAAAATCATGCGCCCCGGCGCCAGAACTTTCATCGACGCCGCCCAGTCCATTGTTAGTGCCACTGTAATTGTAGCGGCAAGCGAGTGCATTCTGCCCCCTCACAACCAGGAGAGAGCTCTGGCCGCTATATATACGTAACTGGCCGTAAACGAATTTTGACTGAGAGAACTCCCACATCACTACATTTGCACCTAACATAAGACTTCTCCTTTCGTACATTTTTGGTGGTTGTGACGGACGACCTGATTAGTAAGGCATCCCCGCGAAAATTCAGGTGCCAGCTCCCTCTCTGTCATTTTAACCTTGTGTCATCCGCAGGCAGACCCTTTTAAGACCCAAGCTCTGTCGAGCTAGAACTCACCGATCCTTGACCACGGCTCACCTCCTTCGACATTATGGACATCAACAAGCCCATCGAACTCATTCACGACGTCCAGAAGCGACTCTGGGTCGAGCGAGTTAACCAAGCTCGCGTTGCAGGCCATATAACGAGCTGGATATCATCCTTGCATCCCAAAAAGCTTGAGTGTATGCTGGACTGTAACTTCCTGAACGGTTCGTACAACCTGTGCCAGAAGTTGCGCTTTTGCGACGGCACCACCTGGCTGCTCCGTATGCCCATCATCGGGAGCGTCTGCGACGAGTACGCCGACGAGAAGATTGCAGTGGAGGTGGAGGTACTGAGCCTCCTCCGCAATAGCAACGTCCCCGTCCCGGGCATCATTGCCTGGGGGCTGACAGCTGCTAATCCGCTCGGCCTGGGGCCCTACATTGTGATGGATTTCATCGAAGGGGTCAGCGTCAACACGCTGCTGCGGCAGCAGCACAACACCAGATTGCTCAGGGATGACATTTGCGATGATGACGTTAAATTCCTCTACCGACAGTTCGCCCGTATCCTCCTCCAACTTTTCCAGATCGACTTTCCTATGCTGGGCAGCCTCCCGACCCCCGTGACCGGATTTAACGCTCCTGTCCGGCCCCTGACTTTCAAGGCGCACGACATCCTGCAAACTGGAGGAGTCGATACTTTTGGTATGGCCTTCTTGATTTTGGTTCTCTGTTTCTTTCTTCCTGTTTTCATATTCGCCATCCTAGCGGCGATACCCTCGCTTGCTTGAGAAACAAACAAACATACTAATTCCAGATTATTCTAAGGCGACCGTACCATAGGCTTCTCTGACACTGCTGATTATTTCTGCTATCTGGCTGGCCAAGACTGGGCCCAATTCCAACGCCAGCCTAACTCGGGTGGCGGTCCCACCGTCACCCAGGCCAAATACGCTGCCCTTCGCGCCCTCCAGGCCGTCGCCCCGCAGCTTGTCGAACCTAGCTACGCATCTGGCCCCTACAAGCTCGTTTGTGACGATCTCGGCCTCGCTAACCTCATCGTCCGGAGCGCAGACGACCTCACTGTGGTCGGGGTGGTGGACCTCGAGTGGTCGTACGCCGGCCCCGCGCAGCTGTTCGGCTCGGCCCCCTGGTGGCTGTTGCAAGACCGGCTGAATAACTACGACACTTTCCTCGACAAAGAAGAGGCTCCCAGGGTATTAGGGAGGTATCTACGGAACCTGGACGTGTTTAAGACCGTGCTCGAGGAAGAGGAGGCGCGGATGCCAGGCCAGCAAACTATGGAGTTATCTCGCCTGGTGAGGCACTCCGAGGAGTCGGGGAGCATGTGGCTGCACATGTTGCTGTCGTGGGGGTTCAATCACCCGGATAGCCTACCCTTCACGCAACTTCAGGCGCGCCTCGGGCAGGAGCGGTGGAAGGAGCTGGAGGAGGGCCACCACGGAAAGGAGGCAAGGGAGTTCACGGAACAGAAGCTAGCGGAATTAGACAAGTATGACGAGATGGTGGAGAGGATGGAGTCCCTGCAGGATGATGTAGAAAATGGGAAGATGACGATAGAGGCGTTCGTTGCAGTACTCAGAGAATCAAACGGGTTTGGAAAAGCCTGATTGACTGCTTTATGGTTTTTGGATTTCTCCCTTCTCTCACACTTTCTCCAGGCTGTAACTCGAAGACTACGGCACACAAGAGAATGCATTCACTATCACGATATCAACCTGTTTGCATGCAGATATAACGTTCAGGAGCCATGTCCAAAAGGTCGTATCACCCCAGCGAAGTATTTCGCACAGAGCATTCACAATAAATCATGTCCAGAATTTCTCTCTGCTGTGTACATTGATACACCGTTCTTGATGCGAGTGATTCTCCGTTGGGACCAAACTTGTTCCCGAACACCATGATAATAGCAGCTTGTGAGACAGTAATATCGTCGAAATGATTTTGCCCCAATTCCACCTTCCTTTCTCCACAAGTTCTCTAGCCATGTGAATACCGAGTCTCATCTCTTCTTTGGTTTCTTGAACGTCACCTGTTCTGATGTTTGGGTAACAGAAGTTTCTGGTGTCAATTCCTGGGGATCGAGGAGCCTCAGCTCATCGTCACCTATAGCTCCTAAGTCCGAGAGGTTATGGCTCTCCAGACCCTGTGAGAGTCCAGATGAGGAAGGGAATTGCAGATCGGATTCCTCGGAGACTTCAAAATGTATATCGGGTGGTATTGCATCGATTGCCGAGCAAAGCCTTTTGAAGTGAGCAGGCATCCAGGTATCATAGACACTTTTGGTAAACTTATACGCCGTCCATTTCTCTTTCCCATCAAGTGCGGTAAAGCTGAATTTATAAATGGAATGACGGTAGAACGTGGTCTTTTTGCCCTCGATCACAGGGTAGTGGCCATAAATCCTCACGGTCTCATTATCGTGCGAGATAGAAAAGGCGAGGATCTCCCGATAAAGCTCTTTCTCGCGCTTCACGAGCCGGAACAGTTCCACGACTCCTCGAACGGCGAGCGTCATGCTGTGCGCGTTCTGTCGATCTACCACGTCGAGTGCGGCCGCACCGCACTTCACTTCGCTCGAGAAGAAGGGGAAGTACATATACCATGTCCCCATGAAGAAGGAGTTGTCGAAGAGGTCGCCCACGAACGGCTGGAGTTTCTGAAGTTGATCTTCTGTGAATGCCGAGCGTTTGAACCCCACAGAATAGTCTGGTTGAGGTCGTGTTTTGGTGACTGGGATAGAATTGTTCCAGCCCTCGTTGACGCTCTCAATGAGACACCTGAAATGCTTCGCTCCTTGAACCGCCAATGACTGCGCGGAAGGGACTATGAGTCTTGCGATATCCTGAATGACCTTTGCTTCGTTTCTGTTCTGTACCATCTCGCAGGTATCCTCGAAGAAATCATCCTGAAACAAGGAATGTTCGGGAACTATCTGCTCGGCTTCAAGCAAGGACTTGTACTCTTTCTTGCTTGTTGTTGTAGGACCCTCTTCACTCCGGCCAACATACTTGCCCATAAAGCTGCCTTTCGCCTCGAGAAGCGAGTTGTAGCGTGGGTCTTGATAAGGAGCACTCTTCTCCTCTCTAGGCTTCTGGTCACTCGGTGTATTTGAGCTGAGTACGCCAGACTCGCTATCCGACCGCTTTCGGCGAAGGGAGGTGGCGGATTTCTTTCTCGCCAATAAGTGACTCATTTCGCCACTTTCGTTGAAGTATCCTCGCGGCCAGTGGTATGTCTGCGTCCAATATGTAACAGAATCCACGTCCTGAACAGAGGGGCTAGGACAAGATGTTCGCGGCCGTTTTGGAGAGGGCGGGTTTAGTTGCTGTTCAGTTTCTCGTTTCCGCTTCGGAGGCTTCGATGGTAGAAGGGTAGGAGGTGGGTGCGCACGCTGTATTGGGTCAGTCTTCCATCACAGCATGACGTTGGCGACTTACATGAGGACTTTTAATGTCGCTGACTGGAGATGGTAGAGGCTGCTGGCTGGCTTTTGGTTGAGTCTCATTAACCTCAATCAAGCGGTCCAAACGGGCGCTCCGTCGAAGAGGGGTTTGCTTTTGTCCCTTCTTGATGCCTTGAGGGCGTTTCCCTTCGCTGGTCAGTCGAGTACTGAAAGAGGGAGCGGATGAATGACCTTGGTGTGGCAGATTCAAGGACTGCCTTTTGGTCTTCTGAGCGGTTGCACTGTCTCGTCGTGCCATGGTTGCTCCAAATGAGGGAGAAAGGAATGGGCAGGTTCATGTAGTTGCCAGCGAAGTGCAGTCGCGGTCGGACCTTAAGCGCCCAGGCTAGGTTACATGTGACATCACCTCAAAGGGGGATGGCTGGGCTGTGGCACTTCTTGGCGGTGGTATGGATCCACGCTACTTACAAGCAACACTTGCGTGTTGCTTTGTCACACCAACGAGGCAACAAAAGTTCCGTTTCATCCTCATCAATCCTACAATCGGAAGAGCACTATGTCCATGCACTGAGTGTTCGTCCCCCAATGTCATTGGCTATTTCCCTGATGATTTCTCGTGGATCAGTCACCATGCGAGGGTCCCGTTAGCCCCAAATCACTGTTCCACGGAGTTCCGCTTTCTTGAGGGATAACCTTAGTGGGTTCTACTCAAGACTCTCCTCCACTTGGTCAAGCTCATGTTTGGTAGTTTTTCATCGAGCGCATCATCTGCCGTCAACGTTACTAAATGACCGAATGTCATGCACTCCCAGGCTGAAAATAACACCGAGTGGGCCGAACGTTTTAAAATGTGGAGGAGAGGAAAGAGAAGCTCATTGTTGTGTCTTCACTACAGCACTAGGTCCGGCGTGTCGGAACTACCACATCGCCAGCACATGAAGCCGCGAGTGAATAGCACTTGCGAGGAGATCCAAGCTCAAGTAATATGCTAGGAAACTTGGTGTCGTGAAAACAACCTGGTGACAAATCTCATCAGCTCATCCTTCACTACGCTAAGAACACCGCATGGTTCGCAACTCACGCTCATGCCTTATACATCTTCTTCCCTTCGATAAGACTAGGCCAATCGATACTACACGCAGCTCAGGTACTCAAATGACCGGAAGATCGAGAGTTTTGCGCTGGCCGATGGTAAAGACGGCTGGTGCCTTTGCGTCGCTGTTGCCTACGGGACGGAGTGAATGTTTACCAGGTACCCATCCTCTTTGTACATCCCATATCCTGGCAGACCCTTCAGCTCGTCCCTCCATGCTCTCCAACTAGAGAGCGGTAGTGAATGGCCCTTATGCTCTTACCTAGCCAAAAATCCCGCATGCCAGCCATCCTATCCGATTTCGTTGGCTCTCTGTCAAGGACAAACGTCTGCACAGCCCCACAGCTACTGCCGGTTCCATGTCGATTGGCCGCATGTGCACGCTGTTATCAGGTCGGCCAATCAATTTCCACAAGGTCAGTACCGTTCACTCCATTCCAACGTTCCCCCACACAGCCTTGCTTGCATGAAACCGCCTCCATCCTGGCAGCGAAAGGACAATTGCTGTTCAGTGTCCTGCCCTCATGAGTCTGCCTTACCCGCCCCAATTTCTATACCATGTCCAACTAAGTATGACCCCGCCGCCAGAAACGCCCAACAACGAAGGCATGAAGGATGCACGGTTGCCAGCACGCGGTGGGAATCCGACTTCAGCGATGAAAATCATCTCCCGACGGCTCCTCCGGACGTGCGTTTGAGTCATGGATGGACCACTCCAGTGCAGTTGGTTTGATGGTTTGCGTCCTCGGTCCAGTTTCCCACAGATCACTATTCATGCCGATGGAGGCAGTTTATGTGCGGTCACGGTTACCGAGGAAAGTACAGTATCAGCAATTGAACTCCTGTCTTGTCAATACACAAACTTCTACAGAGTGCTATGGATAAATCAACATCGTAGGTTGATTGGAGGGCCTCCTCCAGGCAGCGGCGTGGCCCGAAAAGTGGCCATGATGGCGCTCTGGCAACAATAACCGAGAGTGAGCCCGGGATTTGGGCCTTCCGAATACGTGAAACACCAAAAACTGGGGAACCCAGGGGGCCAAGTTGTGGGAACCTTCAAAGACTCAGGGTTGTGCTCATAGTGCCTCAGTGCTAGCCAAGCCGAGCTCAGGATTGCACAGCCACAGCTCAGAATGGCTCAGTCACGACACGGGTCAAATAGCGAGATGCTCAGGTTTGGAAACGGAAATGGACTTTGGAGAGGTCAAGATTCACCGCTGAGTATAGTGGTGTAGGCTCATAGTCGAGGCCCAAAGGGGGCCCCTGAGCCCGAACTGGCTTCTGAGAACGGGCATCAGACAAGCTCCCTCCGGCTCGTCTAGTGCTCGGGCGCGCTCCCCCGTACTCTACCGTGGCTCCCGCGACGCTCTCCCGTGCTCGGCCGGGCATCCGTCACGTGCCCGAGTAAAGCGGCCGCGCTCCCTTTCCTGAACGAAAATGGTAATGGACGAGTCACAGTTCGGGGCATATATAATGTATATATATATTTAAGAGACTATGCCTCAACCAGAGGTCAGAACCCAAACACCTCTTCAAACACCTCTATATCTCTTCCCGCGCGGACTTGGGTCCCAAGAATTCGTCTCACGTTCCTTGCTAGACCAGCGGGGCCGCAAATAAATACACTGGCAGTTGGCTGGGAATGCGCCTGCTTGCTGACCCTCGCATCAGGCACTCTAATGATATCCGCGTCGCCCGAGTCCTGCCGTTGCTGATGTCTGTGAGGCCACAGCGTTGAATATGGACGCTGTGGCTGGGCGTGATTCTGTTTTCTGTTCCTTATCCCGGAATCCTGATCATTTGTCGCTATCGCTTTTCCTGGCTGGGTCTGCATTTGACTTGATGTTGACATCGATTCGCCAGTTGCGTCACCGCCAGAGCAAGCAACAGAGTCTGAGACAGAGATAGAAGAAGAACTTGGTGTCAGAGCATCGGCGACAATGGTTGACAAGTCCGGACGGCGGCCGAGTCGATGGATCTTTATGACTGCGTGTCGAGTGCCAGTGGCCGGCGTCAGTACGGATGTTGTTGTCGTGACCAGCTGGTAGTCCCCGAAGGTATATCCGTCTTGTTGTGTTGTGTAGATATCCACGGTTGCGTCTGGGGTCGAATCTCGAGCCTTATCTTCTTGGCCAACGACTGTCCATTGTTGTCCTTGAGGTTGCTGCGACTTCTGAGTCAGAATGTCGATTCCCCATTGAGCGGCGGCCGTGGTCTTGACCAGCCAGATCATCTTGATGGTACGTCCCCTACCCCGACTGTTCCGTTCCTCGTTGTCAGGGGAGTGGTCTCCTCTTGAGCCGGGACTAGACAGCGACGGCCTTGATGCAGGGTCTGAAGCGCTTTGAGTCTGCGCGGCCATGAGAGCCAGGTATATTGGAATGATGTAGGTCGCGCCGACCCCGCCTGCAATGAGTATGATTGGGCCATGTGAAGCAGCAGAAGCATTGCCATCGGGTTGAACCCATTTCATCTCCTCAAGGAGTCGTGGGATATATATCCCCGATCCGCCGTATGGTCCTTCAACCAGTAAGTCCACAGTGGACGGATCAGAAACAGCGGCTGCTCTTGTAGTGGTAGGAGTAGTAGAAGGGTTGATTTCCCTCCTGCCCCTTTCTTCGCTGTCTGTGTGGCTGTTGTTGTTGTTGTCGTCGTCATCGTTCCAGCTTGCCGCCGACCTTGCAACATCTGCGAGATATGACGTCTGCGGTCCACCGGTGTTCTTCAGCACGAGCTGGATTTCCGTTTCACCGGCTCCTTTAGGCGCGTTCTTACCGTCGCCTTCATAGTCTCGAGCATGCACGACGGCTCGCATATTCGCAATTGTGAATGGGTTCCTCGGTTGTAACAGTTTCCAGTACACTCGGCCGCTGGCTTGCCGTAAATAAACATGTTGTCCTGGCTGAGCCCTAGCCCAGGGACTTGACGCGGATACTGTGAAATTGACACCGATCAGATCGACATCACTATCGCCTCCTCCCGCAAGCAAGTCACACGTGGCCTTGACTTTCTGACACTGCCGACTCCGCCTCAGAAGCCCTCCAAGAACCCAAATCAAGCCTGTCTGCGCAATATACAGCCTCACGCTTGGGTAGGGCACATGGACCCAAACCAGAGGCAAGATCAAGGCGCTTAGCAGAACATGACTTCTGTAAAAGATAGCATGGTACCATCCCCGAGCCCTATTTCTCACAGCCGGCAGCGCAAGACCCGCCAAAAGAGTGACCGCGGCAAAGGCAGCCAGGCCGAAGCGGACATCGCGGTCTCGAAGGCGTTTGGCCAGGACACCTATTCTGATAAAGAAATGCAGATACAGCACCGCATGGATGCTCAGCAGGACATGGATGATACGGCCCAGGAGGCGATGAAACACATTCAATCGTTCATGACCCAGTCCGGTGGCTAGAGTAATTGGTGAATTTGGAGACTTGATTGCCCCCATCAGGTAATGGATGGGCAATTGGGACACGGCGATATGGCCGAACGACTTGGTGAGATGCATGTAGTCTGTGCCAGTCGCGCGGAAGGCAAGGTAGACGAGCCAGAGAAAGTAAAGGAGACCGACGACTTGGGTGGATAGAGGGCCAAAGTCCGTCGCCGTGGTCGTGCCAAGAATCCATCGTATCTGACGAACGAGGCTCTCGAATTCCCACGAAGAGGGAGAACGATATGGCGCATTCTTACTGTGTTGCCCAAGACTGCGCCGTGGAGTTGGTGGACGCTGATCAGTCCGTATGAGTCGGGACACACTATCACATGATCTGAACACTTGACGACAGAAGTATATGCTGACAAGGAGCGTGATGGGGCTCAGCCATGCGTACAGGCCCGAGAGATCAAGTTGCCGGCGCCGTTCTTCGAGTTGCGACGGTGTGAGGCTGACGAAAGTGTAGTTCAACATCTTCATGTGCAAATCTTGCTTATTCGCTCACTGGTTCGTTCGCCGGCTTCTTTTCGCCTTCTTCTGTTCATGTACCTTCTCTCCCCTGATTCTGGTAGGACCTTTCTTCATGCTGTCCCTAGCAACACATTGTCCAGTAGGTGGGCGCAACATGCAAGAGCCTCTTATCGATCCATGGACAAGGGAATCTGTGCCATAAGCGCCAACGACAACCATCAATGACACTAGCTATAATAGACTTGGTGTGATATACCTCGTCTGGCCCAAGGGATCTTAGCAACTATTATTTGGACAGGAAGCACGGGCTGCTGTGGGCTCGTTGGAGAAGTTTTCAAAAGAAGAAATCGATTAGGTGGCCAGGACGCTAATCAGGTATGCTGTATATGTGGTTGTCTGGATCAGAAAGGCTACGGGCTGATAATAGGCGGCCTTGGAGGAGGTCAAGGAGCATTGAGTAATACGAGGCATCCTAAAATAAAGGGAGAGGTCGGAAATGGTTCCGGCTTTGTCAGCCTGACTGATGCCAAGCCAAGGCTGAAGCCCCTGGCCGGGACTCAAAAGGGCCAACCATCATCGCAAGTGCAGTGCTCGGGACGCAGACTCAATCGAGAGGCATCTAATCACTGGACACAGCGCACTAAACGGACAATATGAGGCCTGGGATCACCAGATTTCGCGTCACGACGTGTTATCCCCAGACTAGGGTTTCTGCCCAATATCATTTCCTTCTGCATTACGCGAATAAAACTCATGCCGACCGCAAAAGAACGGTCTTTGAAGACCAGACCACCCTTTCTGACAATCAACAACATTAGGAGCTATGCAGCACAGTTAGACAGGAACAGGGCGCTTGCAATGCTGCGCTATGCCGCCAAGTATGTTACCGCTGTCAACAATAGCAAGGAACGCCAGTCCAATGCATGGCAAGCCGGGTGCTTTCTGTGGATGTTGGGTGTCTCAAACCTATCATCCATCAATAGCTGTCGAGGCGCTTGTAAAGCAATCGGTTTCCGACTCCGACAGAGTAGGGCCCTTCAACAGTCCAATAAACCCGTTCGGAACAACTGGGTACACAATGGATGCCTCAGTCCTATTCCACCATGTCTTACCCAACAGAATGCACAGTTCACAACGGTCCACCACGTCGGATGTAGTTGCGCGTCCATCTTCATAACCTCGTAGAACTCAAAGTCAACGGGAGCCTTGCGCAGACTTCTTCTGCACAGCTTCCTGACTTTCCCTCCCAGGGCCGGTAACCGGTTCAGGAGACTGGCCGGCTTTCGGATCGACGTCATCATCAGTGGGAGTCCGCACCTCCTCTTGTCCCAATTCGAAATGCGGCGGTTTTAGTATCGGCTTCGGCTTTTTCGGCACGTTCGTGGGCGATATGGCTTTGTTCGTCTTTTCAATGACCGTCTCTATGCTGTCGCTCTCGGGCATCTTTCTTCTCGGAGGATCCTGGACCTCTTCCAGATGTCGAGTGCCGCCGGGCGACAATAAGACTTCGCTTTGACGCCGTTGGAGTTCTTCGAGTTTGGCAACAGGGTTCTGTCTCCCACAATATTGGCATCTCCAATACAAAACACCGCGCGAAGTATGCAACAACGATGGCAAAACTGGCAAAACAGATAACGCAGCAGACTGTAACTGGGAGGAGGACGGACGCACCCAATCTTCTTGTTTCGGTACCCCTTCGGCTGCCGGTAGATTTCCTTCTTCATCTCTCTCTTCGCCCCAGAAACTGGGCCGCCGGATTGGTGCCGGAGTTACGGGTAAGCTCGGTCGTTCGACTTCGGTCGGGAAGTCTGTTATTCTAATGCTGGGCCGTCGCGAGGAATCTGCGGGCGGTGAGGTGACAGTCGAGCCGGTAGGGGACCGCTGGGAAGGCGTGTGGTGTAATACTTGTAATTTTCCTTTTCGGGCTTGATGTAAGGACTGTACGTATCGTTCAATTTCCGGCATGTCGTCCCACGCATTCGTCCGCTGCTGGAAGGCTGTCCAGGTATCTGTAGGAGGACTCACTGAGGCAACATTGCTCCCAAGAGTAAGGTCAGTGGCATCAGCTTCTGGCGTTGGCGCTGAGATTTCTACTGGAGGCGAGGGCTCACGTGGGGGCGGGCTAGGTGATTTCGGTTTCGGGAAGACTCGAGTCGGTTTGGGGGCTCTCGTTTCCCAGGGGAATATCGGTTTCGGTTTGGCAGGCTCTGGCACCTTTTCGGGCACTTCGTACCACATGTCCTTGGGTGCATCGGGATACCGAGCGGGAGGCTGGAAGAGCTCAGTGTCTTTGGACATGTCGTAAATCTGTGTCGGGAAGTTTGCGGCTTCGGGCTTCGAATGCGCTGGAGGTGGTTCCCTACACAAAGATATGAGCACTTCCATGATTCCCTACAATACCGTCGCTTACCGTGTTGGCTGCCATTCAGCTTGGGGAGCTGAAAAGCGTCTCTGTTCAACCGTCGGGGTGGGATTGAAGTCGTTCCGGCCTGTAGGCGTCGGCGCATCACCAAGGGGCAGTTCCATCGTCGTAGTTTGATGCGAATCGGAATGAGAAATGGTAATCTCAGGAGGTAGAGGCACTTGGCCCTGATGTGATGATGACGGTTGCGGCTGGGAGCCTTGACCTGCGGCTGATCCTTGATGCGACCAGTCGGCCACATACAAAGGCTCCTCGCCGCGCACATAGTCCTGTACAGTTTTCTTCGACCGATAGTTCCGAGTGTCATACCGGGTAGTAGTCTGGAGATGTCAGTGACTGACTTCTTTCGTCGCTGATGTCTACAGACCTTTCGACGGTAATGCTTGTCGTACTCAGCCCACCACATTCCCAGCAGTTCGCCATAGACGCCCGTGTTGAACCTGTTATCTCTCCCTAAAGTCCAAGGCTTGTCTGCTCCTATGAAGTGGACCACTGCAATGCTGCTGGCAAAATGGCGATAGGCCGGTTCGTATTGATAGTTGCCGCTGGGGGTACAATTGTATACGAAGCTCAGCCTCTGCCATTCCCGAAAATGCATGTTCAGCAGACCCTGGTCTGCTCCATCAAAACTGATTCCTCGCTGCGCTAGGGCTAACAGCGCGTAATAATCGGCCATGTTGGGGTTCAGCACGAGGAGACCGCTGTTGAAGCAATCCGGCCAACCAATGTCAGGAACTGCGGCGAACTCAGTCTCGAGACTGAGCAGTTCGTTGGGAGCTCTGAGTGCCACCATATCTGCATCCAAATAGACTATTCTCTTGTACTGTGTCTGCCTCCATAACTCAATCTTGGTAAATGTCGATACTAGGTCGGGTCGGCCCATGAGATATAGGTTCGCCGGGTTCTGGTTGACTATCTGTTGCACAGGAACAATTTCGTCGTAGACGGTCTAGTGCAGTCAGTGCATCATGGCCGGACCTGAGAGAGAAGAGAACAGCGAACCCGAAGTTCTGTAATCGTGTCGCCGGACAGTTTGTCGACCACGACAAAAGCCACTAGAGGAGCCTTTGCGCCTCGGTCTTTCAGGGAATGGCCCAACACCATGGCACCTGGAGCGGAGTCAGCTCTTGTACGAGCATATATCCCTCGCAGAAACATACCCGGAAGGTAGGCATCGTTCATGAGCAGCTGGACTTGTTGTTAGTGACTTGAGTTCCCTCTATGCGGGGAAGCGCATGGAAGGGATGGAGATGGAGAGAGCAGCTCACCGTCGCAAAGACAGCTGCGCCGACGGGCGCCATGATGGCGGATGCAGCGCTGAAGGAGAGACTCGGTGAGTATAGGGATGGTAGAGGCAGATGGAAATGCGGATATAGGTAGGGAATAACAATAAACCTCAGTACAACAGCAATCGCAACAGTCCAGGTCTCCAAGTGAGCAGAGCGGGAAAAATGCTCGAGATGTAGAGCTACTATTGTCTCATGGTTCTGAGGACTTCCTACTCCCACTACACCAACTACTGCAGTGTGCTGTGAGGTGATTTGCCTCGACGTACTCTACCTATGTTATGCACTTGGGACCGAGCTTGCTGTGGAGGGACTTCCTTATTGTCCACTACAACTGCCAGTGCCAGTGCCTGGTAGGTACGAGCAATCAGGTAAAGATGGGTCCTTGGGGTCCTCCAGGTGCAGCACTCGCCCTTGCGCTCGGTGCTAATTGGCAGCTGTCCCTCCCCCCGCGCGCCCACGATACGGAGCTTTTTGTAGCTGGACTCGAGAGGCGTGAGGCTAGTTTGAGCCCCAGTCGTTGGGAGCTGCGAGCTTCTTCCTTAGCTGCACAAAACATCTGCCCTCAGCCAAACAAAGAGCTTCCTCTTCCCTGACCATGCCTAGGTTATCCACCACATCTGCTGCCTCTGACCGCATCCACGGCCCTCGTGACGTCGCTTTGGAGAATGGACGGTGATGGAATTGTCCACGAGATCGATGCGAAGACGGTGAATACATGGCTGATCCAGGTTCGACTCCAGACTACGATTCGATGTTGTTCTCGTCTGCAGCCCAGTTCCCGCTTCAGGTGGCCTCCCCACCCTGCAATGACGATGGATCTACTGCCGGCGTGTAACTGCTACTGAGCAAACCGAGAAAAAAAAGGAAGGCTAACGAGAGTGACACTGTGGGAACACATGTGCACAATCATGCGATGATGGACCCGGAACTCGAGGATGCCCGTCAAGTCAGCCACAGAAACAATCTAGTGCTCTAGCCACGGCTCGCCCTCTCTTCCGGCGATAAGCAGACGTGTCGTCCAATTTCAACGCCTTTGCTAGGCTCCGTTATTGCTATTCCGTGGCAGGCTATTTAGGCGAGTTTAGGCACTGGCAGCCTTCATCCAATCGATCCCCCAGGTTGTCAGCCTTTTCCTAGACCTTCCGACTGCCTTTCCCCTACTAGCACCTTTTCCAACACGGAACTTTGTGGCGGGTGGCTGGTTGCCATGGTGTCCTGCTCAGTGTGAACGAGCTTAATGTCCTCACAAGAGGTTGCTGGCTCCCATCAATCAGAGACAATATCAGACCATCTCAAAAGGTTCGCACCGTGGCTGCTCGGTATCCTTTACCGAGCACACTTTTCAACAGCTGCTAAGGCCACAAGGCACAGACGCGGCGCCGCCCGCCTGGCAAATGCGTTACACCTCAGCTTCCAGGGACCGGCCGGGAAATATGATGGTCCTGTGCAGGAGCCTCTAGGAGGCGCGTTCCGCTCTCAGGAACACAAACAGACAGCCGTCAGTGCGCTTCGGGACAGAAAGACAGGTTGAACATTGCGCACTACTCTAATTCCACCGCCCCAATCAAATCTCAACGCCACCTGAATATTTCCGATTTGAAGGCATGCTAGGTAAGAAGGGTATGGCAAGGCAACCCACATTAAAAAGCACATGTTGTTTGTCCCGTCTATCAAATCTCTCGTCGCGGCTAGTTGCCTGCAAACTCTCCACAATAGAATCTTTCCATTTGTGGTGAGACACCTCTCCACACATCAATCTACAACATTGTGCATAGCATACAATGGATGTCTTTTTTTTTTCTTTCGCCCCTCGGATAGTCTCAAACAGAAAAGAAATTTTGATCTCTTCAACCCAGCAATCTCTCAATATCCCTCAGCGTCCCTGCACGCATTTCTTTACGCTGTCTACCAGCACTCTGCTCTCCAAAAGCCTCGCTGGCGAGTTTCCTCTTCTTAGCTTGGATTTCTAGAACCTCGTCTTCAATCGTACCCTCGACAACCAGTCGAATCACCTTACAGTTTCTGGTCTGTCCCAGTCGATGCACGCGGTCCACCGCTTGATCCTCGATCGCCGGCGCCCACCATGAGTCTGCCAGTATGACTTGATTGGCAGCCACAAGATTGAGGCCGACCGAGCAGACAGACAGAGATGCCAGCAGTATCTTGCACGAAGGGTCTGAGTTCAGCGACTCGATCGCGGCATCACGGCCGGCAGAGTTCATCTTACCATCCAATCGCGTAAACTGCAGTCCGTGGCGGACCAGTTGAGCCTGCACCAGATCCAGAAACGAGGTCCATTGAGAGAAGACGACCGTTTTCACGTCTGGGTCCGCTTCCGAAGCCTTTAGAATTTTGACCAGTGCCTCGATCTTGGAACTGGTTGTGTCGGGGTCGATGTCAAGATCCACCTCGTCACCTTCGCCAATCCCCGCAGCCGGCTCAACCAGTTGGTCAACGTTTGTCAGCTCAGCACGGCACATGGGACACTTGCGCTGCGTCTCAATGACTCTTTGGATGCAGTCCCGACAGAAGACATGAGCGCATGCCGTGATTACCGGGCCTTTCAGCGAGTCCAGGCATACACAACAATCCTCCTGAGAATCGATCTGTAGCTGCAACAAGTCCTGGAGCGTCTTTCTGTTGGCTGGGTTCATCACGTCTGCAACGGTGCCTTCTTCGATGAGCTCAAGCAGCTTTTTCACTCTTTCCTCGCCGCACATTTTCCAATGGTTGCAAGTCTGGCGCAGTCGAAGAAGGACTTCAAGAAGGTGCGTCATGGTCTTGTCTCCTTTCCTAGTCTTTGCGGTTTCAAGTAGTCCCTTGGCCTCGCTCCTGAATGCTTCGTATCGTTCCTGTTCATGAGGCAAGAACTTGATTGCGTATTTGTGGAAAGTGATCTCTGGAAGCTTCAGATCAATGAACTTCATATCCTTCATCCGCCGAAGGCACAATGTCGACACAAGGGCTTGCAGCAGCAATCGGGCGTTATTTTCGCCGTTCTTGAGCGGCCGAATAAGCGTCGAGTTGAAGATCTCAAGTTCCGTCAAGCCACCGGAAAGACGCAGGAACTTGACGTGTGAGTACAGATCCTTGAGGTTATTTACAATCGGGGTTCCGGTGAGCACCCAGCGGGACTGCGCGGCGAGCTTGCATGCAGCTTGGGACATTTTGGCCTTGGGGTTGCGGATTTGATGTCCTTCATCGAGCACGATCCGACGCCACTCTAATGAGAACAACCCTCTGGCTGCGGGCGTAGGTAGTGGCTCCGAGGTGTAGGCTGGGAATAGTTCCCGCGTCATGGTCTGGTAGGTTGTAACTACAATGTCGTACTCTTTCAGCTGCTTTGGTGACAGATCTGTATTTCCCTGTCCATGGTATGTCAGGACCCGTAGAGCGTATTTGTTCTTCACGTGCAAAGCAGCTTGCTGGCTCCAATTACTCATCACGGACAAGGGGGCTATGATCAGCGTGGGATGGCCGTTCTTGTGCGGATCCGCCAAAATGAGGGAGATGACTTGGATAGTTTTGCCTGGGAAAACAAAGTTAGCAGAAATTTCACCACGACTGTATAAATTGAAACCCTCGAAAGAACGAGACATGGTGGGAAGTGGAAGGCAATTAGGATAGTGTAGCGAATTGCGAATTCTGGTGCGTCAGTGATCAAGGAAGAGAACTCACCGAGACCCATGTCATCGGCCAGTAAACCTCCACTAGCCAACTCGGGCGCTTTGGTAAAGGAGAAGTTGGTGGCAATGTTGGTGTAGACGTTTCCAGCCTTCTTCCACAGTTGCACGACATCGCCGCCGTCCTTGGGCAGCTGCGGCGACTCGTGGTCGAGCATCCACTGCAGGCCCTGTCGCTGGTACGGTAACAGGACCGTGGCCAGCTGCTCCGGCTGGTCAGCCAAAGGCATCTTCTCCAGCACATCTTCTGTCGCGCCGAGTTTGTTGACGACATCCTGAACGTCGCGAGGGTTGAACATGGCCGTAGTCGTGCCGGCGAGGAGCTGGTCGACGGTCTCCAACTGTGGCTGCTTGCTGCCATCGTCCTCTTCCAGACCGGTCCCTCCCATTCCAAGTGCGCTGTAGCGATTTGGGCCCTCATGATCGATGAGATCGTCTTTGGAGACGCCGGGTTTACGAAGCATGGCGGCCGCCGCCCTCTCTCGAGCTTTCCGCTGCTTTTCAGCTTCCTGTTCGCGTTTCTTTCTTTCTTTTTCGGAACGGAGGTAGTCGCTCACCGGGAGGCGTAAGTCCTTCATCTGGCGAGCCAGCGCGGCTCCGGCCACGGGGTCACTGGGCCCAAACAGTTTCAAACCGATGGGACAATCATAGAAGCCTTTGGGCCCCGTTAACGCCCCTTCAACCAGCAATGATCCAGAATCCATCAGCGGAGCCAGCTTCGCAGCCACTTGGCGCGGTAGGTGGCCGATCTGGTCGCGCAGCACGTTGTCTATGCGGATCGCATTGGTGTCGTACGGGTTGCTGGGTTCGCGCCGAACCCGCACATATTCTCCTACGGTTGCCCGTCCGTCGTAGTACCGGCACCCGACGATCTTGGTGTTCAAGATCCCGTACAGTTGGTAGTTTTCGTACACGTCATCGTCGAAGTCTTCCGTTAGGTCAATCTCCCGCGCTATGTCTGCTTCGTCGTCTTGTGTCGATGGGAAGGTGTTGTGTTTTGTGGTGGTCGCGGATCCAGGTGTTGGTAAAGCCCAGCGTTCGCGTTCAGCTTTGCTTGCTGGTGTTAGGGTCGGTTGGCTGCGGTAGTAGTCACTCGATGGACTTGACTGTGATTGCGAGTTTGGGTATGGCCCTCCATGGCTGGCTCGGGCTTGACTGGATGGTGGTGGCGTGGGCAGAGGCGCGGATCCATAGCCATGATTGTTCTGATTTTGCGACGATGAGAATGACGAGCTTGATGTCTTTGCGGCTTTTGAACGTGATGGCTCATTCCTGGAATACGAGGGAGATTCGTCGTCGCCGGTAAGATCAACCACCTCGATGGCATCTGCCTTTCTCTTCCCTCGTGGTCTAGGCATTGTTTTCTGAGGACTTTAAGGTCATGCAGTGCTTGAATGATGAGATGATGCGGTTGTTGAAGTTGATGGTATCAGTGATGGGGGAATAGCAGGATCTCGGAGAATACTTGGGCACAAGTACTAGTGTACCGTATTATCAGGTGCCCACGCAGAAAGGTGGTGGGTTGGTAAAGGGACCAGGTACAAGGCTGTACGTTGTAGCAGCGGCTTGTGGGAAACCTTCACAGAGGTACTGACGGTATCATGCACAGCCTGCCAGTGGTTAGATAAATGCAAAAAATTGGTGGCCACAAACAGGCAGACAAGGAGAATGGATTTCTTGAAGTAACCTTGGAAGGCAGACGAGAACAACAACTGATTAATAAGGCGGCTTCTTTACCCTGATTTCGGGCTGTTCAACTGCTTGACGCGTGTGAAGTCATAGTTGATGAGGTTGTTTACCATCAGCCGGCGATCTTCAAACGCGCGACGCGGATACGTGCCGATCCATAAATAATGTGTCAGACGATAAAGTCATGCGGGCAACTGCGCGGGCGTTGCAATGAATGCATTGTCATACACTGCAACGCTATATGACTTTAAGCTTAAATTCACTGCCGCAGCCACTCAAAAGATTTGAGTCTGACAGGGTAATTACTTTTGTTTTCGTGAGGAATTTTCGCATCCTACATAGCATCTGCCGGGCTTTTAGTCTGACACCGAGCATTATCGGCGTTGGACCCAAATCCCTCAAGCAAGAACAACAGTCCGAGGGTAACTACTAGTAGATGAACACATCAAGTTGTTTTATGATTTCTACCCACATCAGATCAATCTTATTCCTCCTCGTCCTCCTCTTCATCAGTATCAAATCCAACATCAATCGTGGGAATCTCAGAATCGTCACTGTCATCCCCATCCTGCACAGCCACCGGAGCCGTAGATGGTCCTAGGACAATAGTTTCAGTTGCAGTTGCAAAGCCTGAAGAGTTTTGGGCACCGCCATGAAACAAAGAAGTGCTTGCTGTGGCTGCAGCATCTCCTTCCATCACCACGTCTTGCACGGAAATTTTCTCTGAAGTTGTCTGGCTTGAGATGTCGGCCAGGACTTCCTCTGGGCGCAGGCGTTTGGCTTCTCGTTCTCCCGCAACTTCCTGCACATCAGCACTGGTGTCCGTGGTGTCATCAATGTCGACAAGAGTGCGCTTTCTGGTTGTAGTATCCTCCACCCCCGCAACGACATCAACCTCTTTTGAGCTGCCTGCAGTTTCCCCAGATCCTTCATGCGGGCTACTGTCATGCTTTTCTGGAGTGTTGTCTGTTTGGGACAAGACATCGCTCTCTTGGCCGTCGTCGCTTTCCTCGCTTCCCGAGTCCTGATCTGTCGACTGTTGAGCGGCCGGTGTGTTCAGTTCAGTAGGTGCGCCCGTCGATATCACTGGCATGCGAGGCCTGAGCAGCGCTTCGATTGCGAGGTCATTACCGGCAGACCTGGCTAGGAATGGCAGCAGACTGGGACTACTTGCTTTGCCGCCTTTTGACAGCACCGGTCGCATCACACTGGCAAACATGGCTTGGCGGTGGTCGAGTAACACTGCCAATCGGTCCATTTCAACCCTCAATTGACGCGTTATCACGGGGACAGCACCATGTTGGAGGATTTTCGGTAGCAAATTCCAAGCACTTGCATAGATGCAGGAGTCGCGACGCACTCTGGAATCTGTGGCCCATTGTCCCTGATTATTGTGTCCGGCTGGCGCAGTTTTAGGTTTCAATGCTGCGTCCATTGTATCAGTTACTGCACTCTCGGCATTGACATCCGGAATGCTTCGCTTCAAATCATGGCAACACTCGGTAACCAGGGCGGAAAAGCTTTCGCGAGACAAGCCCAAGTCTTTCGAAGATGACCTTTCCAACAAATCCCCGAAGAGATCGTACACAGCCCGTCTAACTCCGCCGTGGTAAGGCAAAGCCTGCAGCAAGCCGGCTGCCTGGGCTGCAACATCTCCAAATGCAGACAGTAAAACCTGCCCATATGTGGTGCACATTGTGTGTAATAAATCCAGGCAGGCCACGTGAAGTGACGGGAGAATCAGTCGAAGCTCTTCCTTCTCCTCCTTGCTTGCATCTCTGTGGTATCTCAAGGAGTCGAAGTTCGGCGGGACTGTTACCGCCGTGATGCGTCCAACCAGGTCCATTATTGCACCCACAGGCACAGCCACAGGTTGGGGCGTAGGTGTTGACAGGAAGGTGGCAAGCAAACTTAGCAATGTCGACAGTCTCAAACAGCCTGAGTAGAGGCCATTCCACGGTTGCAACCCTATGGAATCATTTCCATCGACACGGACCTCCACGGAAAAGTCTTGTTTGGCAACTGTCTTCTGCCGAGAAGAATCATTTGATTCATATTCTTCAACCACTGCCCTAAACAGAACATCTGCCGTTTCTTGAGCGCTGTTGATGATGTCCATGGCCATTCGAGACCATTCCTGGCTAAATGAATTCTTCGGAGCACATGACGATAATAGGCATAGGAGTCTTGCTGCCGCATTCCTAGACGAAGCCAACGACACCTCATCTCCTAATAAAGTATAACAGACAGATCGGATACGCCCGGCCTCCGGACGGAACAGGGTTGCGTGCTGAGGCAGTAACTGAGCCCAGCAGCTCAGAACACAATCGAGGAGAGGGCTTGAGACCTGACTAGGACGAACATCGTTATGAGTCCCCACAGGCTTGATCAAGCCGAGGCAGGTTTTAATAAATTGCGGGAGCAGCGGTGTTGTAATCTCTCGCAACAATTGTGGTTGGTTTTGCGTGAGAACGAAGATGCGTGTGAGCGTCATGAGATAGACCACCTTCACTGAAGCAGGGTCTGCTTTATTCAGACAGCCAAGCAGACCTCTGGCCCAGCTCTCAGAACCGAGCAGCACGATCTGGCCGCCATTTTCAACGACAGCCTTGACAAGAACCGCCGCACTGAGTCGACCGGATACAGACCTGTCCTGTAACAGAGAGCTGATTCGGGTTTTTAGCTTATGGGTAACAACAGACGACTTGTTCGCTTTGGACTCGGAGAAATGTGACTCGAGAGAACAGTTGGCAAGCTGATTCGCGAGAATGCCGCATATTCGAGGCAGATCTTCGACCGGTGTCACGGTCAGGCGGTTAGTTATGGCTCGTAACGAGCTGTCGGCCTGCATTGTGGAAAAAGTCATTCGACTAGATGGGAACCGGTAATATCGACCCCTCCCAGTCGCGCAAGCCAGCGGATAGTCCAGCAAGGTCGTTGTGTGTCAATTTCAACATCGACGTACACGCATTCCATTGTTTCGCATATTTTTTTGTATCCGGCGGTTGGCTGCCGAAGTTCAACCGACGAGCGCATCACTGCAGGGAGTCGCAGGCAGAGCCCAAAATAAATAAGCATCGTCCGACAAAAGGTACACACGCGAAAGCCGCGAGAAATCTGATTATAGTCCCCGTCAGACAACAACCATCATTTCATTCCCGACGTCGCAATCACACATGGTGTCGAGGACCCGGAGTCATTGCAATCGACTGAACAACGGGCATGATTCGTGCCTGGTGATCCTCCACTAAGACCCTGCAGCTATGTCTTCGCCTTGACGACCTCGACACAAGGTGGCTAGTCGTGTAGAAGAATCTCATATGCGACGTCGCGATGAGTGTGCTTCATGTACTCCATCCACCCGACCCCGACCACTCCGCGAATGTCCATGCTGATGGATAGCAGACACATCATGACAAGGCGCAACGCTACATCGGCCTTCTTGAAGCAGCTCGCGTGGCTGGCAACTGGCAAGATCTTCCAGAACTTTTAAGGAAGGTTAGGAAACACGCTCCGGACCGGAAATGTATTGCTCCCCGACTATTCATATGTTCATTGTTGACCTTGACCCGCAGGCTTGATTGAGGTTGCCACCTTTGAGCTCGCGGTCGCCAAACATGCCACCGCGGCTCCTCAGAGAGCCGGGACCGGCAACACCAGCCAAACACTGCCTGAATCCCTAGTATCCGATCTCGAAACGAAACTACGTGCGGATGGACAGCCATTCGAAGAGGTCGTCCAGGGACAGACTTCCCTATTGTGGGCTCGCTGGCTCGGCCTACTGCCAGCAGATCGATCTATACCTCTCCAGAGTTTCGAACCTGCTCGCACCGCCGCCAATGCTGCCTCGGTCTGGACAAAGATTTGTGTGGTCAAAAGTGTATACATTGGGGGCATGCTGTTGGATCAGGCTGGTGACGAGGAAAAAGGCAAGGAACTGCGCAATAGGATCCTCCCCTGGCTTGATTCCAACCGCGATCTCGTTCTGTCAACTCCTCAATTACTATATTGGGCGAAGCAGCTCCTTGCTCGCATAGCACTTGGCCGAAGTCGACATGAGGGATCTGCTGCCGCCGATTCATCGCTCGACAGCAAAGAGTCTTTCAGGTTCAGATTACAGGCGTACCGTCACTGGGCCTTGCTAGCCGCGAAAAGCCGAGACACTTCCCCCTCAACTTACGGAAACGGGCCAGGGCATGTATCAAAACTTACAGTCTGGCGTTCTTACTATCGATTTCTCTCCGGTGTTCTGCGGCGGGGCTCAGAGAGTATGAGGAACATGTCTATTACTCGCTCTGAACTTGCGACAGAATTGCGGCGCGTGGAGACTTCTTGCGAGGACGAACTGCTGCATCAGACACGGTTCCCCAAGGCTAACGAGTCGAACACTGTCATTGAAGAGTGGGTGGAAGAAGTGATACAGAACTGGTACGCACTTTGCGCGCCAGGTTGGACAGAATCGGATCTGGGTGACGGCGGTCGCAACTCTGTCGGTAGAAACGTGCTCGATATGCTGTATCGAGCCGCGACCAAGACGTTTCATTCCACCCTCATCTTACGACGGTTGTTCCAGGTACACAAAGCTTTGACGGAATTTGACCTTGCTTACAAGGCTTTGGACTCGTACATTGAGCTTATGGAGCGGGCGCGGGCACGAGAAGCCAAATCCAATGAACCTGCCGCTGGGCGAGACGGTGATGAGGTCTTCCTCCGCACTCTCGCTGAGGCAATTGAAGGACTTTGTGCCTTTGGCAAGCGAGTGGAATCCGAGAGAGCGTACAGCCTATGCTTGAAGATCGAGGGTCTCTTGGCTGAGCTTGAAGCCTCAACGCCCTCCACTACCCCCAACGGTTTCGGGCTGACAAATGGAGAGTTACAACCAAGTGGTCCAGAACATATCTCCTTTTCCGCCGACCTAACGGACGTGGTCTACCGAGCCATCGGGATAGCGAAATCGCATTGGGCTCGATGGACTCCCTTTAGTGAAAACCGATCTAGCCTGCAGTCGGAGGCAGTCGAATCTCTCCAAAAGGCTGTCGCACAAGAGTTGCCTGTTGAGCAGCACTTAAAGTCTCTATACGCACTAACTCGGTTGCTGGCCGAAATGCGGGACATTGACGAGGCCATTTTAGTCGCCAAAAAGGCGTTGATGTCGGAATGGGCAGACGAGCCATCAGCCGACGCTTTCCAAATCCCACGCCAGTTGATCCCATTCTGGCACTTGTTGGCCCTGCTGCTTACCTCTAGGCAGGACTTTGAGACTGCTAGTCAGAGTTCTGTCGCTGCCCTTGCGCAATTCTCGCCTCCCGAGGTCATGTTCGGCGCTCTCACTGGCAATGGAGGGGAGAAACAGCCGAGTAGGACTGGCTTGGTGGACGACATGGAATGTGACGAGCTGCAAAAGATTCTCGAAATTCGGATCACCGAACTTGCTCTGACTGAGCTGATGGAAGGGCCAGAACATGCGGTGAACCGCAGCAATGAGTTGTTGGCTCTATATTCTCGGCTCTTTGGCCGGTTTGGCCCTCTTGCTGGATTCGAGGAAAGATCGAGAACAAGGGATGTGGAGCCGCCCAAAAGCTCTGCGGGTACGGTCAAGAGCCTCCGCGGCAGTCTTTTCTCGCGGCGAAGGGTGAGACGTGGTTCCATAAAAGGGACAGGCCTGCCCGAAGCAGTTCCGCCCATGGAAGAGAAGACTCGACCCGACACTCGACCCGACACTCGACCATCACAAACACCAGCGATTCAAATCACCAACGACGATGAGAAAGCGTTGTCGCATAAGCATAAGATACCAGTACCCCGGTTTTCGCTTGAGCGCGGCCGAGATGAGAAGGCAAGACGGCGATTATCACGATCACAGAGTCGAGGCAGGAAAGACGGCAGTCATAGGGACAGCACCAGACAATCACTTGAGGCTATTGATGGCCCACCCAACGCCTCTACAACAGCCACTACCGGACAGGCGGGGGTGGAGACTATCTCACCCCGGGAAGTTCCCGCGGTGCCAGTGTCCGCGGGCCATGACAACAGTGCAGGACCAAGACAGCCGTTGAAGGCTATTCCGCACAATCTTGCTGCGCATGACCAGGTGCCGCAACCTGCTCGTCACGAGAGTCAACCGCCCCAGCAGGATGTCCGACTGCCCCTTGTGGGATCCCGCACAACGAGGACAGATCCGATCCCTCGGTTTCCCACAGCGGCGTCACAGAGATATGCGCTTAGTGTGTTGGTCAAGATCTGGTTGGTAATTGCCACGTTGTATCGGCGGGCCAAGATATTCGATGACTCCCGTGAGGCCTGCGACGAAGCGGCCAAGATTGCAACGAAGATTGAGGGGATGGTTGCTAGCGTGGAGAGCACGGCACGAGCGTTTCGTGACCCCGGCTGGGGAGGGAGTGGCAAGAGCTCGGACGAGATTTGGGCCGACGTGTACTGTGAGCGAGCGGAGCTATCTATGGCCATCGCACGTGCACGGGAGGAGAAAGAAGGTAACGGGTACAGTGAGGGGTTGCGAGAAGCGGTGGATCAGTACGAACAATGCTTGATGTACTTTGCCGATCACCCTGGAGGCATTGTGGGCCTGAGCAACGTGCTGTTGGACTACTACGAGCGCAAAGTGGAGCTGGCGCAGAGCGTGGACGGCGGCAAGACTCAAGCAGATGAAGGACCGGAAGAGAGAAGCCGACGACATAGGCGAGAGCTGAGCCGGATCGCTGAAGGCGTGGCGGTCAACGGCATGAGTGACGCTGATGGTGGCCCGCCTGGACCGGCCTCGAACAACACCACCACCACCACGGCGGCAACATCGCCAGGTCCAGCAGCGACACAATTGAGCGGGATGAAAGACGAAGAACTTAAGAAGACGCCGGAGAACCTCAACCGCCTTGCAGCCCGTGATCGCGCATATGGGTTGTTATCAACGTTGACTAAACTAGGGTCTGGCTGGGACAACTCCGAGGCTTGGTTCGCGTTGGCCCGGGCACATGAGCTGGGAGGCGAAATTGACCGGGCCAAGGAGATTCTCTGGTGGTGCGTCGAGCTGGAAGATACGCGGCCGATTCGGCATTGGGCAAATGTCGGATGTCGCGGCTATGTGCTGTGAGCGGTGAAGGAAGGAGGTGTTGATTCATCGAGCCTTTCAGTATAGTACGTTACTTTAGACGACGATGCAGGGGCACAACGGAGCGCTCATCGGCGAGAACCACTGTCTCATAGCTTTTCCGACTCTTCAAGAGGCCGAGTCATGTACCCTCGTGTCAAAGGAGTTAGGTTGTTCCAGTCTCCAACATTGTAGTTGTGAAATGGCGAGCCTTGAGCTTGACAATTCGACCTCGCAAGACTGAGAAAACAGAGTCACGTGCAGACTGGCGATCCGGCGTGCGGGTTACAGGGCCAGATACGAGCTTGTACAAGGATACAACTTTCCGGGGGGCTGGGAGGATCCATTTTTAGATGGAACTCGGCTCGCCGTGGAAGACATCGAGTACTTATTACTGCAACGAAGAAGCGGGTTTCGTGGCCTGCACCAAGTGGAATAATACGTAGTTCCACGGCTACATTCGAACAGTCGAAGCTCCTTACTAGTAGTCACTGTCCAAGTATTCCAGTCATTTATGATACCGGAGTTCTCAAACGCGAACAAATCGATCGTATGAGTTGAAGAACGAACGGCTTCGTCACCCTGCCAGTGTGGCCTCGTGATCTGGGCGCCGCGTCAGCCTCTGAGTTCTAGTAACATGAATGCTGAAACTCCAGCAGCCTCGGCGGCCATGTATTCCGCCCCGTAAGAATTTGACAGCGTCTCAGCTTACTGCGATACTTACGTAGGTACTCATTATGGGTAGGTACCTCCAACAGGTAGAGGCGCCTTTGCTGTAGTTGTTTCTGGTAGACTGAAATCATTGAAGTTGTGGTAAAGCCTTTACCTGCCACCTTATTTTATTATTGTTTCCTGCAGAGCAGTGTGGTCCAGTCTCCAGTCCACGTCATCTTGTATAGCGTAATCGTCGAAAGTGGAGGCGGTGCCATGGTTGCCGGCACAGTAGCCGGAGGAGCGTAAGCCTCCAAGCCTCTAAGGCGCCTAACGCTGGGATCCGCTCGCAGCCTGACGCCTGCTAAGCCCGCCAGATCCGTGGCTAGTGGGATCTGGGTGGGATCTGGCAGCTAGAGCGCCTATTGTGGTCGCCCCCAAGAACCATGCGGCGGCGGGCTAATGAGGTGTTTTGTGGCGCCGAGACGACGCCCGCGACGCCAGTCAACGCCTAAGCCGACTGTGTGCTGCGCCATGCCTCCCGAAAACAGCGATTTGTATCCACCGCATCATCGTTGCATGGCCATCAATTCACCTGCGGACTTGGGACTTGAAGCTTCAAGCTGCGATGCAGTCCACTCAATCAGTCGCACGTTTTATTTACTGCTGATGACGCCGCCATGCCTTGCTTTGCCTTCAATTCTGTGGCGACGCCTTTGCTGTCTTTCTCCGTGTCTAAACTTAACTCAATCACTCCCTGGCCTCGACCTCTGGCACTGCCTGATTCGTTCCTACTGTACCACACATCGAATATGCACAGTTAGGTGACTTACTGTTCACTTCAAGTTTCCTCTCTTCCCTACGACTATCTTCAGCTTGTATCCTGTTTTTGACTGTCAGTCATCGTTGCCCTGGCCCTCGCTGTCGTTGCCGTCCTCTCTTATCCAGTATCTGGTCGCCTGATCATATTACTCTCTCGACGTTCGCTGGGCTATACCTTAATCAATATCCGTCCCGCAGAGAACTCTTAGATACACGGTCCCACCAGCGCTGCTGACAAGATAAAGCGAAGGAGATTTGGGCGAAAGCGAAGATCATCGCTTCCGCATCTCATCGCTCGTCAGGATGCGATCCTCTACCGCCGCTGTTGCGGTCCTCGCTGCATGCACCACTCCTCTTATATCAGCCATCCATCTCGCTCCCCGCTCAGCAGACCCACGAGTCCTCAGTCTTCCCATAGAACGAAAAGCTCCCAAGGACATCCTCGCTCATGATCGTTCACGTCGTCTCCGGAAGAGAGGAACGGTCCAAGAGACACTGGACAACGAGCAGAGTTTGTATTTCGCCAATCTGACCATCGGTACGCCCGGTCAATCGCTACGGTTACACATCGACACGGGCAGTTCTGATCTGTGGGTGAACGTGGCCAACTCGAGCTACTGTACTTCGCGCTCCAACCCATGCGAAGGAGGAACCTACGATCCCAGTTCTTCGTCCACCTTCCAGATTGTGAACAATGACTTCAACATTTCTTACGTCGACGGCTCCGGCGCCTCAGGAGACTACGTCAGTGATACACTCACCTTCGGCGGCGTGACCCTGAAGGATTTCCAATTTGGCATCGGCGAGCTTTCCTCCTCTCAAGAAGGTGTCTTGGGCATCGGCTATGCCTCCAACGAGGTGCAGGTCAACCGCGCAGGTCTTGATGCCTACCCGAATCTCCCTGTGGCCCTCGTCAATGCCGGCAAGATCGCCTCCGCCGCCTATAGTCTGTGGTTGAACGATCTGGACGCCTCGACCGGTCAAATCCTGTTCGGCGGCGTCAACACCGCCAAGTACAAAGATGATCTGGCCACTGTGCCCGTCATTAAGAGCTACGGTGGCTACTACGAGCTACTCGTGGCTTTGACGGGTGTGACGGTAGCCGGCACAGATCTCTCGTCGTCCAGCTCTCTCCCTGCAGCTGTCCTTCTCGATTCCGGCGCAACCCTCACCTACCTTCCGGACGACATTACGCAGGAAATCTACGACTCAGTCCAAGCCGTCTACCAGTCCAACGTTGGCGCCGCTTACGCCGAATGCAGTCTGGCTTCCTCGGACGCCACTTTGGATTTTGATTTTTCCGGCCAGACCATCAAAGTACCCTTTGACGAACTGTTTCTGGACGCAGGCACCAACCAATACGGCCAGCCGTTGACTTTTGAGAACGGCGCCGAAGCCTGTCTATTTGGCATCGCTCCCGCCGGTTCTACTACTCCTGTGCTAGGAGACACATTCCTTCGGTCGGCATACGTGGTCTACGACCTGGCCAATAACGAGATCTCCCTCGCTCAGACCGTCTTCAACTCCACTAAGAATGATATCCAGGAGATCACAAAGGGTTCCGACGGCGTTCCCAACGCCACACCCGTCGCAAGCGCTGTCACTACTCTCGCGGCCGGCACCGGCGGTGCAAGGCTCGGCGGCGCCACTGGATCCGTGACAGGGTTCGCCAATCCTACCAGTACCGGCACAGAAAATGGCGCCGCTATTCCTGGCAGAAGCGCTGCTTCAATCGCCTCTACCGTGGGTTTTGTATCGGCCGTGATCGCGGCGTTTGTGGTGCTATGAACCGGCGGAGACTCTTCAACAATTTGATGGGGTGGACAGCCGTCATGACGCCCTTGTTCTCTGCCTCTGCTTTTTGCATCCTTGCATATCTCTGGGACCAACAGAACCTCGGTCACGTAGACGAAGTCACAGTCACAGTCGCAGTCACAGTCGCAGTCACATCATCAGCCCGCCCATACGGTTTACTCCGCCTCTACAGTAAGGAGGATTCTCCATGCTCGTCCATTCCATTGGACGTTCCTCCATGTAGGGAAGACGCCTTGCGACAGCAAAATGGATCGGAATCACAGACCAGTGCGCGAAACGAAGAGTGGCAGGCCACAACGGAAAGACAGCGTTGGACTCGTGACTCCAACGAGAGTAGTTGGGATGATTGATCGAGAGAGAGACAGAGAGAAAGAAACGATTCATACGACGTTTACGTACATATTACTAGCACCACACCGGCGGCCACGGAGATTTGGGAGGGATTGAAAATTGAAGTTTGGAGTTTTGGAGTTTGGCTCTTGAACCGGGCTAGTCGCCCCCGGGTCAAGCAGGCATTACATTATTGCAGCAGGCACACTTTGCCGCATATCGGAGCGGGCAGTCATCGGTCTTCCTTGTGGATTTGTCCTTATCCTCCTACACTGCATTGCACGGCACGACATGGATTGGCGTTTTCACATGTGTGGCATGAATGTCTTGGTTTCTGGGACTTGGATTGGATTGGATCATGGCATAGCATAGCGTAGCGTCCTACAAGGATGATCACGCACGGCACGCCCACGGTGCAAGGGTTGATAGTACAAGTGAGAGCTGCAGTAAGCCATGCAATAAAGTATCAATATCAATATCAATATCATAATACGTATTCAATTATCATTCATACCTTTGCAGTCCCTGTTTTTCCTCACTGTAGCGACAGTGGATTCATAGATCGGCCTGGCGTATATTGACTGTATTTATCTATCAACCTAAGCGTCTATGGTCCAAAAATAAGGTAGATAGCCAAATACTACTACCCTCAATCCTCCGTACTTTGATATCGTTTTATCGCTAAGAGGTAGGAGGCAGTTGAGGACCCGATGGTTGAGCGGCCCCAACGCTCGGCTTGGAACTACCAACCCTAATTCCCTTGGGAGTAAAAGAGTGCCTTTGGCGAACTTGTTTCGAAGCGGCTGTGGTGGCCGTCGTGGGAGAGCCTGTTTTTGGATTTGGGTTCGGACTCGATCGACCTGAGCCGGTGGCGGCGGTGCCAGCGGATTCGGTGACCGAGCCAGATCTTGACCTTGACCGAAGATGGCTCCCGGAAAGTATGATATGATCTGCTGCTGGCCGAGGTAATGACGATGGCGATGGTGACGGTGATCCCGCTCCTGCTCTGATTGGTGTAGTTGCCGCTGCTGTTGCTGTCGGACTGTGCCGTGACTCTGCCTGTGATGGCGACGGCGATCTTGGATGGGATTGTAAAGGAACAGATGGTGACCATAATCCTTCACGTATTTTGTCGCTGCTAGTACCGCCGCGCTGGTGGTGGCTCCGATGATGATGCTGATGATGATGATGTGATGACAATACAGGCGAAGGTGATAATGACGGTGTACCGATATGTGGAGATATCCGCCCTCTTGTATCTGCTTTCGCTTCGGCATTTGCATCTTCGTCGTCTTCTGCCGCTGCTGCTGCTGGTGCTGCTTCATATCCCCTGTGATGGTTCGGTGCTTGCGTTTCAATCCCCAGTCCTGTTCGTGTTCCTGCACCCGCACTCCCCCCAGCACTTCCCACTCTGTGCGTCATACTCGCGGCGGAGGAGGGTATCACTGGTCCTCGCGATCCGGAAGCTGTAGCGGAGACTGAACTTGTGGGCGTGACCGGAGAGTCGATTCCAATCTGATATTGAGTCGATCGGGGCATTTGCGACGGTGACCATTGGTAAATAGATGATGGGATGGCTTCTCCTGGCCCTTGCTCCCCCTGTTGCTGTTGTTGGCGATGCTCGATGCTGGATTTAGACCCTAACTTCGCCCCGGCCTGAACCTTTGGCCCTTGCTCACCTCTCGTGGGGAAATTGTAATACTGGCCTACCCAGTTCATGAATCCTGACGTTGAGGCTTGTGGAGACGACGCCGACCTCCGCCTGCCGGTATGAGGGCTTGCGACTAGCTGACCATGCTGATACTGGCTTTCGCGCTGTTGTTGAGCAAACGACTTGGGTTTCGACCTGGGGTGGACCTTGGCTTTGGATCTCCGCGTACGTGGCGAATCGTTGACCCCGTCATAGTCTGAATAACCGCCTGTGTCGTCCTCCTCAGACCATGTACTTGAGGCGCTTTCGCTGTTGTTGCGGCGTTCGTAGAGCTGAGCTGTGTCAGCCATGGAGATAGCTAGACTCTGGGGTATCCCATTCGAGGTCCGGCCGAGCGCATAGTACCGCAACGCGTCCAGCACGTGCGGGAACACCTGAGTGTGGACATCCTGTGCCCACAAGAAATCCAAGTGCTCGTAATGCGGTATCTCGGCCGCGATCGTGTGGCGCGGTAATTCTTTTAGCATGATTCGAATGTCGACCAACGAATCACTCCCACCATAAACCAAGACGATGGGAGTTCTGATGTTGCGCGTAGGAAACTTGGCCACTTTGTAATACCGGTTTCTGGCCCCGATACTGAATTTGCTCGAGGAATCGTCGTCGTACATTTGAAACGACCTATTTCGGATGATTTGGAACCAGTGAACAACTGATTTCGTGCTAGTGAAACTGTACAGATGGGGGTAGGCTGCCAGTTTCTGTTGCAGCGAAATATTTCGGCCATACCAGGCAAAGAGGGAAGATAGAGACATGTCAATCAAACGGACGAATATAGGCGGGTACAGAATGGACTGCCACATGGTGGCCGAAGACAAAATGGACTTTCGACCAAAAGCCAAGAACAAAACGTCCGGACTGGTTTTGATCAAAGAATCCACAATGCCGTTGCTGAGGCCGGCGGGAGCCATGGCCGGGGCCAAAGCAACAAAGAGGTTCACTTTGTCATTGAGGCCTGGATGAATAGATAGACTTGCGAAGGCCTGGGCAGTGCCCTGACTGAACCCAATGTATGACAATGACGTCTGAGACGTCGTATTGAGGACATAATCAATTGTGTTGGGGATGTCATGAAAGGCGAACTCGTCGATCGAAAAGTTCCAGAACTCAGGAGATGTCGGCGATGACCTGGTCGACTTCTTGCTATATTTGTTGCCTCGGTTGTTACCGAGCCAGACGTCGTATCCTTGACTGGCTAGGACGAATGGAAGACATCGTTCTTCTTCCGTGATACAGACCCATACCTCGCTGTTCATAAGGAGACCATGATGCAGATACACCACGGGTTTCTTGATGGAATCTGGCCCAGCGTTGACTCGGACGCCGGTCTCTTCCTCGCCCTTCCGGAATGGCAATCTGTGTACGCCCAGTAGATATCCATCTCCTGTCTGTACAATGTGTTCTTCGGCATAGTATCCCCACGACGCGCAGAGTTCAGTAAAGTCGGAGCATGTTGCGATGGAGCTGTAGATGGATCTTTGTGTCGATCTGGCTTGTCGTGACTTCTGGGAAGACAGTATGTTGAACAGACTCTTAGAGGTGTTATAACAGAAGCGGATGATGGGTTGCGCTGCGGAACATTGGTCAGGGAGAGGATCTGATGGATAGCGAGCTATGACTTACGAAGTCCGAGGGTAATTGCTCGCACCAGGACTTCCAAAGCCACGAGAATGAGTGATCCAAAAAGAGCCAGGTATTCTCGCCTGCATCGACCGTTAGTCCATGGAGCGCCTGTATATCAATGATGGGGTTCCTTACAGAAAGAGCCTGCCAATGAAAGGGACCCGGGCCATTGTGATGGAAAGGGTTCAGAGCAGGTGGATCGACAACGTTGGTGACAGGTAACGACGGCAAGTCAGTTGTACATCGAAAGCCATCGTCGAGGGAATGGAACCCAACAAAGGAGAGGTACCGGGCAGCTGTTCGAATGCATCTGAACAGCACATGCAAATGTACAGGGACCCGATCGAGTGTCCTGCACTGCATGCAATCGAGCTGGAATGCGTCCAATGGCGCCACACGTCACAGCGAGCGTTATTGGTACTAATATTACATAATCCTCTAAGTTGGTTAGCTCATCATCTGTGGAAAGACCCGAACTATTGTCACGTGACAACGGCCTACCTCGCCTATGAATATTTTCTTTCCGCCTTTCGTCTTCCTCTTTTCTTTTCCTTTCTTCATGAACAACGCAAAAACACAACGTTCCTGCAAAAGCGTTCCTACGAGGCTGCTTTACCAGTGCCCATGAAGTACGGAAATCGTCTATTGGAATGGAGATGAATCAACTTGGCCGATCTTGGGTGCAGTGCCAGTCTTGTCCTTTGGATATGACTGGGATTGCAATGATTGGCCGCACATTCTTTTGAACCATCAGACATGCTATAACAATGAAAAAGTACTTACCATATTTCACTATTCTGACTGCACCTTGTCTGCACGTTGCTATTTGGGCAAACTTCGACTACTCGCATTTTGTAGAACATTGGGGTATCATTTTTGTACAGTTATTGAGCAGCTGTTCCTCATGGGAGTTCACAATCAACTCTCTCACAGACTGCTCTGGATCTCCGCTACTTGCTCTCAAGCCATTCTTCGACTCGCTCAACGATGTCGGCCTTTTTGCCCGTCGCCGGGATCTTCTTCGCTGCGCAGAACTCCTTCAGTTGTGCGACGGTCAAATGCCCGAGCTGACCCTTTTGCCATAGCCTTCTAATCTCTTCCTCTCCGGTCTTGTCGCTCGTTTCTGCCTTCACCTTTTTGGTGCTGGCCGTCGAGGTGGCCGCCGAAGCTTTTGTAGGGCGCTTTGATCCTGTCGGGACCGCGTCGGGGTTTTCGGCATGATAATGTTTGTATGCCTTATCTAGTATGCTTCCCCACTCTATGGCTTCATTGCCTACTCTCTTATCGATCTGTTTGTACTTGGGGATCGTCTTGTCCTCTGGCTTTTCCGGAATATCTTCATCAAGGGCCAAGGCTTGGAGGATGCGATAATGCCATTGTAGGCTAGGGTTGGGATACTTGGAAGGATCATAGATGCCTTTGGGTAAATTCAGTTGCTCTGTATTCCATGTTAGCTGCTGTTGAGCCACGTAAAGCACTGGTTTTACACTTACGAATGATATGTCTCATAGCGTCAACGAGTTCGTCTGGCGCAAGCAGAGGGTGCTCGTGTGTCGTGGGTGGATTTTGGCGAACATCATCGGCGAATGGAAGCGGGACTAGGTGCAAGCCTTGCGGTGCGCCCGTCGGCGAGTTCCCGGCAGTGTTCGCCTTCTCGTCAAGGGCCTCGGCAGGAAGGGTAGGGATCATGGCAGCCATGACAGGAACAGCATTCCGTCTTGGTACAAACCAGGTGAGACCGAATAATTTGTCCTTGAGCAATTTCTGATACAAGGCGCTGTACACGCGTGTGCTGCCAACGTAGTCCTCTTCGGAAGGGTAGATGAATGTCGAGTTCTTGATGTTGGCCCAAAGTGGCAATCTTGACATGGGCTTGAATCCAATAATTCTGATGACTGGATCGCCAAAGTTGCGGAGCTGCTTGACCTCTTCGTCGGAAAAGGTGATTTGCTGGCCTCCAAAGGTATATGCCTTGCGTATCTCGGCCTTCTGGATCGGTTTGGAGTTCTCGAACGCGACCTGCTCCGTGTATCCCGTTACAATCTGTGGCCTCTCAGCACCTAGATAGATATAGCAGCTGCGGGCGGGTTTCTGGTGCTTGTACAGTAAATAGCCTTTGACAGAAATCTTTAAATTGGGGGAGAGCTCGAGCGGAACTGAAGAAAATAAGGCGCGTTTCGGTGTGACCTTGGACGCTATATTTGAAAGCAATGATTGTAGCAGAGAGATACCGTCGTTAGAGCCAGCCACGAGCTTTGAGTTACCACCATCGATCATGGCAGGTGGGTTGTATGTAACAGCTGCAGGGTCTGAGGGGGATGACTTGTATATTATGTCGTCGTAGAAAAGTGACGTATCGAAGGAGTGGTCGGGTGTCGAAATGGGGAACAATTCTATGGTCACGCCCAAGTCGTAGAGGTCCTTTGCTCTCACAGTCGCTTGCGACCGGGAACCCTTGTTTGATGAGGCAGGATCGTCATTGTCTGTCACGATGAACAGTCGGCGGGAGGTGAAGTTGGCGGCCTTTTGCTGGAAAATCTGGTTTGCGCAGAACAACACGTTGTGCATCAACACCGGTTCCTTGGATGGCTTGAAAATATCGGCGGATTCGGGGTCCTCGGCCTCGGTCAATGCCTTCAATGCCTTCACGTCGTCGGCTTCCGGCACATCCAAGTCGGTGAGCAGGTAGCAGTGAGGAAAAGACCAGCCGCCTCTGGAGTTCTCGTCTTCATCATAGAACTTGGATGCCTCAGTCCCGTACAGCAAGATACCCATTTTATCACGGGGTGTCGAGATGATGCGTTGCTGCATCAAATGATATGCACATTTCAAAGCGGCCAGTAGCGGGGAGCTCCTGTCGGCCTTTTTAGAGCTAGAAGATGCCGGAGGGACTTTGAGCATAGAGTGGTTCACTTCGATGGCAAAGAGAACTGCATCTTTGACAGTTTTGTAGCCAGTCTCATCAATCTCCTCGTCGTCGTCTTCATTGTCGTCATCTCGAGCGCCACCATCAGGTTCACCTTTCGACCGGAAAGGTAGTTCATCAGCCATTTTGTCTATCGCGCGACAGCATCAGGTTGAAGATATTGAACGTAGACACCAATCGCCACCGAAGGGGCAGCGTGGTAGAATCTGCTTCAAAGTACAACGGTTCAACAGGTAGCGTCTGGAGCAGTGGTGACAACAGTGATAGTACAAGAAGGCAGCCAATTCGCGTGGGGGACGCGACACGCGAGATCACGTGAGCGGCTCAAGTGCTATCAGCAGCGAAAAGTGATTGGCGGGCGGTGTCTTACTAATGTCTGTGATCTGGGGAGCCGGAGTCGGCCTCTGGAATCGCTGTCATTCAATCGCCGGGACTTGAATGGCCACTTTTTGCCAGCGTCATCGTTTTTGCTGACTTCGGAGTTTCCGTAACACGGCCAGAACTCGAGCATGTTTTCAGCGGCAAACCTGAACCTCAACCTCAGCGAGTCTGAGGCATTATAACGACCACCATTTGTTCTTACACCCCTTCCTCAGTTGTTCGCCTGCGCTGTCTTGATCACCTCGACGCCGCATCCCCGAGTCCCAACTTTCGCATTGGATGTTGATGGGCTGGTAGAAGATTCGGTTGAGACCCCATTATCTATCTCCCTTCCACAATGTCGATACGCACGTCGGCCTCGCACCTCAGTCATCACCTCCTGCCGTCTCGGCATCTTCCTAATCTCCGATGTACACCTCATGTCTTAAATCCGTATGGCGTTCAGAAGTCATGTATGGCGACAGCTGCGCCCAGCGCAAGCGAGAAGACTCCAGATTACGGACGGATTGAGAAGAAGGGGCCGACAGCAATGGTATTCCTAAACATGGGCGGGCCATCCACTACGGACGAAGTAGGCGATTTCCTCAGCCGACTATTCGCAGACGGCGACCTGATCCCGCTGGGTCGGCTGCAAGGGTATCTGGGCCCGTTGATATCGCGCCGAAGGACGCCCAAGATCCAACAACAATACGCCGAGATTGGCGGGGGCTCCCCTATCCGCAAATGGTCAGAATACCAATGCGCGGAGATGTGCAAGATCCTGGACAGGGTATCACCGGAGACGGCACCACACAAGCCGTACGTGGCATTTCGGTACGCGGACCCTCTGACCGAACACATGTACGAACAACTTCTGCGGGACGGCTTTGGCAACGGCAACGGCGGGCGTGCGGTCGCCTTCACGCAGTATCCGCAATACAGCTGCTCGACGACGGGAAGCTCGCTGAACGAGCTGTGGAAATGGCGGAACAGACTCGAAGGCAAACGCGCCACGGGGGAAGCCCAACCGCCCGGCGCCATCACATGGAGCGTGATCGACCGGTGGCCGACACACCCAGGTCTGGTCGAGGCGTTTGCGCAGAACATTGAAGCCAGACTGGCAGAGTACCCGGAGGAGCGGCGGAAGGACGTCGTCCTCCTGTTTTCCGCCCACAGTTTGCCCATGAGCGTCGTCAACCGCGGGGACCCATACCCGGCCGAGGTGGCCGCGACCGTCTATGCTGTCATGCAGAGGCTCAAGTTTTCCAACCCTTATCGTCTGTGCTGGCAGTCTCAGGTCGGCCCGTCCGCCTGGCTCGGCGCCCAGACCAGCGACACCGTACGGTCTTATGTCGAACGCGGCCACACCGATCTGGTCCTGGTCCCCATCGCCTTTACCAGCGACCACATCGAGACCCTCTACGAGTTGGACAAGGAGGTTTTGCACGAGGACGCAAAGGGCCATCCCGGCGTCAAGCGCGCAGAGTCTCTTAACGGGAGCCCTGTCTTCATTCAGGCTCTGGCCGACATTGCTCTCGCCCACTTGAATAGCGGTGAGAGCTGTTCGAGACAGATGGGCTTGAGGTGTCAGGGCTGTAAGAGCGACCGCTGCCTCGAGCAGAAAAGGTTCTTTGCTGGCCAGCAGGCAAATCTTCTGCCCACTGTACGATAGTTACCCATTAGAAGTGATTCCAACAGCCACAATGGCGGCCTGAGTGAAGGGACTGTATTGATCTGGCCTGCTATGGGGGCTGTATTGTCTCTTACTGCTTTGTACAAGTACTGGGCATGGCGTTACTGGCTGGCGTGTCATGACATGATTGTTCCTCTCCTCTTCCCTGCTTTCAGGCCCTTTTTGCCTTCAAGTTTGGCTTGTACTGTCCTTACAAATCACCATTCCTTCGAATGAATAGCTCCTCGCCGCATTGCAAGTCACTTGCTGCTGGTGTTTCCGGATAGAGGCGCCCGGCCACAAGCAGGCATGCAGAATGCGTTGTGATTGATTGTATTTCCATGCCAGGCCTCAGCCAGGTTGTGTTTCGGCCTAACCTCTCACTTCATCAGCCATGTACCTTACGCCGACTATGCCGCCAAAACTACCAATCTAGCTAGCCTAGCCTTAGCTTTACTTTGACTGAATTATACGATGGTTATGTCGGCACCTACTCGTACGTAGGTAGATGCTGCCACGACGATGACGAGAATCAGGCGGAAAGGGGAATGCAGAAAACAGAAGACAAGTCACAGCACCTGAAAAAGGGTCTTCTTTCTTTTCTCTTTCTCTCGCAAAAAATTCCAGCTCTCTCTCGCATGCAATTCATTTCTTGGAAAGATCCATCCCATTCCATCCAGCGTGTCCCATGAATCATCATCGTAAAAGCAAGATCTTTCCTCGCTTTTCTCTTGCGCGCTGCTGGCACAGTTCTCGGATAGCAGCACCGCTTTTTTCGTTCTTTTCGAGCAGCTTTGCCCTCCGCTCGTCTCAGTCCAGCTCGAGAGATTGTTATCGCAGAATGTGGGGATCGGATTGACGCTCGCTTTTCTAGCTCTTGTTGAGACCGCCCAGGTTCATGATCTTCGCACGCATCATCCTTGATCCTTCCTCAACCAAATGCATTTCTTTGTCACCCACTAAAAAGCGACATGCCCCGAATACCATCCTTTCACAGTGTTGGCTCTGGTTGGATAAACGCGGCCGGCTCCCTCCACTTCAGTCGCATATCACGTTCTGGTAGTTTTTTGGCCTTCAATAAGCTGCAGCGGCGCATAAGGGTCCATCGCATATCCAAGTGGATGGGCGGACTCCAGCGCACACAAAGGGACACGGTGGAACACCTCTCGACGGGTAGTTTCAAGTGTCACCAGTACATTCACCAACTCCACACCGAAGGCAAAAAGAAATAAACGACAAGGCCATGCTCTTTCAAAATCGCATGGCCCTGGCTGTCGCGTCAAGCTTATTGCCGACCTTTCTCTCGCCACTTGAGCAGCTCACTAAGGCTGGCCAAGCTGCATCCCATTCGCATAAAGTCGTTCCGCAATAATTCGTCAGCGCTGGCGCGGCTTCTAACATCGACACACAGACAAACGCTCAGAAATGCTTTGAGTTCTCGCGAGAGCTTATTGGGGTTCTTCAATCGAGGAGTGCCGTTGGTGGCAATCAGAAATAGCGCCTTCAACGGCTCCTCGTTCAGATAGGGTGGTTCGGATTCAATCATCTCGATAGCCATGATACCCAGGGACCAGATGTCGACTTTGGGTCCGTACTCTTTCTGCTTGACCACCTCGGGCGCCATCCAGTATGGTGTGCCCACCATGGTTGCACGCTTGCTCTTCGACTCGGTAAGCTTAGCACAGAAGCCAAAATCAGCTAGACAATAAATTAGCAATCACAATCACAGTTTAGTCTCCAGAATAACTCACTGATTTTGACATTTCCAACCCGATCGAGCAACACATTGTCGCTCTTAATGTCTCGGTGGATAATGTCTTGAGAATGCAAATGGGCCAGACCCTTGCAAGTCTCATAACAAATGGTGGCAATCTGGTCTTCTGTGATGACGGGGTTGTTGTCGATGATATCGGTGAGTGCGCCACCTTCCATGAACTCCATCACCACCCAAAGCTCATTGTTCTGCTCTTGCAGAAAAGAATCCAGGAAGTTGACAATATTCGGGTGCTTCGAATCTTTCATGACAATGATTTCGTTGACAATGAGCTCTTTGCGTGGTTGGTTACGGAGATCCATCTGTTTGATAGCAACCTGACCTTTGGGCCCATGGGTGCGGTAGATTTCCCGCGCAACAGGTGACGTGGCGCTCTCTTTGACTCGAGCAACATAAACCGAACCAGAGGCTCCCTGTCCGATTTTCTTCTGCTTGCTGTAAGAGTCCATCGGATTGTCTTTCGAGACAACCTGCTTCAGCTTGGCCATAACCTCGCTTTCGCTCATGCTTGACATACGAACCTCCTTTGCCCGTTCCTCAACCGGCTTCTTCGCAGTCAAAGCTATCTCCGCTTCCTTGCGTGGATCATTCGTGGGTTTGGCCTGAGCTTGCTTTGCAACGTTCAGAGGCTTTGGCTGTTGTACAGATCCCGGCACGCGGCTTGGGACTTGCCCATTGACACCATTGGCATGCTGCTTCAAAGCGGTGTCTTTGCGGGGTGCGTCCCTCTCTGGTTGATATCGGGCGTTCGGAGAAGGCTGTCGGTCCCGGTCTCTGTTCTCTGGGGAGCGTAGAGAGTTCTGAGCTGGCGAGGAAGATTGAGGGATGGACTTTTGGGAGTTGCTCGTCGGCGCGGATGGCGCGGGTCGTTGTGCAATCGGCTGTTGTCGGAGAGTGTTTGAGGGTGATTGCTGGGGGGCACTTGGAGCAGCTCTGGCAGGATTGTATCGCGGGTCTTGTCGAGTTGGAGTACGTTCGGAGGAACCGGCGCCATACCCTCCAAGCTCCTGTTTAGCCAACGGTGGTCGAGTCTTGGGCAGGGAGGCGTTGTATGCTTCTTGTTCTCGACGATTCCGCTCCGCTTCTTCCCGCTCTTGTTCTCGCTGTCTCTCCATGTCCCGAGCTCGTTTGGCCTCCGCCTCTGCCTGCAAGCGCTTTTGTTCTTGCATGGCGATCTCCTTGATCCGCGCAGCATCCGCCTCCATGTCATAGGCTCCTTTATCAGTCTGGGCGCGTTGCAACTGCGGCTTCAAAGGTGGCGTGCCCGATCGTCCCTGGCCATCGTTGTACTTGTTCATGAATTGATTCGCATTGTATCGCTGTGCATCTGTCGGCGGTGCCGGTCTCGGCGGGGCAACACTGTTACCGCCCACGGGATAGCCAAGCTGCTTGTTGGGTTGCGCCGCTGGCGGAGTGACCATGCCGTGGGAGTACATCTCCGGATGTTGTTCCCGCATCTTCTGGTCCGAAACAAACTGTAGTACTTCAATGACCGCCTGCGGGTTCTTCTTGTAATCATCTTTGGTAATGGCCGAGTTGTTCAACAACTTCGCCCACTCTTGAGGTAGCCCGGTGAAACCGCCAGTTTGTGGGTCGAAGCCAACATGGATGCGATGACTGAAATTCGTAGGATTACTGACACCACCCATGCCTGGGCATCTTTCATAGATCTTGTCGATCCAGTCGTAGATTTCATCGTCATTGTGGACTTCGCAGATGATGGTCTTGGTGGGTAAATCGCGGTTCATGATGATCTTGCCATTGGCTTCTTTGGGATTGGAGACTCGGGTGATTTCGAAAGCCATACGGACTTCCTCTGATCGGGTGACTCCGGTGATTGTGTTCAATGCAATCGTCTGCATGACCTTGCCATTCTCATTTTTGAGGAAGTCCAGTCTAAATTCGCGGAGAATTAGGTAGCGTTGGTTCCACTGTGCTAGAAACTTGTCTTCTTTGCAGCGCACATGGCCTTCTTTGATGATTGTGATTGAACCTGAGGTTTTCCCGGTGGTTGACAGTGACAGAGAACTCCCATTTGAGAAGAACGGCGCGTTGGGGGTACTGATCGCAGGCGAGGAGGGGGCGCCATAAGACATGGTGTCGAAGGTGGTCGTGGCCAGCGTGGTGTTGGAACGTTGCAAATCGATGTGTCGAGGCCTATCAGTAGGAGGACGAGGAGCGGGACCTGGATTCATGAATTGACCTGCGCTGTAGAAGCTGGTGGAGTGTTAGTTGTGATTCAGGCAAAACATAGATCGATTGGGTATGTGGCTGCATAGTGTGTGACTTTGGAGTCGAGTTGCACACAATACTCACCCATTCTCCTGGCTTGCCGCCATTGTCTGAATTTGTCAAAGCAAACTGTACAGGATATGCTTGAAATCCGCGGGATGGGACGACCGAGGAGCGGGATGGTGCTCAGCGATGAGAGACTGTCGGCCGTGCGAAGTCAAGCCAGGACAGCATGCGTGCGGCGGTGGAGGCGAAGAGTGGAGGAAGAGGAATGGAATCGAGAGGTTGTCCTGTAGTCAGGACGTCGCAAGAGTCTTTGCAGGTTGAGTCTAGGACCGTGCAGTCTGTCAGTCGCGAAGATGTCGATCTATGACTGCGGTGGTCCGTTGTTGGTGGTGAATGTGAGGTGACAGAGATAACCCAATCACTTCAACCTCAGGCTCGGACTCGTCTGTGCCCTTGGAGAGGGGAGCAGGTAACTGTACAAACTCGGGTTGCTTTAATGACAGGATAGAGTGAGGACCGACAAGGGCTATGTTGAGAGTGGTTGCGGAACGGTAGATGAGCCTAGTAGTCAGGCTGAGACGATGGAGGATAGCGGTGATAAACCTGGCAGGTCACGGTCAACTTCAAGTTGTGTGGTACTTTGGAGTTGATGGTAGTACTACTTCGGTACCATGGCTGGAAAGGAGATGGTGGTGGACAAGTAGTAGCAATTACGGCTCCTAGTGGTGGGAAGTGGTCGTGTAGTAGTACTAGCAGCACTAGCTGGGTACAGAGAGCTGCCAACAGGCGTTGCTGTTGGTGGGTTCCCGGCGGCTAGGGGTGCCGGTCTTGCTGGGGACTTTGAACGGACTTTGGGGGCTCTTTTAGGGGGGCCAGTTGATGGCCGACAGTCACTGTTCCACAGGTGGCCACGCCTACAGTACAGCATCACTGGTCCCCTGGGCATTGGAGCTTTCCTCCCGACAAGGGCTCTGTGTATGGTGTGCACTTCGACACCCAACATATCTAAGTTCGGATCTGGGACTCAAATCTGAGCCGTTCCATTATTGTCCTTCGATTGCTGGCTGCATCAGTCGGGCATCTGAAACGCTCGCAGATATATTGAGAATTCGCCGAAAAGACCAGGGAGAGACGCATCTACACCCTCCTGTGCCGTGTCTGTCGATAGCATCTTCCGGCAACACCCCCCTCTCGTGCAATCCCCAGGGCATATGAATCCAAGCCTCGATCCACGAATCAAATTATTGCGATCGCTAGTTAGATGGAATCTTTCTCTTCTAGAAGTCGAATCTGAAACAACACCACGTTGTGTTCACCCATGATGGTCAAGCGTTAGCTGTTTCGGAAGTACGATGTAGACGCTGACCGGCCCGTGGGCGTTGGGCCGCCACCATTTCGCCTTCTCAGGGGTTCAACATCGATTTTCCTGCCAGACTGTTTCCTGTCTGACAGGACTTAATGATTCGTTCATTTCCGCAGCACCAACTTGATCGTGATGTCCTGTGTCAGTCATATCCATATGGCATCCCCCTTTGACTGTCTTCTGATGGCGACGCGTGATTGCAGAAGGCAGATGAAGCAGCATGTCGAACCGAACGATGTACCTGCCAAGATACTTCCAGCCCTCTCACCAAATAAGTTTGTATCAAGCTCTTGTGTACATTATCATTTTTTGGTTAGAAGTTATTCTCTAGAAGAAATATGGGCTGCCAGTAGCTTGAGGTACATCTGCATACCAACCTTGGAAGTGAGGGCTGTGCGCGTGGCATTCACATGCATTTCAGCACCGCGAATGAAAGACAAGGCTGGGAACCGACGACATGACAAGGCTGAGCGGCTTGGCCAATGATGTCAACAGCTGAAGACTGTTGCTGGACCCTTTCACTCCGGCTTCAAGCGTCCCGGCAAAATAATTTCTAAGCATTTTCGCCCGGAAGATCAACAACTGAAGATCAGTTTCACAATCCCTTCAAACGCACGCACTGTCGCACCCTCACATAGAACCAACCTGCGGCGTTTCCCTTCCATCCCCCCGCCCTATTGTCTACGACAATTTCACAGACCAACACACATTAACCCCACCTATCATGTCTACATCCGAACCGCATGAGATTCCGGAGGGGCTGGAACAGGACGATCTCCTAGACGCCGAGGAAGCCGACGAAGAGATTGTCAAGGATGATGACCACCCTATGGAGGAGGACGATGAAGACTTTGAAGATGAGGAGATACAATTGCAAAACGATTCTGTCGCACACTTCGACGCTCATACAGATAGCATCTTCTGTATCGCGCAACACCCCGCAAACCCATCCATCGTAATCACCGGAGGCGGCGACGATGTTGCCTATATCTTTGACACTTCGATCGCACAAACGGCCACTTCCCAACCTCAAGGCGAACGGAAGAGCCTCGCGCCCCTTCAGAAACTCGACGGTCACACCGACTCGGTCAATGCCGTAACATTTACACTCCCACGGGGTGAGTATGTCGTGACGGCCGGTCTGGACGGGAAGCTGCGGGCATGGAAGAGTGAGGACGCTTCAGCACAAAAGTGGGCATTCATTGCGGAAGCTTCAGAAGTTCAAGAAATCAACTGGGTGGCCGCATCGCCGAATACCGAGCACGAGAATGTTGTTGCTCTAGGTGCCAATGATGGTTCTGTCTGGGTATACCAGATTAATGCGGCCGACTCGGGCAGCCCATTGACAATAGTCCAAGCCTACTACTTACACACCGAATCCTGCACAGCGGGTGCATGGACACCGGATGGTACTCTCCTGGCAACTGTGGCCGAAGATGGAAGTCTGTATGTCTGGGACGTCTTCTCAACTGGTCAGGCGGTTGTGACCTGCACAGCTGCTGACGCACGGTTCGAAGTCGAGGGTGGACTTTACAGTGTGGCATGCACCTCATCTATCGTCGCTGTTGGTGGCGCCGGCGGAAATATCAAAGTGGTTGGTCTGCCACAGCCAGCCGATCATGCAAAGAAAAATGCAAAGGGCGCCGGTGCGTCTCGTCAACAAGCCTCGTCTGCAGGCCAGTTGCTGGCCTCGTTACAAGCACAGACTGATGGTGTCGAGACTCTGTCATTCTCGTCTCCACCGCTCACCATCCTGGCTGCAGGCAGTGTCGACGGCTCCATCGCTTTGTTCGATACAGCGCATCGTTTTGCCCTACGCCGACATATTAAGGAGGCACATGAAGATTATGCGGTGGTCAAAGTCGACTTTGTGCGCAACCCGCAACGTGGAGGCTGGCTGCTGACCAGTGCGGGAATGGATGGGGTATTGAGGCGGTGGGATGTCCGCGGGGGAACCACTGCAGCAGGACAAGGCTTTCTACAGGAATGGAGAGGCCATAGAGGAGAAGGTGAAGGCGGTGGAATTCTGGGCTTTGTACAAGGAGGGGGCGGCTCCAGGATTGTCACAGCGGGTGATGATGGTGTAGCATTGGTCTTCCGAGCAGAGATCGCATAAACGCAGTCCTGCCACTCTTTTCGCACCTACAATGTTGTAACATTGTATGGAGACATTATAATGCTGTGCTCATTACTATGTGGCCATTCAATCAACAAACTTGTTGGACCAGGGGAAGCTGAGGAGTGGGAAAGCTACAGGCCCCGAGGGGTGGACTGAGAGCTTTCCCACTACGTTTCCCCCTCCTTTTTCAAACCAGATCGCTAATTGTATAACTTTGACAATAAGCGGAAGTGACATGATAGTCTGGTGATGCGCATGTTGAGATGGTGTGTGCTGTTTGAGCGATGGAAGATGAACGAATGTTGCGCCCGGGGATAAGATACGTTTAACACCGTGGAGAGCGTAGCCTTGTGCAACGCTGACCACAAGGCTGGCAATGGCTGACATTCATACGCAGGATGCCACCACAGGTCCCCGGGGAATTTGACCTTCCAACTAGTGGTTCTTCTCCGATCGCCCAGGGATGCTTGCATTTCACCCCCTGCATAGCCAGGACATTGTCCTTTCTAAAGATTGATTACTTTACAATGGCGGTGATTGTCCGAGCAGCCTTTACGGTCATCCCCCGGAGATAGCATCCAGAGTTTATTTCGCAGACGACCATGGTGGCGGGGATGTAGATTACATCGGCCGAGAAGGATCATTAAGACAGAGATAAGTATGGACAGGTTCAACACTTCTTTCCCTCTGCCAAAGTGCGCCTTCCTGGTAATTGCGAGACTGATACCAAGCTTCTCGCCTTCTGTAACGCAGAGCATCGACTGCTACTCTTACAAGCACGACCATACAGACTGACCCTGTTTAAGACCCCCCTGACTTGAACCTGCCAACATGTCTCCAGTACGCCGCTTCACAAACAAACTGACTGGTCAGCGAGTCGTCCTGGTTGGCGGCACAGGGGGTGTTGGCATCAGCGTTGCCCAAGCGCTGCTGGAGCACGGCGCCACCATCATCCTTTCTTCTTCACGGGAGGCAAAGGTCAAAGACACCTGTGCTGCATTAGAGAACGACTTTCCTGAAGCCAAGGACAGAGTGTCAGGGTACGCGTGCGACCTGGCCAGCTCGGACGTCGAATCCAACATTGAAGAATTGTTCCAGAAAGTCGGAAATGTCGATCATATCGTCTACATGGCGGGGGACCGCTTGCCCATGGTTCCGCTGGAGGACGTGACATTGGAAAAATGGCAGAAATGCAACCAAGTCCGGACCATCGCAGCAATTCTCGTCGCCAAAGTCGGGGTGAGGTATATGAAGAAAGACCGTCACTCGTCCATCGTCATAACGGGCGGTTCTATCTCCGAGAAACCAATTGCTGGCGGATGGTCTATGCTGGCACTGATGGGTGCCGGTCTCAATGGGTTGGGAAGACAGCTTGCGTTTGACTTGGCCCCCATTAGAGTCAATGTGGTTGCGCCAGGTGTCATCGAGACGGACTTGTGGCAGGGCATGGGCGAGGAAGGCAAAAAAGCCTTCTTTGCACAGCATGAGAGTACCATCCCTACCGGGAAAGTTGGGCAACCAGTCGATTTGGCCGAGGCATACCTTTATTGCCTCAAGGACGCCAATGCGACAGGGATAGTCATCCACTCGAACAGTGGGACTTTTCTGGTATGATTCACGGGAAGGAAGGATGGAGGGATGAGCTGCCTTCACTTTCACCAGGAAGCTGCTTGATGGTCTCAATGTGCTGGAAACACGATTATTGGCGGCGGGATAATAGGCACTGCTAGATACTAGTATACGATGTTAGGTAAATAAAAATATCTACTTTGGCCCTGACTCCGACTCCTTTCTTCCCGGAGCCTCGTTGGCCTGTCAACAGCCTTGTCGGTCGCCGAACCTGGCTAGTCTAATTAGTGCTGCTTAGTAAGAAGCTTACATTGATGAACATGGTGCCACGGGGCTGTGGTGCCATGCCATTGCTTACTATCCTCAACTTGAACATCAATGCTGTCTCTCTTTGTTCCCCGGACTTTTCAACCCATCTGCTAATACTTCGACTTCTAGTTCTGGCCGTGTGAAGAAGATCTCGACGAGATCACAGCTACACGGCCTAGACCAAGTGCCCAGCAAGGCTCAACTTGATCGGAGATTCACTTGAGGAACACACATTGAACACCACTCAGAAATACTGTGCTTTGAAGCCGAATCTGCGAGGAGACTGAGCAAGACATCTTCCACGAACGAGACGCAGCCGCCAGAAAAAGCAACAGGGAGACAGTTCGACTCAGTATTCCACCTGCTTTATTGACTCCCTCGCCACCAAGGAGGACCGGGAAAGTCAAGCGAGTCAGGACCACCCGACTGTCTGTCGGCGGTGTCATCTCTGGAATCCTAATAAATGCCACTCGACTGAGGTACATTTTCAAATCGAGTTTCACTCAGGCCTTGGGGGGGCGCGACGGAAGCGATAAACCGCCCCGGCAGCAACGAAGATGGCAACAATGGCGTCGTCCACCGGCACCGGCACCGGCACCACCACCACCACCTCGGTCAATTCGACACGCATCATACCGGCATCCACGCGGCCCACACACTCAAGCACAGGATCACTGCTCCCAGCTCTCCTATGCCTCCACGGCGCCGGGTCGAACGCAACCGTATCCAAGATCCAAATGCGCCGACTGATATGGACGCTAGAGAAACAATTCCGCTTCGTGTTTGCCGAGGCACCTACGGAAGGCGATCCCGGATTCGGCATGTTGCCCGTATTCGAGTCGTGCGCGCCCTTCTACCGCTGGGTCAGTCGGCGGTTCACGCTGGGCGAGAGCGACGTGGAACCCACGCCCGCACACGAGGTGGCGGCCATTGACGACGCGCTTCGAAAAGTCATGGACGCCAATGGCGGCGTCGAGTCGTTTAAGGGTGTCATCGGGTTCAGCCAGGGCGCTAGAGTGGCGGCGGGTTTGTTGTTGAGACAGAAGAAGAACGAACAGCAGCAACAGCACCAGCAACAGCAGGGACCACGTTCAGGGTTGTTAGATACAAATTTTGCTTTTGGCGTCTTTCTAGGCGGTCCATACCCGCCCATCACGCTCGCGGAACACGCCGACCCTAAAGACTATGACTTGCTCAAGACGATTCCGACCGTCCATGCTTGGGGCCGCGACGACCAGTTTAAAAAGGGTTGTGTGGAGCTGGCCAAAGCGTGCGAGAGCGATCATTGCTTCACGATGGAATATGAGGGCGGTCACCACTTTCCTCTCAAGGATGTCGAGGCTAAGGATCTGTGCGATCTGATCATGGCCGCGTGGTATGCTGGTGGAGGCCAGTTTGGCGTCGCCGCGGACGAGAGATACTAACGGGCCACACGATGGGCGATACACATTTTTTGGCGGTGGGAAGGAGATGCGGCGGGCATAAAAGTAGGTAGCTTCGAGCGAGGGATGCGAGGATGAACGGTCAAGGTGCCCAAAGGAGCATGATGTCTCGACGAGTTCGGTTGCGGTGAATGACCGATACCCGATACCGGATTGGATCTATCGATCCTCCCTCTGTTTCGGACGACTTGTTCCGGTCCAAACCTACTGATGGGCCGCGCTTTGGTTTCGACCGATCAAACAAGATACAAACCTCCCTCGTAATAGTCAGTACTGTCCTACATTAACTGTCGACCCGGCAGGCCGACAGACAAACCAATCGGCAGATCGACTGGCTACAAACTCATAGATAGACTGTTGGCCCGAGCCTTCACGAATGGAGTCAGACATAGAGATATATTAGTACCCGGAAAGAGGACAGCCTGCTCAAAAGAGAAAACGGAAACGAAAATAGATGAGACAATAAAAAAAGAAGCAACCAAGGAAGTCAACTTCACCTGGATCTTGTTAGATCAAGCTTGTTGTATTATCATCATCGTCATTGCCAATGCCGACCCCAGCACACAGCAACTATACAATATGTAAAACCCCTAGGTCATCCCTACTAGTAGTAGTATGTTCGGCACCCTCCATGACAACTATATACCATAGGAGTTCAATCGATTGGAACCCATCAATGAACCATTCATTTGTTCCTTTGCCCATTTTTTATGACGCCGCCTTCGTCGGTGACGCATGATATTTCGCCGCGGCCTCCCGCAGCGCCAATTCCCAAGGCCGCCATTTCGGAAACTCAAAGGTGTCATGGACATAATGCGGCGAGCGGAGCCTTGTCCACCATAATCTCCGTCCCAAATAAAACATTTCCGGCGTGAGCATTTTCGACTCATTACTAGAGTATCTGTTCTTGTTCTTGTGGTGATGCCATTGCATCCCCTTAGAGGTGTTGTCCGTTTTGACCACCATTTCGGCGCCGGCGCCAGACCCTCCAAGACAAATACAAGTGACGATGTTGAGACAGAAAGAAAAGTCCAATGTCCATTGGATATGTCGGGCGGAGTCGACGACCGCCCATAATGCCGTCGAAGCGGCTTTGACGGACCCGACGGTCGTGACGATTTGGAGCCATTTAACAAAAAAGTCATTGTCAAAGGGGACGCCATGCATGCCTTGGACGTAGTCGCTGTCGTACACTTCCTCGATTAGAGTTAGTGCGTCCATGGGGTTTTGTGGTGCGAATCTGTCCACGACATGTTTTAGTAGGGAATGGTCAATACCCAAGCCTTGCTTGGCTCGCGTTGCGTAGTGATTCATGACGGCTGTCGATACATCTTCGTACCTCGGAGGCGACTTGTGCTGTGTGAGGACGTCGGCAAAGGCCGAGTTGATCATGGCTGGGGAAGATTTCGTCTTGCCAGATAATGATGACGACGGCGATAGCCTGGGCGGTCGTCTACTCTGATTGTCGGCAGTGGGTGTCCCCTCGGACGTGATGGGCTCTTCGCCTTCCACGACTTCGTACGGCAAATCTGCCATAAAGACATCTCCTCGGAAGACTCTGGTGAGCTCCTCAACCGCGTCGAGTTGCATGGCCAAGTCTTGTTTCAGCCTATCTTGATCCATCGGCGCGCCAATTTGGCTTTCTGTAGCACAAAATCGTCGAGCTTCTTGGAGCAGTTGGTTCATCGTCATCAAAGGCACACCGTCGGCCGAAAACAGCGCCTGAGAATCTAGGGCTGAAGCGGCCTCTAGACGATGACTCAAGTCCAGCTTCACCAGATCCGCCAGTAAAGGCCTGAGATAATGAGGAAATGGATCGTCGTAACATCCATGGGCGATCGCCCGGCATGTGTCCGTAATATCCCTGCAGCTGGCACCGGCCTCTTGCAGGGCATGTGCGAGCTGCCAGGCACCCTGCGCAGTCATGAACCCTGAGGTCAACCTGGGGAATGCTTCGGTGACGAGACGAGTCCACTCAAACACCAAGTCGTACCGATGTTCTCGAATACAAGCGCATACCACTGTTCTTGATATCCGGCCGGTGGGTATTAATCCCGTGTATTTGATGGCGTTGATCGTGAATCCAAAGGCTCGGTGTGCCGTGTTCTTGGACAGATATTGCACCAACATTCGATGAAACACCGCGGCATATTGCTCTGGCTGATGCCTGGAATAGCCAGTCTCCTGCATTCGATCCAGAATCCATTGTGCTTCTTCCCAATTTCCCTGGGCGGCATTCCAGACGGCATACTCGCCCCAAAGGCGCCGAAGACTGCGGCCTTCAAAAGACAATTGCAACTCGTCTATAAGTGTCCGCGCGGCTTCGGTGTCCCCTTGGAAAACGACTGCTCGGAGAACAGGCATGGCCAAGTTTTCACTCCGTTCTAACCCGCGCTCCTTTGCAAGTTTGATGAGTTTGGCCATCTCTGCCACCCGAATCGAATAGTCCTGGTTGAGCTGACAGAACAGGGACAGATACTTGGCGCCCAGTTCGTAAGTTGCATCCGTCACATGGTACCTACCACTCACATTCCCGAACAGGATCTCTTGAGCACGCGCATAGCTTGTTTCTGTAGAGAGCATATGTCTGAGGAGATCATAAACTGGTCGACAGAATATCTCATCCACGTCAAACAGACCACGACCTGCGTGAAAGACTGCCTCCGCCGTAAACCAATCGGGCTCTGGGTCTGCTTCGACAAGATGTCTCATGACGGCAGCAAATCGGCGATATTGTATCGGCTTACTCAACTGGCCAGTTGGTGGACGTATGAATGCCACCAGATGGGACAGTATCTCGGGAGTAATCGTATGTGTGGCATGTCCGACCATCGGAGACGTGGAAGATGATGAAGGTTTTGATGAAGCTGTCCCATTTGCTCTCAACAGGTGCTCCTTCAGGGCTTGCTCGACTACTTCGTCAGCCTCACCCATAATCAGGTGGTGGGGGATCGAAAAGTCCCCAAGTTGACCTTCGAACCCTGCGCTCTGAGTTCGAGTCAACTCTTTAAGGTCAATATCATCCGGCCATGCTGGATCGACACCATCTCCCAAAGGAGACTGTGTCTCGAAACCGGACCGCGACGAGAAAAGCAGAGGCGTCCACTGCAACCCATGGCCCTGTGCCTTTGGTGAGTTGTGAGCATTTTGTGCAGCATCTGAGGGACGAGGATTTCGGTGCTTAGAGGCACCCGCTCGATGCACAGAGGCCCCACTCAACTGGCCCTTGTTCGGAGGAACGCTCCCCGGAGATGAAGAATGGAGATGAGCCTGGAGGTGGCTCGATCCTCCTGAGGGTATTTTCTTGATTGGTACAGTCCAGCTGTCTGGGTTGTTGTCTTCAATTTGAGGTACCGCTGTTCCACTCGTATCAGAGCTGTGTGAACCGGAGAGATGTGGAGGCGACCGCCGGGGGTGATCACGGCGTATGTCGGAAGAGTCTCTAGCTGGAGCAGTATCCGATGACTGTGAATGCTGACTCGACGAAATACCCTCAAGTACACTGCTGGTATTGACCGAGTCAGTCTTGAGCATATTATCGGTGTGGCTATGACCACGATCAAGCTCAGCTGCAGAGCTAGAACCTGCGCTCCGCCAAGCAGTCGAACTTGTACCCTCATGTTCAGCTGGACCTTGAGATAGCCACTTTTCAACACATCCAGGAAGACTCTCGGCCTCATGTTGCCCACTAGGTATCGTCTGTTCTTCAGCACGGCGAGTCGAGATGCTATGCTGAGGTGAGATATTGTGGCGCTTTCCGTCGTCGCCCGACATGAAAATCTTTCTGAATCTCAACCTCGTCCTCCGCTGAGAAGCGGTAGAGGTATCTTCCACAACCTGGCTCTCACCAACTTGCAGGTCTGATTCGCGACCGCCAACCCGGCGTCCTCCAGCTGGACCAGCATCATCATGCTCGACACCACCAACAGCTCTGGCCAGAGAAGAAGAACTGTCCGCACTGTCCAAGTCCCGAGGCACAGAGGCTGCGGTCGACATATCCCTATACTGCTCTCCCGGGCCCTTTCTTCTCCTGCTTCTCCTGCTGCCTCCTCGCGACCCCAAAGTAAAGTCATCCCCTCGTTCCGCAGCCTCAAACAGGGCGTCGAGATGCGCGGCGCCTCTTCCGCTGGACACGGACCTCAGGACTCGCTTGGTCTCGACAATCCGCTCCGCCACACGTACTCGGCGACAAGTCTCGTAGTTCAGCGCGGCAATACCGCATATGCTTCCAACCGTGCCGACAAGGATCGAAGGATTCGACAAGGCCAGATGGCGCAGAGCTCGGAGGGCATTTTTCGAGGGAACCAGGCTCGTCGGAGGCGTCATATCATACTACTGCCACTACTTGTAGGACTAGTAGTAGGGGCGGTCATCTCATCTCTTGCTGGCTGCTGTTCTTGCACGCTATTGTGAGGTGACGAGGCGGGCTCGGGGGGAGGTGCTCGACAGTGGAAGAGGGCACAGAAAGCTATCGTCCGTCAAAGCCGGCCGGGGAGATTTCTATAGTGCTTTGACCTGAGGACGGAGGTACTAGTACCTGGTACCTAATATAAGCGGCGCAGTGCTGAAGTATTGTGAATGCACTGGTAATAAAGTAATCCTCAATGGCTGCAATGTCATGCAACTTGAACCTCGACACGCAGATTTGGTCTTCTCATGTTCTCCACTGTGAGTGGTCCATGTTGTAGCGAGACGCCGAGTCGGCCATGTCTCTTCTTGCCAAGAGGTAGCCAATCGCCGCCAACTGCAGTCACGGTTTAGCCCGCTTCAAGTTGCGGCCTACAAATTGAACGTAGCACAACATTATTATACGCGGAGGGTGTTCAGCGATGAGATAGTCACTTGCTACTGGAAACGACCGCCCAGACAAATACAAGCGTGAAATAGGGTCGCTTCCACTGCGATCACCCAGCATTGTCTACATCTACAGCTATTCCAATCGAAGCGACACACTCCTGCAGGAGCTTTCAGATATACGCGTTCGCACGCCTAACCGCCATGGACATGCCCAGTAACTGTCCTTCAACCAGCTCGTTGGAAACCTCAATAAATTTATGCATGATGCTGCATCAGCTGGCTGTCATGGTAAATATGCACGCGTGATCCAATGCCAGCGGCTGCAGAGGCCCCGCGCGCTGAGGCGACAGCAGCATCGTATCGCTCAATGGACCTTCGACGAGCCTCCTGGTATATGGTCCTCTACGCGTTCTTATGGACTTCGACTGCAGGTCGATTAGCGGGGGGAGCAAAGATTGTGATCCTGTGTACCTCGATCAACCGACGTCGGCGCTCCATGTTGTCTCGCCGGTCAAGGCACACTTCAAAATGAATCACTCCTCTGACTGTCTCACTGTGGACATTCTATCGAAACCAGGCTCTCTTCGACTCGTCAGTCGATCCTCAATTGCGATTACATATGCACAGCTGGACGCTACCGCTACTATAAACTGCGACCAATCCTAGCGTGCCACATCGGCAGGCACCGCATTCAAGTTGTTGCGTAAGAAAGGAAACTTGAAAGCAGTGAGGCGTTCCATCGACACCCGGTTACATTGGGGGAAAGAAAAAGGCAAACATTCAAGATGAACACCACTGGTGCCTTGTGGTTGCCTGGCTCGCTCGCATCTTCCACAGCTTAAATCAATCACAGACCACTTCTTACTGATCCCCTCGATGCACGTACAACGGTAAGGTATATATCTCTCTGAGCTAGAGCTAGACTTGTTCTGCCTCTGTTCTCTAGTCTTTGTCCAGAGAAATACCTCATTCCAACTTCTTTATCGTCAGTGTCCACTGTCCAGTCACCAAGGACTTCAAGGTTCACTCCATCAGACCTGAGCCATGCCACTTATCAGCAAGGACTCTCGACTTTCCAAGAGCGACATCCAGAACATCAGGTATCTTGGTGAACAAGGGGGATTTATTCCTCCTGGTGCAGAGCTCAGTTACCCGTAAGTCCCTGACTGTCCCCTACGGCCACTTGACCCTGGGGTGATTCTCCCTCTGCTAAATAACTCAGGAACAATGACGGCCGCGCTCACCGGTCCAAGTGGACCACCGACGACGGCATAGAGCACGAAGACTACCACATCACCATTATCTGGCGCTATAACGGTAAGAGGAGGGTTTGTCACGTTCCAGTCGACGAACGTACTTTTGATATTGGTATCCTTGTCTGGTTTGCGGAGCGAAGTGCCTAGATAGTAGAAAGACGGGATATCGAGTTTTGTTGAAGTGAGGAGGCACAGTTCAAGTCAAGAACTTCTTCCAACTCGACTACCGACCATCATAATGACAATAGTCCTTGATATATCCCAGATCCACCTGCGGGCCTTCATCGTTGACCCACAGATCCATCTCCCTCGTCCACTCCAGCTGATGTGTGTGCATCAGTGCCTTGGCCTCGGCAGACTCGAGCCGCCTAAGATGCCACAAGATCGTTTCTGCTAGCCGCAGCTGGGCAGCTGGCTCAGGCTCACCAGTCAATGAGTCCGCTGGCGACAGGCCCGGGGTCGAGCTTTCGTCCTCTTCGTGCTGCTGCATTCCTTCCATCTCTGCAGGTGGCGTCGAAGTGGAGGGCACTCGCACCTTCTTCACCAAGTCACTGAACAACGACGAGGCTGCATCAGGCTCGTTTCGCTTGCGAAGAAGGTCGGCCAAAGTCAGTCGAAGCCACATGAGCGTGCGATTGTTGCTGTCTCTTCCCAGCTCCGTGGACTCATGCAACAGGCCCTCCATGTGGGAAACTGCTTCGTCTTTGTCCTCTTCGTCAAGCGCCAGCAATGCCTTCATGTAGCCGATTTCACATTTCCGCTCGAAGCTCTTGTCTGTGACCCAAGGTGCATCCACGAGCGACAGAAACCCCCTCGCATCGTCCAATTTGCCCAAAGTACGATACGTCAATGCTAGTTGCAGGATAGAGTCCGCTACGATCGCGGCTTCGGTACCGAATAACCTTTGCCGAACATGGATATTCTCCTCGAGAAGCACCCGGGCCCGGTCAAGGTCCGACCCTCGGCCACGTTTGCGCAAAGCAGCCGCCAGCGAACATTGCACGTAGGTCGACTTGGAATTTTCAATGGTCAAGGTGGACGTCCAGATCTTGTAGATGTCGCCATATAAATCGATGGCCTCGGAGAACTGTCCCAGAGCTTCCATCGCCCATCCTCGAAACATCTGCCCTTTGAGCACCTCAGCGGCCAGTGGACCGAGCGTACGCCAAAGACCCGCTTGAGCCCTTGCTTGATTCTCTGCCGATTCTTGGAATCGCGTCATGATGAATGCGACCACGGCGGCGTATTGCAAACTCAAGAATGAGTCGGGCCGCTCCGGACCCAAAATTTCGAGTTGTCGCTTGGAAATGTCTAGCAGGAGATCGTAGCTGTTCTTGTGGTCACCCTGAGCGTATGCTTCAATCGCTGCAACAGATCGAGCCTGGAGTGTCAGGGGATGGTTGGCACCCAGCATCTCTGTCAATCCAGCAGCAACGGTATGCCTGGTTCCATAGCTTTCGTCTACACGCCCAGACAAGTTGCAAAACTCACCGAGACGCTTGAGGGCCAGGTACGGCAACAACTTGTCATCGAAAGTGCGGAATGATTCAGCCACTTTGTGATATGGCCCAACACAGAATTGTTGGAGGGGAATTTGACTCCGCAACCTTGGGGGTAGGAGCGTGACCCAGGAGCGAAGCGCAGACTGTGGGCGCATCAAGATGGACATGTCATCGGCAGAGTTCAAGGCATAAAACACCTCTGCCCAGCAGACGAATTGATTCGAGGTCATGAAGTTGCCTAAATGACGGACAATGAAATCTCCAGGCTCGTCCACTTGGCAGATGTGCATTTGCCAGTGCTGACAAGCGTACTTGTACAGCACATCAGTGTGCGGGCCACGTTCAATATCCAATTCCTCCGCACCATAACCGTCAGGATGAGCGTGTTTCCGAATGAACCGTGCGAGGAGGGTCGGTTCACGGTACTGGATCTCATTAAGCTTCGCAAGAGTCTTCTTGGCCAAATATTCGTTTCCTTCGGATAACGAGATCTTCAACGATGCGTTCTTTGGGGCGGACCGTGTTAGAAAGTCTTTGACAGACATGTGTACCATCTCAACATGGCCATTAGCCACCCGCACAAGCGGCCAACACAATTGCTGGATGGCTTCAAATGGGTCGAGAAAAAGATCCTTCTCATCTAGGGAAGAGGTTTGTGCTTTGTAGGCAACAAAGTGAGAGAGCTCGGTAAGTGACAGTGGCCGTGCAGCAGCAACCACAATCAGGAAGATCTCTCGCCTGAGAGCCAATTCGCTTGCCTCCAACGTCCTAGCGGTGTCCGCAAGAAGCTTCTCGTAGACGTTGTCCAGTCCAAGAGGAAATGAAGAAAGTGCACGCTCCTGCGCGTTGTGTGTCTTTGCCCGGGCGAGGCAGTCAATCATCATTCTCGCCCAGAGAAACATACCTTGACAGTCGGAGTCAATTCTTTGCAGCAGCTTTTCTTTGATCCCCTGCAGCAGTGGTTGACGATCGACTTCTTCTTCCACAAACCGTTCAATGTCGGCAGAAACAACATCCGGTGTCACAGGAATACGGATTGCGTTGCTGAAAGGCTCTTCAAATTTGCTATGATACCTTGAGAGGACGATTGTGCGTGCATTGGGTAGTTCAGACAGCCCGTGGAGACACTTCAGTAGATCATCGTTGTCGTCTACACCCTGGCACTCATCGAGAGCATCAACAATGAGTGTGAAGGCAGGTAATTGGGGAAGTAGTGTCTCCAGAATTGCCCAAAGTCGGATGAATGGACAGTCGTGGGGCGTCTTGTAGTGGTCAAACATTGGGATGATCTCTTGAACATGTCTCGGGAAGTCGGAACTGCTGGTGATACTCGGTTGTTTCAAGAGCTGTGAAAGAAGTGAGGACACGAGTGGGATTACAGAGGCTAAATTCGTGGAAAGCGAACTGCGGAAAAAGTGTGTGATCGTGATGGGCGTGGGCGATTGTTCGGCCAGAAATTGAGCAAGCATCGTCTTTCCACACCCTGTAGATATCAGCATGAGAGAGACGTAGGGATAATGGCAACATTTGAGCATTACCAGGGATTCCATATATCCAAAGAAGTTGGGAGAAATGGTTTGCGGTCCACACCTGATATTGCTGCGAGTCGAAGATCCATGAACAGGTCGACGCTGCCCGTTTGACGGCAGGAATCGGACACGGTTCGGGAGATAGCCAGTCCAAGATCTTCTCAACCCACATCCTGGTGAGCTCCTCTGCATAGTGCTCAGCTTCTGCAGAACAAAACACAGTTCACAATCCTTACCCTGGTGACGTTCCGCCTCCGCGAGCGAGAGCTCCTGCATGAATCGATACATATCTGGAGATTGACTTAGCAGGGGGCAGGATTGCCAGACAAACGGAACTGTATACTTCGATTAAGTTCGAGAGTCTCTTCTTGGAGATTCAGCCCAGCTTTAATGCGCCTGTAAAGGTCCTGGGATTCTAGTGTAGAATGAGCTCCGAAGCCAGGAAAAGAGGAAGGATTTTGTCTCTTGTCATACCGAGTCGAAATTGTTCCTGCTTGATTGCCTCTTTTTCGATGTCTTCGCGCCCTTTTGCTTGAGCTTGAAAAAATAACGTTAGAGTACTGGATTGTCAGCCTTCCGTCTACAGTAACCAACCTTTAATGGCTTGAACTTGTCCTTGTGGAAGGTCAGACAGAGCTGTGGATGCATAGGACCCAGGCATGTGAAACCTACCTCTAACAGCTGTGGCGGCGTATTCACGCTCTACGATAAGTCCGTGCCCCTCCACCTGTCGAACAATGGCTTCGAGTTTGCCTTTGATTGGTTTGAAGCTTGCAGTTGCAATCCGCGCTAGGCGACATTGTCAGTTCGGCTGCACGACGCAGACATTTCTCTGTCATACCACGCCGGGACTTCTCGAGGAGAAGTCGGGCTCGCACAAGGTAGTTCAGCACGTGGGCGCTGGCTGTGGAGATGGCATCAAACAAGAGGGTCTCGGTCGGAAACAGTTGAAGATATTTCATCCAGCGGCCAATATTTGGTGCAATGGTTGCCAGCGTCTCGATGACGCTCTCGTTGACCTCGATCTCTGTGACTACTAACTAGAGGCATGTCAGTGAAAGGAGATGAGGCAGCATCACCGGGGTCCCTCCCACAAAGACTGCGTGACTGCGGGCATCCCAGTCATCCAGTGCAGGGCATGTTCAAGAGAGGGGAACCCGGTAGCCTACAAACCCAGGCAGGCCTGACTCCTGAGGCTGAAAGTGACAGTCCAAGTGACTTACTCCGATCACTGCCCGGATTGAGCCCCACACTAAGGCGGTCGTGTGTGGTGATTGCTGTATCATGACATCAATTGACGCCGCGTATTGGTTGAAGGCCATCAGGATGTTGTCAAACCGCCGGCGGAATGGTCCATAATTCTGGTTGAACTTGTCTCTGGCCCGGTGCGTCTCGTGCAGGATCTCGTCCAGAGTGCAGGAAGGATGCTGACCGGAGGACGTGGCGGAGCTCAAGTCGATTCGCTTGCCCGGGTCCTTGGTCAACTTCTCATTGAATATCTAGGTCCATTACTGGTTGATTCATGGCTCGTTGTCGCGTTTACAACTCACCTTGACAGCCTGGCTCCAGCAACGAGCATGGACAGCATCGCTTGGAGATCCATCTTTCACCAACTTGGAAGGATCTGGAACGGCACTTGCAGTTGCGGGAGTTGGTTTATCGGCCACCACCGCTTGACTAACGGTCTCACTAGGCTTTCCCTCAGGGATTTGGAAGGGAGGTTCAAGTTGTTGCTCGCAGCTGCCTCCATCCGCCGGGGATCTGAGAAGCGTGGCTGACATTTTCTTTTCTGTTTTCGGGACACTCTGATACACGAGCCGGACCAACCTCCAAAAATCATCAGGCCTAAGGGGGCAAACGACGGGTCTTTGTACTTCGTACACACAAGAAGAAAACCAGCCGTGCCTTGTCGCTATGGGTCGCCTCAATCTGTACACCATCATGATACCAGCCTGAGCAGATCGGCAGGCATCCAGGTCTAGGTGCGGCTCGCACTTCGCTTAGTCGTGGCCACATCACATCAAATAGAAATTCACTAGGCGATCATTCCTGTTCTTCCATGACCCAGCCATCAAATCCGCGCGGAGAATTGTGACTATGCAGATTCTCAAAGGATCTTGCACTTTTGGCCCAGCCAGACTTGAAATCCCCCGTGAGTAGGCTGAACGGAGTTCGACTAGCACTCGCACTGCAGCTTCTCCTGTTCTTCTTCGTTCTGGGCCTTCCTTTCAACCTTAACTGGCTTCTAGGGAGGATCAGTATGGCATAAAGCTAACAAGAAAGGAAGGCATACCTGGGCGGGTCGTGGGGGTGCCACTCCAGTTCTCACCTTCCAGCCTGGGACCCAGTCCCCTTCTCCATCATTGGCGTAGTATCCGTAGCCACATCCGCACGTTGCTTCTTTGGAGCGCGGTGGAGGAACTGGGCCTGTGCAGGAAGTGGATCCCATGTTGAGAAAGACGGTAGGAAAGATGGGTGCCTTTTATTTGCAGTTTGGGTGTGAAGGAGAGGAAAAATGGCTTTCTTCAGGTTGAAGATGGATGTTGACACAGAGTATTGAAAGGCAGACCTCAAGGCAGATTCCAGGCGGGTTATATTCTTTTAGCTGTGGGGTTGGCGGCGCAACTGCCGATGGCCCGTGGATAATCCTTTGGCAAAAGGCGACCGCAATACACCACACTTGGCCCCATTTGTGCGGCACTCAGCTGCAGGGCAACACACTGCATTGGAACCGCCCGGGGATGTAACCGGTGAGAGATAACGGCTGGGATGTCCTTCCATCAAGTGGCTGGCATGAACATCCTGGCAGTGTGATGTAATAGTAGACGAAGGAAGGAAAGGCGCTTGTCTTGTCCCCTTGTAGTTGTAGCGGAGAGTGACCGGGAACGTCGTACAGAAACCACCTTCGCTTGGCTAATTAGGTTTGGCGGGAGCAGAGGAACACCTAAGGCACCTGATAACATGAACTCCTCCTAGTAGTAAGTACTAGGTACCAACATCGTAGCTGCCCTCACTACTATTGTCAGAAAGGAACATTTTCATCCCTCATAACTTTGACAGGTTATGGCCAAGGCTCGGCGCCGTGGCACTTGGGGATTCAGGCCTCTCTTAAGACCACCGAACGAGGACGGAGCGAGCCGGGCTCATAGAAGATTGGCTTCTACGCAAAATGTACTGGCCAGAAACATTGCACCCAGCAGACACGCTATACCCACTAGGATACATAAGCTTCGAAGTATGTATGCCGAGACCTTGAAGACTTACACAAAGAGTCGTGGATGGACTCAACGAAGGATTGCCGGACAACGTTCTGTAGTTGCGGAGACATATTGGACAAGCATTCCAAACTATCCAAGCATCTTTGGACGATCTGGTTGAAGATGAGACGAGGACATTGCGGCAAGGGGTAGGAGTCAGAGGTCAAACTTAACTTTTCCACTTCATGCTGAGATGCCCCGTCGAGTTTTAGCCTCATGTGGAGCCCGGCTCGGGACGAAAATAGCGCGCCGAAAATGCCGAGTGCCACAAGTGTGGCGATGGCCGTGAGAAGATGAACCACACCGTAGATGGCAGCTCGCTCTTCACATATTTAGTAGAGCACCCCTTGATCGTCGTGACGAATCGTTACCTTCGAATTCCGTGAAGTGAAGCACGGCCACCAGAGTGGTTCCGAGAGCCATGCCGTAACCAATGCCAAAGAGAAGGATTTCCACCATGTTAACCGCAAAGCTCTCGGACCCTAAAACCTAAACATGAGCATGGCCTTGACTATATTGTTTGCGGATGCTCACCATTCCAGGTGAGGCTTGTGGCAATGCCCGCAATCAGAGCCAGCGAGGCACCTGCGACCAATTCTCCCCAGAGTCTTCCACTATTTCGTATGCGAAATCCGATCGCTGCAGCCCCAATCATTGCTCCCAGACTCAGCAGCGCGTTGAGCAGACCGGCGGTCCACGATTCACCCCGTGCCGAGACGTTTACATAAATTGGAATCACAAAAAGCATCTGCAATCGTCAGCTCGATCTTCAATGAAAGGGAAGAGGCCCTGACACCGGTGAAAGCCATATCCTTGAAGAATGTCACAAGAAGTATTGGCCAGACTGGTCGCCGCGCACAGTTTCGAATCGGAATCAGTGGGCGGTGGATCACACGATGCTCATACCAAACGAAGATTGCGGCAAAAAGAATCGATGCTCCTAGTAAACCTGCGACAGCGGGAGAGTTCCAAAAAACATCATACCCAGCGATTCCAAAGCCGCAAATGGCACACGCCACGAAGATGAGAAGCAGCACAGCACCCATTGCGTCAAAGTCATGGAGTATGGGGGATCCTGACCCAGCAGACCCAGAACCTGTGGACTGTGTTGGCAAGGGAGGCAACTTCAAGCTCAGACTCACCGCCAACAAGGCAACCAATGCGAGCGGCGCTTCCATGGCAAAAGCACTAGCATGAGCAGTCAGTGATTTACTAAGGACGGCAACAATAAGACAGTGGTACCTCTGCCATCCAAGGCGCTCCACAACCACGCCACCTAAGGTCCCTCCCGCCAGGCGTCCCAAAAAAGTGACCAAATCTATTCCACTTTGCCATATTGCTCTGTTACGAACAGGGACGATATCTAGATGAGTGCTCAGTCAAAACTCGACCTGGAACAGAGCTTCGCTCACCTGTGATAATAAGGGAAACAATATAGCCCATGCCTGCAGTTCCTATTCCAACTATCCCCCTTGCTAGCACAAGCATCCAAAATTTCGAAGATAACGGGCTGGCATAAGTCGGTGAGAAAGACCAAGAAGGGATAATCTGAGTGCATACCAGAGAATTACACCAATAAAGAACCAGCAATAACTTCCTAGCAGTAGGGGCTTCCTCCCATACCGATCCGACAAGCGACTGTACTGCACAAATGGTCAGAGCCCGAGGAGACTCGCAGGACACTCGGGGTTCGGTCAGCGTACCACGGGTTGTCCTGCTGCGATACTGAAGCTGAAGCCTATAGTTAATAAGGCGACATGTCGAAATTGATGGAACTCGGATGCTGTAACTGTTAGTGGCAGGACAGAAAGCAACCAAGATAGATCCTACCAATTTTGGGAAAGACTGCTGATTCTAGTCCAATATCGGCTTGACTTAATATGATCCTATAGGTTCAGCATCCGTATTCATCTATTTCGTGTGCAATATACCCCAGAATCAGGCCTGGAGAAGCCCAAATCATCTTCCCAAGGTCCAGGTCATCTGCGTAGTTTTTCGGCCCAAGTAAAGGTGCGCTTTCAGTTTCGCTCGGAAGTTGGGCCGGCGCATCCTCGATCTCGCGGCCCAATGAGTCTTCTGTGGCCATTTGAGATGAGACCGGACAAGGCAGCGCTGCTCCAGGACCTGGCAAGAAACCCACCTGGAGGCCGATGCTTTTGAAAATACGCAGTAAGGGACACAGAAGGTGAACTCAGTTGGAGGCTGAAACCTGAGCGTGACAATATGTCTACTATGTGAAGCATTGGATTGGTCCGTAGGTAGAGTGACACTTGGCCGCAACTTCCAAGTTCTGGCGCACCGGTAATAAATACACGGGCGGTTGTGCGAAATACCGTCAGCCTCACCGGTAAGTACCTAGGTAAGGTACCTAGGTACTACCTAGGTACTGTAACTTCGCGATTGCATTCAGGTTAGTAGGTAGCTTATGCTAGATAAGGTACGGCCCTGGTAGATCACCGTTGGTAGTGACCCACTCTATGACAGTCGGTACTAGTAAGTTGGTATTAAGGTTACCGCATCCATTTAGGTAGCATTATTCCAGACTTTTAGGTCGAATACCTGGTATTACATTTTAAGCTTTCTGCTTCATCTTAGGGTAGTGTCATCCTAAGAGTTGATCCAAGAGCACGACTACTGGTACCTGAGTACCTACGTAGGTACTGTGGTAGACTGGTACCTAGTAAAAACAAGAGACAGTACGCAGCCTGAGGTACAAGTGCCAGTAATGCCGCGTTTCTTCTTGGGGTTTAGCCTTCTGCTGTTCAAATTGCTGTCACACTTAGGCTCCTGACAAACGTCATTTACGCCAAAACATACCGGGGTTTGATTTTTATCTCATCCTGAAAATTGCACAGGGCTGCCTGTTCTTCATTTGATCACGGAGGACGCGACTTGCTTCCTCAGGGGGATGCGCATTGTTTTTTCCGTGGTCATGATGACAGCGCTTTTCCTGTCTCTTCTGTTGCATGGCCGAATGTGGTTCTTTGCTCTAGTATTCGCTTCGCAGAGTTGGGCGTACACTTTACCCAAATCCTTTGATTGGGACCAGATTGAGCCCACTCCGCATCTGAATTACACGAGCTGCTATGACGGACTAGAATGCTCTCGCCTACTTGTTCCCTTGGACTGGCAAAATTCGACCACCGACAAGCAAGTCATATTGGCCGTCGCAAGGCTGGCAGCCAAGGTCGACTCTTCAGATCCAAGTTTCGGCGGTACGATCATTGTCAATCCGGGGGGTCCTGGCGATTCGGGTGTGGACAAGCTGAGGTGGTCGGGAGCCGGCATACAGGAAATCGTGGATGGAGAGAAACATTTTGAGATTCTCTCATTCGATCCAAGGGGGGTTCATCACACTACTCCGGCGGCAGTCTGCTTCGAAGACGACGGTGACCGGAGCCATTTCGAAACGGTGGATGTCTCTGCTGGAAGCGCCACAGACTCGGCGTCTTCACTCAACACAAAATGGGCACTCGCCGCAGGATTAGGCAAGTTGTGCTCTTCCACGGGCGGGGGTTTCTGGCCAGATGGAACAGACATCAGACAATATGTCAGCACCTTGCAAGTAGCGTATGACATGCGTCATCTGACCGAGGTGATTGAAGAAGCGAGGAATTCCTCAAGGTACGAGGTGGGCATCGTCAGAGAGGCATCACAGCAGATTCTCAAGACAAAGCCCAAGCCGTTGCTCAACTACTGGGGTTTTTCGTATGGAACATACCTCGGCAATACATTCGCAAGCATGTTCCCAGATCGAATCGGCCGCATGATACTGGACGGCGTTCTTGATGCCTCAGACTACACAGCAACAAGCTGGCGAAAGAATCTTCAAGACAACAATAAGCTGTGGATATTCTTCCATCAATGGTGTTTTGATGCCGGCCCAAGATGTGCCTTGTACGACAATACAACGAAAGAATGGACACAGCTAGCATCCAAAGTCAACAGCTTTCTGAACCACCTCCAATCCAATCCGCTCTCCATTGTATCCCGAAACCAAATCCAACTCGTGCGCTATTACGACATCGAAAACTTGATGCACAGAGCTTCTTATGGCCCATGGCAAGTCTGGCCTCGTTTAGCCCGAGGTCTTGCCGCACTCATGGAAGGCGACATGTCAACATTTACATCTCTGTTCGCATTGGATACTTGGACACCTCATCCCGGCATCCTTGCACCATTTCCCCTTCTTGATCCTTTCAACAACCATTCTTCTCCCCACCCACCTCTGTATCCCGCCGAGCTTGAAGCATCTGTTGCCATCATGTGTGGCGACGGAGAGGACATCACCTCCGGATCCAAAACAGAGTATCTCTCCTACGTCGACGAGCTTCTGGAACAGTCACAATTGGTCGGCCCGGTCTGGGCGGAGGTCACACTCCGCTGCCGCAATTGGCCCAAATCTGCACGCCCGTCAGCAAAAAATCGTTTCACAGGGCCCTTCGGCAGCAAAGCCCATGAACGAGGAACTGGACAAGACGATGGGACTGGGCTTATGCTGTTCATCGGCAACACAGCAGACCCAGTAACACCGGTGCGGAATGCGATCAAGATGGCCGAAGCCCATGATGGAAAAGGGGTGGGCGTATTGGTTCAGGAAACACCGGGACACTGCAGCGGTGTCAACATACCGAGTCAGTGTACATGGGGGGTTATTAACAGGTTCTTCAATAAGGCAGAGTTGCCAGAGAAGGGCAAGACGTGTGGGGTCGATTGGAAGCCATGGGATAGGATTTGAAGACCCACTTTGGAACGATCCGAGTTGTGGGTCACAACCTACTTAGCATGTTCTATACAAACCTCATCCATCACTACTTTGAAATTCGCCATTCGGCATCTGCTCCAAAAGTATGTCTTTTGTTATTTTCCTTTTCCTGCTGCGATCTCTGCTGCACACCATTTCAAGCGTATGTGATGCCAATGCGACGAGTCGACGACTGACATCCCTGGCCGGCCAAAGGTGTGTCTCGGTATCCCACCAGGCGATGCTTGAACTGCGCATGGGAGCATATGTCTTCTTCACCGAGAGTCCGGGGGCAAAGTTGGCTGCAAGCACGACCGATGCCTCGATGGAGTTTGAAAGCTAATTCCCTCGTCACACCCAAGAGCCACAGGTGTATGATTACCGTGCGAGACTCTGGCTGAGGTATGTCGAGACCAGTAGTCCATAAGGGATTGAACCAAAGCAGGGATATCTCAAGAGCAGTGGCTTCTGGCACATTGTAGAAGGGCATGCCGGGATAATGGCCGCCATTTCGTGTCATCATCCTGACCCCTTGGTCATGAACGGAATCATCCGAAGGCATGAGAGCGAATGTCCCTACCACTGACGCGGCGTTTCCGGTTCCTGGTCGGTTAGCTTCCAGCAGACCTCGGATTCTCCGCGATATCCCCTTATGTTAATGCCAATACATCTCTTCATTCTAGGACATCAGCCGTCCATAACGGAGGAAGGAAACGAATTCTGCTAAGCGCGTGTACGATTTCCACAACTTCGAGTCCAAGTTGTAAGAACAAAACATGACAATAACCATACTAGTAGCTGGCAACAGATTCTATTGAACTCACCCAGAAGTGCTATATTCAACGTGGGGCAAAGTAGCTATCAAGGCTGCAAACAACACAATTCAGTGTACCACCGTATGCAAACGCTATACAAAACATTTCATGGCCGCTCAGCATTGTCTGCACTGGTTTGTTGTTCTTCTCCGTCTCCGGATTCGGCAGTGGAGCTCTCAACCAAGTATACTAAAACCAAGATTAGCATTGTTGCCCACGAAATTGAGGGACTATTCGATAGATACATACCGTTAGGCCTCAGGAACCAGCTGAGAATAAAAACGAGAACAAAGATTGAACCCAGACAGACAAAGACGACTCCGGCATAGATGCCCACGGTCAGACTGTAGATGAGGTTGAAGACCGTAGGAGCAACGACGCGAGCCAGGGCATGCAACAGACCCGAAGCCCCCAGGACCTGACCCGTAAGGTTGGCGGGGATGTGCTTGGTGAGAGCGGACTGTAGAGTCGGGGAGCCGATGCCGCCGAGCGAGGCCACCATGCCCGAGAGGACCATGACCGCGCCAGACGGGGTGAGGGCGTATCCGATATAACCGAGGAGATCGAACAAAATTGACACCCTGATGATGTTGATATCGAGCATGTCTGCACCCTTGTGGCCGGCCGACTGCTCCTGTGCGGGACCTCGAAAGATTCGCGTGAGGATAGGTAGGATGGTGACCAAGGCAAGCACGCGACAGACGTTGACGGCGGAAAGAAACATACTCGAGTCCACCGCGGTCCACCCAAAGCGGTACTCGGCGTAGATGATGATGATCTGCATGGTGCCCATAGCGACACCGAACATCATGGTGTCAATGGCGGCAAGCACAAACAGATTCTTGCGCAACTTGGAGCTAGACCCTTCGCCCGTGGGCCGGAGCACCCAAAGAGGCTCGAAGAGGTTATAGTTGCGCAACCGGGCCAGCCAATCTTTATGCGGCGAATGAAGTCGGGCCAGACGCCGTTTCTCCCTCGCCAAAAGCTGTCGTTCCTTGGACAAGGATTCGGGCACCACGAAGGAAACAAAAAAGATGAAAAACGCGTGACACCCCAGCGCGACGTAGAAAACCACCATCACGGTTCCCGCGAGTTTGATCAGCCAACCAGCCACGATGGGACCCAGCGCAATGCCGGCGAATAATGTGCCGTGGAAATAACCAAAGGCCACATTTCTTCGTTCCGGAGGCGAGCAATCCGAGGCATAGGCAAAGGCGAGCGCCATGGCGGTAGTGAATGAGCCACAGAGGCCATCCATCAGAGCCCCCAAAAGCATCCAGTACACAGAGATCTTGCCCGCGCTGGTACCCACTATGATCGTGATGATCTCGGCCGCCAACGCTCCGAGGGAGGTGCACACAATCACCTTCTTCCGCCCTATTCGGTCAGACAGAGACCCGAGGTGAGGAGATATGATGGCCGAAAACACGCCCGACAGCAGATTGGAGTATAGGTTGAACTTGGCCACAAGTGACTGTACATGAGGATCTCTGCACTGCGGATTCTCCGAGCCGAGAAGTACGGGCAAGAACTTGAACGTTGGATCTTTCGTCGCGCGGTCGGACAGATAGCCCTGGCAGATGAGGTCGAGGACGAGGTAGGTCTTGGGCACAATGATGCCTCCGAAAGCAACGCAGAATGGGAAAAACGCGGGCAGAAGCCAGAATATCTAGATAGGGACTTGTCAGCTCGCGGTTCCAGCTCCAGCAAGAATGTCATGTTGGTGTCCGTACCGAAGGCTTCTTGTGCCATGGTAGATCGGCCGACCCTTGTGCGCCGCTCCAGGGCTCGTTGATGGCTCTCTCATAACTCGTTCTGGCCCTCGTGTAGGGAGGGCTCTTGTGAGTCTGTTGTCGACGCGCCTTGATCAACGGACTACTTTCATCCTCTTGCGGCCCAGCGTCTTCCCATTCCCCAGGCCCGGTCTGGGCGATTGGTGTCTGCGGTATGCTCTCAGAAAGAAGTGCCTCCTCTTGAGCCTCTTCTGCGAAGGCCTCTTCCGGATCCATCATCTCGATGGTGAAGCTGAGATGGATTGCAAGGTGGATTGGCCCCGATAACGGGTGGCCGGACGGATTTCAGGATAGAAGTCTAGAGAACGGCATCAAAGCAGAGGGCTAATTGAACCACAACCGCGGCGCGGTGTCAACAGCAGGCATCAGCAATTCCAAGATATTATTGTAGATGTATCCAGTAGTAGTAATCAACGGCGATAAGATGGTCTGTCTTGACGTAATCGACGCAGTGCGCGGAACAGGACAAGTTGGAGACAGCGGCTGATTGACAGCGTCCAGTACAACACAACAGACCGAAGTAGTGTGTAGGTACTGTAGTTGACAGTGGTGCCCTGAAAACCTCCAACCACCCAGGCGGTTCGTAGCGGTGGACGAGTCTGTCTCGTTGTCCTCGTCCTATAGACCCAAGCAACGCAAGGAGATCGGATCCCCTGAAAGACCCCGTCGTCCTCGTTTTCGTTTTCGTTACTCCGAACTACGGAGATTGTACGCCGATCAACCGGGGGCGCGTCTCTAACCGTCCGCCTCCCAATTGGATCGGTTGGCCATTTCAGATCTCTGCCACACCCTGCATCCACCACGACATTTATTAATAAATTGTAACAGTCCACCGTGCAAGTCCAGATTCCATATGACGAATACACCTCAGTGGATGCAGGCTCAATATATACTATTGTAAGTAGGTTTGTTCCGCAATATGCAGACATGTCGGCCATACCGTGGTGCGCCGTCGACCCGAATACTACTAGTACAACTGTACATCGTAATCGTAGCATTGCACATCAACTCGGAGGGTAAGAGGATATTTACACGCCACAGTTCAGTGCAATCGACTCAAGGCACTCTTGCCACCTGTTATCCAAGCCTCATTCTATCTACCTAGGTATATAGCACCTCTCTTTCGCCCTCCTCATCCACCCACCATATGGCCCACGGCATCTGCTAGTTCCGAGAACAGGATGCCCTTGAGGATGTTTTCTCCCTGGTCCTCCGCCCAGTGGCCGGCATCTATTAGTTTGCGTTTCCAGCTCTTTTTCTGTGTCTCTGAAAGCTCTTCCCACTTTCTGATCGTCTCATCCCTGACGAGTGCGGCGTCGTGCGCAAGTTCGGTGGATATGCCGGTGCCAGCTTCGTCGCGGACGATAATTGCTTTAGGGGTCTCGAGTTCCGAGTTTTCCACCACTAATTCTTTGAGTTTTCGTTTCAGCCCCGCGGTGCCTTCTTCGATGTTGCTTCGAACCTCGTCCATGTCGGGAACGTGAGAGGCAGCGGCATCCTTCAGTTTCTCGGTCGCGCTGTGCGCAGCGGTTGGTATATCGGATTTAACAACGTCGGCAAAGATGTATGGCCGCACGACCAACTCCCGCATTCGTGGGGAGAGCCAGTCCGTGGCGCCCAGGACAGGCGGTACAGCGCCACGAATCTCGCAGAAGGCTTGCATGAGGAACGCCACGACACCCACCACCACCAGAGCAAAGAACACACTGAATGTGGTCTGCATTGCTTCGGATCGGCCTGGAGGGATGAGCACATATCGTGGGCGCTTGGTGTATGTCGGCGGGTAGGGTCGGAGAGGGAGATAGTGTACCACAACACGCTGATCGACGCCGACCGAGGCCAATCGGACGGATTGAGGCCCGACATCTTTTGTCACGGGCAGGGTTGGACCGACGAAGTTGGAGAACGTGAGCTTCGTCAAAGGTCCTTTGTGGACACTTCTGAGAAAAGCGTAGGGACGGAACCTTCCCAGGCCAACTCCGGGTGTGTAGTCAATAGTTAAGACCCCGACTGAGCTATCATCTCCGTTTTGACCAGCCACAGCAATGATAAATTGTCTCTCGCCCTGTTCAGATTCGGTCAAGCGGCACACCTCCAATCCGACGGCAGCCTTCGTTGACTTGTGCAGTCGCTTGCGGAGGGAGATGCGAGCTTGCGACAGGTCTTTGCTGACTCGAAGCACGAGCAAGTCTGCGCCTGTCCGTCCTGGTCTATTTTGCAACAGCAATAGATGATAAGGAGTTAAGAAACGAATGGCTCGAAACTTGGGCCGCTTCGACGGCGGAAGAGAGCTTGTAGATTCAGGGCTCCGATGCAGCGAAATCGGGGCCCGAGGCTTTGACTTCAAGGAAAGTCGCTGCAGGAACACCTCATCGTCTGTGCAATAAGCAAGAAGGTGACCTTCCTCGCCATCATCGCTATTGATCAGATCCAGATCTGCTGCTTCTCGAGAACCTAGGTTTATGCGCGACACTTCGTCCGCCAGCGTGGGACTCAAGGCGGGTCGGAAGACGATGATTTCGTTTTCTGGAGCCAAGCCAGACGCAATGGCCGCGAGTCGCTGCTGGGTAGGAGTGGTGGCCGGTGAGAGCCGTAGAACCCTCTGATACGTCTCATTTTTGGTGGCGGTTGCGGATTTGAAAAGGGCCGTTCGTCCAAGAGCTTGTGACGCTGGCGGTGCTGAAGGCTCTGTCTGTTCTGTGCCATCTTCATTTGCAGTGCTACCGTCGGCCTTTCTTTTTCGTGCTGGTAATCCAATGCGAAATGACCTCAAATGTTCATTTTTGCCTGCATTCTGGTCGGCGAGAGAGCTGTTGATGCCTGCAAGTGCAGTCAAGGAGGACTCGGAGGACTCGACGACGGCCAGACTTGTCACTGAATCCTCGCCCTTGATGAGCTCTACATCAACCACCTCTGCCAGCTGATCTCGCCGAGATGTATCGATCAACGAGATCTTGTTAGGCACGCCTGTCGACGACGACCCTCCGCCGCCGCCGACCAGCAGAAAATCGGGGTTGTACGGGTCGAAGTCGGCGGCATAGAGAGGATAGGACAACTTCGTGTGAGAAGAGGACACGGTTGGCGCCATGGCGGTGAGGTTCGAGTGGCAGGGTGAGGTTCGGCTGTAGACCAAGACTGTAGTTAAAAAAACAGTACGCGTCACAGAGCAAGCTCACGAAAGAATGGAGCGTAGTATGCTGCTGCTGTCTCACGAGGCCGTGGCGCAATGCCCTACTGGGATTCAGGCACCGACCGCACCCAAAGTTTGTTGATGTACAACAATAACGACGAGGCTTCGAGAATGATGGAAATGGTGGCATCATGCTTGACATTTCTTATCGATAAGCGTATCTCGTATTCTCCCGCATCGTCAATCGTTAGGTGTAGTAGATAGAAACACCAACAACAAGCATATCACCTTCTCAACTGTCTGCGTCGTAAAATACGTCCACCATCACGTACTCCGTGACGGCTTTCAGGACACTGAAGAATTCCAGCCATGCGTAGACGCTCAACATTCATCACGCATCCCAGTCGGGCCGTCAACCCAGCCGACATCCAAGTCTACAGAAACCAGCTCCTGCTTGGGGCGCTGAAGGCCGCCCGAGAGGAACGGTTAACCCTGGGGCTCAAAGAACTACCACAGGAAGTGGTAGATGTGTTGGAGCAATCCCACGAGCTACATCTTCGCTGGGCTCCTGAGCACCCCTATAAGACCATCGTGCCCTTTCTGTCGAGAACTTCGCCAGGTCTGCACGTCCACTACACGCCATTGAAGCAGGACCAGGACCATGATCACCTCTGCGACCTCCTTCACCGTGTATTCGGACAGGACCTAAAATGCGAAACGCCGCAGTCGACATTCATCAGTCCCGCCCTGGTCTCCGAGCGGTTCGCCCAGACCTCGGCGTTACAATACTACTCACTCCTCCCGTCTCTGAAGCCGCTGGTGGCATATCTGCAACGGAATGTCTGCTCACCATCCGACCTTGGCTGTCTGCACACGGCGTCGTTGCTGAACATAGCCGACTCGGTGGATTTCGACTACGACAGCATTTCACACACCTTGACGCTGACGGCGATGTGGTCGCGACAGCCCGAGGTCGTCTACGACCCCATCGGCGAATTCACCACTTTGGACGCATGGAATCTGGACATCCAACAGTCTAGCCCCAGTGATAAAGTGGAAGTTGGCATCCTGAGCCCGGCTCCAGCAACGGAACCGTCCGACCTGCAACTATCAGGCTTTCTGACCGTCGTGGGAGAGGACGACCACCCGAAAGCCACGCTATTCAGCTTTCCTTCTCGCCACCACTCGTTGAGTCCCGAACAGTCGAAGTTGCAACGATACAGCGTCTCCTTCGACCAACCTGCCGGCCTGCATCCCATATTGAGAATCTCCTTCCCATCCGGGGCATCCGCCATGAGTGAACCGCCAAAGAACAAACCGGCCGATAGCGTCTGTGCCCTGCAAACCTACCTGACCCTTCCATCGCATATCTTTGCCGACAAGTATGCCTTTCTCAACGACGATCCACTCTTCCAGAAGTCTCACCATCTGGGCAAACTGCGAGCCATCAACGGCGAGACAGATCTCGAGGCTCCTGACTATGTGGTGAAACAGTGGGGTTCAACCATGCTTTTGGAGATTCCGGCTCCGGCGGACTCTCCGGCGGACTCTCCAGACACTACTGAATCCAAGGATTCTGGTGGATCTTGGGACGTCACGATCCCTCTACATGTTCGATATCTCCAGCCCCAGTCAGGAGGTAAATCTGTTGTCGAAATGCCGTGGCCCGTGGTCTTTTGGGCCTGCACCGCCGAAGAAGGGACCAAGTTCCCCGTCAACCCCTTCGACAGGACACAGCTAGGCTACGATGGCCTCTTTGGTCCGAGGACCATGTTTTACCATCTCGATCCTGCTCCTCCGCCAAATGGCTCGTTGGTCGAGCGCATCGCGGTGCCCGTGCTGGACACGGACAACACCACTCCTCGCACAATCGAGTCCTTGACCACCGTCACCATAGTACTGGGCTTCTTGTGGGTCTTGTTCAAGTTGAGCTCCGCTTTCAGGACGGGGCCGACTGGTGGTCGCCGCGTAGACTCGGACCCAAATGCAAAAAAGAAGCAATAGTGTGTGGTTCTACTCTAGGGTACCAAGCGAGTCATTTAATGCAGAAAATGAATCGAAAATTGAAGAGCACCGAGGGGTGAATAACTCGATGATCCTGGAAAGACATCGCTGTAAGCGCAGTGTTGGCTCCATTTTACCCGATTCGACCGAGTAGGCGGCGGGATGAGGTCACGGACAAATGTCGCACAGTGTCGCTCGATCTATACTTAGCCAGCACACAACTTCGCCTTCAAATAGGGCTTGCAGAATTCAGCGGGGTCTCGTCAACTTCCTCAGGTGTGTCCTTTCACTCCTCCAGTCCAGGAAGAGCGTCTACGGCGTGTGACTTGGCCAGACTGCGGCTGCCCAGGAGGCTGGCAAGTTTGAGTCGCACAAAAGTAGATAGACCGGTTTAGCTGCAAGACACCAGGAACAGACGGACTCGGATCAATTGTGCAAAAATGCCAGCTTGCCTTGGCTGGGATTTGCGCGGCGCCGTTTACTTTTCTGGCACGTATCGCAGACCCCATGCCATTTCAACCGGATTGAGTCGCACAGCACTGCATTTGGGCATATCGACGTGGGACTGCAATGCACGAAAACAAAAACGGAATGTGCAACGCAGCACAGCTCAAACGTCAGTAGCAATAGTAACCGAGAGTTCAACTTTTGCATCCGAGTTGGGCACCGCTTTGCATCACCTTCCTTACCTGTACATGTATGTACATAGGTAGTACCAGATTTGCTGCCTTGCCTTGCCTGCCGCGTATGATAGGTAGCAGAAAACAGTACGTGAAAGCTGTAGTTGCATTGGTAGTGGACGCATACCATTCGCGACGCAACCTGAAGCGGCGCATTACTTTCTGTAGTCGGGGTGGGATCTTTCCTGCCGTGCTCTGCTTTGTTTGTGGCAGCTTGTTCTCGATCAATTATATGTTATTGTCAGGGTAAGGCAAGGAGCTTTCGGCAAAGACGCTTCAGGCGCAAGACGTCACGCCACATCGGTAACATGTTTGGCCCTCAGCTCTTGGAAGACGAAAACTAGGAAGACGAAAAGAAAAAGACGGAAAAAAGAAAGAGAGAAAGAAAGTAGGACTAGAAAACTAGACCGACGTTTTGCAACGTGGAAGGCTGGAAGCGGCCAACAGCATCAACATCGACACCGCTGGCTGCAGACAGCAACAACAGGAAGTAAAAGCATTGGTTTCTTTTCGCAAGGAGAACACGGTGTAGGGTGGTCAAGTCCAAATGCAAGTTGTGCAAATATAACAGGTCGTTCAGATTCAGGCAGCAAGCAGTAGACCGGATCAAGTGCCTCACTCCTGGCCGATAACTGCAGTCCGCCGTCCAGTTACCATCGAGTTGAGCCCGTGTCAACAAGCGAGTCCCGCACAGAGAGAACACGTTTGCTTTGCGAAATTGCGGGTAACAACGTATCAGAATCTAGAGATCGAGGCAGTTTTCATCGATTCGCTGGAAGAAGGGACTTTTCTTCTCGAACGGCTGGTTGATATTCTTGAACACGGCTCGCAGTACCAGAAGCTGGCTGGCCGGCTGACTGTGCTGCTTGCTTGCCTACCTGCTTCCTTGTGGGGGGCTGGATTGTCCTGTTTTTGTTTGTCCAAGGTCGGGACAGCCTTGAGCTAGAAGAAGAACAGCTAGAAACAGAAGAAAAGACATGGTGTCGAGGCCCATGCACGATGCAGCATGCTCCACAAATGGAAGGAAACACAGGCATGTAGTAAGTGAAAAGGTCCTCACTTTTATTTCATGTGCTCTGCCTAAGAAATCGGGCGTTGGATCCTGCGCACCTGGGGTTCAGCCTTTGAAGTTGGATTTTCGACATGCATGGATTGGACGTGGACTTTTCTTCGTTGCCTGCTTCCGCTTTTTCTCGTATGCCTGCCTAGTGTCATGGTGCTACATTCTAGTAGGGTGAGTACCCTTTCCGTTGCCTTTCTGCGGGGCGTCCTAAGTGGCTCCTCAGCCCTTCAATGGGGGCCAAGGCTAAGGTAGTTCAAGTTCCAAGGTTATTACAGCAAAATCACGAATTGAGCCAGTCCCTGATGATAGTGGTATGGTTAGGTTGCACAGCAGGATCGGTACCTGATGTCAACGCAATGTGCCGACTCTGCGCGAATTACGTTCTCGCCGGAGGTAGCGGGGATGACCCTAAGCTCAATGTAGGCCCGTGTTGACGTGATAGATGATGCTGACCACGATGTGTCTTGCACATGGATTCTTGAATCCTTCCATGCCCTCCGGGCTCCTACGAAGCAGATCGTGGCCTTTTACATCCAACAAGGGCTGCCTTTGACAAACACGGGACATGGACTGGGGATTCTACACTCAATAGCATGACATTGTTAGCAGACTCTCGACTGCGGCCTGCGGGAAGAACGTCCTGCGCATGATTTGGTCATAAAAAAACATCCTAGCGGCTGCTTCCCGGTCAGGCTGAATCAGCAGCAAACTGCGTAAGCTAGGGAGGGGAGATATCACACCCACCAAGATGAATTCAGCGAGGAAGCAGCTTAACTTGTAAGCACTCCAAGAGTTATCGGTGTCCGAGCGCTTTGAGGGACCGAGATTTGCACGTGTCTCGTTTGCGGCCTTTCACAATAAGGCCACGGACCTTCGGACTGAGGAGAACAGGCAAAAAATGGCAAGGTTGCTGGCGATAGGTTGAGGATTCAATACCAAATTGTTAGGTCATCCTGTTCGGAAAGATGTTACCCTGTAAACACATGCATCAAATGATACGGGAGAAGGTGGCTTTGATGTGCTCGCGGCGGGACATCATCCTCAATGGGGGACGGAAGCAGTTGTGAAATGAATCGACAGAATTGGGAGACATTGGAACATGCCATGGAAGTTGTTCAATGCCATTATGACAGGAAATTGCGCTGTCGGCAACAGTCTTTCAGATTGGCCAAGAACCCCCAGAAACTTGGCCCCCGAAGAGGGTTCCTTGCTTCTATCTGGCAAATTTCACCAATTCTACTGCCAATGTCCAGGGCTTATAGCTGCCCCGACAAAAGTCGAGCTAGACCGGTGGAAGGCACGGTTCAGACAGGATGCTTAAGGTACGTATGTAGATACTGTACATAGACCTACGGAATATGCCTTGCAAGGTGGGTCAACAGCATGCAGTCTTGGCTGAGAACTGAGTAACAGCGAGTTGACCTCGTCCTGGATGTAGACAGAGGTTCGAACCCCCGAAGAACAGGGAAGGTATTGCGTGCTTGTGAGTTCACGGAGACTTTATCCTTTGTCAAGCACGAGAAAAACCGAATACCTGCGTTGCATCCTAGTGGATTCGGCAGGGAAAGACTTATCAGATGCAAAGAGCGTGACCTGCAAGTGAAGTGATCCGACTGAGGGTCACTGACCTGCCGATTCAGAGTCGTCAGTAGAAGGCGCACAGATGCGACAGTCCCGGCCGATGCAGTGGCGATTGTGAGTACACATGGTTCCTGTAGTGCAGCGCGTGCATGAGAGCTGAATGGAGTCCACCGTGTGTAGCCTATCACCACACCACATGAATGCATGTTTCAAACGGTTTGCGCTGTGCTGTTGGAAGTGCGCGACCGCATCTTCTGCTCAGTGTCACTTCATCAGGGTGTGCACGACCGCGCCGTACATGCGTCTCACCGTGGTCGAGTTGGTCTAGTATCGGCAATAAAAGATAAACAGATCACTCGGGAGAGACAAGCGGCCTCTCCCCAGCATTGGAAACGCTCCATTCGAATTTCCAGATCCTGGTTGATGCCCGTAAGTCGTTGTCTGTCGAGACGGTGAACGGCGAATCCAGCTCGCTAAAATATATCCACTGTTAAGCACATTGCGATGCGCATCTGCCGCAACCGCATCTACAATCGTAATGGTTGAAGGCGATCTGCGCAAAATTGTCGATCAACGTGAAGGTGGAAGGTTGCCTTGTTGGTTGCCTGTCGGTCATTACGCGAGACGCTCGATGAATGGAACCATCGTTCATTGGCTGGCCTCTATTCCATGACCCTATCAGGCTGGCCGTCGGAAGCCATTGTTTGCCGATACGACCATTCCTGCGGAGCCTTGCATAGCATACACGTTGCGAATGAGCACCGCTTTGGAAGATTTCTGCATTCGTGCACCATTTCATGTAAGGAGGGAGGGCGAGAATTACGCACTTGAACGTTCCCTGAACGGGAGATTGATGATAAGAAGTCCTTTTCGGATGCATCCCGGTGGGCCAACGCCAACCCTTATGCCATGATATTGAACGGGCATGGTCCACTATGCTTGTCGAACATTTCTTTGACTGCCAAAGCAGAACAGTTGCTCCCCCGGGCTCCTGAGCCGAAAGCTTTTCGGAATAGCATCGGAAGGTAATAAGACACTCATCGTGGAATAGCTTTTCATCTGACATGCTAGACCGGCAGCATTTAGTGACTTTGACCGGTCCCGGCCGTGAACCGATTCAAGCGGACTTCTGTTGGAGTGCTGGTCCACAAGGAAAGTGCCAAGGGTGCACATAGGGGCAAACGTGATAGGCATAAGAAGTGTGCAAATGTTCTCGTCCGGGAGGGAGCCAGGCCATCGGCATTTGCATATGGCCAAAACATTAACGAAGCCGTTAGTGGGGAAAGGAATCCCAATGGCGGGTAGACTTATAAAATCCTTCCCATCAATCTTTCCAAAGGCGTTGGCGTCGAGCTCTGGTAATCATGCCCTCTTGAACATGAACATGGTGGTCAGCCTTCTTCTTGGAGGCTGTGATCCCTCAAGGTGTTGAGGACCTGGTCAATGGTAAAAGCCTGCAGCCAAAGGTAAATGGATGGTGAAAATTGAAGTGTGATGAGGTATTCACAACTCACGGGGCCAACGTGTTGTCCTACCTCTATCGGACCATATGACCATCGCGGCTTTGAGACGGCATTCGAGCGAGAGTATCCCGATCTTTTAGGACCCATGGCGACCTAACACTGACAGCCTGGTGTGGCATCTCAGGCCATCACAGAACAAATGTTGTTAAGAGCCTGAAGGTTTACCCGTTCAAGGCAATGCCTACGCGGAGAGCGTGGTGCAAAAACTCACTAGTCACCACTCAAGTGGTCATTTCGTGTAGCGTGACAACTCATGAGACGACTAGTAAACCGGGCATTGGGGTGAATCACGAGGCATAGTAGCAGTAATGAGGTCAGCGTACCCGATGACAATGCAAATCTGCGGTGAGTAGTAGACGTATATTGAACACAAGCATCACCAACCTTGTTATATTGGCCGTCATGCGCATTCAGCTCAGGCTGCAGCAGTCCTTCTTCACCGTGTAAGCGTGCCGCTGGCAGCCACAAACAGGACACCGGTGAACAGGAAGCCCGAAGTCAGCGGCCAATGTCCGGATCATGGGATGCCAGAGTATCCGCGAGTCGGCCCCTGGAGGTTCAACCGCACGTTGACAGCAAGGCGTCATGTTGAACGACCCTGTACCTGGCCCCGTGCATCTTCTAGTCCGGAGGAAGGGGAAGTCCCATCACTCAGGAAGAAGCAAAGGTACAAGTTTTTGAGCACTTTCAGGCGAAAGTGCGCAACGTAACCTAGCAGTTGCCAACGCCTCGAGGACGAGGATGCTGTTGAGTTCAGATATTGACTAGGTACGATTGCGTCCAATATAAAGAAGCAGAAATCATGAGGCTGGGTCAGGAACAAGTCGCGGCAATCCCGCTGCAAGGAGGCCAACTTAGGCGCTACAGTGTAGATTCGCCCCAGACTGCGGGCGCAGCCGCGAAGTCCCTAGGCCCTCAGGGATTTTAGACCCCCTGCAAGCATACCTACCGGCGGCACAACTTGCCAGGACTAGCATTGCCAGTGCGGCTCTGGCCCCGGACGGTTGCCTTGCGGGCAATCCCATCAGATGGTTCGCAAAAACGCCAGATTTTGCATTTCTCGAAATCGACTCGGATTCTCTGCTTACCAGGGTCGAACATACTCTTCCCGAGTGTCAGATAGGGGTTAACGCTGCTTGAGCGGCCTCACACTGACCATCTCGCAATTTAGTCATGGCGGCTACACCGGTTTACATGCCTGGATTATATATAGATCTCCAGTTTCCCTCCGACATGCAATACTTTGCTCCTTCATGGGCCTCTGCTTAGTCCTAATACCATGGATCTGATTAGATGGAGCCGAGTGGCCCTGTGAACGAGTAGACCTCTTCTCGCACTTTGAACCTCGCTTGAATCCCCGTTTGTCATCTCAACGCCTGCTGGGACAAGCCTCCTATTTCTCCCATGAGCTGGCTCCCTCTCTTGCCCAAAGTTGCGAAGAAGTATGTTTGCACCCATCGTACCTGTCCAGGGAGGCCTGAGGCCTAGGCGTTGTCCGTTTTAGCCTGGCAATCAGTCAAGTGGCTTCAATGCATTGAACATGGGCCCATGTTGACCAGCCACAGCAAGACAATCCGGACTTTGACCTTGGCGACTCAGAGCGCAAGGCACCCGTTCCACCCAAACCCCGCCGGCTCGGAAAAACTTTGCTCCTGAATGCGCGAATTGCACTTGGAGACTCGTCACTATCACGACACTGGAAAGCTGAAGCACCTGCTCACCACCTTCACACGAGATCGAGCACCAAAGGTCTGTCGAAATCCCTCAATGACCGACTCCAGAGCAAGCCCGGTTGCACGGCCAGAGAGCAGCGAGACGTGGAAATACAACAACAAGCCGGACACTAATAGGCCAAGTCAACGTGTGCCTGCTACGGCGGAACTTTTGCACCTTTCATCCGAGGCCAGCACAGCCAGACCGAACTTTAAGTGAGTGCCTACTACCTGTTTGCTCGTATCTCCTTTGCCACAGCCAGGCCACCACCGCGCCACCACTGCATCACCGCCAGCACACCTTGAAGTGCCAGAACCCGCCACCACGCGACACCTCATGTCCGGTTGGCTTTCACTTCGCGTCGTCGAAATCTGATCCCCAGCCCCATTCTGACTTGTGGCTGCCTAGGTGCGACAGAGGTGCCCGCCAGTCGCGGCCTGGATGCACTGAGCGGCAACGACACCCTCTGATTTTTGGTCAAATACCTCTGCATCATGCACCACCGCCATCCTCTGGGAAACAGGAATCGCACTACTATCTCAATAGATCGTGCTTGAATGACCCAAATCGATCCCTCATGGTATCTACCCCGGAGTCCACGCGGCCTTGCAAACGTCCCGCTCAGGAGCAGGACTTGCGGCCCAATACCAAGGTCCGGCATCAAGAAGATCGGACAAGTTCCGCATCTCCATGTCCAGGGCTTCATGAGCAAGCTTTCTCTCATGCCGCCTCGCCTGCTGTCGGCTCCGTTCAAACACGGTCACTGTCCGCTGGTCAACACTCAGCGCAAAGAACGTCGTTCTCGTCACCAAAAGAAGCCGCGTCGCAGCCGGTTAATCTGCCTGCCGGTCAACCACTTTCTAGCCAACTACTACAGCGTCGTGATGCAGAGCACAAATCCGAATGGCTCCCTGCCGAAATCTCCAGCTATGACAAATCTGCCAATCAAGGGCTCAAGCTATTACAGGGTCGTGATGCAGAGCCCAAATCCTCAAACGAATGGTTCCCTACCAAAATCCCCAGCTATGACAAGGCTGCCAATCAAGGGCTCAAGCTGGTGTTGCAACCGGAGATCCGACCTGTTACAGTGGAACAGCTGGTGAATGAGATCAAAGCTATCTATGCCGGACTCGTCCTGGTGGAGAAGAAATGTGTCGAGGTCTGCCATGACCAGTTCCAGTCTACTGCCAATTTGTCGCCCGAACAGTGGCAAGCGTTGATCGCGTTGCATAGAACGCTCCTCCAAGAGCATTTGGACTTCTTTCAGGCAACACAGCATCCTGCCGCTTCGCCAGCCTTACGCCGGTTACCCACAAAATATGCCATGCCTGCGCGGATGTGGAGGCACGGCATCCATTCGTTCCTCGAACTGCTCCGTCATCGCTTGCCGCATTCCCTGGAGTTTATGTTGAGTTTTGTTTACCTGGCATATCAGATGATGGGGCTGCTCCTGGAATACGTGCCTGCTTTTCATGAGACCTGGATTGAATGCTTGGGAGACCTAGCTCGCTACAGGATGGCTATTGAAGAGACCGACATGCGTGATCGGGAAATCTGGGCTAATGTTGCTCGTATGTGGTACCATCGTGCTGCTGATCGTTCACCCACAACGGGGAGGATACAGCACCACCTGGCCGTGTTAGCGCGACCTAACGTTATTCGGCAACTCTTCTACTACTCAAAAGCTCTTACCAGTGGAATACCTTTTGTCAACACGCGAGACTCGATTATGCTACTGTTTACCCCGTTCCTGGATAAGTCTGAGGCGACCCTTCAAAAGTACGCAACGATTGAAAGGTCCTTTGTCACTGCTGGCGGTGTCCTGTTTACGCGAGGTTCCATCCACGAATATTGTGTACAGATGAGACAATTCATTTCCGAGCTTGATGGCCATATCTCCCGGTCCGGATCCACCTGGAAGATGCAGGGCTCAGAGGTGGCGTTGACTATGACTGCGTGGCTGTTCGATTTTGGCGCAGAAGATAACTTCCTCTGGACTGCTTTCTGTTCCCACATGGACAAACTCAAGGGGAGACCGCCGGAAAAGCAAGTCGATACCGGTACAGGCCCGCAGCTGGTCGCGGATCCACAGATGAAGGAGGACATCCACCGGAAGTTCTGGAAAAGTGGCCCACTTAATGCGACCGATTTCCGTCAGGCTCTTGTTCCCGCGAGTGAAGGATCTGCTACCAAGTTCACCACCTCGGATGAGGTAACAGCACAAGTTCTCCCATTCTGGTCAGCGTCGGTCTCCGTAGTAGCTTCGAAGCTTGGCGATCGGAATATACTGCCATTCATGCACCTTGCGTTGGCGTTCCTTTGGAGCCTATCATATGTGCCAGGAGCGCTGGTGTATATAGAAAGTTTCGTGCCCTGGACTAAACTCGTGCTCTGTCTGAACACTTTGGGCCGCTCGGGCGTCGTGGATGGTCGATTCGAGGCCAACGACTTCCCTCATCATCAATCTGGCACAGGCCGCCAACTGCCCGAGGACTTTCTCATTCGGGGATTCGAATGGTCTTACTACTATTTCCCATCGGACTTTTTCGAGGGCGACGTAGTCGATGAGGACGAACGTACGCTGGAGCTTCCCAGTCATGCTGCTCCACGAGCTGAACGATGTCTTTGGCTTGGTGTGCGGCTTGCACAGGTATGTACTGCTCCCGTTAATTTGTTCCAGAAGACCTCATTCTTGTTCAGTTGAATCGTTATCTGGAATACGACATCAAGACGAAACAATTCTCCTGCACTGATTTCGCCTTGTCCTTGGAGGACTCCGTTTCTATGGACTCTGTCCGTCGCCAGACGTTTTCCGGGGCGGGCAGCGGTGGCCCAATGATGGACATGGCCTGAAGGAAGCTTGTTTATCTGCCACTGGGCCATTGCTACAACTTCGGCAATTGTCTGACGACGGACTGCATCTTGCAATCTCCGACACCCTTATTTGACTGAGCGGTGTCAAGGTAGGCACGAACCTGGACCCGTGGATTGCAAGGACAAGAACGGTCAACAGACACGATTGGAGCGACATATGCTCGCACTATTATCGTTTTGCGATGCTCATTTCGCAATAGGAAGATCTCAAAATCGTCAGGCTTGCCTTCGGGCCGCCCACATTGGCATCGACAATGCAGAGCATGTCCTCTTCCAGCAGTTGACCGGCCTGACCTGGGGCGGATATGGAGGCTTTCCTATCCAGTCCGATATGGCAGAGCCCTGAATGGATTACTGGGCCCTTATGTCGCAGCAAACATTGCTCCCACCTGGTGGGGTATCACTTGTCCCCACTGTGCTTTGGACACGAACATGATTACGTTGATGCTATGCTGTGTACAGCAACCTCTGACACTAGTACATAAGTCTACCAGTGGTCTCTGCTGCGGTTGGTTGGAGTTTGGCGAGAGTGATTTCGGTTGCAAAGACGCCGGTGGGTTTCTGCTCTTGCTGCTCTTGCTGCACCTGGTAACCTGGTTATTGTGTACCTAAAAGCACATAGATTACATACATAGCCACAGTAATGTAATACGAGCGACTTGACATTGCTATCCCTTCTGTAAAGATTAGGGTGGTCAAACTGCCTTGATTGGTGAGCACATTGGTGGTGACAATGGACAGATGATTTCCTGACATTGGTCCCCTGCTCCTCAAGCCCGGAGCACGAAGCGACGTTGAAATTGAAAATTGGCGCCGCTCGAAGTGGTTAGCGGATGGCACGGCCCGAGAGTGGCGCAGAACTTGAATGAGATCACAGAGATGAGACACTGGAAGGAGCGATCCAACAAGACGAAACCCCGCCAGTCGCGGTCCCTCTCAAGCCATGGCTGCTTGGGCAAGCACATTGCGCCGCCATTCCGCGGAGAGCCCATAACTCACAGTGACCTGATGGTTATTCAGCTACGCAGACACATGCGCAAAACCATTCCAGGTTGCGCCATTCCGCCATGTACGCATCATGCCACCAGCCCACCAAACATAACACACGTCGATCCTGGACAACCCTCATGGCCTACTCTCTCTGTTTCTTGCCACCTGAAACTGTTTGAGGCACATGAAAGTCAAGCACCTGCACTCTCGACGTATCATGTCTTGTCCACCCGGGTGGTTGCACAGAAACACAGCCTCAATCCGGGTCTCCTGAGGGTATCCGACTGCATGTTGCTTCGACGTCGATACAGGAACCATTTGCCCGAAACCTCCTGTCTTGTGGTTGAAGAGCGACATATAGCCACTCACAGGAGCAAAGAGGCGATATTCTCTCACTTGTCTGACTGCCGTTTTGGATGCCATAAGCTAACCGTCTCGAGGAATCCCGTGGTGATCCAGGACCAATGCAATGCCCAGCTCCTGCTGTGCTGGTCGAGCAGAAGAAAATCTTGGTGTTGGGTCAGATCACACGTCTTGCGTCTCGAAACCCTGGGTCATATTCTGGTCTTGATTCTCAGTCATAACAGGACGACGCCAAGGGGCGATACCTGTCACTGGTTGCCTCGCCTTCCTTTGTTCGCCACCATATTCAGCTCTTTCGAGGTTGTCGACTGTGTCACATAGAGAGCCAGATGGCGAACGAAATGTTTGGTCTTGGTGGCCACAAGCTAGGCTCGTGTGCCAAAGTGCCCAGTGCGCTGGTCCTGGACCAGTTCCGCTGCTGCCTGACCGTGTACGAGGAGTTGATTCCCACACGGTTATCGACAACACGTGCGAGTGTCCTGTACACCGCTTCCTTCACGGTCCACGAAGCCGGGGATGGGCTGTGACCTGCTTCGCATTGTGGTTCGCCGGAGGCCAGATCAAGATCACAATGCACCTTGCTTTTCCAACGACGGTGGTCCTTTACGTCTGTCCTTGTCAGTCCAACCGTATGAGCTGCCCCACAGGTTTCTGTCAGGAATACTGAGTCCGAAAAGACAACCAAAATACTAGAGCCAGGACAATATTGCAGACCAGTGCTAACGCAGGATGCGAGGAACTTATTGATATTGTCGGTGCCCAAACTAGTACTTTGTCTTGGTAGGTTTTTGACATGCATTCTCCAACAATACGGAGCCTTGGTTCAGCCTGCAAGGTGCTTAGATGGTTGCCTTCTCACTTCCATCTTGTGATTCGATCAAGCATTGTTTAGGAGTACGGGACTCGCTTCCCCGTCTGTTCCACTCTTGACTACAGAATCCCACAATTGCCCCAATCCAGCTCCCGGGACAGGCAGAAGAACCGGTGTGGTTTGCAGGGAATTGAACTCTGGTTGCCTCACTTCAAGATCTGGCCGGCATCGATCATGACGCCGCCTGGACTCGTCAGATTGAAGGGTGGCTGCTCCACGTTTCAAGTACACTGGCACAGTGGGTCCCTTCTGGTTCGGCGCCGGTGACTCTAGCGTTTGGGACCGTTGGATGCTGACGCCTACTCAGGGCCCATAGCCTGATGCTGTCCTGGCGGCCTGGCCTTCTTGTGGGCAAAAGTTCCTGGCTTACCCACATATATCAGCCTGTACCCATCTCGGCCCAGGTAAGGCACACTGTTCGGGCAAATTGATGAATCTGCCAATGCTTTATGCCACCGCCCTCCTCCCTCAGACATCGAGGGCAGACGCTCTTTTTTGGGGATGCACATTTCCCAATCTTGGAGGCTCTGCACTACTTCTGTCATCATACTTACATGGTGATCTCATTGCAAGCTTACGCCAGCCATACATTGGTCGCGGCTTTACGTGGCCCAATATCGGGAATGCATTGGCCTTGGGGACCTCCTGCGTACCTCAATATGGGGCCATGGGGCCACCGCTAGCTGCCAAAACCGAGACTTTGTTATTATTTTCGAGTAGACGGCGGCCTTCCTTGCTGCAAAATACTAACTGTACGTTGAGGTACTTATCTCTGACCTAGAGAACCCTCTTCGGCAACACCTTCAAATTTCATCGTTTGATCCGGCGGTCACCTGGGTGCTTCGAAAAGGGGCCACGGGGACACCACCAGCTGCTGGAACAAAGGCCTTTTGATTATTTTTGAGTATACGCCGGCCTTCCCTGCTGCAAAATACTAACTGTACGTTGGCGTACCTACCTCTCACTCACAGAAACCTCTTCCGCAACAAGTTTAAGTTCACCTTTGAATGCGGCGGTCCCCTGGGTACTTGGAAAGGGGGATATGGGGCCACCACTAGCTGCCGAAACCGAGACTTTGTTATTATTTCGAGTATACGGCGGTCTCCCGAAATTGAATATCCAAATTCCAGTTCACATCCTATTGCGAGGCAGCTGCACGTCGAATAGGTTATGGATTTCCAGCAGCCTTGTCTGGCTGCTCATGCTGGCCCCAGTTGCTTCCTGCCCGATCATATTCATTGCTATTCCGTCAGGGCCTGGTGCCTCTATCCATGCATAAATAGTTCTCAGGCATGGTTGTCCTAGGTTTCCACTGGATTTAGAAGAAGATCTTGATCCACCACGCAAGCCTTGACTCACTTGCCGGCCGCTCTTCTGGACATGCTCCCCATTGGTTGAAGAATCAAGCCAGTGATCAGGCAGGACCGAATGATTCAACCCTAGGAGCAATGCAGCATCAATTGCGTAGCTATTGGCACACTACGCTTTCAAACACGAACAATCCTGGAACGATTGTGAGCAGTGATATGGTGTTTTCTCATTCTGTCTTTTGATGCTTTCTAGCTAACCCAGGTAGAAATATTCCACTAAGCCTCTTGATAGTGAAACCCTGCCTGGCTGGCACACAGTCTCGCTTTCGGTAGCCAAGTTTCACATATGCCATGTAATGCGGCGACCTTCCTAGACAAGTGCAACGCCAAACGCGGATCCTCGAGTCTTCACAAAGGAACCCACAAACCAGCCAAACCATGCCGATCCAAACAAGATGGCGCAATCAACAATGGCCGTCCAGAAAAATCATGGCAAGTATACTCTTCTTGACTGCGTAACATCACGGCGGCATATCGGACATTTCCATTTATCCTCGTCTTCTGTTGGGCCATAATGGCGTTGTCGCCGGCGGCGAGCACGATCGCGCACCAGCTCGGAACACCAATGGCATATCGCCACATGCATGCACGGTTCCAAGAGAGTGTCGACCTTTTGCTCGCAGCATATCTTGCACGCAAGGCTGACTGTCATATCCTCACTTTCCAATGGCGGCGGCCGTGAGGTCTGCTGGTCAATAGGATTGACTCCAGGATGGGCATGAGGGTTCTCACGCTGGCGTTGTCGGAATGGATTCTCAAAGGTCATGAAGACGCCGTGCTCATCCCAGTCTTCCCTCGAGCGATGCAGAGCCATGGCCATCTCAAAATCTGGGGTGTCGGAGCTTGGAGGCCGGGTACTTAAAATGTTGACATCTCCCGCTATCCGTCTCTCGTCTTCCGCACGAACTCGTGCTGATTGCAGAGCCTCCTGAGCCTCTCTATAGCGATTCCATGCTCTGCCGAACAAATCTGCGACTGGGCTTGAATAGCTTTCCGACTCGATTTCCTCTCTTGTGCCGAACGGGTTGACTATCGCTCGCCGCCTTCGGCCAGTTGTCTCGGGTGGTGGGTTCGTGATGTCAGAAGATGGCTGATTCTCTTGTGGATGTGGTCTGTTCCGGCTTTCATTGGTCCGAATGGCAAGGTCGCGCTGCACGTTGGTCGCTGACGGTCCGGTGAAGGGACTGCTACCGGCATTTGTAGACTGAGGCGTTGAACTGTGAGATGGGTCATGGGATCTGGGTTGCTGAGAACCAGGTACTCCCTCGAAGGACCAAGATGTCAGCGCTGGAAGTGGAGCATTTGGCAGATTATAAAGGCGGTTCACGTTGCGTTCGTTTGATGCTTCAGACTGATTGCTACCACCGGATATGTCCACGTCTCTGTGCCGAGAATCCATGGAAAGCGAGGGTGATTGAGTAGACTGTGACTGTAAATTCCAATAATCTAATGCAAATTAACAATATGTCAGGTCAACGAGCGAATGGATGTTCCAATTGTACTGGCAAGACACAGACGGGTATGTGTTCACCGCCGCAAAGCAGCAAACAGCACACTGGCCATTAAAACCTACCGCGACATTTCCAGCAGTAACGTTGCCAGCGCTTGCCTTGAAGCCGCATCCCTTGACCATCAATATAGACCGGATAGGCAGTCGCCATCGGTCTCTTGTCTGCACAGGCACAACATCCTGGAAGCGCGGTCAAAGCACAACCAATTATAGGTTTATGTTCGCATCGGTCCGCCATTGAAGCAGGGTTTCAGCATAACTAGATATAGAGCCGCAAGATATGAACGAAGATGTCGTACGCCGGGTATATCCAAATCAGATAGAAGAAGTGAGGCTGGTACAGTTGTAGAGCACCTTACCAGGGCTATATTACGTGCCAGGGACCAGGTTGTGGCGTTGTGGCTCAGTCAACGAGGCTACCCAATGAAATCGATGCATGCCTTGCACCGCAAAATATCCCTATTTCGGCCGACATACGTACATGACAGGGACGTCGTCGTCTCCTGCGTCCAGAGACATCTACACTTCCTCGAACGTTTTGTCTGTGACTTTCCGATTCCGTTGTCAAGGCTTATGGATGCCAGTAATACGTCCTAAGAATGCCATTCTCGCGCTCGCTCACGGCCAAGCACCGGACCCCTCCGTCCCTGCCTCGCAGTAACAGCTGATCCTGAAAACGAGTCGTCACCATGCCGTTCCCCCCAAAGCTCACGCCGCTTCAGTCAAGATTCGTTGCCTCGCTAGCAGCGTCAATCGCTCTACTTGCAATCTATCTTTTCCTCACGCAACCGCGCTTCGCATATGCTGTGGAACTTGACTCTCGAATACCGCGCGATGGCCACGAGCACTACCCGATAAATGAGGAGGATGAGGATGAGGGTCAGACTGATGGAGTCCATGGACAGGATAAGATTGAACTCTCCGCCCGAGCAGAGGCCGGGGTGTCGGCATTGGCCAACAACGCCCCTCAGAATATGAACATCGACATCGGCGAGACGCAATATTGGGTCTTTCCTGCAACCGCCATCGCTGGTCCTCGTGGGACCGTTGGCTCTGGGTTGCCGTCGAGGAAGTTGAAAGCGAGAGACGCGGATGTTGAACAACACGAATTGACAAAGAGGCAAAATACAACAAATGTCTATATCACAATCAATACGTGTTTGCAGCCGGCCTCAAACACCACCAGCAACGATACAAGCAACTCAATACCTCCACAGTTGCAGATGTACGTTTCTACGTCTCCTTCGATTCAGAAGCCCGGGCCTGGAACCGGAGACACAATTGATGTGGATGGCGGATACGCTATTTTCACCACGTTTGGTGACAGTGATGTATATGTTGGGATATCTGGACCTAACACCACGGAGTTTTCTGGCATCTGGAACTATGAGATAGCGGCATCAATCGACGCACCATACCATTGGTGCATGAGAAATGCGACCAATCTTCACTTCGTTGACAGCGATAACCATGCGGCATTGCTGATCACGGACGACACAACCCAGGCCCAGCCGGATGAGACAGTATATCAAGAATGGATGGATCTGAGCCCACCTTGGGGAGTCTTTGCTGCCAACCAGAACGACACAGCCATTCTTGGAGTCAAGAACTCGTTTTGCGGCCTGAAAAACGCGGCCAAAATAGCGGCCAACGTCCCCGGTTTCGAGAGCCAGAATGTCGCCAAAATGACCAACCGAGGACTTGGAGGCAAACCAAAAGAACAATTCTACGTCACGGGCTTGAACGCCACTTCAAAATACTGGGGCTTTCTTGTCATGAACGGCAATTCCACCGCATCCGGGAATGGCATTGTAGGAGGCGGCGGCACGGTTTGGCAAGCCATCACCTTCGAGACAAAAACAGAGGACAATTGCGCGCTGATGTACAACCTTTCATTTTGTTCGGAAGTGGCCTACGCGGTGCCCACCAATCCCCAAAAGTTCCCTCCCACGACCGGCCTGCCGGAATTGGCGGCGCTGTACGACTCGTACGCCTCACAGATGTACCAATACTTCAACTACTCTCTGCAGCAGATCCCCTGCAACACCACTTCTAGCGCGCAATACTCGTTGGCGCGCAACTGCGACGACTGCGCCCGAGCGTATAAACAGTGGCTCTGCGCCGTCAGCATTCCTCGGTGCGCGGATTATTCAAATAACCAAGATCCGTGGCTGAAACCGCGAAACGTCGGTCAGCCTTTTGTCAACGGCTCCAGTATTTCTCTGTCCTCTGGTTCAAACGTCGACCAGGTCCTGCTCAATTCCGTGGCGACCAATTCCTCGCGTAACCCCATCATCGACGAGTCTATCCGCCCAGGACCATACAAGGAAGTCCTGCCGTGCAAGGATCTATGTTACGATCTGGTCCAGAGCTGTCCTGCAAAGTTGGGCTTCGCCTGTCCTCTTGAGGGGGCCGGGCTCGAAGACAGCTACGGCAGCCGTAGCCTCGATTCCGGTGTCATCAGTTGCAGTTACCTGGGTGCCGCGTATTATTTGAGCGGGACCGACAGGATCGTGCCGGTTGCAATCGGAAAAGCTGTCATGATAGCGTTTGTGTTTGTGCTGTGGAATCTGGTGTGAAAAATGGATACTAGTAGACGGCTGTAGAACGTCATTGAGGCGTTTTGAGACACATGTGCGAAAAGAACAACTTCCGGGCGTGCATTTTCTGTTTGCATTGTGGGTCTCAGCAAGCGAGCTACTCTAGTTGTTGCATATGTACCTCAGGCGTTTGGGCAAAAGGGATGGAATGGAAATGAGGACAAGGGAACGATATGATATGGCCATGGCCATGGCCATTGTTGTGGTCGCGGGCATGAAAAGGGGACTAAACGGGAAATATTCAGCCTCAGTTCTGTGGGCGCTTGTGTCATGGATTTGTAGTAGTGATGGGCTGTAATACTACACTGCATGCCTCGATGAACGGATACCTGGGTGCTCTGTGATGTTGATGATATTATACCAATTATAATTAAACGGTAGCTGTGTCTATTTTACTCGGCATGTAGCAGTAGTAGTAAGTAGATGCTGTAGCTTCGGGGGCCGAACCAGCCATGAAAGGCTGAATGGACGGCCTTCATTCAGCATCGAGCATCGAGCATCGAGCCTGAAAGGGCCACGGCGACCAGAACAAGTAGCTACCTTAGGTAGACAAGGCAGTTGAGTGCCTCAGCGTGGGCCGCCGCGATATCATATAATCGTTTATTTGAATGAATGAATGGACAATGGATAGAACCGAATCGATATCATATCGCATCATCTCTTCCTTCTGGGCGTCCGCGCCGGCGTCCACATATCCCCAGCACTACTGCCACCGTCTTTTCCAATGGCACCGGCACCGGCCCCTGCTCCGGATCTCAAGGGTGTGGCACCACCACCAAGTTTCTCCATCAACCGTCTAGCCGCGGGAGTCATGTTTCCCACTGCTGCAGCGTTGTTGGCAGAGGAAGACGCTCCTTTCCCTCCTCCCGGTGTCAAGATTGCCGAACGAGGAGTCCAGGCCCGAAGCCTGGACGGCCCGGAATCGCTGTCTTTATGTCGATCCCTCTCCTTGTCGCGCTTCATCTTGGCCTGCTTCTCCACCATGCGCAAATGCAGTTCTTCGCGCTTGCGCATGTCGCCGATCTTGAACGGGTTGGGCGTGGCATCGAATTGACCGGCCAGCAAGTCGCGATAACTCGGAAGATTGCTGCTATTTTCTTGCACAATGTTTTCCGGCTCGTCCTCGTCGACGAATGCGTATCCGTTGACACGGGGCGTTTCGGCACCGGTACCAGTGTCGGTATCCAGGACCGATGATGATGAGGCTTTGCGTGCGCCTCTTCTGGCATCGTCGCGACGAGCAATGATTTCCGTGTTCAATGAGGGCGATTGCGGGGAAAACTTGGGGTCTTCTGCGTCATCAACATAAAGCATGGGCGGGAACCGGGTGTTTGCATGGACGACATGCTTCGGTCCCATCTTGGACATTTGCTCCTTGTGCTCCTGCACCGTCTGTAGCCGCGGCGCGTCCTCGTCAATCGAGGTCGCGGGAAACATGAGGCTGTTGTCCGGTCGGGTGATGTGCCATGCGTCGGGTCTGGCTGGTCGAGAATCGGTTGCACCCGTCGTCATCATGGTCGATGGCAATGCCATGGCTTTGGTTCTGTCCTCCTCGGTGGGTTTGTTGTCAACCACCGCAGCATCTGTGGATGTTGCTGCTGTAGCTGTCGTTGTCACTGCCTTGGATTTCTCGTCCTGTTCTTGTTCCTGTTGCTGTTCTGATTTTGATTCGTCCTCCCCTTGTTCCTTGAGAAGTCGCGCTTCCCGCGCCTGATGATACGCAATCAACCGCGCGGACGGGATCCGCTGGTCCTGCGTCCACAAGTAAGCGTGCTTCTCGCGGCGTTTTTGGTTCTGTTTGTCGAGCAGGGCGTTGAACGACTCGTTGTCCTCCGAAGTATATTTCGCCTGAAATGCACCGAGCGAAAGACCAGTGGTATCGATTCGTTGTTTTGTACTTTCGTCCTGTAATTGTTGTTCCAGGTTATTCCTGTGTGATACTGGCGTCTCGCCGCCCGCATACTCTCCCACGGGTGTGTCTGCGACATCTTTGAGCGGAGTACCACTAGTAGCAGTCGAACGACGGTCGAATCTTGTATTCCTTGCGGTCTTTTGGCTTTGTTGAGGAGCCCCCGCATGTCTCAACTTGTGCGCCGCCTCTGCGATCCACGACTCGTTGCCCGACTCCAGCGCCGCGAGGTATTCGTGCTGCGCCTGGCTCTCCAGCAGACCAGGGAAATAGTCCCGCGCAATAATCTCCGACAACGCAGCCGTGTATTCGTCTTCCTCGAGGACCTGAGCTGGCCGCTTGATTCGTTTCACTGGGGGTGGCGGTGGCATCAAGGCCAGGTCATCTCGATCTTTCCGTCGCTTCGTGACGGCTGTTTGTGTGGTTCGGGAGGTCGATGCCGAAGACGTAACCAAGGAAGTAGAGGGCACTCGTTCCGGCTGCGATGCTGGTCCAGGCGCCATGCTGGACATTCTTCCTAGGCCACCGACCGCCCTCCTCCGCCTGGCTCACGATCGGGGTAGAGAAGAGACAGAGAGACGACCCTGAGAATGACGGACTGAAAGCGGAAAATCGAACCCTGACTGACAAGTCAAGAGACGAGGCTCCCAATCCGCCCGCTATTGGCGAAGGGGCGGGGAGTGAAGAATTAAAAGTGAGTGTTGATGTAGACCCAAAAGTCTGGAGTACTGCCTGAGTAAGGTATTTGTTGGCTGCACGTGCAAAGGTTGATATTCAGTGACGAAGCGTGGTCCCGCAAATGAGGCGCAACGAGGCTGAAGTTCAGCCTTGGTCGACATCCCACTCTGCAATGTGTTCTACGCTTCCAGGAACGCATATACTGGCACAGCACTGGTATATACGAGCTCATCATCACACCATTGCAAGCTATTGCCCCAGAACTCTAATCCTACTGGTAGCCTGCCGCTGGTGTTCGGCAGATTCATCTCTGTCAGTCGGCCTTGTCGTGCCAATCAATATACTTGCAGCGACCGGCCACTCCAACACCACACTTCAGGCAACACGGTACAGCTGGGCCGAGAAAATCAAGGTAGTCGCGGTGCAATGTTATGGTGGTCTATCTTCCGTGAATTGCTTTTGCTATGCTACATCTTACACTCATCCGCAAAGACAAACGAGATCGTTTGCCCAGAGCGCAGCAATTGCTGCGGCGATGCTTCCAAGATGAACGAAGACTCAATCAACTGTGGTTGAATTTGCTAGCTTCACTCGTCTTCGTCGCTGGCAACCCCGGCAGCGCCAGCTTCCTGAGCTCCCGTCGACTCGGCGGTACCATTCCGACCCTCATGGTCTTCTTCGTCTTCTTCCTCGTCGGAATCGTCGTCGGCAATGGTCCGCAGTTGTTTTCTCTGTCTTGGCCGCGGCTGAGGTTGGACTGCTTCATCCTCTTCATCATCATCACGCCTGTCCACCATCTCCTCGTCGCGATCACGCACATCAGAAGGCGGCGTCTCGGCACCTGCTTCAGGTGTTGCCACTGCTTCCGGCTCATCTTCCAATTCCGAATCTGAGTCAACCACCACGGCAGCCGACTTGTATTTGTCATTCTTTTTCGACTGTTTCGGAGTATTCTTGCGCTCCAGCTTTCTCCGTTTCTTTTTGGGCTTTTCCGCCGTGCCTTCATTGTCCGAACCGCCGCCGCTCATTGGCGTCCTGGACACGGTCCGCTCACTTCTTCCATCCACATCACCATCGTCTTCGATGAATCCATCCTCATCATCTCTCTTCTTTCGTTTAGACCCCCCTTTCTTGGACTTGCGCTTGACTCGTTCGCCGGTCTCGTCGTCGTCGGTGTACTCGGCTGCTTCTCGGGCCAGCGCTTCAGCACGTACTTGCTCGGCGATCCTCTCCGTCTCCTCGATGATCTTCCTCCGCTCTTCTGCGATTTTTCTTGCACGTTCTTCTTCCTCCTCCCTGCGTCTTCGGGCGGCTTCTTCTCGTCGGCGAAGTTCTTCTTGACGTTTCTGTTTGGCCTCTTCCAATTTCGCCGCATTCTCACTCTCGTAAGCCGCCTGCCGCGCACGTTGTCGTTCAAGCTGGTTTCTCATCGTGTTCTTACCCATGGCCGCACGCTGTTCAAGTGCAGTTCGAGGATACGGAGGCTGTTTATGTCGAGCCACTTGCTCGAATGTTTCAATGGCCGCCTCCAGACCGGCAATAGCGGCGTCCACATCTTCCAAAGTACGATCGGTCTCCTTGGCTTGATTGACATGCTGTGCGATCTGGAACTGGATGAAAGCCACATTGAACTGCAAATGAGGAGAGTCGGATTGAGTTGCCAGTGCACGCTTCATGTAGTCAAGAGCGGTGTTCAGAGCAGGAATGGATCTATCAGCCTTGCCTTTCAACAACCATGCTCTTGATAAGCAGGCAAGCAACTGCGCATTCTCGGCCTTGCCTTCCTTCCGCATGGCCAGGTCGTAATTGTCAATCGCCCGTTGGTACTGACGAAGCTCCGTCAAGATGTGGCCCAAGTTGACATTCACAGACGCATCCCGCAAGGTATCCTTGACCTTGGTGAAGATCTGAAGGGCATCCGAATAAGCCTTTTTGTCATCGCACAATGCAATCGCTACACCCTGCGCCGCATATGCATTCTTCGGATCCAGCTGCAGTGCTTTGTCGAAAAACTCGTATGCCTTGGCGTACATCTTGCTACGCTTTTCCTTTTCCTGGTCGGTATTGCGAGGCATGTCCCTGGCGATGGCAAGATGCACATTTCCCATCCCCGTGAGCGAATATAGGTCGTGCTTATCATAGCCTTGCAGTGTATGTTTGTAGTGTCGGTATTCCACATCTTCGGCGACATTGTTGGTTTTCTTCTTCGCGCTATGATGGTACCAGCCCATCAGTGCTCGGACTTCAGTATTGCCATAGTCACTTTGGTACACTGCATGAATTTTCCGGGGACCCTCGTCTCGCGGCGAGGACTCCAAAGCGAGGAAGGCTAGACGGGCTGAAGCATCGGTGTAGTCGGCATGTCTAGCAAGGAGACCTTCATAAACCTTCTGCGCTTCGGCCGTCAGGCCCAAAGCTTCGTAGGTACGAGCCAAATTGTAGGATATCGTGGTCACAAGTGCATCTGTATCACTGTTGTCGACCTCTTCCGAACTGATCTTTTCCTCCTCCACAGCCTTTTTCTCCGCTTCCTGTTTCTCAGTCAGCTTGACGCAGGCGTTGAGAGCGATCTGGAACGTCTCCCGAGCGAGGGAGTACGACTCCTGATTGTACAGGAAACAAGCCATATTGTTGAGCAGTTGCGGAGGAAGGTTTTCGCGTAGTTGACTGATATAGGTCGCTTCATCCTCGCCTACATCCGGCTTGTCCTCGTCAAGAATCTTTTCCAATTGCATCGCCTCAACTTGTTGGAGACATTTAAAGCTCTCCACCGGGTTCTCCAGCTCGTACAAACGCGCCAGATAAAGCAGTACAGACTCATCGGGTCTGACCCGAGATTTTTCATCCTTCCATGTTCGGCGGACGTTCTCCAGAAGCGTGATGGCTTTGCGAGCTGAGGCAGCCTTCTCCTCTTTCGTCGGAGTGTTCTGGGACGAGAACGCTTCTTCTGCATACAAGCATCCCAACAGCGTCATGGCTTCAACATGCCGGTTGAGCTGACCCAGTGATTCGAGGCGAAACTTGGCGCCTTGCAAGTCCCCAGATTGCACCATGATTTGGATGAGACCAAACTTGGCAGGGAAATACCCTTTGTCAAGCCCTCCTCTGGCCTGATCAGATCGAGTGTAGTAATCACTTGCCTTGGCCAGATCGCCTTTGTTGTGCTCTTTGCGGGCCAGCAGATACCATCCATCACTGGCGATGGCGTTGATGTCGGTTTGTTCAATGGCCTTGCGTGCCAGAGGTTCCACCGTGTCATATCGACCAGTCAGCAAGAAGTAGCTCGCAAAAGTCGCACAGCTGAGCGGGAAGTTCTTGTCGATAGTATAGGCTTTCTTCGTGTGCTCACTCATGGCCTTCTTGTAGAGAAGATTGAACTGCGGATCGGAGGCTGGGTACTTCGCACTCTCATGCAGATAATAGACTCCCAGCAGCGCATGCGCAACCTTTGACTCCGGGTTCAGCGCCACTGATCTCTCCCAGGCCATCTTGGCTCTTTCATGAAATCCCAATTGCCAGTAACAGCAGCCGATACCTATCCGTGGGTCCGGATCGGTATGACCAGGCATCTTTGACAAAACCTCCTGATATACTTGGAGAGCGGGGCTAAACTGCTTGAGAAGATAGAGTGTCCTGGCGCGTCCCATTGCAGCCATCATGTTGCGGCCATCGGAAGCTCTCAGAGCATCATCGAAGCATTTCAAAGCCTGTTTGAGAGATTCTGCTCTTTCTGCTTCAGCGCCAGTCTTCGTGGAGGATTGCAAGGATGCTCGAAGAAGATACAACACACCTCGTGTGAGGTACAAGGGAGGATACGCAGGGTTAATTCGAAGTGCATCGTTAATGGTGGCAGTGGCTTCGCGCAGGTAGTGGTCTTTCGTCTTTGCTTCCGAAGACTGTTGAGACTCGGGCAACACACGAGGTGCTTGTCTGCTCTTGAGTAGGTTCAGCCATGCTACACATGTCAGCAGACTCAACCTCTCTTTCGGTCCACTTCTCGACAGCGATCCCAAGCCCTTGACCAGGATCTCGATAGCATGGTCGATTTGTTTTTGTTTCGCATAAGCTAACGCAATTGTTATCCACAAATTTTTAGCCGCTTTCTCGTTCTCGAGTAGCTGGCAGAGTTCTGTTGGGTCATCCAGATTGTCCTCGAGGTTCACTTCGACCGCTTCATCAGCATCGAGACCTCCCGACACAGGAATATCGACCGCAGAAGGAATGTCGGCAAATCGCGAAGCAGCTGTGATCCCCCCATTGATCGCATTTGAATTGTTTGCGACGCTGCCGTTGCTGATGGCCGCGGCAGCCATCTCCACTATCAGCTCCTAAGAGCAACCCGAGAATAGAGAGCCGAATGGAAGTTGGATGCGGAGGGTAAAGTCAAGGCATGTCGGGGAGATCCGCGGGTCGATCCAAGGCTTCTAGCAATGTTCGCCAGGTAATGAAGCTGGCGAACTCACTGAAGATGATAGAGAGTCGACGTGCAAAGAAGAAGCGCGATCACGCGCAGTTGAGGTGAACGAATATCTGGTCTACAGTGATATGTTCGCTGTGAACGCGGACTGGACTGAATGGCATCTCAAAACTTCTCGGCGTACATTCCTGATGTGGAAGCGGCGCGTTCTACACACAACCCGAGTAACTGGTTACGCACATTGCACGCTATGTCGCGAGTACGGCGGAGTATCAGGCCAGCGAGAGTCGCATGCGGCGGAGTGCAAACAAACGAGCAGCATATACAATTGCGGTCAGGGATTGAAACAGCCACTGTTTGCCCCTTTACATGTCCAGGACGTGATGTTATTCATAATCATTCAATCACTAGTATGTTTCTGGGCAGAAAGCCTTGTCTCTTCAATACCGCCCCAATATATGTCGGCGGCATGCCCGTTCTTGTTCCTCTTGCGCCTTTTCAATACCGTAGTCGTTCAGTATCAAAGACTGGGGTGGTGGCCTCAAGATTGATGGTTATGGCACCTTTCTTGTCGATGCTCACATATTCATCTGTGGCCGGAATAACTTTGGCAGTATGCTCTACCTCCTGTCGACTGATGCCACCGGGATCGCGAGGAATCCAGAGACACGGCGGCTTTGCTATAAATGAGGGCGGATAATAAATGTCCGGCTCAAGCTCCTTTGGATATACCGGATCAGGGAGATCAGGCGGTATCATTCGGCGCAAAACCGTGTAGTCGGAAAAGACTTCCGGATGAAGCCAGCGGAGGAAGAAGTTGGATTTCTCGGCTGGATTCGGGGAGATCCAGCGCATCCAGAACGATCCAAACGAATTCCAAGTCGTGATGAGCAGAGGATAGTCTGTTTTCACCTTCTTCTTGGCCCACTTCTTCAAGCCACCTCCCAAAGCATTCATTGCTCCATCTGCGCCCTCTAGAGCCCGGCTGTCACCTGTGTAATGCTCATCCGTACTTGTATCAAAACCTGGTGGGAAGCCGCATTCCTCCAGGTCGTTAGCTGCATTTGCGTGTTGCTGCTCCGGGTGTTTCGACAACAAATGTTCGTCCTCCTCCACAGTCAGACTCTTGGGAAGACTCCAGAGGAGAGGCCCGACGGCATCAAGAAGCGAGATGTGCACAAGGACCGTGACAACAAGGAGAGCAGCAGTTAGGACGACAGGGACAAAGGCGCCTCGCAGGGAGAACAACCCGATCATACAGACTTCTGCAAAATACAGACCCACCAGCATGTGCATCAGGGCTCGAGGATAGACAAGTCCTTTAGTATCAATCTCGGAATCGTAAACGTAGGTGAGGTTATAGCGGTAGACGACATGTAGGAATGCGGCCCCGACGGCCGCAAATCCAAGGATAACTGGAGCTATCAAGGCATAGCTGATGGTGATAACCCCTAGATTGCTGTATACGGGGAAAACGGTCCCCCAATGGATCCGTTGTAGACGGTGCCATCTGGTGTGTATTTTCCGTGGGTGGTTGGAAAACCGCTGAATAACATGGAACTTAAACAGGTTGAAAAACTGAAGTAGCGCTGTCGAGCCGATCGCTAAGCTTTGGAGGAGAAAATATGACAGATAGAAGTTGGATGCTTTTGGAAGATTTTGTGAAAGGAGGTCTTTTGCAGTTGTTGGGTCTTCAAGCAATTTCGTGACAGCAGCCGATGCTGCAGACGTCAAGGTTGTGATCAGGAAGACTTGCACAACCTGGAATGCGAAGTAGGCATGTTGCGTGAACAGTTCGACTCTGGTCAAGGTGGGCATACCAGCAAGTTTTGCACAGTCTGGACAATGTCAGCAACAGCTTCGCTGGAAGTGGGTTCAAACGCACATCTGAGAATACCGGGAACGATACTCATAAGCAAGGACAGAGCGAGCGCCGGTACGACACCGCTCAATACTCCCTTAATCGCTCCCGGGAGGTCACCGACCCATTTTAAGAAAAAGACCTTCTCCGACAGATATTCAATATTCGAAATCGACCCGACGAGGGCAGACGGAATAGCCCAGAATATAATCATTGCGGTGATAAGGGCCATCATCAGGAACTTGCGGATGATGCTCTCCCACCATGACATCGAGAGTGAGTCCCACAGAATCTCAAACGGTCTTACCCCTAGGTACCGCTGGGACATATGAAGAGGCCGATGGTGTGTCAAGGTCTGATAGGCGTTCTGCGCATCTGTATTTGTTTCAAATTCCACAAATACAGAAGGCATCAGATTCCGCGTTTTGAACAATTGCTGTCGACGGACCTGGGCGATTTTGGAATTCAACTTTCCAATTTGCGTTCTAGTCCACTTGATGGTATCGACGCGTCTGCCATAATTCGCGATTGGGCGATGGTGTGGTCGTGCGCTATGTGGGATCCATTGCGAAGCTACCGAGCCATTGACGTCGGGAAGCGGCTTTTCGGTTTCACAGAGCGTGCTGGCAGGCGAGCGAATTGCCTCGGAGATGTTGGCTGGCTTGGAGTTGGGTGAGCTCTGCTCTGTGATTCCCGAAGTTGTGTCTGAGATTGGTCCAAGCCGAGGCGACGCATGATACCGCTCCCTTTCATACTCAATCTGCTGCTTTTGGAGCGCCTTTCTCCTGGCAGCATTGGCCGTTTTGATCAAAGTGAACTCTGCCTTTTCGAGGCGAAGCGCCGTCTGCTCTCTCTCCTTTATCAGCCGATCCAAGTCCGGTGTCTTCTGTGGTATCCATATCCGCCGAACAGATTTGCCGAGGACCCATTTAAGCCTATCTTCGTCAAGATATTGCCGAGGAACGTTCATGTACAGGACAGTCCGCGAAGACAGACGGTTCGCATAGTAAGGCGAGAGGAGATAGGCTTGACGGAGATTGATGTAGTATACACATTCTCGAGAGATCATGTAAAGAATGAAGGCTGTGGTAGAAACTGTCAGAAGTGCCAACACCCATGCCAAGGGTTCACGTACGGAAGTAGACCCACGCCAACAGGGCGTGGGCATACAATCTTTTGCCGCTCACGACATTTCCCAGGGTCAAGCGGTCAAGCTCTGTGTTCCCTGCACCACCAGTAGCATGCAGTGGGAGCAGAACGGGCCATAATAGTGCAATTCCCACCACGCATATGACCGAGAGCACTCGGAGAAAGCGGAGCATCAGGAACCCATCCAGGGACGAATGGTTCAGGACAAAGGATGAAGGAACCCGGTAGAACTCCTTGATCCAGTTGAACCATCCATTAGGAAGGTGAGCGCTTCGTTCACTTCAGGATCGTTAGTCGTGGAGCCAGGGTAGGCTGAAGAGGGGTGGACAAACTGAGGCTCGAGACTCTTCAACAACGCTCGGGGAGCGTAGACCCGCGGACACTTGCGCCGCAGCACCACGAAGATGATAATGCATAGAGCGGACCAGACAAGTACGGGAACAAGTGTCGCAAGGAGGCTGTTGAGAGAGGATGAATTAGAGCCAGCGACCTGCCGTGAAAGCCCTGGGCTGGTGGAATTGTCCCGTGCAGAGCCGACGCGCGGATCTGTCGTGTCCATCGAGAGGATTCATTGAAAGCTTGAAGCCTCTCAATGCCTCGACGTCTAGGATGCCTGAAAAAACAGCATCTGGAAGTGATCAACCTAGGATGCTACTGAAGTAGACACCGCAAAAGCTGTACTCGTGGAGCATAGGGCCTAAGGGGCTTGAGGCTGAACGTTCAATTTCATGGGGTTTCTTTCAGAGCTGTCATGTAGTTATAAGAACCAGCTGACCAGGCCGACCGCGCAGGATTTTGTTGGACTGGAAAGAGTCAAGCGACGCCCGCTCGCGCATGGCAGCTCTTTAGCTCTGGTTGTGCGGCTCCATGACAATCGAGACTTCGGATGGCGGATCGGCGACTGGATAAGGCGGCCAAACAGCGCAGTAGCCTCGACTGTTGGTGAGACACCAATTCCTGTGGCGTCTTGGGTGGATGAGCAGGACGCCAATGTCACCAATCTTCGTCGCGGCTCCGTCGTGGGCTGTCATTAAGACATCCGAAGTTGTACACTAGAGCGCTTTGTGGCGCTTGAGACACCCTCCTCCTTTTGTTAGCCTCACGAACGAAAATCGGTGATATACAGCCCATTGCTTGTACAACATTGTATTTTCTCCTCGACTCTTCATCACCTTGTTCTCGCACTAATGGACTCAATGCTCGCCAAATCGATCGCGATATTGCTCGAGCCGTTGCGCCATGGCCATTTAGTTATTACCTGGCGTCAAAGCCTTGTCGTTCGTCAAGTTCGTTAGCATGCATCGAGAGCGAGGGGAGGTCCATCGGCGCCCGTTTCTAATCAGACCGCTCATCAAGCATACAGCACTAGAGCAGATGCTTAAGGCTTTGTATGCCTCGCCGGAGCTCGCAGCCCTTTTCAGAAGAGTTGTATTATCAATTCTTGCTCAGGCAGTGTTGGCTGTGGCTGGGCTGTGTCGAGGCTGCCTCAACGTCGTGCATGGTACTGGAGTCGACGCCTTACTTTCGCTTCTCGGTGTGCCAGTGCAGCTAGAATTTGATCTCCGGCTTGGAAGGACCATTGCAATGCTTTCGACAATCGGTAAGTACAGCGCTTGAAGTTGATGGAACTGCCACTGCAGGCAGAAGCAGGTGTGACAACAACAGTCTGCGGTAAGGAAAAAAACTGGATTTTGCTCATCTACTAGAATACTATCAAAATCAGCACTTCGGGGCATCAGAAGTATCATCGAACCACTAGCAGGAGCTCCAAGATTCTCACTGCGTCTCCCCAGGCCTGAAAACCTGACACCCAGGTATGACCAATACTATGGGTGCATGGGATGGCAAAAGCTTCACTGAGAGACCACATCCCGGACTCTACGATACATTACTGACTTTCTTTCACTCACGTTCCCAAATATTTGTTGCCCCAGCTACGTTGGGAATGACGAACAACACCAGATAGGCTCGGACATCCAGACCTCAATGTACAAATACGTTGAGCCTTCTTTGAGTGCGATTTTATTCATATTTTGCATCCGCAGAATCATTAGTTTCGAGGCCAAACAGCACTAATATCACACAACAACATTCGACTCCTGCCGAACAAGGTCTCCCCCAACACACAATGCATTGGAATGCAGACAACCTTTCTTTCTCCCACGCCCGTTATTGACCTCAGTCAATCATATATAGTGGAGAGTCCGTATTTTCTGTTTAAGATGGAGCAGTGCAGATGAGGCCTTGCTCGAGCTGTAATGAGAAAATTCAAATCAGTCAACAGCACCAAACCCAAGGTTTGAGACCTCTGGCCACGTCGTGTCCTGCCCACCCGAAAGCAAAGATAACGGAGTAACGATGTTTGACTTACAATAGGCAGCAAGCAGCATCGAGCCCTTTGCCCGATGGCGGCACAGATCTCAGTGAAGTTGGCGATGCTTGTTGGCTCAGTTGGAGCTGTGAAGCACGAAGAAGTTAGCACAACATGTTACCTCATTTCTCCCATGCCACAGCAAGAAAGGCCGGACTTCGCATCCAGAAGAGCCAAGAACTTACGAGGTGCGCAATCAAGGTCAGCAAGGCCGAGCACATCAGTCGCACAGCAGACTGGACTGTTGCTTCCGCTGCAGACCAGAGCGGCCTGTCTGTCCACGAGCATACTCTTGCCTGGAATGGCAGATGCCACGATCGTACTGGCGCCAGCAGCGAGGGCGACGACGACGGTTGAGAAACGCATGACCGAGACTGTTCACAAGAAGGTGGTCTGGACTGGAGGGGGTTTATTGAGGGAGGCTCTGATATTGACTTGACTTGGTGCTTTACTGTCTGGCGAGGGTATGGACAGTCAAAGAGCATTGTCCGTCAGGTCGCGGACCATCGACAGCTTTATACCTCTTTTCCATTCTCCTATCTGCGACCACCAAGGTAAGGTACCGAAGCAACCCTTGGAAAACAGAATTCTGAGCTTTGAGACATTCGATGACGGATCTACAGCCTCTTCGGGGCATTGCAGCACTTGCTCTGGGGTATCCGCCGAAAACGATCGTCATAGCAATGCCCATGTCGAGTCCGTCGGTGTTGTTAAATCAAGGTCGAGTCAAAGTCAGGTTCACGCCGGCGGCCGATTTGCGCAACATCATCAAATCAAAAACCCCATGACGGAAAGTGCCTGCAAGGCTCTACTTACTGTACCACGCCGACGACGAGGCAAGACGAGACGATTGTTGCCCCTGGATAATCTCGGCGGTGATGGACGTCATGTCTCTCAACTACATTGTACCTTGGCTCGGGTCTGCAGATCACTGTACTCAGTGGCAGTGCCATGCCATATCATACCTGCTCTGGAAGGACTGAACCCCAAGTAAGCGTCATGTCGATCAGGGCCGGCTTGTGTTAGTGTACCGTTTGGCCAGTGTGCTGCAGGGCAGTGAATGGTGATGGTGGAGCCGCAGCCGCCGAGGAGTAAACACCGGCATTGAGAAGATACAATGCTGTATGCCCTTCGCCCTGAAATGAAATGGAATGGGGTCCCTGTTCGGTTTCAAGACCTTGCGCCCCGGCCCCCGACTACCGAGTTTGCAGGGACCAGGAACACCTCAATCATATCAGCACAGCAGTACTGGTACTTCTATATGCGAGACGCAATTGCTGCAAGCTCAGACTGATACCGGTACTGGCACCCTATGATTTCTGGGCACTGCAGTACCTACCTGCAGGTATACATCAAGTACCAGGGCGACTTGAATGTGTTTTCCTTTGCTGGACGAATCGAACCAAAAATCTCTGAAATCATTGCAGGTATTCGATGGTCTCTGCCTTCGTCTCCGTTTCCCAGTTTTTTTTGGAAACTTGAAACGAACACTGGCCGGGGTCCATTCTAACCGTCAAATAAGGTTCTGGTCAAGTATTTCCCGTCCCAGTTCCTGGTTCCAGAGCCGACGGGACCATTCGTTCACTGGCTTTACTAGTCCCAGTACTATCTATCCTAACGCTCGAGCTGTACGTAGTGCTGAGCAACTCGAAACCCAACTTGAAGCCGATCATCCGTCATCGGCCGCGGCGGAACTTCCCTTTTCTCTCCTCTCTCCCCACAAAGATCGACGTCAACGGTTGTCGGTGTCAGCCACAGCCCCTTTCCGATCATCAACATCATCGTCTTAAATAAATACTAGTATAGGGTAGGTATGGACGTACCTGAGTGCAAATAGAGGAAAAAAAAGGTAAAACAAATCCAAGTTGTCGTTCGATAAGGTATGCGACCAGGGAACAACCCCTGTGCGTGGATTGGCACCTCCTAGTATGGGGCCCCTCGGGCTACTAGCCTACCCCTATTATTGCAAGGCACTGGCACCAGAATTGCATAGGTACCTACAATTATTATTGCACTTCCCAGTTTCGGCGAGTCGATTCTGTCAGTGATTCTATTATTCCCACAATGTACCGTGCATACTGTACAATGTACTCCCTGTTCTAATCTTGGACCCTGAACCTGGACCTGGACCTGGACCCTTGAAACTCGACTCGACCGACTATCGATTCTTGGGAGAACTTCGAATGGGAAGAACGACACGATTCCTATCCATTGTTGAGCTCCACCACCCCAAGCAAGCTGGCTGCTGGCATCGTCGTCGTCATCATCATCATCTTCTTCTTCCTGCTCCTCCTTGTTGTCGTCGTCGTGAAGAGGGACAACACTATGTCCAGTGTGCGTCATGCCCATCATGCCCATCACCATTGCCATTGAGACAGCAGTAGTATTGACAGTGTTAGAGTTTGACTGGGTGCTACATTATAGGACTGCTAAAGGAGATATTCCTATTCCAGGTTCCGCATGCTGCATACCGGGTACCGACCGAGCAGGCTCAGTAAGAGTACCTTGCCTACCTACAGTACTGTTTAAATCCACCAAGCACTAGTATGGAGCGAGGTCACTTATTGCCATACCTAGGTAGGTAGCTTCATAGGGTATGCCTGTACGGATTATACTATGCTAGGTATGTTCAATGAGCATTACCAGAAAACGACGAGCCGCCACACGAGCTCTTGTCTCGCGTCAAGTGTGGTATATATACATATAATGCATATGTGTATATATTTACCTAACTGGTAGGCACATTCATCAAGATCCAAAGAAGAAGACTCTCCATCGAGATCGCCAGGCTCAAGATCGGTGGAACTAAGCAGAAGTCAAATGCAAAAAGCGAGAATGCATAAAACCAAAGACGTGTGGCCCGGTTGAAATTCGCTGCAAAGACGGTTCGTAGTCGTAGAGTCGTCCCTGGGAAGTGTCCGTTCAATCATATCCTTCATTGAAATTCGTACGATGTCGTGCACAATACCCTTCGCACTTTGGGCTTCGCCTTAAATCAGGACAGCCGTGCGTAGTCCTGCGGATTGTATCGATATTGTTGTTGTTGTTGTTGTTGTTGTTGCTGCTGCTGCTGCCTCAAGCCAGGAGATGAAGCAGGCTTAAAGTCTGGCGTCGGCGGCCCCGGCGACCGCTGTGGTACAGGAACATTCGGGGAATGGTTCTGGAGATATCCATTGCCGGCAGGCAATTCAGCAACAAAGGATCGCTTGTCGAGGCCCGGAGAAGCCATGCCCATACCTCCGCCGGGATCGTGAGAACTCGGATGCGAACTGACGGAGCCCGCGTAGCTTTGTCTGTCCCGATCTGAAGCATTACTGCTGGTCAAGTTGTGCGGGAAAGTGTTCTGGTTAGGCGAGGGCGTGTTGGCGGACATTTCAGATACGGCTTGGGAGAAGCGGTTGTGCAAGGGCAGCCGCGACGACTGCTCGGGCGACATCGCGTATGCTGTGCTGGCGGGCATTTCAATGGCCAGGCCCTGAGGTGGTGGGTAGTTGTGGTTCCCGCCACTGCCGTACTGTGACTGTCGGGAGTAGGGAGAGGAGTATGGGTAGCCCGGAGAGGTGGGTGGCTGTAAGGGATGCTGAGGTTGAGTTGGGGAGAGATGCGACTGCGCCGGCGAAGACTGGAACGTCTGTGATCGATCGGCGGGATTTATGGTCTTGAGTTTGCCATCTTCCATCATCGCACTGAGCTGTCCGGAATCGATCAGTTCGGCTTTCTTGACCAGGCGGTCGACCATGACTTTTGATGCGGCTTTCAGTTCCTTCTTGACAAACGAGATCATGGCCGGGTTGCATTTGATTTCAATGTCTTCTCTCAGATATAGTCCATCCGCCGGCGCACCACTTCCTAACTCCCTGGACTCCGGGGGTTCGCCGGGCTGATTGCCTCGAATCTGCCATTTGTTGCGGATGTCCACGCCCAGCGGAGCGTACACGTGTGTCTGTAGTCCCCATGGCATGTCGTGGAACACTCCTTTGAATGATATCTTGCCGGATCCCATCTTTCCCATCCCGGGGACGTATTGTATCCTCTCGGTAATCTCGTACCATGTGGAAAAGTATTCGTCCGCCGAAGCATTCTGGGGTGCTCGCACCGGCTTGTAACCAAGAACCAGCGGGTTTAGTTCGATGATCTCGCCGTGACTATGGAGCATGTCGATCGCCAATTGTCGCGGGATGTGGGAGGGGATCGGGGTGATGTTGGCGTACACCGACTTCTTCTTCATGTCGATGGCGGTTCACGGCTGTCAGTGTACGAGTCCGTGAGAATGGAATCGAGGAGGGATGTCGCAGCTGCTCGGGACGATAACGCAGTGTTCGTGTGTAGTCTGAGTAGTTTGAGTTAAAGATGTCGGATGTATCAGAACGGACGCACGAACAGATCTATCATCTGTCACTGGGAAGCCCTGCTGACACAGAGGCCGATTTCGCGAGGTCAGCGCACGGGGGTCTTGATTGCGGGTAGAAGGTCGAGGAGGTTTCCACGGATGTCCCGGTCAGAATGCTATCTTCCGGCGGGCATGTTTATGGGCCTTTGCACAGGTAAGAGGATGTCCTCGATGAATTGTGCCAGGCGCAAAAACAGAAAGGGAGTAACAGCAATGGCAATCGTGACAGACAAAGTGACGATGATGGACTATCGTTGTCAGCAACAGTGTTTGAATCTCACGCTAGACCTGGTCGGCTGTGGGCGTATCTCGCAGAGGCGGATGTGCATAGGTACCTCCTCAAGGCCTCACTTGCGAGTCCGGGTTGTTCAATGCACCATGTCATGTTCTCTCACAGACATGGGCGGAGTCGAACTCAACTGGCTATAAAGTTCGCCGCCCACAGAGCATTGTAAAATGGAGAGATAGATGGCACGCCTGAAGCACACCCACCAACGACAGTTGTCCCAGAGGTCGAGTACAGTGGTGGAGCCATCTTGACCTACTGGAGGCAATAAAAATAAATAACTGCTGAGTTACACGACATGGAACCGATCCGATGTCTGGTCTGGTCTGGCACCACTTGGTCCAGCTCAGATCACCTTCAAGCTTGTATCACATTATTTTATCCACTTTTACTCTCGGATCTGGGGCTCTCCATATATTATTGCGGATCCCGGGCCCTCTGTCTGATGCCATAAGGTCCGCCAGCTTTGTCCATCCTAAAAGTCATCGTTCATAAACCGCTGCAGCCACTCGTTCCGCCCAGTCCACGACCGAATCTTCTTTCCGAACACCCTGCGCAGATGTTAATATATCTCATTTCCAGCTCTCCGCAGTCGATGTACTCACCATAGTGGGAATGTCAAGAAGCACACAAAGAGGAACAGTGCCCCCAGGATGCAGAAGACCTTGAGAGCCCCGTCCTGCGCCAACCAGTTGTTGACAAAATAGGTCAGCCCAAATGTCAGTAGGTTGCGGGCGTTGATGGCCACAAATGCCTCCTCGTTCAATTTCGGGTAAGAGTCGATCACGTAGCCGAAAACACATGTCGATGCGAATGCCAGACTCATATTGGCGAAGCCGAAAGTAAGGACTGGGCCGAGCCAATGTGTTTGATAATGGACAGTCGCCCCAAATCCAAAAAAGCCCACGGTGCCGAGGATAATGACAACCACAATCAGCACCAGGCGGAACTCTGGTTCGTAAATGCCCTTGTTCTTCTTGGTTAGGTAGACACAAATCCAGTCGTTCAGGGGACCCGAAATGACCTCCCCGAGCAACGTCAAGATAAATGGCGAGAGACTGATAAGGCCCACCTGTGACACTGAAAAGTTGTAAGGAGGTGCAACGAATATCACCCCATTTACCACTGAGAAACAGACAATCCAAGAAAGCGTCGTCCCATAAATCAAAAAGCCCCATAAGACTGCTGGGTAGAAAAACAAAATGACCGGGCGAGTGAAGATCTTGTAAATGGGGGCGTAGCTATAACGTCCAGTAAATATCCGCAGCGACTGCCAGTAAGTCAATTTGGGCTCCGTCGAACCTCGTGTGGCGGAGTAGGACAGGTGCTTATCCTTCTCTCCGCGGGCCTGAGACAAATCGTGTTCATGAGCGAGCGCCATATGGACATGCTGCGCTCCAGACTTTTCCTCATCGCTGGTTGTGGCATCCGGGACAGGAATGACGACGACGGCATCGCGACGAAATGATGTTTCTGGAACCAAGAACAGGACGCCGATCATGAGGACGCCGAAAAAGATGGCACAGACGCCAAATGTCCACTTGTATCCGTCGTATTCGATGATATAACCACTGACGAGAGCACCGCCAGCAATGCCGGTGAGAAGGAACAAGTTCCACACAGCGATTCGAGTGGCACGTTCATGCACGAAGTAGAGATCTCCTATCGTGCATTGCACTAAGACCTGAGACCGGACGTCAGCACCATGTGACGTTCGACCAGGAAATGTACTCACCTCATAAGGGGCCATGCCGATGCCCGAAATGACTCGACTTGCAAGGAACGAGCTATAGTTGTCGGCTTTAGCTCCCCAGACGCTGCAGGCGAACATAATGCAGATGGCCAGGATATAAATCGGCCTCTTTCCGTAAATCTTGGCTAGCGGGTTTAGGATGAACAGCGCCAGGCCAATGGTAAGAATCAGCCATGCGGTGGCCTGGGACAGCACTTCCACAGTGATGTTAAGCTGGGCCGAGACTTCCACGAAACCTGGAGACAGCATCGGTCCGAAGGCGCCCACGACAGCAGCGGAAAGGCCGACAATGAGCAGGATCATTTCCTTCTGCCATTGAGGCCAGTTCAGTGGATCATTTGGCGAATCTGAAGGCTGTGGGACGAGAATGATGTTGGAAAATCGTCCCTTTCCGTGCTTTAGCTGTTCTCGAGGCACTTCGGCGTACTCGGGTGGCAGGTCATCCTGATCGCTCATGAAGCTACAAAATATCAAAGGTAAGTGTTTGAATCTTGTAAGGCACGCATTGTAGGGGTCCAAACGTACGAGGTGCCCGGCACCACCTCCAGTTTCTTGCAGTCCTTGATTCCGAACGGCATCTTCACAAGGCTAACCTTTTGACCTGGCAAGCTTAGGAGGAGAAAAGCAACGCCGCAGACTCTCGCTGGTTAGATATAAGATTGAATCTCAGACGTTCAGCTTAATTCTTGAATCATGGCTTCGCATGGCACTACCAAGCACACCCTGCTAGGGGCTCGTTTCTCCGCGATAGTCTGTGGGCTTAAACATGCAGAACGATGAAGATGGGGCCAGATCTGTCTGCTGGCTCGTGCCGCAGTAGGCATGATTCGTGGATCAAAGTGGACTGGATGAAACTGGCCAAAGAAATTGTTCAAATGTTGTACATGGTTTCAACTAGACTTGCCTCTGAAAGCCCGCAGCCGGGATGTTCGCACGGGTTTTTGGGTAAACGATGTTTGACTTGGCCGGGGACCGTGGCTCCGGAGTATACCCACCACGACGGCTGCTTCATAGCGTTGCCTCAAAGACAGATGCTAAACAATCATGCTATGTGAGAATCCCAGCCTGCTCCAGGTTCTCCTACCCCAGGTATCCAGTTTGGGAATGGGGGGTGTGTGGCGCGCGTACGGCATCCTCGTGACAGTGGTTGCAAGGAACAGTTGATTCGAGATCGGTGCTAGCCTAGAACCTTACCTTCTACTGTGACGGTGCTCGATCCGAGGCCGCCATATATGGAAGACGTCGGCAGTTGAATAAAACGGTAAAAGAACAATTCCTCCGCTGTATTCTTTGCTGAGAGAGGCGAGCGCAGAGCCGCGACGTCTAGCGAAAGCGAATTTCCGGTGACATCGAGCGCAAATCCAGTGCGGCATGGGTAGTTAGCACGCAGAAATTGAGGTGTGTGGAAACTTGGTCGAATGCTCTCACGGAAGCGTGAAGACTCGGCATAGAACTGGCTTCGGCTTCAGCTTGAAGGCCGAATGGATCTGTGGGGGGATTGTGAATTTGTTACTACAGGTGGTCGACAGGTTGGGACTTTGTTGATCTGTTCATCCGGGAGACACAAAGCGCGTTACGCGTGGAGTGCCCGCGTCGCGTATGACGGCCAACTTCGCAACACCTTGACTGCCTGTGGGCCACCAGCTACAATGTATACGTAGTACTACCTATGTGCCATCGTAATGTACCTGGTATACCTTCTCACTCAATGTGGAGATGAAACTCAACTCTACAGTGTGACACTGGCACTGCACTGCAACTCATCTTCCTTCCCGGCCTGAGGTTGACTCTGCCATACCAGTGCTAGTGTACTACGAGTGGTAGTATCTGAGGAAGAAAGGAAAGAGGAACCACATTGCTCAGGCAAGCTGATCAATCTCCTGAGCCAGCACAGACTGGAGCCCCTTGGTATCTGGCTCGGCCACCGCACTGTTCTTAATAGTTGCACCCTGCTTCAGTTTTTTCAACACCTCATCCACCACTTCATAAGCATGACTTTCCGCGTCGAAATCCAGCAACCAAGCCTCTCGCTTCAGATGTAACGACGTGGGATCCTTCCAGATTTGGTCCCAATCAGCCTTGTGCCACTGCTCTCGCGTTGTGATGCCAGTCTTTTGAGCCCGATGGACACGGTCATAGCGGATTGACTCGTACGCCCGAATGCCCAGCTGCACATTATCCTTGCCCGCCTTTTCGAGGGTAATTGCCAGCGTGACGCCATCTTCCATAGACTGGCTGGCGCCTTGGATCGATGTCGGCAGAAAAGGGTGGGCCGAGTCGCCGATCAGCGCAATCCGTGCCTTTGGAGAGATGAAAGTCGGTAAGGGATCCCGGAAGACCAGCTTGTAATCGACAAGACGGTCTTCCGGAGTGGCGTCGACAATGTCGTGGACCACAGGAGCCCATCCGGCCAGATTCTTCTTGACGTCTTCTTTGTTCCCGGGGAATTGCCAGTCCTCGATAATATCGGCGTCGTCCTTGTGCGTCAACACCCAGCTGAACTCTTTGCCGTTCTTGATCGATGCTGCAAGAAAATGTTTGTCTTCGCCAATCTAAGCCCTCACAAATTAGTGGTGCTTCAATATCAACGGGAAAGAACGATCATATTGCCCAGGACGCGAATCATGAAACGCAGAATCATCATCAAATATGCAAACTTACCCAACCGGCATGTGAATCTCCGTTGACGACCAGATGTTTCGTCCTTTCATTTTTCGCCAGCTCATCAGAAGGAAACCAGGTCCGGTAGACAGCATAGCCCGACGGCTTCGGACGGTCCTCATAACCTAAAACGATCTTCCTGCCTGGCGATTTGACACCTTCAGCGGCAATCACACAGTCAGCCGTCAATCTTTCGCCATTGACAATCACTCCTGCTTCCGTATCGGTCTCAAAGTAATCCGTGACATGTTGGCCAAGCCGGATGTCGATACCCCTGGCTTTGGCATGCTTGAAGACGACGAGATGGATTTCGCCTCGATGCCCATTGATCCGCCTCCCCCATTGTTTCTCCACGTCCCATATTTGCCTCGTAGCAAAGTTTCCCTTCCAGTCATAGAAATCAAGTCCCTCGCTGTGGTGGCTAATGGGCTCCAGTTCGTCGACGACGCCCTCCCATCGCTCAAAAATGTGGCCTGAATTGGATGAGAAGCTGATGATGTCTCCCAGAGGTTTCAGCTCTGAAACTTTCTCCAGCAATGTCACAGAATGACCTTTGCGGTCACATTCAATCGCCGCGCAAAGACCGGCGAAGCCAGCGCCCACTATGATCACCTTGATTCCGGAAGGCGGCAGCCTTGAGTAAGTTGTCATTTTTCAAGCAATATCGCCGTGTTGGCTTTCCTCTTCCGTTCCCAGATTGTTCCTCTAGGCCTACCCAAGGCTGGGATGTCTTTGGGTCGCTTGGGACAAGACACTGACAGGTGGACGATTGACCTTGGGGCAAAGTTGTTTCTCAAGATTGCTTCGAGGCGAGAAATAGAGACCGGCAGATATCTCCGTTGGCTGAGTATCCTGTTTCAAAAATGGACTGATCTTCCACGTTCTCTATCGGCTTTGGTGCTCAGGCGCTCGATCAAGTCAATGCAGTCGATTCGTCCATTCAAAGACATACGCTTGTCTACAGAGACCCAGCTCGGGATATACGACTGTACAGCATGTCATCACCATGGGGTTTGGCCGAAGTCTCTCATCTGCTCAACTGCCGAGTAGCAAAATGGAGCTGAGTCGTGCCTAGGTAAATATTCTACCACACACTGCTGCAGTGGCAGTACACCGTAACTGGCAAAAGAATGACTGGGTCTTCTCCGCAATCCCGCTCTCCGCAAAATGCAGCTGTAGCCGGACCCGCGATTCTCCCACCCTTCGCTGCCCCACGAGTTGCGGATCGTCTCTCCCACTAAAGGCAAACCGGAGCACCAGCCGCATCGGCATCCGCTTGCTGGTCCATTGTACGCATGCCGAGTGCTAACACAAGATGGACGAACAGAGAGACAGAGGCGCAATGGTACTATCCACCCAGACAGCGGCGATTACTATGTGACGGCGGCAGGGTGTTATCGGCCAGCAAAAGCCCGAGTAAGCGCAAGTTCAAGAATCCCTAAGCGGTGGAGGGGTTCGGGAGTTCATCCTGGGTCAAGAGTCCTTGACCATTTCCAGTCATCGCCGAAGCCGCCCTTCTGAATATCCAACCCTAGATACTATCGAGTTCTCATGGAGCAGGAGACATCACGAGGAACCTAAGCACATCGTTCTCTGCTACGCTGAAACTTTGTCCGACATTATCGTTGCAGCGAAAGGATCCGAAGGAACGCCATTTCATCGTTAACTCAGCATTTGTGTTGGGGTTTCATATCCCAATTGAGATTATTTTCAATTGCTCGCTGCAGCCATGGCCTGGTCCAACACCTTCCTGATCTGGTCCGGCGTGACAGCCACGGTCCTGGTCGGCGTCCTCGCTGTGCTGATCCACGACATAATCCTATGGAAACGCATGCCTCCAGGGCCTCGGCCGTTGCCATTCATTGGCAACAGACTGGACGTGCCCAAGAAATACCCATGGATCAAGTTTGAAGAATGGGCACGCACATACGGCCCCATTTTCACGGTATGGTTCGGGCGACGCCCGACGGTCATCATCTCGGACCCCATTGTGGCCGTGGATCTGCTGGAAAAGCGCTCGAACAAATACAGCTCACGGCCGCGGTTTGTCGTCATGGGCGAGATCTTCTGGGACATGTCGAGCATTCTGGTCCAACCGTACGGCAAGGACTGGTCGGTGCGGCGGAAAGCGCTGCACAGCGTGCTGACACAGCGGGCCTTGTTGAATTACCGGCCGGTTCAGGAAGCAGAGGCGACGCGGCTGTGCCATCAACTACTCCAGCGTGGCCCGGTGCCCGACGACCTCGACGACGCGCTGAACAGATACACCTCTTCCATAGTGTTTACCATTGCCTACGGCCATCGCATTGACAGCATGCAGTCGCCGATCATCCGGCAACGCATGAAGATCATGCACTGGAACGCCGCGGTCAATGTCCCTGGACGCTACCTCGCCGAATCGTTCCCAATCCTCAAACATGTGCCGGATGCTTTGGCGCCGTGGAAGCGCGAGGTAAAATCCTGGGGCATGGAAGAGGCCGCTGCCAACGCTCAATTGCTGAATTACGTGCGTGAGGACATGGAGAACGCAAAGAGACCAGGTGCACCGCCTTTGCCCAATAGCCTTGCCAAGCAGCTGCTTGGTGCGCGGGACGCGGATCCTGCGGCGTTTGCATCGTTGCGCGACCGCGACTTCGCTAGTCTACCGTCCTCGGTCTTTGGCGCCGGGGCCGACACCACGTCGTCGACGCTGTCGTCGGCAATTCTGGCTATTGTCACCAATCAGGACGTCCTGACAGCCGCCCACGCCGAGCTCGACGCCGTCATTGGGCCGAACAGACTGCCTGAGTTCGGCGACGAAGCTTCCTTGCCTTACATCAGGGCATTGTGCAAAGAGGCTCTGCGATGGCGGCCCGTAGCTGTCCTCGGCGGCACGCCGCACGCCACCACCGAGGCAGACGTGTACCAGGGCTACTACATCCCCAAGGGGACCAACATCTTGGGAAACAGCTGGGCAATCAACCGCCACGAAAGCTACTACCCAAACCCGGATCACTTCAACCCGTTGCGCTTTCTGGACACGGACCCGCACGACTTGGGCTATCTGCCTGCCTCGTATCTAGCCAACACGCCTTTGGAGAAGGGCCGGCCACACCCCAGCAAACTCGGCCACAGCAGCTTCGGATGGGGTCGACGTATCTGTCCTGGAGCCGATCTGGCGTCGGCCAACTTGTACATCGCGCTGTCACGCGTGCTGTGGTGTTTCGACATCAAGCCCCTCAAAGGCGTGGTGTACGACACCTATGACTACACCGACGGGTTCAATACTCGTCCGAACCCGTTCAAATGTGAGATCAAGGTGCGAAGCCCGCAACACCAAAAGGTCCTGCAGGATGCATTTGCCGAAAGCCAGAGCTACCTGGAGAAGTATTTCCCGCTGTTCAAGGAGCATGAGATTGTGGTTTGAAGAGATCCAAAAAAAATGTTTTGCGACTGGTGTGCCGATCAAGGCAGACTGGCCGCATAGCCCTCATTGTGCATAATATCGTGTCTGGTGGCAGAAAATGCGTAATTCTGGCCGACCCCACTATCTTGCTCCCTGCATTCTTTTGATTCTCTCCTCGGCAGCCCTGGCTCTCCTTTCTCTCTCCAGCCTCATTTTCATCTCAGGGGTCAGGCCTCTGGTCTCTTCTTCGCGTTTCTCTGCGCCAGTTTTCTCGATTGCTGCGGCCAAGGTCTTGCCGGCCCCGGCCTTCTTTTCGATACGGTTGACATTGCGGCGTTCTTCCTCCTGCCGAATTTGCTCTAGCTCGGCTTTCCGACGTCGAGCCTCAGCGGCTTCCGAAGCCGCTTTCTCCTGTTGCGCCTTTGCGTCGGCTTCTTCTTGGCTTAGAGGTGCTGGGACACGGGCTTGAGTCCAGTCCCATGCGCTCTCTCCTAGTTGGTGGCGCGCGATGCGGAACGCATCTCTCGTCTTGGTGTCGCCCGCAATCTCGTATGGCGTCTTGCCGTCGCCATTTTTGATCGTGGGATCCGCCTTTGCTTTCGTAAGCAAAGCCAACACCAATGCAGGAGAATTAGTCGCCGCGGAAAGGTGTAGGAGTGTGGGTGCGTGGTGGTGTTCGCCTGGGGGGAAGAACGCAAAGTTTGGTGACAGTTGATTCTTGGTCAGATAGAGTAATACACCTGGCGCCTTTGACCGGCGGATCAGGGCTTGTAGTTGAGAAGTATGGAATTGAGCTGTCTCATCCTCCTTGCTAAGCTTCGGTGCTGATGATGCTTTTGTTTTCGTTTCCTTGGGAGGGGCCTTCTCAACCGGCTGCTTTTCGGCAGGTGGTTCGACAAGCTTTCCCACCTTTAATCGGGTGAGCTCGTGGAAGGACCGGAGAAGCTCGGCTTGCGTGGCTCGACGAGTGCTGAAAGGAAATCCGCGAATGCGTTTGTCGTTGCTCCTCAACACCTGTCCATCGTATGGTCCAAACAGTGTTCTCCTGTTCGCGCTCCCCGTGGCTCGGATGAAAAGCAATTCCGCACTGTCAATCATGTCCTTCCACTCTGCTAGTACGTGCCTGACATCGGCTTCCAACGCCATCTCATTGTACCGTCGTATCGAAGAACCGGCAGAGTGTGCATTGCCCTTGGCGTTGTCGTTCGCTGATTGAGCCCCGCCTTGTTTTCGTCTCGTCGTATACCGATGGAAAGTCTTGTGCGCTCGAACCACCGCATGGCGCTCTTCCACCCCTCCAGGCCCCTTTCTCAGCTCCGGGACGAGTGAGACAATCATGGCTGCGAAATGGCCGCCACCAATCATGCAAAGAAACCAGTGAGAATCGTCCTGCGAAGAGGATTGAGGCCCGTGTCCGTTTGCTGCTGGTCCTGGGTTCCCGCCGCTTGCCTTTGCGAAGGTGGGTTTCACTTGTTTGCCATTGATAATGTCCACCAGCGACGTCGATGTCCCCGCCAGTTTCTCCTGATCCTGGGTGGTCAAGATAGCTTTGTACACTCCTAGCCCGACATCGCTGCCGGTCTTTGGACTTGTCAACCATAGCAGCGGGGCGTTTCCCAAGCCAATCTTTTTGGACAACGGCGTCACATCTTCATCATCCTTCGTGGTGGTGTCCGATATTTTTGCTTGCCTCCGTAGAAGGGCGGTCAGAGTGGTGTCTCCGAGTTTGCTATCTGCTTCGCCGTCGTTGTCATCCTCCGACTCTTCAGATGATTCTGAGCCAGACAGTGATTCGTCCAAATCCCCGATCAGCCTCACAAAAGTACTTTCGTCCACTGGCGGCATTCCCTTTATGCTCAGCTTGAGGTTGTACCGGTGGAAATCGGATTTGACGTGCTGTCGTTGGTCCTGGACATTGTCGAAGGAGACTCTGCATAAAGCGCATGAGGTGGAAGTGGAGGATGTAATGCCATCCTCGTTGGGTGCGGGTTGTCGTGGCGCTGTAGTAGTATCAATGGGGTCTGCCGCCTTGGGCTGGTCTCCGCCGACTGGGGTGAGACTGTGAAGAAGTTCGGGTGGGAGATCATAGACTGGCAAACGTCAGTAAAGTTCACGCAGAGCGAGACCGGGCTATCTCACCATAGAGCGGCCGCCGGAGAAGTGGATGGGTGTCGGGTTCCTTTGCGGCCATCGTGGCCTCGGTGGGCGCTCCTGCTCAGCGAGGTTTCGTAGCAAGGTAGTGGAGTTTGTCGGAAGGCAGTTGTCTAATTGTGCTGCCAGTGGTGTACTACTGTTGCGAGGTACAGCAAACTACCATGTATTTTCATGCCGTGGCACAGGCAGGACTGCCAGTGTTGTAATAAAAGGCGGCAGTGCGTCATACACGCCTGAGTTTTGTATCCGTGGCAGTCACATGTTTTCGTGTTCGTGGCTCGGCTGCTTAACGCGTCGGCAGCCTTGCGCGTTGCCGCTTTTGGCCGACACCAGCACAGCTTCATCAAGTTTTGAAGCGTGTGCAGTGAGAGTGTTGGTGCACACTTGAGACATCCTGATCCACCACTCAAATCAGTGACAACCTACTACTAGTAGTACAACTGTTGACCTGCCTCAAGCTTAGATCGGCTGCTTCAAGACAACTACCACCAACACTGCCACCACCAGTAGCACCACTGTGGGGAGCGATAGCCGATCTTACCTCGACTACCTCTCCTACCCTCTGCTTCCCTTGTTCACCTGCCGAGCAAGACGCAGCTGATGCCTTGGATTCTCTGCCTTGTACTGCTTCATTCCTCAGGTGGATATATATCACCCGGCATTCTGCTAGTCTCCTGAAGACTTCTTGTCCCTCTACTACTGACCCAACCTCCCACTGATCTTGTCTAGCAAAAATGCCTCGCAAGAAAGCCTCCTCCCCGGCTCCCAGCCTTTCCTTGTCGGGTATTGCTATCACTTTTGCTTCCTACTCACCCACTGTTCATTCCTATCTTGAGGAGAAGACCGTCCAGCAGGTAAAGGGCGACATCGCCGAGTGCGGTGGCAGCTACACCCCTCGGATCGATCTATGCTCTCATTTCGTCGCTAGTCAAGATCAGTACGACAGAAAGCTCAAACGCGTCGTCGATGCTGTGGCCAATACCGACGTGGTCATCGTCAGTTATGACTGGCTGGTGGCTTCGCTCAAATCAAAGACACCTGTCAGCACCGATGGGCACGTCCTTGTCCCGGCTGGTGCTGATAGTGACGGCGACGCCGAGAGTGATACAGACACTCAGCTCCCCAAGAACCCAACCACACCTCTGAAGCGTCGGCGACAAGATGATGATGATGACGATGAACAGGATCTCGCGCTCACCAAGAAAGCAAAACTTTGTATTCCGGCTCCATTTCCGACTATTGGTGATGAAGCAGAAGACGATGAGGAAGACACAGCGATTGCTAAACAACCAACGATCAATGTCCCTGTGGACAAATTCAACAGCAAGCATGTGGAGGGACACCGTGTTTATGTCAGCGACAACGGAGTCCCTTATGATGCCACGCTCACCTACTCCCATTCTTACCATAACAACAACAAGTTTTACAGGATGCAGCTATTGGTCAACACAGAGACTAATAAATACCACTGCCACTGCCGCTATGGCCGCGTCGGCGACAATGGACAATCAAGGGTGCTTGGGAACGGTACGTTGGCAAATGCCATTCGCGAGTTCGAGAAAAAGTTCAAAGAGAAAAACGGCAATGTCTGGGAACACCGAAATAAGCCTCCGGGTCCACACAAATACACCTACATCGAGATGAATTACGAAGCTTCTGACGACGAAGAGGAACAAGATGACGATCAGCAACCAACTCCGCAGTCCAAGCGGGCCAACAAAGTCAAGGATGTGCCGAAGATCGAGAGCAAGCTGCCAGAGAGTGTGCAACGTCTGATGAATCTCATCTTCAATAACAAACTGTTTGAGAGCATCATGGTTGACCTCGATTATGACTCAAAACGCATGCCGCTCGGGAAGCTTAGCAAGAAGACTCTTCTCCAAGGCTATGAGGTCTTGAAGGAGCTTGCGACTCTGATTGCAAATCCGGCTCCTGTGTCTTTGTCCTACAGCATAGATATCGAGAGGAAAAGCAACAAGTATTTCTCGCTCGTCCCACACGTTGTCGGTCGCAAATCGGTCCCGGTTTTATCCACATTGGGTCTCATTAAGGCGAGTGACTCCGAAAAACTCCCTCTTTTGTGCTTTTTCCATCTGGTAAGCAGGCTGACGATATTTCTTCTAGCGCGAGATCGAGTTGTTGGAAGCCTTGACAGACATGCAGTTGGCGAACGAGATCATGAAGGCAGCAAATATCGACAAGCCCACCAAGCAGGAGAGACTCCACGTCATTGATCGACAATATGAGAAACTCGGCTTGCGGGAGATGACGCCTGTCAAGAACAACACCATGGAGTATCTTGAGATATTGAACTATTTGAGACACTCGGTGGGTAACACTCACGGTTACAAATATCAACTCGAGGATGTTTTTCGCATCGAGCGTGACGGCGAAGCGGACCGGTTGAATAGCTCACCGTATGCGAAGCTCGGTCGAAAGAGTGATCGGCGTCTCCTGTGGCATGGCTCGCGGTGCACCAATTTCGGCGGTATTCTCAGTCAAGGTTTGCGAATTGCACCACCGGAAGCACCGTCGTCGGGCTACATGTTTGGAAAGGGCGTCTATCTGGCGGATATGAGTAGCAAGAGTGCAGGCTACTGTTTCCACACCAACAGTGGCGGCACCGCACTGTTGCTGCTCTGCGAAGCCGAGCTGGGAGCCGATCCATTGCGACTAGCCCACTCTGATTACGATGCAGGAGAACGAGCAAAGAAAGCCGGAAGTATCTCCACCTTTGGCATGGGCCGAACCGTGCCGCAGCGTTGGAAGGATGCCTCGTGCATTCACCAGGGGTTGAAGGGTGTTAAAATGCCTGATGTTGTCACGAAACCTGCCGGCCCGTCTTCTGAACCCAACGCCTCGCTGCTTTACAACGAGTACATTGTCTACGACGTCGCTCAGATCAAGCTTCGATATCTGCTGCGAGTCCGGATTAATTGACGACCACGTTGCAGTTACAACCGAGCCAGTCGAATGTTTCCAGTCACGACTCACCCCGAGCTTTGTTCTGTGTCTTTTTTTTCTCTACTTCAGCAACAGCATTGAAGCGTTGGGTCCGACTAACTTCAGTGAGTGGTCACGCACGCCGACTCACTTGGCCTCGAGATGGTTCGACCAATGAATGTCTCGCTCACATGGAGACCCGAGAACAACCCAAAACTTGTCATGATGTGGCAGCAGCAGACACCTTCATGGACCACAGCACCTTGATCATCGGCGAGCACACCACTCAGAGCTAGGTGGGATAAGTTGGCTGGCTAGCTTTCATCACAAACAGCACAGTCAATGGGTGACATGAAGTCCTTTTTATTCTCTCCTGGTTCCCAGCACAATTCGTATTGTTCCTGTTTGTTTCGTTGATCCTATTTTGCTTGCTCTTGTTCTTCTGCCGCCGCTCTTTGGTACTATTGTATTCCTGCTTTCTGTTTTTGACCCTCGTTGGTGGTCTTATTGTACGTCGTAAAATTTGAAAGTTTGGAATCTGAGCGAGAAACCCCAATTTGTTCCATCATTTATCGTTCGATGGCTCTAACATAACCATTCCTAGCCATGCAAGTATTCATTAGAAGGAAGTCTCGGACAGTATATGTATGTATCGAAGAGGATGATGATTTAAGAATTGATATACCCTTTGAGAATGATTCAGCAATATATTCATTCACTCCGTCAACTCCATTCTATGTATTCCCCTTTGCTTGTCATTTATTGATTGTGTTCTTTTGTTCTACAGTACAGCCGAAAAGCAAGGAAGGAGCCCCTCCATTGCAGGGTAGATAGTAGGTACTTGTACAAGGCAAGACACTTCGGGACTAGATGAATATCTTTGTCCTTTTCCAGAGCTTTTTTTGGTTTATCTGAAATACAATACACCATCCGATTCGGCCATCCATTCATCCGGTCGGGGCCATCCCGTTCAGCCAGCAGTGGCTGCAGTGCTTCGCACTATGTCCTCCGAATTCAGAAAGCAAGAGCCAGCTAGCTACTTCGATCGACGACGCAGTTAGAGGCAGAGCAGCAGCTTTCATGGATAAAAATGACGGTGACGCTGAGAGTCATGATGTGAGCATCCATTCATCCATCCCACCGCCATCCCATTTCATCTTAACCATAGAGCATCAAGTTCCGGCTATCCAGACCAACATGTACGGCGGCGGCGGCGGCGGCGATGATGCGAGGACCGGCGGCAAGTCTTCCATTCCCATCCCACCGACAGGGCATTCAAGCCACCACCGGCAGTGCGCGTCGATCCATGATGCGGATATGTCTCTTCACCGTCGACGCTGTCTCGTGGTGGTCGTCGGGGCAGGGAGTGCTGCTGTTGGCGCCGTCGTCCACGGCTCTTTTGTTGTTCTTGTTGAAAAGGCCGTTGATGAGGCTGAGAGCGTCGTTGAGCAGAGTGGTTACGGTGTTGCCGCCGTTGTTGTTGGTATTTCCATTGGCGTTGGTGTTGCCGTTTCCGTTGGCGCTGGTGGTACCAGTGTTGGTGTTGCCATTGCTGTTCTTATTGCCATTGCCATTGGTCTTGGAGGTGTTGCCGTTGTTGTTGTTGTTGTTCTTGCCATTGCCATTTCCGCTGGTAGTGGTGGTGCCGTTGTTGGAGGTGGCGGAGGTGGTACTGGCTGCGGCAGTGGCATCTGCGGTGCTGTTGGAGTTTGCGGCAGCAGCAGCGTTGGCGGAAGTAGTGGAGTTGGAGTTGGAAGTGTTGGCATTTGCGTTGTTGTTGTTGTTCTTGTTCTTGCCGGTGCTGTTCTTGTTGGTGTTGGTGTTGGAGTTCTTGTAAGCGTTGCCGTTGGTAGTGGTAGTGGCAGTGGTTGTGCTGTTTCCAGTTGTGTCTGCGTTTGCATTGGCGTTGGCATTTGCGTTGTTGTTGTTGTTGTTGTTGTTGTTGTTGTTGTTGTTGTTGTTGTTGTTGTTGTTGTTGTTGTTATTCTTGTGCTTTTTGCCGTTTCCGTTGCCGGTGGTGTTTCCGTTTCCATTTGCGTTGGTGTTCTTGTTGGTGTTACCAGTTGTGTTGCCGTTGCCATTGCCATTTCCGTTGGTGTTCTTGTTGGTCTTACCAGTGGTGTTACCGTTACCGTTACCATTGCTGTTGTTATTGTTGTTGCCATTGCCATTCTTGTTTCCGTTATTGCCATTGTTGTTCGATCCGGTAGTATCTGTCGAAGTGGCATTTGCGTCTGTGGCGGCGGCAGCGGCAGCAGAATCAACAGCTGTAGCAGTGGCGCTCGCAACGGCGGCTGCGGCAGCGTCATCGGTCACACTCGCAGCAGTGGCGGTACCATTGGCTGCTGCGATGGCTGCGGCATCAGCAGCGGCTGTGGAAGCGGCAGCAGTGTCGCTCGCGCTGGAAGCCACGGCGCCAGCATCTCCATTGTTGTTCTTGTTCTGTTTGTTGTCGTCCTGGGTGTGGCGCTTGTAACCAGGAGGGACCGTAACAACGTAACCCGAGACGGCGGGGACAAAGATATTGGGAACGGCCACGAGGGCACTCAAGGCAAATGAATGGTGGTTGTCCAGCAGCTGTACATGAGCAAAAACCGATGGCAAGACGAAGAGTGAGAGGGACAAGAGAGCGGCGAGGAATCGGGCCATGATTGAGTTTTTGTGATCGATCGGAAAGTGATTTCTGATGGAAAAAGGGAGGGACAACCTGTGCCTAGCTGAAAGGATTGAAAACCGACAAGCGTCTCTTTTAAAACAGGGCGCTGAACTGCGAGGGAATGAAAACCAGGACCGGCCTGTCAGTGTAGAGAAAGAGATAGATAGGCGCAGGAATGAATGGGGAGAGAAAGAACAAGAAGACCAGACTCGACGAAGATGCCAATTCATATAGGAAAAAGTAACGGCTTCGTAGCGGGCGAGAATTGCCCTTGCTCAACGTTGACCGGGATGTTCGTCTGATGCACGGCTTGACACGGACAGCACCACTTTTCTCTCACTGTTTAAGCTGCATCGCTGCAGACCACCAAAGGACGAACCGAGTCTGACCGCAGCAGGACCCTTGCAGACTGTAGACTTTTCGCACCGTGGTAAACAAATGGTGTGATAGGGACACCGTGACGAAGAAATGGATAGTTTGGTAGGACCCCAGCAAGGGATGGACATTGCCTATTCGAGACAGATACATCCTTGCAACTTGTCTGATCGTGCGAGTGATGAGGCAGAGACAGTATGGGTACAGCTGCCACGTCCATGGCAAGGGTCTGGATTGGTCGAGAGTCCAAGCCTTGAGACAAGGGGCGTTTGAAACGTGGGGAGCGACAAGGCTGAGGATCTCGGATGCCCGGGAACTTGAAACCTGACGCGCAAACCGTTGCAACGACAAGTCTGGTCCTTTCTTGCCAAATACTCTAGTCCTATGAGGAGGGCTAACGGCAGTATTGGGACATTGGCGCACCGTTACAGCGGCTTGACTCCGTGCTAGTGATCATCATTGTAGTCGTCATAATGTGTAGGGCAAAAGGCGCGAGGCGATTTTCGTGATAACTAAGTTTTGCTGCATCGCTAATGGGTATCTCGTGTCTCGTCAAGAAATTCTGTTGTACATGATGTTACAATTCGTGGCCAATCAGTCGCCACCGAGTCTGCGGCCAGCGCCTCTACCGCCCCAACTACCTGTGAAGCCGCTGGTCCAGCCACGACTCTGTTGTGGAGGGACAGGCGGTCCAGGTCTAAAGGCACTGCCGTATGCTCTATGAGTGAAGGCACTTCTGTCGGCTCCGAAAAACCGCTTGATCGCCGCCGGAGTTTGAATATAATTCCTTCCGCCTTGGAAGGTCGGGTAAAGCCTTGTGAGGAAAACGTACAGGTGTGCAGCGACAACACCCATGCCTTGTTGCAGCGCTGCCTGTGGGCCACCCATAATCAAGGTGAGCGTGAGCATAGCCCAGGGCAGAAACTCCACCGGGATCTGGACAATGACAAAGTGGGCTCTCTGGCCACGGTTGTCCTGTGCAAAGGTGTAAATAAAAGCGAGGAGTAAGGCTTGGGTGAAGATGACGCCTCCCAACAGTAAGCCTCCAGTCGCCTGTGATAGAGTCAGTAAGTCGAACTCTCCAGGCACGAAATTGGTGATTTCGTCAAAACAGTATATATATCTGTCGATGTGGTTTTGGAATGTAGGAGGCATAAACCGCCATGCGCAAATTGATGTATCACGAACAGCTTTCTCAATACAGCCCCCACCATGCCTGCACCACATACAGTCCTTTTGACAGATTGCGAATGATGGATCTGTATGCGCCGCAGGGGTAATCTCCCTCGTTTCCAGGAACCGCTTCAGCTAGGAGAGCGCTGGGCGGGCAGATATGCGAGGTGTAATAGTAGACGACAAAGCAGGTGGGAGGGTCGGGTATGCACAACAAGAAACGCTTACCAGGATGATGATAGAAACAAAGGCAACGTAAATGAAGAAGTCTCCTGGTTGACTGAACCGTGGGGAGTTGAGTTCCAGCCCAGAAGCGTAAGTCCACACTTCACACTGTTAGAACAGAGCCATATCTCTCAAGAAGAGACACAGTGGCTTACTGAAATAAAGGTCGAAGACGAAAGAGAAGCCGCCTCCAGTCAAGATGAAAGAAGAAAGCAAGCGCCAGAGCTCAGGGGGGAACTTGAAGACAAACGACGGGTGGAATATGATCCACATGGGACTGAGGAGACCTGAGTGTACAAGAGCAGACTCTACAAACATGGCAGCCACAATGGTCCTGGGAATCAGGTCAGCATAACAAGCTTTGCAGAAGAAGGGATGAATGAGAAGGAGTACTAACCTGGTGACTGGAGGGGCACTCCAAAACCTGTCCATGATATCGACGCCAGTACTCATCCAGCGAGTAGCATCAAGACATCAAGAGAGATAAATCCCAAGACTGCAAGCAGCAGTAATAAATAGCTGGGAATGTTGACACTGTGTTCAACTACGACAGCTCGACCTGGAGTTTTGCGTTGGAGAACTTCAAAAGAAAACGGTGGACAAAATAGAACATGCTGCGCTATCACCGAAGGAGACAAGATGCCAAGGGCGGTAGAGACTAGGACCAATGCAGACTAGTGGCCAAATTCACGCAGCTCCGCACGAGACTCGCTGAAAATGAACTTTTTCCAACCATCGCATTTCACGGCGATTGATTGCATCTGCCTTTGCCGCGGGACCTTGTATTCGCTATATTGCGGCAGCTTTACACGCGTACCCGATATCAAAAGCCTCCAGCTAGGTGTTCTCATCCAGAGTTGCACCCAGGACCGCTCTGCGACTGGAAAAGAGTCGGGCAATACCATCATCCGCCGGCCGCCTCCAATTCCACCCGACGACAATATCTGATCGCCAAAGATGGCGCAGGTCCAGAAGATCGAGCAGGGCGATTTCAGCATCAAGCCTGAAAATTCCACGCCTGCCATCCCTACCTCGGAGTGGCCTCTGCTGCTCAAGAACTACGATAAATGTGGGTGTTTGAACGAACGTCTAGTTCAGCCGGTAGCAAAACAGCTAATTGCTTTTCTGTCAAACAGTACTCGTCCGAACTGGTCACTTCACTCCTATCCCTTGTGGCTGCACGCCGCTGAAGCGCGACATCAAATCCTACATCTCGTCCGGCGTGATCAACCTTGACAAGCCCTCGAACCCATCCAGTCACGAAGTCGTTGCGTGGGTCAAGCGCATTCTCCGAGTAGAGAAGACCGGACATAGCGGCACACTCGACCCCAAGGTGACAGGATGTTTGATTGTGTGCATCGACCGAGCCACGCGGTTGGTGAAATCCCAGCAAGGTGCTGGAAAGGAATACGTCTGCGTCATCCGATTACACGACCGGTTACCAGGAGGCGAGGCCCAGTTTGCGCGAGCCCTGGAGACCTTGACCGGTGCTTTGTTCCAGCGACCTCCGTTGATTTCGGCCGTCAAGCGACAACTCCGTATCCGAACGATCCACGAGAGCAAGCTGTATGAATTCGACAACGACCGTCACCTCGGCGTGTTCTGGGTCAGCTGTGAAGCCGGAACCTACATCCGAACGCTGTGCGTGCATCTCGGCCTGCTTTTGGGAGTCGGCGCACACATGCAAGAATTGCGGAGAGTACGAAGCGGAGCCATGGACGAATCCAAGGGCATGGTCACTTTGCACGACGTCCTCGACGCTCAGTGGATGATGGACAACAACCGAGACGAGTCGTACCTGCGGAAAGTCATTTCGCCCCTCGAGAGCCTGCTCACCACGTACAAGAGGATCGTCGTCAAGGACAGCGCCGTCAACGCCGTCTGCTACGGTGCCAAACTGATGATTCCCGGTCTCCTCCGCTTCGAGGCCGGCATCGAAGTCCACGAAGAAGTCGTCCTGATGACCACCAAGGGCGAAGCCATCGCCATCGGTATCGCGCAGATGTCCACCGTCGAGCTTTCGACGTGCGACCACGGTGTCGTCGCCAAGGTCAAGAGATGTATTATGGAAAGAGACTTGTATCCTCGCCGATGGGGCATGGGTCCTGTGGCACTGGAGAAGAAGAAGTTGAAGTCTGATGGGAAACTCGATGTAAGTGTTCTGGTTTGGCCTTAACCTCCTCCACAACGGTAATACTAACCATCCCGTCTTCGTTGCAGAAATATGGCCGTCCCAACGAAGCCACCCCGGCCAAATGGCAAGAGCAATACACCGACTACAACGCACCACTCACAGCCGAAGGCACCGCTGCCGCCCCGGTCCAGGAAAAGACCTCGCAGTCTGATGTCCTGGCCGCTCCGCCCGTAGCCCCGAACGGCGAGACAGCCGAGTCCATGGACCTGGACACCAGCACCGCAGCCGCGACTACCAACGGCGACGCTCCTGCTGCTGAGGGCCCCAAGGACGCCAAGGAGAAGGACAAGAAGCGCAAGAAGCACGACGGGGAGACGCCCGAAGAGCGCGCCGAGCGGAAACGGAGGAAGAAGGAAAAGAAGGAGAAGAAGGAGAAGCGCAAGAGCGCCGCCAGCAAGGCCGACGACAGCGATGACAGCGACTAAGCGCTGCCCTGTCCGTCTCGTATCATGTGTTTTTGTGTGCTTGTCTTTTCTACGGTTGCTGGTGTAAAAGGATATCTGTGTTTGTTGGTGTGCAAGTAGTAGTACTATTATCTCCCTTAGTATGAGCTGGTTTGGCTTTGGCTACGGATGTGGATATGGACATGGAAAATGAATTTCGAATTGAAATTGAGATTCTCAGATCAATAAAAATTGGAAATCTCCGCTGTTGTTGCTGCTGCACTGAAAGTGCCTCCATCGGGCCTCAACTGCCATGCAATAATACGATAGGCCAACCCGGCGCCCAAATCATGCCATAGCATTTCGTGAAACGTAGGGTCAAAGGATAAAAAAAGGTAGAGATCTTCAAGAAAACAGGCAAGCTGAAACACCACATGACATTTCTCAACCCTCAGAAGCGCCATAACAACGCTCGTCATGTCATGTCATACTAGTAGTATATGGAATATGTGAAGAGAAATATCAATTATGGTCAATAAAATATCAAAACAGCATCCCGTCCTGCACAGGTACATATAATATGCTTCGTGTGGTCGCTCAGGGCACTCATTAGCTGGTCTTCTGTTCAAGCCTGTCCTGGAACTGTGGGTGCAACTCCGAAGTGAAGTACCCAAGACCAACATACTGCTGACCGGCTGAGGCAGGCCAGAGGCTCTGATTGTAGGTTGGGAAAATGGACCACTGTGGTTGATGAAACCCGTACCCGCCTTCCGCTCGTACCCAACAAGTACAGACCTTCCAGATGCTTGCATGCAACAGGCGTAAATAAACGGGACAGCGAGTGAACAGGCAGAAGTCGCTTTTGCGGCTGTAAAGAATGCAGAATCGAGTCGTCAGACGTGGCGTGATAGGAACGACAGGCCAAGGACCGGTCTTTCCAGGTAAGAGAAGATTGCCTGCCAGGAATCTCACATAGAATCAATCGAATGCCGCATGAATCGGCCTCTCGTGATCACACGTGTATCCTTCCGAGTGTCGAAGATTGTAATGCAATATCTGAGCCAAACCTGGTCTTTGCGCTCACTTTTGGGAGAAATCGCTTCATTAGAGTCGTACTCGTGACCGGTAGCACGAGTGGGTGCGTCGAGTCGTATAGTATCCTTGTGGGCAGAACGGACATACATAAGGCGAACCGTAGCGCCTCGCAAACGGAAAATGGGGTACAAGGGCTAATAACCCTCCTCGCCGGCTTTGCACACTTTAATCTCTCTGCCCCATTCCGACTTCAGGACTTGCGAGGCGGTGATGCGACGGCTAGGATTGGGATCGAGGATGGAATAGATGACATTTCGACAGCGCGCCTGTTGTTGCATCCCGTTAGTGTTGTCTCCTAGCAATCATAGAAGTGCACTTACCCTGTGTAAAGTCTCGATCGGGGCGTACCCGTCTTCGTCTCTTCGGCCTTCTAGATACCGTTCGTAGAACTCGTCTTCCTCTTTACGGGCGACTCTCCAAAGATGCCGTCCGGTCCGCATGGCCATGTAGATGACTCCGCAAGCCCAGACATCGACAGCTCGAGGATCGAATTCACCCCCTTGGTATTCTTCTGGAGCGATATAAGGAGCACTGCCGCAGAGGCCGGCTGTCATGTGGGCCTCTTTCTCCCAAGCCATCCGAAAACACTCGCCATTCCCAAAGTCGGTAATTTTCAGTGCACCATGGGTGGTCAACAGAAGATTTTCGGGTTTGAGGTCTCGATGCGCCACGCCCATTTCGTGCATGTATTCGACACCGCGCATTAGCTGCTTGAAGAAGCAGTCGGCTTCGGCCACCTGAAGAGTACCGGCGGCCAGGATAAGGGTGTAGAGGTCTCCGCCAGCGCAATATTCCATCACTTCGCAGTAATCGCCCTTGGCGTCTTGAAGAAGGTCAAGCGTGTGAATGACGTTAGGATGCCGGAGGGAGGACGAGATGCAAAACTCGCTGGTCAGGCGTTTCTGATATTTCTTTGAGGTTTCTTGTGGGCGACGCCGAAACTCCTTGACAGCGTAAAGTAGTTCTCCGCCAGTCGAGTTGGGATCGGGTTTGTGTGATATTCTGACAATGCCGAACGCGCCTCGACCGACGATTTCCTGACACTTGCCATATTTCTCGACCAGATTTGCTGACGCATTGGGACCACCCTTCTTTTCACTGGCCAGGCTGTCTCGTTCGGACCTCAGCTGATCAACCCACGATGACATGAGCGAGAGCTGCTGGTCACCACCATCTTGATCTCTTTTCTTACCGCCGCCGAGGAAATCGCGGAGCATGTCGGATAACTTCTCCTGCCGCTTCGCCGACTTGAGATGATGTGTGTGAGAGCCATCTTCTGCCATTTCAAAGCGCTTGTAGGTAGCATAGGTCCCGTCGGATTGAACTTCGCCTTTGTTTTTCTCCTTGGCAACTCCCAGTATGGTCATTTTCCTGCCGTCCTTTTGGTCGGCAGAAGATTGTCTGCCTGGCGCAGGCCTAGACGGGTTACCGTTGGCGTTCTCAGGACGAGCATCGGGAGAGGCCTCTTTCGACACTTCTCTGGAAGTGATGACATCCTTCTGGCTCTGGTCCTGCCGAGAGAACATTCGGGTGAGACGAGACGTCATTTTGGGCTTCTTTGCAGGCGCAGCCGGTTGCACAGACGAGGGGGCAGCGGTGGACACGGCGGCGCCATTCACCGAAAGGCGACCCGTGTCCTCCGCCAGTCGTGTTACCGAAGCTGCATCATCCTGTGAACCTGTCGAACGAGCTACCGAAGGCGAGGGCGATGTGATTTGGGTAGGGGTGTCTGAGCGATTCATGTGAATGGCGGGAAGAGGCGGGGGGTATGGGAGTTGGGCAAGCAGCCCCTGGGGTATCTCTAGACAACTAGTGGCGGTAGATACGGTATGGTGTCTTGTGGAACAGTGCAGGGGAGATTGGTAGAGAGCGATGCTGCAGGATATGTAGAGCGCGTAGGTGGTGATTTTATTCTTTGTATCCTCCTAGAATCTCGGAGGGCTTTTGGTGTTGTTTGGCAGGAGGAAGAGGAACGTGCTGCTAAGGATAGCTTAGGTGTGGCAAGGAGATAAAATTGGCCAGAATCTGGGGAGTGCGAGGTGTGTGTGCGGTAAATCGTGGAAGGCGGCGCGGATGGCTTATGCAGTGCAGTGATGGAATCTGGTTCGTAAGGGATTTGCGATCAAGAGGCACCGAGTTTGCTGGACCTTTTTGGAAGCACGAGTTGGCACTGCTACTGGTAGTGGTGCTGGAGTGCCAGTGCCGAGGGGCAGGGGACAGAGGACAGGGGCCCGAGGGCGGCGGACGACGGGCGGTGGCAGTGCGTTTGTGTTGGTTGGAGTTCCAAGTTGTGGTGGTCGTGGCGGTTCAAGATGTGTGGGAGGACTCAGATGACAGGCGGTGGAAGAGGGTCTGCAAGCTTTTCTCTTGTGGCTTGGGCTTCCCGCGTCGTGGTTCGGTGGCAGCGACACAGTCAGGGCTGAGTTTGGGTGTGAGTACTTTGTAATAATGCTGAGCAGGTCAGCCCGTCGTGGATAGATGCAGTGCAGCTGAGGATCGATGGCGATGGCTCGATGGCCTGGTGACGATGCTACTGGACTCGATTGACGAGTGGTAGTGGTAGTAGAGGGATGCTGTAGGGCCAGACGAGATGGCAGTCCAATTACTGTAATGCCCGCAGGTTGTGGGCGCAGGAAATCACAGGCACGCGGCGGTGGGAATCGCGATGCTTTCGAGATGCTGACCAATCTTACTCGAGGTGTGCCAGTGACGCCAGCAGCTCAAGGTGCCCTTGGCCGACCGTCGGATGATGTCCTGCAACTTCAACCTGGCACTTTCATTCGAGGAGATTCGAGAAGCTGACGAAAGCACACTGCACACTGTCGGAGGATGATGATTGTGAGTGTCGAACGGCACGGCACGGTAGTGCTTGGTGCTGCAAGTGTTCGTTTTGGTCTACGATCAGCTCAAGCTTACTCCCGCGAATGCTGCTCTGAAAGTTATGGGCTGCGTTATGGGTGGGTGGATGGTTGAAGTATCGGCTGAGGGAGTTGGAGTCGAAACGGTCAGTGAACTTGAGGTGCAGTGCAGCTGATGATGGCAGACTTCGTGCGGTGTCAGGTACCCGATATCTACGGGCACTGTGCGGCCATGACACCCGTTGTTTGTAAGTTGCTGACTATCCCAAAGCACTATACCCTGATTGATGCAGTACTTGTCTGAGCGCACTGCGAGAATAGCAGCATATAACGACCACAGCACCATAAATCAAGTCAGATATATGCCTGAGATTGAGCCAGTGCTGCCTGTGGTCATGGTGGTGACGGCCGCAGTCTCCGTCTCACTGTCAGAGATCCGTCGGTGACCCAGTCCACAGTAACTGCAGTGGATGCAATAGTGAGCAATAATCCATGGTAGATTCCTTAGGTGGTGGTTGGAAGCTAAACAAGAACAATAATAGGCGCTGTCACTGTCTAGAGCCGCCTATGAGAAGCCTATAAGACCCCAAGCGGTGAGGACAGGACTGTGGCATATTATGCGCAGAACAACAAAGATTGGGCTTACATTTGTGTCGTTCATGTTATCTGTCTCCTTTCTTGAGCCAACTCTTGGAGCAATAGTTGGATATTGTAGAGTTAGAGACGACCTTGGCTGGCGTTTGTCTAAGCAGTCTCTTATTAATATTCTGATGATTCCAAAGGTAGGGGAGGTAATAGCAGGAGAGTTCACACACACACACACACACACACACACATATATATATATATATATCTGATACACGAACGCCTTGCGTCTAACACTATGCCTGGACTGCACCGCCCTGCATATTGCTCACCTCAATATCCTGGACAGCGCAATATACTGGTACAGTACCTATGTCAACGACGGCAGATTATCTACAAACAGTTCAATTTGTGCGGTGAACACTGCAGCTTCGACCTCGTCCACCGTCCCCATTTCCACTACTGTCTGCTGCAAGTTCCTTAGGTAGGTGCCAGCCATCCGGACTATTCCAGCACACCGCTTCCTCAATCGCCGGATGCCCCATCAGCTTGATTGTAGTGCATGCTGCACTGTGCTGTATGCGCTGTTCAATGCCCCCTCAGGGACACCAGCTCTAGCATCGAACGGTGCCAGTGCCTTCGCCGACATGGAAGCATGTGCTTTTCCATCGTCGACTGTTGATGACGACTAACCCCCCTGGAGCACGGCCAAAGTTACACGGCATTCAGATGCCTGCATGAATACGCGCATCAGGTGTGTAACAAAGGCATGACTGGGTGCCGGGTGCGATATAGGCCAAGAGAAACTGGCTCGCAGCGTCATCATCATCACCGCATGCCCATTTACCGACAGCTACATATCCTCGATTCAACACGGTACTCGTGTCGGCCCTCAGCAGATCGTCGACCAGCATGCTTGTTCGATTCGGTTATCCTCCGTCCTGCTCCGCTTAAGTGTTGCTGCGCCAAAGAGAGCCATTCCTCCGCGTTGGAGGAGGGCCGTAGAAGTCAATGTTTGGCAACGGATTCATGTCTGTCGCGATTTCCCGGACCTGTCCTGAGGATCTGCCGGCACCAGATGCCACATCAGAGATACTTCATCGGTAAGACATCTTCGCGACCATCCATTTGCTTACACTTCCTATCAACCCGCTGCAGGTTACCGATGCAGTGGCGAGGGTGCCAGGGGCCGAGCTTCCACGCTCGAACATGGCATGGTTGACAACTTGACACTATGGCCGGTTGTGCGACGTCTCTAGTCCAGACCCCCTGGCCCAAGCTGCTGTATCGGTGCCACCGCTGATTGCCGGATATGCATCATGCTCGATACAATATTGTCTTTCGAGCCTTTATAACCACTCGATGGAGCACGAGTGACGGGATATTTGCCCAAAGCCACGAACTTCATGGTCTGAAATGGACTACTTCTTTCGGTTGGGCATTGTGCAGACGGGAAGTTGCCGTTGCCAGGCAAGCAGGGTGAGCGTCGGCGATATTCTTCCAGCCTCGTGGCATGTGAAAAACGGGATTGATTCCAATGCAAATGCCATGAACTGTGGATGAGTCAGTGTCACGCCGGGTCTCGAGTACTGTCCTTCCGCTGTGCTTCAGATCACACCCTGAGCCGTGTTCGTCAATATCTGCGCTGGCGGCTGGCAGAATATGTGACAAGATATGATTACTCGTTAGGGGTTGAGCGAGGAGCAATTTGGATGCCCATGCATGAACATGATAATCACATGGTCCTCAATTTCAAGCTAGGGATGAGTTTGCTTTACGGCGGCTGTCGCTCGTAAGTACAGGTAGAAGATTCAGTAAAGGCGTGCGACAGAGGAGCACTCAGAAGAAACCAAATATTGGAATCAGTGGCCGCTTTCTCACGAAGTGTTATACTCTAATCCTATATATCCAACACCGGCTGCACGGCCATTGATTCAAAATGTTGCTAGACAAGAATGGGCTTCAGGCGTCGAACAGAGTTCATCAAAATATTTGCAAATTAGACAAACGCTGTCCCCACCTACTATATCCTATGGGCGGGCTAAGAAAATGAACATAGAGTACTCCGCGGTAACAAAAGCAATATTTACGTTGTGGATAACAAGATTTCTGTAGCTATTGTACTATACACAATACTGACACAACAGTCGCCCAGCGATTATCCTGAGAAGTCTCTATTGTTCCATTGTAATGAGCAAGTGAAGTTGAACTGAGAAGACACTCAATAGTCAATAGAGAAGATGAATAGTAAAGCAGTAGGGGGCTAAAGCGGGCCAGTCTGTCACCAACCCTATCAATCTGTGCTCACACATTCCGCCGCTATAAGGATTTCACGTGACCTCATTCGGATTAACTCTTTCTCTTTTGTGTCTACGTCATCAACCATGGAACAACGTTTGACCGAAGCCTGGGCGGTGCGGCAGCAGTGGCTGCAGTACCTGGAGAGGTACAACCCCTTCGAGGCGAGCACCAACGGCGCCATCAACACCCTCTTTATCCTCCTAAACGTTGTCGAATCAGGCCCAACTATCCTCGAGAACGCCGCCGACTACAACGCGAGGATCGAGCTCTGCCACCGTCTGTTCCGGAACCAGCGAAATGTCGTGGGCAGGCTTCAAGAAGAATGTGAACCGCGCAACGACGCAGGTCATGATGAAGACTGGTAAGGCACCCTAAGATCGTCATTCACTTTGCCTTTGCTTTAGCACTAACTTCTTCATCACTTAGGCCACGTCGAGCGGACGAACGACCGAGACTACGAAGTCGAAGAGAGGTGGGCTTGACCAACCGATCTGACCCGGTAACCTCATATACTGACTTGGATTGGCAGGCGATACAGAACCATGGAATCAGCAGCGAATCGATTGCAGAAAGAAGCGAAGGGGTACCTCGACAGCCTACGGGGTAAGTACATATCGGGTGCAGTCCACATCAAACTGGCACAATTCCACTAACACCCGATCTATCCAGCAATGACCGCATCGCAAATGAGGATAGCCGAGACAATCGACGCATTCTACGGAGACGCGGGCACCAGAGATGGTGTCTCTCGATCTTACAAGCAGGCAGTAGAGGACCTGGATGCAGAGACGATCAAAGCCCTGGACGGGCCATACAGGTAGAACCGCCCTCGAGAGGTATGCGGCCGACCAAGCGAAACTGACCGTCTTATTTCACAGAGCGACAGTCCTGGAGCCGATCAGCCGGTTCTGCGCGTACTTCCCGGACATCAACGAATGCATCAAGAAACGCAACAACAAGCTCCTCGACTACGATTCCATGCGGTCCAAGGTCAAGAGACTGGTGGAGAAACCAGACAAAGACGTAACGAAACTGCCGCGAGCAGAGAAAGAGGCCGAAATGGCGAAACAAGCTTACGAGCAACTGAACGAGCAACTACTCGACGAACTACCTCAACTCATCGACATGCGAGTCCCATATTTGGACCCCAGTTTTGAAGCTCTTGTCAAGATCCAACTGAGATTTTGCGCCGAAGCATACAGTCGAATGGCCCAAGTTCAGCAATATTTGGACCCTGACACAAGAGAACAATACGCCAGGGGTGACTTGGACAATCGTGTCGAACAGGTACTCTCCGAGATTAGAGACCTCACTATTGCTGGCACGGTCTGAACGACGTTGCTCTTCTTATCAGTTGTTGCTTTTTCCGATTCCCCCCTTTTCGCCTTACTTCACTTTTACACTTGCTCACACTTTTTTCTTTCCGGTGGAGTACCATGATCAACAAACATGCGCACATGGGGAGACATGCATTCAACGAGACGCCAATTGGCTGGATGAAGGATGGTTGCTTGGTGCTGAACTTGGAGTGTCATGACGTGCTCTACAGATTACGCATAGCGTCGGCGTCGTCAAGGCGGCGGAGGAGCTAGAATAGGTAGTCCAGCTCGCACTGGGAGAGAGGGTCACAAGAAGACCCCGAATGAACAGACATCGGAAAGAACAATTGGACTGCATTCAATGCTTTAGCACTGCTTATTTTCTTTGCCTGGTTTGTGACATGAAGACTCGACAATGCGAAGGGGAGATGCCCCAGTATTACAGCCTTTCCTAGTGTTTTTTGACTGGGAGCGTTTATTGAAACCTGCCTCATGTCGCAGAAATTGAGACTGGCTCGAGAAACGGCACAGGTTACTAGTACAGCTCTTGTTCGATACCTGAGCCCGCGCACAGCTACTAATACTAGGTGGTACTCGAAGTGGACAAATGTACAGCTGACCGAATTCCTTTTATGACAAGCTATTCTGTTTCTTTTGTTTAGCGAGGTATAACCAGGATTTTGACTCATTGTGTATATAACAAACTTAAATCGCTCCCAACTCCTTCAACTTGGCAATCAAGCCATCAACATCCTCGACCTTGCCACCACCCTGTCTCACGGGCGGCTCCTCGACCTTGAGGGTCTTGAGGCGAGGCTTCGCATCGACGCCATAGTCAGCCAGGGACTTCTTCTCGAGCTTCTTCTTCTTCGCTTTCATGATATTGGGCAAGCTGGCATAGCGGGGCTCGTTTAGTCTCAGATCGGTAGTGATGATCATGGGAAGTTTGGCGCGCAGGGTCTCGACACCACCATCGACCTCGCGCGTGACTGTGACCTCGTCATCCTTGATCTCGACCTTGCTCGCCTGCGTGGCCTGGGGCCAGTTCAGCAGGCCCGCGAGCATCTGACCCGTCTGGCCGGAGTCGTCGTCGATGGCCTGCTTCCCCAAAATAATCAGGTTGGATTTTTCTTGTTCAGCGATGGCCTTGAGCAGCTTGGCCACCCCCAACGGCTCCAGCGGCTTGTCCTCGGGCACGTCGACGTGGATGGAGCGGTCGGCGCCCATGGCCATGGCCGTCCGCAGCGTGTCGGAGCACTTTGCCGGCCCTGCGCTCACCGCCAGAATCTCTTCAACGGGTTGCTTGCGTTCGCGGAGTCGGACCGCTTCCTCGATCGAAAGTTCGTCGAACGGATTCAGCGAGTGTTTGACCCCCGAGGTTTCGACGCCGGTCTTGTCTGACTTGACGCGCGGTTTGACCTGCCAGAATTGAGATCTCGTTGTCAGTAAACCGTGCCCCCGTGTCCTACTAGTAGCTTGTACCAGCCAGGCCAGCTATACAGGACTAGTAGTATATTATAGCCGGTTGCTGCTGGGTTGCAGAATGGAATAGAAATTCGAACTTACAGCGTAGTCAATGACTCGCTTCACCGGGACAAGAATCCTCAGCTTGTTAGACATGGTTCCTTTGCTTTGCTTTGCTTGTGGTGCCCGACAACAGTAGCCTCGATGTACAGCCAAAATATCTATCCCCCAGTCCCTCAGCTCAATGTACTGGTGCTGTAGTCCAACCAAGAGTGACGGTGACAGTGATGGCGAAGCCTCGGCAGGACAGGAGGAAGTAAAGCTTCTGTTCAAGATAGTAGTTGCTTGTGCGAGGTAGCAGCAGCCGTTATATGGCGCTTTGGAATGAATATATGAACAACTTTGGCCTGGGCTTCACCTTGGTTGCAAACTCGCACTGCGTGGTGCAGTACTTTGTGTATGGTCTGGGGAAGAAGCACTGCACTGGCAGCACCGTAATCGGAACCAGTCTCCCGGCCGTGGTCGGTTCCGAATCTAAGCGATCATCGACCGCAACAGTCTCGGACATCTCTCGCGGGGTCCTCCTTCCCTCGGTCAACAGATTATCACGTGCTGTTGCTCAGCTCCGCAAGTGTGATATTATGTAAGCCCATTGTTTTCACGTGCACTGCACTGCACTGCCCTGCACGTGCGCCGCATCAGTCTTGGCAAACGCCAAGCCCGCACGCAAAATCTGAGGACGCTGCCCACTCGCCCTGGCGCAGGGTACCTGTATGTAACTGATGCTTTTCGCCTCTACTTGAACCTCACCCACCATCAACAACTTGAAGTCTCGCCATTCGAAACGAACCAGTTCGTCAAGATGCCGGTACGTCTGTCGCAAAACGCGTTGCCTCTCAAACTCATACTCAGCACCGCGACCTTGTCGAGTCTCCCATCGCAACCGCTCCCGTGGGGGTTGTGGTCAGATCCTTCGAAAGTCGTCGACTGGAGAAATAATTTTGATCAGCCAGCACCCCTGCGACATGGGCGGTCCAACCTTCTGAGATCGAGCAAAAAGAAGACGAACAATGAGCATTCAGCTAACTAGATACCATTCAAACAGAGCCACAAGTCTTTCCGTACCAAGGTCAAGCTGGCCAAGGCCCAGAAGCAGAACCGACCGATTCCGCAATGGATCCGATTGAGAACCGGCAACACCATCAGGTCAGAAGATACTTCCCGCTTTCCAAACACTAGAGAAATACTATACGCAACACGAGATGATTCTGGCATACAACATTTGGAGGCTTCGAGTTACTGACAGTTGGATCACAATTTACAGATACAATGCCAAGAGGAGGCACTGGCGCAAGACTAGACTCGGAATCTAGATGCATCTCATCTCAACCCATCCTGTTCGATGCGACGACAAGACACTCTCCTCACAACTCCCACCACCCAATCCCGAAAGTCAATGATTATCGCTATCATCGCCTTACCACTCGGTCTTGTGGAGGGGTAGGAATGGACGCGTTGCAATGGCTGAAAGGAAGTTTGTGATTGCTGGTCGCTAGGTGTTATCGAGCAGGAAAGCTGGAATGGTGGGCAGGAATCGAGGCGCGGATGACATGAAACGAATGCCGATTCATTTTTCTTCAGTTCCGATTCCTGAATACTCTCCAAAAATGGGATCCTTGATTGTGAGCGGAAGAGCATCTGTTACCGTAACTCACTGCCGCGAGAATCAATCAGTACGAAAAGGAGCAGCAATATTCCAAATCCTGAATCATTCACAGAATGTGCTTGTTACGTGCACAGCAAGTTTCCCTGTCAGTTTTTTGGATCTCCAAAATCTGTTCGCTCGCATGACTCCGATTGTTTCACTACTAGTATCTGTGAGTTCTCTGCCGAGACTCGAGACCATGACTGATGTAGGGCCTTCCCTCGTACAATGTGGTCTGCAATCATATAATCATAGCACTGCTCCTCGTGTGGACCGATAGTTTGATTGCTGTTATCGGCCTGCGTCCCGGCGCACAGGATTCGAGTCTTGTCGTATTTGAGCATGCATGCAACTAAAAAGCACTTTCTTGGGCCCAGCAGGATAAATCACTACCAACCGAACTCCATTCCCATAGCCCGTGCTGAGGTCATCATCATTCACCGCAACGCCACACCATGACTGTTTTTGAAGCTACGCATTGTCGGATGTCTTCAGCGGCTGCTGGAAGCGTCAGCATCAAGACCATCCAAGTAATAGGCGAACAACTCACTCTTCGGCCCATTCATTCTCGCGCCTGATCTGGTCTTCTTCCTCCGGAGTGAAGTCGTTTTGAATGTTGAACGTCTTTCGGATTTCTTCTGGCGACTTCCCCTTGATCATGTTGGCCACGGTCTTGCAGCCGACATCTAGTAGGGCCTTGATATCGAGGTAGTTGGCAGCCTAGACTATGTCAGCTCTCCACCTCCTGTTGCTGGGCAGCAGGTGCGACATACTAGAATGATTTCAAAGAGCATCTCTTGGTCGACTTGCATGAACTTTTGGTCCCATTCGTCAATGTCTGTGGATTTCTTGCGAGAGTCCGAGTCATCTTCGTTGGTGGAGGGTGGGTCGTTCTTGTGGTGAGTGCACCATTCGATCACTTTCTTAAGGACTGCGGCGTTGACATTGGGAATAGGAATAGGTTCTTCCATGGCCTCTTCACCGAGATCACCGACCATGTTCTTGATGAGGATCGATCTTTCGGCGACATCCCGATCTGTATTATATTAGTGACCACCGACCAGACAAATGGAAGACTATGGCGATGGCGATGGCGTACCAACGACAATCTCTTCACCGTCAGAACTCGACAGTGTCAACGGCTTGCTGGAAGACATGGCTGCGTCAAGAAGCGGGGTTCGCAGGCGAGAAGTACTAGTATGTGAGAGTCTGTGAAGGTCGGCCTGATCTCAGAAGGATTAGAGACGTGTCCCAGAATGTAGGCGACGGGGTAAAAGTGTAAGAACGAGATGATGGTAGGCACAGAAGGATGAAGTGGTGGTAAAGGATAAGGTACGTCGCAGAGAGTTGGTAGTGGCTGAGGACCAGGCCGGCGGCAACTCAAGCTGAGAGCAGCGCACTGGCTTGGCAGAGTCAAGTCGTTCCAGCCTTCAGGTTCACGCCCGCATCGGCCCTTCCTCCACTACTGATAGTATGTCATGTCTGCAGCGAGTTTCTTTCTGCAGGTACAAACAACGCAACAGGCGGCTAGAGAGTAGAGCCACTTACCTGGCTTGTTTAACGGCAGGTTTATGCTCTGGTAACGGCGGCGATCGGGTTGAAGGGAGGGAACTTCTTCCAGTAGAGGTTTGACGTCGTCTTTTATGTCTGTAAACAGGAGCAACAGTGAAATAGGTAGATAATTTGGCCCTTGGCAGTTGGCAGCTTCTTCTGTGAAGTACTAACACACCGGCGACAGAATAGGCAACAATACAGCCTTATACAACAATGAAATTCACCTTATAGAACTTGAATGTCATTACCAGGCTGCCTCCCCATTGTCCCTCTCCCGCAACCAGCCACATTTCGCCCTACAGGTCCAGCACGTGATGTGGCGCCAACTGTTACCGCTTGCGACTCGCGCAGCTCCACTTCCCGGATTCTGCAGTGGAAGAAGGTTCACAGGAAGTGACGCGGCGCAGGTGACAATCAATCTATTCAAGTTGTATAACAAATATATCAACATCGCTATCTGGCGCCCAGTCTCCGTCCTTCTTCACTGGCTACAGGACAGCACTCCTCCCTTATCTGCCTCTCCATTTGCTCAAACACAGACGGAGACTTCCGACACTCCTTTGGCCTTCACCATCATTTATCCATCCATCGTTTGCGCACTTGACTCGGCACGCGTCCGAAACGCGCTCGACTCACCATTCTGTGGCCTACGATTGAGAATGAGCCTGAAAGAGCCAGCCCTATCTGTTTTGAGGGCAATGACAGAGCCGAAGTCCTATCCTTCGCGGTGAATGAGACAAGGATGTGGCGGCTTGTATACCTGGTCCTGTTCTTTGTCCGCATCTACTTTGCGCTCTCTCCGAGTTATCTTCACCCGGACGAGATCTTTCAGGGTCCGGAACCGATTGCTGGTATTGCGCGGATTGTCCTTCAGCGATGAACGTGTATTGACTGGTCCGTAGGCTATACCTTTTCTTATCCCACCCAGCATACGTGGGAATGGACGTCCTCCCACCCCATCCGCAGTGTCTTCCCTCTCTGGCCTGTTTATGGCCTGCCGATGGTTTTGTTGAAGTGGATCGGGGCGCAAGATGAAGATGGCCTCGTCAGCCCTGCGGCGATATACTATACCTTGCGCCTCGTCATGTTCATGCTCAGCTTTGTGCTCGAAGATTGGGCAGTTCATGATTTGGTCCGGTCTCCGCGCCATAGGAAACAGGCGGTCCTCCTAGTCACATCATCGTATGTGACGTGGACCTTTCAAAGTCACACCTTTTCAAATTCTGTCGAGACTCTGCTTGTCCTATGGAGTCTGATTGTTTTAGAGCGGATCGTGAGTGAGAATGTAGGTCCCATGCTTACCCTCAATGTCAATTGATCGATAGACTAATGTCAGTGACAGAAGCGATCAGCCATTGCCTCCAGCGTTGTGTTAGGCTTCCTCGTTGTATTCGGAACCTTTAACAGAATTACTTTTCCCGCTTTTCTCGTGATACCCGGCATACAGTTGTTGCCACACTTTTGGAACAGGTGAGGCTCCGAATAAGCCTGACCAAGGCTACCGAGAATTGCTACCACGATACTAATGCCCTCTATAGACCCTTTTGCTTTCTTGCCATGGCCCTCTCAGGGCTCTTTTGGACCCTGGTAGCCGTCATCGTTGACACGGCATACTTTTCTGGACCTGCCGCCACCAAGTCGTTTGGTGCTTTGTACCACCACGTCCGGCACGCTCCTGTTTTAACACCACTAAACAACCTACTGTACAATACTCAAACGGCCAACCTGGCACAACATGGCATCCATCCGCACTACCAACACCTTGTTGCCAATCTACCACAACTTCTCGGGCCGGCCCTTGTGGTTCTCATTGCTTCCGCCTACCCTTTCAACCTCCGCATCCTCAAAACGATGCTAAGCAACACCCGCTTGTCCTCTGCGCTCACGGGGACGTTGGTATTGAGCATCATTCCGCATCAGGAACCACGCTTCTTGCTCCCGACCGTGCCCTTACTCCTCAGCTGCATCCGTCTCCCTACCTCTCAGAAGTGGCGCAGAATCTTCTTGATCAGCTGGGCTGCGTTCAACATTGCACTCGCGACACTCATGGGAGTCTACCACCAAGGCGGCGTGATACCAATGCAGCTGGACGTGCCGTCTATTGTCGTCCAATCCCTCAACACCACCCACTCCGCCGCTCACAATATCGAAGTCTTTTGGTGGAAGACCTACCCACCCCCAAACTTCCTTCTAGGCAATGAACCCCTGCACCCGGCCACCAACAAATCTCTCAACATCTCGACCGTGCCTCTCATGGGCTTCCCGCAGCGCGAACTCGTCTTCATGTTGATGCAGCACATGCCGACCTGCGACCCGTCGCTGGTCGAACGCCTGGTTTTGCACAAGGAGAAAACCGACGTTTTCGTCGTCGCTCCCTTGGCTGCATGGCGCCTCGAGGGTTACGACCAATACCCGCCCGTGTCCAACTTCAGCTTCTCGGTCTCCTTCGACGTCCCCCCCGCCAGCCTGACCATGACCAATCTCGCGACCTACCGAAAACACGTGAACCTCGACGATATGGACTTCGCCGACGGTGGTGTCATGCCTACGCTGGAAAGGGTGGTGGGCAGACGCGGGCTAGGCATCTGGAGAGTGGACAAGGACTGCCGCCATGTCGTGATCGTTGCCGAGTCCACCCAATGAGCATGGAAATAGTGCCATCCCAGTACAATACTAGTAAACTGATAAGAGAGGTTCTGGCCATCCTTGAGGCTAATGAGCCGGCAGCAGTATGTCTGCCTGTCCTTTTCGTTCATTGAAACTGCGCTATTAATGGTGCTACTGCTGCTGCTGGTCCTCCAGGTGAAACTGTATCTTAGAAACATGCACGATAAACCACGGTGAACAGGCTCTAGTGTGTGGTAATGAATGCTCTAATGGTTAGGTTGTAGAACAGGGAACAAGCTAAAGGTATTGGTTGGCGGTTCTTTCATTCTTGGATCTACAGACTGACCAGCTGAGCTTTGTGTTCAGTTCCACTGCTCGTCCTCGCTGCTCCTGATCGCATGAAAACTTGTTTGTTAAACCATGATAAGCACTGGGCATTGGGCTGTCCTGTCCTCTCCTGTTCGTCCGTTGTCGAACGACATGCTATGTGAAAGGGGATAATGACACAGTGAAAAAGGGGAAGTGGCTGACTGGGCGCGCAGGGCAGGAGAAAACCCGGGTGGAAGATCGGACCCTGCCCACCTAACAACTCGTCATCGTTCTCTGTGAGAAGTCGCTCCTTGAAGCAAGAACCGGGATCCACCATGCTGTGCATTTCGCTTGCTCTCCAGGGCCAATGGCCAAAAAGATGGTGGAAAAAAAGGTTGACGACTATGAATGCCATCATCTGACCTGCCGATTGGTGGAACAACACGCCCGCAATAAGCAAAGCAAGTCCCTTGCCAACCCAGTGCTATTTCCTGGACTGATGCAATGCCCGCGAATGAGACTAGTACTACTCTTCGTCATCCTCGGGCTGCTCGAACAGAAAGTTGGCGGCCAACTCTTCATTCTTGTCACAGGCAAAGTAGGCTTGAATGACCTGATCCCGTGAGAAGCCGAGACCGCAAAGGCGCTCAATTGCATCGCGTTCCTCTGGGGTAACACTGATGGCAGTGGAGCCGGGTGGGAGCGGGCCTCCGTCACCTTCCTGATCCTGCTCGATAGTTAGTAAGGGCCGTGATGACGAGATCGAGCAATCTGAAAATCAAAGGTCATCGTACCTCTGCCAAGAGTTGAAGGAACTGATCCGGGTTCAGACTGATCATTTGGGCGAGTTGAGGGTTACCTTCGGCCACTTGTTGCAGGAAAGGCTCCAACATTGCCGGTTGTTGTTGAACAAGTTGACGGAGCTGTTGGAAGTGAGGGCTATTCCGTAAGAACTCCAGGTTTACCGCTCCTTGACCTCCTGCCCCGGCAGGAATGCCACCAGCTCTCGCTCCGAGGGCAGCCCCAAGACCTGCCGGAAGACCTCCTCCAGTTCCACGTCCCTGTTGGCCAGCCTGTGCCGCAGCTTCGAAAAGATTGATGGGTTCGTCTCCAGAGCTCGTGTTGGTCTCTTGCGCTTGGGTGGGAGCAGCAGCTGCTGCCGCTGCAGCGGGCGGAGATGCGGGCGTGTCCTGCGCACCAGTACCAGCAGCTGGAGTTGCTTGTCGCTGTTGGGCCTGGATGTTTTCTGGGATACCACTAAGAAGATACTCGATGGCACGGTCTGGGTTGAAGTATGCAGCTCGTAGGGCACGCTCAATCTCCGGCCTGCCGAATCCCATGGACTCCATTTCTCGAATAGTCGATTCGTTGCGGTTACCCATAAGAAACGCAGAAGGGTCATTGAAACCGCCCGCTCCAGTGGTATCAGTAGACGGGGCTGCTGTGGCAGACTGTGCGGGAGTAGGGGTCGACGGCTGTTCCGAGGGGGCAGCTGGTGCACTGGCTGGTGGTGCAGCAGGCGCGGCAGGGGTCGAGGATGAGGTAGCCGCAGGCGTTGATGGCTCTTTGGGCTTTGACGCTGCTGCTTTTGGCTGTGTGACGTTAGACGAGAGCGGGAGATGACCATGGCCTGGAAAGACGAACCTTGCTGATCATGCAGACAATAAACCCCTTCTCCTCGATCTTGTAGGACTCAACAGTGTTGGCATCGGCGAGGACCTTGCCTTTGCCAAAGATCAGTATCCTAAGCCACGCATATCATAGCAACCTCATCTTACCAGAGTAGATCAACTTCTGTTGCGAAGCGTCCCATCCTTTCTCGGCAGCGACCTTCTCTTTCACTTGAGCGATCTAAGGGAATGTGTCAGCCGTGAGCAACAACTGGCTAGCCAAGGTGCAACGTCGACGTACAGTGTCAGTAGGCTCCGCCTCGATGGTGAACTTCTGCTGCTTGAGATCCTGTGTTCAGGTTAGTGATTGTCTCAAGGCGCGATATCAGATCGACTGACTCTGAAGGAGAGCTTCATCTTGCCCCGGGACAACGCTCGACCTGGCGTCGCAAGTTCTTAGTTCGATGGGTTGCAGCAAGGCTATCAGTTTGGCTAGGAATAATCCTGATGAAGAAGCGAGGCGACAGTGGCTAACCCGCGAGGTGAAAGTGGTTTGATACGGGAAAAAGTGGTTGCAAGTAAATGCGGCGAATGAGGCGGCGGACTCGTTCAAATGCTGAATGACGACGTTGTGAGCCTGCCTGCGCCGTTCCACTTCGGTTTATTATTATATTCACGACTGACACTGCCCCTGGTTTGCCTTTCACGTGACCGTCATCCTTATTCACCCACATTGACACGTGATGAGTCCTCGTCACACTGTACGGGGTCACAACTAGTGAGAGCAACTCTGAAAGCATTGTTGGTCATTCGAATGTGGCATTTATTCATTATGGACTGGAGTCGCCCGGTCTACTCTTTCTTCTCTTCGGTTTGGGAGGCGCATCCGGAGCAGCACCCACCTTCTCTCCGTTCTTTGCGTCTTTTGGCGCCGAGGTTGGACCAGTAGTTATGGGAGGTACAGCAGACGGCGCTCGAGACTGGCCCGGGGTGCCGACGTTTGACGGTGCTGCCAGACCCTTTGCATGACCGTTTGTAAGGTCCTTTTGCCTGGAGAACCTAAAATGACCTGGCTCACCCACCAAGGGCACCTCATCCATGTACTCCTTCCCATACTGCAAAGTCATTCGTAAAGCATCCCATACGGTCCTTGCCTCACCGTTGCTATCCTCGTGCGGCTGCACAGGACCTCCTGTTGGCTTTTCGGAACTCGAGGCTTGACTCGTTGGCATGGGCGTGCTCTCTTTACTCTGCTGGGATGGGCCTGATATGGACTGTGCCAGAGACTTTTGCACCGGCTTGTGGTATGTGTGTCCGTGGGCTGGAGAGAAATACGACAAGTCTGCTGGCGTAGAGAAGACTTTGTCGAGGGATAGAACCGTGTTCAGCTGAGCTACGGCTTAGTCACTGCCGCGACTCGGAGATAAAAGTCTGTAAAACTTACCATGCGATAGTTTAGGACATTGGCGACTGAAGGAGCTTGGTAGATCACGTCATTGACGATGTAATAATAGCCCAAGACTGTGACGCTCCTGTCGTCTTCATTCTCACGGTTCTGTTTTCGGATCACCCATACATTTGAATTCTCCCGGCCATTTGGTCCATCAACCATGACCTTTTCTTCAAGCGGATCATGTTGGACCACATACTGAATGCCGCGTTGATGCCGAAGATTGGCCTCAAACTTAGCCCTGGTGCCTAGAATATCATTCTGGTTTGGTGTGCCGGCCCATTGCGTGAAAAGGGACTGGTTACCAGACACCTGGTCGAAGAATGGGGATGTCGCGAAATAAAACAGGACTGGAGAAGTCAGTTTGGCCGGGGACAGGCTTGATGAATGATGCACACACCGTTATTGGAGTGTAGGTAGCCCCCATTCCATGCAATCCATGTTGGATCGAAGTGGGCTTTGTCGGTCAAGTCATCTTTGGCGTCACTCATGTTGAAAGCAACGGTAAGGTTATTGCAGAGTTGCTCATTTTGTGGCCAAGAGTATTGGACACGACCTTACGCGTTGCGGGCAGCAGACCCCATTTCTGATGGACCTCAGAGCTTTAGGGCGATGGTTGAGGCATCAATGAGAAATGATTCACTGGGACACAACAATGTCAAGTAAAGGGGGGCTTCATGTGGTGAAGTTGAAGGAAACGGGATGGCACGTGCAAGGCTGGACTTGGCATGGCTTCGGCTCGGTCAAACCATTTCTCCGATAGAAAACTCTTTCACTGCCAGTGACTGTTGCAGACTGTTGAAACTTCGACGAGTGTTTGTCCATATCATCCGGGAGTTGACAAGGCTGGGTTTTCTTACATCTTCTGTTCTCAAGCAGTATCGGGTGGTGTTCTACGGAAGTGCTTCAATTTGAACTGTGGTGGAGTTCTACGACTTGTTTGAGTATATATCCTATCAGCCTTGTGGGGCTGGATCGCTCCGCCTACCCTTCAGTATTCAGCGTGTGGTACAGTATACGCCAGTCTTCGATGACAACCCACGGGTCGATTCTGTTTGTCGACGCATATGATTCATTTGCAGAGAACATAACCGCCTTGCTTCGCCAGCATCTCCACGTTGAAGTCACCTTGATCCAGATAGACTGTGATATAACAGCACAGTACGGCCAGTCGTATCAAGATTTCTTTTCGTGCTTCGATGCCATTGTTCTAGGGCCGGGGCCAGGGTGTCCGCAGAAAGACACAGACGTTGGCCTCTTCCTCAGAGTCTGGGAATATGCTACCAGAGACAATATCCCGGTGTTGGGCATTTGCCTAGGATTTCAAAGTCTATGCACTCAGTATGGAGTGCCCGTGGTTCGCATGGATCTGCCGTGCCATGGCCACGCGAAGCAGGTGATTCATTGCAACAAAGACATCTTCTCCGACATCGGGACAGTCATAGCGACAAACTACAACAGTCTTGGGGTACGGGTCAAAGATTTCAATTGTGACAACGGCTACAGTCGACCCAGCTCGTCCGGATCTCAGGCCAGCTTTTCATCGTTGCAAAGCCTTCAGTCTTCAGCCTCGACAGTGTCAAGACTATCCGCAGAAAGAGCACTGTATCGGCCCAAAGATAGTCTCGAGATTCTGGCATGGGACTCGGACGGTTGGGTAATGGCCGTCAAACACAAGCATTATCCGTACCATGGTCTCCAGTTTCATCCAGAATCCTGCAAATCGAACGACGAATGCGTTCGGATCCTCCAGAGATGGTGGCAGAGTTCGAGTGCGCCCAATGCACGTTCGTCCCGGCCACCTCTAAAGTCGACGGATGGCTTGTTCTATGAGAAGCCTCCGATGCATTTGAAAGCGGACAGTCGTGACTCTACGCCGCTACTCAAGAGACTGACCGAACTATGTAGTCCTTGTGACCCCAACGTGTCCTTCTTGACCCTCCCGCTGCCCTGGGGAGCCGGAACAATATCCTCCTTGTGTCGGGACATGGCCCCTTCAGGCTCTGTTGTCATGCTGGAATCCACCAAGAGAGGACGGTATAGCATCTACGCATTCCCTGACGAGTCAAACTTCCACATCGAATACGCCAAAGGCCAATGCACAATCCGGCAGGGCGGTCGTTGCATTGCCACGCTCCAGCTTGATCGAGAAGAGGTCATGCAAGCTCTCGAGTCCTTCACCTGCAGCAAAAAGCCGAAAAACAAAGATGGCCAGACTACACCCTTTCGCGCCGGCTTCGTGGGGTTTTTGTCCTATGAGTTCGGCACGGCGTCGTTGAATCCGGACGAACGTCCGCTGCCAGGTGCCGAACTCTTGACACCGGACGTAAGTTTACTCTGGGTCGATCGCAGCGTTGTGTTCGACCATGTCACAGGAGAAGTACATGTACAATCGATCAGGGAGGGCGACAATGCCTGGGTGCAAGAAACGGCACAAAGACTTGAAGCTGCCGCTCCACCCGAGTCGACAGCTACTGCAAGAGACACCAAACTCCTCCAGGCAATTCTATCCGATGCCACCTGGACAATGCCAGACCATGACAAGTATATTTCGCAGATCCGAGCATGTCAAGCCGAACTGCAGGCCGGCAACTCATACGAGCTGTGCCTGACAACCGAAGCGAACATCACCACCCCTTCTGCTGGACACGACATTTCGTGGCTTTTATACCAAAACATTCAGCAACACAATCCGGTCCCCTTCGCTGCATATCTGCATCTGAACAAAACGACCATTCTGTCCTCGTCGCCCGAACAATTCCTGTCATGGTCATCACGTCAAGGCACGATCGACATGATCCCAATGAAAGGGACTGTCAAGAAGACGGCCGACATGACCCTTGAAAAAGCCAGTGCTATCCTGGCGTCTGCGAAAGAAAGCGCCGAGAACCTAATGATCGCCGATCTGATCCGACACGACTTGTACGGCACAGTAGGCCGGGACGCGGTCGTCGAGGTCGTCAAGCTGTGCGATGTCGTCGAGACAGAAACGGTATTCGCACTGGTGTCGCATATCCGCGCACATGTACCTCGTGGTGGTGGTGGTGCTGTAGCTGCAGCCGCCGATCCGACGCACACCCCCAACGACCACTTCGAGCAAGAGATGACCAGATACGGCATCAGGGCCCTCAGCCACACCCTTCCTCCCGGCAGCATGACCGGCGCGCCGAAGAAGCGGTCGTGTCAAATCCTCCATCAACTCGAGCAGCGCGACAGAGGCGTCTACTCTGGAGCCATTGGCTATATCGACGTCAACGGTAACGGTGCCTGGTCCGTATGTATCCGAACAGCATTTTGTAACGACCAAGAGACGACCACGACGATGAAGGAAACTCCACCTCTCCACAGTCAGTCATCATCAAATAATAATATCCCAGAACCAGAGGCCAGGGCCAAAGGACAGCAACACTGGCGTATAGGAGCCGGCGGCGCCATCACCGTCCTCAGCGACCCAGAGCAGGAATGGGAGGAGATGATGACCAAGCTGGAGAGCGTGACCAGGGGGTTTCGACTCGACTGAGCTCGAATATCAGTGATCATCACACTCCTTTGACCTTTTATTTGCCGAGAGGTGATATGTGTTATTTAGTATGTAATCCTATAGAACTTGGCGAGGGAACAACTAGGTATCTACATCCATATTATTCTTGAATCAACTACAACTGTGGGGGTCAGTTGAGACACCTGAATTCAACACTACAGCGAGAGGGTAGTATCTATTGTCTGCAAAATTATAAGGTTTCGTTTCGCCTCACTGTTGTATTCCTAGTTAGATGCAAGAAAAAATAATCACACCCTTAGTATTATAATTAGCTGGAGTGCCCCTGTGCCCTACGCGGTTTGTTCGCATAGGTTGAGTTTCGCCAAAATGTGTCGAATATATGTACCATTTATTGCATATATATACACATATACACAGCAGCACTCCACGCACCGCTACCGGAGAGAGAGGGGAGTGTGGATTCGACTAATGTCGATTTTCCCATCGTACACTTGATGTATCATGCATTGTGTGTCTTGTTGGACCATCATTCTATCAGGTATCTACCCTAATCAACCAGAAACGCGGTTTTCAGAAGTCCTATGAATGAGAGGCGTGTAGGAGCAGCAAAGAGAACATCAACCACACCACGGTGTATGCCAATGCAGAGCGTAAACAGTCCTCGGAATCATGATCCCTATCCCAATAACTCCAGATGCCCACCGCATTAAAGGTTTGTCGCGGCTTCTTGCGGCGAAAAACCCCCCAACATGCAGGTACCAATCTCACAGAAGCAAACATACACACCTCGTGCACATTCAAGTCCCTTCACGCTCGTCGCTCAAAAGAAATATAGACAACGCAATGAAACGCAGAACAATACAACAAATACAAGACCATACCGAGTTTATGCACATGCACCGGTGATGCCGCCGAACAAGGAAGCCCGTTTGTACCTCGAACCTCGAAACTCCCATGCCTATCCAAGAAAGAAAAACCTTTCCAGGGAATCCGGCTCAGAAGGTCCACTACTTTGATGACAATCGTCATATCTCAACCAGTGGAGGCCGTTCTGCCGTCGCAGTGTGACGCCGTGCTCCCGGCTGCCCCTGCTGTTGCCCAATAGCCTTCATGACACGCCCAAAGTATTGTGCCACAAAGCCTTCGGTGTAGTAACTATGGTCGGAACTATGGTCGCCGACCAGATTGTGCGCCAGCTCATGACAGAGGATGACCCACCAGTAGACGAACGCGTCGGCATAAGCGTCTGCCGCATTCGCGGCGCTGCCTGCTGTTGCAAGGCTGCGCTCGTGGAGTTCCTCGTAGTATCGATAGTTGCAGAAGATGCTGCCGTTGCGGTTGAAGGCAATGGTCTTCCCCGAGGTTTCGAAAAAGATATTCAACGTTCTTGGATCCAGGCTGAAGATTTCACCCACAGATTTGAGGAGGGTGGCAAAGCCCGTCAAACCAGCCGAATGCTGTTGCAAAAATCCGGATGAGTTACTGACCGACGAGGGAGACAGGTACATCTGGATCCCGTGTTGGATGTCCGCCACAAACGTCAGGTCATGCGCAGGATGCTCGTCGCAATATGATTTGGTCTCCGACAGCACATTGGTCTCTCCACGAGAGTACAAGTCTGACGAGTTATGAGGGCGAGATTTCTTGATGGCATTAAGCAGATTCTCGCGTAATCGATGAGGGGCCGTGATGGGATCATTCGGTCCTTGTTGGCCTCCGCCTTGCTGGTCGTACTGGTAGGGTGGAGGGGGATCTTGCTCGCCCTGGGTCAGTGCTCTCTGGGAGCCTTGTTCAGGCCCATTGGCAACATTCTGACCGAGCATGGATTGAAGATGACGATTGCTGCCTAAACCAAGCTGGCGGGAGAGGTTAGAAAACAGATTTCGACCCTGCCCTCTGCGATCCCCGCCGTCGATGGATAATGTGTCCTGCTCCGGAACTGGCTGGGAGCCGGTATGGTCTGGGGAGTCGGGAAATCCGCCTGGCAGTTGAGCATGCTGTGCTTTCTCCTTTGCAGCTTGCTGCTGTGAAGCCTGCCACTTCTTTTCCTCTTCCTGAATCCGGTTCTGCTGCTCCTCCAGCTCTTGTTGTCGCTTACTTTCTGCGAGTCGCGCCTCAGCGGCTTTTTGGCGGAGAATACGGGAAACGTTGAAGCCACGAGCACGGAGGTCAAGCAAGTCCGTCTTCAGTAGCATTTCGAGTGTGATTGCAGAATGCAGTTTCGGACGGGTGAGCAGGATATGCACGAGAGCCTGGCTGACCTGGTACAAATCCGGTTTCTCCCCAGCGATCCACAGCGTGTATTCGCGGTTGACCTGCGTAACGACGGCACTGCGCTTTTCGGTGTGGCTGATGTTCCGACCTCGTAGTGACCTCCGCAGAGAGATAGACGAAACTAGTTGCACGGTCAGGTTCTTTTCTAGCCACTTCGCGTCATGTTTTATGGTGTCAGGAGGTTGTTCATGCAGAAACAAGGTCGATCTCTCCAGGATTTGCTTCTGCAACTTCTGAGCTGGCTTTTGGTCGGCCAACCTAGGACCGTGCCGCGCTGCTTCCTCAACCAACGAACTAAGTAACGGCGAGCCGAGCGCAAAATAGAAATCCTCTAGGCTTTCTTCCTGGGGCGCAGCAAGGATATTCGTTTTGAACAGATTATAGTTCAAGTAATCGTCAATGATGATCGCATCCTGGGCACTGCACAGCTGGAATTCACGTATGCCTTGAGCTTCTTCCTCGTCGACGCTGTCAGCCTCGTCTCCGGCGCCAGAAGACTTGTTGGCTGAGGATGGAGGCGCGGGAAGTTCTTTACTGGCAAGTAGGAACGGTGCTTTCTTCATTTCTGCAAAAAGCTCCTTATTCTTTTTGAGTGTCTTAATATCATCAGCCATGCTACGGAGCAGGGCCATATATTTCTCCGCGTTGCGGAAAGTGGCAGAAATGCGCGCGGGCTCCCTGACTAGGATCTGCGCAATCTCCATCTTGGATGGTTCTTGTTTCGAGCCACATTTAATCAGAAAAGCGTTGCCTTCAAACCCGAAATCCACGTAGTGGAAAATCTCGCCAAAGACATCGCTCTCACCTAGAAAGCAGTTCCGTGGCGACGTGTAAGCCTTCGGAGCAGACTTTTCTTTGTTCTTTGGGAAGATGGGAACGAAATCCAGGTTATTCAACCTAGGGATGTTGCTGATATTAATTTCGTTCAAACGACCCGCGAAATAGGCGAAGATGGCACGAGCCTCTTGGTAGCTAGTTGGGGGTCGTTTCGCGAGAGCGTTGATGCAGACATCCATTGGCGGATTGAGTCTTACACCAAATTTGGTTGCATGAGGTACCCAGTCACGCTTCAGGATGTCAAATCCAAGAAGGGCAGCGCCTTCATCGGCAAAGCATTGAGAAGGGGTAGCAAGCTCGTCAGGTTTGTTCTCAAGTGGCAAGAAAGGATTCGTGATGCGTGAATAGTCAAATGCGCTGTATCCATAAGCATGGTGATGTGACAAGAAGTAAGCGAGAGTCCGGTCTCGCAGGTCGAGATCCTGTGTAGAGCCCTTCTTGCCCGCCCGGGCCATGATAGCAACAAGCTCTTCCACACCGGGTGTCGTTCGCAAACCGAGAGAACTCAGGAATTTCCCCTCTGGGCTGCTGCTGCGATAAACACCAGGCCAAGCCAGTACTGGAAGACCCAGTTCGCGTAAGTCCGGACGCGGCTCAAACAATTCAGACACCTTGTACCGTTTCGAAGAGTCGGGGTCCTCCTTGTCCTTGACATGTCTTGGACAGATCGGCGTGCTCCTGAGTTTTGCAATATCAGATCCTGGGATGTCTTCCCGCACAGAAGCAAGATAGTGGATCAAGTCGACATGACTCCATTGAGGTTTGGCTCCTGATTCTGTTTTGGGAACCTTGGAATCTAGTGACAATAGTCGCTCGAAAACGACACCTAATTCCACGGTCTTGCGTACGCCCAGCGCCACTAAAAATTTATCCTTGACGTTCCCAAGACCTTTGATCGTGGCCAGATCGTCGAAGAGTTTGACATTGGGGAAGTACGAGTCGCCAGGTTTCTTCATACCAAATTTTGTCGGAACGACTGTGTGCCTGGAGAGCAATTCCACAAGAGCTGTCTTGGACGGCTGGCTAAGAGAGTCCCACTGTTTCGACAGAATGGGCAGAACTTGTGCGCTAAACTCGGGCGATCTCGTCATGTCCTGGTCTTCCGCCAAAATTTGACGGTTACCAGATTGGCTGATGAGCCATCGGACCCAAGTCACGAGCTGTAGCTCCTCCCAGCCCAAACTTTCCAGCTCATGTTTGCTCATGCTCTTTGTAAACTTGAAAGGCATAACTGTAGGCGGCACAGGTAGGTCAACGGGAGTCCTACTAGGGTTCAAAAAATGACGAATCTCTCCCAGTGGAAGGAGAGGACTAGTTCTGCCCTCCGGCTGCTCATCACTAGCAACTGCAACCCCTAGTAAACTGGCCACTGTCGCTCTGTCGAGGGAACCACGGGTAGACTGCTTGGTCAGCCATCCAAGAAACTCTGACACCTGATGTGGAGTGAGAGGATTGGATTCCAGAGCCTTCTTGATATCCGAAACAGTCACTTCGGTAATGAGCCCGAACTCGACGAGTTTGTTGACCAGATCTTTTGCTTCTGCCGCCAACCTTTCCGGAATGATCGGAATGCCCTCCATAAAGCTCAAGTCCTTCGGAGCAACACGCACTTGGTGGGTGGGTAAAACGCCACAGGTGGAGACCACCTCTATGGACGCCTCTTTACTGCAAGTCCAAAAGGCATCCTCCAGAAGTTGTCCTATAGATTGGGACGGGGTTGACTCTCGGAACGTGAAGTTCTTGAAGACGGTGATGGCTTCGTCAAGGAATGGAGAGACTTCCTCGATGCGGATCTTCGAGCGGCCATTGGCTTCCCGTTGCATCTTCTCCTTGAGCTCCTGCATTTCAGACGACCAGGCTATTCTGCAAACAATTCCTGCAGCACGCAGCATCTCCACATTCCAGGTCCTGACGTATCGAGCATTCAGATCAATCGACTCTCGCTCGACCGTAGGGATTACTGAAGGAGCCGAAATATGTGCGCTCAAACCTGTTGTCTGGTGCGTAGGAAACCCGATGAAGATCTTCCCGCCTCTGCTGGGCAGCACGGTACCGAAGACATCACCAGCTGCAGATGCCTTCTTAAGGCTTCCATCTTCAATATAGGGGGCAGTCAGGATGGCGAGCTTGGTGAACTTCGGTGGAGGCTTCTTGGTAGCACGTTCCAATTCCTCGTTGAACTTTTGACCTGTAAAGGTCTTGATGGTAGCAGTGTTGACGTTGAGAAACACAGTGGCTGAAACCTTGGACGTCAGAAGGTCTGAATCCTGGGACCGCTCCGGCTTGGTATCGGGCTGACTCTCTTCTTGCACGGTTCCCGCTAACCGTGAGAAAAACTTCCTCAAAGATGTACCGGCTTCACGATCCACCGCTCGATTCGTGTCTTTCTTAGCCTTCCATCCTATGACGGCCATCCACTGACCGTCAATCTGGGCGATCTCTTTGGAGACTTTGGTCACCTTCATGAATCCTTCACTAGTCTTGGGTTCGATGTTTCTTGGAATGGCCAGTTCCAGACTGGGCGAGGTCTTCTTCTTCAAAGAAAGGACATTCCATTCATCTAGCCAAAGTTCGATGTTTTCTAGACCAACGAACGTAAGACTGTTTGCCAAGAATTGTGCAAGAGGGAGTAACGGGGGAACAGGAGATGTGGTGTCACGGTAGTCGAGGACAAAGTTCGTATCAGGTGTTGTCTCTGATTCAGGAAGCTGTAGTCGTCTTGTGAACAGATAATTATTCTTCCAAAAGAATGCCATCGCTTCCTTTCCAGAGGAAACAAAAGGATTCTCACAATCCGCAAAGGTTGAGTAGAAGCCAACGCCGAAAGCACCGATTTTCGTCTCGTCCGGGTTTCCCTCTGCAATTCTCTTGAGCCTATTCCAGTCATTTTCACTGAACGGCGTCCCGTTGTTTGTCACAACAAGCCGTTTGAGTGTGTGGTGTTGCACGGTATGTTTTAAGAGGTTGGATGGCGAAGATTCTGAAGGTAAAGGCACGGTGGCGGAGGGTATTGTCTCGAATTTGATGATGACTTTTGTTGCCGACGCATCTGCCGCATTCTGTAGCAGTTCTCTCAATACTGTCCATTCGCCCGAATATCTGGCCAACACTTTGTCTATCAATGCTCTTGTATTCACTGTAACAGCCTCCTCATCGGCGCCAGACCGCAGGGTCCGCGCCCGAAGGGCATCAAAATCCATGTCGTCCTAAATCCTGATACTGAGCTGACGCAGAGGAAAGGAACAGTAGGGACAAAGGTAAGAAAGGAATAGTGTATCCGGAAGAGACACGAAACCTCGTCGCCCCTGCAACGTGTTCGGTCAAAAGGAATGAGCTGGTTGAACTCGAGTCTTGGTGGCAAGGAATATCATGGAAAGAACATGGCTTTTCGCATTCAGGCGGCCGACATAAGGGCTTCGACGGATGCAAACCGTCCTTAGCACAGGAAAAAGTCTAATCGTGTAGGAAAGTCAGAGAGAAAAACAAAACAGACAAGTTGGACGAATGTAGGGAATCGGAGTCGTAGAAGGCGAAACGTTCCCCGGACGAGGCTGACGTCGATATACCAAACACTCGGCGCCACAGTGGCAGATCGAGTCGCAGGCGTGCAGCGCGTTCAGTTGTTTCAGGCGCATGTCAGCCTGGTGTCTGCGGTGTGGCTGTGCTGGCGTTACATAAGCGCACTCGGTCGTTGTGCAAGCATTGGAAATGCTTCCCCGTACTTTTGCTTTTAGGTAGTTTTGCTCGGCCCTATGCTTCCGCGATCGAGGCACGAAACCACGTGACCGCAAACACCGTTGCCTCTCTGGCTCTATCTATCCCCGTCTTTGCCTGGTTTGCATACCACGTATACCGCTGAAAACCACATTGAAGCAGCTAGTGGTCATACCTTGGCGAGGTGATCTTCCTTGCTGACGGTCGTGTTGGCCAGGTCCATGCGCTGATCGCATAAGAAACTCCCGCTGCAGCCATGTCATTATGGGATATAACCCTTTTCTACCCACCGCTGGCGCCAGGGTTAACGTCCTGTGCGTCCCGGCTGGTCCAGTCACGCCCGGACGATTTCAGGATTTTACAAAGTTGTTGCAGGACGCGGCGAACGCGAAACTCAATCATTTGACTTCCTCGAGCTCTGCCCAGGATGGCCCGCGAACATCGAGCGAAGACAATTGCATCTTATATGAGATTTCGCCAACGCAGGACCCGGGGCGACCGCATCTATTTCCTTTTGAAACCAACAGCCGATGCCAGATATTGCTCGGGCTCATAGACGGCGAGCGGATTGAAGACAATGCGTCTGAGTTCGATGTCGAGGACGGGGCATCCACAGCCGCCTTATCGGATCTCGAAGCGATTAAAACTGGCTTTTCCCAGCAATCACCGTCCCACCTTGGGTTGCTTGTGCGTCAGTTGGTTTATTTCAGCAAGAAGAGGCCTACCTCGGTTGATCGCGATATAATCTTCATGTCGGACACTCAGGGTGGTGCCGTTGCACGTGAATTTGAGGCCGAATTATCAAATCCATTCACGGCGAAGGTTGAGGCCATGCTCAATGAACTGAAGGATCAGCCCATTAGTATGGTCCCAGGTGCCAACGCCCAGGCGTGCGTCCGTAGCAGCGATACGCCAAACCCCAGCACTCCGAGTCCTGCGTCAACACCGGTACCAACTCCGAGCAGCGGGTCCTCGATAGTCGACGCCGACACGCAGAGCGATACCTCAAGGGGGCGTTTCAAGATTGTCCACGGTATGTATCAACTGCAGTGCGGGCTTTGGAGTGATGCTCTGAGTTTGCTTGCCGATGGAGCATCTATGGCTCAGAATGGACATGATCACCTCTGGCACGGAAAAGCTCTTGAGAGCCTTCTTTTGTGCATGTTGCTGTTGTCCTGGTCCGGGCAGGGCTTCACAGTACCTCAAGTATGTCGTTCTTTACCTAATAGAAGCGGCATTTTCCAGACAGAGGTGTCATCCAAGACCGGAGACTCACACAGAGCTCTGGCTGAGTTGATGCCGCCTATGGTGGAAAGCATTCTCGAGCTCTACGCAAAGGTGTCGAATCTTGACCTAGGAGGATCTTTGCAAGACGTCTTGAGAGAATCCCGTATTAGGGCTGTGAATATACTTGTCCTTGTCAAAAGCAATGGCGGTATCTTAACCCAGGGTTGTCTCGATCAGCTTGTTCTAGGCCGAATGGAGACTCCAGCTGGCGGGATACCGGTGGCGGGCGAGCCTGTTGCGGTATCAAAGGCCGGATTAGCCAACATCTTGATCGAGACACTCCAGGCTTCGCAATCGAGCAATTACTCTACCCATTTCACCAGCATCTTGGTCGCGGTAACTAGCAGCCTTTCGGTTTTAGGGCTGAGCAGGAAGCATGCGTTCTATCTCAAGCAAATGGTACAACAGTTCGTTACCAAATTGATTGAAGCGCGAAAGATTGGTGCTTCTGCAGTTGGTATCCATCCTGCAGCTGGACTTCCGCCTGTCAGCCATGCGCTTCAAGGGATCCTTCCGGAAATGGCCACAGGCATCAGAAAGATGTTGAGCCTTGTGGCTGATGCATACGGAGCCCCAGTGCCTCCAGTTGCTCCCCCCAGGCACCTGATCACTGCAGATATCAACGTTATCAGTGAGAAAGTCCGCACATGGGCAGCCGAGCATAGCTATGGAGACCTCGTACTGAAGTTAGAAATGCTGAGGACTTGTATAAGCGTCTGTGAGGCCTTGCCGGATGTTCCAGCAGGCCTTCATTTCACCTCATACATTCTGCAAGCAAGCAAGCGGGTCGTTACACTCCCAAGACAATCCACCAATGTTTCTCCGCCATTGATGTCAGTCGAGGAACAAGCCCGTCTGTTGGACAGCATGAACCGTGCAGCCCTCGCGGCCCCAAGGCTGGGTTTTCCGAAATGCAGTGCGGAATACTGGGACGACTTTCTAGTTCGGGATGTTCAAGTCTTTGAACGAGATGACGCGTCGAGACTAATACCACACAAATCCAGTGATCTTGCTGTCCGAGGAAGTGGGCTCACCGACACCATCCGAGACCCATTTATCTATAATCCGTTCGCAAAGACAAAATCAACTGTCGCCGCACCTGTTTTGGTGGCGGGAGAACTCGCATCTTTTGCTGTGATCCTTCAGAACCCACTAGAAGTGGAAGTTGAGATCGAAGACATCTCTCTAGTAACCAAAGGCTGTTGCTTCGTGCCGTCGCATCATAGTATTGTCCTGGGCCCTCTGTCGGTACAGACATTTGCTCTGAGCGGCACACCCACTGAAGATGGTGATCTCGAAATTGTCGGCTGCAGAGCGAGGATCCGCAACTGCTATGACCAGGAATTCCTGATCTTCCGTGAAGACTGGAAACCCTACCCCAATCTAAAACACAATGCAGTGGGCACAGTTCGTCGGAGGACGAACCGGAGTTCTAAGACGAGTGACGACCATGAAACACTCCTTTCAATCCAGCTGGATTTACCAGTGCCCGCGTCCCTTAAGCTCAAAATCATCAGGCCTCAGCCACGAATTACAATACAGAGTGACGGCCTAGGAACGCCCTCCATCATGTTACTCGAAGGGGAGAGCCGGACTTTTGATCTCAAGCTATTCAACAAGAGCACTGATGTGCCGGCTGATTTTATCTTGGTAACCACTGAAGACTCTGTTAGCTCAAGGCTGCAGGAAGCGCTTTCAAATAAAGATCTGAGCTCTGCCGAGATCCATGAAGTCCAAAAGCAGTTGGTTGAAAGCCCTGCCGTGGTGGTCAGGAAAAGGAACGTGGGCTCGTCAGCGACAATCCTTGGGCCAGGGCAAGCCGGCATCTACGAAGTCACCATTGTCGGTCGACCAGGTCTCGTCAGTGCCACGGTGCAGGCAGACTACGCGTATCTCGGTTCGCCCTCCCAGGAAGTGAAGGGAACGTTCTATACGAGACAGGTCCGCTTTTCACTCTCCATTACTGTTAACGGCAGCATCGAGATACCACGATGTAACATCTTGCCAATTCATAGCGACTTTGCTTGGAGATCGAACACCACACTAAGACACGGCAGCGAGCAAGGCCCACATCCGCCCGTCCAAACCACAAAAAACAACATCTTCGCACTTTCTGATTGGTACAACGATATAGGGACAGGCTCGGATAACTATTGCATGTTGTCATTAGATTTGCGTAACGTTTGGCCACGACCCCTCAGCATCGACATACAAGCCCGAAAGCGGAGTTTGAATTCAGACCTCGAGAAGACAGAATGGGAGGAAGCGTTTACAGTTCTTGAAACGTTGCAGCCAGGCTACATCACCCGGGTTGTGCTGCTGATACCACGTCTGTTCATTGAGGATTCTCACGCCCAAATACCCAGCCTCGAGACGCAAAAGCAGTTTGTCGTGACGACGTCTAAACTGAGTGCTGAAGCAGAAGCCGCAAGTAGGGAGTCATTCTGGTACCGCGAAGAGCTCCTGAAGTGTTTGCGAGGCACCTGGAAGGACGAAAGCTCGGGCCGTTGTGGAGAGATCGATCTTCGGAAAGGTATCAGACTGAGCCCGCGACTAGTTGATGTTCTGAAGTTGGATCATGTCGACTTGACTTATGCTCTCCAGCCCTGTGATGGGCAAGGGAACCGGGCTGATGGCGACGCAAGTACTCCCGTGAGACAAATTGGGAGATCACATTTTATCCTCAAATCCGAGACGTTCGCGACCTTATCAGTCAAGGTGCACAACCGTACTCAGGATAGCCTTCGACTCCTTCTCCGGCTCCAGCCCTCACTTCGAAATCAGCCACATACTATAGCGCTGGATCTTTCTCGACGGTTTCTGTGGTCTGGAGTGCTCCAGCGCGCTTTGCATCCTGCCGTGGAATCTGGCGGGACGGCCGTGGCCGAGCTGGGCATCATAGCACTTGTACCGGGCGATTACAACATAACTGCATCAGTCGAGGAGATCAAGGCTCGGCGCGCCAAGTCAGGGGATTCCGTGAGCACAGGCTCCGGAAGGAGGATCTGGCACGCACGAACGCCGTGTCTGATCGATGCTGTCAACGACGACTGATACTGTTGGAGGGGGCTTCTATCGCTCAGAGTACGGATAGGACAAGGTCGACAATCTGTAAGAAGACGTCCCTCTCCAGCTCGACTTTGGCAAGACCCAATCCGAGCATCAACTGGCGGTTCTCCTCCGGCGACTTGGTGATGATGGCATTTGCGATTTGAGAGGCGTACAGCTGACCCATCGCCTCGCGATCGGAACCACCAGCCCCAAGCAGTGTCCGTGGAGAAAACCGAGTCGATGGAAGAAGAGCATCATCTCCCGAGCGGTTCGTTTGGAAATATGGATCCGAGTCCGTTGGATTCTCGCTGAGAAGTGGCACGGTAACCTGACGATGTTGAGCATAGCCCTGAGCATAAAGCTTTCTATAAAAAACATACCCATTGCGAAAGTCTCCCATTTTGTGTAATTGTGATCATTATCTTGTCCGCAAACGACATACTCATAACGTCGGTCTTGACACCATTGACGTCTCCTGCAACCTGCTTCGTGGGTGCTGGGAACGGAATTGTTACCTGCGTTTCTTCTGCGGTCGGCGGCGCGCCGAGCACGTGTGGCAATCCCATGCTGTCGATAAACACCAGCTCCTTCTGGTCGATAGTCCAAGGTAGAAGAAGAAGTGAGAGTTGAATTTCAAGCCCGTAGTAACGGCCGTACGTTGAAGGGGAGTATCCATCACGTGATTAGAAGTCTCACCGCCTTGTTTGACCGCCTGCGCAGCCTTGTTTCTGCCGGCCAAAATTTTCGTTTTGGAATGCGCCGCGAATTCATTTCAGCAGAAGACTGCGGTGGTTGTCTTTGCTGTAATCTTTGCACTGGGTATATGCTAGGCGGGGCACAGGTTTCAAAAGCCTGTAGTCACTATCTTCAACATGGCTCCTCCCGTTCGTCGTCAGCGGAAGCAAAAGGCACGGGCCCGGGAGGAAAAAGAGAAAGGGCAAACGGCCGCTCAGCAGACCAACCAAGAAGTCATCATACCACTGAGCAAAGCCGAACGGGAAGAAAAGAAGCGGAAACTCCGGGAAGAACTACGAGCGCAACAGCCGAAGGTGTCGAGCAAAAAGCAGAAACGGTTGGACAAATACATTGAAAACAAGTTGAAAAAGGATGAGACCCTGGATCTTCTGCGGAAACTCGAGCAGGAGAAAGAGAAATACGATGCTGCCGCTATCGCTACTCTTCAAAGTACGAAGAATCTGGGGAAACGGAAGTTTGGGGACTTCGTGAATGGGGATGGGCCTGGCCACGCGGAGAACAAGAACGCACGCAAAGGGCGACAGGAAGAAGATGGCTCGGACCTTGAAAGTGAGGACTCGTTCGAAGCAGAAAACCCGGCGTCTTTTGAGCCAGGAGAAAAGGAACCGGTGGTGAAAGCGCCAACCACCACTCCTACAGCGCTAGGGAGCGGTCTTGCGCAACCACTGGCGCTTGATGAAAATGGGCTTCCTATAATTCAGTCTCGCAAAAGCAAGAAGCGGAAGAAGGCCACCGTGATTCAAGATCCGCTTGAATTGCCTTGGGAGGGCTTTGATTCTGAGCCGAGTGATCTGGAGGAGGACAGTGAAGATGAAGAAGAAGACGACGAAGACGAAGATGCAGAAAGTTCTGACGAGGACGTGTCAGGGTCCGATTCATCCGATGCTGAAGAATCCGAAGATGAATCTGATGCCGACAGCGACGAGGAGTCCGACACAAGCGCCTCTGAAGGATCTGACAAAGAGAAACTCAAGCCGCGAAGATCAGCTTTCAAGGCCTGGGCAACACAGCAGCTGAACCAGGCTGTTGGACACGTTCCATCGTACACAACAGGCGAGGGACAATTGCCGCCCAAACCCACTCCGCGCGCCCCAGAGCCCAACCCTACGCCGACCGATAAGCTCACTGTACCGGAGACACCCAGAGAAACTGCACCAAATCGAAAAGCTTTTGCTGTACATGTTGACCGGCCAGAAGAAATTCAAGAGTCCAGGTCTGCACTGCCGATCCTGCAACGCGAGCAAGAAATCATGGAGGCCATCTACAACAACCCCGTGGTGGTGATCAAGGGTGATACGGGAAGTGGCAAGACGACCCAAATCCCCCAATTTCTGTTCGAAGCCGGCTACGGATATCCAGACGGTCCGACCCCGGGTCTGATCGGAGTCACGCAGCCCCGTCGTGTGGCCGCTGTGAGCATGGCCAAACGAGTTGCAACAGAACTAGGACAGTACGGGGATCGAGTGTCCTACCAAATCAGATTTGACAGCACAGTGTCGCCCTCCACCGCTGTCAAGTTCATGACCGATGGTATTCTACTGCGAGAACTATCACAGGACTTACTCCTAAGGAAGTATTCTGCAATCGTCATTGATGAGGCGCATGAAAGGAGTGTCAACACCGACATCCTGATCGGAATGCTGAGCAAGATCGTGCCGGCGCGAATGCAGAAGAGTCAATTCAACCCGAATCCGACGCCCCTGAAGCTGATTATCATGTCGGCCACTCTCAACATCGGCAACTTTCTCCATGATAAACTCTTCACCCCGTCGTTGAGACCGCCGATCGTCGAGGCCGAAGGACGCCAGCACCGCGTCACCACGCATTTTGCTCTGCGATCCAGAGGGGATTATGTGGATGAAGTCATTGAAAAGGTCAGACGAGCGCACCGGAAGCTTCCTAGAGGCGGCATTCTGGTCTTTCTCACCGGCCAGAACGAGATCCGACAGGTCGCCAGTCGACTGCGAGAGCTGCTCGCACCACGCAACAAACCAGACAAGAAAGTAGCAGCGACGCCACGCGTGCAGATTGCGGCAAACGAAGCGCCTCTGGAAGCGGAGGACTGGGAGATCGGCGAGCTGAAAGTGACGAATAACGGGCAAGACGACTTTGACCTTGAGATTCTCACCCATTCAGAGGACGAAGCCGAGGAAGCCGAATTCGACATTTCCGACGATGACGAAGAAAATGAGCCAGGAGAAAACGGATCTCACCTGACAACCGCACAGAGAGCCACATCTTCAACACAGGGGAAAGAAAAGGAACCGTATACATCAGTTCACATTCTTCCGCTATATTCGCAACTCCCCACGAGCGAACAACTGAAGGTGTTTGAGCCACCGCCAGCCGGGTCACGACTGATTGTACTGGCCACCAACGTCGCAGAGACTAGTTTGACGATACCGGGGATTCGGTACGTGTTCGACACAGGACGGAGCAAGGAGCGCAAATACAACCTGGACACGGGGGTGCAGAGTTTCGAAATCGACTACATCAGCAAAGCCAGTGCGCAACAGCGAGCGGGCCGAGCAGGACGAACAGGGCCAGGGCATTGCTGGCGGCTGTACACGTCGGCGGTATACGAGCAGTACTTTCCAGAGCATGCGGAACCCGAAATCCTACGAGCGCCAGCGGAAAGCGTGGTGCTGCAGCTCAAGGGATTCGAGTACCCACGGCCCGTGGCGCAATTCCCCTTTCCAACACCGCCGGCCGCAGTGTCCCTGAACAAGGCCGAAGCGCTTCTGAAGAATCTGGGCGCGCTCACATCCACCGGCAGCATTACCGAGCTGGGCACCCAACTGGCAAGCTACCCGCTGTCGCCACGGTTGGGCAAGATCCTCGCGGCGGGTATCAACAATCCAGACCTGATCTGGCAGGTTCTGGCACTGGTGTCGGGTCTAGCCGTGTCGGAAATCTATATCTCTGAAGCGCAGCTCGACCTCCTGGACCCGGAAGTTTCCGCCGACGCAGAGAGAACGCAGGACGAAGTCTACACGCGACAACAGCAACAAGAAGACGACGAGCGCGACCGCCTACGACAAGAATACGGCCGCGTCCGCGCCACGCTCACACGTCTCGACAAGACATCAGATGCCATGAAACTCCTCACCGCCGTGACAATGTACTTGGACGCCACAACATCCAAAAGCAACAGCGAAGAAGACCGACGCAAATTCTGCCGGGACTTCTTCCTGCGCTCCAAAGCCATGGCCGAAGTCTCACAACTGCGCAGCCAACTTGAGGGTCTCGTACGGGCGAACCACCGCGCAACAATCACCAGCGAAACACTCGCCAAGTCGCATTCATTGTCATTGGGGTCCAACAAACTCCCAGCCAACAAAATCAAACAGCTCAACGCCATCGTGGCCAGCGGATACATCGACCAAGTGGCGATCCGGTACGACCGGGCGCCAGCCGCGCCCGCAGACATCGCCAAACCACGCAGGGCCATCGACGTCCCTTATCTTCCTTTGGTCCCGCTGCACGACGACCCGCATGCCCCGACCGCCCTGAAAGCAGTTTACATCCACCCGTCGTCCGTGCTGGCTCGGCTGTCTGTCAAGGAGATGCCAGAGTACATTGTGTACAGCCATCTTCAACGATCGCAGGCGCACAGTGTCGCTGAGAGCGATGCCGCTGCCGCGCTGGGCGGGAGACATGCCGCGATGGCGACGGCGGTCAAAATCCCAAAGACTCGAATGTTCCCATTGACGCCGCTCGACGGTGCCCAACTCGTCCAATTGGCCCGCGATACTGCCCTTATTGAATACGGCAAACCTGTCCCGCGATCGAAGGTCGAGGAAATCCCTGGTTCTGGTTCTGGCTCTGGTTCTGGCTCTGGTTCTGGCTCTTCTCCCAAGCGTAGAGAGTGTTGGGTCATCCCGGAGTTGAGAGGCGCAAAGTCAGGAGCGCTGGGCTGGCCACTGCCGCCCGTCAAGGTCAGGCAGGTCCTCGATGTCAAGAGCAAGTCTGGTTGGAGGGTGGAAAAGGTGTTGAGCTGAGTTAGCATAGTATAGTAGTAGCCACCTACCTAGGTAGTTGCTGGCCTACGCATATTGGAGCGTCCTACAACTACATGATGTACCACCACTTCTCGTGGCACTGTCAGTTGGACATAACTTTTCCTTTCAAGCCTCAACAATGGTCGACAGTTGATGCCTGCCTTGTGCCTTTTACCTAGTGGGTAAACATATCTGTATTTGCGCCTGCACCGGCCACCACCTATTACTGCTAGGTACTTATTAATCAAGAAGAGCAAAGCATGAAGACCTGGCCCAAACCGAACCAGGTTTGTCACAGCTATCCTTCCCTTATGGTAGGGACAGAACCAGGACAACAATTTTGACCAATTTTGAACAAGTCGTAGTCAAATTCAAGTTCAGTAGTAGTGTGCACGCCTCCATATCTATAGACTACACAGTACAGCGACCTCCACTCTCCTACTTCAAGTTGTAGTAGGTGGTAGAGATCTACGTAGATAGCTACGATGTCAATTTAGGACCAGCGAAATATCAGCTACTAGTATCTTACCACTACGGTCACTCGCTTCCTAAGCTCCTACATCACTGGCAACTACAAAGAATCATTTCAACTTTGCATTTTGCATTCAACTGCATGATGGGATCTGCTGACGCAGCCCAATTTTCTCAACGCTTACATACGCGCGATTCTCTGGTGAACTTGAATAGAAGCCAGTGCCAGTACTTGCTTTGCTTGCAATGATGGGATCCCATTCATCTGCTTGCCCTCTGATCTGGCATTTCATCTCCCCCACTGCATTCACTGGCTAGCTTCAAGGTTCAATGACAAAATGATCAATGCAAAAAACAAATTCAACTCCACTCCACTCCCCCTTCGTTTCTCGCATGTCGCCTCGCCTGCCACTCAAAAGGCAACTGGCTTGGCCTGTTTGCCAGCCAGGACGATTTGCTCAAGACGCATGACGGCGTCTTCGACTCTGGCCTTTGCAGTGGTCAATTCGCGGTTCAGGTCTTCTTGATCCAACCCGCTCTCATCCTTGACCCACCATGGAGCAATGTTTCCAGCGATGCGCGCAAGGAGAACAGCCTGTTGAAACTCGACACCGCCAAAATCCGGGTGGATGACAGGAAGATAGGCCGAGGGAGGACCAGAGAAGACGCGAGCGAGCGACTGAGGCAGAGCATTGTGGCGATCCAAGGTGGCAAGGAAAACCTCATACTGATGAGCCGGCCATTCCTGATTGTCATTCTCCACGACGTTTGCGAATTCCTCGGTCGCTGGGAAGAAGCCGCCGAACTCGAGGTCGATCACAGCAGAAACTGCGGCGCCGACGGGAGTGTCGACCACAAGAACGTTGCGTGGAGACAGGTCGTAGTGGGTGAAGATCATCTCTCCTGTTTCGCGACAGAAGATGGGCAACTTGGGCAGAGTGTCTTTGATGAATCGCGACACAAGCTTGTTGACAAAGTCCTTGTTCTGTTCGTAGATCTTGTTGTCTTTAAGACGACGAACTTCTGCTTTAAGTTTGTGGACGAAATAGCGTTGAGTGGTGTTGAGTGCCGTACTGGACGATTCACTTGCGATGAGCCCTTCGACGTAGACGTCTAGACCTGGCAGGATGCCTCTGTCATACATGGTTGCTGATGGTGGTGGGACACCGAAGCGACGGATGAGGCGAAGGTTTCCAACTGCTCGAGCTGGTGGCATATTCTTACGCCAAGCTGCGACGTGTTCCGCCATCTTGATCATGATCGCATCTCCAGTCGGTCCCATGATGTCCTCTCTGCTGATGATGCGACCGGGAACACGGGTCATAAGGATCCAGCCGCGTCCCTTGGTGTCAAGCTGATCATTGTTCTCGGTCTCGACGTCACGGTTCCGAAGGCCGCTGCCAGTGGCTTTCTTCAACCTCAAAACCCAGGATGCAGAGCGAGTTCGAGTGCCGCGCGAGTCGCTGGGTGTCTTGATCTTGTTACCATCGTCAGACCAGGCGACAACCTTAGGCGCAGGCACGGTGGGACAGTATTTCTCCAGTAACAATAAACACGCCACTTCGTTCTGGGTCTTGCTTGGTCCGAAAGGCAAACCGGAGACTTTGAGGACAAAGGATGTCGCCCAGCTGGTCTGCGCACTGTCAGTAGACTCGACTCCGTTGATCTTGAACTCGGGTCGGGTCAGAGCAGCTGGCTCAGTAAGGTTGATGAAGTAGATGCGATTGTTGAACGACTTGCCAGACGGGAGGTGCTCGATGGAGACGTGTTCTGGCTTGACGTCCGGCAGACTCTTCTTGAAGATGCCCTGAATGGTCGCATCAGAGAACTGTACGTCGTAGTTAGGGTTCGAGGGCGGTGTGGCACGCGCCGCCATTGCCAGCGGCATGATGATTGAGGGATGGAAAGCGTCGATAGGCTTTGGGTTTGAGGATGATAGAAAGTAACTGTGTGATCACGCTTGTCGCAGTAACAAGGATGCTTTGAGAAGGGGTTGTGAGAGATGAAGGAAGAAGAAAAGGATGGAGGAGATCGATACCCGTTTCATGCGCGGTTGAGGTGGGACAATCACGCTTGTGTTTTGGAAAGTGAGGTTGAGATGAAGTCGATGTCAATGTCTTCTGCGGAGTTTGTGCCGGACTCTAAGTCCGTGGGTGGAAGCTCATGGTCATGTTGTCGCAAGTGAACGAGGTGAGGCGATGAGCCGGGCGGCCGCCAGAACAGCAAACTGGGAGGGGAGAACTGCGATCCCATCCAACGACTTGACCTGGGCAAGAACAAAAAGACATTCCCAAGACATCGGCAGGAGTGATGATGGACATCGGTGAAACAGCTCGTTTCCATCAAAGAACAACATGGTGAGGCTGTTCACTGAGAACGTCGTTTTTCTTTTGGTGCAGTCATTCATTCTCAAATTCTCTTTTCTTATGGCCAGCAAGTCCGAAGTACAACGGTCAGAGGGAATGGCGTGAAGAATCAACAAGTCAACAACGCAGCAAGTAACCCTTAGTGAGATGAGAAACCGTGAAAGACGATTGAATATCATTGAATATCATTTTGTAACTTGTGACCGACCTCAGTTCCTTGCTCCTGCATCTGCACTGTCCTCCCATTTTCCATTCACAGCACACATTGTAAGGTCTCCGCCTAGGCAGCAAGTTGACTCCGCTCATGGAAAGACACGCAAACAGGAGGAGAACGGCAATGAGAATGATGCTGAACCTTGAGCCCTGAGCACACTGTGCAGTACCATTGGCGTATCGGGGAGCGTCCGCCATCAGCAACTCTGATAAGAAGCCTGAGCTTACCCGCACTGCCAGCCATACAGGCCTTCAGGAATTTCAGGGAGAACATGCCCCTCTAGAGTCGGCTGTCTGAAAACTCTGCCAGCTCTTCAGGCGTCCCCTCTCGACCCGGTGACATGGCAAGGCTGCGGGTGTGGAGCGGAAAAGCATCAGTACCTAGGTAGGTACTTTGTATCCTCCGCTTTCGGTGTGATTGGCTGCGCTGGCACCTTGCTGATTCATACAGTAGTAACACGAGAGATATGCCCTACCAGGTATCATCGGAAGGGGGATGTCGACGCCCATGTCTCCTCCGCGGCTCCAATAACAATAGTGGACCCCGCGCGATGACCATCTCTTTGCAAGCGCCCTCTTACCCTGTACCACTTGGGGGGCAGAAGCGGAACTCGAAACAATCCCGATGCAGTCACGGGCGCTGTGGGCACTTTTATGCCTGGGCGGGTAGCCGGGCAAGGCGCACTCGAAGGACAGTCAGGGTCGTGACAGTGAGGACATAACGGGGCAACCGAGCAGTTGACATGGCGCCGGTGGTGGACGAACGATGGTGCTACTCCTGCCAGCGGGGACAATTGTGGTTCGAGCAATCGCGCAGTTCTCGCACTATCACTGCAGTGGATTAGTCTTGTAGTACCTAGTGCCAGTGCCATCGTTAGAACGACTCGGAGCCTGGTAAAAGAACATGAAACCCCCAGCTTGAACTTGAATTGTGACTGCACAGCGACTACAATTGTACCTTATTCCGCATTCGGACGCCAAGCTGGAAATACGGATGCGCATAAGCGAAGTTCAACGCGCACGAGGAACTGCACTGCACTGCATCTCAGCTGATCCTCCATACACTGGCTGTACTTCTTCGCCTGCGCCCATTTTCCCTTGCAGTGTCTCCTGCGCACATTTGCTGGTACCAGTGACATGAAAATCAACCAGCATGATGTTGACCGGCAACTTCAATAACGCAGGCGACGATGACGAGATTCATTCCCGCTTCTCTACCACGATGTGAGGGTCTTCGGCTAAATCCCTGAACAAGTGCCAGTGGAGCATAAACTCGGCACATTTTCTACCAGGCTCATGCCAGCCCACAAACCCACAGACCACAACACCATTGACACCACAACCGTCCATGTGGCTGATTCGCTAACGCCATCCAGCCTTTCTCACGATTCGGCCCCTATTCAACCCTGCCTCGCGAAATTGGGTCTCTCGATGGTCACCAAACGAACCAATCCATAAGCCAGCCGCCTTCGCCTAGCCTTGTGATTCGCGGTGGACGATGCCAACGATAGCCTGCCTGCGAGGCCGCTTCTACTGTCTACAACAATAGTACACCTCAACTCCAGAATCTCCCGCTATATCGCTTCCTAGCCTCGATAAGCCCCAGATCATTTGTTCTTCTGTTTGTCCGCCGGAACCTCGTTAACCCATTAAGTGATGCGGGACCCACCAGGCTGGCTGTTCACCCTCACCAGTGAGTCTGCCTTGATGCCCAGTCGATTGCACCAGACATCATTGCTCAATCCCTGCTTGGTCTCGTACAGTATTCTTGTCCTCCCATCCTAGTTCGGAAGCATACCGGTGTTCGTTTTCCATCTTCTGGCAGATTACACAGGATACTTTCGATGGTGTTGGGAAAAGCAACCATGTGTATCATGAGTCTATCCCAGATTCTGATGGCTACTATTGCCAATGTCCAAATGATGTACTTGTTCCACGCCAACAGATCCTTCTATGGGTTTGAGTTGCCCGGTGATCCCTAGCCTTACCACCGGGCCCTTTATTGGACTCATTGCCAAGGGACCAACCCATCCACGAGGCGCATCGACTAATCTCAGTAGCCTCCACTCGGCTGAAGGGTGGTCCTCTCAAGTCCCCTCAAAGCCATACGATATTGGGGAACTTCAGTCGACTTGCGCTTTCGGCATTTTCTCACATACCCTCTATCCCCCAGGTGCCGTCCCTTACGACTCCTTCCTGGCAGGCGCTTTTTGCTGTTGGATTGTTGCTACATCCAACCCTTCGTCTTGGTGTACCGTACTGGTTGTGCTACGGGCGATACAGAAGAAGGGCATACTATTATTGATCGACCTTCTTCGGCCTTTGAGCACAATGTCGATCTGTCCAAATGGGGCGCCGCCCATGGTACTGCCATGGGGCAATGTGACAGTTACAACTGACCAGAAAGCCATCACGAGAGGCATTCCCGTGGCATTGGGAAACCCGCCCCAGATTGTCTCCCTGCGCCCAAGTACTTCGGACGATATCTTATATGTGGTCAACAAGGAGCAATGCGCCCCCGACTACAATGCCACTTGTATTGGAAGTTGGGGCGGTGTTTTCGACTATTCATCCTCGAACACGTTTCACCAGGTTGCCCAGGGCCAATGGAACGGCTCGACCGATGCGCTTCCTACCCAACTGTCTTTTGTCACGTTCAACGACGTTTTATCTTTCGGCAATGCCACCGTCTATGGGTTTCCTGCCGTCTACGATGAACCGGGCTACGGAGGGCAAGGTGTGTTGCCGTTGGGCTGGGGTTCGGACTTTCTGGGCGTCGCCGTTGAATCGGGCGCCGCGCCATCAACTGTTTACGGCCTTTGGACAGGAAGTCGCTCTGTAGAGGCCCCGGTTGACGGCGCCCTGGTGATTGGTGGCTACGACACGGCTCGGGTGAAGGGCGATCTAACGACTTTCCATGCCCGCGAGGACTGCGAGATGTGCGCCGTCGTCACCGAGCTGACCTGGGAATCGGTCAACGGTTCACATAATCTCTTCTCGAACTTTTCGGAATCACTGCAGATCAACCTTCAACCCTCGGAACGCTATCTCTATGTGCCCCAGAACGTTTTTGACAACTTCCAGAATGCCACCGGTGGCATCTACGTAGACCCGTATCTTGGCTACAAGGACCTGCCCAAAGGCAATCTCACCGTGACGCTTCAGAATGGCTACAAGACCAGCATCCCTGCAGAGGAGCTCTTCATGAACCCTCGTGGGTACCTCAATGGCGGCACGTTCGACATCATCGACGACTCCTATATGATCAGCACGCTTGTCAACACCACCAACACCGGCTATGTCTTGGACTGGGGAATTCCCTACCTCACCATGAACTACATTATCGGCGATTTCAAGCGGCAGCAGTTCCAGATGGCGCCTGCAATTCGGACGGACTTCTCGAAGCAAGGCGGTGGATATGCTGTCAAGGCGACCTGCGATCCTACAGACGGGAAGACAGTCCCGGGGACCACTGGTTCTGATGGCACCAACGGTACAGCAAGTGGCGTGGGTGCAAACGGGACCTCCCCTGCGACCCCAGAAGTCACGACGCATCACAAAAACAAGCACACTGGCGCCATCGTTGGAGGTGTCGTGGGTGGTGTTGGCGGACTTGCTCTGATCGCTGGCGCAATTGGACTCTGGATCTGCCGTCGCCGTCGCCGTAGGAATGCTGCTGCTGCCGCCCCTGTAGGCGGTCATCCTGGCGGTCCCGAATCAACACCCATGATGGGAGGTAATCCAATGTCTCCGCACGTTGCCAGCCCTACAACCCAACACCAGCAATGGACGCCTATGAGTCCGACGGAAGTCTCGGCTAGCGAGCTGGGGAGTGAGCCCAAGCAAGCCACCAATGTCCACGTCAACCAGTGGCTCTCAAGCCAGGCCAGCGATGTAAGTATTGCAACTTGGACTTGTCTTCTCTCTCCATTTCTTTGCTCATTTGCTAACATCGTTGAACAGACTCAGACGGTTGTCAGTTCTACTTCTCCGCCCACATCCACAGCCCCAACCTATCACAACATGGCTGGATCGGATGGACGTTTTGAAATGCCCGCTCAGCCTTGGGACACCAAGTAAACGACGAGTTATCTGGTTTCCCGGACATCAACGCCAGCTAGCTGCATAATGACATTGAACTTTTTGTTAGCCTCGAGGAGCCAAACCCTACCGATGCCCTTGAAGAATCCGAAACTTGAGCAACCCACGTGTGGGAATCCCCAGCAGATTGAATCACCTGCAGTTCCATGTTGACACGATCATTTGTCTTGCGCAGGGGAAGACCTGGCCTGTCTTAAGGGCATGTTTCTTAACTCGTTTTGTGGGACCGACAAGAAACTCGCATTTGGCCAGCAAACTTGTCCTTGCGGAACCGTCTTCACATACGCTCCTTTCGGTCCATCAACGATCGTCTCTGACTGGCGGGCTGGCTGCCTGCGTGTCTGCTTCCTCTCTCAAGTTTGTTCATGTCGTTTGGCCCGAGTTAACTGCAATGCGTTCTATCGAGTCGTCTCATGGTCATGGGAGTGGAATCGAGTCGAATCGAATCTCAGTTGAGCTCGGTCGCGTGTGGGCCTGGCTCTCTTTTGCATGCATGCCCTGCAGACATGCGATATATGTATGTACATACGTTGCATACGTACGTACCTTCTGTTCTGCAATTTTGTTTTTAGCGTGGGTTTCGAGCACGGGGTCTGCGGGTGCAGTGGTTTGTGTTTGTGTAGGTTATGATACTAGTATTGGTATTGATACCTATTGATCTTCATCCTCAACCTCGTATTGCCATGTAATATCCACTCTTGGGTGCTACAATTCCCCAAGTGCAGCTGTACAGTACTTACTACTACTAGACAGCAAGTGCGGTACATACAGTACAGTTTAGACTACCGTGTGGAATTAGGCACGACTAAGTACCAGGTAGTAGTCTAATAGTGGTTTTTCATCTGGACAGCTAGTGGTGCTCATTGTTCCAGAAAAAGGGAAAAAGGAAGATACACAAAACAACCATGTACAAACACCCAAGGAGACGCCAGGTTGATGCAAGTGATGGCGAACGGCACCCTGATATCCACCCCATAGTAAAGGGCTGTCCGTGATGCTGAGCTCAGCCAAACCATGTCACTCGTTTCCATTCCTCAGTCATTCACAGCCACAACATATGCCATGTTGTCATTTGCCTTGCGCACTGTAGCAGCTTTCATGTCCATGACTATTGAACGCATGACCGCCACTCATTAACCCGGAAAAAAGCCAATTTCTGTCCTGACACGCCCAAAACACCATTGATGCACGTCCATCGAAGAATGGGGATCTTGATGGAATTGTATGTTGGCGAGATACAAGCAGCTGAGGCACATCAAGTGCAAGCATGTACCTTTGACAGCAAGGTCAATTTGAGAATTCAACCCAGTCCCATTGATCTCTCCGCCTGACTTGGGAGGTAGTAATAGTAGAGATCTCGTTGCTAGGAGACCACGGCGGCATCAGCATTGACATTGAGGTTGACGTTGACATCGTCGTCCTCTTCTAGGCTGGGCAGACCACCATCGTCGTAATCGTCAAAGTGCAGTCCGGCCTCACGGCATCGTTGCTGCCACTTGGCGCTCTCCATCCAAGCAGTGCGGACGCTTTCCTTGAGGCGCTCACACCGGCTAGTCAGCTCCTTGAGGGTGATCTCAAAGGTGGCACGTTCGGTCTCAAAGGACTTCTTCTGGGTCTGCAGTTCGGTGATGTATTGACAGGTACGCTGGAGAATGGCGCCTTTGTTCTTTTCGGTGCAGGGGACGATCTTGGCAATGTTCTCAATGCCTTCGTTGATGACTTCGCGGCGACGACGTTCAACTATGGCAAGATTACAATCAGTGGAGGGTTGCAAACAAAATACAAGGCAATGTGGAGAGAAGGAAAAAAGTGATAGGATGTGAGGACGGGCTTGGACCTGCTTGTGTCTTACCTTCCTTGTGATTGTCTTTGCGTTGTTGATGCCATTCTGCAGTTCCCACCGCCGGCTTCTGCGCACCACTACCACCGCGAGCTTCCAAAAGAGCCTGTTGTGCAGTCGGCATACCCGGCGCGCCAGATGGCATACCTTGGCCAGGCGACATCTGGGAAAGCGAGGTTTGATTGGCATCTTCAAATCCTGTGGGCATTCCTGGACCTCCTTCATACTGAGTGGGCTCGGGGTAGTTGGACTGTTCCATGGGGGCAGCTAGAGCCGCTTGGGCGGTACGGGTGCTATCGTCTTGGCCAGTCATGGCATCGATACCTTGGAGTAACGCTGCGTAGTTAACGGGGTCATGGTCCCCATTGGTATTTTGTTGTTTTGCGTCACGCCCGTCATCTTGCTCGCTGGGTCCGCGCTTGCGCTTGTTACTATTGTTGTTGTTGTTCAGACCTGGATCCGCAGTTTGCGTGGTGGTCATGGCATTTGTGCCAATGCCTTGGGTAGCCATTGTGCACAGGGACCGAGACAGGCACTATTGGCCTGCCGATGAGATTCTTTTGTAAGGTTTGTGACTGAGCAATGAAACAGCGCGTATCAGGAGCAACCCACGGGTCGGCCGCGGGCTTGATCTCGAGGGCAGAAGTCTGCTCTACAGTTGGGTTAGCCATGGCCACGGTCAGAGTCTTGAAAAGATGCAAATAGCGGCTCCAAGCGCTGCGAAGAGAAAGGGCAAAGATGGTGTGTTGCCAGCAGTCGTCACATGAGGACTTCTGGCTGGGGGATATTTGGGCGAGCTCAAGGCATCATGAGCTGTTCCAATTCAGCTGCTAGGAGCTCAGCCGACACAGCCAGCGTGTTCGAGGAGCTGTGTCCTCGACGGCAACGTGCGGCCGGCTGCAGGGCAAGCGTGCGAAGACGCTGGCATTTGGACTGCAACAATGAGTAGTCTTGGGATGAAATCATGATGAGCTGCGCTCACCCGTGGAGATGAAGCGCAGCCCGTGATCTGATGGTGATCAGGTGCAATCAGGTGACTTTGAGATGACTTACTGAGACAATGAATGTCTCGACTGGGACCCGGTACAGGCAGGTTACACAGCGCGCTGCTGGGAGTGAGCGGAAAAGGATCAAGAGACCGAGGATTATGGCAAACAGCGACGCGGTTTGATAATTGTTTGAAGAAGAAGCAGTGGTGGGAAGATTGGGCGTTCACAGGTAGAGGGAGCGAGTACTCGATCTATGCAGAGGGCGGCGCTCGCGAGTGGGCGACTTGCGACAACAGTTTCGAGAGGGAGAGAGGGACGAGGACACGGTCACGGGATGAAGAGAACGTTCCCGTGATCACAAATGCACAATAACACAGCGCCATGCCGGAAAGCGTTTAGCGTTCTTGGTACCTCGGGATACTTGCCCATCAGGGGAAAAGCGACAGCCACCACGTGATACCCCATCTAACCCTGTTATTGGCCCGAACTGGGTTACCTGACTCGCGCAGTGTGGCCTCACTTCCCCTTGTAACGTCTTTCACACCACTTCACGTGTCACATTGTCTCGTGATCCGTATCAACCCTCCATCATGTCAGACACATCGCTGGAAGGGTGCAGCCTTGGATGAATATTCGTCCAATGGAAGTGCCCCGTTGGCGGTCTCCGGCGCTTGTCCACGTGAGCCTTCTGGAGATAAGATATTGTGAAGTATTGTCAGGGTGGGTGGACATAAACCGAGTGAATGCTGAGACTTCTTGAGCTCGATCTTCGTGTATGGACTGCTTTTCTCCTTATGACTCTAACTGTTCGCTGTGGACTTTTGAATCATGAAATGTCCATTCAGGATTGTGTCTTCCAAGATAGCCGAAGCACCCCGAGCATTACCAGTGTATCTATGGATTAAAAAGTGGAAGAAACACTCAGCCAGTTCGAAGGTCAGCAGCCTCATCCGTTTCAGCCTGCTCTTGGTCTCGTGGTTTGGTCACGACCGAATAAGCGGGTGGACTGGTTGTATCCACAACAAGGACACCTTCTTGTGCCCTCCCGAGAATGTCCCAAATCCTGATATGGTGGCCCTTCGTCATACCCATCACACAACTGCTTCCAGCGTACCTCACTTCCCCGATTCTAGGGCAGATACCTTCCTCGCCGGCTCGGTTGGCACAAACCACAATTGCCTCAGATTCTGCCCCTTGGGCTCCGAACAGAGGCCTCAGTCGCTCGACCCAGTAATTGACGGTATCTTGGTCGGGGGCCATGGGCTCGCTCGACACCTCCTCGGCACTCAGCCTTGTCAGCCAGGCCATACTGATGACAACGATCTTGGCACGGGCCTCTCGCGCGTGATTCGCAAATTCGTAAGTAGTCCAGGGGGCTTCGAACCGGTAAGGGTTGATATCCATACAGATCCCCGCTGCCGCCTTGACCTGATCACCTTTGCCTCCGATCGGCAACACACCTGCCCAGAAGCCCTGTCCTTCTTGAGCCCAGGTCTCATCCGTATAGTACAAGAACGCCTTGCGATGGTGTGCAACCACGTCCCCAGCGGAGTTGACAAACACCAGTGAGTTATAAGCGACGGTGCCTGCCTCGGCGGTTATATGTCGGTCAAAGATGGTGTTGTAGTTGCCTTCTTCAGCCGCTTCAGCATATCCAACTGCCACGGTACATTTGAGGCGCTTTGCAGTTCGAGCAGCCCATCTTGTTGAAGGCCCTGCCGCTGTTGGCTCCAGAAATGGTGCAATTGCATCTAGTGATGGATGATTGTATCCTGAACGACCATTTAGCATCTTGCCAGAGTTTTGAAGAGTAGCTCTAGATTGCTTGCATGAAATATAATGCCAGACGCTGCTGGGCTCTGCTCGCCACTGGAGTTCTTTGGTCTATCTTGATAGAGGGGTTATTACCTGCAAAGGCCAGTTCAGGCAGTACCAGCAGATCTAGGTTTTCAAGCATGCCCTCCCTCTCTTCACGCATGAGGAGGCTTTCTGCTCGGCTGAAGTTTGCCGCAACTTCACCCAGCCGTGGGGAGAATTGAAGAGTTGCGATACGCATGGCTTGTGACGACGTTGAACCAACGTGTTGAGGTATCCGACGAGTGAGAGGCGTGTTGGATCTATCGAGCCGCTGTCATGATGTAGTCCTCATCTGTCGGGTCGGTTGATTTACACGGTTGGAAGAGAAGCCACGATCCTGATCGCGTACTCCGGATTATCAATAGTTCAAGGCAGATACTGCCTATGCGGAGGAGCAGTACTACATGGTATCCACTTGAATATAGGAAATGGTGGTGGACGTTGCCGTTCAATTAACCGCTCATCCATGTATACCCAGGTTACGGTGGAGCACATCATATATGTTTTAATTGAGCCACGAAACATGAACCGCCTATCAACAAGGCGGAATGCTTGTAATCTACTGCACGGGAGCACAATCTGATCTAGTGAGAGAATATTTGTCGATCATCTCGTGGATGTACATTGAAAGCTATGAGCCGCAGGCTTTTATGCTAAACTCTTAACTTTCACAGACGTCGAGCAGTCGTTAAGCCCCGTTATACATCGTCATCCACCGCCTCGCCCGCTTCAACGGCCTTCTCTTTCTTCAACTTCTCCCGCTCCCGCTTCCTCTCTAGCAACTTATTCAGTTTCTTCGCTGTGTTAAACACACCATTCGTGCCCGACCCGCAGGCAGCGCAAGAAGGATCTTTCCGATAACGCTTCAAAGCACACGCTTCACAAAAATAATGCCCGCACTTGGTGACTATTGGATTTGTGTAAGGCTTCTTGCAGATAATGCAGGCGAAGGGTATCTTTTCGAGAAGGGCCTCCTCGTCGTCATCATCTTGGCCCGACTGCCCGTTGCGGTTCGCAGAGGCCACGGTCTTTCCGGACAACTTCTTTCCTTTTGTATCAATCTCCCAGTCCCGATCAAGCTGCCAGCCTTGCTTGTAATCTTCTCGCGCATGAAGAAACTTGCAACTGTCCCCAAACCCGCAGAAGCCAGTCTGTTTGTAATCTTTGCAGACGTCCGGCGCAAAATCCGTGACAGTAATTGTTCTCACATTACTCGAAGATTTGACTGGCCCAACTTGCTTTCCAGCACGATCGGGGTTCTTCTGGATGAAGGACTGGTAGTTCGCGGCTCCCTTGTACGTGCCGTCTGGTGCCAAGGGGTCCGTTGGCTTGACTGAGCCTCTTTCAGCTTTCTTATCGACCTCCTCATCGTACCAGTCTGAACGTTTGGTGGCATCGTCTTTGTTGGTGGGCGCCACGACGACTGCGGCAGGTGTCTGCTCATCCACCACAGGCCGAGGCTTAGGGATTTCTGCAGAAGACGCTGTTACCCCGGCATTCTTCCGTCTTCGCTTTATTTGTCTCCCCTCCTCGTCTTCTGAAGATGTAAAGCCGGAATCGGAATCGGTCTGTGGAGGAGTGGCTTCGCGTTTTCGAATGTTCTTCGATTTAACGTTGCGCTTTTTGAATGACACATGAGGAACCTCAACAGCGGACGGCGGGTCTTCCATTATCGAGAATATCTCTAGAGAGCGTTGAGAGTCGAAAATGGGATGGTATCAAAGAATGCGAGCGTCGGAGAGGGAGTTTGTAGAATCGTAAGTCTGGAGGGGCAACGGTACGAGGCGTTCTCAAGTTCAGCGGAAGATATTCAGCGCATTTCTAAGAGTCGCCGCCGATTAGTCATCCAAGAATTATCCAAGGCCAAGCGGCTGATCTACGGCGCTAAACTTTATTTTGCCCTGCATAACCTCTCGCCAGAGTTTCTTTCTTGGGCTGAGTGGTCCTCTTTCTGCTGCCGCACTGAAAAGGAAGAAGTGGGAGCAATCAAGCACGAACAGAACACAACTCAGCTCTGTGCAGTGCAGTCGTGTTGTGCGGTCTACCCATTTGTTCCTATGTCTTTCCAATAACAACCTACTTACAATTCGCTCTTTATGATCTCTTCGTCGCAACCCTAAGCGCAGGGTCATGGTCAGTCATGTTGACTCGAGCCCGCAAGCTGGCTTTGCTGAGGTTGGGTCTGGGACGCCGGTGAAAGCACCAGGAAGCAAGGAGGAACGCACACGCCGGAACATCATTTCCTTCAAGGTGACCCATGTTCTGGTCACTGTCCTCCTCCTATGGTTGACGTATGTTGGCCCCTGAGGCATTAGAAGGTCCATTGCTGATTCCTGCAGCGCTGTGCACATAATAGGCATTGTGTTTTTTGCCAAAGGCTTCCTCCTTACACGACTGGTCTTGGATAACAAGTCAGAGTGTGGAATTCTCCCGGACGGGCAACCTTCCCAAATTTCAGACGGATGCTGGCATCCTAAGACGTTCGACCGAGCGGTGATACTCGTGGTTGACGCCCTACGATACGATTTTACTATTCCCTCCAGTCGCGTATTTGACGAGTCGCAGCAAAAGAACTATCTTGACAACTTGCCTCTTTTGTACGAGACCGCCGTTTCTCGCCCAGACCATGCTATCCTCCTTCCATTTATCGCTGACCCGCCCACGAGTACTCTACAAAGGTTGAAGGGATTGACTACCGGCACACTCCCCACCTTTATTGACGTCGGCTCCAATTTCGCGGGCATGGCAATTGAGGAAGACAACATAGTTTGTCAGCTGAGAGATGCGGCTAAAACAGTTGTACACCTTGGAGATGACACATGGCAAGCGTTATTCCCGGGATATTTCGACCCGAACATGACACATCCTTATGATTCATTGAATGTCTGGGACCTACATACAGTTGACAATGGAGTTATCCAACATATTATGCCTCTGCTTGACCAATCTCCCAGGCAATGGGATGTTATTTTTGGACATTTCCTCGGGGTTGATCATGCTGGCCATCGATACGGGCCTGACCACCCAGCTATGGCAGCAAAACAGCGTCAGATGGACAACGTTTTACGGGATATAATGCATAAGATTGACGATGATACGCTTCTCGTTGTTATGGGCGATCATGGTATGGATAGTAAAGGAGACCATGGCGGCGAGTCTGACGACGAAGTTGAGGCTGCTCTGTGGATGTACTCCAAGCGGCCTAGATTTGGGCGAACGGATACTGCCTCCCACCTTCCCCCGGCGACGGCCAAAGAACGTCCCGTGGGCCAGATTGACCTGGTCTCCACCCTTTCCATCCTGCTGGGACTGCCAATACCTTTCAACAACCTCGGCAGACCCATCGCGGAAGCATTCTTAGGGCCGGAAGGGATCGATTGGAAAAATCTCGTGGCCGTCGAGGCCCTCGTACAGAGCCAAATTGCAAGGTATCAGAATCACTATTCTGGTTCTCGAGATCTTGGTCCCGAGGACGAATCATCCCAGCTTCAGCGCAAATATCTCGCACACTTTCACGATTCTGCCGCGAACGGCAAATGGGAGGACGCACATCACGCTTACGTCGACTGGCATGACGGAGTGATCTCCATGTATCGAAGGCTATGGGCAAACTTCAACCTTGAAAATATGTTTCTCGGAATCGCCATCTCCGGTCTTGGCCTCGGATTGCTGTTCCTTTTTTCTCGGATGACAACAGGCGACATAATCAGTGCCGCCCCAGGACTCCTCAAAAGTGCAGGTGTTGGGACGGCTTTTGGAGCTGCCACTGGCCCAGCACTGGGCCTTCTCTTGCCGTCCTTTTTTTCTATCGCGACGGGTTCACTCCTTGGCGCGGTTGTTGGTGGAATGATAACGGCAGCTGTCTGGACGTTTCGAAACCAATTTGTTACCGGATCCTGCCTGCCTTCTTTCTGGGGCTGCATGGGACTTGTTTTCTGTCTCACGCAATCGGCAGGTTTTGCTTCTAATTCGTACACCATCCATGAAGACACCATCCTCCTGTTTTTTCTCGCTTCTTTCGGCATCATATCAATAATGTCGTCCCTCAGACAAGCATCGACCACCGATAAGGTGCTTGGAACATACCAGTCGGTCCTGTTCGTACTTCTGACCCGGCTTGCATCCTTCTCGCGGCTGTGCCGTGAGGAGCAGATGCCAGGGTGCCGCTCGACATTCTACGCTTCCTCCAACTCGTCTACTTCGGCGCCCTGGCAATTGCTTATACCATACTCAGTGGCACTAATTCTCCCTGAAATCATCAAAGCATTCTACCGTGGGACTGCTTCGTACGCAGGGTTGGCCGGATTCTGTATTGGTTTCAGTCTCCGCATGGGCTTACTGCTTGTGGCTATTTACTGGACAATCGATGCCGCGGATAATGGGGGATGGCTCATGGACCGGATTTCTTCGACTACGTTTAAGACAGCCAGCATCACGTTGGCTAGATGCACTCTCGCCATTGCTCTTCCCGTCGGCATTGGTACATTTGTGTGGGCAAAGCCGTGCATCGACATATCTATCGATGAGCCCCGAGGCGGCATGGGTAGTCCAGGGGCGCCTTCTCGACCTCGATTGACCGTCTACGGCTACGCCAACGTCTATGGAAGTCGATACTTTCTCATGATCCCCATGCTTATGTTGGCAATCGCACTGCTTCTACCCCCAATGGGCCAGTTCTCGATTGGCATTTGTACCTGGCAGATTCTCTGCCTCCTCGAGATTCTTGATACGAACGGGTTGACAGTCTCGGCCAGGCACAAGTCTAGCATTGGACCAATTGTACTGGCACTGCTGGGGTCGTACCACTTTTTCAAGACCGGCCATCAAGCAACACTGGCCTCAATTCAATGGAACTCGGCTTTTGTACCTTTGCGCACCATTCAGTATCCCTGGTCACCGCTCTTGGTAGTATTGAATACATTTGGCGCACAAATCATATGCGCAGCAGCGGTTCCTCTGACGGTGCTATGGAAGCGGCCGACGGGCAATGCTGGAGTGCGAGGGCTGTGGAACGACGTGTTGAATGCTTGCCTGACACATGCCCTGTACTATGCGACCATCCAACTAGCAACGACTATGTGGGCGGGCCATCTCAGACGGCATCTGATGCTGTACAGAGTGTTTATGCCACGATACCTGATGGCATGTGTAGTGCTTCTTATCGTGGATGTGGTATTAGTGGTGGCAGCTTTACCAGCTGTAAGGGTGGTCGGTCTCAGCGTCGGCGAAGTGTTTGGGTACTGAGCAACGGACACCCCCAATTCAGGCTGTACAAAATATCAACGTACGCTGTACATTATTACATATTGCACCACTGTGGCAGACTATGCTACCTTGGTACTTCAAGAGGAAGGGGGCATGCAGCAGAGATGCATGTCACTGGATACCTTAAGGTCCTCTTTTTCTGACACGGTGAGCATTGTCTGCCAATGATCTCGCTCAGCGATTGTCGGCTCTGGCTAGCTGGTGGTCTTGCGCTTTCTACTCCTAGTATGGATTTCCCGCCCATCTCATGGTCACCTTTCGTCCGACAGTTGTATCCCGCGCCAACTGTCTACGGGTTATATGCTCGCTCGCTTTTGAACGACCGAAAGCAGAGAGATTTAGTCGCGCTCAGGCTCCTTACAACACGCTTAGTAAGAATAGAAGGTTTTCGTCAGGTACTGCTGTCTGAATAGAGCATAAATCCGATGGGGAAGTCGGAAGACCCTTGTTGTGTGCGACGGCGTAGATTACATCATTACGGGCCACCACCGCCACTGCACCGTCTGCACCGCTGTGCCGCAACGCAACGCGGGGCATGACGGAAGCTTGAGACAAATGAATCTTCATCCCACTTCGTGCTGCGTCTGCGCATGATTGGCATCTCCACGTATTCGCCAGGGGATTTTTGCTTCATTATTAGCTCAAGGATATATCTGTTCTCTTCTGTGTACATTCTTCAAATCTTTTCTTCTTCTCCTGCCCAACCTAAACTTCCAGAATCTTTACCGTCTATACTCTACAGTCTAAACCCCTCACTTCACCATCCTCAACTCGCCCAACATGCCTGTCTCCGTCCCAACCGCGACCTCTCTCCATGACCTTTTCAGCCTGAAGGGCAAGGTGGTCATTGTGACCGGTGCATCTGGCCCGACCGGCATCGGTACCGAAGCTGCTCGCGGCTGTGCCGAGATGGGTGCCGACGTGGCCATCACCTACAGCTCCCGACCTCAAGGCGGTGAGAAGAACGCCAAAGAGCTCAGCGACAAGTACGGAGTCAAGAGCAAGGCCTACAAGTGTGATGTCGGCAAGTACGAGGAGGTGGAGAAGTTGGTTGCCGATGTTATCAAGGACTTTGGCAAGGTCGACGTCTTCATTGCCAATGCCGGCCGTACTGCTGACAGCGGTATTCTGGACGCCCCCGTTGAGAAGTGGAACGAGGTGATCCAGACCGACCTGAACGGTGTCTACCACTGTGCCAGAGCCGTTGGACTGCACTTCCGTGAGCGCAAGACCGGCAGCTTCATCATCACCGCCTCCATGTCCGGTCACATTGCCAACTATCCTCAAGAACAGGTGAGTGTGCACAGGTCTGCATACCTAAGTTGATTTGACAGCTAACCATTTGGTCACCGATAGACTTCCTACAACGTCGCCAAAGCGGGTTGTATCCACATGGCTCGCTCGCTGGCCAACGAATGGCGCGACTTTGCTCGTGTCAACTCCATTTCCCCCGGTTACATCGACACCGGTCTGTCGGACTTCGTGCCCAAGGATGTTCAGGAACTGTGGCACTCCATGATCCCATTGGGCCGTGATGGAAAGGCCACCGAACTCAAGGGTGCCTACGTCTACCTTGCCAGCGATGCTAGCAGCTACACCACTGGTGCCGATATTGTCATTGACGGTGGTTACACCGCCCGATAAACGAGACGTAAAATAGGGGTGGACCCTGGTGCCGGTTCCAGATCCAGAAGCATGCCTGTCGACATGAGTGGCGGAAATCCCACACTCTGTTCGGGTGCTCTGGATGGATTCAAAGCGGCAAGACTACGTCAGGCTGTGCTACCCAGGATTATACTCAATAAATAGACACCACGACATTGGAAACAATCAAAATGGATGATCGAATCTCACTTTTGACTTTCTGGCTTGCACGTGAACCCTCTGGTCTTGCTTCTTTTATCGTCATACGTGCCTAGCATGGTGTAAATATACCCAGACTTCCACGTCCACCACGGCTCCTACTGGCAGCATTCTTATACACAGTCGGCTGGGCTCACTTCACGCGCTATTCACTCTCAGATTCAGTCATGATACGCGATTATCCGTACAGGTAGTGTACTTAGACTTCTAAGGTAGGTGAATTGGTGAGGGACCAATCTTTACGATCACTGGTCTCACTACTGTCGTCTATCGCAAGAAATTCCCACATCAAGCGAGATTTGTGTTGCCTTGGACTGGGCTGTTCTCCCAAAGTCTGCCCCAGACTCAAGGGTTCATCTACTATGTATACAGATAGCTATCGATGACCGGAGTGCAATTCTGACCTCGACCTCGAGGCCAGTATCGTGGCAAGCATCCAACCACTTCGAGGGCAAACGTGGCTGGCATTTATTGGATCCATATCATGGTAGTCTTCTCCCGCACGCCAATCCTGAACAACCACATCTCAATTCACAATTGTTATCCTATTCTCGGCCGATCTCAGTGCCGCCCACTAGTCCCGAAGCAATGGGCGCCTTGCTGACAAACGTCTAAACTAACCACATTATTGGGTCGCAGCTTGCAGACGACATTGTTGCTCGTCTCGTGAAGATGTCGCAGGAGCCAAATCAATTCAGTATACAACAAACTCCATAGCGGCCCCTTGGATAAACGACAAAATGACCACACCCACTTCAACCCCGTTCAACGGAATCGATGCCTCCTCAAGGGCCATCCCAAAGACACATTCCGCATGGACATTCACTCGCGCCGGTGACCCGACCCAGATCCTGACTCTACGCAATGATATGCCCACTCGGGACCCAGCGTCGCTCAAACAGGGTGAAGCACTGATCAAAGTATCTGCAGTATCACTGAACGCTGGCATGCTAGGGCTCATGAAATTTCCACATCTTACTAGCCGACCGTGGGTTCCTGAGCTGGAATTTGCGGGGACAATCGTGGCATTGCCTGCTGTCCAAGGCGGGAGCGATCCCTCAGGTAAGGGAGCAGATGCTGCTGCTGCTGCTGCTGTTCCCAAGTTTCAAGTCGGAGACAAGGTCGTCGGCGCCCGCACTTTTCCCGATCTCTTCAAATACAACGGCACGCTCCAAGAGTATCTTGTCAGCCCGGTCTGGGTGATGGCTAAAGTTTCTGAGTCGTTGGGTGTTAACGAGGCGTCGGGCCTGCCGGCGGTCGGATGTACGGCCCTCCAAGCGCTCAAGGTTGCTGGTGTCAAAAAGGGCGACAAGGTGCTCATCACGGCCGCGAGCGGCGGTCTCGGGACCATGTTGGTCCAAGTGGCTAGGGCCATTGTTGGCAAAGATGGGATCGTGGTGGGAAGCTGTTCGGGGAGAAATGAAGAGTTTGTCCGAGGACTGGGGGCAGATGAGGTAAGTGGAATATAGACCAATTGGATGCATTAAAGAAAGAGAAAGAGAAAAGAGGGACATATGCACCGTGTGGAATTGCCCATTCTAACATATTCCAGACAATCGACTATACTACACATTCCCCTCTGCACGAATACCTGGCGGAGCACCATTCAAGCAAGAAATTCGACGCCATTTTTGATGTTGCAGGAACCTCCAATGACCTCTTCACCTATTCGCCTTCGTATCTTGTCGAAAACGGCACATTTGTGCTCCTCGGCAACTTGAACCTCTTCAAGCCGTCGGCTTCTTTCTTTAGCTTTCTGGTTTGGGCACTGGGGACCAATGTGAACCGCTATCTTCCGCGCCTGCTGGGCGGGATCCCGAGGAAGTTTTATTTCTACTCTGCCACTCCGACTGGTGAAGATACAGGGAAGATCATCGAGATGGCGGAGAAGGGTGAGGTCAAGCCGGCGGTAGATTCGGTTTGGAAATGGGAGGACGCTATAAAGGTATGAACACGCAATTTCAGCCCTCCTCTTGCGTTCCATTTTCCGCTGCTGCTGCTGCTGCTGCTGCTAGCCCGTGTCTACTACGTGGGAATGGCGGCCAGGGTCACCCACAGGTTGACCTCGGTTGTGGTGTGGTCCTGGACCATCGTGGCTTACAGCAGAGCATGTCCCCGAGTGATTTACATCCATGTCTTGTGCATCCCGTCAGCCCAGCCCACCCTTTCTCAGTTCTCTACCCCGATAAGTATACAGGAGTCTCCCCCTGCCGCCTCTCCATGAGTCCAACTGGAGAAGGCATAGTTCCCTTTGTCATCTGTCCTACATATATCGAGAAACTTTCTGGCCAAAGGCCCTGCAGTACTTGACTGACTGGTAACACTCCGCAGGCCTACGAGCGAGCCAAGAGTCAACGGGCAAGGGGCAAGATCGTCATTGAAGTCGAGTGATTACGGACCAAACCCACTGCATTGGCTGATGGAAGACTGGCCTTGATCCGATTCCATTGCCAGCCATGAAATGGAATGCTGGATTCTGGCCATCCCATCCTGCCAATGCCATCTTTCAGAGTCCAAGTCCAGGCCCAGTTTCCTAATCTGTCCAGCCAGGCAGACTTCCAGCTCCGCTTGCCCGGGCTCAAAGTTCCTAGAAGATCTTCTCCAAAGACAGCAGGGGGGACAGCCAGCCTGCCAGCCGCTCGGTGGATACCGTACCTTCTCAGGACAATATTCAATGGGTAGCTTACTACTGTAAGTACTGTAGGTACTCCGAGTCCCTTGACCTGCACTCTCGACCATTGACTACTAGTATCGGCGGATGTTACTGTGCTTGGACATTGGTCACTTTTTTGGTTCGTCTCTAAAGGGACTTCCCACAACTCAAGGCAGGTGGAAATGAAACATGCATAGATTCCATTCAATAATGCGCGAGTTACTCGGCGAGTTGGAGCGCGAGCAAGATGGTTGGAATGGATAACTCGCGAGCGATAAGATGTAGTTGCTGCAGTTGCTATCCTACATGAGGTGCCTTACTGTGTGAATGCTAGGTCTTGCAGTGTAGGTAGATTTCAAACTCCTAGTGTGAATGCATTGCCTGCATTGCGTTATTCCCTGCCAGTGATCAAGCAAGATTGCTATTATGCATGCCGTCACCATGGTCACCAACACCAACAACACCAGCAACAGCGCACCAGTGGTGCTCTGCGATGATAGGGCCCGTGCCATGACGAGTAGTCAAGTCGACGCAACCTGGACAAAAGCGGCTAATGTTGCAGGACACGAAGATACATTCATTACATACCTACAAGAACCTACGTAGGGGATACACCTAGGAACCTAACCTAGGTACCACGAGCCAAGTAACAGAGATGTACAGTCTTGTACCAAATAGATTGGGCTCTTTCGCATGTCGATTGGGCAAATACCGTTGTGAAGAATGCTTCCTGTGGGCGACTGCAGTGGGCGGTTTTACAACAAAACGGCAAGTAGCCGAAGGCAAGAAGCAAATGTGCAAGTCAGCTCTCGCAAGTCAATTACGCCCGGTCAAATTCGAAACAGCAGAGCAGCAGAACAGCTGGAGCAAAGCCATGACCCCAAGAGACAGATAGGCACATAGGCACTGCAGACATGGCACGCCGACAGAGGCAGCCGGCAAAGACCAGGAAAATAGAGATATAAAACCCTTCCCAGGTCTTTCCACCTGTTGCTGCTTTCCTTTCATCCTTTGTCAACCAGATTCCATTCATCCACACCATTATCTTCTTCCAAGGCATTGGAACCCACCATCTATCAAAACAACATCACCGCCAGAACCAAACATCATGTCGGGACAAATGAGTAAAAGCGACGCTGCTCGCATCCAGTCCACTCAGGTACGTTGTGCTAACACGACTCTGATCGTGTCCCACCTGGTTCACCCAGTCAAAACTTCCTTCATTATTCTCTCCCTCGCTCTCTCCACATTAGGATGTCGAAAATCTGACTTCTGTCTTCGTTCTTTCAGGCCCAGGGCGGCAAAGACATGTCATCCAGCGGCTTTTCTGCTCGAGCCCAATCCGCAGGCGACAGAAATGCCAATGCCGGAAACAACCAGGGATCCAACACTGGGAACCAACAGGGAGGAAACAACTCGGGCAGAAAGTAGGTGATGGAGGGACTTCGAAGCCACGCGCAGGCGGCTGTGACGGATCGCACACAGTCAAGGGGCTGATCATCTCTGATGTGTGTTGGAAGTCGCATTGTTGGCCAGCGCGAGCGTACCGTTTGTTGTTGTCGTCCGCATGGTTGGAAGTGGGAAGCTGGAAGTTGGAGATCAAGATCAAAGGGTCGATAGGACCAGGGAAGACATGGTAAAGATGTCCCACCCACCCAAGTCGCTCATTATATACTGCAGCAGCAGCAGCAGCCATGAATCATATTTCTGTTACCCCGGCCGGGTGAAAAGAAAAAGACGTTTCCATGCCTTGTCGAAGAGTATTTGTAGTTGGTGTGAGTCGCCCCAACCTCGTTGCTGGTACAGCAAGTAGACAGGAAGTTGAACAGTCCTTTTACCGTTTCTGGAAATCATTTCCCGAGGACCGAAAAGAAATGGTTTGTTGGCGTATGTGAAGCCGCCGAAGAAGTGCCTGTAGCTGTGGTTCATGTCGGGATGCTCGTTGCTCGGTCACCAGGTGTAGTTGTATTTGCAACATCAACATCAAGTTAAATCTTCGTAAAGACTGTCTGTGTCCAGACACCCTCACCTCCATCGGCCGATTGAACGCTCCAGGCATAGAAAGTTGGTGAAAAAAGCCCATCTCTGTTGTCGTCGAAGCCATTTGTAAACATATTTCTTCACTTCTCCCGTCTCTGTTCTGGTCCCTGTCCTTGACCACGTCCTCTTCCCTGAACACTTTCCTCCCCTAGAACTTTCGCACTCCCCATAAACAAGGCGCCAATATATCCGCCCAAGAACCGCATATCTTGCGCCTGCACGGCCGTCATTCTGACCAGGTTCTCCGTGTCCGCCAAGTGGGCATTGAGTTGGGCCAGTTGCGCATGTAGATGGGCGTATTGGCGGGTTTTGTTGGTCGAGGTCGACGTGGCGTTGGTAGAGGTGACGGATGATGGGCGGGACAGTGTCGCCGTCGGTTGTTTCGTCATGCCAGCAGCTCGCTCCATTATTGTTCTTCGAGAAGCCTCTTATGATCGCTTGGACCGTATTGTTTGGTACAATAAATCAGACTGCGTTGCCTTTTAAGGACACTTTAAGTGGTTGTAAGCAAACCACGGTGGAAAAGTCTGTGGTCCTGTCTGATTGCTGAAGAGCCAGACGACGTCCCTAGCAAGTGATGATCGGAGTGTCCAGCTGGACAACTTAGAGAAACAGGATACTGATCCGGTCCTGACTGTTGTACTGTTGTCGTACGATTTGGTTGCGGTCAGTCGCGTCGCGTCAGGTTAGCCTACTAGAACACAAGGTTAGTGATCCAACGGACTACTAGTATTACCATAAGGCTTCAATCCAAGCTGGATATTGGCCGGATACACCCAGGAACCAACTAGTAGTATTCTACTCCATACTAGTACAGAATTAATGCCTTGATCATACTTAATCTTAAAGGTAGTTTCAATGCCCCGAGGTCAGAACAGGATTGTGGCCCTCATCATGATGGACAATAATAATAACGTACAAGACCGCCATCTCAGCCTCCTGCAGCCCTTGCCCTCCTACTACAAGCTGCACTGTCCTTGATTGTGTATCGCTCAAATAAGGTAGGGCACCTCTCCCATCTGGTTCAAATCTGCACGTTCGCGAACGCTGACCACCAGCAGCCAAACCCCATGCCACACCGGTCAAAACTACGCTGAACAGAGTTTACTTCTCGCGACTTTGATTGCATTCGTTGGATTAATTACTCTGCTCGCCTGGACGCCATCCCTGGTCCATTCTCGTGTTGTTGTGCACCCGCCATCCACGACCATCCCGAGCCCTGTTTTTCATGCAAAATCCTAGCATAATTATTCATTCCGGTTCCAATCGTGTTCGTGTGCCTGAAAAAAAAGTGTATGTCTCGAGTAATGGAATACAAAAAGTTCCTGTCTCCAATCCTTCTCGCAGCCGGAAACGAATCCGACCGGGCTCCTCGGAAAAACCGTTCCAATCATCCCGTCAACAGCGCGACTCCAGGACTGTCACAGAGCATCAAGCCGTGTGCGATGGGGGTGCCAGTCGTTTCCTTGCAATGCTGTATGTACTCGAAAAGAAGGGAAAAAAAGGTCGAATGTTCCAATATTTCCACTCGGCCGCGAGCCGTCCACCAGTCTCGTCTCAATGCTTTTGTTGTTGTTGTTGGTGTTGTGCGGAGTCCATCAACGGCCTCCAGATCGTAAAGGGTGGAAACGGGGAGAGCTGTCATTAAAAAGTATACGCAAAACAAGAGTAACAGTTGGACATATATGCTGATGCCGTGCCGCAAAGGTGAACTCAAGAAAGGTAAACCGCTCGTCAATGGTTGCAAAGCCAGCTAGCCGACCCAGTGCGCATATTCAGTGCAATTCAGTCCAGCAAGTCCAGCAAGCCAGAGCTAGCTCTATTGAGCACTCAGCACTTGCCGAGCCACAAAGCTGCTTGTGCTGCTGTGAGCTGAAGGCTCAGATTCAATGTTGGCACTACCACTGTCACCACTTCCCGCGCTAGCACTGGCACTTCCAGTTAGACTCTTGACAGGGGCTTTGGGCGGTGGGAATGGTTTGCTCACTCCAGCCTGTTCAACTTGCTGTGGATGAATCATGTTGCCGTGACCGGGAGGATATCTCGGTACGGGAGCTCGTACACCGCCCGGCGGGGACGGCCTGCCGTTGCGCGGTGGTGCTCCTCCCTGCATGTAGGGGTCGTTGGGTGGTGAAGGTCTACCTGACACCCTGCCAGAAGGGGCGAACGGATTGCCAGGTGACCGGCTTGTCCGACGACTAGGCGGTGCAGGATATGGTCCGCCGTTGATACCCATTTCTTGCAGACGACTTGCTGTCAAAGAATTGGCACGAGATTCCTCTGCAATCTCTTTTCGATCAACCGAGCCGTACCGGTTGGAGGAGAAGCCCATCATAGGATTGTCAAGAATGTTTGAACCCAGGACCGGCATGTCGGAAAGGATCTGCGTGCTGGTCCGGTGTCTTCCACCATGGTTGGGTCGTCCATAAGAGCCGGGTCGCATACCGTTGCCGTTCATGAATGCGTCCTTACGAAGCTGGCTCTGGCTGTCGGTTCGCTTGGTCCGTCTTGAAGTAACGCTCATCATATCGAAATTGTCAGGATCGACAGGTACCGGTGGCGGTCCGCGTGCCTGCATGGGGTCGAAATAGTCGTCCTCGTCATCCTCATCATCCAGATCTTGATACCGGTTGTGCGAGGTCCTCCGCCCACCGCGGCCCTTCATTGCCATTTCTTGTTGCTTCAGATGTAATTGCTTGGCTCTTAGCATGATTTCTCTCTCCCTCATCGCAACACCATTAGGGCCACCAGGATGTTCTGGGTATGCTCCTCCGCCAACTGGAACTTCGCCATCTGGCAATTCATCATAGAGGACGACATGACTGAACTCGTCCAAGTTGGTCTCATCATAGGATGGTCGCCGTCGCATTGGAGGCGGCCCTCGTGGCGGCTGGCCGTTCGGCATGCCTCGGAATCCATTCACGGGTGGAGGGCCACGCCGCATACCGGGGGGACCCATTGGGCCACCCATGGGGACACCCGGGGGAGGAGGACCTCTCATTGGTCTTGGCCCTGGGCCCCCGTTCAACGAGGCATTGACCTGGCGTGGCGGCGGTGGGTTGGATAGAGACATGGTCCGAGGAGGTGGTTGGGTCATGGATGGCGACTGAGGCAAGCTGGATGGAGTCGCGCTCGCAGGAGGGCGGTCTTTGTTCACAGTGTTGAGGTGACGCAGCATGGTATACAAGGTCTCTAGCCGCGGTACCTTGACATTGACGCTCTTCGCTAGTTCCACTGGAGAACCGAGATATGTCTCGACCTCCATGGGTCGCCGCGCGGTGAAGTCCTGATACATTGTGCTCGGCTCCTGATTACCCCCAAGCATGGTATCCATCGTTTTCTTCTTGAAGTCGCCAGGGAATTTGCAGTGTTGTGCAGAGGCTATTTGCAGTAGCTCTTCGATCAGTTCCGAAATGAGGTTCTCGACGCCAGGGATGCGGACCAAGTCGGAGAGGTTGGGAGTCTCAAAGAGGACACTAGTAGGGTGAAACGCAATGGGCCTGCAAGATATTAGTACCTTACAGGACGAACAGGAGAAAGTCTCATGCATACCCGATCATCCTCTCGTACTGTTGCTGCTTGATGTTGGTCGACACTTTGCAATCGACTTGTGCGGTTGTCAAAGTCATTGCTAGGGCTTCAGACATATCGCGTTGAATTGATTCCGGGATGGCCGAGTTCTGGCTGGCGGGACCGACCCAAATTTCTGTAGAACCACTGTGCTCGAACTCACTCGAGCCAAGTTGCTTGAGATCGGCTCCAGACACAAGGGACAAAACGACGTTTGAGGGAAATCTCTCTTCGAGTTGCTTCTCCACCCCCAGCGTATTGGTAGTGTTCACCAGAATACAAGTGTGTTGAGGCGTGACGACGGATTGGATGATGTCTGCCAGGTTGTAGACGTCTGGGAGTGCCTTGACGCAGAGGATCACATAGTCAAAAGCGGCTTGCTGACTCGCGGCATCTTCGGGACTTTGGACGACTGGACTTGATTAGCTCCGGCGCTCCTTGAGGATTCGATCACACATACCGTATCGTGGCTTGAATCGTTCGTTCCCGAAAAGTTGAGATCTAGATCGGTTGTCAGCAGGAGCGCGACGTGGAACAGATATGCTCGGGTTTGGCTCACTTGAACGAAATACCATACTGCGCAACACTCTGATAGTTGGCTTTCCAGACCAGTGTCACATCGCAGGCATTTGTGGCCTGTAATCGCCAGGATAGGAACGCGGACACCGCATTTCCGCCGACTATACAACAACGTCTTAGCTCTTGATTCATTTTGGCGCAAGAAATCCAAAGGAAGTAATTGAGACCAAGGAGTCCAACTTAGATTGGATTTGCGCCTTGGTCTCGGAATCGGTAAGAGTTAAGTCATGCTCACCTGAGACAATTCGTAGACGGGGCGGAGCAGGTGCCATTGTGTGAGAGAAGCACGTTCGTGAAAGTGATTGTCAATTAATACAACAAACGGCCTGAAGCAGGCACGTTCGAGGAGTAGTTGTGTTCGAGAGTGGTCGCAATTCAAATCGACCAAAATTATTGCTTGTCTTCCAAATAAATCACAATCAAAGCTTCTCCAGGTCTCTTTTCCGAAGGACAAAGACCCAGGAAAGTGGCAGCGACAGGGACGAACGAGTGGGAGACGCTTCAGTAGGTGGTCGGCGACATTGAGTTGATTGGAACGAGAGACGGAGGTGAGGTTGAGTGAAGATTTGAGGTTGCAGTTGGCACGCACGCAAGCACAAGCACCGCGACTTCGTAGCCAGCACCCGGAGGCCTGAAGGATCAAACAGTCGTCACAGGGGGGGGGATCTCAACAAGAGCAGCCCTCCTACTGCAGCTGGGAACGAAATAACGAGCGTGGTCCGATAGGAGGCGGATGAGTAGCACAATTAGGTGAAGGGGACTGAGAATGAGGGTGCGTGGTGCAGTGGCTGCGGTGATGAAAGGGAGAGTGGTTGAGTGGCCGAAGCTTGCGGGCGCGACGATTGTGAAGCGCAAATCGAAACAGGACAGGACAGGACAAGACGAAACGAGGGAGCGGGAAGCGATCTGCCCAGTAACTCGCAGTCCGTCAGGTAAAGTACACGTAAGGTATGGAAACCACCCACAAGCACCCGCCGCCGCCGAGGGCTTAAAGAAGGTTTGAGTGCCTGAAGACCCGCGCTGTGCCGGGGGTTGAAGATTAAAAGGTTGTTATTTGACGACCAGGGACACTGAACCGCCCAAGCTTTCGTCTTTCGGGGGCTTGTTAGTCCTACGAGCTGGACAGCACGGCAGGCTTCCCAGCTGCCAAGCATCTTAGAAGCGGACTATCGACCAGCGATCGCTACCTAACAGATACACATGTTAGATGCCTGGCTAAACACGTTTGAGGCGGCCCCGTAGAGACCCAAGCATTCAAAAACATTATAAAAATACTAGGTACCTAGTCGAGTACTGATGCTCAGGCTAGTGTCCAGTAGTATACAGTGTTGTAGAGCACACCCAGCGGCGGATTACTCGGTAGGCGATTCCGCACTTCTGCCGCAGACAATTCCCAGGCAAACTTCATTTGCACCACTGGCACTCCATGCCCGGTACTACATAGTACCTGGTACTACTGCACTACTGCCTGCGCTTGTATCTTGGACTGTACTAGTAGGATATACCACTGTTGGCGGATTGCTGGCGTCATTATTATTCAATCCAACTCATCCTCTATGCGGCCGCCTCCCTAAAATATGTTGCAAGTCCTTCTCGCGATCGAACAACGTCTGCCCAGCGGCCAGTGCCCACATAAGCGTGTCCATAATCGCCGTCGAGCTCCTCCCTGGCGTCCTCCAAGGGACCGGTATCCGAACCACCGTGCGCCTCCATCACGGCCAATCGCCTTTACGCGCGTAGTCAGTGCGATCCAAAGGGTCTATGGGTGAAGAACACCCACAGAGCCGAGAAATTTTGAGTTCAATTGTCGAAGGTGTAAAGTTGATTTTTGAGCTGACACTGCAAAGCTGCGGACGTTCTCAAATCATCTCGAAGCACGGGTAGGGTTTAATTGACTCGGTATTATAGCCAACATCCCCCAGCCGATGCGTCTACCAAGACAAGAACCGCGTGAGGATGTCAAAGGCATTATTGGCTACGGGTGGCTTGACAGCCCTCAATTCCAGCTACATTCCGCCACGCGGCTTGTCGTTCACGTATCCCTCTGTATCCACACTGATTTGTCCTAGCCGCTCCATTTGAGTCCTCCGTTTGCTCGACATGGGCCGAGCAAAAAGGGTAGCTCCCAGCCAGGAGCTCAGCATCTACAGCGTCTCCATAACATTGACCCCCCGCCCTCACAAGAGCCGTTCAAGTTGCAGGCGATGCGCGTATCCAGGACCGGCGATAAGGAAGGTAGCACCGCCTGGCATGTGCGGAAACTCCATGGGAGCACAAAATTCTTCCCGGAACACGGCCATGAAGATTTGCTGTTGCCGGCACGTACGGTCCACCAAGACAATTACAGTATGTCTGTACCTTCAATGGCATACAATCCTCCAGTGTACAGTAATAAAAAGCATGTTGATGGCCGAAACAACGATTCCGCCTATCGTGAGGTTGTTTATGCATATCTTGGATTGAGCAACGACGCCAAATAATGCACCATTCCTAGTGCAGGACTGCGCCAGGAACAGCGCGAATCATGTGGGCCGTGGCTGACCGTCTGTCCAGCCTCATCTGAAACTTGCATGGACACTCGATGACTTCCCCTGCAGGCCTGCTCCAACTTCTCTTATCGCAGTATCGTCGGCAGTCATATATATGGATCCGCGGGATAATCTTACAACGCCCCTTTGGCATGCAAGAGACAGTAACGGTCTGTCGAAGGATGCTAACTCTCCAGCGCCTCCCGTCGTCATTGTTGTGGAGGTCATCATCAGGGGAAAGGCGAATATCCAAGTCGACAATGATGCATTCTTGTGGTGGAGCTCGATAGATTAGCAGACCTGGACAGCCCTGCTAGGAGGCCTGAAGCGGCTACATTCTGCTCGTCAATACGACCATGGAGTTCTTGGCTGTACCGTTGCCGGCATCTCAACGCCGCTTCCGATCGAGAAAATACAATCTGCTACTATTACATCTATTTAATATCATTGCTTCCACTGCAGGCGTTGGACTCAGCCATACGCGGTCGGGCTACTGCACCGTTCTCTTCTACTCCTGGGCTACGGTCACCACATCAGACCTCTATCTGCTGGCTTCTTTTATTGAATTGACGGATCGAGTTGCAGATCAACACCGATCTTCTGCATCGACTTGACACAGGCAGCGACAGTACATCCTCCTGAACATGGGTGTTCTCGGCACCAGCACGCTCCGCGTTTACGCTACTACTAAGCGAGATACCTTGATCCGGATACGCCAGGGTTCTGCATTATTATTCAGCCAACAATATTCCCAATCCAGGCAACTGGCTAATAAAAATGATCATGGCAATCTACAGAGCAGGATGCGAGCCTTGTCCTTCGCAGTCTACCAGCTGGCGTGATTCGTGGTGAAGCAAAGAAGAATTCTCTCACGCGCCACAGACTACGCGCCGTTTCGCAGATCATCCTTTATGATTCTGAGGTCAACCAGGTTTGGAAGTATCCCTTATCCATGTGCTCTATTACTACAGTATGTTCCACGTGGAATAGCATTTACTGTACCACGCTGTTGGTTCTTTGCAGCAACAGCTTTCCGAGTTCTTCCAAGGCTGAACTGCGACTGCTTCTTTTGCAAGGTAGGGCATGCATTGAGCTGGAAAGTTCGCTGCGTGCTGCTCATCGCCTCCTCGAAACATGTTCTAGTCATTGCACAGCGAAGGTGAAACCCGAATGCTTATCTGGCAAGCAAGATATTTATGGGCATTTCTCGTTGGCGCTTCGATGGTGCGTCCCGTGGTACACAGCAACTGCATGGATTGGTGCGCTGCCGGTGCCAATGCATGCGTTTTACACTTGTTCGTGACATGTTTCACGACGTGGTCTTAAGCAGACAATAAGAACGCATCGGGGCCTGTCGTCGTTCGCGGTGGTCGTCAAATGCTCCCACCGCATCTGGATCACCCTTCTTCTGGGCCTGGTTGCTCCCTCTGTCATGTCCGATACACAAGTTTGAGTGAAGACTGCCACGGTACAACGACAGTGACTACAGCGCGTTACCAGTGTATTGAGATGATTGCCGCCCGCACCCAAGTGATGATACTTGGCGTGGCGACGTTTGTATTGCAAGACTGCGAATGTAGACCGTACCTTTGGAGATGCCTCTGTCTGCCCACAATAAGCGAGGCGTTTGCCTAGAGCATGCACTTGAGATCTGGGGATCGACTTACTTGCATGAACAAGAGCTTGTACCATCTTAAGTGATAAGGAGGCGAAGGTGCCAACGGTGTAGTAGTACACAGTCTCTTAAATTACTGCCTTCTACATTGCTACCTTGGCGGTGATGCTTACCTCAGGTTTAGGTAAATAGGTACGTGCTGCCGAACTTTTTTATGCAGCCGGATTGATGCTGGATACACATAATTATGCACGAGTCTGGCACAGCCCCCGGATTCTCTACAACATTGTAGATGATGAGGCCAACTACTATAATTGCACCACGTTGAAAATGATTGCCATTGCCAATGTGAGAGGCGGTCATTCGACCCTCTTCTCACCATGTCATATGTATCAAGGTGTAATTCAATGCTGCTTCGCCTGGGAGATGATTAATGCCAGTACTAGTGACTCGGAGTACGTCCTGGGTCTTCGCGTTGTACGGCTCATGTACAATGCGCTTCATTTCCCTTAACCCCGAGCTCACCGGCTCTCCACAATTGTTGTGTAAAGTGACCGACGTCCAATAGCAGGGGCGGAATGCGTTGAACAAGCAGGGATGGCGCCCGGAACGGAGATATGAATGACTGCAAACGTTGATAATATTTCTTGAATGGTGGATGCTTGGTCAGCTTAAGGTTTGAGGTACAAATTATGATCTCTCTCAGTTCAAGTTTTACTAGCATGCCCATGGGCGCGACGACGGACGCGCCCGCGAACGCGAAAGACATCAAAGGTGGCTGGAGCCAGCCCCTTTCACCCCTAAAATAAGTGCAGACATCTGAAGTGCCTAATCAGATTATCGGCGAGGTATGTATACTAGCACTTTAAATGCGGGTCGCAGTGGTACGTTTCGTCGTCCTTCTGTCACATGTATGGTGTAGAGCTTGTTGACAGAGAGTCAAGCAGTAGGCAAGCTATAGACATTACAACATGCTGTACCTACTTATAGATTCAAGAAGCTGAGGTGCGAGAGCCTTGTTACTGTAAAAGGAGCGCGAAGTCCTGTTATACTAGTAGCAGGCGTCGCGGAGGCCCGAGGGCCTCCATGCCCGAGGGTCAGAGCTTGAACTCGGCGCCTGGGCTACAACGCGCCTACCTATTGTACGGGGCAACATGCTGGCTCACGGCCGAGAAGACGTCTCGTTGCCGCCTGTCTGGCCTGTTGACACCCGCGGAGGGCTCGGGTGCGCAGAGCCTAAGGGCCTGAGGCTAGAGCCTAAGGAGGCTGAGGCCCATCGGCCTGAGCTTCAGAGAATGGCAGCCCTCCTCTAAGCCCCTCGCAGCAGCAAAGCCGCCATTTTTTCGAAACTGTCCATGTCCCCTGCGCTCAATGCATGCATCCATTCCATCCATTACCATCACTCTCGCTCGCTCATCTTTGAAGCCATCACTCGCCGTCGCCAGCTGTCCGAGGAGGGGATTGTGACCGCTTCAGTACCCTCACTTGTGCTCCCCAGAGATCTGCTCTGAACCAGAGAACGGGGAAGCTCCGAGCCAGCGGACCCCTACTCACCACGTACATAGTAGTGCATGCATTGAACGGCATACCACTGGCGATACCTACCATTTTCCAAGACCGAGATAGTCTCCGACCATACCGCCGCAGAACTGAACCCCCAGTTGTCCATTTCAAAAGCCTCTCTTCCTCCCGAATACACAGTCAACATTGGCGCCCCTTCTACGCCTGCAAAGCTCGCCTGGTCTCCAGCATCGCCCTTCGCCCACAACGACGCCCGAGATGCGCGTTTTCCGCATTTGCTGACGTGAGCCGACCTTTCCGAACTCCCAGCTCTCCTACTGCGCAAATCCGATCCTCCACATCCACCAGTCCTACGCACCCTCCACGGGTCAATTGGTCGAATAAAGACTCCTGCGACGACATTTGTCGACGCTGCAATTTCCTGGGCCAGAGACCGGTCATTCCCTGCCCCTGGTTGATGCACAGCATAACGCCATACCATGGCGCGAATACACTTCAACAGTGGTGAGGGTGAGGGCGAGGGCAATCATGTCTCGAGACCGGTAAAGAGAATGCGCTGGGCTACAACTCGTAAAACCGGCCAGAGCGGGGTCAAGAAGAGGCTTTCTCTGCTTCAGAGAGTGCCCAAAGTGAGACTCTCGGCTTACGAGGAAAAGCCCGACGGCCAGGATAACCATGGCGAGATTTCGAAGGACAGTCCAATGGGCCAGCAACAGCCGCAAAAAGAGGAGGAATCGCAGGGACGGACAATATACGTGAATGTACCACTCCCTGACGACGCCAAAACGGAGGATGGCCACCTCAAGGCGCAATACTCGAGGAACAAGATTAGGACGTCCAAATACACGCCCCTCAGTTTTGTGCCAAAGAACCTGTGGTTCCAATTCCACAATATCGCCAACGTATACTTTTTGTTCATTGTTATTCTCAGTGTGAGTTGGTTGTTCCCTTATGATGTGACTTCACTAATACTCTTAGATTTTCCCCATCTTCGGCGCCTCCAATCCAGGCTTGGGCTCTGTTCCCTTGATCTTTATTCTAACGGTGACTGCCATCAAAGATGCAGTGGAGGATTGGCGCAGGACGGTGCTGGACACCGAGCTCAACAATTCCCCTGTTTACAGGCTGGTGGATTGGGACAACGTGAATTCATCGGAGGACGACATCTCCATGTGGAGGCGTTTCAAGAAGGCTTGCACGAGGATGGTGATTGCCACCTACCGCCAAATGAAAGGCATGAAAAACAAGAAACACCGACGTTCCGAGAAGGACGTTGATGGTGGCTCTCTGCAGCGTCAGGATTCTGCGGCGACTCGGCCGACTATTCGGACGTCCATTTATTCGGAAAGGGCTTCGTTTCACTCCACTCATAGCCAAACGGGCGACGACATTGCGATGACGCCTGTTCCATCTCCAGGCTATCGAGCGAGCTTAGGAGCTGAAGGCCAGCTCTCTTCCGCTGGAGAGCCGCCTAGCAGCGCCTTTTCTTTCAACACCGCAGAGTCCGGCCTGGGCGGGGATAACGCGCCATCCATGCTCCGGACACACGAACCACCGAACGGAAAAAGCAATCTCCACCCGCAAAGGGACTACGGCAGTATTCTTAATCCCTATAAAGAAGTTCCAGATAAAGCCCGGTTCAAGAAGGATTACTGGAAGAACGTCCAAGTTGGAGATTTCGTCCGCATCTACAACGACGAGCAGATTCCGGCCGATGTGGTGGTCCTCTCCACCTCCGATCCGGACGGTGCTTGCTACGTCGAGACCAAGAACTTGGACGGCGAGACAAATCTGAAAGTTCGTCAAGCGATCCAGGCAGGACGAAAAGTGAAGCACGCAAAGGACTGCGAGCGTGCTGAGTTCGTCATTGAGAGTGAGGGCCCGCACCCGAACCTGTACGCCTACAACGCCGTCGCGCGATGGCAGCAACATGATCCCCGGAACCCTGATGCTCCTGTTCGTGAAATGGCCGAGCCAATCAGTATCAACAACCTTCTCCTGCGAGGGTGTAGCTTGAAAAACACAGAATGGATCCTCGGCGTGGTGGTTTTCACAGGCCGAGAAACGAAAATCATGCTGAATTCGGGTATGACCCCCAGCAAACGGGCGCGAATGGCCCGAGAGATGAACTGGAACGTCATCTATAACTTCATCATTCTCTTCTTCATGTGCTTGGTGTCCGGTATTGTTCAAGGTGTGACCTGGGCCGAAGGGGACAACTCGCTGGACTATTTCGAATTTGGCTCGATTGGTGGTAGTCCTGCCTTGGACGGATTTATCACCTTTTGGTCGGCGGTCATCTTGTTCCAGAACTTGGTGCCTATCTCCCTGTACATCACGCTGGAAATTGTCCGTTCCATCCAGGCTTTCTTCATCTGGTCCGATGTCTATATGTACTATGACAAGCTGGACTACCCGTGCACCCCAAAGAGCTGGAACATTTCAGACGACCTGGGCCAGATTGAGTACATCTTCTCTGACAAGACAGGGACGTTGACCCAGAATGTCATGGAGTTCAAAAAGTGTACCATCAACGGAGTGGCTTACGGCGAGGCTTACACCGAAGCTGAAGCGGGCATGCGGCGGAGAGAAGGGGCGGATGTCGAAGCTGAGGCAGCACGTATCAATCAGCAAATCGCAGAAGACCGCGTTAGTATGCTGAAACAGTTGCGCCAGATGCACGACAACCCTTATCTCCACGACGAGCAGCTGACGTTCGTTGCCCCTGATTTCGTCGCCGATCTGAACGGCAGGTCGGGTGAAGAACAGGCTCGGGCAAACGAGCACTTCATGCTCGCGTTGGCTCTCTGTCATACTGTTATCACCGAAACCACTCCCGGCGATCCACCTAAGATTGAATTCAAAGCTCAATCTCCTGATGAAGCCGCTCTCGTGGCTACAGCCCGTGACATGGGTTTCACTGTTCTTGGCCGCACCAACGATGACCTTCATGTCAACGTCCTCGGTGAAGATCGAACGTACCGCATCCTCAACACGCTGGAATTCAACTCGACCCGGAAGCGGATGAGCGCCATTGTGCGCATGCCTGACGGAAAGATCAAACTGTTTTGCAAGGGTGCCGATAGTATGATCTACTCCCGGTTGGCGCGAGGCCAGCAGCAAGAGCTCCGGAAAACAACCGCCGAACACTTGGAGATGTTCGCTCGAGAAGGTCTTAGAACGCTCTGCGTGGCTGAAAGAGATTTGGACGAAGAATCCTACCAGGAGTGGAACAAGGACCATGATTTTGCGGCACAGGCATTGACCGACCGGGAGGACCGGCTTGAAGAAGTCGCGGACCGCATTGAGCGGGATCTTATTCTCCTTGGCGGTACGGCTATTGAGGACCGTCTCCAGGATGGAGTGCCCGACACCATTGCCCTACTTGGACAGGCCGGCATCAAGCTATGGGTCTTGACTGGTGACAAGGTCGAGACCGCCATCAACATTGGGTTTTCTTGCAACCTGTTGTCCAATGAGATGGACCTGATCCTGTTCGACATGCCTGAAGGGAAGGTCGAGGATGCTTCCAACCTCCTTGATCAGCATCTGAAGACTTTCGGGTTGACTGGATCGGATGAGGAGCTAGCAGCCGCTCGACTTGTTCATGAACCGCCACCCCCCACCCATGCTCTGATTATCGACGGTGAATCACTCAAGCTGGTCTTGCAGGACGACTTGCGGCAACGCTTCCTCCTGTTGTGCAAACAATGCAAGTCAGTGCTCTGTTGTCGAGTCAGTCCGGCGCAAAAGGCTGCCGTCGTTCAGCTTGTCCGAAATGGGCTCGACATAATGGCGTTGTCCATTGGTGACGGCGCCAACGATGTAGCCATGATTCAGGAGGCTGATGTTGGTGTGGGCATTGCCGGCGAGGAGGGTCGCCAGGCGGTCATGTCGTCTGACTACGCCATTGGCCAATTCCGCTTCCTCCAGCGACTTGTTCTGGTCCATGGTCGCTGGTCCTACAGGCGGCTGGCCGAGGCAATTGCCAACTTCTTCTACAAGGTATGTTGCCGTAAAAGCATTTGGTGGCGAGAAGTTACTGACAGGATGACTAGAATTTGGTCTGGACGTTCGCCCTTTTCTGGTACCAGATATACAACAGCTTTGACATCACGTACCTCTTCGACTATACTTACATTCTCTTGGTGAACTTGGTGTTCACGTCTGTTCCGGTTGGATTGATTGGTATTCTCGATCAAGACGTCAGTGACAAAGTTTCGCTTGCCGTGCCACAGCTCTATCGCCACGGCATGGAACGAAAGGAATGGTCGCAGAAGAAGTTTTGGTAAGAACGCCTTTCGCGAAGAGGAGTCTGATGTTCTACAGAAACCTAATTGTTGTGCTAGGTTCTACATGGCCGATGGCCTGTACCAATCGGCCATATGTTATTTTATGGCCCATCTCCTCTTTGCACCTGCCACGTTCGTCACCGAAAATGGACGAGGCATTGATGACCGAAGCAGGATGGGTGTCTACGTTGCTTGCGTCGCCATCGTCGTCATCAACTCTTATATTCTGCTCAACACGTACAAATGGGACTGGATCATGGTCTTGGTGACCACCATCAGTATTCTATTGATCTTTGCCTGGACCGGAATCTACTCCTCCTTCGAGGCGTCATTCCAATTCTACAAGTCTGGCGCGGAAGTGTATGGAGCGTTGACATTTTGGGCACTGTCGCTCTTGACAATCATCCTGTGCCTACTGCCCCGCTTTTCCATCAAATACTTCCAGAAGAACTTCCGGCCCTACGATATCGACATCATCCGGGAACAAGTGCGACAGGGAAAGTTCAAGTACCTGGACGAATATGAAGCCTATGTTCCGCCGAAAATCGTGGACGTGTCTGGGACATCATCAGAACAGCCGACGGAGGACATACCAACCGAGAACGACGGACACCAAGGCCATGCCCGATATCCCAGCATGGCCGAATCTCAGCGACCCATATATCCACCCTCAGAGGCGCCGACGCGAGATACGCGCCACCCTCACAGCCAAACTGGAAGTGACGGGACGGATCGAACGAAGCCTTCCCTTGACATGACACGCCATTATGGAGACTCATCGCCTCCAGAAAGGGCGTACCGCAGAAGACCCTCCCTAGAGCGAGTGCGCTCATCCTTCGACAGATCTCGGCAGTCGTTCGAGAGGGTCAGACCAAGCTTTGAGGGAAGCCGGGATTTCACGAGTGCAGCGATGCTGAGTAGGATAGAGTCAAGTTACTCGCAACCTGCCAGCTCGGTTTACTCGCAGCCAGGGTTGTCCACAACCAATACGAGAAGGACCCAGACGCGTGATATTTCCCAAGAGCGTCAATAGCAACCTGAACGCTAGGACCGCTGTGGTATTTCACGACTCATGATTTCCTGATGCTGTGATGAATACGGCGACCGTAGTACTGGGCGGGTTGAGCTGTCTGGAAGGCTGGTTTCTGTTTATTTAGCGAGTTTTGCGCTTTGTAAATACTTAGATATATCCACAGGAGATATTGTGGCCGGAATTACATTGTATGCACGGATGAGTGATTTTCAAGCGTTCCGTACGTTTCATGGCCAGAAGAATCGCTGTGTAGGCTTTTGTGCTCGAGTACAATATCTCGGCAAGGATGCAATAGGTTCAGCTATCTTAACCTGGCTATAGAAGAGTGACTTCACTCTCGTTGTACTAGCATGCCGTTAGAGGCAGGTACCAAGTAGTTGTGATGCAGGAGTGACGGTGGACGGTGTACTGTTTAAACAGTTAAAATCAGTAGTAACGGAACCTGAGCCCACGAACCACTTTAGCGACACGAGGCTACGCAAGGCTGCGCGAGGCTGCACGAGGCTCTGCGGCGTTGCACGCGACTTTTTGCCCTGAATTATTAGTGACGCGCCCGCGGTTGGTTTGCGCTACGAGAACTTTCACAACCACAACCACAACCACGGCCACGGCCACCGGCAGGGCTCTGCAGATCTCACATCCCACCACCGTGTACCTGCCCAACAACACCTTGACGGGCCCTCACATGAACCATTAATTCAAGTTCTTCCCCTTCCAGCTGCCGCCGCCGGACGGTACAGCCCTCATTCCTTCCTCACTTCTGCACTTGGGTCGCCCCAGAAGTCCCCTCGTTCCCATTATGAGAGATCCGTACCCATGGTGTTGCGAGATCACTCCACTTCTTGGTGCTAATCCGGTTCTCTCCTCGAGAGTGCAATCATGGCCGAATTCATAAGTGTCCTGCAGTAAGCCTGCTATGAAGACCCAGGCGGTTCCCAACCCCCACTAACATAGGACTACAGAGAGATAAAGCAATTACCGCCGGGACAGCATCTCTTTTGCCCACGACAGAACGATGATGACCAGGACCGATACGAAGATGAGCGGAACCCCGGTGTTGCAGGAGAGGGTGCAGTTGATCCAGATCGACTGGCCAGGATTGAAGAGACCAAGCTCCGCCGAAAGAAGTTCATGACCTCGTTACAGCTTTTGGCTTACGATGGACGAGAAAGTGAACAATATCAACGCTTCATTTGGGAAACTCTTGATCACACTTTGGGCAAGTGCGATATCTGCATCCGCGAGTACTACGTTGCCAAGGTGGATTTTGCAGCCTCGCTAAGAGAAGACTATGAAGGGGAAGATATCCAGAACTTCTTTGAAATCATCAATAGGCGGGACATCCAGCGAATACTCCAAGGACTTGATGGCGCTACCAAAACCCTCAGCGAGGTTCCGGAGCAGAAGAGAGGGACTGCAGTGCTCAGCCAGAAAGATCTGCACGCCTTGTTTGAGGCATTGGTCTGTGACCCCTTCTTGCGGAACGAAGATCTCCTCCAGAAGCACTTCGATCCACCGTTCAAGATGATTCAGGCCAAGAAACCGCTTAAGATGCGAGAGATCTTACCCGCCTCGATTAAGTTCCTCTTTGATTCCGTGCCAGTTCGCGTTGGATGGGCAACCTTGATCTGGAACCGAGTTGATCGATGTCCAACCGACCTCGAATGGGATTGGGCCATGAAGGATTACATCCAGACAAAACTCCAACACGCCTACGAGCCCGGCGACATCACCAAACTATGGAGCGCCTTGAAGTTGATTATCAGCAAACTCGACGAGCGAATGATCACATACAAGCTCTTCGATCTCCACCCAAACCTCTGCACTACGGCGCTCAATCATTTCGCCAAACGCTCGCAGGCCGTCCCTTTCATCTGTCAATCAATGAAAATGATCTTGGACACAGCCCCCGCCGCCTTCTGGCAAGCAATGGGCTCGATTTCCTCCCAAACCATTGTCGAACAGGTATTTGCAAGTCCTCAGTTCAACAAATGTCTGCAGGACTCGGCTTCAAATCCGGAGTCCAAAGAGCTAGACGTCTTGTCATGGATTCCCTCGCTCCTGGACTCGCTGAAGCCTGCCAACCGTCCGGCTGCCTCGCAAACGATTGTCAGTCAATTGTTCGAACGAATCGATAATGACAACCTGAGTCTGGCAGCTAGGACTGCATGTTTCAACATGGTTGTCACGGTACTCCTTACCACCATCATTAGCTTCTCAGACAATGAGAAAAATCGTCGGTCGGTGGAGCGGCTGGTTCTGCTGGACACGTTGAGTCTTATTGGGCATCGACTGGACGAGATCCTGAAACCCAAAAAATCGGATCTGGCAATGAACTTGAGCAAGGAGACAAAGGAGGACATAGCGAACATCGTCAAGAACTCGATCGCTCTCGAATGTCAATGTTTGAAGTCAGATTTCGAGACTCTAGTCCGCAAGGAGCCGCTGCGGCACGGTTCGAGCTCTTACACTCCCGAAATCTGGACCGCCGTAATCAATAATTTGAAGGATGACGAGCCTGAACTATCCGCAGCCGCACTTATCGGTATCATGCCACTACCCGGCCTTGAGCAATTTCGCATACGAGAAGGCGAACCTCTGGCAAAAGATAAGAAGTCTTTTAATTCAATCTTTGAAAAGTTGACGGGCATGGTAGCTCGACTTCTGGAGCGCATCTCAGAGTTCAAGCCGGACCATCTGGACTACTTATTCAGAGCCCAGAACACCAGCATGTCTCTGATAGCTGCATTGTTCTCGCCCGACAATAGCACCTATCAAGCAGCAATTGAAGTGGTGAAGAATATCAGCGGGGAATTTGGGCGGAAGGAAGCCCTGGCTCATCTGATCGAGGCCTTCCTCGGGATTACCATATATGGGATCTGTTGGACGTTCCGACGGATAGCCAATTACAGGACCTTTTCCTCTGTACCCCGAATGCTCAAAAATGGCATGGAGATCCTCGATGTGCTTTGCAACCCGACGAACGGACAATTGCGGGCAGCCAACATTACCTCCCGAGATGCTGCGGCCGTCCAGAACTATTGGTCTTACCAGTGGCTCCTCCTTCAAGTGATTTTCAGCCAGACTGAACGGTGGTCGCTAGAGGTTCATGACAAAGAGAAGATGATAGAGGTCTGCAGAGATGCCATGCAATATGCCGAGGCACTCTTTGACCAGTACGATCTTTTCGCGAGCGTCTTGACGAAATCCAGACCACCAGAAAAAGCCCAGGAAATCCCCAAGCAGCTCCTTGATTCAAGAGACACGGGTCTCGGATCTCCTTTGAATACGTTGGATGCGATGGCGAAATGGTTGAGACTTAGAGACGAGTATCTCGCCGATACCTTGGTATCACTCATTACCAACATGCTATATCGCTTGAAACAGCATCAAGCAGTAGTGACGGAGAGCGAAGGTCTCGCTTACGTTCAGGAAGTTGCAACGACGCATTCCGTCAAAACCATCCTCTCTGCATCTCAGAAGGCCAGGCTCGTGCGAGCCTTGGAGCACTACCTTGACCGCCAGATTGAGAGGCCAATGCCCAAGAGACAGGCGAAGCTCAATCTGAAGGACTGGACAGAGACGGCTGTTTCCCGATTAGGAGGCTCCGCGACTGACTCACGGGACGTGAGTACGGATGAGTTTGGCGACGATGACATTGCAGACGAAGACTTGATCAAGATCGAGAACAAAACTCTAACACAAAAAGGCTTGATCTCCACAAAGGACAAAAATAAGATTAAGCCCTTGCTGTCAAAACAACAACCTAAACCAGCAAGGACGGCTCCAGTGTCCACAGCTGAGGTTGAGGCGAAGAAAGCCCAGCAAGCGCGAGCCTTTATCGAAAATCGTAGGCGCGAAGAAGCTGCTAGGAAACTCAGAGACAAAGAAGCTGCTGCGCGGTTAAGAGGCAAAGTCGGCATTGGCGAGCAGACTAGTGGTCAAGGCTCGGGCTTAGCAGGCGTCGGTGTGATAGGCAAAGATCATTCCGCGGGTACAAGCAGTCTGATGGTGTCGTCGGAATCCGAGTCCGAATCCGATTCAGATGATGAGCTATTTGGCTTGACTTCAAAGGCCGGACCGACAGTGCGTGACCAAGGAGGACTGAGGAAACCTGTGGTCGCTGGGCCAGTGCGCAAAATCAAGCAGGTCCGGTCACAGAAGGATGTTCGAGCTCGGTTGGCACCAGATCTCAGTGATCTACACCGCACAATCCTCAGCTGGGACTTCTTCGCAGACACCGACCTGCCCCCGAACTCGGCAAAGGATGACTACACTCTTGTGACCAACACTTTCCGAAACGCCCTGGATTACCAGAAGACCTTCGAACCGCTTTTAATACTTGAAGGCTGGCAAAGTTTCCGACAAGCTCGCGAGGAGGGCAACTTCAAGCCTTTCGAGGTGAAGGTTGCCAACTCCTTGATCGTGGACAACTTTGTTGAAGTGAATTCCGCGATGTCTTTCGCGGAGGGGAAGGACTTAAGTATCGGTACCTCGGACGTGGTGTTGCTGTCGAAATCCTCAACTCCGGACCAGGATCCACAGCAGCCGCATTGCTTAGCACGGGTCAAGGAGATTTCCAGGAAGAAGGGCGAAGTTCAAATTGTTTACCGGGTCAACGCGTCAAACAACCCCTTACGCTCGTATCTGAACGACAAGACCACGATCTATGGCGTGCAGATATCATCTCTAACGCCACTGGAGAGAGAATATGGCGCGCTGATGGCCTTGCAGTACTACGACCTCTGCGAGGAGATTATCCGTGCTAAACCATCACCAATACTTGATTATCCGGATTCAGTGCTTGCGCCATTGCAGAAGACGTACGAGGTGAACAAAGCCCAGGCAAAAGCAGTCAAGTCCGCCCTCGATAACGATGCCTTCACTCTGATCCAAGGACCTCCCGGTTCGGGAAAGACCAAGACCATCTGCGCCCTGGTTGGTGCGATGATGACAGGCTTTATCAAAAACTCCGACGGTAAAGGTGTGCGGTTGAATGCAGCGACCGGTCGTCCGAGCCCTGCACCACGAGCAAGCAAAAAGATCCTCGTCTGTGCCCCGAGTAATGCGGCAGTTGATGAGTTGGTCATGCGATTGAAGCTGGGTGTTACCACACTCGATGGGCAATTTGAGAAGCTGTCCGTGGTTCGACTTGGACGAACCGATGCCATAAATGCCGGTGTCAAGGACGTCACCCTGGAGGAGCTGGTGAATGCTAAGCTCAACGTCGCAGCACCGAAAGATCCCAGAGAAGATATCCACTCTGTGATGATGGAACACAAAGCGGTATCCGAAGAGTTAAATGCGCTTCGTGACCGCATCACAGAACAACGTGGCAAGGGAATACCCGTTCCTACTGCCGATGAACAGCTCATGGATGCGCTGAAGCGGAAGAAGAACGGACTCGGGTCCAAGATTGACGAGATGAGAGAACGTCAAAACACCGCATCCCGTGACATGGAGCTCAGCCGGAAGAGAATCCAACAGGAAATCCTTGATTCGGCCCATGTCCTTTGTGCCACTTTGAGCGGGAGTGGTCACGAAATCTTCCAGAGTCTCAACGTCGAGTTCGAAACAGTAATCATCGACGAGGCCGCCCAATCCATTGAGCTGTCGGCACTGATCCCTCTCAAGTATGGATGTTCAAAGTGCATTTTGGTGGGTGATCCAAAACAACTGCCGCCGACAGTTCTTTCGCGGGAGGCAGCCAAGTTCCAATACGAGCAAAGTTTGTTCGCTCGCATGGAAAACAACCATAAAAAGGATGTGCACCTCTTGGACACACAATATCGTATGCACCCTGCCATCAGTCTTTTCCCCAGTAAGACATTCTACGACTCGAGACTCAAGGATGGTGCGGACATGGCCAAACTCCGACGGCGACCGTGGCATCAGAGCGATCTTTTTGCCCCGTATCGCTTCTTTGACGTGCAAGGAATGAGTCAAGCTGCCCCCAAGGGACATTCGTTGGTCAATATTGCCGAATTGAATGTGGCCATGCAACTCTATGATCGCTTGGTGAAGGACGTCCCGAAATATGACTTTGCGGGCAAAATTGGTGTTATTACGCCTTACAAAGGCCAGCTGAAAGAGCTCAAGTTGCGGTTTACACAACGATACGGCCAGGACATCACTTCCAAGATTGAATTCAATACCACAGATGCTTTCCAAGGTCGAGAGAGCGAGATTATCATCTTCTCGTGTGTGCGAGCATCGACTCACGGTATCGGTTTCTTGAACGACATTCGGCGTATGAACGTGGGCCTCACTCGAGCCAAGTCTTCCCTTTGGGTGCTGGGAAATTCGCAGTCACTGATGCAAGGCGAATACTGGCGGGCATTGGTCAACGATGCAAAGGCCAGAAATGTGTACACGCATGGGGACATCCTCGGCATGCTGCGTCGCCCACTGTTGACAGAGGATATGATGAAGGACGACATCGACATGATGGATGCGGATGGGCCTGCGGCAGATCCGGTAAAGCCGGCGCCTCCGTCACGACGAGAATCGAATGACCCGGCTGCAGTGCCCAAAAAGGCTGGCAATGATGCCGCACCGCCACGGTCAGGTCCACCCTCAAACCAGAGCACACCGCTGCCTTCCAGACCACAGAGCAGTCTCTCACGACGCTCATCGACATCATCAGCTACCAAACATGAGCTACCACCTCGGGAATCGACGCAATCCGATCCTAGACGGAACGTCAACGCATCGAGGATGGAGGTTGACCGCGAGCAGAAAGCTCCTCCAAGCAAACTGCGGATGGATTCGAATCTGCCAGAGCCTAATAAGGGTGTTTACGGACCGTCAGGAGGCTGGAACGGGCTCAACGATCTGGCCAAGTGTGCCATTTGCGGATCGGCCGAGCACTTCACCTTCAATTGTGACAACGAAGATGCCAAAGCTGCCGCCCTCGGCAACTGCCACCGATGTTATCAGCGCGGACACAGCTACACTAGCTGTACTGAGCCTCGATGTCTGAGTTGCGGCGAAGTTGGACACGTCACTGACAACTGTAAAGCTCCGGCAGACATGAGATTGACGGAAGCCCAGCAGAAGGAGGTCAAGAGACAAGAACTTCGGTTTGGGGCGGCCCGGGACAAAGCGCGCGAACGTCGAGCGGAAAAGCAACTCGGTGAACATGGAGCAAAGATCCCAATGGTGAAGAGCACCTTGCCACCAAACACACCGGTGGGACCAGCAGCGGATAGAACGAGGACGAACACGAACCGCGACGGCACCACTAATGCAGGATCGGCGGGGATGATCAAGCGAAAGCGAATAGACGAGTCCAGTGATTCCGATCGCGGCAAAGTACCTCGTATGAACCAAGATGGCAGGAGTCCTGCATCAGCTGCCCACGGCAATAACAACAAGAATAACATTGGTCTGAACACCAAGTCCCGTGTTGGAACCGGACCTGCTTACGGATCTCGACCTGGAGTTGGAGGTGGATCTCGAGATGATTCTGCTCGGTCTCATGCTCATCCTCCTTCTCGCCCTCCTCCTACCGGCCCTGCAGCAGCAGAAGCAAGACCAGGAGCAGGAGTTGGGATGGGTCAGGGAGGAGGTGGTTTGCCTCGGCGCCCTCCGCCGCCCATCCCTGCTCCTGGGTCTGGTGGTCCAGGTGGCCGCCCTAGTGGTGGAGGCATGACTGGTCCCGGTCCCGGCCAGCCCATGGTGCGGAAGAAAAAGGCAAATGCCGCCGACATGTTTGTGAAACGCAAGTGAATATGAAACTGATCAAGGGCTTGTTTTTGGACGGTGCAATTCGATTGGAATGATTTGCATTAGACAGCGAAAGGAGCGAGCAAGATGCAGTGCAGCCGGTCAGTCATGCAGCCCGCGAATTTCGGCCCCGAGGGTGCCCGTTCTGAAAATTGCTCCAAAAATGGCTTTTGAGCAATGAACAATGAATGGAACATTGAACGAGGTAGAAAATTCTTGGGAGAGCAAATGGTTCTGCGACTACAGCTAGTTATTGTAGCTCGCCACCATGCATGCATATATACATGAGTATTCAGTATAGACCTAAACAATCAGAGCAGGGATGATGACACGAAAGAGAGACAGCTTGAATAAATGGCATTTTAGTCGCGCGACTTACAGTATACTGCTGGGTTGTGTTCATCTATACTACCGACCATATTGTAAACTAGACACGATACAGTGGAAGGACAGGTACGACAATTGGCGCTTCATCCCATCTTAGAAAATGTGTTTCAGATACTACACCTACTGATTGATGATGACCAGTGACTGACTGTGATGTTCAATTCTAATATGAAATATGGGTATGGATATCGATATATGCAGCACCTACCGTAGTACCATATACTATATATGGAATTGACTACCTGGTACGTGAATGTAATGCTCTCATCCCAACTTGAATTAGCAAAAGCAGATATCCATCACTAGGAATTTCCGGGAATCCGTCCAGATGGTTTCAAAAAGCAAAACGTATACAGGCTGCATCCATCATCTTGTGCATCTTTCATGCATCACTTCATTTCAATTACATTCGTTCCTTCACGTCACAAATCACAACCCGAACTGAAGTCCATTATTAGCAAAAGTACAGTATTTCGTGCCAATTCTCCTCCCTCTCGTTCTCGTTTCCCTTGACAATCGCCTCTCTAAGCGTCTCGGCCATATAATGCAAACTGCTCAATGGCACGGTCCATTTGCTCCGTGTTGGTGAGAACATGGTTGATGCTCAGACGAGCGGCCTCGCGAGCATTTTTGGTGGCTTCGCTCCCCTGTTGTTGTTGTTGTTGTTGTTGTTGTTGTTGTTGTTGTTGTTGTTGCTGCTGCGCTTTGTAGTCTTTGATGCCGGCATGATCATCTTCATCAGGCTGTTGCAAAGTGGGAGAACTTGGAACGGCGACAATCGGTTCAGTGTACTCCCCACGCTTGTGCTTGTCCGAGAACTTCTTTGCAGAGCCGAGTGGTGCGGGTTTCAGCGTCGCAGACGGCGCAGGATCATATTCGAATGGGTCGGTCATCGAGGCCTCGTCACCTCCCAGGGACTTACTAGCATCAGTCGACAGGCTGCCCGTGCTGGAGGCGGTGCTGGCGTTTCCTGCGCTGTTTGTCCTGCTGTGATGATGACGGCGTTGGTTGGAGACGATGCCATTGTTTATGCCGCCTGTATATTGTTGGGCCATGGGCTCCGAGTGGGCAGTCCGATGAATTTTACTAAACGAATTCTGCGCTCCAGGGTAATGATTGATGGTCTCTTCGTCATCTGTCGTGGTATAATATCCAGCAGGATCATCAATCTCCACGTACGGAGAAAAGGTCTTGACTCCTCTGGCACGGTTGATGGGTGCAAACACCCGCATCATCATCTGGATCTGCTGGGCCTGCCACCTGATCCTCTCTTCCTGCTTGAGCATGGTCTCGTAGTACTCCTCAAGATCTTGATGCAGAGTCTTAATCAGACCAATGTCGCCGCTGTTCCATCTCCGACGTTTGTGCGCTCTGAACGATGTCTTTTTCGGCGAACGCAATTCTTGTTGCTGGTATTCATCACTTGAACTGCTCCATTGTCCACTACTATTTCTTGCCGCACGTCTGGTCTTCCTCGGCTTCACCCGACTGGACCGGGCTGACGTCGAATCGTCTTCACCCCTCAAACTCTGGACACTGGTCTTTTGTTTCACGCTTCTGGCAGGGCTTTGTTGGTCAGGCTCGTTGGTGGTGACCTGTCTCAGATTTGAGCCAGTTCGTACATGTCCTGGAGTCTTGGCTGGGCTTCCACCTCGCATGTGCCCACCGCCAATACTTGGAGTCGGACTCATGGCTCCAGCGCGGAATCGTGCAGTGACAGGGTCGGAATCGACCACCACAAATATATTACTTTGCGAAAGTTTCTGGGGAGCGCAGCTGCCACGACGAGACTTGTTGTTTGATAACTGCCGAACAGAGCTGGCCTGACTGAAAGTGCTCTGTCGGCGGTTGTGACGGGTAGGACTTGATGCATTGTTGGAGAAGCTCGTCGGCCTCGAGCTTGGAACTGCTGGAAACTGGTCGAGTTGATCCACTGACTGTTGCCCAGCAGGAGCAGGACCAGCATCATCAGTTACCCCCGGTCTAGATCTGCTTTCCTGTGTTCCTGAACTGTCAGCAGCACAGTCTGACTTTGGCGAATTACTCCGGGAGTTTGCCAAATCCCGCATCCGCTTTTCCTTTACTCGATCTGCACGTGGGCCAGAAATCGTGTGTCGGTTGAAGGAGCGGGAGGATGACGTTGATGACCTCCCCGAATCTTCCCTCTTGAGCGAGCTGATTGGAGTCGCTTCTGCGCATAACGCAACAGAAGGCAAGAGTGAAGGTGACGGTCGAGACCGGGACAGATTTTGCGCCAACTGAGAAGTCGGTTTTGAAGGAGATGTCTGTGTATGCATATCAGATTCTTCTTTGCTACCACGCCGACTCTCGGCTGCAACACTGCCCTGACCGGGCACATTTTCCACATTTGCTTCGGCTGGCAGAGCTGGCAAAGGCCGTTCTGGTGGTATGCCTACAGGTCCACCACTTCTAGACTCCGATCTTGAAATTGACATCTTCCTCGCGTCACGCTGTGAAGTAAACCGCGAAATGCTTCGGATTTGAGCCTCGATCTTCGTCAGCGTATCTGTGCTCATGACCGATTTGGGACTGTGAACAGAATGACCCACAGTGGACGTTGCTGATGGAGCACGCTGTAGCCATTGCGACTGGCTTGAAAATTGTGTTCCAGGGGTATCTGTCCACAACTGAGCAGGTGTCACCGAAGAAGGATTGCTGCTGGACTTTGAAACGACTGGACATTCGTGTGATTGTGCCATTTGCATCATGGTCGCAAGACTGCCTACAGTCCTGCTTGAAACTCTTGCGGGAGCTTGAGGCCGTTGTCCACGAGGTGAATTGGCCACGGATGGTGTCGTGGTCACGGTGATGGCCGGGATCTGCGTTGTAACCTCCGCCGACTGTTCGGGAACAGAGGAAAGAGCATCGTGCACGGATATCTCCTGGTTGGGGTCTTCCCTGGTGACACGGCTCCGTTGAGTCAGCTGTCCGACACCGCTTCCGGATAGTCTTCCAACCGCTGGGAGGACTGAGGCCGCTGGCAATAACCAGTCTCTGTTGAAGTCCATGGAGCTCAGAATGGCCCTGCATTCTTCGGAAAATATAGTATCCTTTTCAGGATCGTGAAGAGATGGAATGGGCGATCGCTGTTTTGCAACTCGTCTTCTCTCCCTGTAGGATCTATCCAAGCCGGCGGATGGTGAGCCCAACGAAACGGCTCTATGTAAAGTAGGACTCCGCGTAGGCGAGGTAACTTGTGACGGCAGTTTCTCCTTTCCACTTCGTACCTTTGCAGGGACGGGCACTCTTCCTGCAGTGCGGCCCCCTCTGGGTTCCCGCTGTCTGGCCAGAGACGCCCTCCGGCTCACAGGCCTTCTCCCAAAGCATTTTCTAGCAGTTCTGTGAGGTCTTATCACGACCGTGGCCTTGACAGTCTTCCAATAGTTGGTAGCTCTGGGCGGGCAAATTCCACCCTCCTGGAGAGTAGAACTGCTCTGGCTGACATGCCGTGGACGTCGTGGTCTGTCAGAATGCCGTTTCTGGCTGACTGGAGTTTTGGATTGTTTCAACTCTGCGCGCTGTTGGTCGAATGATACCTCGCGCATTGTTGGGATCCTGTCGTCGGGATCTGCCATCGGCTCCCGATGGACAGTCATGGAAATCTCATCAACAGGAGGAGCGCGCGTTGGAGCCGTACGAGTAGAGTTTTGCTTTTTTGCTGCCCATTTCTTCGACTGTTGGAAAGGAGGCAGACGCGACCGTGCGCTTCGTGGATACGTCCTCAACTCATCATACTTCCGCACAGTAGGACTTGGACATGCCTCTGTGTCCATTTGAGCATGCTGTTGGTGACTCTCGACCGAGATCTTGGGCAGTTCCGGCAGACTTTTGTCGACCAATCTTGCTCCTGCTACGGAACTCTGCACTTCGTAATCGTTCGCCATTGTTCTTGTCTTGCATTGGCGATTCGACCTATCGGTAGAACAGATAGATTTTTTTTACAGTACAACTCAATTGCTCTCTAGCAATCCTAGCAGGTGGCTAGACCTGGTGCGAATCGGACCGCACTTCATGCAAATGCATCCATGACTGGCAAGATCGAACGCTTGGACGAACACTTGGGCTAGGAATGCTGGCGGAACAAATAAAATTCAGAATGGCCTCAGGGTCATGCATGAGGGTCAAGGCGTTCGTGAGATCCGATGAAGGGAAACATTCTTGCTTTATGCATGCCAGGGAGACCTGCCAACGCCGAAATAAGGTAGGAGAGGGGGATGACTCTCGAGGGAGGACAGAAAACGACGCGTGCCGTGGTAGAGATTCCTAGAAACAGCAAAGGCTGGTTTTCGGATGAGGGTGAGAGAAGACGGGGAATATGGAACATCCACCGGGCTTGCATGGCCAACTGTCGTCTGCTAAAATGTCAGATGCTGGAGTGGGTGTATGTGGATGAAGAATGGATCACAGTGCGGTAAGGGACTCGTTGTGCTCGGTCACAAAATGGGTCCAAGATGTTGGCGTCATTTTTGACAGGGAGCGTCAACCAGCAATATCAGCGTGCGAAGACCCCGTTGATGTATGAAGTCACAGCGCAGAAAATAAGGTTTTTGACAGAGGTCGGCCTCTGAGTTTGACTACAGATAGAAGAGTTCCCAGTAACTCCGAAACGGCTGGGCTGGCATGCCATTCGTGAAAACCGTCCTGTATCTCTGTTAACTTGCCCATCAGATCGGTCCTGTGTGGTGAGCGGCCCTGGTTGGCACCAAGAAGGGGGGTTACCGTCCTGGCGCATACCGAGCCAATGCAGCCGCAAATATCTATGCTACATTGTACAGTCCGCGGACATGGTAGCAGGCAAGCAACGCTATCCGAAGTTGCATTGAGAGAACAAGCCCCAAGAGCTCTGCTGGACGGGCGCAACCTCGAAGAGAGGGCAAAATGGTGGGTCGATAACGTGGGCTAAATGCTAAAGGGGTTGGTTTCAGCCACGGTATGGAACGACGGATGACGGAGGCAAGGGTGACGCCGACTAGTGTCAACGATGGCTTGGGGAAAGGGTAGCCACCTGGACACTAACGCACAGGCCTAGTACTTCCTCCAGTTCCAGTAGTGGTACAGTTGTCGATTCAGTGCCCGTGGATGTTCTGTACACTGACTGGCATTGTACGTACAGACACGCCGGTAACGCGCAAAGAGGAAAGCTGACAGGAAGGACAGAAGTTTGCTAACGCCCAGTTCGAGTTTGGGACTTCCCAGGCATGCAAGATTGTGGATGTCGGGCCTTCCTCCATTATTGTTCCCAGCCTGTCGATTGGATCCTGAAACGGCCACACAGGGGTGACGGTTGGTGGCGTCAATCCGGAATTCCGATTCGGGCGTCGGGCTCGATGGTAGCTTGATCGCGAGCGGCGGCTCCCAACGGATACGCTTGACTACCCACCATGACCCCGAATCTCAGTTTTGGCGGCCCATACTGTGGAAGAGTTTGGTCATATTTTCCACCACCTGGAGCATGCGGGACCCGGTGGCTTTTGTTCGGCACGAGGGCCGCTGTACGGACAGACACTCGTCGGAGTTGGCTAGGAAGACACAGAGCCCGGTCTATACGGGATTTGAGATCCCGTCCGTATCGACAGGCTTTGAAATGAGGATGCAAACAATAATAGTGACAGAGTAGATGGATGTACGAGGGGCAGAAGGCGAAATCGAGACAAACGCCACTGGAGCCGGGTCGGGATAGCTTCTAGGCGGGCTCTTCATAGTGGCTATGGCAGATGATAGTTCGAGTAGGCCATGGAGAATACATTGCAGGTATTGGATTGCATTTCAGGAATTTTGAGGGGAAAAGTCGTAGTTGAGACACTGATGGCGACAGATACACATACACCACAGCCCACAAGTATGCATTTTAGTCAAGTGCGCACCTGCAGTTGGAGAGAGATGTCAGAAACGCGTAGTACAAGAACGGCGCCCTGTCGCCCCGTGTCCTAGTAGCAGCAGTGCAGTACCTAAGTAACATACTATGTAGTAATGCAGTACTACGACCATTATTATTGCCGCCTGCAAGTCACATCAACTACTGCGCCTGCACCCTGCACCTCAGCTGCGCTTCTCCAGACTCCCCCTGCGCTGAACCGTCCCGGGCACAAACAAGCTGAAGCCAGGGTCGAATTCACCTCGATATCCATTGCATCAGTGGCCCTTTTATCAACTCCAGGCTCTATACTCCTAGCTTGAACCCGATCTCTTGACCCCCTGAACAGACCGTCATCGATTGCCTTCAGACCCTGCCGGACTGCATACACGAAGTCTCCTCCCCGATGTCAACCTTTTAGCTTCTCGTCGACCCTCTCTCTGAGCCCTGCCAGTGTCGTCGTCTACAACAATAGCACCTTTACTAGCCGCGGACCAGAGCGCAGATCACTTTCTATTCTGTCATAGTAGTCCTTCAGTCCGGGACCCAGCAGCCTTCAGTGACCAATCAACACATACTTCGGTTATCTATCCGAAGACATCTACTACGCGCTGCTACATTGTGTGTGCGGTCTGACTGCATGTCCTGGAGTCGAGGCTGACTGGCGTCCATCCATTCCTACCTCCATTTGCACAAGACCATGACGAAGTGGTGCTGTCGACATCTTGCAAGCGTTGTTCAAAGCAGTCCCCGGTGTGCTGCGTAGGACTCAACCTGCGCTCCATTGCCGGAGAAGCTGCTCTTGGGCCTGAAGAGGAGAAATAGCTATGCCGGCTTGTCACGCAATGCGCGAACGACATACGGCAATGGTGTTGCTATGACCGAGCTCGTTAACGGTCCTACGCAGTCAAGATCCAATCGTTCTTTGAGTGCAACGATGTTGGTCTCAGACGATCTGCACACATCTGTGTCGTTGGTATGTGCACATCCACGTGAAGGCAGGCATGTTCGCCCATGGAAGCAGATCAGCAACCAGGTGGGTTCACGGAAATTGCTGTCAAGCCTTCTCTGACCCTGGCCATGTTCAGTACACGTGTTGATGAGCAGGCGATCTCCCTTGGTGATCAAGTTGATCAACATACCAGGGCCTCGATGAGATGAACAAGGCTGAAGTTCCTGATTTGCTCCCATTTCTTTGGCAGAGATATCCCTCTGCCTCGGTGGACGAAAAAAGAACCGGCTCCCCGAGGTGCACGAGGCTCAAAAAATACAGAGTCTTCTTGCTCGAATTGCCAGGGGTCTTCAGGGGTTGTCCACAGTTTGTCAATTCCATCCACCTCTTCGCGGGGATGAAGAGCATGCTGGAGCACCAAATTGCCCACCCATCCCCTCCATAGCCGATCCACGGTTCTCCTTGGGAGGATATGGATTCATGGACCTATTTCCGGCTCCCGCTGCTCTTTGATGTCTATCCACCTCCGGGTAAGGACAAGTACACAATCATTAACACGAATGTACAGTTTTCTGGCAGTCCAGACAATTGCACTGCACTATCAAAGTCAGCCGTGGGTGCGTGGCTCTGAGCTATGTGCAAACAGACCTTTACCGCACAGCTGCAGCGTACGAGGAACACCTTTGTTGAATCAAGCGATGCGTCGACGACGCCGAGACCTCCTTCTGGCGCTGATGACGTTACCTAGCCGGTTCGATAATGGATGCCGCACACCTAGGCATTGCGCCTGGAAAATTCGTCTCCTCCAACCCAAGCTCCCTCCTTGCCGGGGACTTATGAGCGGCGCGTCATGGCGTGGACTAGATGAAGGAGGAAAGGGCAGGTCTTGCCTGCAGAGAAGACACTGACGATATTGCCACACAATTGAAAGACCCAAAATGGGCCGCATGTCTTGACGATTATGGGGAGTGTTACCGCATGACAACCAGCCTCCAGACGGGCACCATATAACGCTACTACTTCTCTTACATACAGTGCTTGCAGTACTTGGTACCTGGAAGTTGGGACAAATGTCTATTCGTAACAAGGGCAGCGATCGGGATGGCGAGCCTGCTTATTTGTTATTTTGGCACCCGTTCTCCAAGCATTCGATGTCCAGTCTTGTCTGTGCAATTGGACAGCCCCGAGGGACATACTACCTCACTGGCAGCAGTTATGCCAATCCGCAACCGTGCTTGCTGTGTAGGTTGGTTGGCCGGGTAGAAGAAACGGAAACTACCTAGGTACCTGAGCAGGCAAGCAACCAACCGAGCAGTTGTAGCCTGGGTGAGGTTGCGCTTCTCCCATATAAATGTATCTTTCTGAGGTTGCGCCGGCAATAGTAGCAGGACGGGGTGGAAGACGAAAGACGATGACATGGCAAAAGGATTGGCAAAAGGATAGCATGAGGATATGACCATGACCCGAATGGAAATGGAATTAAATTCAATCCATCATGTTCATTGCGTCGTTTATCCGCAATCTATGATAGCGGTTTACCACAGCATGGTGACCGCGAGTAGAACCGTGGGAGATGATGCCAGACCCAAAACTCAAATACGTACAGTCAAACACGCATCTAATCAATCATGACAACCTGAAGGGTCCCTATTCTAAATGCCCCCGGCCGTTTCTATATTCAATCACGCAGCTCCAGCGGCGTAGACCTTCTCAGGCTCGGTTTCCTGATGACTGTTGGCAGCCATCATGTTCCGAATCCCTTGGGTCAACTCCACACCTACCCTCTCCTTGGCCAACAGATCTACCAGCAACGGGCTGGGCTTGCTGTCCCGCTGAGGTTGGAAGGCCGACTGGCTCTGCTTGTATTTCTGTACATTGTCCAAGTACATGTCAAACAGGTAAGAAGAGTCGAGAGGACCTCCCTTGGCTTCCGGGTGGAATTGGGTCGAGAAGATGGGGCGAGTGGCATGGATCAAGCCTGGATAGATAGATGTGAGTACATGAGGCTTCGAAAGACAAAAAGGTACAGAACAAAAAGGGGACCAAACAAAAAGGGGACCAAAATGCTAGCCAACTAACCTTCGTTAGAGTTGTCGTTCAAGTTGATAAAGTATGGCTTCCACTCGTCGGACAATGTGGCAGCATCGACGGCATAACCATGGTTCTGGCTGGTGATGTGACATTTGCCCGTGGTAAGGTCCAAGGCAGGAATGTTGTGAGCCCGGTTACCGTACTTGAGCTTGACGGTTCGAGCACCGGCAGCAAGAGCCAAGAGCTGGTGGCCCAGGCAGATCCCCATGATGGGGACCTGGGATGTTTCCATCAACTTTCGAAGATGGTACACCGTGTCCTGGCAGTGGGTTGGGTCACCGGGACCGTTGGAGATGAAGACACCGTCAAAGTGGTGAGCAACCTTGTGGATCGGGTAGTCGAAGGGGAAGGCGGTCACGCTGGCGCCACGACTGACGAGGCTGCGCAGGATGTTCTCCTTGACACCGCAGTCGATGACCGCAACGTGGGCGGTCGGAGAAGGGGCGCTGACGTGAAACGGTGCCTTGGTGCTGACTTTGCGGACGAGATTGATCTGTTCGGGATCAATGAAGGCTTCGTCCTGATCCTGGTCGTATTCTTCTCCAATAGTGATTCTGGCCAGACTGGAACCTTGCTCCCGCAGATAGGTGACGATGGCTCGAGTGTCCACTCCAGTGATGGCGGGCACACCCTCCCGGGCACACCACTCACTCAAGCTTTCCACCGCAGTCCAGTGGGAATATTTCTCTGCAACATCCGCAACAACCACTCCCACAGCCTGGATGTGAGGGCTCTCGAAATACTTCAAAAGTCCATACTCGTCCCGGGCGTTCGAGGGGACCCCGTAGTTACCAATGAGGGGTTGGGTGAAAACCAAAATCTGGCCTCGGTATGAGGGGTCGGTGAGTGACTCAGGGTATCCAACCAGGGACGTTGTGAAGACTGCCTCTCCCGAAATATTGCTTCGAGCCCCAAAAGATGTTCCCTGGAAGATGGGACCGTTTCGGATCGTGAAAGTGGCTGGCTCGTACGAGGGCGCAGTGTGTCGGTACTTGGTGTGCAGAGGCAGATCTTGCTGCCGTGGCGTATTGTTCGACACCGTGGCTAGAGATCGAGCCCGCAGGGTCGACGCAACGCTCGCGAAGGGTTTGCCCGTCTTGGGCAGAAGAGCCGTCGGCCTCAAAGCTCGAGAAAACATTTTCAAAATTTATGACTGTCGTATATCTTCCTGACCGCTAGTTTGCTTGGGCCTTCCACAAATGATCTATCGGCGAGTTAGATTTCCATCCCAACGACGGCAAGGAGAGTGAATAGGTACCACTAATGTAATCCTATCATTCACAAGTTAGCAAAGGTCTCAAGAATGATTCTGATGACGTTTTCTGTGCTGTCAAGGCAGCAGGAGGTGCTTATCAGTGGGCTTGCAGGACAGGGCATGAATTTACCTGAGAGGTGAAGATGCTTGGGAAGCACATGAACGCGATGAGATGTCTTCGATAACCAGTCGTAGCAACGATCAGGAACCTCCTGAGACGTCGAGAATGCCACAGGAGCTAGAAGCAAGGCTTTCGACACGAAATCCTTTCTCGTAGGAGTACGCGGTGTGGAATTGGAGGAGCAGAAGATTGGTGGGAGACGGGCGAAGCTCTGGCGGAGTGGGATCGGAGTCACAAGCACACGGCCCAATGAACGCTTGCGTATCTGCTCAGGGAAAATTCTGCGGCTCGTGACGAAAGATCCAGATAAGATGTTTTCGCTACAGATGACATACAATAACCCTTGTGATTTATTACTACATCAAGATAATCGGAAGACTTCACAGCGCTGTATGACAACTCTATTGTCTACAACTGTTAATCAGCTTGGGCTTTCGTAGTCGCCATTTGAAACGGTTTTGGAATGGCGAAGCACGCCCAGGTAGTCGACCAAAGGGTTCCCTTATCACGTGACTTAACGGTCACGTGTAAACTTTGTCCCGTAGCCGGTGACTTCGAAAGCAGGGAGGCCAAGTAGCAAGGCTATACCGGGTGAAAATAGCCATTGTGTGCTTTTCGAGGGCGTTTCAAAGAGTTCTTTGCCTTGGTACAGGAACAATACTACAGTTTGCCGTGGACAAGATGGTGGCGGCGAGGCGCAACTAGAGCCTTCGACAAGGCTGCGTATCACGTGCAGCGCCAAGGATTCCGTCCATCATGACTTCAGCCTTGTTCAAGTTCGTCGTTCTCTCATTCTTTGTGTTACCCGGCCTTCAAACTCTGTTCTTTGCGATTAAAAGCCATAATAGTATCAACTCGGCCACGGAGGAAAGATATGGCTGAGGGCGATTCCGAGCCCTTGACGGCACTGCCGTTTTCGCCTGTCACGGCAGCGCATATTCTAAACTGTTCATTTCATTCGTGGTACCCGCTTTTCCGATCCGCCACTCCAAAGGCCAGACTTATCCCATTGTCACAACCATTCTTGGAGTATTTACGCGCTGATGGGATTATCCTTCCCCCGGACCAACCACCTAACGATGCGGATAGTGGCTTCGAGGATGAGGAGGAGGAAGATCCCTCAGAACCTTGGTCCGACATTCATGAGCGGATCAGATCCACCATTCAAGAACTAGGCGGGAAAGTCGTTCCCAAGTTGAACTGGTCAGCGCCAAAAGATGCCACATGGATGGCCACTACTAATGACATGGAATGTCGGACTCCAAACGACATTTATCTCCTTTTGAAATCTAGCGATTTTGTCACCCATGATCTGGAACAAGCTTTTGATGGTTGTGTCGACCAGGCACAGGTTCCGTACCATCTCGTGCTGCGGAAGTCATTCAACCTGAATCCTTCGTTGGAGTTCCGATGTTTTGTACGGAACAGAAAACTGATTGCCATCACTCAGCGCGAGATGAACTATTTCGAATTTCTGTCTGACCTGAAAGAATCATTCAAAGCCAAAATCCAGGACTTTTTACAAGAGTTATCCGCCTTTCCGGACGACAATTTTGTGTTTGACGTCTATATTCCGCCACCGCATAATCGGGTTTGGTTGGTCGATATCAACCCATGGGCACCGAGAACAGACCCCTTACTATTCTCCTGGCTCGAAGTCTTGCAGATACCAGAGCCAGAAGAGAACGTTATTTTCGATCCAGAGTTCCGGCTTGTCCAACGTGACGACCCTGAGGCTTATCAGTTCGCATCGACAAAATACAGCGCTCATAAACTACCAAAAGAGGTCGTGGATGCCAGTATGGCTCCGACTGAAATGAAGAATATGATGGAAGAATGGAAACGTGTAATGGAAAGACGAATCGAGGAAGATTTTGACGACTAGGTTATCAAGGCTGATGGGGTCATGCCATTTTCGCCTTCAAGGACTGAGAAGCACTATGTCCTGTCATTGCATATCAGCAAACAAGGACCTGCCATATCCGGAAACTGTTTACGCGCTTGTGGAGCCATCATTCTCTCTTCTGCTTTGGAACTCTTCGTCAGGCTGCAGTGTTACAGGGCTCGAAACCAGACAGTCATCTAAACCAGCACAGAGTCCAGTCGAGTTGACTTCAATGCGTCGTTGTCGATGCCGCAGAGGGAGTCCAGATTTTCGAGCAGCTGTCGCATTACCCAAGTTACAACGACCTGTTCTTTCCTTCATGGGTGCTTCTGGCGGTGGTATTCCCGCCGCGGACTCGGCAACGACTTACAGGCGCGGTCGAGTGTAAGCATGACACCAAAAATTCTGTCATCGGGCGTCGAAGAGGCAAGCTGAGCTGAATTCAAGGATCTGCGGCTCGCAGTACATTCACGTGGTCAAACGCGCGAACGAACCGGCATGTGCTACGTGCCACTGCAGCATACTTCATCCTCTCATAGACACCGTGCCAGTGCACACAGCATTACCACACTGCAAGCGGTAAAGGAACGCGGTGTTGTCGAGGCACAGACAGGCGCCTCAGACGGTTTTCGATGGACATCTGGCCTTCACGTTCGCACAAACAGCTACCATATGGGGCACGACTTGAGTGCCGTGCACTGCCGATTAGTCCATATATGTTACGATGGGACAGTAACAGCAAGTCTGTCGCATGGCCACTTAATGGTCTTGCTGGTTTTGCCTTTTACACAGCGCTACTCGGATGTGTGGCACACTATCACCTCAGTTTCGATATTCTGCTGCATGCGAGGAGCTTTGGATTGTTTTCAGGATTTTGCCCAGTGGCCTCTTTGTCATAAGGACCAATTACTGCGGCAATCCGTGCATTACAAGCTTGACCATTTATATCCAGACAGAGATGTCCCTCGAATCTCACTCAGCGTGGTTGTCATACGTCGGTTCAAAATTCGACCGAGTGTCTCAGTGCGCTCTGCGGCTTGCCACATGCTGACACCGCAAACTTTCGGACTCCGCTACACTTTGATTTACATCATAGTCCGTCCGAATTTGTTGGGATCGATAAACCTTGAAATTCAGACGCGTTCGTGTTGGCCAGGATTGGATGGTATGAGCCGGGATAGGGAATAATCACATTGTACGCAGTGAGACTAGGGGACTCGTGTTCCAAAAATGCAACATGGAGTACTGCAAGGAAGGATCTTGGCTTCAATCTCCACCGACGCACATCTAGAGCCCTTCTGACACTGATGGGCCCCGCTCTGCTTTGGTCCAATAGGCGCCTGTGCGCAGCTTACCCTGTTCTACACTCGGAATGAACTCACTTTCGACGACTCGAGGGATCGAGGCAATGCCAGAAAAGGGGCATGTAGCGCGGCCAGCTGGAGACGTTTAAAGGCCAGTCAGTATCGCCCCGGATTCGCAACTGGAATGCAGTCTGCCTTTTCAGCACATCTCACCTCTCTTTCCAACACGGCATTTAAGCCCAAAGTACAAAGTCGATCTTCCATCAACTATTCAGAACACTTGGTCACTTGGGTTCAGGTACAAGTGGTGCTAGTGCCAGCCTTACCTGGGCGCTGTCTTCCAATCACGTACTTTTTGTTACAGAGCACTCTGATTCGTTGCCTCCACGAGAAGGCATTCTTCCGCCTTGCAGAAGACGCGTTTCTATACTACAACCTGAAAGCAAAGCTACCCGACCAAGCCCTCTCTGACCAATTGAAACCCGCATACATAAAACTAGGAGACTCATGGTCAGTATCTATTCAAGTTTGCAATTCGCTTGGCTCACAGCGCTTATATACATATGCCTTGGGCCGCAACAAAGAGAGCGCGTGACTGCTACTGACACGTCGAGTAGGCATCCCAGTCTGGCAAGAAGAAACCAGTGGTCTATCTCTGGTCGTGCGTTAGTGCTTCCCAGCCGCCTTACCTCGTCAAGCCTAACGATAGCAGTGTCGCTGCGGTCGTTCACACATTCCAGTTCGAAGCCAAAAGTGCCCCAAGTGTGCGCAAACGAGGTGTTCAACATGCCTCGTGGAAAAGCTGAGAAGCTAAGATAGGGCGAGGAAACGTCTTGCGCGCCTACAATTGGGATCTCCGACCTTCGGCCCCTTGTCTGGGTATAAATTGCTCGATCGCCACCCTCAATGCATTCTACTTCCATTATTCCATCAAGATAGACTCTCTCGACCGGCCGCGGGTAACATACCAACGGCCGCCTTCCATCTCACCCTGAGAGTTCAGCCAGTTATTTTAAGCTGCCCACTTCGCCAAACTTGAGACCCATTATTGGAGCAGATAACCGAGAATCGAATGATATTTGCACTATCTTTACTCTTTAGCCAAGGGCTGGGTGTCTGACATACAGACTATCTGGCTTTCACCCCGTCCCTCCTACGCCTTTTGCCTTATAGCAGTATCTGTTTTTTTAATTCAAAGACTTGAATCCCAACACGTTGCCTTGGCATATCAGACCCTATGGAACCCGATCCTGAAGATGAAGACGACCAATTGAACTTGCGGCATTTCACACCCTCAAAATCCCAATGGAAGGAGCCTCTTGAATGTGACCAGGACTTCGTGGCGGAGGAGGGTTCTCGTGTATATGTCGATGAGAATGGCAAGGAGACGTCATGGATCGAGAAGCAAGCAGAGTCTCGGAGGCTGTACAACCAAAGGCAGCGGTCAGGGCTGGATGAGAGCGACACTGATCTCTTAGACTTCATCCAGAGCTTTCGGGAGGATGATGAGGCCGAGATTCTGCTCGATTTTTGTCATGGCGCGAATGTGGAATCGCTGCGCGCAGACAAGTGGAATAGGAAAGAAACACTCCCGAAAAATATCTGGATCGATGAAAGAAGCTGTCGTGGTCAAGTACCCTGTTCAAGGCCCAACCCGGGACCTGTCACAGCTCATGGTGCTTTTCAGAGGCTGCGGAAACCGGTAAGTTTGCGCACTCCCTCTGATGCATACTTGACAGGAGAGAAGTGCAAGATTGAAGGAGATAATACGCGATGTCCCAAGTTCGACGTTAACATACTAGTTTGCAGCGCTTCAACTTGGAGCTTAAGCATCCCCGGGCGGGCCGCCGGCCCGAAAGCACCAAATGCGCTTCTTGCACGCATCCGGTTAGCTCGCCGGACATGGAGACTCGACCCGCGCGGCCCGCTGCTACATGTACACTTGAACCAGAAGCCCAAATTGCCTTGGCTGGTAGCGCGGAAACTGCGGATTTGGGCTTGTTCTCTTGCCAGTGTCTGCACTGCCGCCCGAGCTCCGACTCTGATCCAACTGATGCCGATCACGATACCGGAAATGGTGAGGCTGAGGTTGATGCCGATCGCCAGTTGATGTGCGTGGACAATGAACAGCTCCGCGACTCGAGTGAACGCCTGGCCATATGCTGACCTGGAGCTAGATATATCCAGGACCTGGATCCCTGGAGTGCATACGCTCTCATCGGGACTGTTCCATCCCCCCATCGCGAGACACTCCGCGATGCCCTGCGGAGACACGTGGCCGCCGAGACCTTCGTGGGCGTGGAACACCCGGTACCTCAATCCTATGGTAGCTGAACATGGGCGCCTGGAATCTAATTGTATCGCAGGTCAATGGCTTAAGATGCCTCTCCCGCTTTGAAATGCATTGTCCTTTCCCTGTATTGAAGCAGGGTCCCAGGGTTGAGGACCAGCGAAGAGGCCGGGACGGGCAGCCGCTGAGACATGTTACCGATGTTGGCTTTCTCAGCTGGGACCCTGATCCGATTCAAGAGTTCCTCTACGAAGCCCACTTTTCCTTTGCTGTAGTAGGTCCCAACGAATGGGTTTGGACTGCATATTTCCTGGAGGACAGGTATTTCTATGATCCCAAAGACAGATACCTCCCCGAATACTTCGAGGATGGTCTGTCTCAGGAAGGTACTCCAATGGATCCCCTTTCAGACGGCGAACTCGAAGCGAACTTCCCCCTCTGGTCGCATCGACACTATTTCCTGGCCATCGTACTATCTCGTACCGGACAGGTCAAACGTCACTGGCAGAAGGCTGCCTCAAGAGTATGGAAGAGCATCAAAATCTACAAAACGGTTAGTACTCGGTACGTCTGGTTATAGCACAGCCACCCCATGCTCCTGATTTCCTTGGCCAAGAAGAAGCAGCCAAGGCATATTGGGGTTCAGTCTATGAGCGAGAGCCCGGGGGTGAAACAGAGGTTCTGTTTTCGCATGGCTCACCGAAGCTAACTTCCGGACTAGAAGTATCACTCTGCTATATCCCGTACGAATGAGCAGAATGGAATGCCCCATTCGCAGGATTTTGTCCGAGAGCTCCATAAGTCGTCATCTTGGGTCCGACACATCCGAGACTTGACGATGCAATTGTCCCTAGGGATCACGGAAGTCGTGGAAGCCCACAAATTCATCAACCAACAAACGAATATCTTCCATGATCTAAGCGAGGCGGAGCGGCGTCTCTTGGCCGCCATTGAGAAGTTAGTGGGCGAGTTTGAGAAGCTCCAAAGGCAGTTCAAGAACATGGAGAGGTATTGTGAGCTTTACCTGAAGGACGTAAGTACTGGAGCTGGACTCATTCTGGAGGAGGAGCCAGCCACCCCATGGCTGAATTGTGTCTGCGTGGCATGTCTGCTCACAACTAACACCTATTCATGAGCACAGCTTGACATCTCCCTCATGCTCCAATCAAATCGAGCAAGTGATCACAGCAAAGGACTGGCAGACGTCATGGTGGTGAGTCATCTGGCCTCCATTGAAGAAATGAACTTACCAAAGCCCGCAGAAATGGATGACCCCCATCGACTTGGCAACCGGATTTTTCTCCATGAACGCAAAGGTACTGCCTCGGTTTATACCCCAGACTTCGGTCTCTTTCTTGTGCATCCTCGTCATGTTCCTTGGCCTGGCTTACTCTTGTATTCACTTCCAAGCGGAGAGGGCGGCCGCATCACTCGGAGTCGCGAGGCAGAAGATTATGGCAGCAACTCCTAGCCTACGTATAGCTCGGCGGAGGGGTCTGGAGGATTTGGAGACCGGCGAAGGTGAGCAGCATGTATGAAGACAAGCATTCACATAGGCTTGTTTGCCACCGTCAGAGCTTCCTGATACAATATGTGATCCTTGCGGAAATACTGTTCTCTAGACCGAAAGAAGGGTACGCAGCGGGCTGTTTGCAATGATAATCTGGTGAACTCAAACCTCCCTTCATCTGCATCTCGAGAGGTTGTTGTCAAATCCTGCAACCTGCCCAATGCTGCGGATAACCGCACGCCGATGAGTCCAGGTTCTGACACAGTTCTCTGGGTAGCGAACCAATAGTCAATGCACCCCAAACTTGAACGGGGCATATTCGAGCAAACGGGGCACCACTCTCGGCGACGGTGCGCTGAGGGTAAGCCGCTTCTCAAGCATCGTCTGGCTACGCTCCGGGTCACGGAGGCTGCGGGCATGAGGCCAGGACTCGCAGCGCCAGACCATGAGCCAGATTTTCCCTGCAGCATTTTCGAACCCAGTGGACCCCGATCGCCCCGATTTGAGGCTCACAAAGTGTGCATATCATAGCATGACCTGTGCCCAATGCGCTCGTGGTGCGTTGTCAAGTATACCGACTGACGACCATTGATGCCCGAACCCCTAGTATACCGACTGACGACCATTGATGCCCAAACCCCCACCGAAACCAGGCCACAGTTGATTCGCTGCCTTATTTGCTGAGAGGATGTTAAGTCATTGAAAAGTAAGCACATCGACATTGGATGAAGGACTGCTCGTCTTCTGCCTTGGTCCCGTCTATACATGCGCCCGATAGCGGCGTCCAACAATACCACAATACCACCACCATGTCAACACTGTCTTCTGAGGGCATTCAAGCTGTGCTTGAGGGGGTGGGAGTACACAAACCGGTCCCTTCGTTTGCAGGCGCTGATATAGAGGCCACCCCGGGCGATATATACGTCTCATATCTTGCAGCAACGTTATGCGAACTTACGGGATGCGCGCCTACTTGCGCTTACGACTCCATCCAGTGGGCGACCGACGTTGGCGACCTTGTGGTGGTCCTCCCCCGACTGCGGATTCCGGACGCTGACCTCAAAGTACTGTCTGATCAGCTCCAGTTCAATGTGAGTTTCCTGCTACGCAAATTGCACCCCCCGCCAACAGTTAAACTCACAACGTCAGTTCCCGGAGACGCCGCTGTATGACCCTCCATTCGCGGACGGGATCAACCTGCGACTCTTCGTTCACAGGTTTACACTGGCTCGACTTATTTTGCCTTACATCATCGACCGCGGCTCTGCTTATGGAAAACATACGGCAGATGGACTTCGTGATGCCAATTCCCCGGACACGGGACGTAAGAAAGTGGTGGTTGAATTTTCCTCACCCAACCTTGGCCAGGAGTTCGACGGGAACCACCTGCGGAGCACCATCATCGGGACCTACATTGCATCCATGTACGAAAGTATGGGGTGGGATGTGTATAGGATGAACTTCCTCGGCGACTGGGGTAAAAATATCGGCCTCTTGGCCGCAGGATGGTCGAGATTTGGGTCAGAAGAGCTCTTCACCGCTGACCCACTAAGGCATCTGCTCGATATCTACACGAAGATCAAAGAGCTTTTCACAACCGTACAGCAGGCGGCGAAGGTCGAGGGCGCAGAAAAGCAGCCGACCCCTATCAGCGAGGAAAGAGATGCATTTTTCAAGAAGATGGAAGACGGGGATCCCGATGCGGTGGCTTTGTGGAGACGGTTCAGGGAGGTTTGTGTTGCAAAATATGCCGAGGTCTACGCGCGCTTACACGTCGATTTCGACGAGTATTCCGGCGAGTCGGCAGTCCGCCATGAGACAACAGTCGAAGTCGAGAAGGCGCTAAAAGAGTGTGGCGTGGAGGAAGATGGCGACGAAGCTTGGATCATCAACTTCAAGGGCCACGGACACAAAGGGCTCGGCACCCCGATAGCGCGGCACCATGACGGCACAACAAGCTATCTGCTAAGAGACATTGCTGCCGTGCTAGAAAGAAGCCGGAAACACTCGTTCGACAAGATGATTTACGTTGTCTCGGCCAAACAAGACTCCCACTTCCAGCAGGTCTTTAAGGCATTGGACCTTATGGGTCAGGCCGACCTTGCTGCACGGCTCCAGCATGTTAACTTTGGAAAGTCGCAAGGGCTGTGTCCCAAACCCGGTGCCAGTGGCCTTTTATTAGACGATATCCTGAATCAATGCCAGACTGCAGTATTGGAATTCATGCAGTCCCACGCAGACGACTTTGCCGGCGTGCCACCTGAGGACCGTCCAAAAGTAGCAGATGGGCTCGGTTTGACGGCGCTGCAGACCGGTGAACTGCTTAGCAAACGCTCCGGGAGCTTCGTGTTTGACCTATCCAATATGGTCCAGCAGGATGGATACACTGGGCTGAGCCTACAATACTGGCTGGATCGAGCCAGATCGGAGGTTAAAGGCCCCGATCTGGATCGATCCCGCCTTATGTCGGCAGACTACACGATATTTGAGGAAGACGCTTACATACCTGTGATTGATGTCCTGCGGGTGCTTGTGCAATGGCCGGGGATTGTCAAGACCTCGTTCCGCACATTGGAGTCTTCTGTCGTTTTGACTTACCTATTTCGTTTGGTCGATCTTCTGCCTGCGGCGTGGGAAGTCTTCGATCCATCACAGCAGGGAAAAGAGGATGAGGACGGCGAAAATGATGAGCAAGTGGATGGACTCGGTGTGACTGTTGACCGGACCGAATGGGGGTCCAATAAGGGAGAGTCTTCGTCCGACGCCAAGCCAATGCAAACGTGGACGAACAATTTGCGAGCACCAAGAAGTCAGGGAGACGCCAAAGAAAACGACCCCAAACTCGATGGATTCATGACAAAAGAGTACAGAAATGACGCCCATGACAGTCGGGACGAGGCTGAGTCAACTGCACTTGATGGACAGCTTCAACAAGAAGCAGAGAACCACACCCTTGCAGATTCCGACCACCATGCTGGAGCGATTGGGGAGGCCGAACAGGGTCCCATGGACGAAAATCACGGCAACGTAGACGACGACGACGACGACGATGACGACGACAACAACTTGGAGGGCACTGGAAAGGACAAAGGGAAAGCGAAAGCGCCCGAGGACGCTGATGAGAACTCCTCCTCCTCCTCCTCCTCCTCCTCTACCACGAACGCGGATATACTGAAGCTGGCCTTCTTCCAATGTGTCGGGCAGGTTCTGGAGAATGGGATGCGAATCGTGGGCCTGGTGCCTGTCCCTGCCTGAGGACTTTTCACAGGGATTCTGCTCTCAGTGAGCTTTCCATTTTGTGTCACGAGTGGTTGAGAGAGATTTTTTTTTTTTTATTTTTTTTTTATTTTTTTTTTTTTTTTGAATGGGTGTACTTTCTGATTCATTTGATGTACTGAGGTCTGTGACATTGGTATCTCACTCCCCACCCAGCTTCGAAGTCACAAATCACGGCCTATAAGTTTGTGATTGGTATTGCGAGAAACAACTACGACTAGGACGAGTGTGCTTATCACTATTGACACTGAAGACAATACTGCGTATTTACATCATTTAGAGGTCCGGGAAGTATGGACTGCAATTACTGTGCCCAATAACCTGTGAAGTACAGTAATGTGTACGTGACAATAGTACACTCCGCACACAACAGTTGTCAACTTGGAAGTTTTGAGGTTTTTGTTACATGTCCATTGTGCCCACGGGGACACTGAAAACGCCTCATCTAATAAGTCTCCCGCCCTCAATGCACTCACAGCGCCGACAAGCCCGTGGGTGGCTTACATTCACTGTTCAAGTTCACTCTGCAGGTTGTACAAATTAATGTCCAACGTAGTGAAACCGGACCGGACCGAAGCGAGCCGAAGCGGGCGAGCGGGATGATACCTCCCATGGACACACTGACAGATGACCAACCGTGGCCGTGTTCGGGCACCAAAAAGGGCGAAAAATACGAATAAGGCGACGGCGGCCACAGCAATGGCAATAGGAAATGGCAATAGCAATAGCGATAGTAACAGTAACAGTATCAGTATCAGTATCAGTAACAGCAACACATGCATATGGAATAGCAATAGCAGGCCTGATCATCATCTTCTTCTCCCCAGGACAACCCCCCCCCCCCCCACCCACTCCTACTCCACTTCCCAACCCAGCACGGGCAGTGCAGTGGAGTACTATTTATTTATTACTGCTACTAAGTAGTCCCGTAAACGTCGTACATTTACTGGCAGTACGTAAACGTACTCGGCTGTCTATCTGAACAGCTATGAAGCTATGATCTAACTAGAATTCAAGTGCACGACAGGCGGTCCGACGTAACTGGCAAACGGTAGGGAGGACACACACGAACTTTGTGTGCGAATATGGTGCGATCCGAAAGGGAAAGATTCCTAATGGACTGATGATCGTATAGGCAACTCACTATCTGTACAACTTGTGCAATGAACATAGCACGTGCTGAAGTACCTAACAATGGACACGACAGACCTGCCCAGGTAACAGGTGAGGTTTTCACTGGCAGGCGAGAAGGAAAAGGGCTAAAAGGCATCTGTGATGCATGTGTTGTTTCGAACTCTTTCGTTGGGGTGGTGTGGTGGGTGACCGCAGTGCACAATGACAATGACAAGCTGTGCCACGTTTCATCATCATCATCATCATCATCATCAAACGGCAGAGCAGAGAGCGAGGCCCGAAAAGGGAAGCTTGGAGGGAAGGGAGGAGGGAACGGACGGACGGACGACTTTCGGTTGGTTTTGATTGAAACCAATGATGGCTGTTCGCTTGTGGCTTTGGGCATCTATCGCTAGGTTCCTAAGGTAGGTAGATGTAGGTATTTCAAGGCAGGAATTGTAAATGGATGCCTTGGATTTTTTTGGTCGGTCCAGGGTATCAAAATTGGGTTGAATTGGCGAATGAATGTGACGAATGGAGATGATGCTACCGTCCTACAGCTATTCCGCGCCGCCTGGGCCTGAGTGATTAAGTACTGTGCGTGCTGGATATGTTATTTATTGGTGTTGGTGTATCTCGTGGGGTCGTTGCTTGAGCCAGCTGCACGGTCGGGAAAGGAAACGGTGGTATTCACCAGAGTACATGCACGTACACCTTATTCCAGAACTGATTGATGAGTGAGACAGGGATGCTATATGGTTAGATACACAGCTGATGATGATGATGATGATGATGATGATGACGGGTATATAATCCATCCTCATTCGACACATTCAAGGGTTCTGCTGCCCAGCCAGAGAAGCACGCCGGGCCCAACTCAGCCCTGGCCAAACCAAGGAGCCTGACACGCCTCATGGCTGGGAGATTCCGTCAACTAGTGTATAAATTGAAGAAGCAACATCTGGTCACTCCATCCCCTCGCCTTTCAATCCCTGCAGGCCATGTGATGCATGGACAGCGCAAAGACGCGATATGTGTCTACCAAAATCGTGCCCAAAGAAATAGGAGCATCACATGGCTCGCCCATGCTATTGGAAGTCAACAGCTGATCCAAGCGAGAAGGCAACCCCCTTCTCTGAGCGAAGCTGAGCCAGGCGAGGCGAATAGACTCGGCTCGCCAGTCCAGCCTCACTGCGGTGCGACCACTGAAAGATCGCCACGCTTTGGGACGGCACAGCGACAGGGGATCATGAGGATGTCTGTCTGCAGGCTTGATCCTCTGGTGTGTTTCTGCCCATGAACAGATGAATCACTGGATCAATCGATCAATGCGGCTCTGCGGATTGGGCAGATGCTGGAAGGAAGGGCTGCTCGATGTTTTCTGTCTTGAGCGCTCCCTCTTTCTTACAACATGTCTGCTATTTTTCGATTCTCCTCCTTTCCTTCTTTCTAAAAGCACCACTCTGAGTGAGTCAGTGTGTTGCGTATAGTGGTGTTGAAACTCGCATCAAGCGGAGGGTAGGCCCAGGAGGTGAACAAATCATGGAGCTAAAGCACCGACGGCTTTACCTGGAGTGAGTGCACCCTCGGTTTGTCTGCCTTAAATTGCTTTGATTCCGGCCAATCAGTCTTGGTGTTGGCTGAATTTCAACCGTCACACTAACAATTCGACAGATGGTGTCAAAGTACGCCGATCAAACTGGTGGTGGATCGAGAAGACGCGAAAGAAGAGAGCGAGCATTTCCTCATTCCAAGCCAATTTCTCCGCCACCGGTCCCGAAAGTTCCGTGAGTTTCTTGACAAGCCCGAGGAACACGCAGATGGACCGTATCTCTTGTACCCCGTCCATGACACCTCTGTGCACACAATGGAGGACTTCTTCATATGGACTTTCTCGCCGCAGCCAGAGATCGATCAGGGTGCGTCTTTCGACGACGTTGTCCAGTTGGGCATTTTGGCTTGGAAATATCAGATCCCTGCCCTCAATAACCAGGCTACAGATCTGATTCGGACCAATCTTGCTAACGGGGAATGGGCTCTCCGAGCCCCGACGGTGGACGACGTTTACGAAGCCTCGCCGCCCGGTAGCCCGCTGCGTGAAGTCGTGCGCGCCGCCCTTGGTCGGTTTCGGTCCAGCGTCGAGGAGCAGGGCGCAATCCGAGAGGAGTGGCGTCAGACCATGGTCAAACATTCCCAGCTGGGCGTCGACTATCTCGAGGCCACGCTCTCAGAGTGGAAACGCCAGAGTTATTTGGCTGGCGTGTGCCGATTCCATGATCATCAGGGCGTCGATCAGCAAAACGGCACGCTCGCTGATGGATGTCCGTATGCTCGAGAAGAGTGCTATCCGACATGGGAGAACGAGGAGGAGGAGAAATATCAAGAGCCAAAGCTAAAGGAAGCAAAGAAAGCACAGGATATGGGTCTGCCCAACGGAATTCCTAAAGATGAGAAGAAGGAAAAGCATCACGAGCCTGGTGATGCACTTGTGCCGCAGATAAATGGACGAGCGGGAGTCTTCGCGGAAGACGCGCCCCCGACCGACGTGGTTGCGGCCGAGTATGATACGCCCACACCGCCAACTGGACAGGCTGCGATCGACGAACGCTTCTACGACTCAGAAGAGGCGGAGCGTCGACAACCCATTCCCGAACCAGTTGAGAGAGGGAAACGGATTTCAAAGAAAACCAAACATGAGCCCGCTTACCGTGAAGACGCTTCTGCCCGCAATGGTGGAAGCCCGAGTCCAGCTGGCGCTTCTCCAATAGTGGAGCATCCTATTTACAAGGCTGTGCCAGAGGAGGTCCAAATGGATCATTCTCCATCAGCAGAGGGTACCGGAACAGGACCGGACGAGTCCACCGCAACCCTCATGTCTGATTCCGCCGTCGAGGAAGTGGACGGTCCTTCGACTGTGGAAGCGGTGAGCATCCCGTCGAATGAGAAGGCCATTGAGCCCTCTGCACCACAAACAGCGGTAGAAGCCAAGAGTCTGGGGTCCGGAAAGAAGAACAAGAAGAAGAAGAGGAACAGTGTCAGTCAGCGAAATTGATCGGGAGGTGGACTGTCAGGCCAAGATAGATTGTCTGGATGTGTGGCTGGCAGGGGAAAAGCACATCAGAATATCAATGGTCATTTGAGTCGTGGCGGAGCGTGAGTGTCCATGACCGTGAAGTGTTGTTGGAAGCTTCATTCGTTGTCCATGGGAATATTAGTTTCTGTGTGATGTGCTCTCTAGGATGGCCAAAATGGGACAAAAAGTTCACATACCAGCACAGTGGCTGACACCTTTCTTTGAACACCGGCAGTATATTCTGTTAAACTGGACGTCCAAAGAAGGGTATCAGCCACTGGGACGCTTTTCCATGTCGCTCATTCGGTTCAGGCACATGCTTGCTAGTCGCTCAGAACTGATCAAGTGGGCATGTACCCCTGATTGCGAGTTCGCTGCGTACTAGTAGTCCTCTGGCCGTTTGGCGGCACCTCTATAGGTGCCTAGGTAGTAGGTAGGCTTCCCTCCGGCCGAGTCAAAAAGTGTAGATGCACGACCTGTCAACCCCCGCACAATGATTGCCGCAATATACGCGCACTACAATGGTGCTTGATCGACAAAGGTGAAATCGAGTGTCTCAAAGCCATCTTCCACAATATGGGCCATGCGCGCCTTAGGCCTTGGTGGTCGACTGGAAGACTTTTCTGCCGCTGCTGTCCTTCACCCACTGACTGAGCGCAGGGCGGGAGCAATGGGGAAGCTCTCAAGTGCCGTCTTTCGTCTGAAATTTGTTCCTGTTGCCGCGATTTATTTGATTGCCTGTGTCGAGTCTAGAGTTCAGAGCAGTATCCACATGCCTTAGCCATGACGTGGTAGTTGGAAGCAAGTCCTCTCCCTTGGGCAAGCAATCCGCCCCGTAGACACGTCAATCCATCAGTGGCCGCGCCATCGTGTACTGGCTTCGAAGTCAACATTGTGTTATTAGAAGGGGAGAGGCCATCCTCTGCTCCTGAACCGCCGGCTCCACGGGTGCTGCAGCCTTACAATTGTACCGTCGGCCTTATGCAAGCTGTGAGTGATGTTCATGCTGCCCCCGGAACCCATATATTGCAAGGTTGACCGGCAGGTACAATCGTAAAAGGCCAAAAGATATTCCAATTTCTTCTCTGTCGTCCTGCGGTTCACGTAACTTGCCTGATCTTTTGTTTCCATACTCTCACGGGTTTCGAGACGATGATGCATACACCCACCAACCGATCGGGTATCGTCGACCCAGAGGCTGCCCGTACAGCCCCATCAGTTCAAGATGAAGGCCCTGCACAGGCTCAACACGTAGGAACAGCTGGACCACCGCCGTCCGGTCGAATGACCGACTTCTCCTGCGTGTATTTCGGATATGGCTCCAACCTGTCGCCGCGAACCATAAAGCAACGGTGCCCAGACTCATTGTACATCGGCCTGGCAGACCTGAAGGACTGGAAGTGGATCATCAATGAGACCGGGTATGCTAACATTGTCCGGTCTCCTGGCGATGTCGTCTACGGTAGTCTGTGCTTCCTCAGCCGCCGGGACGAAATGGCGCTCGATGAAAGCGAAGGGGTCCCATGGCTATATGAAAAGATGGAGCTTCCTGTCACACGTCTCGTGGCCGATTCGGGCCAGTCATCAGATTGGACGCAAGGCGGCAATAGCCTGCAGGTGACGGCAATGACGTACGTGGACGTCCAGCGTATAGCGGTAGGCAAGATCGAGCGCGAGTATGTTGTCTGGGTCAGGAAGGCGATTGAGGATGGTCGGTTGGCGGGCATGCCAGCATCGTATGCGGAAAAATACATGGCCCCGTTTATGCCGAGCGAGGGCGAGGGAGCGAAGCTGGAGGACATAGTCATGATCAGAACGACCAGGTTCGGAGAACATTCTGCGGGAATCGTGCCGCGAGGCTTCGCGAGTTGGAATCGTGGATAGCCCCCGGCCTAGAGTGTGTTGTGTTGTGCAACTCATTTTGGGCTGGCGGTCGCCATGTCGGATTGCGTCCGATGTATGGAACTGTAAGACAGCGTCAAAATTGAAGGTCACTGTCCAGTGTTGGGGCCGTTCAATCAGTCAACCAAACCCGCACCTATCCGTAGTATGCTCGCCGATCGCAGTTCGAACCATGTACACCATCACCACAGGCCCCAAGCGCTTCGGCTGAAGAAGCAGCCTGCAAAGACTCGAATTTGTCACTCACCAACATGGCTGCCTTACGGCCTGATTGTCGAGCGGTTATGCGTGCGCATTTTACTCAGCCAATGAACCAATCTATGAACATCTCTACCACGAAGAAGAATCTTCGCTCGCCTTAGTAGAACATCGCCAGAACTGATTGCTTCCACAACTGCTGATAGCAAAGATCAACATGGCAGAATCAACCTGTCCGGTTCCAGCCCCTTAGACATTCCGCGCAGATGAATCCTACTGCAACGCTGGCCGAGGAGAATAATGATGGGGTTGACACGACGGAATCTGGTCAGACAGCTTATGCGGTATCCTCGAGTGACTCTCCCGGCCGCACCATCGAGGAGGATTCGGCCCTTGATCCAGAAGCATCAAGGAACAGCGTGGAAGTGCCGGGCAGTATTTCGAGTTCGTCAGCTCCAGCAGAGTTGGAGACGGACATCAGCAACAACCCTACAGCCTCGCCGGAGCAATCACAAGCGGCATTAGATGCTGCGTGTTTTTGCTCAGAGCCCACCAGCCCTCCTTGGAAGTCAAGCACTGAAGAAACTCGGAGCCGTGGCATTCTGGACCCTTGTGATAGCGTTTCCTATAATTTGTGGATGTCTTGGTTTCATCGGTTTCTTCTGGTTTGCTGGTGCCGACAACGATACTTGGCGTGGGATCGTTGTCAACGACCATTTTGTTACTGTGGTTACCGCCCTGTCCAAAGGCTTCGAAGAACAGGCATACAACTTCAGATCAGCGTCATTAGTGCTATACTTGCGGGAATCCTTCTTGAAGGATCCCATGTGGCGCTCACAGATGTCGCCAACGTGTCGCTCACTCGATGGAGCGGCGGCGTTGTCACATTGCTCCTGAATCTATGGCGGCAAGCAAGTCACTCTGATCGTCCAACGACAGTGCTGCATAAATCGTCGATACTGCTTTTGATGACTGTGGCTGCTACTCTCATAGCTTTCTCACAATTGGTCACCATCCTTCTCAATAGGAACCTACGTCTCGAGCCTCTCGCAGGCTTCAATGTCAACGGTACAGTACTATACGACTTCACATCGGCCGCACATCCTGGCAGCGGTTGGAACACGAGGCCCTCACTGTTTCCAACACTGCTGAATACAGCAAACCCGGCGTCGAGCAAACTAACGTCAAAGATACAGGCCCTTATCTTCGTGCCTTCCTGCCATATTCATCGGAAGCCAGCCGACAGAATATACACTCTTATCGAGGCCTCGCTACAGTCATCGACACGCGGGTAACGTGCCAGAAGCCTGTGCTGGTAGGTCTCAATCTTTTCTACGATGCCGCAACGACCGGTCTCCTTGTTACTGGGTCTGTTGGAGCGTCTCAAGACACGCCAAAGTTGAATAATCAGACAGTCGTGACGTTCCCATTTGAGGATCCACTGGGACCCAATGATACCTTTGCGTATGACCTCCCCGTTCCCTTCCTCTGTGTACTACCTACGCTGGAGATTTTGAACCAGTGGCGCACAGTATTGTGTTCATTACCAGAAGACGGGAATGAGGGCTATTCCGGCGGCCTTTCGAGTGAATTCGCATCGCCCACGACAACCAATCTTTCTAACGGATACAACTGGAACATATCGTCGAACTCCCAGAATCTGGGTCAGGCATATCTGATGCTGAATCTCACAACAGGATCACAAGCACAATGGGCCAAACAGCTGGCCTCGGACCAAAATGCTCTTGATCACCCGCCTGAAGGTTATCGAGATCGAGATGAGTGGGTGGATATGTTTTACTCCAATGGCACTCTTGCATTGAGTATAACGCTCTGCTACACCTCCTTTGCGACTGCCAATATGCCTGTGCTGGTGTCCAGCAACATGAATCGCACAGAACCCATCCCGCCATACGAGAAGTCTACCTCCAGTTACAAGTATGACGACGTTCGCATGCAATTGGGTCAGAGCAACAATACAGTACACTCATTGCCGACGCCAGAAGAGCGCGGTATCCTTACATTGAGCAGCCAGCGTGATTCATGGCTGGCGCATCCCTCGGAGTTACCAGCGCAAGAACCCTGGTTAAGACAGTACTTCAATGTCCCCGGGAAAGTCTACAACGAGAACGGCTTCGCTGACCAAAGCGCCAATTCCACGGTCTTTCTATTCGACGGGGAAGCACTAGACCAACCGGGCGGCAACACACTCCAAGCTGATTCAACTCTAGTCACATTGTACCAAGAGATTGTCACAGCCAGTGGTGGCTCGGTCGCTTTTGCATTGCAGAGTCTATGTACGGTCATGGCTGCGAATGTCTACTACCTCAAGCTGCCGGAGTTCGACGCCCGTTCTGTCGTGCAACGTGCAGATTTCAAGATTGTCAATCGACCGATGCAAGCATGGGGTTTCTTCGTCGTGCTAGGCATGGTGATATGCCATTTTATTATGATCGGCATCGTTCTATGGTTCTTTTTCCGCCAGACCAGATATACGTATCTGGGACAGGCTTGGATGACGGTTGCACAAACCGCTGGTGGTGCCGTGTTGGAAGAAGAGATCCTGGGAGAGGTAAAACAACATGGAGGACTCATCACTGACACACATATAGACGAGATTCTAAAGCGGAAGGGTGTCGAAAACATGCCTGTTCGCCTGCAACAGCGGCCAAAGGAGGATTTGAATGGCGACAAACCAACAGTTCCAACAGGGCCGGACTACCCAGAAGCCTCCTCAGGACCAGAGATGGTTGGATTGTGTCTCTCGTGAGCAGGTAGATCGGAAACACCAGTACTAGTGACGGATGTGATGCTAAAATGATGCTTAATTCTTTAGGTAACCTTTTAACCATCAATAGATACGCGCTAGTACGCGCTAAGATATGATCAGATAACGAAACTCTTTACCCGGCCTCCGACTCGCGTTGTTTGGGAGAAGGCTCCCTTGATGTTTGTTGATTATTGGCTTCAGCCAGTCGCGCAGCATCCACTGCCAGGCCAGTCCGAAATGCTCAAACAATCGTACCTATACATACCCAACTCAAATCTCATAGTCACAGGCCACATCATAGACACGGCATAGTTTTCGATGCAATACTAGCGATACCACTTCCGTCGACGTCGCGTGCGCGAGAATGCTCGCCAACGAAACGGTCCTCGAAGCACCCGTCACCCCAGCCCCGGTATTCGCATACCGGGCGTTGAAAGGCTTCTTCATCTCCTCACCCGACTCCTCGCCAGACCATGACAATAAAGAGAACGTCCACCCGGATATCAAGACATCGCCTACCAAGATGGATAATGGCCAGCAGCGGCTTCAGCTGACGCCGTCACACAAGCGGAAATGGGACAGCGTGAGAACGGGGACAGTGGTATCGCCCACGAAAGGCATCCTGCGCACACCAGGGCTGGTGACGCCTAGGACCAAGGCCCTCAAAGAGCTCAATGTCAAGTTCAAGAGTGTGAGTCCAGAAGTGGTCGAGCAGCACAAGAACGTTGCAACTACACTTCCCGAAGCTGGACCGGATGACCATATGCGTCGAGTAAGCCAGGATGGGTTCAGCTCTGGCCGTGGAGCACAGCACGCCATGAAACCCTCGAAATCTATGGACAACATCCCGAACAGCCAACCTACGGTCGGAAAGGGTTCTCTCCGGTCCTCATCGCAACAAAAACAACCCGCCAAAGTGACGCGGTCTATAGACAAGTCAACGTCCTCGACGACATCTACGAGCACGACAACGGCCGAGACACTACTGTCCCCTGATGCCATCCAGGCGTACATGCAACAAACGGAGAAAGAGATGAAGCGACTATTGCGGTATAACCAGAAGATGCGCGAATATGCACGCAAGAAGGACGCGGAGAACCAGGAACTACAGGCCATGATTGAACAACTTCGGAAGGAAAATGAGCGCTTCCGAAGCGGACTTATTCCTGGTGCACAGGGTCGGGAGGACCATGTTGGTTTCGCCAGTGCCAGTGCAGAAGTCAGCCGCAGCCAGGGAACAGATGGGGGCCATACTACGATTGGCAAGTCTACACAATCGAATCCGACAGCACCCACTCAAATCAGACAACCTTGTTCGCCATTTCAGCCGTCGAAGAACCCTGGTCCGGTCGAGCTGCGGGAAAACATGGACATGGGTCTTGGAAAATCCGACAATGTTCTCGCAGCCGTTGGCATGGCTACTGCCACCAAAAACACAGACTTGTCATTCGGTGTACGCGCTCCTCCAGCTACGATAACTGGTCAAGGCACGGTGTCACTGGCTGGGGCAGAATCCGAAGCAGGAGCACCATCAGGACCCGAAGTAAGGTTAGGAGGAAGCACCCGCCTGCCTCCTGATCGATTAGCAGCAGCTCGCGAGCGGCTCCGTCAACGTGCGGAAGCGAGGAAAACAAGTGCCTGCGTTACCAATGCCTCTGTCAAGAATTTTTCCTCCTGCAGGGACCAGGCTGACGAAGGCTCGGGAGCACTGGGCCAAAAGCGAGAGTACTATCACGAGCTAATCAGAAACGAATCCCATAATCGAAACCCGGAGCAGAACCAGACCCAAATCAGCACGCATCTTGAGGTCCACAGCCGTGATCAGAGTCAAGTCGACTGGCTCGATCTCTAAGCGAAGAAAGCAAGCAAGCATAACGGCAGCGAGAACTCACAGCGCGACTCGTCTCTGGCGGCCTTGGGGCTGCATATGGGCATGCAGAGCATGGTGTGTGTGCGCGTGTATCACATCTGGTTGCGGTCCAACTTGCATGGTCAAATCCTCAGGTTGTGTACCACCACCTTTCTGTGTGCTACCGTCATGCATGTATCACCATGACCTTATTCACCTTGACAAGCCTCCTCAAACAAGTCGATGCTCAGCAGGGCGGTCAGTCAAACGATCAGTCCAGGCTGAGAAGTGAGAAAAGTGTTGTTGTGGCCGCAGAATGCTGGGTTCACCCCGCCAACACCCAGGATCAAGATTACATACATTCAGAATTCAGCTGGGGGCAGTCCAAAATTTGAGCCACCCGCCCATTCTATCCTCGACGTGGCTGCAAACCCGCGCGAGATTTCTGCTGTGAACCAAAGCAGAAATTCCTACCGTGACCCTCGGCCAGCTTGAGTTGAATAGTGATTTGATCCTTCCTTTCTTGCTTACAGTTGGGCTGGATTCGGATTCGCTTATTACGGCATCCCGTCGCTGTACAGGATGAGTAATAGTCCAATGGATGGAACTGCAATGAGATGGAACGAGACATGAGACACGAAAAGGACAGGGCATCACGCGACAGGACAGCAGAGAACTGTACAGCACACTGCAGTCTAATGATGTTTCTTGGATCGGTGTTACTCTAGGTAGTGTGGCACGCTGCAGAACCTTCCGACCTCGGCAGGGTCTCCTGATATTTGTTGCCTTTGGCTTCAGATCCAGGTTCATAATTTGTTCGTTGATATGTACCTTATGATGATATGTAGGTACCTAGAGATAGACACCACCATGCTTGCAAGGAAGGCTTGGGCGAGAAAGTTTCTCTCAACCTGTGCTGTTCCCTGTTGAAGTGCGCCAGTCTATACTGGTACACATCTGCCGACAGTCATAACCGTCGGATTGTCCGCCTAGCTCTCCAATAACTGGGTGATAAAGTATACTGTCGTCTATGCTCTTCAAATGTGCCGCCTTTCGCCCTTCATTCAATTCCGACCCTGTCATGAAGTGCTTGCGAGGCCAGTCAGTGTATCTCTGACCCAACACAATGCTTGGCCTGTCCATGTTGTAAGACGGAAGAGAAGATGGGTCAACCAGCGTCCATAAGGTGAAAGCCGTTCCGTGACGAAGGTCGCTTTCATGTTAAGAGATGAGACTAGGGCCCAACATGATTGAAACAAACAGACAGAAAGGCCCTCAACCCAGACTCTCCTCATAGTTGACGGGCGGCTTAGCCTCGTCAGTTTGCGTGCTCTGCGCCCGACTGGGAGTAGAATAGCGAGCCTCGACGCGCTCTTCCATCGCCTTGGCGGCAGCCTTGCGCTTCTTCTCTGCTTCTTCCTTCTCGCGCATTTTGATGGACGAGTAATTCAGGGCCGATATGATCATGACTATTGTGGATTGTCAGTACTCAGTCACTGTCCATAACGAGCGACAACAACAACACAACAACAATACAACGTAGGAGTAAGCGAATATTTATTCGCTGAAAGCACAAGCAAAAAAGCGAGGATGGGTGGGTTAGAGAAGCGCAGGCGAGGGAGGTTTCGGTAGAACCTACAAGCACAGAACCCAATAGCCATGGCAGCACGACGAGTCAAGACCCAACGCAAACCCTCAACCTCGCTCTTTGCCTCGCTGTTCAGTAGTACAGTGATTTCATAGTTCAATTCCGAGATCTTGCTGTCAATCTTGCGTTTATCCTCCTGCAAGCGTAACTTGCGGTCGTTGAACAAGCCCTTCAGTTCTTCGCGGAGGGTCATGAGATCCTGAGTGACTTTTTGGTTCAGAATGTCGAACTCATGCTGCAATTGAGCCCGCTGGCTGCGCTGCTTCAACGTCTCGGAGTGTCGAGTGGTCTGCAGCGTCGTCTTCAACTCGGAGCATGCCGCGCGGAACAGGTATGATTCGTTCTCAATGTCCGACTTGGACACTAGTCCTTCCTTGGCCATGTCTAGGTTCACGGACAACATTCGTCGAATGGCTTTCATGAGCGTTATGGCTTGATCGACGGTGTAGGCGTTCTTCGCCGCCAGCTGCTGGACCAGACCGTACGTGTCGAAGTGGTGTTCGTATGGAGGCGGTTCCAGATGCGGATGTCTGGATGGGTCCTTGTTCTTCTTCATGTCTGAAGGCGATGGCATCGAGAGGACCATGTCTAGTTCCTTGTTCTCCAACGGACCCTGCTCTTCGGGCTTGATTTTATGGTTCTTGGACACCAAGGACGCTTCGTCAATGTAGTCGGACTCGCTGTTTGATTGTTGGGGTTCATCTTGACCTATTGACTCCTCTTTTGGCTCCGACTTCTTTGCTGCGGGCTGCTGAGAAGCGGAAGAGGACGACGAGTCCTGGCTTTTGCCTGCTTGCTGTTGTCCTTGCAGGCTGTCCTGGCCTTCTTTCTTTGCGGGTTTAGATGAATCGGACGGTTTCTGGGGAGGCGGCAAATGGCTTTCTGAGGCGGCTGGACCATATCGTTGGGGAACAGCATCTTGTTGCCTTCGGACTGAAGTGTGTAGTCTCGCCTTGCGCGCAGATTGCGCATTGTTGGCGGGAGGCGCTCGAATGGAGTGGTACGTTGTGGGCTCACATGCTCGCACCGCTCGAAAGAAATTCGGATATAGAAATGGCAGACGTGTGGTCGCCATTCTTCAAGGGTGCAGCTGGGTGCACTGAGCTAACAGGTACCGGTGCAGTGGTTGTGGTTATGATAGCGTTTCTCAATTCAAATCTCTATTTCCTCCATTGTAAGATGCGCGCATTATTGAACAGCACTACGTGGAACCCCAACCAAGTGTTCGTTGTCAGCCTGCGCGGCGGCGGTCATTGTTCGGGGGACGATATTATGTCATCCAAGGAGAAAAGTATCTCCGATCCGTCCGGCCACCATACCTCAAGTACCTAGGTACTGATTATTGAACTCTGAAAAGCAACTACACAGTACACAGCACACAGAAACCGACCATATCCCTGCGAGTAATCTGGGCAGATTTCATGCTACCGAAGGAGCAGAAGAGCGACCGGCCTCTTCGGCACTCCGAGAAGGAAGGATCTGCATCGTAAGGTTGCACGAGGTTTGGCCGTTTCATCCCCTAATTATTTTGACCCTGATATTGAAGGCGAGCAAGAGCTTTCCTCGGTGTGGCTGTATGTGCATTTCATATCAATAGGCAAGCGACCACATTCAAGCCAGACCGGAAGCATTAGACGTCCGAAATTTCGGCGGAAATACCTCAGAATCTTATCAAGCAGGGCTAGAAGATCGAAAGAGTCCGTCAAGAGCGGACGAACACTTGGGTTTCTCCTACTTCATCTCATCAGCTCAGCTTATGCACACGCAAGATACAGCCTTGTGGAAGGGGGCTGAAGTGGAGACACCCAACATGCAAGAGATCAGACAAGCAGACAGCACTGGCACCTCATCTGTGGGTAACGTCGATGACCGAGCACAAAGGCTAAAGCTGGTCAGGTACTGTACCTGGCTTGCGGTGGATACTATGCCGTCTTCCGACTACCACGTTCTGAGACCCGCTTGAAGAGATCCTGGCCAGCTCGAAGGACCTCCGAGCCGCCCTACAGAAGCTGAGTCTTCCAGAATCGCGGATCGAGACAAACCCTTGTCTCCCGGGCCTGTCGGTTCGGTAGTGATCCAATGACTGCGCAATTTAATCCCAGCCGGTGCCTTACAACCTTTTAGAGGCGGAATGGTCGGTCTGCTTGTTGTGCTTGCCTCATAACCATGATGGAACTAACCTTCAGGACGCTACAGGCATTGGCGATGCAATTGCATCATCTGTACAATTGGAACCGCAGTACCATTTAACGGGTATGATATAATTAGTCAGGTTCAAAGAAGAGGCAAAGAACAGAAGTCTGCGACTGATATGGTTTCGTGATTATTTTTGACTCTATTACACTATACGTGCAAGAGAAATGACAATGGATAAGACTCTCCCTTTAGACGTTGAAGTACTACTTCATTCTGTACATCGATGTTCTTAAAGAGCGGGTGAATAATTATCTGATTATCCCCGTGCCGCATCACCAACGACTGAACAGTTTTCAAGAGACCCTGCCACGTCGCTTGCACTTTGGTTTGAGATCTTCCCTATGCCAATGCATCTTCGGACATCTGGTCGTCCCGGGGAAATTCTCGTCACGCTTTTGCACTTTTTTGATCCCATTTCCGACTGTTCTTCGGATTGTTCCCACCTCAACCCAGCTGAGCGCCAGATCCTCTCGGACAAGTCGGGTAGTCTGCGGAATTTGCGTTGCTTTGCTCTCCTTTATGGCTCAAGCGGAAGGGCGCAGTGAGGGCGGAGGACCGCCCGGCTAAATATTTAGGCGAAGTACGTTTAGGCGGCCGATATCAGATCTCAGTTTTGAACCCTCAGATGACTGCTGACGGTGCGGGTATGGGCGGTTAGTGGCTCCCCACATGTTCAGCTCCCGACCGAGCTGCCGCCGTTTGCTACCCAAATAGTCAATTTGTTTACTTTGTGGGGTACCGATCTCGCTGGCGCTGACTTGGCCGACTCTGTCGGCAGATCAGAGTCGCTGTAGGATACCTGATCCAGCTGTCACAGAAGGAATGGTTTCAGGAGGGTATGGCTGCGAATACGTGGACCAAACCACCTTTGTATATGCGTTCTTATGTGTCAATCTGCGAAGGTGAAGTCTTCCCCTTGTCCCACCACACCAATCATTGTAGCTATCGCCATAAGCAATCCGGGGAATTGTGCTCCAAGCTGCATCAAGATGAGGAGTTGGCCAAGGATATCGCTTCGAGCCGTGGACCAACTAGGAGAAGAGTGTTGGCCCTAGCCCAGCAGCGGCCCCCATGCTTCCGCGGTCATCATGTCTAGGCCTGTCACCATCAGCCGTCAGGACTTGTCCAGTTGTAGTAGTAGTACACAACCTGCATCGGCTCTTGGGAAGCATTGGACGGAGGTGCCAAAGAAATGAGGGGTGGGGCAGGGGGTCGAGGAGGAAGAGGAACAGCAGAGGCTCGATGAACCAGTTCGCTCCGCAAGGAAGAGAGGGGCATTGATCGTGTTTGCCCAAGATTTGCGGACAAGTGTTTTGGCGTCGTCGTGATGAGGTCGAAGTTGAGAAGGAGGTGCGCCAGCCGTAACCTATAAAGAGTTGATGTCCGTCCAGAAGCAAACATTTCTTACCTTGTCTTTCAGCAGCCATTGCAGGTGTTTTACAGGAGGCATCGCAGTTGAACATCAATTGAGGTACGTACTACAAGTTGTGGTATTCGTACCCCTCGCACTGTGATTCGCGTCTTTGATTGGAGGATCGCTTCTCCGAGAAGGGAATCTGCGCCCATTGTCCCTCCTAATCCTCACGATCTCCTTATCGCCGGTATTTTCCCCATATCCAGCACCACGTTACATGCCGCGAAGCACCGGATAGCCGTCTGTCGGTACCTACGTCTATGTACCTAGTACTGTGGGCGGACTCCTGCTGCAGCCTGTGCTTTGGCGTTGGGTCCAAGGGTCCGTCCCAGGTCCTCAGGCGCCTAACGCTGCCAGTCCGGGTGTGACTTCACCACTTTGGGGGTCCGAGCCAGCACCTAGAATCCGCCGCGGTCGAACCCCTCCGCCCCTCTCTCCCGCCCTCAGACCATCATGATCGTCCTAATACCGATGCCCCCTGTATCTCAATGCCACATCCATCAATGCCGGGCTGCCGTCTCAATCAAGTGTTGAGACCGTCGGCTGAATCCACATGGACTCCAATTAATGTCTCCAATGCATGGCCCCAGCTGGGCTTTCTGACGTTTCAAACATGCTAACCATGATGCACGACACAGCAACCACATCCCCTTCAGGCTCAAAGCTCTGCCGGTCGAAGCCATTGAAAAGCAACCTGCCATCCTCCTCGACACCTTCAGTCTACCTCTGACTTGACTACCTTCAACCTTCGAGTCCATCCATCAATATCCTCAGTCACAATGGTATTTGCCCGTGCTGCTGCGCGTTGTCTGCCGCGCTCATCCACCTCCCTCTTTGCTACGGCTTCCCCGCATTTGGCCCGCCGCGCAGCAACACCCTCCATCTATTCCTCCATTGGCAAACGCACACTGACCGCAACTGCTTCTCGCCAGGGCAAAGTACTTCTCGTCCTCTATGATGTATGTCTACAAACTCTCCTCCTACAGTCGTGAACTTGTCTTGTCCTAACGTCCTCTAGGGCCATGAGCACGCCAGAGACCAACCTCGTCTGCTCGGTACCACGGAGAACGAGCTAGGAATCCGGAAATGGCTCGAAGAGAGGGGTCACACCTTGGTCACCACCTCCGACAAGGAGGGTGAGAACTCCACGTTTGACAAGGAATTGGTTGATGCCGAAGTCATCATCACCACTCCGTAAGATTGCTCCGAAGGTCATGTCTGGTAGGACCATCCTCTGATGTCACCACTTTAGTTTCCACCCCGGCTACCTCACCGCTGAGCGGTTGGCAAAGGCGAAGAACCTGAAGATTGCCGTCACCGCCGGTATCGGTTCGGATCACGTCGACTTGAACGCCGCCAACACCACCAATGGCGGTATCACCGTCGCCGAAGTCACTGGCAGCAACGTCGTCTCCGTTGCAGAGCACGTCGTTATGACCATCCTGACTTTGGTTCGCAACTTCGTTCCCGCCCACGAGCAAATCGAGAGGGGAGAGTGGAACGTTGCTGCTGTGGCCAAGAACGAATTCGACCTGGAAGGCAAGGTTGTCGGTACTGTTGCTGTTGGGCGAATTGGTGAGCGTGTGCTGCGCCGCCTGAAGCCCTTCGACTGCAAGGAGCTGTTGTACTTTGACTACCAGCCCCTGAAGCCAGAGGTTGAGAAGGAAATTGGCTGCAGACGTGTGGATGATCTCGAGGAGATGTTGGCGCAGTGCGATGTTGTCACCATCAACTGCCCGCTCCACGAGAAGACCCGCGGATTGTTCAACAAGGAGTTGATCTCCAAGATGAAGAAGGGTAGGTTTACACTCGAGTTGATTGCTTTTTCGTCATATGAGGCAAGACTAATAGTTTTGATGTCCAGGTGCTTGGCTCGTTAACACCGCCCGTGGCGCCATCGTCGTCAAGGAAGATGTCGCCGAGGCCCTCAAGTCAGGCCAACTTAACGGCTACGGTGGTGATGTCTGGTTCCCTCAACCAGCACCAAAGGACCACCCGCTCAGATATGCCAAGAACCCATGGGGAGGCGGTAACGCCATGGTCCCCCATATGTCCGGTACCTCAATCGATGCCCAGGAGCGTTACGCCGCTGGCGTGAAGTCCATTCTGGACAGCTACTTCTCGGGCCGTCACGATTACAGACCTGAGGATTTGATCTGCTACAAGGGTGACTATGCCACCAAGTCTTATGGCCAGCGCACCAAGAAATAGATGCACGTGGAAGATGTTGGACAAAGTGAACCAAAAATCCATGTGTTGATGAGATATGCATGACAAGGATTTGATGATGTCTGCAAATATATAAAAATTGAATATTCCGAGCTTGGTTCGGACAAGCACATACTACATTGACAGTCGACGCTCCGTTTCCATCTATGTCCTATTGCCTGCTACAGCGGAATGTTAATGAACCCTCGATCTAGATGTTCTCCTTGATGTAGCCCATTTCATGTCACAGCAACAAGTTGTACTGACGGTAGGCTGAGATATTTTGGTGTTTTCGGAACAATATTTAGTACCGGAAGCCTCTCAAGAGCAACGTGGGGTGTTCCCCGCCAAAACAAAAATCGATTTGAAAATAAAAAATCGATTTAGAAATATAAAAATAAAACGAATGTACAGTAATAAATACTACTGCTATTCATCCAAAGTACAGACAGGCCAACCGTAACAATGGAGCGCTGTCATCAACCTCAGGCTCTTTACATCCCTACCTTCAGGTTGGTGCCACATTGTACCTCACTTCTGACAGTAGTAGGACATGCTGCACGACAGGCAGGCAGATGGTAGTCCTCACGGTTAAAGAATTACGCGGAGCAATGCAATGGCTGCAGTGGTAGAAAAATCCCACTTTGGCCGGCAACGGCGTGAGTTGCCAATGTACGGCTATATGTCCAGCCTGAGGCACTGGTTGTATTGTGAATAGAATGCACTGCAGTGCTGGTAGTATTGATCGTATTCGCGGTCAAGATCGAGTTTGCTTACGCTCCATGTTGTCACGCAACCCGCGGGCTTATACAATACCTCAAGTATTCACCCTAAGCTGCTGTTATCACCCCGGTTAGATAGTGTCCGATAGTTTATCCGAAGATGGGGATAGCATTGATATTGTGTGTACTCAGGTTCGTGTGAATCTCGCAGTGTATGAAATCTCGCAGTAACCGACCACGCTCCTCAAGTTTGGCAGCACACCTCTTGACCATTTTCTGATTGCCATGGGACAGAATGGCGTTAGAACACGTCTCTTGACTCCAACCTATTCCCTCCAATGTAGTGGCACAGGAGTCGTGCCACCGATCGGTGGGGGAGGAACAGAGTAGCGGAGGGAGATGAGAAAGGTGGTTGGAACGCTGGTCTGGCGGACAGGCGCACGATCGTTCAGTCAGGGCGATCGTCATGTTGTGTCTGATGGATTCAAGTTCCTGAGAGATTCAATCGTCGAACTGAAGGAGCCATCTGGCGTCCAGCCAGATGATCTGAGTCAGAGTGAAATCGTTAACAGCCAGCCCCGAAGTATTGATAGGGCGGCGAAATGAGGTGAAGCCAAAGAAATGGTCTCGATCGTGCCGCTCCTTACTGGCAGTGAAGAGGACCTGTTTGGCGGTGATGGCTGAGGATCACCTAGGTACCTTAGGTACTATCAGTAGCAGTAATACCTACCTAGGTACCTTAGACTAGGTGTGCTGTGTGTGGTGTCCGGTGTACGGGGTAAGTGCTGATGGTTAGGTTGGGAGGGAGATGAACATTTACGAACTACCTAAGTCGGTAGGTATTTGGGTACCTAGGTAGGTGAGACGCATAACTCCTAGGTATCTCGCCTCCTGGAGTCTTGAATCGAATAGTACCTACTGTAGGTACTAGTATGGGTCTGCTAGAAGTCCAGCTTAGTAGCTTGCCGGCCTTTCGTCTCAGTAGTACACAGGTTGGCCGGGCCTGGCTTATAACTTATCTCCAGGTCTGCATGCTCACTGTATGATCAGACCAGGTAAAATCGATCTGAGAGGAGGGCAGACCTTCACGTCGTCTTGTGTTCAATGCGACAGAACCACCGACCTTTTCGATATTGCTTTAGATTTTCGAGGCTTGGAAAGCATAGCTTTAGCACAATAATGGGCTTCATTGGGAGCAATGGGCATTGAAGACTGGCATGGGTCTATCAGCACCCCTATACCACTAGTAGCATATGCCTACGAAACAGTGATGACTATGGACGAAGGGATTGAAGCTGTCTTAGTAATATTGAAGAAGCCGACAGGAGGATTCTGGATTCGTGTGCTCCAATAGTACCCAAGAAAAGTAATATGAGCCTAACGCACAGGTTGGCCATAACACTGATTGCTCAGTTGGAAATATTAGACCGGAAGAGGTAGTCCAGGAACAAGTCAAGTCGGCGCTCAATGTTTGAATGTACCAGCTCACGGCTCGAGGAGGCCAGACCTTGGTTTTGGACGTGTTAGATAGTAGTCCGAGAGAGTCAGCAATCAATGGCCAAAGGAGAACAAAGGGCGGAAGCCCAGGGCGAGCACATATGTATGTGGGATTCACGCCGGAGGGCTGTCTTCGACATGGCAATCTTGTGTTCCGCGCTATGCCTGCCTATGGGCTTCTTTGGGGGGAAGAAGCCGGGTGATAGACAATACTCGGAGCATAGATTCGAGCCTGCTGTACATAGGACGACCTGAGCAGCCTAGTCAGGCTGTATGCCATGGGTAGCGACTTGAGATAGTAGTGGTTTCTACCATAGTTACTATCTGGACTTCTCGAAGGTCCTGTCACACACATTTGTATCTCTCGGTTCATCGCCATGATCTCCCTTGACTCCCAGAGACGTTCAAGCAGTCCCGTCGAAATGTAGTGAGAGGGTGGCGCCTCAGGAAGGTACCTCGTCGCTGGACAGCAACCGAGTCATCAGGGTGTTTTGGCCTGTACACCCACTCTTTCAGAAAACCCTGAAGCACTAGTACTCTTGATCCTGTGTGTAAACTACTAGCCTTAGTCCCATCTCTTGAGCTTGAGCCTGTGTCCTGAGCTTTGATGTGGTATCGACCGGAGGGAGCGCCCAATACTGCATATAACGCCGAGTGTGGGTGGAAGAGGCTCGATGTCGACATCGTGACATGAACTGGCAGTCCAGATGGATCTGCTCGACCTTGTTCGTGGTATATAGAGCCTGGCTGTATGGCGAGAATGATCGTTAGAAGAACATACGTGTGCCTCACTTGCCGTCACTTGTCACATAGAAGTTTCCCTTGAAGCCTTGCTGCCATCAGACATGAGACAGGGACAAACTGCGCTAAAGCGCTTGCAGGCGCTTCGAACCGCAGGAGGCTGCCAGCCCCCCTTTGCAAGGCATGTTGGGGCCTGTAGGCATCCCTAGAACGTCGAGCAAGCTTGGAGCACGGTTCTATAGTCGGGCATACAAAGCTGCCCGGTAACTGCCATAGATGGTATGGGCACTGCTGAATACGCGTCGCAGGCATCAACCATGCCCTAGCATCGGACACCCAGCAGAGCTATGGAGCAGGGAGCTTCGCAGAACAAAGCAGTGTACTGGTACTACTAGAAGAGGTCAAGCAGCAAGAAGTAGACGTCATCTAATTTGCTTGAAGCCGAGCCCTCGTCGTCGCTTCACCATTCTGGAATAGCTCGTTCTGCAAGGTGACAGCTCTCACGTAATCCACGACGCCGTCGCTGGCGAGTATGATTGGTGGCCTTACGGGTGACAGCGACAATTCTATTCGGACCTCATTTGTCCCTTGATACATTCTGCCTTCACTCGTTGTCGTCCTGTACCTTCCTGCCGCCAGTATATCGCCAGTCTTTGGAGTGAGCGCGGTTTCCGGGTGCTGCTCACGTGCTCCTTCCTTCGGCCTACTCTGTCCTGTTCTGCTTCTGATCTGATCTGATCAGGACGTTGTACTCTGATCTTGATCAATCCAAGCTGGCCAATCGAAAAATTCATTCAGATATTGTCTCTGATCTGAAAAATTACTCCCAACCCTCCAATGGAGTGAGGGTGGCGGATTGAGTTTGCACAGGAGGAGACTGTAGGTTTTGCAATTGCGCGGTATACTGACACAGCCCCTTTGCCACATCCCTCTGAAGCTACGAAAACCTGAAATGCACACCCAACAGATTGCATGGGACTGAGGGCCAGCTTGTCCAATCTTGAGCCTGCATGGATTTCACGAGACGGCTGGCTGTTATCCGCAATCGTGGCTATGTTGAAGATGATCTGCAAAGAAGGTTCGTGTGGTCTTAGTACGACGCAGAACTGGCTCGCCAATTATGGATGCCGAAAATTATGAAGGCTGGAAAGTTTGATATTGCCCAGTGATGTAGAAGACACAGTTTCCCAATGTGGAGTTGTGTTGTCTGGTCTACGACGCCCCGATTCGGCGCTACGACCACGCACCGAAAAAGTGGTAAGTGTCACAGGTCACAGCACATCTCCTGCGAGGCAGCTTCGGCATTGCAATCCAGCCAAAAGAATAACTGCTCTACCGTACCATTTCTATGCTGCAATGGAGTCTCGTGGGTGCAGATACCCAAAGAAGTGGGAAAGGTGAGGCCGGGCATGATGCGGAGCACATGTCCGCATATCTCTGCAGCCTGCAGCCTGCAGTCTGCAGTGCACTGGCACTGGCACTGGCAGTACTTTCCATTGGGACCAAACTGCCATGGTCCAATCTCTGACCCCAGCAGCCAACATTGAGTCCAATGGGGATGCCGTCCAATTCCTTCCAAGGTTAGGTGCCTTACTGCCCAATTGACTCCAACGGTTTTGGCCGATCGTGGTGCATGGACAATTATTCGCTTGGTGCGGAGGCTCGGCGTCGATCCCAGACCCACTCCAAGATCTGCATCTGACACAAGGCTGCTATCAACTTACTGCCTCTGTACTTTTGTTCGACGAGGCTGCGGCTCACAGCTGTGCCGTGCAAGAATGGCCAACATATGCTGATGGTGATGCTGGGTCGGCCAGAGCTCGTTGTGCGCAGACGCAGGATCGCTTTCAATTCCTCCTCCTGTGCAGGCTTCCCTATGGCGGTCCTTACGGTTCATACTTTCTTCCTGAGCTTGGCTTCGTCCACCGTCACCCTGGCGCCAGCAAACTCTATCAGAAAGTCAAGTCCCCCTTCACTGCACTTCAGTTTGGTTCTCCTGGGACAAAGACGACACAGTTGCAATCCAGTTCCACTGCTGAGCTTCTTCTCCGCCTCATTGCTGGTGACTGGCTGTTGAGTGTCTTCTTGCCAGATCAACTCGCCTTCACGCCGTGACTGGCTGTTCAATATCTTTCTGTTCAAGATCAACTCGAATCGGTTGACTTTCCTCAATTCTGCGGGTTGATCTGAAGGAGCTTCTCATCTATAAGTACCTCTTCTTCTCTCCTCGATTTCCATTTGAATTTCTCTCCTCTTCATACTCTTCCAACACACTTGAATGTAAGTACAAGACTCCTGTGGTTTTCTGCACTCCCCAAGCACACTGCCCAGCCCCAAAACAACCCCAATTCCCAAGCCCAGCACACCCCCATTGCCTGTTGCCCATTGCCCATTGCAACACGCCCCCATTGCCTATTGCCTATTGCCCATTGCCCATTCCAACACGCCCCCATTGCCCATTGCCCATCACAGCACACCCCCATTGCCCATTGCCCATTGCCCATTGCCCATCACAACACACCCCCATTGCCCATTGCCCATCACAACACACCCCATTGCCTATTGCTACCAGGTAAGTACCTATGCATACCACCCATGCCCATTGCCTACTTGGTAAGTATCTATGCCCACCACTCGTGCCCATTATCCACATCCACCACCTATGCCCACTACCCACTGCTCTTTACTCTTATCCAATCCCCTTTGCCACTGCCTATGCCCACCACCCCTGCCCACCCCTGCCCACTACCCTGCCCACTACCCATTGCCCAATGACTATTGCACGTTGTTTCCCATCGCTGCCCTATACTTATTGCCCATATCCTCTGGCCATTACCCTTCCCCTTTTGCCCATGGCCCCAATTCACTGGTCATCGGGCATACGTCCTGTTTACTGCCCTCTGCACTTATTGTTTTCGGCGCCTTCCCCAGCCCAGTATTCGGTGTTTTTGAGACATTGATCATTGCTTGTTTGGCGTGCTCCGCGTTTACTGTTCTCCACTTTGCGCCCGTGCGTTCTCTTTACTGTCGCCCGATTTTCAGTTTCCCGGTGCTCCAGGGACTGAAAATTGGGCATTGTGTCTCGCTCGTTTCACTGCCAACATTGAATTTTGCACTTTTCTCCTTCCCGAGCCATATTTGCTATTTTTTTTCTCTGCTATTGTCAAAAATTGTTTACTGACAGAGTCCTCCATAGCCACAGCTCCAGCAACAGCAACAACGACAGCAACAGCAACAGCAACACAGCAACAGCTCCGGCAACCTCAATCTCAACGACTACTTCACAACCACTCCCACTCCCACTTTCCCGCAGTTCAAGATGGGCTGCATTCTGTCTAAGTTTGAGGGCGCCAAGGCCAAGTTCTTCGCCTGGCTTTATGCCCGGGTGCGCTCCCCACGCACCCGCTCTTTTTTCACTGCACGACACCGGAGCCCATACTATGAGGCTCCCAACCCCTTCCCAGAGGGGATCCTTCCGGCAGGTGAGCCGGAGCCGAAAATCCTTCGGTCGCCCCAAGGGACCGATGAGAGGAAGGCCAATTATCGGCGAGGAACGGTCGCCTGGGACCAGGACTTGGCAAAACCGGCATTTAAATGCCTGACCCCGTTGGGCTCCGCCTACCAGCGGTCCAAGCCCGACTTGGCCAAGTGAGGTTGACTCCGGTTTCCCGCGAGAGTCACCTCCTCCCACATTTCCGCAGTGGTCCGCCACCCTTGTGCCCAGCCGGCCTGTCACACCGGCCTAGGGCAGAGGGATGCCACTGCACGCCGTCTTACAACATGAGGTTTGCCCACCAGGCCTGTCACACCTGATTGTGGGGCCCTCAAGATGTTGTCGGCACCATGTGCTGCCTCGCAACGATACGACATACACTGCCGACAGCTTTCTGATTGCCGGGCCCTTGGCCTTTCCCGACTACGTACTGCAGTCGACTAGGAAAGGCAAGGTTTGCCGGCCAGTTAGCGGGCATGTTCGAGACGTTGCCAGCACACATCCCCCGGAGGATTCCTTTTGATTTGTACTTTGGTATTGGCGTTGGGCATGGGCATTGGGCATGGTTGTGCCTTGTTTATCACCTGAAAAACACCAAAAAACACCAAAAAAACGAGCAAAACTCAGAAATCAAACGAAAAAATGCGATTGTTTCGGTTCCTTTGGTTTTGCAGAAGCCCACACGAGCCCCGGCGTTGGATTTTGTCTTTTTGGGAACATCATTATTATTATCATCATCGTCGCCATGGTCACTGTCTCTGTCAATCATCAGTACGACCACATCATACCTCACCCTGGGCGACAACATCATCACCATCAGTCATTGCTACAATCTGCTGTTAGCCAAATCATACCAGCAAGCATGACTGTCTGGTCTATTCCATTGGTTTGCCTTGGGGAAAGCAACCGATCGGACCATCACATCGTTGATCGATCAATCAAGCGCTACACGTGCACGATCAGCATCTCAATCCTGGATCCTGTCTTTTCTGGCGGAAAGCAGCATGGAACTCGAGACAGTCTGTCTGCAGCTCTCAATCACCTGCGGTACACTCTACCACTTATCATTATCGGCATATCATTACCGACTATTCTTATGGTCATCCTTACCGATTATTCTTACCGATTATCATTATCGGCATCATTATGGCTCTGCTATCCTACTTGCATCCACGTCGTCTGTGACAGCGACAGCTCAATCAAACCAACAAGAGCACCACTCCCTACATCACACTGCTTCACCGAGGCATCTCACAATGCATTCTTACCGGTTATTCTTACCGCGCATCCTTACAATCATCATTATCGGCATCATTACGGCTATGCTATCATTACACTAGCATCCACGTCGGTTGTGACAACGACTGTGGGAAAAGTCCGACCATGTCTTGCCATCTACAAATGATGAAATTTACATTCATACAATCTGCACATCATGCAATCTGCACATCATCAAACCTCCAATCATGCAACCTCCAAATCATGCAATCTACAAATCATGCAAATCATGCAATCTCCAAATGAGGCAATCTGCAAAGCAATCTGCAAATCTACAAATCATCAAATTTACAAACATGCTCGTTGATGCCTGGGAAATATCACACGATGCTACATCAGACTTGACAGTCACTCTCTTCAAACACGCTCGTTGACGCCTGGGAAACGTCGACCATGTCTTGCCATCTACAAGTCATCAAATCTACAAAAATATGCTCGGTGGTGCTTGGGAAACATCATTCGATGCTATCTACAAACACATCAGACTCTCCAGTCACTCTTCAAACTCTAAACACACTCGTTGACGCTTGGGAACCGTCAATCGAGTCTTGAGATCTACTCTCTATCATTCATTCAAACACTCGCTCGTTGATGCTTGGGAACCATCATTCGATGCAATCTACTCTCTGATCTTCAGATGATCCAACAATCACTCTCTTGGTGCTTGGGAACCACCACATTGAGCAATCTACCACAATCTACCAAGTCTACCACAATCTGATGAGGTTTACCATCCGTTGCTGCTGTCAACATCTACCGTTATCTATTGCTGTTATTCTCTCTGCTGTCACTCAATGCTGTTATTCGCCGCTGTCCTTCAATGCTGTCAATCGCTGCTGTCAATCGCTGGTTTTCTTGGAACACATGATCTCAAACAACATCTTTTTACAATCTACAACATACCATTTCAAACCAACATCTCAACAATCATCTCACAACCAATCTCAAATAACCATCTCCAACCACCAATCTCAAAACAAACTACAACATACCATCTCCAAACAACTTTTCAATCATCTGCCACAATGCTACCACCACTCCATAGTATTGCAAAATGCATACTATGCCGCTGCAGTGCTTCATTGCAAAGCACCACCAACACAAAGGAGGCCAACGAAGCCTGAAATCTCAATATACAATCTACACCCTCAATCTACACCCTCAATCTACACCCTCAATCTACACCCTCAATCTACACCCTCAATCTACACCCTCAATCTTCAACCTCAATCTACAACCTCAATCTACAACCTCAATCTACAACCTCAATCTTCAACCTCAATCTACAGGCTACGTCCTCAAACTCCAATCTCAATCTACAATATCCAATCTACCTCTATATCCTTATTCTACATTCTCAATCTACAACCCTCTTCAATCTACAACCCTCTTCAATCTACAACCCTCTTCAATCTACAACCCTTTTCAATCTACAACCCTTCTCAACCTACTGCATCTATCAGTATAGGCCTTGACAATCTATGGCCTCAGCAAACTTGCTACCACTGCAGATTGCAGCAATGCAAATCTACAAGCGCTACAAATTTATTGCCAATGCAAATAATCAAATCAAAGGCCAAAGCAAAAAAAAAAAGAAAAAACAAAAAAATACAAAAAAATACAAAAAAACAAAAAAAAGAAAAGAAAAGAAAAGAAAAGAAAAGAAAAGAAAAGAAAAGAAAAACAAAAGCCAATACAAATAAAAGAAGCAAAGGCCAATACATATGAAAAAAATCAAAGGCCATTTCAAATTGAAACATACAAGATACTATCACAGTCACTCTTTTTTTCATCATCCTCTAGGCCTTGTGCCTGGGTTTGGAGAAGAAAAACTTGCTCAAGAGTGTCTTGTCTTGTTGTTGGCCGTGTGTTCACTGCGTGAACACTTGGATTGTATAGAGTCGGCGTGACGATAGGCTAGGGGCTGCTGAGAGCGCCTTCGGATTTGGCTACTTAGGCTGCGCTGGGGAGGTGCCTAGAAATCAAATGCAGACCCCAAGGTGCCTTCCTGGGCAGCTAAGGCAGTTGCCTAGGTAGGCTGGGCTAAGTAAGAATTTCTGGGTAGCTGTCTAGGGAGTTGTCTAGGCGGAAGGGCGCTGGAGATGCTGACAACCACCAGCTACCTATGTTCATACATTGTCCATTACAGGACTGCGCCCTAGTACCTACCTAGTACGTAAGTACCTAGGTACCTTAGCAGGTGTTTAGGCATGCTGCTTAGTTACCCCGATGGCATGTCTAAGCTGTGCGGGACCCATCCACCATCTGATCATGGACTCATCCTAGCCTGACTTTCCTCCATAACCTCAAACAATCCAGCATATCGGCGCCGGCTTTGCTTCGCCCACTAGCCGAGTTCACCGACTCATTGACCACTGCAACGAGGGCGGCGGCGTAGCAGAAAGCCAGCTTATTGTCATACAAGACATTGACCTGCGTCTTTTTCATCCCTCCCACCGCGGCCCAGGACATCCACTCATCCAGGACTTTGACAACCTTTCGGGCCTCGCCCTCTTCGCTCTGACTCTGATCTACCACCATCAGATACAAGACCGCCTCAGCGAGTTGATCCAGCGTCCACTCCCTACCGATCAGTCCCTGTTCAATAAGCCATGCCAGACATGCCTCCGCGACGGCCTTTGTACTCATCCTCGGACTGGCGATTGCGTCCTGCGCCCTGCGTTCGTCCCTCTCCTGTCTCGCGGCCGCTGAGGCCATCATATCGTCAAGGGCAGCTCGGCGTTCTTCAGCGAGTCGATTCATCTTGTGAATCTTGGCTTGTTCGGGTGGCATGGTAGCTTCCAGCCTCGTGGCCGCTTGTTGAGCCTGGAATCGCTGAAGTTGCCGTTGGGAAATGAGCTGCATAGCATTGCGAGTGGCAGTTTCGCTCTCACTCGACCATTCGGGTGCCTCTCCCTCGTCCATCAAGCCCAGAATCACCATAACACCGCAGGGTATCGAGTCTCTCCGCACAAATGTTTGGATATCTGTAGGGATGTCGAAAGCCCACAGTCCTCCGCTGGACTGTTTGCGTGAGAGGATGGCGGATGCCGCACAAGTAAACCAAAGTCCGGCGGTGGACTGCTCGAACGTTCGGAAGGGTTCACTGACCGAGCCTGTTTCGACGTTCTTCTGTTCCCAGAAAAGACGCTGGATCCGGTTGTCTTCAGCGCGGAAACGGAAGCTAGAGCTATCCATGCTGTACTTGTTCGAGTCTTTCATCTGCTCAATCCTTGACGGCAAGTCTTGCTCTTCTTCCTTTTTCTTTTCGCTCACTTCTAACAACGGCGGTTGAGTCAGGCGGCCCCAGCCGGGCGGAAGACTTGCAGCTCCTCTAGACTCCCCGACAGATGTCATGTCACGGGTCCATTTGACTGTCAGGCTGAGTATTCCGTCGCTCTCATCGGGCATACTCGTTCTCAGGATCCAGTCAACGTGTTTCCGCGGCTCAGTGATATCGCCGTCTGGCTTTTTGAGGAGAATGGTCCCTGCGGGCGTCCACAGTCCACCCGATTTCAGCTTCTCCCATCCCATTGTATCGGGAATGGCGCCCCAGTCAAGAAGGAAATGCACAAGTTCCGAAAAATCAACCTCCGCAGGGGGTTCGCGCAACTCGTCTTCATACTGTATTCTGTATAATTTGCGTCCCACTATCAATCTTTTCCAGTGGAATGCCCGCCAACTACCGCCGCGAAGGAACCCCTGTACTCGACCTTCCTCAGCCATGCTCAAGGTGCTTTCGGCTCGCTCGAGCAATCTGTGGTGTTCTTCTTCTTCACATTGACCTTCCATCGTGGTTTTCCAATAGTCGGGGTCATTCCGCTCAAGTGGTGCTATTGTATATTTGGGCAGCTCCACCTCGATCAAATTCGTCATGGGAGAACTGCGGATCGTGAAGCCGTTCTGAGGATGGCCGGCGCCCATGGGTCGGTGGCCATGCTGGATGAGCGAGGCGCAAATTCGTCGCTTGGTCACGATCGCAAGCATGAAGGTGTACAGAATGGGAAGGACACCCAGCACCGCCAGCGGCACACCAACGTACGTGATAACGTCTGATGCTGATGCCATCGTGGGCACAATGCTGTGTATAGCATTCAACAACGCCCCGGCGAGCGGCCTGCGAAGGGTACGAAGTCACCGTCTCACTTATGAGCACTATGACATTTCCCCGAAACCGAATATAGCAGCCGCAGCACGTCGCCTGCTGCGCCGGTCCTGCAAGCCACAGCCGCAGCTGTGGGAGTCATATTGGCTACCTACTAGTAGTTGAAATAAGCCTTGCACACAATTCTCCATATGGTGGGCGCAGTCTGGTCAGGCTGTGGTCGAAATTGTCGGTGGAGGGTCCTGGGAAAAGGGGTAAAGGGGGCGCTCACTAGCCCTGCCTTGCGCATATATCATGCCGCTTCTCGTTGGGGGGGATCATTGGGTTTGCCCATCAGGCTGAGCCCGAGCATAATCAAGGGGCTTCGCCTCCTTAGAGCAGCGTCGTTTGCTAACCTGATTCCGATTCGGGCTTGCTTCTCCTGACCTTCCTTCATGAACACTTTGTCTGCTGACAATCAACTGGCCACTTGTTGCAACTGTACAGTTGACAAACATGAGCTGTGATGTATATATTGGGGCCCCGAAGGCCAGCTTTTTCTTCGTTCAAGGCCAACGATTCTAGACAACCCCGCGTCAATAACCAGGATGGGGTTGCGCACCCCTCATCCAGGTGAGCATATCTTAGTGGGCACAGCTGGGCGCACATTTCCAGATGCGGACGACAGAGCCGGATAGGATCTCATCGTGCTGGTTCACGTCGCTGGTAACTGACCGCAACGTCTTACGCTGCTCTTGGCTTCCATCGCTCGAGGCGGATTGCTCAGGACTATTGTGTCCCTCTCGCTTCGTTCATCTCATCCACGCTCGTCCTTTCGAACAGTCGACTGCTGTGTCAGCATACTGAGCAAAAATATCCAACTTAACTTGACGACGGTGGACCACCGTGGTACTGTATCATGGGGTGATGGAGTATCCGCAGCAGCCTGGTCAAGACCGGTCCGTTGCGGAGCATAATCCCCATGGATGCTGATGATGGACCATCCCCCCTGTGCTGTATCTCCAGCACTGGGCTCTATCTGGTTCTCGTGCTTGGTCTTTTCCTCCGGAGCCGTAGGATAAAGACTCTCTTCACTGTCCTGCTGCCTCCAAAGATGATCGACGCCGCATCTGCCTTCTGCGTGCAACGGGCCCTCCTAGTACAACTCATCCTGTCAAAAGTGAAGATGCGGACTGCTAACTGTATGGCACCGACCGTGAATACCAGTCGCCTTGTCTTATCGAGCTCTAAACGGGGATTATGGTGACTGTGAAGTTGAGCACGCCTTGGCGAAACTGCCCTGACAACCAAGATGTGAATGCCAGCGTTCAGGCAGTGGTAGCCAAGGCTCGCGTTGAGGCAGAGGAAGTGAATGTCGCTGTTGATATATACATACTAATCTGCGGGTTGTCTCTCATTCTCCCGTCATCTCCAACTTCAAGAATCCCCTGCTGGGACCAGGAGGAACAGTCCACTTCCAACTGCACCTTACAACGCGCTTTGATAACAAATTTGAATATGGGCTTCAAGACTTTCCTCAACAAGTTGGTCAAGGGCCAGGACGAGGTAAGACACGATTGCAATCACCATAGCACCTAGTTCTAACAGATAGCTCAGCTCAAGATCCCGCATACTACTAGCCATGATGTTGGCATCACGGACTCTCAGCACGCAGACTCTGCTGACAGGCGCTACCCTATCCCCCTGAGAATGCATTTTATCACAAAGGGAGCGACTGCCACATGCAAGCTCACCACAGAGCTAGCCGCGGGGACGACGTTGACTGCGTCGGCACCCATCGAGACATCGCAGCTTTGCCGACAGCTGTGGGAGGCGGCCCTCTTTCAACTAGGTGGTCAAGATCGGCCGTTGTCGGCCAGGCGGGCTTTGCAAACAATAAGAGCAAGATCCTCAAGTTTCGATAGCATTCCTGTGGCACCGTGAGAGCCAGACAAACTCGAATCGACTTGCCAACAACAAGAAAGCATACTTACAAAATCCTCCGGACCAGCGGACGCTGGACGACTGTTGGGATCAACTGAAAATGATGGTGCAAGATTGACCGTGGACGTTGCAGTCGCAGAAGGTTCAATTCCAAGCGAGTCCTTCACCAGTGCTTGCGAGCAGCAGCGCAGACGGGACTGGGTTGCCACAGTTAATAAAAGAATGGTATGGCCCTCAGAAGCCGCTTGCATCATCCTTAATAAGGATAGGGGTTCGGACGCGCTTTTGCTCGAACAGCCACCACAGAGTCATACTATTCCAACTCTCGGGCTAGACGTTGTGGCGGAACACTCTGAGAGAACCCCCACTACCGCCGAAACCCCGTCTTCAGTGAAGGCCTCGGACTTTGACGGAAGCTTCAGCACATTAACGCCTTTCACATCTGCTGAAGTGCCGAAATTTCGGGAAACTCCACAACAATTCTTCGATATTGTCCACTCCTCTGAAGTCGAACGCAGCAATGGAGCAGTCTCACCGAAGCTATCAGATTCTCCCCGTCCCACCTCGCCCGACTGCACCACATCTTCCCGGAGAACATCCAGCTGCCTCGCAGTTGAGAAAAACGTGCAGGATTATGAGCATCTCGCGGAGCCAGAACAGCTTCAAGCCCATTTAAGCTATCAAGAGTTGCTCAGCAAGAGTCTTCGTCTTCAACTGCTCGAGAGGGAAGATGAAGTAGCCACACTGCACAAAGAACTACAGGCGCTGCAGAGGGAGCGTGCTATGTACGAGGCTGAGCAAGATGCAACTGCTGAACAGTTGCAGATCATGCAGAAAGAGCTCATGGAAAAAGGCAGTCAACTCACCGAAGAGAAACAGAGAACGGCAGCGGCTGTTCATCAGTTGCATTTGTGGCGCGACAGTATTCAATCCGGCCCTGAGCAGCTCATTGCCCAGCGTGACCAAGCCCTCCAGGAAGCACGAAATCAATATCGACAAGCCCAGAACTCGTGCGCCACTGCTAATGCCGCTATGACCGAGAGAGAGAACATGGTCCAATATTTGGCACACATGGACGCGGTGGCCACTTCGAATAACAAACTGCACGAGACCGAGGTTATGGAGCTGCGCGCTAGATTGGAACATGCTGCAGAGGCGCTTAACGGGCAACAGCAGCAAGTCAACCACCTTGTTAGCGAAAAAGACGCGGCTGAGGCTCGTGTTCGGGAACTGGAGGTTCGAGTCGAATATCTGGTCGCTGATGTTACAACGAAATGGCTTGAGGATCCTCCTTGGGAGCAGGAACAGGTGAACTCCTACACAGTGAAGCCGGACGAGCTTCGTGACCTTCGTCAAGCCTTCGAAATATCGCAGACAAGACTGGCTGCATCCGCCGACACAAACGAAGAGTTGCACTCAGCGGCTAATAAACGGGAAAAAGAGCTATCCGAACTCCGCGAGAAGAATGAGCTGCTAGCGGACAAAGCAGCCAGACTCTCATCCACTTTCAATATCTGGAAAGACAAGCTGGATAACTGGATGCAGACGATCCCCGGAATTGTCAACATGAGAGAAGACGTGAACGAGATCCCTGGCCTGAAAGAGCTTCTTGAATCTTCTGTCTACCACGAGCAGCGTTTGGCCGCAGAGCTAGAGGGAATGGCCGCCCGAATTTCTGAACTCGAAGGTGCAAATCTAAAGTTGCGGCAATCTCACCGTAAGGAAGTTGAGGCACTGGAAGAACGAGCAAGCAAACTCCAGGAGGACACCGTTCGCCTAGATGCCCTAAACTTCGAGGTCAGCGACAAGCTTGATGAGGAGCAGCGCGAGAGCGGGCAGCTGAGGCAGCGTCTTACGGAAACCGAGGAGGACTTAGAGGCATGGCGAGCACAATGTGAGACGCAGGCCTTCGGGGACAGTGCTACGGTTATTCGTGAGCACCATGAGCAAAATCTCAAGACGGCCTCCGACATCAATTCAGCTCTTCACCACCAACTGGCCCGATACCACACCGCAAAAGAAGTCGCGGAACAGGGGTTAGATGACATGAAAGGCTGGCTCACAGAAGAGCTCGCAGGAGTTTCTGAACTAGGTGCGCAGCGTGACTGGTACCAAGCGCAGGTTGACGCCTTGCGACAACGATTCCAGCACGAGCTGTTGGTTGAGCCTTTGGAGATCGCTTACCGGCCAGCATTCGCGGATCTGTCGTCAGAGGAAAGAGCGGCTATGATAGCTGCGGAAGACAAGGTGATCGGGCGTGTCACCACCATGGCCCCACTTCGCTCATGGGCTGAGCCCAGGGATATCGAGATTCCTGACTTGTGGGCCCAGCTTTTGAGATGGGTGAAGGAAGGAGACGATGTTGATGCCAAAGCACGGGAAACATAGGATAGTCACCGAGCGGCACGGCAGCTCATGTTCCTTTCTTCAGCTGAGAACCTGTTTGCCTGTCAAAATCCTAACATTCAGCGTTCTCAAACCTATCGCACGAGGAGAAAGAGGAGATGTTGTCCAAGCAGGATCACGCCATCGCCCAGATCACAACAATGGCACCACTTCGCTCGTTGGCTGAGCCCAGGGATATTGAAATCCCTGACTTGTGGGCTCAGCTTATGAGATGGGTGAAGGGGGAAGAGCGATCCAAGAGAAATATAGCGTGGCTATCGAGCGATAGGGCAGCCATGGTTTCCATTCTTCAGCCGAGAACCGTTCGCCTGCCACAATCCTACCGGCCAGCCTTCACGGAGTTGTCGTCCAAGGAGAAGGCGACTATGGTGCCTGCGGAGGACTAAACAGAGATCGGCTCAGGATGGGACGGTCTGTATACCTGGCATGAGCTCCTCCAAGTCCGACGACAGACTTACCCCCGCAACATGGGTACCAAGGCATGCAGCTCGTGCCTGAAGCACATACAGCAATCTGATGCAGAAGTCGTGGAGGAAGGTGTAAGATCAGTGTTCGGTGGCAAGTACGGTGCCTCCACAAATTGAGCGTCACGGTCCGCTGTTGTATTTTAGGCCCACCACTCTTTTTGGAGATTATTGCAGTATGTATTAGGAGTCTACAACGTACAAGTTGGAGGCAATGCAGTAAATGACGGCAATAATGATTCTGAGCATGCGTGTGTCTCTGCGATGGTAAGGGGAAAGGGGAACTCAGCCTGGTCAGGGGTCATCGCTTGACCTGCCTAGAACAGAAGCCCGTGTAAAGCGGCGCCACGTCGACCCCTGATCTGGCCCTGAGGGCCGTCATGGCTCTTGGCAGACTGCGCAGTTGTCACAGTGTCCTCACGGGCACCGAAATGCTACGTGCTCCAGACACAAGTCCATAGCTTTCAGGGGACAAGGACACTTCTCTTCCACTGCCAGCTTGTTCTTCTTCATCTGCTTTTTGAGCAGGCCGTTCCCCCCTCTCTTCTCTCCTTCTACCGACCTCCCTGACCACTCTCTCAATCCCAGGGTTATTTGACCTGTTGTCTCGCGGGCAGCCATTGTAGCAACCATGAGTGGTCGTGCGTGAACCCCTCCCTCCCAATGTTTGCCAGGGTCCCAAAATGCTAACGAACACAAAGTCCGTTTCCTCGATCTCATCAAACCCTTTACGCCCCTCCTGCCGGAGGTGGCAGCACCTGAGTCCAAGGTTCCATTTAACCAGAAGTTGATGTGGACAGGAGTAAGCCAACACACGAGCGCACGAGACGCGCGCGACTGGAGCACACGACTGACCACCTTGATAGTGCACACTACTCATCTTTTTGGTCATGAGCCAGATGCCTCTGTATGGCATCGTCTCGTCTGACACGTCCGATCCGATCTACTGGCTGCGTATGATGTTGGCCAGTAACAGGGGCACGTTGATGGAGTTGGGAACAACGCCCATTATCTCTTCGGGAATGGTTTTCCAGGTACGGCGGGACAACATCCATATCGACGCGTTTGGAAGCTGATGGGATCGTTCTAGCTTCTGGCCGGTACTCACCTTATCGATGTCAACCTTGACCTCAAGTCTGATCGCGAACTATACCAAACTGCGCAAAAGCTGTTTGCCATCATTCTTTCTTTCGGCCAAGCCTGCGTTTTCGTCCTCACTGGTCTCTACGGCCAGCCAAGCGACCTTGGTGCCGGTATCTGTCTGCTTCTGATTGTCCAGCTGGTCATTGCTGGTCTGGTGGTTATCCTGCTCGATGAGTTGCTGCAAAAGGGCTATGGGTTGGGATCTGGTATCTCTCTCTTCATCGCTACAAATATCTGCGAGTCCATCATCTGGAAGGCATTCTCCCCGACGACGATCGATACTGGGCGTGGCAAGGAGTTTGAGGGTGCAGTCATTGCGCTCTTCCACCTCCTCGTCACTTGGCCAGACAAGACCCGTGCCCTGCAAGAAGCCTTCTACCGACAACACTTGCCCAACATCATGAACCTGCTCGCGACTTTGGCAGTCTTCGCCGCAGTCATCTACCTGCAAGGCTTCCGCGTCGAGATTCCGGTCAAGTCCTCCCGTCAACGTGGCATGCGCGGCTCTTACCCCGTGCGCCTCTTCTACACCTCGAACATGCCCATCATGCTGCAATCCGCTCTTGCGTCCAACATCTTCATGATCAGTCAGATGCTTTACACTCGATTTTCGGACAATCTTCTGGTCAAGATGCTTGGAACATGGGAACCAAGAGAAGGATCGTCTCAGCTTTATGCATCTGGTGGCATTGCTTACTACATGTCACCCCCACTCAGCTTCCGCGACGCGCTTGTCGACCCCATCCATACGGTCATCTACATTACCTTCATTATTGTGACATGCGCCGTCTTTTCCAAGACCTGGATCGAGGTGTCCGGTTCTGCCCCACGGGACGTTGCGAAACAACTCAAGGAACAGGGTCTTGTCATGGCTGGTCATCGTGAGCAGAGCATGTACAAGGAGTTGAAGCGGGTCATTCCTACTGCTGCGGCTTTTGGTGGTGCCTGTATTGGAGCTCTCTCTGTTGCCAGTGATATGCTTGGAGCACTTGGAAGTGGTACTGGTATCTTGTTGGCCGTCACCATCATCTACGGCTACTTTGAAATCGCTGCCAAAGAGGGCGATTTTGGCGGTAACCTCAAGGGTTTAATTGCTTGAGCTTGAGCCTGAGATGGTGAATAAGGGGCAATATAGAGCAATAACCTTATTGATGACAGGAGGGCTATGTCATTGAACTAAAAAAGTGTGCCGTTTTTCTGCATAGCATGGGGGAGTGTCGCCCTTTTGGTGTGGAGTGACACAGATATGAAGGTGATTGAATAACTTTGTGTACAGTAGCTATGTTGTTGGGTACTTACTGTACTGCACTGTACTTTTAACGGGCAGGCGAGGACCCAAATAGCAGGAGCAGAAATTCAAGAAGTCAAGTCCATCTGTCGTTCATTGCTTGCTCAACTTGAAAAGGTGAATAGGCGTATGTCTAGACGTGAGGATGTGCTTTGGTCCTCACACTGCAACTCTGTTACCATCTCGTCAAGTCGTAGTCTATGTACTCACTGGGCTTACAGAGGACAACCACATAAGAAAACCAAACGGCTCTTTTTCGTCCCTATGGTTCATCTCCTCAGAATCACGCTCGACAGGATTTCTCTTCCCAGCCGAAGCCAGCGCACACTACCTTTGTAGTATCGGGTCAGCAGTATGGAGCACTAGGATGTATGAGAGAGTTAAGACGTAGACTATATCAACCATACAAATCTGTTTTGTTCTTCTCTGGGTTTCTATATATTCTTAAGTTCTATAATCCCCATTAATAGTCACATACTCATGACTAAAATCGCAAAACCAATACTTGGCCTCCTCCTCACCCGTACCCAGATCGACTTCGATCACAAGATCCTCGTCCTCCAACAAGCGCGCGGCACGCGCCTCGTCAACTTGTTCCGGTTCGCCATTAACGAGCAACTTCAAGACTCCTTCGGATTTTGCTTTGCTGTTTTCCGCAGGCACGAAGCTGACGTTCGTTTTGGACGGAATCACGGCGCCAGGAGTCAGATCGGGCGTATACCCGATTGCACAGAGGATGCGGCCCCAGTTGGCGTCTTTGCCGTACAGGGCGGTCTTGACGAGTGGAGAACGTGCGATGGTCGAGGCGATGGCGCGCGCGTCGGCATGCGTCGGGGCGTGGCGCACGGCCACTTCGACGAATTTGGTCGCGCCTTCGCCGTCGCGCACGACGAGTTGCGCGAGTTTCTGCGAGAAGGTCGTGAGGATGTGGGACATGGCGAGGTAGTCTTCAGATGAATCTGAGGAGATGGGTGTGATGGCCTCGGCTTTCGCCTCGGCCGCTGCCGCTCCATTGGCCAAAATCGCCACGGTGTCGTTGGTCGACGTGTCGCCGTCAACAGATATACAGTTGAACGACTGGTTGACGGCGGTGGTGAGTAGCGATTTCAGTGCTTTGGCGTCAATGGGCGCGTCGGTGCACATGATTCCTAGCAAAGTGGCCATGTTTGGATGGATCATGCCGGCGCCCTTGGTCATTCCTGCAAGTCGGTATTCGATCCCTTTGTGTCGTGGGGATGGAAGAGTGAAAGTGGTGGACAGGAGTTTGGGAAACGTGTCGGTCGTGCAAATGGCTTTGGCGGCGGTCAGCCATGCGGTGTGGGAATTGTCGAGGTTGGCGTAGGCAGTTGGGATTTTGGACAGGATCTTGGAGATTGGGAGGCGTTGGCCGATCACGCCAGTCGACATGACGAGGCTGTTGGGGACTTGGCCCGCGGACGAGGTAGTGGCATTTGTTTGCTGTGAGGAGTGCTTTTGTATTTCCGCCGTCGCTGTCTCGGCCATGGCTTTGGCGTCTTCAAGGCCCCCAGCTCCAGTGACGGCGTTGGCGCAACCCGAGTTGACGATGATGGCTCGAACGTCTTTGCCCTCTCGCTTTTCAAGGACAGCTCGGCTTACTTGCACAGGCGCCGCTTGGAACTTGTTGGTCGTGAACACGGCAGCCCCGACGGCAGGTCGGTCCGACACGATGAACGCCAGGTCGGGTTGGGTTTTGTTGGCTGGCTTCACGCCCACGTGCGTCCCGCTGACTTTGAATCCTTTTGGATATGTCCCTGAATTAGGGATGTATTTTGTCTTGGATGCCGGGATGGACGAGTCCACGGGCGCAGAGTAGTGCCGGATACAGGTGCGGATGAAGGACCGACTCGGAGCCATGGCGGAAGAAGCCATGGTGGACGATAAGAGACTGATACAGTATATTCCAGAGAAGCGGCTGAGGGTTGCAAATTGTCGACTGAGTCCACTGACCAGTTAGACTGAGACCGAGTCAAGCTTGCTCAGTATCTAGTCTGCTGCGGTGGTGGTGGTTTGGTAGAGAGCAGCCGGGGTCTTGTTCCAAATGCTGTATCGGCGTATGACTCCCACGTCGGCACAGCAGAGGAGTAACCACTTCTTCGCCCGTTCCACTCCAGTATTCCCAAGGCAGGCCTGACACGGGTACTAGACTCTCAGCAGCCGGGTGCGTTCCCTCTCTTGCAAATGTACTGTCTTGTCCCGGGGAAGCTTGTTCGTCTACCGGGGCCGTTATCGTGTGACCACACCACGGAACTGAGCAGTCGTGATAGTTCAGAGTTGTGTCCTGTGAAATCTGAGAGGGCAACAATAGTAGTCGCCTTCAGAGCTCCTCTCTCAAACTGCCCCTGAGCTTGTCGCCGATCTTCCGCTGTTGCTGCTGGAGTTGTAACGGGAATCAGTGAGTCAATGCAATGTCAATGTACAACATGCCTCGCGGGCAGAAAGCTTTGCGGTGAAGTGCGCGACCAATCGGCGGGTCCGATTTGCGGAGAGCCGCAATACGCGTAGATTCGAACTTCGGAGAACAAACCACATCGCAATCGTGTTTACTGGAGTGGATGAAACAAAAGCAACAAAGCAAAACCCCTCGTTCATGGACGACCATGCTACAATCAAGAACAACTGAGTCGCTGTAATCTGGTCTTTTCGGCATTGGCATCATGGCCAAAAGAAAGCAGCCCGATCAAGACCCAGACTCGTCCCTAGAACCGAGCGAAACCCCTTCGAAGCGCCGGCGAACCAGAATCACAGACACAGCACCCGCGAACGGCGTCCACAATGGAGACCATGAACGAGGCCACGATGATGTTGATGATATCACAATGGCGGATGAGTCTACGCCCAAGAAGCCGAGAACTCCCTCCAAAACCAAAAGAAAATCCGCCGCAGAAGCATTACTAGATGAAGAAGAGCAGGGACTCGGAGACGAAGGCAGTCCGACTCCCAAAGCGAATGGCACTGGTCGGACACTGTTTTCGACACCACGAAGAGGCAGAGGCAGACCCCGCAAAGATGGCCTCCCTTCACAAACGCCCACCAAGCCTACAACGCCTTCCAAGGCCAAGGCATCAGCATCAGATCGCTCGGCGAAAAGAAAAAGTGCACGAGCGCTAGTTGAGGCGCAAGAACAAGAGGAAGGTGAAGACGAAGACTGGGATGGGCAGATTGCGCTGGCAAAGAAAATCCTCTCAGCGGGCGATGATGGGGATGAAGCTGAAGCCAGCACTGTGAGAAACAATGATATGCTCGATGAAACCACGGTCGAGCCCGACGACACTACGGCTGCTACGACCACACCGACCAAAACGCCAGGCAAACGTGGGCGGCCCAAGGGCGCCAAAAACAAACGATCCCCAACACCAGAAGGCGACATCGCTCCCGAAGAACGGTATTTCTTCCAGAACCGCGCAGGCCCGCCTCAGATTTCAAGCAACAAATTCAATCCCGTCAAATTACTCAGTCATGACGAGTACTTTGAGCAGATTCAAGCACTCACCCAAAAAGACCGACATGAAAAGGATCGCGAGCAGTTAATGAAGCTGCATGCTCGCTCATTTGCACAGTGGTCCTTTGAACTCGAGCAGGGCTTTAGTTTGTGTTTGTACGGATACGGGAGCAAAAGGGGGCTCACTACGAACTTTGCGGAATGGCTTTACAGACACCTGCAACAGCAACGACAACGGCAAAGGCAAAGGCAAAAATTGCACGCAAATCAACGACAGTCTGGGGAGGCTCTGGAGGAGGATGAAGAGGTTTTGCGTGCCCCGCGCATCATCGTGGTCAATGGATACACGCCAAAGTTGAACGTGCGTGGAATCCTAAACACCATCGCCGCAGCGGTGACTACCAGCGACTCCGAGTTGTATAGCGACGGTGACGGCGGCAGTGGCAGCGGCGATGAAGAAGGAGACAGAGACAGCGGTGAGGAGGATCATGACGACCATCGTCATCGCCAGCAGAGCCAGAGCCGTCAGAAACGGCACCGGCGCCGATTGCGTCTGATAGGCCAACCTCACGAAATGCTCGATACGCTGCTCACGTACCTTGACACCGAGCATTCGTCAAGTACTAGTAGCAGCCACAGGAGCATCGTTGCGGATGAAGACGGCAACAATGGCGGACGTGACCTGGAGATCGTGGTCCTAGTCAACTCGATCGACGCTCCTCCCCTCCGCCGGCTGGGAACACAATCACTCCTTGCCCGCCTCGCCGCACACCCCAGCATTAAATTCACCGCTACAGCAGACACACCGACGTTTGCTACTTTGTGGTCGTCGACCCTCCTCGACCAGTTCCGCTTCGTGTATCACGACTGCACGACCTTTGCTCCATATACCGCCGAGATCAGTGTCGTCGACGAAGTCCACGAACTCTTGGGCCGCAAGCGAATGCGCAGTGGCGGCAAAGAAGGGATCGGGTTCGTGTTGAAATCGCTGCCGGAGAACGCGAGGAATTTGTATCGCTTGTTGATTTGTGAGATTTTGGCGAGTTTAGGCGATGATGGACTTGAAGGAGCAGGCGCCGGCTCCTTCGAAAGGGTGAATGATGATGGTGACGATGATGACGGCCGGTCTGCGAAAAAGCGGTCTCGGTCTCGATCTGCTAAACAACAAGCCGAATCGGAACAATTGGGTGTCGAGTATCGCACCCTTTACCAAAAGGCTTCCGAGGAGTTCATCTGCTCGAGTAGTATGAATTTCCAGTTTTTGCTCAAGGAGTTTCACGATCATCAGATGATTACGAGTCGGAGGGACCAGAGTGGCACAGAGGTCTTGGGCGTGCCATTGGATAAACAGGAAATGGAGGCTGTGTTGGAGGAATTGGTTATTTGAAGCATCGAGATAGATATAAGCAGAGCCATTCCAAAAACGGATCAATACAAACGAAGCTCCGAAAAGGAGTCGTTCAAGATTCTATATAGACACGAATGTGACTGGCCAAACCAAAGGGAACGCCGATCCCTGCTTTCCCAATGCATGCAAGAATGCCCTGTCATGTTCGGCTCTCCATTTTTGTTCCCTTTCACCTCGCCTGGCTTCCTTGTCGGACAGCGTTGCCGCCTTGCTTTTCGTGTGGTACGAATATGGAACCCGATGTCGAACGCTCATGCACTTCCACTGTTCGGCATATTCAATCCCAAAACAAGGCGGAGAAAAACAAACAACAGTTATTTTAAGACGATTACCAGCCTCGGCCGGCCAGCTTCTCGGTCGGAGCCATGGTGCCGCAGTTGATGCCGACCATGGCCTCACCAAGACCCTCGCTGCACTGAGCCAGAACCTTTGCGTCTTGGTAATGAGTGGTGGCCTGTACAATGGCCTTTGCTCGCTTGGCGGCATTGCCAGACTTGAAGATACCACTGCCGACAAAGACGCCGTCACAGCCCAGCTGCATCATCAACGCGGCGTCCGCAGGCGTGGCGATTCCGCCAGCGGCGAAGTTGACCACAGGGAGTCTGCCCAGCTCGGCAGTCTGTTTGAGCAGGACGGGATCGCAGCCAAGCTCTCTGGCATATGCTCTCAAAGCGCCCTCGCCTTCGGCCAAAGCAGCCTGCGCGCGAGCAATGTCCTGCTTCACGGTGCGCATGTGCTTGACGGCCTCGACAACGTCGCCAGTGCCAGCTTCACCCTTTGTTCGGATCATGGCGGCACCCTCGGCGATTCTGCGAAGAGCCTCGCCCAGGTTCCGGCAGCCGCACACAAACGGCACTCGGAAACCGCTCTTTTCCACGTGGAACGTGTCGTCGGCAGGAGTCAAAACCTCGCTTTCGTCAATGTAGTCGATGCCCAAAGCCTCGAGGATCTGGCATTCGACAAAGTGGCCAATCCGGGCCTTGGCCATGACCGGGATGGTCACTGCCGCTTGGATTTCTTTGATCAGGTGAGGATCCGACATGCGGGCAACGCCACCGTCTTTTCTGATGTCCGCAGGCACTCGCTCCAAAGCCATGACAGCGCAGGCGCCGGCCTCTTCAGCGATACGAGCTTGCTCCGCGTTGACCACGTCCATGATCACACCGCCCTTGAGCATCTGTGCCAAACCGGCTTTGACGGCGAACGTGGGGACGGCGGGGGTGCCATTGGTGGCGGAGGAGGAGTTGGTGTTCGACATGTTGCTGTTATCGTTCATAACCATATTGTGGTGAGATGTTTAGGAACAAAAAGCGTGGCGATAGGCCGTAGGTTGCGTGAAAGTCGGCCGCAGGAAATGAGTCGCAAATTGGACGACTGTGGGTGGCGAGGATTTTATACGGAGCGATGTTGATTATGCAGAGTCTCGCCTTGTAAGTAGAGTGATTGACTCGTATGCTTTGTTTCGTAGACAGAATACTGATATGTTCAAAAAATCTGAAGGATCGAGCGAGGACGAGTGAAGTAAAGTAAAGTTGAGTCACCACCAGTGAGCCCACCACAATACAACGTACAAAGACTCGGAGCGGGCAGTCAGGGTTTGGTTTGGTGTGGATGGCGAGAGGATGGAGAGTCACTCCGAGGCCAGACCAAAAGAGAACAAGAGGGTCAGATCGTAGACCCTGTCATTGGGCAATTGATTATTAGCCAACGCAAATGACCGCCGGGGGGACCAGACTTCAAGTTTGTTTAGTTGCCGTTGCCGCGCCCTTTCTCTGACAGCAGGAAAAAAAATTGGGTGGGAAAAATGGAACAAAACTTTTTCTCGGTGCCCTCCCCCGCGCCACGCTTCGCTCGCTAACAAAAAGTTGCCCGACGGAGACGGAAAAACGGCCGCCGAGGGAAGAACTGCGATAAGATAAGGTAACAGAGAATGCCGCCGATGCCCAGCGATAGCCGGAGCACGTGCTTGATTACATATAGTGCACGTGACCATATATTTCCGGGAACGGGACTGTGCAGTACCCCCGTCAACCTCACGCTTCCCTTCGTCCCTCGTGTCTCCAACCCCTCGTATGCCCGTCTAATCGTAGGTGATGAAGCAGTATCGGTCACAGCCCATCCATCCTAGGTACAGCTACTGCACGACCCGATAACAGGTTGACGCAATCTGAGACTGGACACGCTGCGGCAGTCCTGCCCCAATGAGAACCCTCCTGGTATCGGGCGGGTAGTTGTGATGGATTGAGTTGCCTCTTACCTGTGTTCCATACCCTGCAATGATCAGTATGTTGAGCTTCTCGATGCGTTGCTTGACTGCCGCCTCGTTGACATCTATTTCGGACGCCCCCTACCACGGTTTGGTGTAGCTGTCCTCAAGCCGGAATGGTGGATCTTCTTACCATGATGGCTTCACTCACTATGAAGCCATCAAGCCAAGTATCGCTCCCTGACCTTCCCGATGATATGTTCCTTCTGGTATTGAGAGATCTGGCCGCATGGGACGTTGTCAGTTGCCAACAAGTGTCCCAATCATGGCGCGCCGCGTTCACCAAGCCCGAATATATCCGCCGGGTTCTGCAACGCTACCCGCGAGCTAGAGAAGTTCGAGAACTGCCAGCATGGGCACTGGAGTTTCGCTCTCCACAAAGCGGCAAGGTAGATTGGCAACGGATCCTCATGACGGTTGCATCACGATACCGCGGCCTTACCAGGGGCACGGCCACAAGGGTTTGTAGATACCCGATGGCCGCGGTGGAACAGTTAGGCGATTGGTTCCCGGTCGGACAATGGGACTACCACGAAAGCCAACCTGGAGGTCGCTTGTATTATGAGACCGCTGCCATGCATCTCAGTAGGATTGGCTCAAAACCCTTTCTCTTCAGGCCTACCTTGTGGTCATACGACGATGGTCTGCTGGTGTACGCGCCTGTTCAAGCTGGTAAGGACCGATACACGGCGTTTCCCCAGATCCTGGCTCTCTTGGACGTTGCGACAGGTGAGAAGTATCCCGTCCCGTTCGACATTCGGGGCAAAATTATTCGCACCCTGCGTCTCAAGGACCGGACGTTGATCGTGGAATGGGCGGAGAAGGATCCCTTCCACAACCTCAATGCAATGGAGCAAGTCAATCGTCATTTTGCGAATTGCTTTGATGTCTGTCCTGGAGAAGAAGGGACATGGACCGTGACATGGCGCTCCGAATGGAAGATGCACTTCCTGGGCTTACCGCCCAATTACCACGACCGTTTCTTTTCCACCCATAACTCCACTCACTACGCGGTGTATTTCTGGCAACCCAATCGAAGCATGTACACCGGTGATGAGGAGATGCCAATCGAGTCGCTCTCGGTCTGGGATATCACGGCTCGCTCATCATACCAACCGTCAGCTGACCCGTCGGGAAAATCGCGGCCGCCGGACCAAGAAGGCCCGCATATTGTCTCGCGATTTTCATTTACGGACATGGATTTCCTCGGTATAAGGCAACACGCGAATGTGGCGCTAATGTCGCTTCATCTCGATTCCGAATCCCTATCACTCACCGTACGAGAAAACGCTGCGGTGGCAGGACAGGGGTATTTCGACCCAGCTGAGAGGTTATGGTGTGCCAAAACGACAACATTTCCCTTCTTAGGCCAGGGTCCTCGATTATATCGGGAATGGGACGGCAATCTTCCTCCATACCGCGGTCATTGTAGTATGGAGACCGCTGATGTCGAGGAAAGTGAACGTTGGTTTCTGCCCGTCATGGACGTGGTCGATGCCGATGCTGGCATCAGACTGAGTTTGGTCGAAACCTGTCTCTCGGGACAGAGCATACTGAACCAGCTGGTTGTAAGGATCAAGACAGGGGGTGCGGGTGAGGAGAGCGAGGGAGGCGCTGCTGAGGCGAAAGTTGTGGCGCTCGAAGGTCGCTTGACTAAAGAAGTAGGCCCGATGGGACGGATTGCTGGTGATGAGAGATGGATAATCGGGCAGAACGAACGGATGGAGCTTGTCGTGTTGAAGTTTTGAACATGTACGTTGTACTTGTGTTTGCTAATTGTGTCACAACTCCGAGTCTGGTGTTGAACTTGGAATTTTGCAAATATCCATAAAATAATCCTAACAGTCAGCCATACCAAGAGATTGCGGTGTTGAAATTTTGAAACATGTACCCGCGTCTGCTAATCCTACGTAGCGAAGCGTTGTAGCTGCAAATCTCGTAGTGTAAATAACTTGGAATCTGGTCTTGACCTTGAAATATTATTTTGGAAATATCAACAAAATAATCGTAACAGTCAAATTGACTAACGGCACCACATCTCGCTATGAGGTGGGTTATAGTCGGGGTTCCCTAACAGAGTCCTGACACGTTTACAACTACATTGCAGTGTCAGCACCATGTCCCGCCCTACATTGTATGTACCTACAACGTACAGCCTGCCAGTGAGTACCTGCAGTGGTACCTAGGTGCAAGTTGTAGGTGTTGTAGTACCTGAGATTGGTCGGCACAAGAATCCAATCATCCAAGCCTAACCGTGCACTCCGTCAGCACTCGTCGGTTGTTCCCCCCACCGAGTGCACCACAGCGATACGATCGTCCACAGCGATACGATCGTTTTTCTGTAAATTCTCTACACTCTTTATTTAACGCGTATATATACCACTAATAATGCCTACTAACGCTCAATTAATAGAGGAGAAGGTCCTTAACGCCTACGACGCGTATAATCGCGGCGATTATCCTAATATAAAGGCCGCCGCCGACGTATTCGCCGCCCCCGTTTAACGCGTACGTAGACGACTACGAGGTATACTAGGCGCTAGTATAAGAGGAGGATATAATAAGAGACTCTCTAACGAGCAGGAGAGGGCTCTCTATACGCTTATAAAGCGCTACGATAAACTCGGCCTATCCCTAAGGCCTCCGATAATTACTTAAATAGCAAACCGGATACTATAACTCGCGTAGGACGCGTACGATAACGACGATAGTTAACCCTATATATCTTACGAATAGACGCGGCGCTTTCTTAATAGATATCCTAAGTTTATAATTAAGAAGCGAAAGCCTATTAACGTTTATCGATAGTCTATAGAAACCGATTACTACGCCTTAATCGTCGAGTACTTTTATCGCTTCTAGACTATTAAAGAGTAATACGCTATTATCGACGACGATATATAGAATATAGACGAGATAGGCTTCTCTATTAGCGTTAGTAGAGCGCACTATATTATTACTTAGCGTTAAAATAAGAATAAGTATCTATATCTTCCTAATCTCGAAAATCGCGAGCATTATACGCTAATTAAGTCTATTAACGCCGTCGGTAACTTTATCGATCTATTCGTTATTCTTAAAGGCGATATAATTAGCGAGCGCTCTATAACCCTAAGTCTACCTAACGGATACGCGTTAGTCTTCTCTAAGTCGGGTTACTTAAACGACGCTATACTACTTAAGTAAATATATTATTTTAATAGAAGAATAAAAGAGCGTATAAAAGGGCGCTATAGGATATTAATAAGCGACGGCTTTAACTCTTATATCGAGTATAGCTTTATTAAATACTACTAGAATAAGAGAATTATACCCTTTTACCTATCGCCGTACTTAATGTACCTTCTATAACCTCTCGACGTCGTAGTGTTTTAACCGTTAAAGTACTATTACGCGGAGTTAATACTAGATAGCGCTATACGATACGAAGATCTTATATTTTAGCGTTATAAGTTCTTAGAGGGTCTTCACTCGATTCGTACGAAGGCGCTTTACTCGTTAATAATTCGCTTATTATTTAAGCCTGAGAAGATAGGGTTAGTATCGTTTAATCCGAAGTAAGTACTCGATAGTCTTACTATCGAGAATAACTCTAACGAGAGCGATAACGACGACGACGACGACGACGGTCTCTAATACGTTAATAGTACGCCGCGGAAGAGTATAAATTAGCTTAATACGTACGCCGATATGATATCGGAGAACGTACGAGACATAGGTATACTAATAGTTACGCTATTTAGTAAGTTTCGCCGCGCCGTAATTAAGCGTATATATATTAGGTAGAAGGCGCTCTACTAACTCGGCGAGACTAAGGCTACTAAACGTACGCGTACGTTGCGAGAGAATCGACGACGTCGACGTATCGATATCTCCTTAATTGGCGTTATATACGTTAAGACGGCACGTCGACGCCTTTAGGCTCGCGACGACGCCGAAACGTTAGACTATTATAAGAGGCGTAAACTAGCGAAGAGACTATAAAAGCGACTCGTCGATATAGCTCTCGATATAGCGTAAGAGGTAGAGCGACGACGACGTACGCCAGAGGTGGCTTAACGACGTTAAGATACACTTAATAGGCTCGATATATAGGCTACTACCTTTATAAGGCTATTATATTAAGAGTTACGCGCCGAGGCAATAACGAGGTCTCTACGGGATGCTATATACTCGCGTATATAAGTTGCTATAGTACTATACTATCGCTATATAATATCGATATATATTCTTAACCGATATTATATCGACGGCAGTTGTTATATATTTAGCACTTTTATATTCTAAGTCGACTACGTACGGCAATATCGAGAGTATATCAACCACGACGTCTCGGATGGCAGGTTTTTGTATTCGATGCGATTATAGTACTAATTTACTAGGCTTAGTCATCGCTTATATTATAAAACCATCGTTGTGGCGGCTGTAAACAGAATATATCCCAACCGCGTGCAGAAAAACGATCGTATCGCTGTGGACGATCGTATCGCTGTGGTGCACTCGGTGGGGGGAACAACCGACGAGTGCTGACGGAGTGCACGGTTAACACAAAACAAGCTCGTGACCCGCAGCGCTAGCGCCAAGTGGGATTAGTGTGCTGCACAAAATTGATCAGTTCAAAGTATTGAACTACAAAATCTCTTTCAACAATCAGCAGCACAGCAGCTGCAACAGCATCAGTGGTTCAGTGGTAGAATTCATGCTTGCCATCGCTTCTCATCCTCGCAGATGACTTGGAGTAGCAATCCTGCATGAGACCCGCGTTCGATTCGCGGCTGATGCATCAATTTCAGAACTCATTTCTTTTTTGTGCTTTTCCAGCATGCCCGGTTTGTTTTTATGGATTGTGTGTGTGGAAGTGACTGAGAACCGCTGTGCTGCCATTTTGTGGTACGGACTTGGAATTGCTGCCTTAATTTTTTGGGGGGTTGATGCTGCGTGACGGACGAGGCTCCATCCTTATAAGATGAGTCAGCTGCATATGGCGAATGAAATCCTACCTACTTACGTGCTGAGTACCATCTACAACGGATCTACAATATTTTACCACCAACATGAAGACAACATGAAGACGACAAAATCTACCGTCTGGGCAGGAACAGTGAGTGATCATCCGTCTTGTCGATCTATAGACTCCTTCCGCGCGACCATGCTCATTGAGCTTTGTGCATTAGGTTCAACTTATCGGTACTACGAAGGAAGGGAATTAATTATTGGTGTTATATCTGGCTCAACATGTAGGCACTGGCATCAAAAATGATTTTTGCGTATCTATTGCTCAGCTCATGATCACTTTCAAGCTGAATTTCCAGTGCAAAGTCTTAAAGGTTTAGCAATTTGAAGCACGGATCAAGGTCGCCTTGTTAGCTGGAAGGCTCCGCCGCACCACCTCATACAGATGCTCGATCACTGCAACTCCATGACCACAAATCAAGGTTTCCCAAGAATGCTCTTCATCACAGTCCTCAATTTCTCTTCGCAGTTATCACTGAGCGCCATGGAGCGCCATCCAACGAACCTGTCAGGTCGTACAAGAACACAGCCATCTTCCTCAACTTCTCTTCTCCGCTCCCTGTGATGAAAACGCACAGTCAGTCAAGTCACGGGCACAGTTTTTGAGGTATTGTTTCAACGTGATGCATGACCAAGGTAGACTTACCAATCCCGATACACATCCACCCATTGCTGGCCCCAGCCTATACTTTCAGCTTTGATCTCCACACCGAGCTCCTGGCCGACTTTTTGTGCAGCATCTCTCCATCTTTCACCACCGATGCCCATGATAAGACAGAACCTGCCATGCCCAGCAAGATCAATGGTCGATGTATGGTTTTTCACAGGCATCGTCTTATTTAGCCAGGCATGTGGTAGCCGGTGACCAGGGTAAGTGCTGACTCTATGATGCAAAATGGGGTCCTCGGGCCATTCCGGCTTGGTGCGGCCGGCCTTGATCTCGTCCTCGACGTAGATCGCATTCGACTCGTACCTCTGGTTCATTTCCACCCCGAGACCATGGAACTCATGGCTGGTAGCTTCGATTGCAGCGTTGACCCTCCTTCTTCGCTCTCTCGCTTCCGGCGTGGCTGATTTTAGACTGTTGAAAATCTCCATTCTCTGTTCGACCGTCTCTTCCATCAATCCCATGGCTTGCCAAACTGGCACGTGGTCGCGGATCCCTTGGTTTGCTCGAGTGATGACGCTGTGCCCGACAGGTTGACGTTCCTTACTAAATGTCTCAAGCAGGGACGGTGCAGCGAGTCCCTGAGAAACGTATTTGATTTTCCACGCCAGGTTGAACGCATCCTGAACACAAGTATTGGATCCAAGCCCGTTGAATGGAGGATGTCTGTGCACCGCGTCGCCGAGACAAAAGATGTTACCGTCGGAGTAATACTCTGCGATGATTTCATTGATGTACCACTTTGATATGTCCAAAATCTCCAGTGGAAGGTCATCTCGACCGACAATTTCTTTGCATCTTTGCGCCCATTGTTCGTGTGTAGGTTCCTTCCACTCGGCGCCCGGTTTGGGAAACAGGATGAACATCCATCTATCGTGCTCGTCGTCAGTGCGGTTATTTGCCAAATCGTAACAAACCTAAACTTACTCATGCCACGGCTTGACCATCCTAATCAAACCACTCCATGCGAAATCGGGATATTCCCTTTCGGGCTGGAAGACCCAGTGCAAATTGCCTTTTCGGGCCTCGACATAGTCGCTCAAATCGACTTTGACAAGCACATTCAAGGCCAACCCCTGGCCGGGCTTTTTCTGCAAAGGTATGTTCAATTGTTTCAGAATCAAGCTTCTGGCGCCGTCACAGCCAAACAGATAGTTTGAGCGAATGAGGTACTCTGTCTGAGTTAAGCCATCTCGGACGCGGCTGAGAATCTTGCCGTCGGTCTCCTTTTTGAAATCGACAATGCTGGTGCGGAATCTCACGTCCCAGCCCTGAGCGGCCGCTCTTTGAACCAGAATCGGCTCAAACACCGTCTGCGGGAGATCGACGTGGTGGCAAGGGCTGGCGCCCTCGTATTCTGCTCGTCGTTTCGGGTCGTTGCCCCATGAGTAGATCCGCGCGTATTCCTCCCCAGTCATGTCGTGACACCATCGCGTGTGGACCATGCAGTCGCCTTCTGTGGCTTGCTCGAGACATGTTTGTTCCAGCCCAATGTCCCGCAGACACTCGAATGCCGCTGCATTGGTGATGTGTGCCCGCGGTGTCTGTGACGTGGTGCTTGCCGCTGAGATCAGGATGCCTGTCATTGAATAGGGCGGATGAGACAAAAAGCACGCCAATGATGCACCTGCTGGTCCTGCCCCGACTATGAGCAGTGGTGTCTCTATCACCTTGGAAGATACCTCGGGCACGCCATTGGTGGCGACACCGAGAGTTTGAGTGTCCGACATAGGATCTGGGAATGAGAATCACTCCCAAAAGACCAGACCAAGGGGACGGAAGACAGCACTGGCGTTGGCGAGCTGGGCATCAAATATGACCCAAATCCAAGAAAGACCACGTACGAACAGCGAAGACCTAACAGTATAAACAGTATGTACATCAATCGTCCTAGCGTTGTTCGATATATATTGTACCTAGGTATATTGCACACCGGGAAAACCCCCTAACTTCCCCAGATGGGTATTCCCCATCGCAAGTGTACTGACAAAGCCTTGACAAACTCAATCCACCCAATCATGAATCTGGAAATTCAAGGTTTTGGGCGCAGATATCGAGGGTCCAGCAATTGCTTCGGAGTCGAGACGCGGATGCTCAAGCAGGACACGAAGTTTGTGCCCACAGCCGGGTCCCGGTGGTACAATAGAGCCTGAGGACGAGATCCGGGTCAGCGTCGCGACGGTGGGGAAGTAGGTGGCCAAAGCCATTTGCCGGCGCCGGAGGTGGTTTGGTTTGGTTTGCGGAACAGCTGTGCGGTGGGGTTGAAGGTCGAGCGGATTCAGGATTGGATTGCTTTCAAAGATTCGCGTAAGCCGACAGACTGACTTCAAGTTTCACGCCGTAGAGGGGATGTGTCTCTACCAACAGCCTTGAGGAGAGAGAATAGCGACGTGATTTGCCTGCCAGTATGCTTCAAGTTTACAATATACATTAACACTGGAGTCGTGGTCGAATCGACGAAGGAGATATATTTTTCCGAGCCGACTCTCTTGGACCGAGGCTGAACGGTGACATCACCCGTGTTCTACCATTACCTTACTGTGCAATGTTGTATACATGCCACCTGCGACTCTTGTTCAACACCCACTGCCAGACGCACCACGAGTAGCTCAATGCTGTGAAGAAACATACAAACACTTCACAAACTCCTTGTTATACTTACCTCAGGGAGCGTTCGGAGTCCAGCTTCAACGAGCCTAAATCTCCCTCCGCTCTCTCCATTCCCCCTCTTGGCCAAACCTCACCAACAGCAACCATGCTCCTTCGCTCCGCGCTCCGCCCGTCCCTCTTCTCGCCGATATCCCAGGCGACCGCCAAATCAATACCCATACGTTCACGATCCATCTTGAACCGTCCTGTCCTAGTCGCATTCGGCCTTTCATTGTCCATCCCCTTCCTCCAACAACCGGGACAAATTACTCGCCTTGACAGCTCCCCTTATGCGCCCCAATCCTCGCCTTTATCTCAGACTGCGGCGTTCAGCAGCACCAGCACAAACTACACTCATTCGCGGGACGCCAAGACACCCCTCACTAAAGATGGCAAGACTCTGAACCCGGCCGCCGTGAAACAGATCAGTCTTGGAGCAATACTCGGACTCGGCGCCGGCGTGTTGGTTTCGGCATTCTCGCGAAGTTTGACGCTGTTGATTGGTCTGGGCATTGTGATTTGGCAGGTAAGACGGACACACGTTGAATGGCGTGGCGCTGCATCTTAGACGTAATCAGCTAACGGGATCGTTTTCGATTGTGTTCTTTAGTATGCCGCACGCAAAGGATACAATTTCATTCCTGTCGATCGGCTACAGCGGTACGTCAAGGGTGTCAACTTGCGGAGTGCTGTCAACGACAATCTCGCGTTTAAATTCAGCTTTGGGCTCATGTTTGCCCTGTCTGCGTTTGGCGAGTTCTAGTATACTGCGAGGGTGAGAGGGTGAAGCGAACTGAATTGAATTGCTTTGCTCTTGCTTTGGGGGCGTGTTTGTTCTGAATTAGCTCTGCCGAGTTTATCTGTGCAGAGAAGTACCATCTTTTCTCGTGGGAAGAATGGGGATCAAGCCATGGATGACTCGGTCGCTCGACCGAGCTCGTGTGCCTAGGGCGATGTGGAGATTTAAAACAAGGACCAAAAGCGAGGCAACTCGATCGTCTTCTGGCGGAAATATCACACCTGGTGGTTATTAATGGCGATGATAGCATTTGTCCGGCGATACCTTCTGCCCTGCTTCTCCTCCTCCATTCTCAGCATGTTTACTGCCTTTGGGTAATTTGGATACAGAAGTTCAGTAGGCCCAAAAGCTTGTCCGTTCGATGCAGGGTATGGAGGTAAAGCCCATCAAATGGCTGTCTATCAGGTCGAGGATCCTGCGTTTCAACCGGTACAGGCCGTGCGTATAAGCTTGTTCGAGTTTCAAGACCAGAGTCTGTGACCATGGGCAACGTATGGGAAACTCCCTGGATGCATGCGATATTAATATTGGCCCGAGATACCCATCCACAAAATAGCAAATGGATGTTCTGATCTGGTTCTGTTTTTTGTATCGATGTCTAATTCAACGTGACAGTCAACAGTCATAGGCATGCGCATTATAAGATGTCCTGAGATCACAACGGCTCTCTTCTCTCCTTTCTCGATGATTTCTTCCGAAAGCTCCCCTGGTCAATCTTCCTTGGAGGTACATAGATAAACTCAGATCGGAAAACTGGGATACTGGTAGCCATGCAGTGATGAGGTATTAAGCCCTCAAGCAAGCAACCCAAACAACAACTTTGTCCTCGTCCAATAATCTACAGCAGCAGCTTTTTGGGAGGTTTTCGTGTCCATTGCCTTCGAGTCTGCCTCCACCTGGTTTGGCGCTTTGTTAGTGTTATCGGACAATGCAGCGCCTAGATAGGCCTCGTCGAATTCCGTGACCGTATACAGAGATTTGGTTTTCCCAGCATCATCAGTTTCGAAGATTTGATGCCGGACGGCGTCCTTGACCATCATCGCGGCCGGCGGAGACCACAAATCAGTCCCACCGAGGTCGAGCATGATTTTGCACAAGGTGCGGAGGGTTGAGAACGCCGTGGGCGAAGGCATGCCGTCTGGCAGGTGTGACGGGGCACTAGTGTTTAGCTTGGGTTTTGGCCTATTGCTGCTGTTGCTGTTGCCGTTGCCGTTGCCGCTGGTGGTGGCGCCCCTTCTTTTGCGCTGCAGGGCCTGGGATAACTGGCGGGCAACCTCGTTTGCGATGACCCGATTTAAGTCTGTTATGATGTTGTCGAGACTGACAAGTAACTTCTGGCTCTCGCCTGGGAACGCTTGATGCAGTGATGCGAGTGACATTCGTATCGAGCGGAGCAACGTGACTGCTTGGATGATGTTGATATTGCCATCGGATGGGGGGTTGGAGATTTCACCATCGTTGATGATGGTGGATGCAGTTTGAATCATGTTCTTCTCATAGTCTTCGAGAGCCTCGTGCAGCGACTCCCGCAGTGCCTTGGTATAACTTTCCGGATCCGTTTCACAGAGCTCTCTGACTAGCGCGGCAGCCTGATCTTCTTGATCGTCTTCTTCTTCGGGCTCTTCGATGATATCTCTCCATCGGATCTTGGGAAGCTGGTTGATTTCATCCCGAGTCGCGTTCGCAGACGAGATCCAGGCATCCATTCGTTTCGATGCTTTCGCCAACACCAGGTTGAGGCCGGCATGGCGGTTCTTGACCTGCTTGATGAATCGAGATCCGGATCTGGATACACCGGTATTGCCTAAGTCTGCTTGAACTAGCTCGTCGTCCCAGAGCAACTTGGGCTTGTTTGCCGTAGAGGTGGTGACGCCCTCAACCAACCGTCTCGTTAACTCCGTCAGTTGTAAGCCTTTTGCTTGGCAGATACCTGACAGCCTTTGATTCAGAGACCAGCGTATCTCCTGAATAATGTCCATGCCGGCCGGAGTGGAAAAGTACGAGGGCAATAAAGTGGTATAAAGTTCTTTCCGGAGTTCGAGAACCGCAGTCATGTCTTTCACACTCGAAAGATACCCGTCCATTGCCCCGGACAGCAGATGAGACGCTTCTTGAGACCAGGTCTCCAACGCGGCCTGTGTTGCGTCCGGGGTGGAAACACTTCGCTTGAAGTATGGCACAAAAGTTTTGATCTCTTTAGGCAGTAATGGCCAAGTCCTGTCCAGGTCCAACGTCTCGAGGTCTTTGAGAGCAGGACCGTCCAAAATAGGCCTTTTCTGAAGCCCGTTCATTGCATCAGTAAGGGGACGACCCGCCACAGACTTGAAAGTCTGGAGTGACGCAAGTTGATATCGAAGAGCCTGACAGATGATGGTGCGGTCGGCTGATTGACTCAGCCATCGCCGGAGCTTGTCAAGCCTCAGCTGGCGACAGTGGCTAAGCGCGTCTTCCGCCGAGACACTGGTCACTAAGCAATAGGAGCATAGAGCCTCGACAAGATCTGAACGTGAGGAGACGGGGTTCACCAGTTTGGAGTCCACTTGTCGAAGCAGTTGTCGTCGTAGCATGGCGATCTTATTTCTCAACAATTCCAGGCTCGATGCCAGGTTCAGCCCTTCTTGCTGATCGCCGAGCGACTTCAACAACAAGCGAGAAATTACAACGAGCTGGGCGCATTGGAGAAGGTCGCGAGTTCGCAAGGCCGTGGCTGAGGTCGTGCAACATCGCTGTAGCAGTCGCATTTGGGCCAATGCCACCTTGTCGGCAGAAGGTGGTCGGGGAGACACATCTTGCTGCGGTGGCCGGCAGTTATGGCTTATGGATGCGAGGTGTTCTTCTGCGACCTTTGCCTTCGCTTGCAGTGACACAATCGCTTCTGCAGTTGCCAGCAGTTCGCGATAACTCCCCCTGTCGGGAGGCGTTAGTTTCTAATGTAGTTTGAACGAGGGCGGTTCCCCTGGACACCCGCGGGACCAAATGTCGTTTTTCATGATGATCTGACTTACCCGACAGTATTTCGCAGCTTCTCTTTGTTCCGCGCTGCACGGGCGCGCAGGTTCTTCTCTATGGCACGTATTTGCGGAACGCGATTCTCTTCAAAGGCCTGCTGCCATGTTGTAATCACGGCGTCTGAAGTCATCTTTGCTGATGGCAGAGTTCCACCGAACACGCGTCAATCCTGACTTTCAACAGCATATGCGAATTTGCTTTTGCTGCTGGCAACGGACTGTTTGTGCCCACAAGACCATATCTACCTAGGTAGGACCTGGATCTGAGTGTTTGTGGTTTCGTCAACGGACGACGAACACACTTGGATGTTTCAATTACGGTAGTTAAGGTCCGCCCTAGACAGCAGCAGCCCTACGTCATAGCCCACGTACTCCGCCGTAAATTTTGTTGTCTCTCAACTACTATTCAGTAGTGGTACCTGAACATCGAGATATCTGAGTGACAGTGTGGTGGCATAAGTAAACAACTGAAGCATGTATGGCAGCATGAAGTGTCTTCAATTCCTGAGTTTTAGTTGCCTCGTTTGGACACAGCATTAACGTAGAGCCCCTGCACGGTGGGATCCTCTTCTATCGAGTCTAGAATACGTTCCAGCTCCTCTTGTTGTTCGGGCGTCAAGGGCACCACGGTGTCCTCGTTGGGGATGTATACAACTTCGGCCTTTTCTGCCTGAAGTCCAAATTGATCTTGCAGAGATCGAGCAACGTCCATCACATCCGCTGGCTCGGTCTCTACAGTCAGTTTCTTGTCCTCCGATGAAATATCCAGAGCACCCGCGTCAATGGCTTTTTCCAGCACATCGTCTACCCCAAGTTTGTCCTGCTCCTCAAACACTATCCTGCCTTTCTTCTCGAATAGAAAAGCCGTAGGAGTGACTGTTCCACCTCCTACCTTAATGACATGACGCAAATCCGACAAGGTCCTGTTCTTATTGTCCGTCTCACATTCGATCATGGCTGCGACACCGTGAGGGAGGATGGCTTCGATAATGACACTCTCGAGCGCTTGTCCAGTCGGAGACTTCCCTTGACCCTTTGCAATGGCATGTTCGATCGCCGACTTTGTCAGCTGTCCCCTTTTGGCGTTGGCGATAGCAAAGGCGAGTCTGGAGTTGAATGCGGGATCAGGTCCGCCAACTACGCATGAGTCAGTTATTGGCCTCGCTGGGTAGAATAAAGTTGTGGACAGCTCCGCTCATACGTCTCGAGGCGGTGATGACGGCATGGGACAGCATTGTTTTGGCCTTGCTTTTCGCCGCATCTGCCTTTCCCTTGTCGTGTTTAATCTTCGACCATCGGTTGTGGCCGGAGAGCCGGAGCGCAGAGCTCGACCACAACCTGGCCGGCACCTGACAGCTCCATGAGGAGACACCTGCTCTATGCAAATGATGCCCGCCCATACAATCAGCAATGCAGAGCTTGGAACTCCAACACTGATGAACGGAAAATTGCAGCAGCGGCTGAGCAACTCTGGCTGAGCAAGTTCGCAACTTGAATGCAACTACATCCCCAGCATTACCTCTCCACCGTATTATTGCAAGGCTACGTTTCAGCCTTGCATAGGCCCGGTCTTGGCAATTACTGGGCGATCACGTGGATTGCGTAGCCCTGCTTATGTCATTTGAACCCCCTTTTCCGACGTCCGAGTCAAGCTCATGTTTGTGGTGCTTGTTTACATTAACTGTGTCGACTCTAGACAATGAATGCAAGGTAGCTGGGGCTCTGTAGTCCGCATAAGGAGCCAGCCATGGTGTCAACATGTGTCGGTTGTTCTCGCCTTTTGCAGCACGACGCTTCTCCAAGAAGGCCTCAACTCACCCAGCTCCGCTTGCCAGGCGCGCCTATGCTGGATCATCTCCCTGTCCAAATTCCCTACCAATAGACATTAGCTGGTCGGCTGATATCAAAGACATTTAGGTATCATCCAAATCATTCTGATCTCCCAGATGCTGCATGAGCGCCTCGCTGGCGAGGTCAAGTGCGCCTGGTTGTGCTGGGGAAACTACCGCCGTTTGTGATTGGAACTGAGGCATATTCTTCCTTGCGAATGCCGCTGCCCAAGGCCCCACAATGAGGGCAGTGTTTTGGAATATGCAAGGCTGTGCTAGCCATATCACTTTAGGTTTGAAGAAAGGTCGCCTGTGACGCCTTGCAGGGCAAAAATGGTTTACCCTGCCAGCTTACCACGGCTTGCGAATCAGGTCTTAAAACTGACAGTCTGGGCTTCCGGGCAATCGACATCATCTTGTGAGTGAAGCATATTTCACATTCATGTGATTGTGACAATACTGTGAAGAGCGGCGTATGCTGGAGGGCCTTCCACCCTCAAATTGCGTCGGCGTCGTATCAGCATATTTTGTCGTGCTGGATACGACGATGCTGTGTAAACGGATTCATCCAGGGTGTTTTATGGATCAGGTAGATCCTGCTGATATGGTCATGTCTTTCTCGCCGTTTCTCCCCACGTTGTCATTGGCCCAGTCGACCTCCGCTTGTTACGAGATAGCAAATTGTGTTGAATGGAGTCTGATAGTACCCCTCAGTGGATGTCTTCATGCCTATACGACGGGCAAACTCAGATGGAATGCCCTTTGGTATCTGATTTGTCGCACCGCCTCGTATGTTCTTGAACGAGTCCGCCTGACTTTATGGACGAAGTCGAGGGATGATTGAGAACCCAGAGAAGATAGAAAAGTTCGCTCGTTTCAGTGATCAATCCCTCCATCTGTCCAGTTTATACCTTGCTCTGCATCTGATATTCCACGCTCTACTACTCCCTACATCTGATCTTCCAGCTCTGGTTTAGCCATCCTATTACCTCAACCCGCACGTGCCACGACAAAAATCCAAGACGAAGCCATGTGGTGAGTTGATGGAACATCAAGCTCCAACCCTAGCTGACATTTGCTGTATAGCATCAAACAACCGTTCGGATCGCACCATGAGCAGCAGGACCATTGCCACTGGTTGGAGAAGGACTCTACAGCCCACTCCCGTATAGGGGAGGCAACCGGAGAGGCACTGGGCAGCAGCACCGTCGAATTTCAGTCCTTTCAATCAGTCCCATTGATTGTCTGCGCGAGAGGCCAAGTATGGTACTGCTGTTGGTGTAAAAATGGCCCAATGTCCATCGCGATTAATGATGGATGCTCGAAATGCGGCAGAAGGCGTTGTGATCATTGCACGATCGAGATTATCAAGAAGTGATCACGTTGGGTGCCATTGCTTTTGAGCAGCCCACAGTGAAACAATGGGGCCATGGAGAATGGATATGTCTGTGGATGGAACCTCAGATGATATTACGGCTTGTCGTTGGCTTGTGTGCTGATCAGGATGGTCATGACCTGGTTATTTTCTCGTTGAGGTCCCTCTTTCAGACCGTCTCCATGCAAGAGTTACTGGCTGGAAATAAGGCAATCAAAGTGTTTACGGATCCGAGACTCTTCGTCTGTCCTGACACGGATGACGAGTTCTCTGGTAGTCATAAATGGGATCTGCCTCCCTGAGCCAATGGCTTCCTCATCCGTGCAGTGCTTCCGGCCTGTTGGCTTGAAATTCAACGGCCAGCAAGTTGTCTGTGGCGAAGCCAAAAGCACGAATAGGGCGAGTCTTGCCCTGCTGCGCCCCTGGATTGCCCAGGGCATGCTGGCCAAAAGTATAGGTAAGTGGTGCAGCCTTGTCCTACGCCCTTTGGTGCAGGCACTGTGTCACAGGATCAGCGGCCATGTCAGAGTACCCCAAGGGCTTAGGTGATATCACCTGGGACTACAGTGCACTATGGAGCAGCAGCAGCGGGCACTAGGCATTGCACGGGTATCTAGAAAGACATGGGTGCGGTATGGGACTGCCTTTATACAGTGTTGCAACAACAAAGAGTGAGGTTCGGGGTTCCAGTACCAACAAGGGTAAGTACCTTAGGTAAAGTACTACTCAGGCTGTAGGTAGATACCGTAGGCAGTGATCTGGCGAGTCTGGCGTGTGAGGCGTGCCAAGACTGGCGCAGTCTTTTATTTGCCCGCTTCAAGTTTGATGCCTGCTCTGCTGTGCAGCCTGAGTGCAATTAAATGAATGATGATGAGCCTCCAACTTCCGTAAGGCAAAACTCACCGGTTGCTCGACAGCATGCTACTCTCCCATGATTCTCCGTCACTTACGTACCCGCGTTATCATGCCGCAGAACAGCCTGTCCTGACTGAATGTCTTGTAGGTCAACAAGTTTCGAAGCGGCTTAATGGGACCTGGCCGCTGGAAGACAAGGATCTGATGCAATTGTACGATCGGTTCGACGAAACCTTGCTTCTTGCCAAGGTGTTGGAGCATGCTCTATCTCGCCGGACGCGGTAGAATGCATGATTTACTGCAGCCCTGCAAAGCAAAAGGACGGACTTTTGCCCTTGGGACCTACCGAGGTTCACCTAGGCTGGCCATGAATACTTTTGGGACGTACCTGGGCGTCCGTTGTTGGCGATCAAACAGTGTCCGTCAGTCTCTACTGCGGCATTCGGACATCTTGACGCGAAGCACGCCTACGGGCTGACCCGTGATGCTGCCTGGAATACGAGGTCTGCCCTCGGCCAGCCAGTGTGCATTTGACCCTCCGCTCATCTCCAGCCCAATCAGCGCCCAAAAGAAAGCACTGAATATTCTGTGAACTGACATATTGCAAACATTATCAGGGAGATCATCCTCTGTGCCGGCGCCCGCCAGCTTCTGAAACACGCTCAGCAGGGTGCCTTGCTGCATCTGAGTGGAGTCCGAGGCAGCCACCATACTGAACTGTGATAATGGCAGAATACCGGGAGTTCGCCTCAGATGAACGACCGTTGAATGTGGCTCATCCCACGAGTGGGACCCAACAGTAAGTATTGACAGGCAACATGAACAGCGGTTCGCTACCTCCCTGGCCCGTCAAGAATGGCCACCATCCTCGCTGCCACAAGTCCCAGGTGCAAATGCCGCAGCAGAATATCCGCCACCACGATGGAGGCGCGGGCTTTCGATCTCTAACTGGTGGCCAGTTCATCTGCAGATTACTTTTCATGTCCAATCTGCGACTGTACCTCATGCTACAAGCGTTGCCAACATCCATCCATCCAGGCCCTCCGCCTCCAAAATGCAATCCCTGGCTGCGCGGTGCACGAGATTGATTCGTCTTTGATTCCTGTCCGTCGCCTTCGATGGAGACCACCAGGCAGATCCTCAGCAGGCTATGATGCTACAGTGCCATGATTTCAGGGCTTTCAGGCGAACCATCTGAGTCCGGATTACGCTCAGTATCCCTCCTCTTGTGCTGTGGGCATCATATAAACACTCTGCCGGGCTGGGACTACCCACTCATCCCTTTCTTTACTCTCTCACAACTAAACCACCTTGATCTCCTTCGATCAGCTGTACAGCTTGTTCGTCTATCTCCTTCACCCATATATTGCTGTCACAAGATGCCGGAAAAGAAAAAGAAAATGGGCCCCATGAACGGCTGGAAATGCTGCCAGTGCCACACCGTCAACCCTAAACTACATGACTACTGCCCAAACGTCAACTGCTACCACAGAAAGTGTGACGGATGTGCCGAGATCCATATAAGGCAAAGCAGCAAGTCACGAAACCAAGACCGTCAATTGCGTCGCGACTGATTCGACGCACAGTTATTGGTATGCTACCTTCTCGCTGTTGCACCCCCATACCTATTGACTTAACGTGGACAGGAAGTCACACCTCCACATCAAATGCTAGAGGTCATCAGAACTGGGAGGCTCCCCTGTCGACTTCGGAATGCGGATACCTAGGCGAACCCTCTACATGGAATATAGCCGCTGTTGTGGAGATATGGTTGGCGGGATGGGTGAACGGAAGTCACATGGTGGTGCTGACTGCGGACCTGACATTGATCAACGAAATGACGTGTGAGGCGGACCTTGGTGGTTGAGTACGACTTCGAGTGACCTTCATGTTGTGCTGCAGTGATGGCTCGCTTGCCCTTGACTTCCGTCCTGCGCAGTGTCCCTGCTAGTGCGTCGAAACATCTGTACCTTCCTTGCTACTAGTACTAGTGCTTCGCTACCTGGGTACTAGTAGTACAGTACATACCTAGGTACCTACTAGGTTGGTCCTAGTCCTGTATAGGTGTCTATCTACGTACTTAGAGATACTAGTAGTACTACTAGTACTAGTAGTTCAATGCTACCGGTCGCGGCCTAGTCCTGTTGTGCAGTAGCCGCTGCTGCTCCCACGTGGCAGGACCAGCAGTCTAACCGTTTTCCACTGGTACTGGCACTCCGCTATTTCCAACCACTGCCTCCCGACTCTCATCGTCCTCCTCCTCTTCGTCCTGCTTGGTGTCTGTTGGACTCTCCACGCGGGGTACTGTGGCCCTCAGCTCACCACCATGGCAACTGTAGGAAGAAGCCGATCTTCTGCTCAAAACTGTGATTCCGAGACTCAGACGGAACGATTTGTCTCAATGCTTCCCCTCCTCTCTTGGCAAACATACGACCGGGCCACTCATCATGGCACTTCGACGCGGCGTCCTCTCTCTGGCGATTCTGAAATCCCTTGTCAAGAGGCCCCCGTACTCAAGATTGTTGTAGGGGCGATCGTGCTCCACTATACATGTTGACAGGCCACATACGAGCCTGTATAGGTCTGCAGGATGCCAGGTGAATCCAGGGCGGCTTGCATGACCCACTTCTTCACAATCTACCCTGAACCGGCAAGCCTTTGCCGGTCAGGCTTTTCGGTGCGCGAGTTGCAAAGGACACTTCCATTGCAGTTACGAAGCCCCCTTCCGGAAGGCAGAAGCTAACGGACGTGATAATGAAACAGCCAAAATTCAGTGCCGGCTGGTCATCTATTGACCGACTGCGAGGGCAGTCAGGACGCGTTGGAACTGAAGTTGCGCAGCGATCCTAAGAGATTCCCTGGGGTCTCAGGGCACGCATCATTGCAGCGGTGAACCGGCTCCACTCTCTAAATCTTCCATGGCACCTGCGCACATTCTTACCTTTTCTATGGTATTGGACCTTTGCAATGGTCTCCGTGCTGTTACGGGGCTTGACTTGCGAAAGACGTTACGAAACTTCTCGCTGCGGGCTATGGCAGGCTCGGGCCACTGTCGATCTTCCTCCTCGTCGCGGGGGTTTAACGGCGCAGTCGAGGAGTATCCAAGGGTATCTACCACTCACTCCAGCTCATACGTTGCCGATCGTCACGATGTTTTGCTCTCGCGGGTTCCTCAACTCTGCAATGTGCCTATGAGCGACTACACCGCCGCAACCCCTCCAACATTGAAGGCCATCGTGAAGAGCAACTGCAACTTGCTTCCGAGCTTTCACAAATTCACCAACTCAGGTTTCCCTCCATGCTCGCTGTATTTGGTGGCAACGTTACTGTATTTCCCTTGTTCTTCCAGCTCCCCACAAGGAATCGAAGGAAATCTGAGGACGACCTTGTTCGCTTCGCTCAATCGGCATACGCATACCAATTCATGCCAACCAACCATGAAAGCCGCGATCACTTCTATCTATGTGCCAGCAACTCACTGGTATTGCTGCACTTATGCTGTGCCAAGTAAGTCTTCGAGTCCGCAACATCTTGCAGCTGTACAAGAAGGGCACCACATGCGAGCATGCGGATTGCGGGAGATACACCCCCACTGTCTTGAATTGAGAAGGTCATACACTCGTCAGACTACTTCCCAACTCGTCGTTTCTCGACTAGCACTGGGCAGACTATTGAGACAACTCAGGACCTCCTCTGTGGGTCCAAAAGCGGACGCATTCAATACACTCTGGCTGACGTGCTTTCAGAGCGAATTTGACCTGACCGTGGTCTGTCTTCTACGTCTTTTGGCTGCACAGGAGTGGAGCTCACTTTTGGCCAATCTCGTCCGCTTTTGAAGGGCCTGATCGACAGCGGCAGAAATGCAGCTAAAGAGGAGCATTGCGCTGTGACAAGGGGTGCCTCCAGAAATCATCCAGCGAAGAATCAGCACATTCTCCTTGAGGCAAAAAAGAAAAACAAACGTTAGCCACCGGCGCAGATCATATAGCACGGGGCTTATCGTGCATCACGTCTCCAGCAAACGAATCTGAGCTAATCGACATAGCGCTGCCGAGAGTGAGACTGCATGTAAAATAAAGGCCCTAAGGTTTGCACAACTATACGCACAGTTTAGGGCATGCTGCAGGACAGCTGGTACCCGCGAATATTAGTGGATGCCTCGTACCTTGACCGCAACTAGCTCCGGCCACAAGCAATGGTCGCCAGGCATGCTCCCGCCGTCAAGTCGGAATCGTCCATGTGAGCCAGCAAAGCACTACAACGCCAGGCTCTGGTCGGTTTACCGATTCTCATACGCAGCTGTCTAGCGAGACCTGTCAGAAGCTCGCTTTCTGCTAGAGTTGTTGTACAACATGGCCGGGTGCAGGGGCATCGGATCGACCAAAAAGTTGTCGGATCTTTGCAAAATACCTTTGGAAACTTGTCAAGCCGGAGCCCGACTCGCACCTCAGAAGCGCGGGTGACACCTCCATCTCAGAAAGTCGCCGGTGGCCGCCCGAAACAATGGCACCTGTCGTCATTGGCTCGACTAAGCATTAGCAGCATCCAGTGTCACACCTAAATGTACCTACGTTGTCGAGCAACCTGCAGAGATGTCGAGTGGAGAGACATCGCACCAAGGACGAGGGACCGTTGGCCCCTCGGCCGCTTTCTGGCGACAGGGGAATTGACCATTCAGGGCTGCCCGTAACAGCCAATCAGTCCGGTAGGTCTTAGCTCGCATCTACCTCACTCTCGACGTTCGACATTTCACCGGTTTTCCAAACCTTGGCAACCAGTGAACAGCTACATCACAACTTCCTCCGGCGATGAGCCAGCATTTGACGCAGACTAAGTATGCCAGTACTTGTAAGCCTCCACACTGGAAAGACGAGCCCATGGTAAGACAGATCCGGCACTGATCACTCAGAAAATGCCGTGCCGTAGCGCCAATGCGAGGACAAGGAATTTTCCAAATCGACATCAGGCTGAGGTGGACATTGTTGTCATCCCACGGCGGGACTCATTCTATTAGTCATTCAAATATATCCAGGACAGGCGGCGGCCGAGGGCACCGACGATTATGTCGACTCAAGCTGCGAGACATCGTTGAGGCGAGCTCTCGGTCGGGAAAGAAAAAAGCCTCCCACTCAACCTCCGAAAGCAAAACGGGACACAGCCCTGGGAAGTACAACTGACTTGGACCAGGATCGACATTTTTGGCAAGAGGCTTAAGCGAGTACCGCTATTACTAGGCCACCTACCATTCCTGAAAACGGGGATTTGCCAACCAACCCCCAGCTTTTAGCAATGAGTCATCACGAAGAGACAAACATACTTCGCTCTTCACGCATGAGCACAGCCCTTCAGTGCCTCGACGAAATCCGCCGTCCCGGTATATGGATGGGTACGATCGACCCAATGAATGGCCTTTTTGTTGGCTAGGATGCGACAACCAAAAATCCGTACGTACGGTGCCCATCGGCTGGTTACAACCGTCAGTTATGCCTTTATCCGGCTTGGTCACGGCACAGGGCCCACACTTCTCAGAGTTGAGCTGTCCTTATGAAGGCAATCTGAAGTTCGAGGACCTGGCGGCCTTCAAGGTACGCTTGTTTAAGACTTGGTCTGCTTCTTTTGCGGCCCGACAGGCGAACTGTGCTGGACGCCTGGTTATGAGCATTCTTTGAGATCCCGTGCAAGTGGGGTCAAGGTGGGTCTTCTGCGTGGGAAATGTACATCAGTGTTTGGGGTTGTGATTTACCCTACGGAAACCCGAGTCCCAGGTATGCAGATGAGTAGACCGGTCAGACAATTCACAGGTGGGTCTTCAGTGGTTTATTTACAGTATCTCTGCGCTGGTTTTTCTACCCCCCGGATGGTCCAACTTCGTGCCGCCATGCCGCTGTGTTAGCGTGAGTTGTCACCAGAAGAAAACGGGCCTTGGGCAGATAACCTGTGTTGGAATGGCGGCAAGGTGGGAGGACAAAGGACAATGTACACGATACGAGAGGAAAGAAGCTCCCGAGGACTAGTACACCGGAGTCGAGGTGTGTGCGTCACTGAAGCAAAGGGGGGATGAGCGACCGTATCCGGCGGTGTCCCAGGGTTTCATTCTATGTGCCTTGAATACTTTGTGGTGTGAACCAACCAACCATACGAGTTTGCTCTCACCACGATATCAAGCCTGAACATGAGCGTACGGGATGAACATAAGACTGGGATTTTATTCTTTTTGTTCGTCTACGCAGAGAAGCCTCCAAGTCGTGATACATTGGTTCGACCCGGCCCGGTCTATTCTTGTAGTTGGGGCCCAAACCCTCCATATGCCTTCAATACCTGATACATTGGACCAAAGCGAGCAATATCATGATATATCGACAGACATAGATATAGACACAGGTAGATACTGCATATATAAGCTGCAGGAAGCCGACCAGGCGTCCGAGTAGTCAGCAACTGATGATGATGGCTGAAAACATGTCACTGGGGTGTTTTGACAACGACGGCGCTATCTCCCTTTTTGCTTGTACTACTTCCTCTTCAGCGGCGCAGCGCTGGTATCTGCGCCAGTGGCACTGGCACTGGCGATCGGAGCGGTGGGTTTGAGCTGCTTGGTGTCCTGGCCGGCAAGGGGTTGGTTCTTGTTGTCTTTGGCTTGTTTGTCCCCGGCTTTGGTTTTGTTCTCGGTTTCGTCTTCATCTTCGTCTTCGTCGTCTTCGTCACTCTCGTCGCCGCCCTGGCCAAACTCGTTGACGCGCGAGTAATCGACCTTGTAGGCCCACTTCTGGTAGAGCCAGACGAAAAAGATGACATCATCACGCAGGGTGGCGAGACGATGCAAGAAGGGCATACGGATGGTAAAGGCGAACAAGTCATCAATAAAAGTATTGAGGAACTTGTAGAACAGGGCGCGGGAGGGCATATGAGCGACCGACTTGAGTCTGTAGTTGATGTACAAGCTGGGGACCATCATGAGAAACCCGTAAGCATAAACAGAGCCGACGAGGGTCTCAATGACGAAGCTGTACCAGGACTTGTGGGACTCGTAGATGAGCGAGTAGACGGCGTAGGCGAGCAAAAGCGGCACGGCGACAATGTACAGATACCGGAAGGCGATCTGGTCGTACTCCTGGGTCTGCTTCTCCTTCTTGGTCAACTTGTGTTTGTCCTCGAAGACGACGACATAGGGCAAGAACTTGAAGCGCGAGTCCGGGCCCGGTTCCCGCAGTCGCACGTTGACCGTCTTGGTGATCTTCCAGGCTTCCAGCAGGATGCCGAACCCTTGGCCCGCCAGGATCATCCACGACGTGCCCTCCGAGTTGTCGAGCAAGTACAAGAAAATGACCGTCTGCATGAAGACATTCGCTAAAATCGTGCGCACCGACGTGCCCACGTTGTCCTTCTTCTTGCGCCAATGTGAAATGTCGTTCTTGAACGCCAGCCCTTCGAAGATCATGTGCAAGATACTCACGACGAACGTCGTGCCCAGCAGATACGCATTGGTGTCGAGGAGCACTTCTTTCAGTTTTTCGAACTCGCTGCCGTCGCCGCCCGCTGGTAATGGACCCCCTTGCGCCGCTTGCTGTTGGTTCTGCTTCATCCCTTCGTCGACGCTGGCCAGAAGCGAATATTTCCAATTGGCCAGGTTATAGAGCTTCATGTTCAGTGGCATTTGTTTGACCGTGTCGTTGAGCTCTGTCATTTGCGACCGGAGCTGCCAGAACGTGTTAAGGAAGACCACCGGGTAGTACCATCCGTTCATGCCAGAGGCGTCACGTGCGCCCGTAGGTTCCAGGACAATGTTCTTGCGCATCGCGGGGTGCATCTGCCGCCAGTTCTGCAGTCCCGTGTTGGGCACCACGGCCACCGTGAAATTGGGGTGATAGTATGAGCCGATTTGCACGCCTTGCGCTTGTGGCTCTCCGGGTTCAGACTCGGTCGTTTCGCTCTTGTCCAGCAGATTCTTCAGCTTGCGCGTCTTCTTCTTCGGGAAGTAATGGTTCAGAGCGCGCTTGAAATGCGTCGCCTTGGCCGTGTCATAGTCCGCCGCCGTCGGGTCCAGTTGGCTGCCACTCAAGCCGACAAAGAAGTGAGCCCATAGAGTCCCGTTGTGCTGAACCTCTTCGGGAATCGCGATCTTGGTCTGGATTTCCCGGTCTTCGGAATAATTGCCCATCTTGAACCCCTTCTCGTTGACCACCAGAGTGTCTTTCGGGAGATTCGACGGCGACCCAACGTCGGGCTTCGGGGAAACATAGACTTGGATATCGAGAACGCTGTCATCCGGCCAGATGGGGGCAATGTTGTACGGGATGGCAGAATAGTTCGTCAACGCGGTCATGTCGGCTCGATTGTCGAAGTTCATGCTGGCTTGCGGAGGTGCAGAATTGCCGGTGCCAGTCTGCGTCTTGGAACCAAAGAACTGGTTGATGACGAACTGGGTAAGCATGAAGATGGCAAGGCCTTGAAGGAGGGACTGCATCATGGACTATGTCCGGTCAGTAGAGCTCGTGAAACTAATCGATATGGAATTGCTTGTTCTCACTTTGCGCCCTTCTTCCTGTCCGGGAGCGGCGGCTTGAGAGCCGCTTGCTCTGGTCTCCGGCATCTTGAGTGCGTTGTCTCGCGATCCTTGACAGCCCAGGTATAAATGATAAAGAACACCTTGGAGAACAGCGGTCGGCGGAGAAATGGTGTTCAAGTTGGATGCGATTCCGCAATAATGTAATGGCAAGGGTCTTGTCGGATTAATGATGATCCGGGTCGGAGCCTCATTAGAGCATTTCGGCAGGTGAAGCGCCGAACTGCTTGGCAGCATCCAACTTTGAAGAACAGAGAGCATTGAATGTCGTCGTCGCCGAGAGTGTGATGCTTCTATTTGTTTGATGGCATCCTCAAATCAACATTGCTCGCCTCACCAAAGTTAACAGCATGTCCGGTTGATTACACGAGTATGGACCATTTCTAAGGTTCTGCCATGGCCAGTGGAGGAGGGTCGGTGCCCACGCCTACGCCTCAATTCCCTACACATAATGCGCCCCGAGTGTGGTTGATTACCGCGGGGGATTCTCCCGTCGGCATTTCATTGTCACGCCAGATCCTCGATCATGGCGACTACGTCGTGTCTGGAATCAATCAATCCGAATTTGAGAGCGACAGCCCCCGGAGTCAGCAGTTCAAACGATTCTTGTCCGAGGTTGTACGGGAGAATGGGTGGAAGGATCGCATGAAGATCATCCCACTCGACATCAGGTATGCATTCCATCGCCATTACATATGTCGTTTCCTACGCTCTTGCGTCCTGTCCTGTCCTGCTGCTCTGCTTAGGGCACCCCATGATTAATTAGCAAGCTGCAGAATCGTTTATCAATGTCAAGCAGCAGTGGCCGAGGCCGTGCATACATTCAAAAAGATCGACATCTTGTTGTGTTGTACAAGTGAGGCGGTGGTGGGCACGGTCGAGGAGCTCTCCACTAGTCAGCAAACATTGTCACTTGTGCGCGCCCAATTCGAGAAGAACTTCTTCGGGCCCCTGAATATCATCAAGGCCGTCATCCCGGAGATGCGATCCAAGATGAACGGCCATATAATAGTGCTCACAGGCATCCACGGCCATCTGGGAACTCCCGGGTTGAGCATGTACTGTTCCGCGGGCTGGGCGCTGGAAGGCATATGCGACAGCATGGCGTATGAAATTGCTCCTTTCAACATCAAGCTGACCATTGTCCAGTCCAGCGTGGAAATTGGCATCCTGACCAACAAAATCACCTCGGCGCCGCCCATGAAGGAATACGCCCGCGAATCGGGCCATACGGCCCCCATGTTTCGTGGGATTCTGGATGGTCTGCTCAACCGACTACCTGGCATACGCGCACAGTACCCGCAATCACCAGGGCATGAAATACACACCCCGTCTTCCGAGGCTGAAAGGGAGAGCGGGCCCTATCTGCTAAGCCGCAATGAAGTGGTCAGCCTCTATCCTCCTCTCAGTGATGCCCACACGGAGAAGTTGCTCGCCGAAACCGTCCATGCCCTTACGGCGATAGGCGGCCATGAAAATCCACCAGCAAGGCACATTGTCGGGTGGGAGGGAGTTGCTAGCGTCAAGGAGAAGCTGAAGACTGTGAGTGAAGAGCTCGAGGAGTTTGCAGAAACCAGCGCATCGGCCGATATTGCGAAGCAGGGTCCAAGTGCGGGACGGCCCTCAAATCTTGCCAATGTTGAGATAGGAGATGTCGAAACCGATGTCTTTGATGCATCCCTAGGTCTACGCTTTGGGTAGTATGTCCAGATGCAATGTAACGTCATGGCTTTTCAATGTCTCTCGCGTCGTCTTTCGCTGTCACGCTCACTGCGCGATCTATCATGGCGCCGATGCCCAGGAGATCTGCTCCTTGATCTCTCTCGCCGTCGGTGGCGGTGTCGTTCAATTGAGGGCGATCTTGACCGCCTATGTGTATGGCGATCCCTCTCCGTTGACGGTGACCGGCGACGACTCCTTCGGTGACCGTCTTCTCTGTGCCTATGCCTGCGATCGTGATCTCGATGGCGATCTCGGCTTCGACTGCGGCTTCGACGCTTCTCCCCGCCGTGGCGTCGTTTGTATTCCTTCAATGCATACTGCAGCTCTTTACCCTGGTCGCGCCCAGTGCCCTCCAATCGTTCAACTGCCGGTTCCAACCCTTGGGCTTCTGGTACCCCTGTATTGCGCCCGTAGCCCAAACCCCGCGAGCCTGTGGCCTCACTCTCTTCTGTGGCCCCCTTCAAAACATTTCCAACCTCGCGGTGGGCGCCTAATTCTTCCATGTTGGGGTTGTTCCGGGGTGCGACAGGCAAGCCAAGGGCTCGCGCGATTGCATCCTCTTCAGCCTGTTTCACTCGTTGGATCTCTTCCTTGCGTTCTCTTGCAGCCTTAGCGGCGGCGTCTTCATCTCCATCTGCGTCGCTACTGGCTTTAGCGTACCAGTTGAGATCGCGACCTTTTGCCCAGCGGCCCACTGGGGCCATCAGGGAATGGCCCAGATAATGCTCACGGTGGGAGGAAGCCTGCACATCGGACCATTTGAACTCGCCGCGGCCACCCCGCGAGCCTTCCTTGCGGACTGTAGCAAGTAAATCCATTGTGGCGTTGCCGAAGCCCGGGAAAGGGAAAAAAGAAAGGAACGATCGAGTTCGTGGATGGCAGCGACGGTTGGGTCAGACAGTTCCGCATCAGATCGCTTGCTGCCGTGTAACGCAATCTGCACCTGACCCAAGGTAGGACAACAACAATAATTTGGCAGACCTGTTCAGTATCCGTCTACTTGCGGAGACCGGTCCGCAGTTGATGCATAGGACCGGCGGATGGCCAGGGACGAGGGGATGTTGTGGCGTTTGCAGTATTCGGTCGAGGATGAAACGATAGTTGCCCGGGATATACTTCGGCTCGCCCAAATACGATGCCAGCAATAAGAACAAGCGACAGCAATACGACTGTTGAATTGTTGCTAAAAGATTGGTGGTTTTTGAGCCGTGAATCGCCGCGATTCTGTGTCTTGAACCTGCGCTGGCTGCGTCATTTGGCGTGTCCTAACTTGAACCACACCACAACCACCATCTCCAGAGTCACGTCGTACGTACGTCTGGTTCCTTTTGCTCAGTAGACGCTCGCTTCTGTAGAGCTGTCAATATTTGACTTGTCATTCTGTCCCTTTATATACTACGCAAACCCCGATCGCGACTTCGCTTACCGTCTCCAGGGGCCCTGATGCGAAGAGCCCGATCCGCCTAACTGCTCTCATGACATCCCACCAGCGTCGTGTCCCAGAGCGACCTCCCGACGAGCTCAAACCCTCTTAGTCTGCTTGCTGAGCTGAGATGTCAGTGCCCTGACTGTGCATACTCCAAGACATAGCAAAACGGTGGGATGAGTTGAAGAGTTGGGCTAATTGCCAGCAATACCTGTTTCAGTCCCAGCGGTTCGATGCTAATCCCGCACAAAGCGTTCAAAAGCACTTAATCGAAGCCAACATGGATCTTGATCCTAGACCATTCGAATCGGTGAATGTTGGTATGACCAACGTGGAGGCAGGCGAGGACAGGTTTTCCAACCATGGCATATTCTATCCTCCTCCTATAGCCTATTGGCGAAACAATTTGACCGCCCTGTCACAACGCTACAATCTCTATTTCATTGCCACTCGGAATGCTATTGTTGTGTACAAACCAGAATTTCCTTTCCAGCGGCTCGGCCGAGTGCCTTGTTTGATGATCTTGCCTACCCTGGCAAACCCGGATGCGCAAGGTTATATTGATCCACGCTCACCGCATGATATTAATCATTTGATTGTGGGCGACCTCGGGACGCAGGAGATACTACTTTGCGCAACAGACTCTGGCAATGTTACTGCCTATTATACCAAGTCATTAGAAGAGGCGATACGAAACGGGTCGTATACGTACTGCCCTGCCCTCCGGAATGATCGCGTGCAAGTGAGAGAGTTCTTTGCTCAGTGGGTGCATGAATCAGCCTGGGGTCTGAGTATACACACCCAAGCTCGCATGATTGCAGTATCCGCAAATACTGCCTACCACGTTCAGACCGGAGATCCCTCTTCCAAGATCACTGTTTTTGCGTTCGCGTTGACGGAAGAAGGCGAGGAGAAAGGGACTGAGGAGAAGATAGAGAAAGCGGTCGAGGACGAAGTTGCTGATAGCGGTGGCGACGATCCTGTGGACGCAACATCCAAGGACAATGGAAACACGAGGCAATTGGAATGGCAGGAGTGGGAATGCGACGGGTCTAACCAGTTCCCTCCACCGCGGAACAAGAACTACAAAATCATACTTGGCGGCATTGACGGACACGACTTCAACGTCCCGAGCATCTCCTTTGTAAATTCCGATCTGGATGTGGAAGGCAAGTGGCTCCTGAGTACCGATATTGGAGGTGAGATGAAGATGTGGCAGATTTGGCAGGGCAAGTGCTTTAAGTCGTGGGATCTGGCCGAGAAAAGATCGCGGTCTGCCTTCTTCCGCAGACGTGAAGGAGGCTGGCTTGTCGCTGCCCTCGATCCCCGAGCTTTCCGACTGGCTGAGACCATGGACGAATTCTGTGGGCACTTCAAGGCTCCCCAGTATCACGGTCATGTTGGGGAAAGCTACGATATCACTCACATTGTTAGAGTCCGTACGCCAGGCAACAGTGCTGCTTTCCCAGCGGTAGATACCCCCTTCGAGGAGGACAGCGGCGACGAAGATGACCACGAGAGTGCCGGATCGTGGTCAGATATGGACCAAAGCGATATTCATGATGATGATGTAACCCTGGACGAGTTCGCTACAGTGGCGGATGCGTTCAGCTCGGCCGACATGCCCTCGATAACAGAATCGCCGTACTCGCAACACGAAACAGCCGACCAGGGCACAGGAGTCATGCAGATCCAGGCCTCTGAGTCGGATGCAGATGGTGATGTATTTGCTTTTCTCGAAGCGGAGACATCCTCGTCAGACTCCTCGACTGCCATAGCCTCGGATGACGGGGACCTTGAATCGGCAGTCTCCCACAACATCCCAGATTCAGGTCGGTCCAGTTCACCAGGGGAGCAAGGCAACACGATGTCGTTGATTCTATCCACAGCTCCAGGCCAGGCGGATATTAGCCACGACAACAGCCAAGAAGCGATGAGCCACATAGACGAGCGCGGCGAGTCGTATGTGCGAGGGTTCGGTCGTTTCGGCCACGGGACTTATGATACAAGGTCGAAATTCCGATTTTCCAGTGTTAGCAAATCTCACCTGGAGGCGACACCGCCTTCTATACCTGTTCTTCAATGCAGTGCCTCGAACCTGAGGCTTATCATGGCTCCAGAGGCTGATAGTGCGCATGTTTTTTGTGCCAACATCCTCAAGCAGATCTTGCCGCGGGAAATCGAGGAGTCAAGGCAGGCTCACCTCGACAGGCTTAATATGATGCAACACATCCCTGAACTGGGGTTGGTGATTGTAGCCTCTCAACTAGGGCGATGTGCCATCTGCACATTGACCAAAAGTCACAAGACTGGCACATTGGGTCTCAGGGTGGACTGGACTCTGCCTACCCAGAAGCAAGAGGCGAGGAGGCTTCGACCATCCCTGCCGCTCCTGGGTATCGCCACCTCCCCGATTCAGGGCCATTCGAAGAGAGAGGCTCACCCTAGCAACCACCGACCTGACACTCCCGTGAAATGGGGCGTGGACAATACAGTCGATGGTGTTCCGACCACATTTGATCCCAATATCATTGTTGTCAGGGAATCTGTGCCTGACCAAGACTACACCGGAGTGCAGAACATCGAGAAAGCCCCTGGCAGCGGAGACGATATCAGTGAGCATAGACTGAAACGCAAAAGGCCATCCTTTGATTCTGATACCGAGCCCGGCTCCGCGATAAGCATTGAATCCAGCGCCTGGGAGACCCCTTCGAGTGTTGAGTCATGGCAGGCGACCGGAAGTAGTCGCAGATACAGGCTCATGCTCACCTATATGGACATGACTGTGTTGACGTACGAGATTTGGCGTGGGGTGGAAAGACAAGATATTCAGCAGGCCGAGGTTTCAGCCCTGGATCTTGTAGATTGACGACGGGGGTTTTCTGTGTTGCGGATATGGAGGTTGTCTAGTCCTCACAGCATCACTGTATTATCTATTTATCTAGACCCTAATGGACAACAGATACGAGGCACTGCTCGACCGAAAGTGGCCCTTACGATTTGTTGCGATGGCCACGGCCAGGGCGTGATTATTATTGCTCCCACGCTCCAACGGCGACGCTGATACACCCCCTATCTGTCAAACTTGGACGGGGATCAAGGGGGTGAGAAACGGCTGGTCTTCCGGCTTAGCAGACGCGCTAATGTTGTTAGCACGGAACACACAGCGAATCATCCGCGCGGAGTGCCAATAACGGCAGCATACAATGATGGATGCTATATCCAGATTAGCGATAAAGCCTAAATCTACAGCTTAACTTGCCCACTGAGACATTTGGCGCTCGGGGCGTGTCCCAAGATTCATGGCCATGTCCGCTACGTCCGCCATGCAGCAGCTCGCTAATAGTGTCCAAAGTACCTTTAGGCGAGCGTGTCCGGGCTCGATGCAGAAACAGAGGCTGGCTGGCACCGTTACCCGCACTCTCCTTGGCCTAGCCCGAGGCTGGACTGCACCAATCTCTTACAATGTGCACTAGGCGGATGGTGGAGCGATCCTGCGCAGGCACCTAGGGGAAAGAAGATGATCTGAAAAACCGCCCCCCCGCCCGCACCGCACAGGGGGTCAGTACCTATTCATTTATAATTATCATGATGATTGAAAGTCCAGGGCCGCCCAGCTGACCAGAAGGCGAAGCCTCAAGGGCTGACATTCTTGAAGTTTGATTGCTGGTGCATCCTTGCTTTCACGGGACTTACAGGGGTTCGTTCAACTTACAACTATTCTGCGAACAACGAGCCTGTGCAGACGCGTTCGATTATCCTAGAAGCCTTCTTCGGTCGACCGAGTTGTCCTACAAGCCACCATTTCCTTGTCTCCCCGCCGGTGTTATTGTGATACTCCCGAGATATGAAGATCGACATTTAAGAGTGCATTGGAGCCACGGTTTGCGACTAGCTGGCCATATACAAACATGAAGGACCACGAACCCGGACCCGTTCCCATGTGGCAGCGCGGCTACAACCGGCGCAGGATTGTGAGGGTGTTGATTGCGGCGGTCGTTATCCTGGTTTGTTTACGGACACTGTCATCAGTCGAGTCGATAGAGGTAAGGCACTGCGAGTCTTCATTGGAGATAATGTTAACGTATTCAAGTCATGGCTTCCCACACGGGACCGACCTGCAACGGCTGAAGAATACGGTGAACTCCAAACCTTACCGATTTCCGGGTTTCTCAACGATGGCAAAGCAGGCCAACGATCGTGCGACGAGTTAAGATATGAGGGCCAGCTACAAGTGCAGACCAGTTTATATCTGGAGGACGATCTCGTTGAGATGGCGACTGCGTTGCAAGGTCACCCGATGATCGATTATCTGGGGATGGATAAGGAAGGCCCCTTTGAAGATGCAGTAGCGAAAACATGGGCCAGGCTGTCTGGATCCAGTGTGTGGCTCGAGGATTACAAAGTGTTCCTGAGCGTGACGAGAGTGATATTCTACAACAAAGGTGTCAAGCATTGGCCGGCCATCAGTTTTCTGCGAGGCCAGCTTTATGACGAGGAGTGGAACGAGCTGAAGAACTACACCATTTCATGGCGTGGCACCGACATGACCTTCCCACTCACTTTCAACATTCCCGCTCCCTATGAGGAGGGCGGTGGGTTCTACGGACCCGAGGATCCCAGGATCATCATCGAAGATGGAGTCGACGACGCCGAACCAATTGTCGTGTTCAACATGTTCAGCGACCTGAAGACCGCCATCAGGGCAATGTACATTTTCCGCCCATTTTCCAACGTCACCACCATTCTGAGTATCAATGGCCAGAAAGAAAGAGCCATGGCTGAGAAAAACTGGGCCCCATTTTTCCACAACGAGCGTGAAACGATCGCCGTGGGACAGAAGAAATGGCCCAGCCAGTATATCCATTTCATCCACAGTTTCGGTCCCCTGACCGTGCTCAAGTGTCATATAGGCAACGGTTGGTGCGATTTGGTTTATGAACAAAAGATTGCCGAAGGATTGGCAGGTAAGCATGGCGATGACCACGGACGCATGAGCGGCGGGACGAATTTGGTTCCCCTGGCGCTCAAGTCGAGTCCTGGAGTCCACGCCTATGTCGGGTTCCCCAGGTCGCATATCGATGTCGGCTGTAAGTCGGTGTCTATGTACAGGCCTGAACTTTTGGTGTTGACTGCCTATGGGGACGACTTCTACCTGAATTTTCTGTCGGATTCGGTCGATTTTGGTGATGCCGCCATCCCACCTGAAGGGTTGGCGGATCCATGCGGAGAGGGCCATATTCTGATTGCCAACAGCATCGCCAAGTGGGAGCGGTCAAGACGCAAAGATGAAATGACTATTTCCTTCTCGGTGGCCGATTCGACGGTCCAAGTTCTGAAACTGCATGGAGTCCACAAGTTCCTCGCACAGCTACCACATCTTTCCGCTACCCTACAACGGGACTTCTCTCAGGATGGCGAAACAATATGGGATCTAAGATGGTCAGCTGTGGGAAAAGATGTTATTGCTTGCTCCGTCGAAGCTGCGCAGAATTACTCTATCGCTGTTGCTGCTCCTTTCAAGGGGTTGGCAAAGGGTGAGAAGGAGGAGGAAGAGGAAAAGCCAAAAGAGGAAAGTAAGAGTGAAGGCGAGGGCGATAAGGCAAAGGATGACCAGTCGGACAAAAAGGATGAAACGGTCGTTGAAAACCTATGGGACTAAATCACAAAAGCACAGCCGGATCAGTCTACGAGCGGCCTTCGGGAAGTGTCAGAAGACCTTTCCGTGCCCTTTCCGGCTCGAACAGCTGGCTAGACGACCTGTGTCCTGTCCAGTTGAGATGCCTGCAACAGCATTACAGTACTTGCTGCAGTTCGCAACGTGAGTCAGATTTCCCTGGTCAGGATACCTGAAACAGAGTGCTGTACTGGTGGCGTGTGGATACCTCAAGCAGTTCACGTCAATGACCAGCCCTGTCCACTGATACAAGGTTGACTGCAAGAAAGGAGTACGATACGGCACTCTCCTCGTCATTTGAGAGCCGTTCTGTCTTGCAGTGGCCACACCACATGTCGGCAGAACCAAGAACAGGAAGCAACAAAAGTGCTTCTACAATCAGATACGGACAGCACATCTCGGCCATTCCGATCGGGGTAGTTCACCCTTTCTTGGGCACAACAATCGTACCAAATTATGGAGCGGCCCAACGGCTTGTCATCCGTCCAAACCCGGCCCCATCAATGGGTGCTTCACTGGCAGGGGTGGTTTGCCCTCATGATTCATGCGTGCAACTTGAAGACAGCGATGCCAGATGAACAGAGCGACGAAATGGCGAATATGGTTTCCTCCAGATCTACCTGGAGTGCGGCGGCACGCAAAGGCGCTGAATGCAATGGCATAAGATACCTTGACGAATCAACGGACGAATTGACGACTGGAACTTTTAAAACTTACCATACCTTACCATGAAGAATCAGACGACGCGCACTATGTGTCCCAGTGCGCTGATTACCTTACCCACCCACCCAACCATTGGGGACCACAAACCCCGCCATTTCCGACGAGAGCAGGGCGGAGGAGAGAAAAGGAAGCCCCTGACTACACTGTAGTTAACTCGACCGGCGGCTGGACATTAAGAACGAAAACTGCATACAGGACCTACCCGATGAAAGAGAAATGGATATATTCAACCTACTTAGGTAGGATTTTTTTTGTATATACAGTTGCATGTGTTCTTAACCCAATGAACATGTACATACATGACTTGCTATGCCTTGACCATCTGAGACTTGATAGATATAGAAAAGCCAGCTACTTTTACAAATACTGTTTCTCGCTTCTTGTGGCGCTCTCTCTTTCTCAGCCTCTTCCTTTTCTTGCTTTCCCTTTTCTTGCTCCATATCTAATTGTTAATTGTAGAGGAGGAAGGCTACCTAGGTAAGTATAATAGTGCTGGTGCGAGGCTTAACAACTACAGTAGAATATAAGTATGTATATCCATCTGTACACATATATGTATGCATACTAGTATATCGACATCCTGTATCTATATATAAATGTATGAATGTATGAATGTATGCATGCACGCACACATTTATATATCGTATGTACATTCAAGTTACCACTATTGAGACCTAATATCTATAATTTGAAAAAAGACAAACGAGTGGGAGGGGAGAAAAGCAGACTTGGAGATTCACATAGAAAAAATTCGACAACTTTCAAGTTCCAACAAAATCCACTCGTACTATGACCACACCGGCAGCCACACCGGGAGCAGCTCTCGCTTTATTTTATCGCGGCAGGGGACCGGGATGTGGACACCACAGCACAATATAATAAATGTAAGAACCACGAGGAGAAAATGGTTGAAAATAGAAAATGTTTGAAAATAGAAAATGCAACGTTGAGAATCGCACGCGAGATAAGCTTGAGACAGAGGTAGGAGATTGCTGAGCCGATTTGAACACAACAACCATTTCGGATTGTTAAGAAGGTGCCTAGGCAGTTGACGTAGCCGTAGATCTTGGTTGGGAGCTACTCTTCCTCTTCCTCACTCTCGGCCCCAATTTGACTATCTTCCTCCTCCTCATCGTCGTCGTCGTCGTCACCCAGCAAGGGAACAAAGCGAAAGTCGACAAAAGCCACACTTCCGGGCGTCAGAGGCGGAGCAGTCACGGCTGCGGCAGCAGCAGCACCAGCGTCATCTCGACGGCCGCCGCCGGCGTTGGCCCCGTCTCCAAGGTCGATCATAAACTGAAGACTCAATACTCCTTGACGATCCTGACGGACGCTGACTTTGCTCGCCAACGCCATTGCTCTGCCGGCTCTCTTGACCATATCGAATTTATATCGCTGTCTCAATCTCCCGTTGGACGACCCCGGGGGCGGCATGACGGCGAACGTTTCGGTGACAAGCGGCTGCTTCTGACCGCGGGTCCCACTTGGTGCAGGGTCATTCTTGGCCTCTGGCATGAATTCCACCGTGCTGTCACCGAATGGACCCCCTTCACCTTCGAGAGCCAAATAAGGACGAGACCGGTTCGAAGCATTCAGCACTAGGGCTGTGGGGTTCGTTCCGGATAACTCGGTCAAGGCATCATACAGCCAAGTGCTCCGCATGATGGTTCTCAAACACAGAGCGGTCCGGTCCAGTGGGATCCCGCCGTCATCCTCATATGCGTCATGGGCAGCCTCGTATGTGTTCATCTCACACGTGGTCGTGACGGATCCTTCTTGGATCGTGATTGTGAGGGGAGCCCCGGGTTCTTGATACGAGATGCGACATGTCCCTCCCAACGCGAGCGCTGGGGTGGTGAATGCGTTTCCATACGAGGACGAGAAGCCACCATATGGGTTGCGCGAGGAGTTCGTTTCTGCGATTCCAAAAATCTGTAGCGTCTCGAGAAGCGCAACGATGGAAATGGAAAACGCTGGCAGGGATTGCTCATCATCAAGGTTTAGAGTGTATGTCGAAAACAAGGCTTTGTCAAGAAATGTCAGCCCTTGGACTACTCGTGCTTCTTCCACTGAGAATCGGATGCCTTTATGTGTGATTTGGACCTCTGCCCGTGGGGAGAAAGCGATACAGCGGAGTAACGAATGCAACTGCCTCGCTGACGTGGAGATGGCGGTGAAGACAGGACGATCGGCCATTAGATTAGAGGAGGAATCCGGCTTTCCCTAGCGTCAAACAGTGTATCCTTCCAAAGTCGAGGTGGGTGTTGTTGGAGCGCTTTCAAACGTATACCCCAAAGCCACAGATTGTGTAGACGGCCCCGATACTGCGCGGGTGTCAGTATGCATAGAACCTCTTGTGGTTTGAGTGGACATACCCGAACGCCAGAGACGCAGGAATTCCGTACAAGGGGATTGAGAGTAGTGATCGATCTAGCAAACAGTTAGCACGCTGGAAAAGAGCATGGGAACCCAAAGGTATCGTACTTAGTCCAAAAAGGCCGGTGAAAATCAAACCTGCCACAGTAAGCTTTGATACATAGTTCAGTCGCACAGAGCGTACTCACCGATGAGCAGCAGGAACAAGCCTACAAAAAGCTGGCTGTCCTTACCAACCGCAGGCTGGAACGGGCTGCTTGCCGCTGCTTGCCAGACCTCGTGGAGAGACATTGACAGTACGTTGACAGCGTTAGCCTTCGGGTCCAAATCGTCGAACGTGAAATGTCGAGAAGCGTTGAGTTGTCGTGGACTTCAAGCTCGCAGTTGTCAATGCCACACTGCACCGTCGGCGTAGACACAGTGGTCGTTGACACGGACGCGCAGGAACACAATCCGGGGAAAGTATGCCGAATCCGAATCCTTTATTCGGACGCAGCTGTTGCCGCTTTCCCATTGCCCCTTTTCCTGTCGGGCCTACAATGAGGTAACTTTTATTCTAAGAAACAACGTGATCGAGAGCTCTGCACAGATGATCTTGTATTTCATTCATTGTACGTGCATTCGTATTGAGACTGGGAAATTCAGCGCGTTGCACCTCCTATACGGCAATGCATGGTCTGCAACTGATGGCTATGCTGTGCCTACACGGCCACCAGGCTCGTCGAATTGTTGATGGCCTTGGGGATTGCTATCGCTTCTGGGTTCCTTGCCACAATTTGGGCTTCCTGTAGCACATCAGAAGCACCCAGGTCTCCCAGTCTCTGTTGCTGCTCCACCATGAAGTTCGAAAAGAAGCGATCTATGGCATCATAATCGTCCATTAGTCCCACATATGACACGTACTGGTCTGGCCGGATGATGATGGCACAGCCTTCTTCGCGGTCGATGCCATAATTCTCATAAGCATGTCCGTGGCCCTCGTGGTAGGACTGGTCGTCCACAAATATCTTCCAGTAATCCCAACCATCTTTATCGTCGAAAGGACGGAACACTTCGGGGAAGTCGAAGATGGTCAATTTCTGGCGGTTACCAGCGTGGACGGCTAGCAACTCGATGACTGCATCATACCGGGAATTTGCAGGTGTGAAACGTCGGAGGAAGGAGTTCGGCGCGCCCAGTGCCTTTCCTACGTCTGCAAATCTCTGCGCCTGTCGAGGACTCAAGAGATTTCCCGGGAAGATGACGACCCTCCAGGACCCATTGCTGCGAAGTAGCTCCTGGAAATGCGACGGTCGGGCGTCGGATTGGTTAAGGACTTTGAAACTCGCCATTCTTTTGCCAATTTCCACTTTGCTGGCTAGAGACGGCTTGCTAACAACCTTGTATGCGTCATTGTGGATGGCAACGTCTGAACCATCTCCCTGTTCAGCCGAATCACCCGGCTTTGCAACGATCATGCTGGAGCCGTAATCAACGGCTTGGGCCTAGTCAGCGCACATACTTCATTTCAAGGGTCAATGACCATACCGGTGCCACTGGCAAACATGTTGCCTTTCTCAAATGCGTCTTTGAACTCGGCCATGCTGATGCCCTCTTCATCCATGACATCCTTGGCCGGCCTGCCCGAGAACAATCTCGAGAACTTATGGTCAAATCGAATGAGGTCTTGTGCGATACGCCGCCGTTCTGACTGATAGGTTTTCAGAATCGAACGATTTGCAGTACCTTTGACGACACTAGCCACCTTCCAACCCAAGTTGTACGCTGGCGAACATCAGCTGGGTGTTTATGGATAACCGTTTTGAAGACCTTACCATCTTGCATGCTGACATTCATTCCTTGGCCTGCCTTGGGGCTATGGTGAGATAACGGTGAGCGCTTTCATCAGAATGTGCTTTGACGAACAGGAGGACTTACCTGTGCGTATGGACAGCGTCTCCGGCAAGGAAGATGCGTTCTTTGGCCGAGAACTGCGTGCCAACTCTCTGGCCAATCTGATATGCAGTCCACCAGTCGCAATAACGATACGTTATCTTATACGGCGCCATGATCCGTTGAGCCGACTGTATGATTAACTCTGGGGTGATCGTCGATCTATCGAATTTGCCTGCCTTTTCTGCCCCGGTTGTCGTGAGCTGGATATAGAGACGGACCAGCTTATTTTCTCGAGGAATGACCATCACACTGCCTGAGCTGGCGGAGTGAATTGCGCATCTCATGCGAATATCCGGGAAGTCGGTAATGGGAATGATGTCCATAACACCCCAGACGTAGTCTGTGGAATCTCCTTCGAGCTTGAATCCCAGCTGTTGTCGGACCCACGAATGAGCCCCATCTGCGCCCAAGACATACTTTGCTTTGACAATTTCTTCCGTGTTGGCTTTACTGTTGAGCTCAGCCTTTCTGATCAGTTCCTCCGTGTCGTCAGGAGATAAATTGCTCCGAAACAATCCGTCTGCAACTGCAGAGCCGTTGGGTAACGTGGCGTTCTGCTTCGGTGTTGCGTCCTCTTCGGAGAGGTGCCGTAGAGTGACGGTGATGGGATAAGCATCAGGATCCTCGGCCACAGATTCATCTAGCTTGAGGCTGGTAGGCATAACACCTCGCTCGACCTTGATATCACTTTTGCTGGCAATGGAGTCCAGGAAGAAACGCTCAATTCGACCTTGATGCAGCACCACTTGTTGAAAACGACTGATACAAGGAATCGTGTCGGGGATCCGATCATTTCGCTGGATGACGCCGTTTTCATCAGGGTTCCACAGACAGATTTCGAGCAGATGGTTCGATTCAATCCAGGCTCGATGGCCGAACCCAAAAGAATCAAAAATCTCCAGTGTGCGAGACGCTAGCCCGTCTGCTTGGCCGTTGAATATCTAGGTAGCAACGGATTGGTGAGTAGAGACCGCTCTTTGACATTTCCGAAACATACCTTGGTGCCTCTCTTGTCGACAATGCGTGCATCGATGCCGCAATGAGCCATCCAATTCGCCATCATGAGCCCTGCCGGCCCGGCTCCGACAATGAGGACATCAGTCTTGCTTTCAGACGCCATGATATCGATGGCGACACTAATGGCGACACTTTCGCACCCCAAAGAACAGACCTGTTGGCAAGCGGACTATGTTTCAGAATACTGTAACCCGATCCACAAAGGCATGTGGTTCTAACCAAACCCCTACTCAACGGTTCCATGGCATGACTGCCCTTTTGTAGGCCCACTGCCGATGACCCTCACATGTCGGAAGAGTACCCATGGACCGCAATCGTCTCCACTTATCCACAACGTTGTAGTCCTCGATATGGAGGTCCGGGACCCCAGGGGGAAACCCCGGTATATGAGGACTGGAACACTGGTATTGTTGCGATATCAACACATGTTGTTGTAGACAAGTCGGAACTGTCGTCTTCAAGTGGAGCCCACAAGACCCAGAGGTCTCGATCCACCGTGCCCATCACTCCAATCCTCGAACTCGATGAGCCGGAAGTTGGATCCTCCCACATCCCACATCCGACATCCCACCCCCACCCCCAGCTTCAAGTTTCAGAGATTGCTGAGGTCGGCCCAGGGTGTCGGAGTGCAATAATCTTGCAATAATGACTGATCCGAATCAAGCAGCTGGATGCTCAGGGTTCCCAGGCGATTGTCCTTGTGAGAGAGAGAGAGGGTACCTTGACGTTGGAGTCCATGGTATACCTCGATTCAACAAAATATGTTGCCGCTCTGTACGGCTGCCCATGCTGGTGTGGCACGTTAAAGCGGCGTCTGAAGATTCCACTTTGAGATTGTCGACTTTCCCGCAGCCTGAGGTTCGTCGCCACCGTGACCACCGGCACTCGTATTAATATAGTTGTACACTATTGCAGGGTGCGGACATAGCAACGCGCTCATTCACTTGCACCACTTTCTTGCACGCGAACAAACTTGTTAGTCGGACACAGTCCCTTTTTTCATCTGCCAAATGAAGTTTATGTGATCGCCATGGCTCCTGTTAATGACAGTAAGTTTCTCTAGTGCCGCGCATGTCGCGGCGCACGCTTTCAGACTGCACTGCTAACGCCAGGCCAGGCACGAAGCGGAAAGCCTCAGAAGATGCTGCCTCGGCGCTCTCAAAGAGGGCTCGGACTGAGTCTCCTGATCCTGAACAAGTCACAAAGCGAGAAGAGGTAAGCCTACATTCCTCCATTCCTCCAAAATCAACCATCAACCATCAACCATGGCTCCAGAACCAACTCTGGGGCGATTTCCGCCCGACGACAATGTCTACCCTCTCCCTAACCCTTTCCCATGCGACGTGGCTTCGGATACCGATTCGACCATAGGCGCAGCCACCCCCCGAAGCGTTGATGAGGTAGAAACCGGCTGACTCCTTGCTGTATCGCGCCCTAAGGAAGTACTGAGACTAACTCTACGATTATCTAGTCCGAAGCGGATCCTCCGATCACCCCTACACCAGTCGACTTCCCAGTCGACTTCCCAGACAAGCCTGCGGTCGCCGAGGAGAAACAGGGATTGATCGAATTCAGAGTGGTGAACAATGACAATTCGCGCGAGAGCAACATCATCCTCACTGGGTTGAAATGTATCTTCCAGAAGCAGTTGCCAAAGATGCCCAAGGACTACATCGCACGACTGGTCTATGACAAGACTCACTTGTCCATTGCCATAGTAAAGCAGCCTCTCGAGGTCGTGGGTGGCATCACTTACCGACCCTTCAACTCGCGCAAGTTCGCCGAGATTGTCTTTTGCGCCATCTCTTCGGATCAGCAAGTCAAAGGCTACGGCGCTCATCTCATGGCTCACCTGAAGGACTACGTCAAAGCGACCTCTCCGATCATGTACTTCCTCACCTACGCCGACAACTACGCTATTGGCTACTTCAAGAAGCAAGGGTTCACCAAGGAAATCACGTTGGACAAGTCGATCTGGATGGGATACATCAAGGACTACGAAGGTGGAACGATCATGCAATGTAGCATGCTGCCCAAGATCAGGTACCTCCAGGCCCCACGCATGTTGCAGAAGCAGAAGGAAGCAGTCATGGCGAAGATCCGGGCTGTAAGCAAGTCGCATATTGTCCACCCTCCCCCTGCGCAGTGGAAGGACGGCATTTGCGAGATCGACCCAATGTCCATTCCTGCGATCAAGGAATCGGGTTGGTCTCCTTCAATGGATGAGCTATCGCGCCAACCTCGCCATGGTCCCAACTACAACCAACTCCTTCATCTTCTCAACGACATGCAGAATCATACCGCAGCCTGGCCGTTTGCTCAGCCGGTGAACAAGGACGAAGTTCCCGACTACTATGAGGTGATCAAGGAGCCCATGGATCTGTCGACTATGGAGGATCGCTTGCAGAACGATCTCTATCCGCGACCAGAAGACTTCATCAGAGATGCCAAGCTCATCTTCGACAACTGTCGCAAGTACAACAACGAGAACACGCCCTATGCGAAAAGCGCCAACAAGCTCGAGAAGTTCATGTGGCAGCAGATCAAGAACATCCCGGAGTGGTCGGTAAGTAATGCTGCACATTCTGGATGAAGTGGCATGAACCATTACTGACTTTCACTCGTAGCATCTGGCCGAGTGATTCACACAGCCGGACTCCACCACCCTCCATTGGGATGGTCATTATGGGCACATTTGATTCGGGATTTGCACGGCGTTGGAGGGAACCAACCTGGCGTAGAACCGGATGGTTGGTTGGTGGTTTTCAAGTTGCTGCTTTTATGATACCCCGAACCGTTAGCTATGAAGTGACGAGACAGTAATCAAAAGCCAGCGGAGCGCCGTCTCGGTACTATGGCTTCAGTCAGTATTGGAATGCTCCCATGGGAACTCAAAGTAGACCTTTAGCTGGTTAACTGGAGCACCAGTTTGTATACGTTGCAATAATGTAGGAAGCCGGGCAGTGGCATGGGTGCCCGTAGAAAACCAGATTTGAAGCGTGGAGCGTGGAGCAGTCAGCGCAGAGATCGCGTCCAGTTGCCCGAGCGCAGCCAGTTTGAGGTCCGAGTCCCAATCATCCACTTCATTTCCGGTTCAATGCAACACACTGGCACTGCACTCGCACCTCGTCTCATCAACCACCAGAGGACTCTTCGACTCGGGCACTCTCCATCACGACGGCTTCGCGTCCACACAAGCCTTCCGCCTAGAAGATTCATCGGTTCTGGCATTCATTACGTCGTTCGCACCCGGTCTCTGCAGGACAAAGGGAGCTCCTCGGGCCCCTACTTCCACCGCGTCACCTTTCTCGCGACTTCACCTCACCGCTGTCTCCCACTCTCTGGTGCCGCATTACCTCATAGCCATCATCCAATATCGAAATCACCCACGTTCGCTTGGGCTTCGGACTCTTTCATCGATCTCTCCACTGTGCGATCGGAAATTGTGCCGTAGAGGTTGTGTCCCGCTCTTCCAGGAACCATATTGTTCTGTTTGTTTTGCCAGACTCGAGTGAGAACAACAATGGCGCATCACCACACATCTGCCGACCATGAGCTGGAACAGCGCAACCGGCTACCGACATTGATGGAAGTGCTGGGGAGAAGGACATTAGCGCCAGTCGATCTGTTCTCATTCTACATATACATGCGCGACCAGCAGCGGTCGGTGGATTATCTGGATTTCTGGTTCGCCTTAACGATCTGATCACGGTGAAACTACGTCTCAACTGACTGAAACCATAGGCTGGATGTGTCTCAACACATGTCTCTATGTCGACATTATGTTCGTGAACTCCGACGGTCCATGCTGGTCGATACGCCCGAAATGGAGAAAGCGACTAGCAAGCGCTCCTCCGGGATGCTTGAGGGGTTTGATCTAGGCGAAGGAATTGACTCAAGAAAGAGTGGACAAGAGTCCCGAGTATCAGCGATCTTGAGGTCTGACAATGGCGGCGCACGGAAACCAGGCAGTCGAGAAAGAGATGGCGGCGGTGTGGACAACTCTCCATCCCATAGTCTGGGGTCAGCGCATTCACGAAACTTCAGCCGTCCGTCCGCTGATCGGCCATCGCCGTCGGAACAACTGCCACAGCCTAGCTTTTCCACTCCCGAAGTGCGCACCGACTCCAACTCGCCTGGCCACAGTGTTGCTAGAGCCGACATCAAGGCCAGTGCGGAAAAAATCCTGTACACGTTCATCTTGCCCGGCTCGGAGCGCGAGATCGTCTTGCCCGACAGTATGGTGAACAGAATCATCAGAGCAATCGAAGAAGAAGGCCGTGACGACCCTGAGGTGTTTGACGACGCAAAAGATTATGTATTCCAAGCCATGGAAAGAGATGCATTCCCTGGATTTCTGCAGGCCAAAGCCCTCGGCAACCTGGTTCCCTTGAGCGTCTTGATTCGGCTCATTATTGGCCTGGCGAGTTTGATGGCCGGCTTTTGGGGTGGCTATTACATGATCCTAAGAGATCAATCGAGGAGTATCAGATGTTGGGTATGGTTGAACCGCCCATCCCGTCCCTTCGCTATGACCTTACTCTGTTCCTCTAGCCAACTAACTGATGATTTTTGTCGCAGGTCATTCTACCCTTCACCATTGGTTCGTATTTTCTGGTGTCGTACCAGTACAAACTCGACATTGTGGCCGCCTATCTGGGTTTCAGCGAGTACACGTGGATGAACTGGTCACGAGTGCGCGAGCCATTCGTCCGTCGTCTGCTGCTCACTCGAGCAACCATGGCCTTACTCATGTTCGCCGCCACCGCGGTCGCGCTTAGTATTTTGTTCATCTTCGTCCCTGGCACCAAGTTCTGATCGATCCACACACAACAAAAGGGTGATGAACTTGGATGGGACGAAACAGGACGACCACGACAATCAATGATGGGTTCAATGTATGCAACGAAACGACTTTTTGGCTCACAGAGGGCGTTTGGAGGGCAGGGCAGGTCAGGTCAACTCAGGTCATCGCGAAAGGAAACCCCACAAAGACTCCCTCCACTGCGCGTGGCCGCGGTATCTGCGGATCATGGGTGCCTACAGCAAGGTATCTAGCTATCTAGCTCTATGGTACCACGGAGGAGCAACACACAACAGTCGACCGGGACACGCTTTGCGTGGCGGACCTAATAATCTCAAAACAACAACAATGGCAGACTTGAATGGGATCAATAGCATGGCGTTCCGGGCTGGGGTATATATGGCTGGAGGTGTTACACACGGGCTGGTAATAGTGAGCTGAATGCATGCACTGCAGTTGCTGAGGAACTTGAAATCCACGGACCACTACTAGGAGACGGGAGCAAGGGAAGACGAGAAGCTCAACAACAAGACGAGCTTGGATAAGGTACCTCAGCTTACTTTACTTGACTTTCTTTTTTCACGCTTTTTTGGGGCTCTTTTTTCTTTCTCTTTCTCTTCCTCTTTCTTCTTTGTGCACTTTCCCGCTTCTTTCATCTTTCATATTTTCTTCTTTTCGAAGGAACGCTTCTCCGGCTGCATGTGGATGGAGAGGAATGGAGGAGTCGAGCTGAGCTCGAGATGCTGAAACTGAGGTACTACTAAAGCTGAGTTAGCAGTACTACTAGGAATAGATGACTTTGGATGCAGAGATTCATCAACTTGAACCATGAGCGTTTCTTTTTGGTCTTGTGGATCAATCAATAAGATACTAGTACAACAGGTAATCAAATCCATTATTGGAGCTGGAAGATGAAGATATATTGACTTGGAAATCTCTTCAGTACAGTACCTGCTTACCTTACGTAGGTCCTATACTAACGCCATGGCTCGAAGCGGGTTTCTAGAATCCTTGAGTAGGTACCTGATGAAGTGATCAAAGCTCAACAATGTCTCGTTACTCGTATATTCATTCGTTGTCACTGCATTCGTCCAAGCGTGGCATACTAGATAGGTATGCGAGCATTGCAAGCTGCTGATAGGTATCAAGGGTGCCGAAAAGTGCATAGCAATACCAATATTGCTTTGCTTTGCCTTGCTCTGTTTTGATTTTGCCCTGCCTTGGCGGAGGGATGGCATGATAACCGTGCCCCTTGTCCATAGCTGGGCCATTCTGCCACAACTGCAGGTGTGCAAATAAAAGGGAAGCTTGCAGTTTTAGCTGATTTGATGGTGCATAAGGCAGTGCGTCGGATTCTTTTCAGACAATGCAAGCAATGAATCTATTGCCGTGGCTCATTTCGATCCGCGGCCGCGATTCCTCTTTGCGCCTCTGGAACCACCGCCGGCGCCATGGCCTCCACGACTGCTACTACCAGAGGCAGGAATACCCGCATCACCACCACCACCACCCTCATCCCAATCCATCTGGCCCTCGTCGTCGCTGACGTCGGCGGCCTCGCCTTCCATCTGCTGATCGAGATCTCGCTTGCTTGGCAACCTATGTGCTGCGGCGGCAGCGGCGGCACCACGAATGGCACGGCCGGCACCGCCATTATTCTTGTTGCCAGTGTTGGATTCGCCGCCATCGCCAGATGAAGGCTTGTTGCTGCTGTCGGAGGTGCTCAGCACAGCGGCGTCGACGACGTCCTGCCGCTTTTTCTGAGTTGCGCTGCGTTGTGCAGCTGTATCGCGGATGGCCGAGATGTGGGCTTCCAGCTCACTCACGACCGATGTGCATCTCGACTCCCAGGTCTGCAGGATCTGCAGTAGCGCAGGCAAAGATTGAGGTCTGAGATCACGCAGAGGAGCTACCGACACAATATTCACAACGGGCGGGTTGGATGTAGGTGACAGTCGGCCGGTAAGTAGGCCCGAGTAGATCGACTGGGTGACTAGCGATTCGAGGCTCGCGGCGTCTGGGAGGGAGAGAGATTTGAGGAGGGATGGATATGTTAGCGTGTTGGTTGTTGTTGTGGCTTCTGTTCCGTTCAGGTTGGGGGCAAATGGCGATGCCAGTGTCAAAAGACTTAGTTGGCGAAGTTTGAGGGTTTGAGCATCGTCGAGTTGTGGGAGGTCGGGAATGTCTGTTATCGAAACCATGGTTAGATATGGTGCACTAATCGCTGTTGTGGCTTGAGTATATGTTTCCAACGTACTTTTGTATTCTTCATAAGTGCCCCAACTGAAGATCTCCAGCAGTGTCAACCATGATTGTAATTCGGTCCCGCGGAGGCTTTGGACTGCTGGCGTTTGGAGTAGCTCGGTAAAGACATAAGCGCCGGGAGCAGAGATGGCGCCTTTGATCAGCTCGGCGACGAAGCGAGGAGATGGGGATTTGGTCGTCGTCGCCAGGTGGACGAAAGGCTGGAGGGCAGCCAGCGCCCTGGCTTGAGACTGATCCATTGCAGTGCTTGAAGCTAATGAATATCTTGAAGCAGGGATATGGATTCAGCCGGCTGTGGCAGGATCACTGATTACAAAAAGGACTAGTCGTAGTAGGAGTAGTTGCGCACAGTACTAACATACGGCACCCGTCTTGTCGATGTTGTCGATGTGGGCACAGGCCTCGCGGAGGTCACTTGCAGTGCACTGCAATGATGCAGTGCGGTCAGCGGACAAGTGACTTCAGCCTTGGACGCAGCCTTGGCAGGGACACAAGGCTGCGGTGGCTATGGCGTCTGTACTAGTAGTACTAGCTTCATAACTGAGCAAGTATTCGACCTCTTCTAATAATACTTTTACGCGACCAAAGATTTGAAAGATGCAGCCGATTCTCACCGCGTCGCCAATAACTGTTTACTAATCGTCACTAATCAAGCACTGGGGAGATTGCTGTCGTGAAAGACGAAATGTTACTCCGATCAACTTGGGGATCGTCCCTTTTTCATATGATGCCGTGGCCTGACCGACTTTCGGCCCTCTCCCTAAAGAAAACAGACGGTCCGAGTTCGGCTTGACAGTCGAACGCGTGGACTGACTGCTCATGACAGACCTGGAACCTGGGGAATTGAAGTTTGCGGTTGCTAACAGCTGCTAAAGGGCGTTTGTTGTTCTAGGGCTACGTTAGTAATCCACTCCCATTGGCTTTTGTACATTAGCGCCTACACTAGTGCCCCTGTTTATTTTTAGGCGTAATTTTCCGGCCCCCTTTTGTTCCAGCCAGGTTTCTTCCGCAGGCCGCCCTGGAATTGCATGGATCCAGATATGAGCATAGCATAAGCAGGAGGCCATCCCACCACAAAACACGGACGTCCTCTACATGACTTTTTGTTTCAGGGTGTTCAAGCGTCGTTGAGTCTGGCGTCGGCCAAGTCGGTTTTTCTTCTCTACACTCGCTCATTTGCATCTTCGTTGTCCTCACTCGCCACCAGCATTGCTTTTCCGACGGTCCCTTTCGCCCCTCGAAGATCCAATTCCCACAGCAGCATGCCTACAACAGAGCGGTTGATGCGCACGTAAGATTGTCAAAGGAAGCGAAATATTGCTGGAAAACACACAATGAAGCAGCCACAAGCCGCTCGGCCGGCGCATATGGCAACGACCACATTGAAAGTGGACGGCATGACCTGCGGCGCCTGCACATCGGCAATTGAGTCAGGCTTCAAAGGCGTGGATGGAGTCGGAGCGGTGTCTGTAAGCTTGATGATGGGACGCGCGGTGATACATCATGATCCCACGAAGATCCCGCCGGAGAAGCTCGTTGAAATGGTCGAAGATCGCGGCTTCGACGCCCAAGTGCTTACGACGGACATGCCGGAACCGGTGGCGCTGGCCTCACAACAGGGTGCACTGAGTTCGACAGCCGCGTCGATCCCCAAAATGACTACAACAACCATATCAATAAAAGGAATGACTTGCGGCGCGTGTACTTCCGCCGTGGAGGCTGGTTTCCAGGATGTGGCAGGTGTCAAGAGCATGAGCGTATCATTACTTGCTGAGCGTGCGATTGTGCAACACGATGCGGACATCATCAGTGCTGAAGCTCTGGCTGAAATAATCGAAGATAGGGGGTTTGACGCTGCGGTGCTGGAATCTAAGAAGCAGGAGGACCTCAAGCTCACCATCCCAGACACGACCGGCAATAGCATTGGAAACAGTACTTGGACGACGACCGTCGCAATCGAGGGCATGACCTGTGGAGCTTGTACTTCATCCGTGGAAGGCGCTTTCAAAGACGTCCCAGGCTTGGTGCGGTTCAACATAAGCCTGCTGGCGGAACGCGCTGTTATTTCACATGATCCTATTGCTCTGCCATCGGAAAAAATCGTTGAACTTATCGAAGACGCTGGCTTCGATGCGAAGATTATATCTTCACAAGCAGAGACTGCCCTGCACGGATCTCCAGTGGCGTCGCAACAGCTACGAATCTATGGCCTTTCCGATGGCAAGGCCGCCACGGACCTGGAGAACGAATTGAGATCGAACCCCGGCATCAAGAATGCTGTCATCAGCTTATCCACCTCCCGCGCCACTGTCACCTACGACCCTGCCATGATCGGTCTCAGAAACATTGTTAGCATTATCGAAGCGGCCGGTTTCAATGCCCTGGTGGCGGACTCCGAGGACAACAACGCTCAACTAGAGTCTTTGGCCAAGACCAAAGAAATCCAGGAGTGGAAGCGTGCATTCTTTACTTCTTTGGGCTTCGCCATTCCCGTGTTCGTGATCAGCATGATTCTGCCCATGTTTCTACCGTCGTTGGACTTTGGGCGTTGGCAAATTATACCCGGTCTGTTCTTGGGCGATGTTATCTGCTGCGCATTGACCGTACCTGTGCAATTCGGCATCGGCAAACGCTTTTACAGATCAGCGTACAAGAGTTTGAAACACAAGTCCCCTACAATGGACGTTCTGGTTGTTCTCGGTACCTCGGCGGCGTTCTTTTTCAGTTGTTTTGCCGTCATCGTCGCGGTTCTGATTCCACCTCACAACAAACCGGGGACAGTGTTCGATACGAGCACCATGTTGATCACATTCATCACTCTAGGACGATGGTTGGAAAACCGTGCCAAAGGACAAACATCCAAGGCGTTGTCGAATCTGATGTCTCTCGCACCCAGCATGGCGACAATCTACGAGGACCCATTGTACGCTGAGAAGCTGGCAGATGCCTGGACGGTGCCAGAGACTCCGGTCAATGAGAAGACCCCTTCGATCTCTTCGAGACATAACAGTCTGTCAGCACCATCAGGGCCATCTGCAGTCGAGAAAGTCATTCCCACCGAGCTGATTGAAGTTGGAGACGTGGTCATTCTCCGTCCCGGCGATAAGGTTCCAGCTGATGGGATTGTCACTCGAGGGCAAAGCTACGTCGACGAAAGCATGGTAACCGGAGAACCCATTCCAATTTTCAAGAAAAAGGGAAGCGCTCTGATTGCTGGTACGGTTAATGGTGCTGGCAAGCTCGATTTCAAAGTCACGCGTGCTGGTAAAGATACACAGCTGAGTCAGATTGTGAACCTGGTCCAGGAAGCGCAAACTAGTCGAGCTCCTATCCAGCGTATGGCGGATTTGGTTGCCGGATATTTCGTCCCTGTTATTATTCTGCTCGGTCTCACCACCTTTATTGGCTGGATGGTGCTCAGTCATACTTTGCCAAATCCTCCCAAGATCTTTATCGACAGGCAAAGCGGAGGAAAGTTCATGGTCTGTCTGAAACTTTGCATTTCGGTTATTGTATTCGCCTGCCCCTGCGCACTTGGGTTGGCAACCCCCACAGCAGTCATGGTCGGGACAGGCACTGCATCGCAGCAGGGGATTCTTGTCAAGGGAGGAGCTGCGCTCGAAGCAGCCACCCGTATCACTCATATTGTCCTCGACAAGACTGGAACGTTGACATTCGGCAGACTGCAGGTTGCTGATACACATATTGGAGCTCTCTGGGCCTCCAGTGAGGGGAAGACCAAGCTATGGTGGACTCTTCTTGGGCTTGCCGAGGCAGGTTCCGAACACCCTATCGCTAGATCCGTGGTGAACGCAGCGAAGCAACGATTAGACCTTGATACCGAAGACCCTTTCCGGGGCCAGGTGGTGACGTTTGGGGTAACGGTAGGCCAAGGCGTGTCGGCTCTGATTGAGGCCGAGGACCCAGATTCCCCAGACAACCAACAAGCCAAATACAAAGTGTATGTTGGCAACGCCAAGTTCTTGCGCGGGAAGCAGATCGAAATTCCCGCCGATGTCGAGGCTGAGGCTGCGGGCACCACATCAACGAGTTCGGGTGCAACCAAACGACAACCCAAAACCGGTCTCACCGTCGTCTACGTTGCGATCAATAACGAGTATGCTGGCACCTTGGACCTCTCGGATACCCTGAAACCTACCGCTCCAGCTGCCATTGCCGCACTGCACAAGATGGGCATCAGCACATCGCTCGTGACTGGTGACACGTACAATACGGCACTCAGCATCGCCTCGCTCGTGGGCATTCCAACGGACTCAATCCGAGCCTCAGTGTCCCCTGGAGACAAACAGTCGATTGTGGCGGAGCTCCAAGCCCAAGGTGAGGTCGTTGCCATGGTGGGTGACGGAATCAACGACTCTCCGGCTCTGGCGACGGCCAACATCGGTATCGGGCTGGTATCCGGGAGCGACATTGCCGTCGAGGCGGCCGACATTGTCATCATGCGGTCTGACGACCTGCTCAACATTCCTGCGGCGCTGCACCTATGCCGAGTGATCTTCCGCCGCATCAAAATGAACCTCATTTGGGCGTGCGCGTATAATGTCATTGGTCTGCCGTTCGCCATGGGCATCTTCTTGCCGTTTGGCTATCACATGCCCCCGTTGATGAGTGCTACCGCCATGATGTTCAGCAGTATCAGCGTCACATTGTCAAGTCTTGCTTTGAGGTGGGCCAGACGTCCGAAGTGGTTGACGGTCGATCATCTAGAGATGGAGGCGGGCAAGATTGCGGTTCCTGCGCTGGGCCACAGGCGGAAACTGGGATTCTTGGCTTCCCTTAGGGACCAAGTTTCGGCCTTGTTCGACGGCGCCCTCACCAAGAGGAGGGTGGTGGCCGACCGTGAGCGCGGAAGTTATGTCCCCTTGCGCACTGTCGAGCCTGTATAAGCGAGCTGAACTATCAACAATTTTTTCTTTTATATCGTTGTCGCTTTTGCCGTCGTTTATGGTTGCCTTATCATTATATATATAGATAATGCGGATCAATATATTGGATCAGGATAACGGCCAGAATCGCCCTTTACTTTTCCCTAGTGTCAGCTCATTCTACGGTTTGCAGCGGAATAGCCTTAGTCCAGTGCCGGACGGGTCGCCTCGTTGCCTTGGCCGCTGGACAATTTTTTGCAATTAACATTGTCCCACTACTAGTATCCATTGTTATGGTACTCGCCAATCTATCTACATTGGCATCTGTATCGGTCCCATGCCATGCCCTCGAGGGAAAACGGCCACGTTTTTCCATAACCTCAGTTGTTAGTACTTAGTACTATCATTCATTATTCCCACTGCTCGCAAGCAGTCAAGCCACCCATCAATCGTTTGGCTATGTTATTTTCCTCACATTTGTCCCGCCACTCGGCGCAGCCACCACCTTTGCCATCTAGGCCATACAGCTTACCGTATTCGGAAACAAAATTGTCCAATGTCGTGTCCGGTTTGTCGCGACATAAGCCACAGAGGATGTTGACCAGATCATCCTTGAACCCGAGACGCGGGAACGCGGCCACGACTTCTTTGTACTCGTCCACCGTGACTAGGGGCACACCGTTACCGTTGCTGTTGCCGCTCCCGCCGTCTTCGTCTTCGTCTTCGGCTCTGGCTTTGGCTTCGCCTCCGCCGCCTCCGCCTGGCATGTTTGGTCCGAAAAAGTCGCACATGATGCCCATTTGAGTCGCAAAGACCTCGGGTTCTTTATGTTGCGCGATCGAGGGCGTCGTGTGGAGTGCGATCGAGTCCCAGACCAGTTGGAGGCGGTGTTTGTCCCATTTGTGAGAAGCATCGTTGTCAATGGTCGAGTTGGCGGCAGTGATGAACTCGCATGCAATATTTGCCCCGTCCACCTCAAATCTCTTGTCCGTGGACACAAGGGCTTTTGTAGTTGACCAGCCCATGTCGTGCAGGAGGACAGAGAGAACTAGAGTCTCAGTGTCGATGTCGGCGGTTGCGGTGGAGAGAGGTGGGAATTTGCGTAGGAGAATCATGGCAAAGACTGTGCTGCGGAGGCAGTGGTTGACGGTGCTGGCGCTGCAGTGTTTTTTGGTGTAGGAATGCGCCGCGTCGATGAGTGGTGTGTTTGGGATAGTGACTTGACAGGTGGCCAGGGGAGGGAATGGTGATGAGGAGGATGATGATGTTGGGATTGAGGCCATGGTTTGATGGTGATTGGATGTGTGGTAAATCTCAAGTGGGCTTGATGATAGTCAGAACTGTGGGGGAATGTGGAGGAAGAAGTGAATGCCAGGTCAACAAAGGCATTGTCGATGTGAGAAGTTGGATGGGGGCATCTTATAGACATTGGATTTCCTTACCAGGCGGCATGATTGAAGGGTTGACAGATTGCATCGTGTTCAAATGAGTGCTAACCCGGAAAGTCAGGTTGAATGGAAGTAAGCAGGATATCTCCTCTGGGATAGTGTAACACAGCCTGCACTGACACGGCGGACAGGGTTGAACTGCCTTTCCCAGGGTCGACTGAACACCGACAGCTTGAGAAGAGAGCATTTTGATATCCTTGTTGAGAAGATGTTCAGAGGAAACAATACGTAAAAGGAAACTTCGATGGGATTGTCAATATTGAGTTTGTCCGTGTTGAAGTTGAGGGCCATGGAAGCTGACATAGCAAGGCAGCCCGTCGGAGGAAGGCTGACGCCGGCAAACTCGACAGTTGATTGGTCCGTTCACATTGTGGCGGATGGACGTTACTCCGAGCATCGAAAGACTCATGGGGATGGCAGTCCAAATCTGGCAGAGAGTTAGGGGTTGCTATCGAGAAATGTGCTCATCATTCAAGTTGTGGTGTTGAAGTTCTGCGTCAGGTTGGATTGGTGTCGACTCGTATTTATACAAGCGTTGTTCAACCAGTCACGTTGTATGTCATCCAACGGTGTTGGCCTTGATTCGCTGCCGATGCCGGCCTATGTTTTAGTTAGGCTTGAGCTAACTCTAAGCTGTAGCGTGCTTTTGGAACTGCTGGGCGGGGACTTGTTAGCAGGAAACTTAACTGTGGCTGGCCTAGCGTTGATGATATCACCATCACGTGCTATGTCAGCCTGAGATCGACCAGATCGACGACAACGACGAGGCTCTACGCACGTTCGATTCCAATCCAGCACACATCGAGACCGTGTCAACCACCTCCAAGCTTCTGACATGCTGCCTTTACGTTGTACATGATGATGCTGTGACACTGGTCCTTTCAAATAACTACAGAGACTACAAACTTGAACCTCGTCATCATGGAAACTGCCAGTGTCGGCCACCCAATGCAACCGACACAACCAGCGCCGTTACCAGCACCGTTACCACCGACAATGATGGCACAACCTGCCAGTCCCGCCCCGACGCCGCCAGCACCACCAGTGGCTTTCCCATCACCAGCTCCGATACCACAACCCATGCAACTCATCCAGCCGATGCCGTTACAGTTCTCTCCTTACGCGCCTCCAGCACCACCAGCAACAGCGCCTTTGACACCACCGGCGCAACCGACGCAATCAACGCAACCTCCACAGTTCACACACCCGCCCCAATCCACACCACCGGCTCAAACGCAACCGACGCAGTTCGTACACCCTCCCCAACTCACACAACCCATACCCCCTCGCGGACCTATCCTGCCCAGGTCCCCTCCCGGATCTACAACTACACAGCCCGTACCACCAACGCAGCCCATGCAACCCGCCCAGTCACCAGAGACAGAAACAACACCCTCAACACCTCGCCGCAAACGGCTGACGCGCGACCAACGCCGGGATATCCTCCTGATGCGCAGCCTGGGGTATACATACGAGCAGATCTCCAAACACCTTCACGTCACGATGGCCGCCGTTCACTATGCTTGCACGAAAGCCAAGGATGTGACGCCACAACATCACAAAGCAGGGAGGAAACCTCGGCTCTCCAAGGAGGATGAGGATCAACTGGAGGCCTTTTACCTGACCAAGGGCAAAAAGCGGAAACTCAGCTGTCAAGAAATGGCCGAAGAACTATGGCCGGACCGGGGCGTGAGCGCAAAAATCATCAGGCATGTTCTGGATAAACGGGGGCATCATCTCAAAGGCGTCACACCTCGGAAACGTACTAGTTCTAGTACTCAGAATCAAAGGCGACAAAATCCTCCACAAGAATCTGGGACGGTGGTGTCAAGAACTGAAGCGGAAGGACAACCAGCTCCGGAACAACTGGTTCAGTAGACGATTGCGCCGGGTTTGTTACTCAATGATTTAGAATTGAACAAAAATGGTCTCGGGGCCTCACATTTGCATCCTGCTGGCCGGGCATCTCAAAGCCATCTCGCTTCAGCAGAGGATGTCGGTGCCAGAGGGTGCAGGCGAAGGACCACAGAGGGTCGACGTCATCGCCGTATGTCACGAATAAGGCACTGATGGAGATGCACTTAGTGACCGGGCTGATTCCTCCAAGGATAGTGAGCTATCCGATCCAAACGATTGAGTGGAACTACTAAGTTCCAACTCGAGGACCATCACATCATATACAGCGCCAAGGAAATTCAATACCAGAAGCAAGAGCCATCGGCTTTATACCCAGCGAGACTGAACGCTCCTCTTCTCTCTGGCAAATGGTATATGACAAGAAATCACGCTTTTCAGGTCAGCCCATTTTGATACCTGACTGCTCGGGACGCTGTTCTGGCTTCAGGAAGACAGGTGGCCAAAGGCATGGCACATGGCAGACAATACAGCTGAACCAGAGGCAAACGACATCCCCTTTGCTGGAGGGGCAACTATCGCTGCAGCGAATCTATTCATCCCTGTGAGTCCAGGCTGTTAGTCCATGGCCATGACCCTGCTGCATTGCATCATTCCATGATATGGCCTCAGGGTGCAGGGCCTTTTTGATTCTTACAATCCATCCAGAAGCGTTACCGTCCTTTCTTCGCGGCTCCTCTTCGGCCAGCGAGACTTCCATCTGTCTCAGGTTTATAGATGCAAAATTAAGCTAAGTAAGGCGTTCATCTGGGTATGGGGCGCAACTCGTATTTAGTGGTTATACTTATATTTCGTACGTTTTCCCACAGCCGAGACCCCAATATCGAATGTCAACTACTAGTACGTGGTAGGTGTTCACACGAGCTCGTAACCGTCTCTGCACCGTTCAAAAAGCCCTGTTGACGCACCAGAGCGAGCGGAGGTTTCCGAGCATTGCTCCAGAAAATGGAGGAGACTCTGTTAAAGTCCACCATTGCCAGGGGTGGAAAGACAATAGAAACGTGTTGCTTATTATAACTCTAGCAACTTGAACCCATAACATGACGTCTGGTCGTAAAAGCCCATCATTCGGCCCCCATCGGGCAACAACGTTGCATACATCAATATTCATACGGTCCCCGTACTCGTACTCGTTCCACGCCCAAACGCCATTTGCCCGTCCTTCAATGTGTGCCCATGCATCACGAAGAACCGATTCTTGCTCCTCCCAAGACCCCGAGCTTGCAGCCCATAGTAAGTCCCACTCAGAAGCTGCAGTGGTGGTCGTACACGATATGACTTGTTCAGACAAGACACGCTCAAGCCTCGTCGAAAATGCCGCAGTTGGGATGCAAAGCGTAAGTGACTCTTTGGCCCGTGGCGGCAGAGGAGGGATGGTCACCATCGTTCTCGTCGTCGTCTTCGACAAGGCCTTGGCCCCGGATGGCGATGATCACGTTGTCCTGCAGAGAAACCAGGTCAGTACCTAACCGACAACAGACAAAAATATATTTGCAATCGCAAAGGGGAGGGAAAGACAAGGCGGTCAAAACATACCTTGACCATTCTCTTTAGGACCTTCTTGGCCAACGATCTCTCCGCGTGGAGTTCCTCCTCGTTGTTGATCGTGTCCTCGATCTGCTCGAGGTACCAGAGGAGCAGCTCGTTGTGCTCCGGTCCTTCGCCGGTACTGTCTTCGAGGTCGCGGATGCGCGAGGCGAGCATGTTTTGGATCTGGTGGTACTTTTCAAATGTAATCTTGGTGGGAGGACGGTGCGGTGCCGCCGCCCCGCTGGTGTTGTCGGCTGCTGCTGCTGCTGGTCCGGCCTCATCTCCGTGCGCAGCGTCGGCCATGGGGCTGTCGCCGTCCTGGTGTGGTTGTTGCGCGGCGTCTTCTTCTTCTTCTTCGTCGCCGTCGACTTCCACATCATCCTTTTCCACGGTGATGATTGACTGGCGCAAGAGATCGAATGCCTCGAGGACCATGGACTCGGTAATGTCTTCGACACAGTTGGCTTTGGCAATGGCCTCGCTGAGCCGGATCAGCGACTCCAGCTGCCGCACCGTGATGCGGTAGCTGTTCCTGCCGAGGCCGCCGGCGTCGTTGGCCCGGAGTTCCTTGTACTTCTCCACCAGGAGGGACTTGGCCTCGGGCGAGAATTTGGGCTTGAAAGTCCGCGCAAAGCGGATGTATCGTTGTAGCTGTTCCGTCGAAAACTCGGGCTGGACGAAATCGTCCTTTAGCATGTGCAGGTTGACGATGTGGTCGGCCAGATGGCGGTCGACGTTCTCGTTGCACTCGTCCAGGATCACAAAAAACAAATCGAATCGAGACATGATCGGGGCAGACATGTTGATGTTCGCCCGTAGCGTGGCTTTGCGGTTGTATCTGCCGCCGATGGGGTTGGCAGCGGCCAGGATGCTCGTGCGTGCGTTCAGAGTGGCGTGGATGCCGGCCTTTGCAATGGAGATGGTTTGTTGTTCCATGGCTTCGTGGATGGCCACTTGGTCGCTGATGTCCATTTTGTCGAACTCGTCGATGCAGCACGTCCCGGAGTCGGACAACATGAGCGCACCCGCCTCGATTGTGTGTTCTCCTGTCTCTTCGTCCTTCACCACCGCTGCTGTGAGACCTGCAGCGCTCGACGCCTTGCCCGACGTGTAGATGGCTCGTGGCAAGAACGAGGCAATGTACTTCAGGAACTGGGATTTGGACGTCGACGGGTCGCCCACAATGCAGATGTTGATGTCGCCTCTCAGAGGCATCCCCTCTGGTGTCATCTTGGAAACACCACCGAGCAGTTGCAGCAATAGACCTTTCTTGACCACTTCGTGTCCGTAGACCATCGGGGCAAGACTTTGGACTAGTCGGCTGTAGATCTTGTCCGTGTGGACCATATATTTCAGGTCCTCGATCTCGGCAGGTGTCAGTGTCTCGAGGTATGCCTCCTGCGCTCGCTCTCCGCTATCGTACTGGTCAAACAGATCGACCTGCTGGAGCGAGTTGAGAATGTTGGTCGACTGGCCGTTCAGCTGGTCCGCCGGTTGGCCTGGCGTGGTGGTGTCAGGGCATGAGAAGCATGCTAAGAATGCCATGCGGTAGGTGAGATCTCGAACGCCCAGCGCTTTGAGACCTGTCACGCCAGATCCTCCGACGTCCGCGCCACGGAAGTTTCTGTTGTCCTTGGATGCCTCTGGTCGTACGCCGGGAAGACCGAGCTGGGAAACGTCCGGGACCACAATCAAGGTACCGGTGAAAATACACTTCTCGCCAGGCTTGGTCCGCTCAACCTGCTCTCCTCGAAGAATGACATCCATCGTCCGCGGCATGCTGCCTGTCGGAATTTCTGAGCTGTTTTCTTGGATTCGACATCGTTGCCAGTCCACAAAGGTACTGTTACGAATGTCCAATCTCCAGGCCGTCTTGTTGCCGCAGGTCAAGTTGGGGCAGACATTCGGTTCTGTGTATCGGAATGTTTGCTCGACGTTGGGAACCGTCGTGTTGCACGCCTCACATATGAAAGTCCCCAGAGCCAGCTCTGGACGGACTTCTGATGTTCTCGTCACGGTTCCAGAGACAGACAGCAATTTGCCTATCTGATCCGTCCGGAGCTGCCGCACTCGAGACACCACAGGGAGGTTATAGAACGCTATTGTGAACATCTTGTCTGTTTGTTGGTTGACAGTCTTGTCACCCTGACTGATTCCCTCGCTGCTTGCATTTCCGGCCATTGAAGTGCCAGCTTGAGATGCATTGCTGGTCATCTGGCGATGGTCCCTGAAGTACACAGGCTCATATTTTGCAAGGAGATTATGCAGTGCTTTTGTCAGAAATGGGAGGAATCGGTAGTACTGGCTTGCAATCGCGTCCGCCAGGACGGGTCCCTCCTTGTACGACAGGAGGTGCCGATAGTCGACGTATAGTGTGGAAAGCTGGAATTCTCGTAGGCCATGAATCTGGTTGATGTAGTATTTGTCTGTTTTGAGTTCGCTTGAGGGCGGTAACGCCGACGAGGATGGCTCTTCATTGTGGGACTCGAGGAAATCCTCAAAGGCCTGTTGAACTCTTTCTCCGGCGCGGTCTACAACTTGCGATACATTCCGATCCAGTGGATTTCTGCTTCTTCCCCGGGCTGCTCCTACAATCTCATCGTCAGGAAAAATGTCGGCTTCTGAAGGGATTCCATTGCTTTCGGAGGGGACAGGACGGCCGCGGGACGAGGAAGGGAGATCTTGCGGCGTGCGCCGTGGCGAGGACGGCGCGGCGCCATATGCGTCTGAGTTGAGGATCGAGTCCAGCAGATTCGCCATTGCTGCGACTGTTGGGGCGATATCGAGGTGATTGTCGGTTGATTCGATCAGTTGGAACTGCCCAGACACATTCTTCAATCCTCAACCCTCAGAACACGAAAACGCGTCTTCACGCGTCGCGCGTAAAGTGGTTCTTGGCAAGTTTGTCGCGGACGCCATTTGGCATCAACGTATGTACATCATTTACATGTCCGCAAAGATCAAAGTTGCTACGCGTTTCGAGTCTGTGAAGACTCTAGGAACAACATCCAATGACAGCTAAGACGCTGAACGGTTGATTCTAGTATCCTTCATCATACAGCATCCCCTGTCTTAACTCTTTGACGCTCAATTGCGAGGTGTTTGCCAACCCCAAGCTTTTTATGGTCACCTCCCAACCCAATGCATCTGCCACCAGGAGCACCTTGACCACGCATTGTGCTTGTTGCATGATTGTGGCCAGGGTGCGAATCAGCTCATAATGATCTTGATCGCGACAGATGTCCACCCTGTCCATGACAATATACACCGTTGCTGTCCTCTCATACAAACTCACCACTTTTACGGCAAGGTCTTTCAGCGCGTTGACTTTGTCCTCGTCCTCATCGTCCTCGTTCTCCGATGTCTCCAACGCAGAAAATTTGTACACAGCAGCCATTATGGCCTCACGATGTTCAGCGAACTTGACCCCGAGTTCCCTTTGCCGGTGCCTGAGCAGCTGGAGCAGCACAATTGGTAACGCGGTGTGTATGGATTGCGGATGCAATCGATCAATTGGGTCGAAGACATGGACTGCAACCGGCGCTGCACTGGTAGGAACGCTTGCAAAGCTGTCTGCTAGCTCCAGCGCAAACCCTGACACCCAATTATACCGTTTACCTTGCGCAATGTTTTCATTGTTCACCCCAACAAGAAGGAGCAGTCTTGACTGGCCGCTCGTTTCCCATTCAGCTATCACAGGGTCGCGTCGGAGCTTGCTGCCGAGAGACAGTTGTTCATAATTAGTCTCTTCAGCACGCTCTCTATTCAGCCGCAACTTGTACTCTTTGAGCGCCTCCTGATGTGCTTCCGCCGTCCAGGAGGTGAGACCCAACAGAGTCCGTATCTCAATAAGATGGCTGGTGTTATTATCTCGCTGGAGCTCTGTATGCCACAACCAAATGTTAGCTTGCATTGAGTGGTTTACCTGGTTATTACCTTCATTCTGTTGCTTTATCGCGGCAATATTACGGTTCAGCAACTCCTCGCATCTCAATCGGATTGCCATCACACGGTCGAAGACGGTCTCCGTCATGTCATTGAATTTGTTTGAATGGAAGGATGCTATCATCCAGCGGTCTGCCAAAAAAGTCAAACCGCGTCTTGCTTGGGACAAAGGGATGACTTACAAATTCCTGGCCGCAAGTAATATCTCGTGATCTCAATCGACAGATCAATGAATTCAAGGTAGGCAAGCAAAATCTTTTTCCTCAAATCTTTCTCCAGATCGTTGTCGGCCTTGTATATGTACTCGTACATCTGGAAGCCGGGCAGCCTGTCTTTGACCCCTTCTAGTGCGGAGGAGATGCGACCTTCCATAGAGTTCTTCCTTCCTGCAAACTAGAACTCATTGTCAGCACAACCATCTCAGCATCTTGAGATCCGAGGACCTGTCGGCGGGTCTGAGTTGTCTTACCACGAACAGTCCGGTCAGCGTCCCAACTGCAAGTCCGGTATAGGGAGCGCCAAACGCTTTCACCATGTCAAGCACGGGTTCTATATCCTTCATGAACGCAGTGACTCCGCCCGAGAAGTTTTGATATCGCTTCGACCACAGGCGCCATCCCTTTTTATGGTCTGCATTATACCGCGATTGGGCGTTTCCACTGATTTCCGACCAGAACTGTACAAAGTCGCCCTGGGTTCTGCAGCCGAATGCTCTTGTTGCCTCTGGGGCCAGATTCTTCGACCTCAACCAGTTGTGGAAGCTATTCTGCTTTTCCTCCACCTCTCGAAATCTCTCCCTGGAAGGGCACGTTAGCGGGCTTCTGATACCTCCAGTACACTGTCTTTGCTTTGATAGGCCATGACTTACGACTCCGTCTCCGTAAGGTCAGGAAGCTGCTGTGCCATGTTGGCAGCGGCCACCGACTCGATGAAGCAATCGGCAAGCTTCACATCCATGATATCTCTTGGTCAGGCTGTACATGTTCCATTTGCGCATGTCCGGAACGCGTTACATTGGGGTTGAGGGGGCTGATACCCCTGTCATAGCATTAGATCAGGCGTCCCGGCCAGGGTCAATCCGTTCAAGTTGTGGCTTGTGACAGTCTCACGTGTCGATATGTGAGTCGTCAGGACTCAATGCACACTCATACACCATCAACACTTGCGATGTTGTCGGCTGCACCTCAGCCGCCCCCTCGTATAGCCGCCTCGCACTAGTACTCAGCCCCCATCATGTTGCAGAAAACCACATGGGATGTAACAGGCCACCATGTCCGCCTTGTCGGTCCGCAGTTCGACAATTGGCGGGAAGAACCATAAAATTGGCAAAGGGGGGAGGGCTCTGTCGCTTGAACCTATGTGCCCGGCTTCTGGCCATCAATTGAACCCTCAGCCGCCTTCTTTCTACTTATTCGAGACGCTACCCATCTAAAGACGCCTTTCACCTCCAGATGAGAAACAAAGCAGAAGTGATGAGTCCTGAGCCGGTGAAAGGAATTACTGTCCCGGTAGCGTCCAGCTCTGCTTCGAGGATTCGAAGAGCACCAAGCTGACGGTTTCTAGCAAACGCCTGTGGAGGATAAGCTCAAGTTGCTGGAGGCAAAGATAGCAGAGCTCGAGTCCTACTATCACAAGCTCAAGCTACAGGGGCTTCCTGATGGCGTTGCCAAAGATGACACAGACAAGGCCGGCGATACCGACAAGGCTGGCAAGACAGAGGAGACTAAAGGCGATGAGCTGGACGAGCAGGCAGTAAGCAGTCACTGGAATCGACAGTAATGCCACTGACGCTTTTGCCCAGCCCACCTCCCGTGCTCGGGTTGTCGTGAACAAGTTAGATACCGACTCCGGCACACGGAAAGATATCCCTGCCGGTGAGGCTGCAATGCCTCTCAAAGGCAATGAGCTCGAGAACAAGTACGCCTTTCAGCTTAGGAAGCTGATTTATGGACCCGACGATGACGACGAAGGCGAAGTGGAGATCTTCAGTCCAGATCTGCGGCTCCTTCTCAAACGGCTTCTCAAGCATTATCCCTACCATCATTTCCTGGGTGACACCGTGACACTCAATTCACCTTATGAGTGTCTGGTTCTGAATTGGGACTTGCTCGTCAGTGAGGCGAACCAGCCAGGACTGAACGAAAAAGACCAGCTGGCCCGTGACGATCTCAGGCTCCTCTTGAACACCATCAAGGAAGGGTCAGGCGAGGAGAGGCTAGACGACTACTTCAAAATACGAGATACGCTTAAAGCATCACGCAGCATTACCTTCCAGAATTTATGGACCATCTTTCCGCCTGGTACAGTCGTGTATAGTCGGCAATTTCTCAAACATGACCAGATCTTCATCGTACAGGACAATGTGCGGGTATGGCCACGTCAAGGCAATCGCGCCCGCTTCGGCCTTTATTGCTGGACCTACGATTGGAACGGACAAGTCTTCCAACGACGTCCGATCACCCTAAGCATTGATTACTTCGAGGGCCCTCGGCCAATTGCCTCACTCAACGTGCATCCACTCGAGGATACTGAGAATGAGGAGGAAGTGAAGCAGAGGCTACTGGCCCGAGGCAAGCTGTTTCGGAAGTATTGTACAGTGCCCAAGGAAAGCCGGATGTTCAAGTATTCCGGGAAGTGCGTGGTGGATAGGAAGGGTTTTCGTGGTGTGAGCGCCAATGAGGTACCCAACAAGGAATCATGCAATCGCTGCAGTCCAACCACTAACCTCGATGGCACAGGACCACGACGAAGAAGAGAACATCAATCGTCAGGAGAGGTCGAGAATGTTTTATCCGCCGGATGATGGTGTTGGCGAAAGAAGAGGAAAGCAATCGATGGTATGTCGTTGCCTAGCTTGGAGTATGCACATGTGGCCACACATACTGACGCGAGCCCTGCAGGTCGACGGCGACATCATGGTCGACTTCGAGTCGTACTACAAGTATGGGCTCGCCGAAGCACAGATAGGTGACCTATCATTGGGTGACGACACAGACGAATGTCAATGCTCCGATTGTATGAGCAACGATGCGTTGAGGGCGATGTACCGTGTCGACTACGATGGCAAGACAGGAGCCGACTATGAGCAATGGGAGGATGAGCAGATAATGCTCTGCCCACCCCGACTCCTGGGATATGTCCTCCGTGACAAACAATGGGCGCAGCTCGATGTAAACGGCATTGTCAAATTCGGACAAAAGGCGGACGATGACGCGTTTTGGGAAAGACTGAAACTGGCGGGGGAGGACGGCGGCAGAGAAACCAAGATGCTACTTCACGGCCTGGTCAAGAACCACGGCATCAGCGAGACAGGGGGTGGGTACCAACTCAATGATATCGTGCCAGAAAAAGGCAAAGGCCTGGTGATTCTGCTATACGGTGAGTGACCACGACAACGGTTCAGGTCGACGCCACTGGCTTGTCACATCGTAGCTAACTCATATTGCCAGGACCGCCTGGAGTCGGCAAAACCTCAACAGGTAGGCAGTATTCCGCCGTCCTCCCTTCGCCGGACCTCATCAACGTTCGTGTACTGTTGAATGATTGATTCTGACCTGTGGTCAGCGCAAACCATCGCCGTGGCAGCCAAGAAGCCGCTGTTCTCCATCGGAGTGGCCGATGTTGGCACATCTGCCAAATTGGTCGAATCGAACTTGGAAAAGATATTTGATCTCGCAACGACCTGGAGAGCAATTCTTCTCATGTAAGGGTTCCCGGCCGAGCCTCCGTACCTTCCCAGCCGTCTGTCTACTGCTTCGTGGCTAACTATGCGACATCCAGTGACGAAGCAGATGTGTTTCTTCAAAGCCGAGCAAGGGGACAGATGGGTCCTACGACCGAGCGCAACGCTCTTGTTTCGGGTATGTTTTGAATCGGACTTACTACCATTGCCACCATCGAACGGAAAAACATCGTGCACAGAACCCCACTATCTGGTGACCCCCAATGCGTTACAATAATGACAAGAAAGTCGGACCTACTCTAACATGACCTACCTCAACACCAGTCTTCCTCCGAGTCCTGGAATACTACCAAGGAATCCTCATCCTGACGACCAACCAAATTGCCCAATTCGACGTTGCCGTACAGTCACGCATCCACATCGCGATCCGATACGAAGGTCTCGACAAACGTCAGACGGTCGACATCTTCGAAGGCTTCCTCGAACAGTTTAAGCGCAAAGGCCTGGTGCAGCCCAAGACGTTCACGGACATCATGAACTACGTCCGCAAGGACCTGTACAAGAAGAAATTCGACGGGCGGCAGATTCGGAATATCGTCACCTCGGCTATGGGCGTCGCTTTGGCCGACAACAGGCAGATGACCATGGAGGACTTGAACAACGTTGTCACCATCATGATGGGCTTCAAGGGCGATTTGGAGTATCAGATGAGACAGTATGAAGGTGAGCTAAGCTGGCCGCAACCCATTCGGTCGTATCGTGTTTGTCCGGACCAGGTCCGCTAACGTTTTAGCAGAAGCGCAAAGCGGGTCACGAAATCCATATACTTGAAGACCGTAGTCTGTCGCCGAAAGTGGGCGTCAGAAAAAAGGAAATGAGAGCAGGCAAGTTCAACAGAAAAGCTACCCAAGCAGAGAGCGAACAGGGGGGCTAATTGAAATGGATGAACGACGTCAAGCAAGAGATTGGCTTCTGCCGGGCAGAATGGTGATGATTTATGATGATGATAACGATTTTCTTGATACGTGTTCGGCCAGTTTCGGGCCAACTAATAATATGCAGAGCAAAGCAACAAAGGAATAGGAAAGACACTCATTCCTATACGTCTTCTCTTAACCCTGTTCGAGGGATACAGAAAGACTACTACTCATGCCGGTCTCATTGTCTCGTAGTTCGTTGTATGGCGATGATCGTGTATCAACGATAACTTCCAAGGGGCCAGAGCGAGAAGATTTACATAGCACGTTGAGATGGACGGAATGAACGTGACCAAACGACATTATTGTATGCCAGGCACTAGTAGTAGATGATGGTCGCCAATAGTGAAGCATCATGTTGAGATGGCATCGACAACAGACAGTGACTGTCCCGCTAATAACAACAATATTTCTAATGACACATAAATTTGTCTGGCACAATCCTTTTCCCCAATCTCTGGTCGAAAAGGGAGACCCAGAATAGACATCTCAATAGGTAAAGTGTACATGAGCAACATTATCAACCTGTGGTGCAGGATGCGGATGGTACAGTTGAAGGGTTAGGCGCCCTAACACGTGGTGGACCCCCTTCCCATCTTGGGCGATCGTTGATAAGGTATGACAGGCAAGAATCCGTAGTGTCCGGACGGAGTAGTACAACATCATGACTGCCGACACATCAAGCCGGGAATGAGGGCAGATGCGTACATGACAGCTGTGATGGGCATGAGTTCGGCCATGCGGCCCTGCAGCTGCTTGGTCGGTTCGGGAACCAACCCGGCGTCTTCCCAGGTCTTGCAGATACGATCCGGGAGGGCTCGAAACTGGGCGGTGGTGGTATCGTTTGCGATCTCAGACTCATCCATCGCAGCCATCGCCGCACGAATCCCCAGAGCCGTGCCAAACTCACGAAATGCCAGCCTCCGACTGGGCGGTTCGTCAAAGTATCCGTCCTGGACCAGGAACTCAAGACAGGAGATGGCGCGGCGAGAAATGGTGGCTGCCCATTCCTCCTCGGCACTCAACCAGTGTGCTGTCCACAAAGTCATTCCTAGGTCTAATGTATCGCTCGAAGTATAGTATTTCCACTTTGTATCGACGATTTTCTTGAGTGCGGCGATTTCCTCTTGGAGGGCGGTACAGTGGTCACTGGTGTCTTGGAGAAGTTTGTAGGTGACATACCCGTCAATGGGGTCGAGATTGCCTTCAGACTTGACGAGCGGTCGAGACAGATCCATGCTCAGCTTCCAGTACATTCGAGGTCTGGTGGACGACATGTCTGTCATGAAGCGAGGGAGGATCGCCTTGGCCATGGACACGGCCTGGTCGTTGTACCATTTCTGGCCGGTCACGATGGTCATCCGGTTGAGGGCAAACATCCACACCGTCAGGTAGTGGAAGTACTGTCCATCGCCATCTGGACCGGATTCGTCCAACTTGCCTATCCGTAGCCCGCCATTGAGGGGTTGTTCTTCGGTGGCGCCTGGAAGCCTGGATTTGCCGTCGCGCGTGTAGCCTAGAATGTTGTGGACGGTAGATACCAGGTTGCGGGCAAAGATCAAGTATCGCTCCTCGCCTGTCAGTTTGTAAAGGGTCAAGAAATTGACCACGGCGAATCCATCGGTCCACAAATATCGACCTCGATGGCCCTCTGCCGCTGGCGGAGGAGTCCATTTGGCAAGATTGGCATCGCTAGGTTCGGGAAACGGACCGTAGATGGTCTCCATCGCCCTAAGGAACTTGGGGAGGTTGTCTTTGTCTGACGATGACATGGTGCTGGATGGAAGAGCGAGTGTTTGGGAACGGTGACGGGGCGGTTGATAGAAGGGCTGGCGGGAAGGTGCGGATATGCTTCTGCTGGCGATGGACTTACGATTATTTGGGAGCGGAGGGCGTGGGACGCTGGCAATAATGGGAATGAATCTGGTTCTCTGTGACAGTGATAGATAGGTGCTGAAGGGACGAGTTTGTCTTGAAGCAGTGTGAATCGGTATCACTCTGGATGGCCATGACATGAATGCTGGCAAGTTAATTGTGGTGAAGTTACCAGCACTTCAACAGATTTGTGGCAGAGGAATCACCCATGATATGATCGGCCACAGCAGCACCGTGTTGATTTTAGTAAGAGACACATTTGATGGCGGCCAAGTCAGCCCAACTCCATGTGATTCATGTGATGGATGGTAGGATGAACACTCGAGGGGTTTCGATTGCGCCAGTTCAGGTTTCTGATATCACGGTGGAAGGAGTCGGAAGCAGAGCATGAGGGGTGCAATTAGTGGCCAGCAGCTGCAAATCAACCCTAATAAGAACAGAATAGTGACCTACAACGTTGTTAGCTGCAGTGGTGAACAATCTCTATTCTTAGTCAGCCACAACGATCGACCTCCGGCTGCCCCTCATCACGTCGCTCTGCAGCTTCAAGTTTCTGCCCCTCATTTTCGGCCAGTCGATGGCTTCATCGGCGCCTATATCGGTGGCTACCGGCGACTGCAGCCTGTGATTTAGCCACCACAGCTGCTGTTGATTGACGGGGACCAACGACCGGTAAATAATAGCACTGAAACTTCAAGTGGGAGCAAAACAACCAGATGAGTGGTCGTCAGCTTCTGTAGGATGTAGTGACCTCGAAGCCGCGCCCAAATCCCGCTCCATTCCATCATCGTACTTCGGGTAGAGCTCCAGTAGTACTGCCAGTGGCTCCAGTGTCCCGGCGTCTCCAGTTGCTCACCTCCGGCAGCTCTGGTACCAAGGTATTAAACTCCACTCGACTGCCTTCATTGCTTACGCCTTTTTTCTTCCTTCTTCCATCTTTCCCTCCAAGTACACAGTTCACGTCTACTTTGATCCTGTCCATCTGATTGTCGTTCGATTGAGCTTGTGCAATCTCGAAACCAAGTAATCCGTCAAAATGGTTAAAGCAGGTGAGTAGCCATCGTCCGCATCCTGCCATCCCGAGTGATGCCGTGGAACATGCTCTGTCCGGGGGTTTGTCAGCATTGACCGAACCGTCCAAACGAGCACCACCGGCGACCGAATCATGGATGACCTCAGGAGAGGAACACCGTTGATGAACACCTTAACACTGACATGTCTTTTCCTGTTCTCAGTTGCCGTCCTTCGCGGAGACTCCAAGGTCACCGGCCAGGTGGTCTTCGAGCAGCCCTCGGAAAACGCCCCTACCACCATCACCTGGGACATCAGTGGCCACGACCCAAATGCCGAGCGTGGATTCCACATCCACCAGTTTGGTGACAACACCAACGGATGCACCAGCGCCGGTCCTCACTGTAAGCAGCAGTCCCCTTCCCTTTGCCCACCCACCTCTCCCTCCAACCAAACAGTTCCCTCGGATAGAAAACAGACAAGAATCGAGACACAAGAGAGAGAGAAATACGCAGAAGGAGGTCAATACGATGGAAGAGAACACCATGGGAGCTGACACTCATTGTACTTTCCAGACAACCCATTCGGCAAGACTCACGGCGCCCCGACCGACGAGGAACGCCATGTCGGTGATCTGGGCAACATCAAGACCGATGCCCAGGGCAACGCCAAGGGCAGCGTCAGCGACAGCCAGATCAAGCTGATCGGCGAGCACAGCATTCTCGGGGTAAGTTCGAATACATCAAGATTGACTACAATCCGACACAAGGACCTGCATATACTAACTTTGTTTCTTCTTGCAGCGCACGATCGTCACCCATGCGGGAACTGATGATCTCGGCCGAGGCGGGACTGAGGAGAGCAAGAAAACGGGCAATGCGGGCGCTCGCCCGGCCTGTGGTGTCATTGGCATTGCCGCATAGACGGTCTATCTTGAGGGCCGTCAGAGCTGTGCTGCGTCTGACAGCCCCTCGGGCACTCACACTCGCGTCGTGGACGTGCATACCAAGCCTTGGCTTCGTTTGACCAGGCAAACAGAAACGAGGACAGGTTTTGGTATGCCCCCCGACAGTGAGGCCTGCCAGCCACATCCCAGATACAGTTCTGCAAATAATAAAGTCAATCAAATAGCATGTTCGACCTGTCTTTGTCACGACCTCTTTGCGACATTGCTGCATGCTGAATGATGTTGTACTGTAGATTCGAGTAGTATAAAGCCTGCTAGGACATAGCTAGGGACAATATCGTTTCGTCTCAGCCTTAGGTAATCGATGCTGCATCCGGAGACCGATCTCCCAGTAATAGATGCACTGGCACAAGACCCATACAGTACATTGTAAACAGTATACACTGCATTGTTGCAATGGCAGCACCAGGTGAGCAGTGTACAGTGCGATTATCGTTGCCCAAGTTGAAGTGCCAGTCGATGGACCCCTTAACGCAGCAGTGTTCGGACCCATCCCACAACACTTCCCAGTTTCTACAGTGCGGAATCCCAATCCCAGTCTCAACCTTGGAACTTGAACACCAAAAAAAGACGCACAGTACTGCGCCAGCAACACGACACATAAAAACAAAAATCGACTAAAAAGAAGTGTCATATGTGATGAATGCATCAGCCGCGAATCGAACGCGGGTCTCATGCAGTGTTGCTACCCCAAGTCATCTCGGAAGATGAGAGGCGATGGCAAGCATGAATTCTACCACTGAACCACTGATGCTGGAGGAGCTGCTGCCAGGTGGTGGCCGCTGCTTGATTGTTGAAAGAAATTCTGGACCTATTATACTTGAGTGCAATTTTTTGTGGGGTCACGTGGAGTGGTGGGTCAATGTGTTCCGGTGTGTTCATACGCCGAGGTCTCTCCGATAAATCGCTACAACATTGGACATCCGGTTTCCAGAGGCTAGCTACCATTATCAGGTACATGTATCGTCTGGATGGCATGGCTTACCAGCCATCGAATACAGGGGACGAGAAAGCCCAAACCAATGGATGAATGTATGGGCAATTGGCCCGTCTATCTACACAAACAATACCTACTCGCTCTTATGTGCTTGCCGAATCCATGGTGTACGGAAAACCATTGCGAAATAAAACGGTATATATTCACAAGGGCTCACTACATGTACCAACCACTCCCCTTGGTTCACTGCAGTTATTTATTTTATGTTATTTTATTTTATTCTTTCTTTCGCTCGTTGCATTGAACACATCAGAAGAATAAAACTCGCGTTAGGTTCGTAGAACTCTCGAGAGACCACCGTCTCGAGGCAATAATCACCGAATCCTTCGGCCGGGATAGTCTACATGCTGGTGTCTGCCTGCCTGCTGGTCCTTACCTGGTCTCGGAACAATAGAACTCACGAGACGCACTGATATCGCCAAAAGACAATACGGCCTCTCGGAGTGTACCATTTATGGTCCGAATGTGAGTGAGACGAGTCCACAGGTGGGCGTTCCGGTTTGAGATGAGGAAGGCGGGTGTTTCCAATCCGCTCGGGTTGTATATTATCCAAATCAAAGGTCTTGAATTGCAAGGCTGCAGCAGTTCTCGGAGCACAACAGTGCGGATCTCTCCGTAATGTGTGCTTGAACATTTACTTGCTAAAATGGAGTTGATCCGACGCTGATCAAATTTGGATATATGTATATACGCAGAGACAGAGATACGTTCAAAGCTTAGCACCGACGTTCTTTCGGGCCTCCCTGTCCTTATCGCGCAACAATCTCCTCAAGATCTTGCCGGACGGACTCTTTGGAATGACATCGATGAACTCGATACCGCCAGCAAGCCACTTGTGGCGGGCCTTTTCTTTCTCGACATGCTTTGCAATACTCCGCTTGATCATGGCATCGCTCTCTTCCAATCCGACGGATTTCGCCTTAACCACGTATGCCTTGGGCAGTTCACCCGCCCGATCATCCGGCACAGGAATCACGGCGCAGTCGGCGACAGCAGGGTGATTGAGCAAGCAGGCTTCCAGCTCGGCGGGCGCGACTTGGAGACCCTGAAAACAAAACCGTCAGCAATTGAATAACAGGAATCAAGAATAACAAAGTTCTGACTCACCTTGACTTTGATCAGTTCCTTGATACGGTCCACCACCCAGACATGCTCGTTACCCTTGGGAGACACTCTGAACTCGACTTCGTCTCCAGTCCGCATGAACCGGCCTTCGGGCATGTCTACAAAAGTCTCCATGGTCGCCTTTTCGTTCTTCAAATATCCCAGAACAACGCTGGGAGACTTGACCAGCAGTTCTCCGCGCTGGCCGTAGCCGGTGATCTCGTTCCCTTCGACACTCATGACCTTGGCCTCCATGCCCGGGATCAGACATCCAGAGGACCCGAACCAGATATCAGTCGGACTGGACGAACATACGACGGTGCAGGTCTCGGTCAGACCGTAACCTTGTCTCACTTTCCAGGAGGGATACTGCCGTGCCAGATCCTCGGCGGTTTCCTTGCCCAGCGGTGCAGCGCCGGTGAAGATGGACAGCACGCTGGACAGGTCGAATTTCTTGAGCAGATCGGGATTCTTGACCATGGCGATGATGATCGGCGGTACAATGTACAAAGTGGAGATCTTGTACTCCTGGATCGCACGGAGATAAGCTTGCAGGTCGAATTTCGGGAGCACAATCACTCGGTCGCCACGGTAGGTCGAACAGTGGCAGATGACAATCAGGCCGTAGATGTGAGATTGAGGCAATAAACCCAGTGCCACGTCGTGGTAGTCGGGAGCGATGGCCTCTCGGGCGGATTTGTCGAACAAGGCGATCTGCATCGTGTTTGCAATTACATTACGGTGAGAGATCATGACTCCTTTCTGTTTTTCAGGTCAGAACCAGCCCTTCGACCACTGCAACAGAACCAGGAGAGTGCATACCGGTAGACCAGAAGTTCCACTGGAATAACACAAAAAGGCCGTTTGTCTCGCGCCTTGACCCTTGGACCATTTGATGGGTTCGAGCTCAGGCAGAGACTCGCCTTCCTTGATCAACTGGGACAAAGTCTTGAACTCTTTGGGGATCGGAGGGTCGTTGGCCATTTCACAGATGTAGATGTGCTTTCTGGGAATGTTGGCTTTGGCGGCCGCGTCCAGGGCGGTCTGAAGGAGAGGCATGACCGTGAAGAGCACCTTGGATCCCGAGTTGGTGAGTTGGTATCGGAGCTCGTCCGCATTGTAGGCGGCGTTTGCGGGAGAGGAGACACCGTTGAGACGATGAATTGCCCAGTTGAGAGTCATGATATCAATCTTCTACCGTGTCAGTCCCCTCACCTATTCCTGTACATTGATCTGCATGGAACTACACACCGTGTTGAGCGCAAAGACACCAGCAACTTTGTCATATTCGCTGCCCTCGTTGACCTTCCATCCGAACTCCTTGGCCAGGCTCCGAGCCAGCTTGTCAACATTTTCCTTCTGCTGCCGAGCCGTGATGCTCCTGCCGCTTATGGCATCGGTATAGGCATCCCACGAGTCAGAGATCGGCCGCCGCCCGTGCTTCTCATCCAACATGAAGTCGCAGATCGGGACTGTGTCCGGGACTTTGGGCAGCTTTGGTAGCCATGGAGGAGGATAGAACACCATGGTTGGGCGAGATGCTAAGCTGTAATCGTAGGACGAGGAGAAGGAAGGCGGGAGATCAAACGCTACGTCGCTCGCGGAAGGTTATGATGCTGCTGGAGACTGCTCTCGAGCAATCCTGAGTCGGATGTTGGACGGCTCCCGGGATAAATATAATGCTTTAATTCACAACTCACTGAGACTCAGAACCTGCAAAGCATAATCCAGCTTGGGCGGACAGCTGAGGTCTGGAAACGGCTGAACCGCATTTTGGCTGGCGGCGAACCCGCGGAGGCATCTCTACAACTGACTCGAATAATACCCGAGGTAGATTGACGATGCGCAATCGGTGCTAAGGTCGGTTTGGGGTTGCTCCGAACGGCCAGCAAGGTGGTCCCCATCGGGACATTGTAGTATTGGTCCAATGTGCCCCAAGCTCTGGAGCTCTGGGGTAGTCGCACTGCGGCCAGTCAAGAAAATCTTCCATAAGCCCCCAGGCCTCAGCCGGAATAGGAGTGGCACCAAGAGCAAAGAAGACTCCATAGAATGAACCGCCAAATCATGATGCTGATTATTGACGAACTTGGGGGCCGACACTGTTACTGCCGTCCCCTTGTGCCGATGTATCTCCCCCATCGAAACGGTCGCCGAAAATCCGCCCTAGCTGTGGGTGATAGTTGCGCATACCTGCGCTGGGGTTTGACAGGGCAAATAGAAATATCATATGGGGTATTCTTGTTTCTAGAACAAGACTGTCAGTGATGTACAAACCTCATCATGCACTACTATTGTCGGTCTGCGCAACACAAGGTTGCCCAACCAGGAAATGGCAACCAGTAGGATTCTGTAAAAGACCTGAAGGGGAGGACTATCCGCTCAAGAAACTCTGGATGTCGTCCGCTTGATATATATATTATTCCAGTTGTTGTAGAGATGTCGACTTTGCCAGAAATACTGCGGTGCTCCGTCGGCGGGCGTCCGCTCTGCTTCGGGAGGAGATCGGATCGACCACGAACTGCGTACCTAGGAATGGTGTCCTGCCTGAATCGGACGCCGAGTCCTCAACATCTTCTGCCCATGCACAACAACATACCGTGGTTCATACAGGACGTGTGCTGCGGCTCAGGCATTCACAGTAAATATACATTGTATGCCACTGCAGGATCCAAGGTCACCGTACTACTAGTATATCACAGCGTACCCTGCCAAATCAAAGTCCACTGAATGCACCTCCATCCATATCTACATTGTATACAGTATTCCCTATTGCGGTCGTGTACAGAGGTCCTCGTGGCATCTGAAGGGTCTACAATCCAGGATGGTCTGAACGGTCCACTGATCCGAAGTCCGGCCAGGCTGAGGACGCTCAGGCGCTGTTGCAGCGGGTTCAACTTGACGTTGCCTCAGTCAATTCGTTGGGCTCTTCCCCGGGAAGTCACGGATCTATTTGACATTGTTGTTTGATTATTGTTTTGTTGCTCCATGTTGATATGCATAAGCTTTTGGCCACATGCGTAAACATCTCCATGTCGCCTGTGATGATTCCTATCCACGCACACGAGCGGAGACGCAAGGAGATTGAAATGGGACCGCAATCAAAGCAAGAGCCTTGAACGGCGCTTGCGGCCCGTATCACGTGGTTGGCGACGGAGCCGACACAGCTTATCACAAACAACTGCTGCAAAGCGAGATCTTCAAATCTCGTTTCCCTCAGATTGAAACCCCTACACTTTGACACAATAATCACCACCCTTACCTACCTACCTAGGTAGGTTGGTAGGGATCTTAGTTGCAAGGCGAACAAGCCCTAGTGGACGTTCTTACCGGTGTGGTAAATACACTGGTAAGGTATTCTCTCTTCGTTTGAAAAGACGCTGTCCCATGGAAAGCCAGCCCTCCTTCTATACCTACTGTGTCCCCCACAATCCTTCCAAGGTCACCCTTGTCTCGCACTACTGGTACAGTTACCCTGGTAGCTGTAGACAAGGTTATAGGTTCAAGAAACATACCTTAGCATTGATGTAAAGCACGCAATATTTGCCAATGGTCGAACCATGTGGTCAGGTGAAAGTGACCACGTCGCAGCACTGGACGAACAGCAAAACACCTAATGTTTCCCTCTAAATGAACGGTCGCCAGCCTCTCAGAATGTTATCTTCATGCCGCGCTTGGGCAATGCAGTGTAGAGGGTCCACGACCATATCTTGACGATCCCACAAAGCCCGATTGCACCATCTATGCTTGTCTGCCCCGACTGACATGAATTCGGCCGGCTGTTGCCTTTGACACCGACCAATCCCCTGTTCTAGTGGCACGGTTGGTGTGGGAAAAAAGAAAGTCCAAAAGAATGCTCACCCGTCGGACAGCGCTAGACTTGGGCAGTATAGCCTGTTTTCCGCATGCACGTCAACATGTAGCTTGCTTGCAGGCTTGTGAGACTCTGACGGTATGATGTCCTCGAACGGCCCGACAATGAAGACCTCACGCCGAAGCGTGCTGTCTCGGGACAGGCTGTCTGGGCAGGTCATGACCAAGAGATCCGAGCCGGTATGAGTCGTGATCCATACTCATGTCCAGCAGTGGTAGGAAGGCTCCTCAGTACGATCGTTCTCAATCTTGGTCGTGGCGCGGAGATCCTCCGAACCCCGCATTTTCAGATGCTGTACAGACCACGGTTTTGTATCATCGCCACGATCCAGGATGTCTGAACATTGTGGCAAAGAACCTTTTCTACTACGGCCTGCATAGGAGAGTCTCCGACGGGTCGAGCATTTCATTCCTCGCAAAAGGCGTTCAACCGAGCCAGTAAGGGCAAGGCTATGTGACACATGGGAACCTCCGGCCTGGGGATCAGGCGTTGGGGAAGGCTAGAAACAGCACTACGTCTGGTAGACAGCATACCTTAAAGCGTCCACCACCGGCAATGACAAGAGTGTGGGGCAGCAGAGCAGGCAGTCAATCAGATGACAATGAGGCTAGATGCCAGAGCTGGTGGTACAGCAGTACATCAAACAGAGCGGTGAGCCTTGAGCAGCAAATGTATCAGAACAACAACTCGATGACTTGCCAAACTTTTCGGAAAAGAGAGCGGGTGTGCTTAGCGAGCAATGCAGCCATGTATCCGCGACGCTTTCAAGCAGGGTTTGTAGGCTTGTGCCACATCAGAACGCCGCTTCGGAGCTGGAAAGTGATTCAAGTATGTCGCAACCTGCAGGCTGCAGGCTGTAGCGACGCAGGGTATAAGCGCACTTAAGAAGCTCCAGCAAAAGCTTCTCGGTGAGTCGGAGGGCTTGCGATGCCGGCATATGTCCTTTGAGGCTCTCAGCGAAGACCTACCTAGCTAGCTTTTCAGTCGAGAGAGGCTTGCATTTGATGCACGAAAAACTCGAATGGATACTGATTTGTACATCGTACTGTAAAACTGTGGCAGGCAGATGAAGCACATGTTTTCTTTGCAGTTGAAGTTCGCAATGTACTACTAGTACTACCTCTTACCATTGTGGTCACTGGCATGTGGGGAACAGATTCAACACACTATCTGGTGCCCAATGAAATGGTGCTTGTTTTTAATCCTGGCGTAATGTTCGCTTATTTGCCATAGGCGTACATAGGCGTCCATATACCGGCTTCCACCTTAAATAGTTTGTCCGTAGAGCCGCCCTAAAAATCGCGGTGGGCAGGGATGAGCCTACGGTCTCCGACATGTCCTGCCACATGCATTCTTGAGAGTGTCGTCCTCTTTTTCGCCCAACATGGTCCTCACCAAGTGAGCAAGGACAGAGGGCTCGACAATGAAGCCTTGACTCCAAAGTACAATCCTCACGAACAGTGATGTGGTGCTAGCAAGTCACAAACAATTTGTGCCAGGGTTGGAGCTTCATGTTATTAGCCGACCTACCTAGCCCCTGCAGAGGTGGCGAAATATACCAGGTAGCGGCAGGGAGAAAAGGTGCGCCACACTGCAGTGGCAGCTGAAGCAGTTCTGTGCATCCCCAATGCCAGTAGTGCCGTGGCGGCCGATTCGGCGGCGATCATGTCAACTTGATGCCGAAAGCTAAAACACGGCAGGGAAAAAGAGGGTAAAATACATGTTTTATATGTACCACAATTTGCACGTGTAAAAACTGTGCAATGTTGTCCTGGAGTACGCTGTCGCCAACTTACAATGTCAAGGGTTGTTAATGCCATATACAATACATATCCATGTTATTCCAGACTTTCAATTGCTTGCTACATGTCCTATACCAAGATCGGGAGATCTCTTGTCAGAACCACATTTTATCGGTCCAGCATAACGTACATTGTCGTCGTCCATAGATTCTTCTTACCTAGGTACCTAGGTAGCTTCCGATACAGACTCCGCTTGCACCTGTTAACATAGAGTAGCACCCTAAGAACTAATATCTAGCACCTACCTAGGTAGGTAAGGTCAAGTGGCTTAGGGATCTACTAGTATCATCTAACTCGCAACTTTCTCTGCATGCTGGTAGGTTCTCGCGCACCCTGGTTCCTGGCTTCTACCCACACAATGCTCTCGCTTGCAACATTCACCATTCACCGCACACCATGACGGCACCTCATCCAGCGGCCTTTTGCCTTGTGGGAGCCAGCCTGGGCTTGAGCCTGAAGCCCTGCGCCTGTGCTGTTGCTTCCGCTAGCCTCTTTGACGCCCCGGTGCCTGGTCTTGATTTCTTGACGTGTTGATCCTCGAAACAAAATTGTGGACATAGTCCTCAGCAGCGTCTACAACGTACCAACCGCTTGTTATCCGAGTCCACTTCATCATCCACCTTGGTTCCACCATCACCGGCTGCACTGTTCTCTTACTTGCTCGGCTGGCAGGCTCTGGTTCTCTCGCTGCCGTTCCCAGTCTCTGCCATTCAGGTTCAGATTTGTTCCGGCCGGGCCCTTGCAACCCTGTCCGCCCGTCCTGCTGTCTGTCACTGCCACTGCTACCACTGGCAACTACTGTCGCTTTTTCGCAAACCGTATCTTTCTCCTCTTCAACAACCACCACCACCACCGCCGCTTTCACTCCGCCGGGCCTGCTACAAAGATACCTTCACTCCATTTACACTGCAATACCCCTTCTCAGTAATTGCAGCTGTAATCACGTTGCAGCTCTGATGGCCAGCTAGACACTCTCTGCCTCGCCGGCCGTGTCTCCCATTCCGAACCTTGCCCGCTGGTTGCCATATCTCGCCTGAGCCTGGCTTATCCTGTCGTTTCCGCTTGTAGCAGCCACGACTTGACGACCACATCAGCTGTGCGCGCATAGTCACCACGACGACGCTGCCTTTGCACAACAGGGTGCACACGACAACACCTCTTCACCATTTTAGTGCGGTCTCAAGTTCACTTCACTTCAGCCACTCTGCATCCCGAAAATCATCTCAACATCAACAAGCCCTCAATGCAATAGCTGGCAGCTGGCCGAGCTCCCTTGCATCACTCCTCGGCACAATCGAGAAACGAGTTGGACAGGATCAAAGGTTCAGATGCAGAAATAGTAGGAACATCCAATACCGGCCGCCGGCGGATCGTTTGTCCTCTCAAGATGCTCACAATACCTTCTTATCACACACAATGGGCCAGCCTCTTGCTCGGGGTCCTCACCATTTTGCTGTTGAGCTCATCGGCTCAGGGATTGGATATCTCCTATTGCTCCTCTCAGAACACTGCGGGCTCTTACCCAGCATGTGAGTTTCGAGAACTGCCTTCTTGTCTTTTCTGCTTTGTTGTTCAACTGCTGATACAGTCTCAACAGACTACAGCATCTACCAGTCTAACGGAGCGTGCGAAACTCACTGTCAAGGATCATATGCCTTCGCTATTCTCCAAGGGTACAATTGCTGGTGTTCCAACTACGTTCCTGCATCTCAAGAAGACACCGGCAGCTGCTCTCAAACGTGTCCTGGTTACCCTTCAGATTTATGTGGATCGACTGAAAATGATACATACGGCTATTACCTCTTGAGCGGTGCAGTCCCCGCGGGAACAGCCGGTGCATCGAGTTCTAATACAGCGAACACCAAAACCAGGACCGCGACCGCGACCGCGACCGCGACCGCGACCGCGACCTCTTCTCAGTTGGTTAGTACCTCCCTGGCCGATCCCGGATCGTCTTTCCCTGCTTCCGGTGTCCGGACTACATCCTCCCCCTCGTCTCCTGCCGTTATAATGGCCGGATCCTCTGAGACTTCCGAGGAGGCTACTTCGGTAACCTATTACTCGAGCGATTTCTCCACCTCCTCAACCAGTCCTCCTGTATGCTTAACCGTCTCCTTTGTTTGCCTTGAAGATTTGTTGCTTGTGACGGGGTTCCTTGCTACTTTCCCTTCTTCCTCGTAACATCTGAAAAGCGTCAAGATCGTTTTGCTCATAGACATACCAGACTACTTCTAGCCCTACTTCTACTTCCTCAACATCTTCCGACACTTCGACCACACCCTCTCCAACATCGAGCCCGACTCCGACCGAAGTGTATACCAGCGTTACGACCGTTACTGGTGAGGTCCGAACGGTTGTGATCACCCCTCCATCATCCACAGACGCCACTCTGGGCCAGTCTTCCACCGGTGGAGGTGGTGTAAGCACCGGAAAAGTGGTTGGCATCGTGCTAGGTGTTGCTCTTGGGATCGGCGCCCTCATCGGCATTGGAGTGTGGCTGTGGTTCCGAAGACGACATCAGAGGATGCAGATGCAAGCTGGACCAGACGCGACCTTCATTCCTCGAACAGGAGAGACATCCCCCTCAAACAACATTCCTTCGCGCCAGGTTAGCCAATTGTCATCTTCGGGCCTCTTGGGCAATAAAACTCCTCGTATCAACACGTCGGGAATGCCTCCGGGCAATGATCTGCGAAGCGCGGACACCACCGTATCCGCCCCCTTCGATCGGAGGAGTTTGGCGACGGACCAGAGATTAAACCCATACGCCTTGTACATTCACGATGAGAGCCGCCTTAGCAATGTGTCTCTTCAAGATAATCAGGACTACTCTCGGCAATTACGGGTGAGTGTAAATTTCCAGATTCTGGCACCAATGGGCTAACTGGTGAAATAGGTCGCCAACCCAGACTGAACATGTCCTGTCGGTTTAACCACAAAATATTCTTTAATCTCTAATGGTGCTCAGTGCAACGGGTCGTGTGACCGCATTGCCTCTTCCGCAGATGATACAGTCGGCTGCCTTCGACTTTTCCGGAGCACCACCACTCGTTTATGACATTGGTCTCAGAAATAAAGCTCGCACGAAAACTCGCGTCCTTTTTGACGTAATGATCTTACGATGAGACGTCCTTTCTTTCCTCCACGCAACAGTTCAGAGTTGGTTCTTCACCTCGGCATCAGGAGTTCCAGTGCGGAAATTGTACATTTAGCACCAGATAACAAGGGGGCCATCACCGGCGGTGTGGTGGCTGGCATCGTTTTGGCATGAATTGGCGTTCGGTATGTGTGGAAAAAGGAAAACCAGGCGAACTCGTCTGAACCTCGATGAGCATTGTCGTGACCTGCTGTGGTGTTCGTCTGCCAGGGGCTCTAATGGCGATAATGGGAGACGGGATTATGAAAGTTGGCAAGTCACCTACTCAAGGACATACCTGGTGTGGCGTGACCTGCCCAAAGTCCGCGCCCCTCGGACTGAAAAGCACAGTGAGACAATGATATAGATGAAGAAAAGAAGTCGTGGTTCATTTCTTTTCGCATGCCTGGCTGAAACAAAGCGGAAAGACGGCGGACAACATCCATGGATTGTATAAAGTATACCTAGGTAGGCATGATAGTCGACTTGGTACCTGATCGACAAGATGCCCAAGGCAGACAGTGTTTGGCCACTGCATCTCCACACGACCTGCACATGCTACTAGTAAACTCAACAAGCACAGGCTGTGGTAGCCGTGATGATGGCGACCCGGAGGGCGTGACTTGACGTCTTTTGGGCTCTACAACAACAGGGATACTGTACAGCAGCGCAGGGCGGGTCACCGTCAACGCGTCAGATCCGGGCTGGCTTGACGGGTGCCCGGAAGCGCCCGTTTACGAACCAGTCCGAGTGAGAATGTTCTGGTGGTAGAAGAATACATTAGTGGACTCTCCGGTCAAACGCCAATGACCACCGCATTTCAAGCGGTTCTCATGATTTACTACTACCGCGATAGACTGTACACTTTAGCGCGGCGGGCTCAGCCCTGGTTTGTGATGATGCTGCGGCAGTGGTTGCTGGCGGCGGGCTGTTGGCTGATTGATGGCTGCTAGGCACTGCCAGTGTAGCAGTGCCAGTGCTGGCGGGCCACCAGCATGAAAAGCCCGGGAGGTGTCACGGCCATTGGGCTGCCGTGCAGACATCGACGTCACCTGCAGTGTTTGGTTATTCGTCTCGGGCCTTTCCTTTCCTTTCCTTCAACTTGAAGTCTTCTCCACGGGGCGGCTTCCACCTCCTGCCGGCCACATTGCAGCCTCAGCTCCTAAATCAAATAGGAGCACTGTAAGCCCACCCGCTCACTGCCAGCCTGAGTGGCACGCATCCTGGGCACTCACTCGTTGGCAACCCCAACTGGAAAGACTCGGACTCCACGCCTGACCGCCAGTGGGTTGACTGTATTCTGCAGCCTGCCACCGCAGAGTGCAGCGTCTTGGTGTTCAGCTCTGCCTCTGTCAGGAGCCTGCGCTGCACATGTGTCTCAACTTGAATTGTCCCACCTGCGTGTTCGGCTTCTCTTGGTCGTGCATAATATCGCACAACCCCGCCAACGTTCTTACATCTCTTCAACCTTCACCTCGCCAGACAGCATAGTCTTCTTCCATCCTTCTGACGGCCCGGCAGCCCCAGAGTGAGTTCTAGGCTAGTTCTCGGCCCGCTTTAGCACCAATCCAAGCCCAACCTGACCGCCTGCTGGCTCGTGCAACTCAACTGCAAACCTCAACGAGTCAGGGCGCTGCCGATTACACGGGGCCGCCGCGTTTGCCATGGCTGGGCGCCGGTATGACGACGACATCTCCATCGACCGCTACGAAGATCGAAGGGAATACTCCTCTAGAGGTGGTCGCCGGGTCTACGATGACCGCTACACAGAAGAAGAGAGAGACTACCGTCGTAGCACTCCGGTGCTGCGTGAACGGGAAAGAGAGCGAGAGGTCCTTGTTCGCGACGATGTCCGAGAACGACCTCGATCTGGTCTGGACTTTCTGCAAGATGGTTACGGTCGAACCTCTGCTGGTCCCGTCGTCTTGTCCAAGCGAGAACGAGAAGACTTTGAGTTCGCTCCTCGACCTCGGCGACGGTCTCCCTCGCCCGAAACGGAACGTAAGTTTGAAAAAGAGGAGATTATTGTCAGGAAACGGGACGACTCGATATCCAGGCCCCCTACACGGCTGAGGGAGCGAGACCGTGATTACGAGCGTGATGAGGTTATCATCCGCCGAGATGAGCGAGAGAGGGACCGTCGTCTACCTCCACCCACCCGTGATCGCGAGCGAGACGAAATCATTATCCGAAGGGACGAGAGGGAGCGAGAACGTGATCGAGATTTTCGACCTCCTCCCGCACGTGAACAGAATTCTTCACGCGAGGAGATCCTCATCCGGCGGGACGAAGGGGACCGTCGAGTTCGGTACGAGGCAGATTATGATAGAGACGACGTTGTTTCCCGAAGAGGCGATTATGCCAGATCTGCCAGAGGTGATGTTGACAGAGAAGAAGTCATCATCCGCCGTGAAGAACAGAACCTTTCTCCTCGATACGACGACTATGCTTTGTCACGTCCCAAGTCACACGAGAGAGCCAGATCGAGATCTCGCCCTCGACGGTCTAGCAGTGCCTCGAACCAGGAGATCATTATTCGTCAAGAGGAGCGCGAGGGTCGTGCTGGTACTCGTGATAGACAAGAAATCATCATTCGGAAGAATTCTCGGTCGCGGTCTCCTTCGCCATCCGTTGCGTCTGCACCAGCTGCACCACCGCCACCACCAGAGCCTCAGGTCATCAATGCTCCTACCATACACCAAGAAGTGATCACGCATCATCGTCACATTGATCACGGATTTGAGGTCGCCATACCCACCCGTCCTCGGGTGATCTCTCGACCGCCATCACCACCGAGCCCTCCGCCTCCTCCGCCCCCAGCCCCGCGGGCTCGTTCAGAAGAGCGCATTCAAATCAGTCGGACCCAGACTAGGAACGGCCAAACATCTGCGGAGGACATTGTCATTGACCGGAACGAGGGTCCGGCTGCTCCCAGAGGACTGGCACCTTACTCACCCCCTCCTCCGCGAGATCCATACTATGATCCGATTCCTGCTCGTCATGACTATAGTTACGATCGGGATGTGCAAGAAGAGGCCGAATATTACAACAGGCGTGCGGTTGAACGGTCTTACGTAGGCGAGGGCTACCATGGAGCAACTAGAGATTGGGCTATAGTCGATGTACCTCCCGGCACACGTCGGGTCCGAATGGATGGGGCTGGCGGTGGCAGTCAGGAGATCACTTGGCAGCGATACAACGGCGTACGACGGAGCAAGTTCATTCCGGACGGGGTGCCTGATGATGCGTATCCAAGTGAGATTGGTCGACCAGCTCCCTTGCCGGCTCCCATGCCAGCCCCCGCGCCGGTACCAGCGGCGAACGGAGAGATTGGCAGACGATACGGCAGAGAACGAGATCCTACGGAGGGCTTGTGGACCGAAATTACCAAAGATCTGGTTGTCAAGGAAGCCATCCAAGAAATGGGCTATGAGTTTGAAGAGACGGATGACTTCTATTATATCATGTCTTATCTACGATATGTGAGTACCAGTTCGCCAGCTGAATGATTTGATATACTGACTTCTTTTAGGAAGATGTTGCTCGCCTTGTTGGACTTTCCGAGGATATCCGCAAAGAGCGAAGAAAGCGGGTCAAAGAGATTGAATGGGAGAATCGTGTTTTGCCTCCTCCGCCAGTGGTAGAGGAGGTTCCGCGCCCACTTGCCATTGAACCCCCACCGCCGCCCCGACCTCGTCAACCATGGGATCGGGAAGAAGAGCGATACATTGAACGGGAGATCGTGTACAAGGGTGGACGACCTCCGCCACCTGTTGGTTGGAGGCGCTAACCAGAGCCAGATCGGCTGCTGTCTGGCGACCTTTCGGAGCAGGTATAGATCCAGTGCACGAAATGATAACGAATTTCTTTTGTTTGAGCAATGGATGGGATAACGAAGTACGGATCCTGTTTGCACGAAACGGCCATGCAACCACGAAAGACATGGCACTTACAACTGTCGGTTACGGTTCCTGACGGTCGTTTTGAACTTTTGACATGTTTGTCTGACTGCATACAGCAAGCGCCAGCGAGGACATATTGAAAGACGACGTGGACGACATGAGTGGGCATTTACGAGACGATATGGCAATATACGTGGGTTCGTGGACTGAGGCCTGTTCGAGGTCGACTCGGTCAACACTGCTAGCGTGAGCATGAACGTAGATCTGGAGAGTGCTCTGCTGTGGGAAACGATCCCTGGGACGATATTACGACTAGACGAATGCTGGAATGATTCTTGTGTAGCTTCTCAGAAAGTGGTTTTGGCTTTGTTGGCCAATCGGACGACGACGAATAGTATGCCAAAAGCTTTCATTTACTCCTGTCTCGGGAAAGAAGAGCGTCACTCATTGCACGAAATTAACATCTTTCATTTTGACATTGTCGACTCCCGCCCTGTAGAAGTGGTACTGTAGCCCGCGGTCAGTGGTTGGGCGGTGCATTATTGGCTCCCGGCTCCCTTTGGTAGCGCAAGGCTGATGTTTTGCCCAGATCCGGTCTAGTTTAACTCAATCAAGAGCAGCCCAGCCTGATGACGACAGTTTATCCAAGGTCAAGCAGAGGTGCACTTCAAGTTATACGCTGCCAGTGCATTGCATGATTGACCTACTGTACCAAGGTATATTCTACCGCAACAACTTAGCCATTCAGTGGCAGGTGTTATATCCGAGGTACTTACTTGTGCCCACTACTAGTAGTACAGTACAGTACTACTCTGCTGGTGCCACTTGGCGGTAAGGCGCTCTCAACCTACAGTGCCTACAGTACTACCGACTTTACGCGAGGTACTCGAAGCCTGCATTCAGGGACATTTTCGGGCCATTTCCCCTTCTTCGGCGCAAGAGCGAGACGACCAGACGGGCGTAAACTGGAGCGAGAGGGGGTGGATTTTTGAGAGAGTACTTGGGTGGATAGAGAGGACGCGTGTTTGTGCATCGTCGGCACAGCCAACTCCTACCCATCCTGGCGCGGGGGACTTACTGTTTCAATTGGGGGGCCTACCTTTTACCACCGATTGGGATCTGATTGTCAGTTCCAAAAGGAAATCCAACTCATTGTCAAAGTTGATCTTCTGCTGCTCGACGATTTCCCAAGGCGCCAGTTGGCACGTCCTACCAGATACCATGGCCACCACCCCTGGCAGAAAGGCATACCCAAGCTCCCCCAGCTCTGGTGATGCAAAATCAAGTCCTGACGATTTGAGCCTGTACATCCTCACATTCAACTGTGGCCGGACGCCCGTGCAGCCAGACGTGTTTGCGCCATACTTGTTCTCGGCACTCAACGACCATGAGCGGCCACCTGAATTGCTCGTGCTGTGTCTGCAGGAACTGGCGCCCATCGCATACGCGTTTCTCGGCGGGTCCTTCCTCACGCCGTACTTGGATGCGTTTCGCGAAGTGGTTCGGTTGGCTTGTAAGCGGTTTAATTCGAACACAGCTGGCCTTGGTGGTGGTGGTGGTGGTGGTGGTGGTGGTGGTGGTGGTGGTGGTGGTGCTTCTGCAACTGACTCGGCTTTGCCAAGCTACGCCAACGTCGTGACGCGCAATCTGGGACTTACAGCCATCATGGTCTTTGCAAGGGCAGACGTCGTGGACAATATCGCTTGGATTCGCACGGCGGGAGTCGGCCTGGGCGTCAGCGAGATGGGGAATAAAGGCGCAGTGGGCGCTCGGCTGGGGTACAGATTGAACCATAACAAGCCGCATGACTCTCGCTCTGGCTCTGGCTCTGGATCCGCTGCTGGAGGCAATAACCAACAAGGAGCAAATGAAGAAGTTATGCAATTGACCTTTGTGGCGGCCCATTTGGCAGCTATGGAAGAAGCACTGGAACAGCGCAACGAGGATTACAAGAACATCGTGCAAAGATTGGTGTTTGTGCCAGAGAAGAAGTCTACGTCTAAACCAAAGAAACGCGATCGTGACGAACACGAACAGACAGAATCGGAGTCTGAGCCTTTACTCCAAGGGCAAGAGGAAGAAGATGAGCGGCCTCTGCTCCACCACCAACAACAAAAAGATACTACTATTAACCAAGGAGGATCCGCCACTACAGCAGCAGCAGCAGCAGCAGAAGCAGAGAATGGGATATATTCGGCTCAATCATACCTCTTCTTCGCCGGCGACCTCAACTACCGCACATCTCTACTCCCGCCCTCAGCGCAAGACGTCAAGGAGCGATTTCCCAAGCCCACAAACGACATCAACGACCCTCGACATTTTCGACATCTGTTGGCGGAGGACCAGCTGACGCAGCAAGTCCAGGCAGGGAAGACACTGCATGGGTTGACGGAGGCGCCGATCGATTTCCCGCCAACGTACAAATACAGTCTGGACGGCAAGAAGCCTGTCATTCTGGATGAGGGATTATCGGCCTGGCCGTGGGCCAGGCACCGCTGGCCAAGTTGGTGTGATCGGATTTTCTTCTTGCAGCCTCCTTCTCCTCCTACTGCTGCTGCTGCTGGCGGCGGCGACGGCGGCGGCGTCGGTTATGATAATGATGATAATGACACAACTGGGCGTGACTGTGATGGTGCAGTGACCAAGGTTTCTGTGTCGAAATATACGTGTCTGCCGATATTTGCTACTTCGGATCATCGCCCCGTGGCGCTGGCTGCAAAGGTGCCGCTGAAGCCGGTCAAGGTGCCCATACTACCGCTGGAGGCTACGACTGAGCAGGAGGACGACAGCAGCAATGTTGATGAAGGGTTATATGCTCAGAACGCAGCAGCAGCTAAGGCGGCGGCTAAGGCCCCCTTTCCCGTTGATCCGAACTGGAGGAGTCGAAGGGCATCGGCGCGGAAGAAGGAATTGCTCGTGGGGTTGATGGCGTATCTGGCCTTGACGAGGGAAGGGAATGGTTTGCTGGGGGCTACTGTGGTGGGTGCGCTGGGAGGGTGGTTGGTTCTTAGGTCGTTGTTGATGGCATGATGACTGGGAGGAGGCGAAGGAACTAGAAGTGGTCGTGGCGGTCATGGTGGACACTGAGCGAGTACGTGGTGTGTGCATGGTTGATTGCATGATTGATTTCAAAAACCCCAATTGGGGTTTTGTCAATTCTACTCTGGTCGATAAATGTCTATCTACTTAGTACCTACCTAGTGCTATGTACTTGTAGTAAGGTGGAAGATGAAGACGGGGAAGAAGATCGCACGCGAACAACGGTGTGTGTGTGTGTGTGTGTGTGTGATATTAGAGATCGGAATATAAATGCATGAAATCGATTTCTGGGGTCTCCATCCATTTGATCAGTGAATAGGCCGGTCGGTCGGTCGAGCGAGCAGGCAGGGCCTATCCACTTTATTTACAGTACAGATTGGGCCCCAGGTGTCTGCCTGTCGCCTAGTAGGTGCCTGTCTGTGCAAACAGGCGAAAGTGAATACTAGGATGTAGCATATCAGTCAAGTGCTATGTACTGTACATAGCACACGTTTCTGTATCACGTTATCTCGCCATCTCGCGCTTGATCATGATTCGGAAGTCCCTTTTCCTCTGCCAGTGGCTTACAATACTATACTTAGAATTTGAGGCTAGTAGGCATCAGTGATATACGATCGATATAGGATCGGTTTAGAACCGGTATAGAATCGGTTTGGAATCGATCCAGAATTTTTTTTTCATTTTTTTAGTTATCAAGAGTGAGCATGAGGTAAGCACGAGCACGGATCATCAGCACGACAACCGGGACTGGCAAATTTCCAGTCGATGAAGACGACAAAAAAGGTGACGAAGATTTTCAAGGAGGTTCTGGTTTCTTTCACAAGTGGTACTGCGATTTATCTATAGGTACTGCTACCTACTTAGTACTATGGAGAGAGTCGAAGTGTGTGCGTGGGATGGAGTGTGTCTGAATTGATGATACTGCAGCAGATCGATGAAGCGGAGCCTGAGGCTCCTACCTACCCTCAATGTAAGGTAGTATGTAACAGTACTACTTTCCACACGGATCGGTGATCGCAAGGCTGACCTGACCTGACCTGACCTGACCGGGCGCCGGAAGTAAGCGGCTGCCGTTCTGCAGGCAGCAGATCATCCGATATCTATCCACTCGCCTGTGGGGAGTACCTGAGCTACTACTAAGTACTACAGACCCGGGTACCTGGTATGTAAGGTAGGTGTGCACTTTGGTAGACGAGCAGATCGGGTGAGCGTGGTGTGATAGTGATGCTTATGGATTTCACGAAGAATCACGAGCCCGAACTCATCCAAGTACTGACCATCGAGGTATTCATCATTCAGATCGTGGTACGTAGTACTTTGCTGGAAGGATCGAGTTGTGGCGAGGTTTCATGCAAATGCCGTCTGCGGTTGCTGTTTGATGGCTTGCAGTGCCTGTAGGTACTGTGCCAAACTTGAACAACGATGAATGCAACACACTGGCAGTGCAATGTTGAAATCGAGTACCATGCATAGCATGCCCGTCTGATGAGTAGCAGTGGGCAAACTGGAGAAGCGGGTCCAAACCGGGAAGAGACCCCAAACCGCTGCAGCCGTCAAAGGCCTGGACCGTCAGAGACCGCCGTGGGCTGGATTGTGATATTATAGTAGTTGTATTATAGTGATGCTGTGCCGTGTCCATTGTGTGCAAGGCAATGCAGTCGGCCGCGTATGGAAAGAAGGGTCATGGCGAATCAAACGACAAACATGGGATATAACTCTTGGACACCAATGAAAGGAGCTGGGGGGTCCTCCCCTTTTTACCCATATCTCCCTCCCTCTCGTCTTCTGCACTGAGGCGCAGGACAGGAGACCCTTGCCAGGAACCTGAAATCGAAGACCTCAAAGTCGTACGCAAGCAAGCAATCAAACACACGTGGCGGATAAGGGCGTAGGATGAACCACGAACGTAAACATGTGCGAAGTGAAGGAGTGGAGAGTGATGGGTGGAGATGAGGAAAGGCTCTCGTCAACATCCAAGTCAGTATTCTTCAGGTGCATGAGTGAGCCTGAACGAGTGTTTCATGTTTGGAACCGGTGTCACCGGCGCAGGGAAAACGAGAATTGAGTTTCAGCACATTGGAACGGCAACTCAAGCCCAGCGTCGTCCGGCAAACCCGGAGCATCCGTCGAGCGAGCGTGTTCTTGATACCGCGTAGAAACTGTGTAACCGTAGTTGATATACTGCAGTGCTTGAGTTTCCTGCCTGCAATCGAGTGTGGCTCAAAGCACAATAGGACGCCATTCCATTCTATCCCATCCGCGTCCGCCGAGTTTTTTATTTTTGTCTGTGCTTGGCTAGGTAGAGTGCCTCACCACTCAACCCGCGACCGCAATGACATGCGGCCTGCGGAATGTTGGCGGGGTGGTGTGTCCTAAATGAACACGTAAGACATTAGTAGTACTTGTAATGCAAACAGCCGTGTTTGGCTCCCGTGGGTTCGAACGTCGGGCGTGTCGCATGAGGACAGGGATGGAAAAGGCATCCATCATGCAAGAATGCCAGTGCATGGTCAGATCGGATCGGAGATGCGGTACGATGTGGTAGGACGAGAGAGACCGGAGACAGGGGATGGTGATTGATTTATTGCGCAAGTTTGGGCCGCAGCCTCCATGCAGTGCCAGGAAGTGTCAATGCCTGTCACGGTGCCAAAGTGTCAACGACGGCCAGTGGAGCTCAGTTGCCCGGAAGTGCTGGGGATGGAAGTTACCTGGAGTAGTGCCTGATCACCCGGCCACTGCAGTGCATGCGTTTGCAGCGGTGATATTATTTATTCTGCAGTCTGGATACGAAGTTTTCGTCAAAAGGTAGCAGTGCAGAGTTGCAATCCATTATGCAATTCCTCAGCCGCATCCTTGAATAAATGACATTATTACTGTGTGCCTAAATTGAAGGTTTCCTAAGGTTCTGGTATGGAGCCAGACCACCTAGGTACAATTGTAAGCTCCAGCACCGACTCCCTGTAGCTCTAGGCACCGTTTCTCGACCCCAGCCCCAGCTCCATCCGCGCCCGCCCGGCACCAGACCACAATCCAGGCACCTGGCGGTGGGTTGTTCTGATAAGCCGGAGGAGCCTAAACACACCTTCTCTTCCCCGGGTAAGCGCCAGCATTGGGTTCCTAATTCCATGGCGTGCAACCGGCGAAACTTGCAGTCCAGGCACCATCCTTACCTGAGTGCCAGTGGTGGTATTGTACAGTAGCAGTAAAAAAGAGGCGGCCAAACAATAATAATATTTGACCGGCTTCTTCCCCAGGCTTCGAATACTCCCTCTCCCTCCAGTCCAACATCTACTGTACCACTCGTACCACATGATATACTGTTCTCAGCTGTTGACATTCCTCAGTACATCACGTCAAGTTCCGGTCTTCCACAACTTGGACATCTCCACCTTCCGATCGTGTCGACACGCTGCATACCACTGGCAGAACAAAGAAAATATCCCTCACATCCTGGGCGTCAGGTCCAAGTTCCCCCTTTTCCCGGTCGGCGCAACCATAACCACCTGTAACGTCATCACTTCCACGCTCTCGCCGGCGGGCAGCACAGCCAAAGTCTGTTCGCCGTTCTATATACACGACTGTTGGATCGACTGTCCTGCCCTGACAATCTTCATCGTTTCGGTCTTTTGCAAAGAAAAGTAGCCACGCGTATCGATCTGCAGTGGTCTCGGTGAAGCCTCATCAGTACTAGCAGTCCACAAGCCAGTCCACACCCATGTTCTCCTGCGCGAATCAGCCACGCGGATGTCGCGGGCGATGCGATACTGTTGGCGGCAAGTGTCCAGAGTGCCGAGTATGTTCTGTTCGACTCATATACTAATACATCTACGAATTATTGTTGACATTCCTGCCCGTCCAGATGTACAACTTCCGCACTCGACCGGGCAGACTATTCCGATCTGTTCTGTCCCAGCCGCCCAACCTTCAGTCCGAGACACGCTCAACGTTAGCCGGGTCTGATCATGTCACCATGTCGCTGTGGTCTGCGGACGAAATCAGATAATGCCCGACGCACCAAAGACTTGGGTATCCATTATCACCATCCACCACCACTCACCATACACTACTATGACTGTACGATCCTCTTTTTCTGCCATGCATCTGGTATGCTGGCCACGCCCTAATGAACCGCACCTGTACGACCTGGATACCTTACGACCTTTTCAATACCCCGACAATTCTTTCGGCCAAACTCACCGCCTATTCTCCTCTGGATACACCGCTTCAACCAGACAGGCAATGAATGCCACTTCTTTTTGTTCTCGATAACCCAATTGTTCTTTTCTTTAGCGATGGAGTTGGGATTGTTTGGTACTTTCTTTTTCCTGTATGGGCATTGACTTCGACTTCGGCCTCTGCTTTATCTGGTCAATGGTGACAAGCATGTCATCTTTCGGCCGTTTTCCGATTACATACTTCATCGAAGAGTCGGACCAATTGACCGCCTCAGCCAATCAGACAACGAAAATGGAGGCGTATTGACGGAAATGCTCAAAAGGCAACATATGGGCAGGCTGGTTTTCGCGGCAATGAGTTGGAAAACGCCCTTTCCTACTCTTGCCACATTATCCTCGGTTTTCATTGTACTGGGGCTGTTTCTACTTGTTGGATACGAGCTGGATGTATATATAGTATCTCGAATTATACAAGTCGGCTAGACCTGTTATAAAGTGTGACGATGAAACGAATCGATCTCGCAACTTGAACCGACATCCGATTCCGCTCTCTGCACGTGCGCAGCCATGTCTGTGGATCCCATACTTGACCATCCCGAGCCCGGAACTGCTGGGGCCCCGAATTATGACATATACTGTACTGCTAAAATAATCTTGCTGCCTGAAACCGCCAAGTTATCGGCCTCTTCCCATTGAACCATTTCCAGCTATATCGGTGCTTTTGTTGCTGTTCAAAATTGCACTTTTCGGCCAAGCCAACTGTAACTCCTCCCTATTCGAACATGGCCGGACAGACGTCGGAGGGAACGGATGGGAAGGCTTTGGGAGTTACCTTGACCATGTTGGCCGGAGTTTTTCACAGACTCTATACGGAGATCGGACTGCAAGCATGGCTGGCGGCGCCTCGAGATACCAAGATCCTCTGCCTTCAACGATACTTCCGATTCTTTGCATACGGAGGTTCCACCCTCATTCTCGTCCTGTACTTGTCAAGCCTGGATATCTCCAAGCAGAAGATTGGCCTGTTCATGACCTTGACCCTGCTGGGCGATGTATTGATCAGCCTGGTCTTGACCGTTGTTGCGGACAGAGTTGGCAGACGGCCAATGCTGGCCGTGGGGGCATTCTTGATGGCCGTGAGTGGCATCGTGTTTGCATTGTCCGACAACTTCTGGGTCTTGCTGTTGGCCAGCGTGGTCGGCGTCATCAGTCCAAGGTACAGTACCATCGCTGCCCTGACGAGCCCTCGAAGCTGTCCACTGATTGCATCTAGCGGGAATGAAATAGGACCATTCAAAGCAATTGAAGAATCAATCATCTCCCACCTCACTCCTTCTGTAGAAAGGAGTGCTATCCTGGCATGGTACTTCATTGCAGGTTCAACTGGCGCCGCCTGTGGCAACATCGTCTTCGGCTGGGTCGTGGAACTTCTGCAAGTCAAGCATTCGTGGTCGCCATTGGAGTCCTACCGCCTCGTCTTCTGGGCCTATGCTCTGTTTGGTCTACTCAAATGCAGCCTCGTATTCATGCTGAGCAACAGATGTGAACTAGAGGAGAAGGTCGTATCTCCGCCACGGGGTCCATCACAAACGTCAGTCGACGAAGCTTCTCCGCTGCTTCGAGACGGCGAGGAGTCCACTGCCAAACACGATGGTTCAAATTCAGCTGCAACGCGCTTCAAGTTTTCCGCCCGGAATCTGCTCCCCAATATATCACGAGAAACAAGGGGCATCCTCCTCAAGCTGTGTCTTCTTTTTGCGATGGATAGTGTCGCATCCGGCCTGGCACCGGTATCTTGGATGAACTATTTCTTCAACCTCAAATTCAACCTACCCGAGGGTCAGCTGGGCAGCTTGTTCTTCGTTGCAAGTATCTTATCCTCTTTGTCAAACTTGGCTGCACCGGCTCTGGCCCGACGCATCGGTCTGATCAAGACCATGGTCTTCACCCATGTTCCCGCCTCACTAGCCCTCGCAGCTATCCCGCTGCCCAGCAATTCCGCCCTGGCTATGACACTCTTGCTCTTCCGCGCCAGCACCAACAGTATGGACCAGGCACCTCGTCAGGCTTTCCTCGCTGCTGCAGTGCTCCCCAGTGAACGAACCGCCGTTATGGGTGTTGTCAATGTTGTGAAGACACTCAGCCAAAGTGTGGGCCCCGTCATTACAGGCATTCTTGTGAACCGACATCTATTTGGTCTTGCATTCGTTCTTGCCGGTTCGCTAAAAATCTTGTACGATATTTTCATGCTTGTGATGTTCTTGGGCTACCGAACCGTCGAAGAACGAGCAGCTGACAGTACGAGCACGCAAAATGAAAGCGATCCTGGAGTTGAAGCAAATGGCGCTCAAGTTGCGTAGTCAACGAAGTGCTTGCGCAACATGAAGGCAAGCAAACTTGGACCAGGACGGGGCAGGACCTCTGCTGCGTCCTCGCAGTTGCCCATTGTACAAGCTCTCCATCGCCAACAAGTAATGCTTGTCTAGGCACGTAGGATGCCTGCTTCTGGTCACCTCCGCTCCTCATCCCGAGTACCCCAGCCGAGTTTCCACCTGCTTTCACTACCGCATTTACATTGTTGTATCCTCCTTTCGTGCACTGGATTTTGGATATGGACAATTGGCAAGAGGAACAAAGGCGGATAGAGCGGCAGCCCAGGCGGGTGTCCAGCCTTGACCTACTGAAACAGAAATTCATGAAGGGTGCGTTGCTTCCTGGTCTTCAAAACGCAAAACCTAAACCTCTGAAATCAGATGCAGCAAGCGACTCCTCCGCCAGAAGAGACAACGACCGCCGGATTGTTGCAAAGATAGCTGCCAGAAAGGCGATGAAACGTTGGTGGAAGAGGTACCCTTCGTCAGAGAGCGATTTGTCGGAGAGGAGCTTCCCAGGGCAGGTCACTCCTCCGTCGAAACGAACTAGGTCGAAAGGGCTTCCTTCTTGGACTACGCCACGCAGACACAAACCTGTGGGGACAGGGCTCCTGAACAAGACCTTGCGTACCACGAAAAGAACAGCGGTCCCGCGGCCATCCTCGAACGGCTTCACCAGGCTTGGAGGTCATCATACCCACACCTCGAGTACGTCCGAAGCGGCGACAGCTTCAGAGAATTATGGCGCACTACCTTCCTCCTACAGAAGACTTCATCGAGCAAAATCCATGCTGACGACCCGTCGTCGGACGATGGGAAGTCAGGATAATTCTCTGTCGAGCCCAGTGGGCCGCATCCGGATCCCTCGGCGCTCGACTAGTTTTGGTGCTCTCCAGACAAACAGTCTTCGACTACGGATCAAACGATCACTGACAATACTCCGCCCGAAAAGTAAAAACGCTTTGTTCATCACCAGACCAGAAGATTCTGCCCACGATGAAGCCATAAAGATTGCTCGAGCTCGGTTCCTCGATGGGGAGCATCAACATATGGAGCTCAGGCAATCAGTTCCCCCAGCATCTGGAAGAGATACGGTTCACAATCCGTTGAGCAGAGAGTGCATGTCACCTCATAGTGCGGATTCAGGAAAATATCCCATTCCCTTGGGAAATGGTTACCATTGTCCTCAGACAGATCCGGATAAGAGGTCATTGTCAGTTTCTTTGCGGGCTAAACTCCGCAAGGCACTGGGAAAGTCTGGGAAGGGTAGCTGCGATATCCCGCCTCAGCAACTCGAGGCTCAACGGACCCATTTCCGCGAGCTCCCGGCCGACACAGAATCTATAAGTGGGTTTGACGCATACTGCACTGACGAAGAGAATCAGCATCGACGCCAGAGCGTGTATATCCCGTCCTCTGCCGAGAACGAACCCCTAGAGCACCAAGACCAGGTCCCGTACAACCTCGATCTGGCTGCCAGTCGTGAGAGCCTACATTCCAATACACGATCCCGTGTGACTAGTTGGACCAACTCAAGCATGACGGGCTCTATCGGTCTTCGTTCCGGGCCAATGGAGCGTAATCGCTTGTCCATTATCAAGGAAGATGGTGGGCCGCATCAGCCTTCTTCTTCGGCAGGTCGCCACTTTGGCGGTGTCTCATTGTTTCGAGAACCGTTACAGCCAACTCCGGAGAATGGACTTACGATGCCCGTGGTAGACAGTCAACGGATCTACTCGGCTTTGATAAAGCGTATCAACCAGGAAGAAGCCGAGATTGAAAGGACACGACTGGCATTTGAGGCCATTAATCAGGAGACTGACACCGTGGTCAATGTCCCGACCAATGCCAGACCCACGATTCGCGTCGTGCATAGTGACTCTTCTCTGACCACGGTGCCTGCCGAAAATCACGGTGGACAATTCAGCAGCCGTTCTTGCTCCTGGGACCAACCCGAGGGTGGCATGACACCTGAACAGCATAAGGAAAATCTGGAACGGAGAAGGGAGCGACTTGCAATGCAGGAGACACAGTCAAGCTTTTTCCCATTCTCTAGCGAACAAAATCCTTCTGCGCCGAGTCCATTTAAGAAGTTTCTGCAGGACAACCGGGTTCACAAGCGAAGCAGCAATTTGGGTGAGGAATCGGATCTCGAGAAAACTGGCGCGGAATACAATCATGATACGAGCAATCAGTTGATGGATCGGCGTCACTTTGGGTTCAGCAGTGAAAGTGTCTACTCGCGCACAACAAACGGCGGTGTCAACGACGAGTATAGATCCCCCATCTGGAGTTCAGAGGAATTGTCACTGCCTACTGATGCTGCAACCGACTTGGCTGGCATGGCCACCATCATGCCAACTGTGTATTGTCGTCCGGGCCCCAGGACACTTTCAGGGAGCGACAACCTCAGCGTAAAGCAGGTGCAATGTTCTGAATGGAATCCATGGTCAGATGGCCCAAGTGCTCAACGAGGTGATGGAGATGTCCAAAGCAGTGCTCAGACAAGAGAGCTGGCACAGGTATGGTCTGGTGGTAATCCGAGAAGCGACGAAAGAGAGGTCTCTAATGCTACAGCTCAGTCGAATGCCTCCGATGATTCGCGGAGGCTTGGTGCTGTAAAGTTCATCCGTGACAACAACGTCTCAAGGCCAAGGAGCAATTTCGCCGCCACCAGCCATACAGGCATGCTGAATAGAGCTGGGGGAGAGGCCTTGAAGCCTATTCCTAACCAGGTGGAGGAGGGCAAGAAGATGGTCGACAGTGCAAGGAAGCTCAGTCCAGGAAACCTAGCCAGAATGCTAAGGGAGAAGAAAAGTCAAATCATGACGAGGCAACACGAGTCGGGCAAGGAAAATATCCCGGCAGACCGGAACGACTCTCCTCCTTTGAGCACGCCCGGTAAGCTGCAACTGCAGTTCCGAAACGGGAATACGACGGGAAGGCTCAGAAAAAAGGCCAGCGAACCCGCCTTCTCCGCTCAGAAAGGACTGCATACCACTCCTCGAACAGTGTTAACTACAAGCTCAACCACGCCCAGCCACCGCGACGACAGCCCCAGCGAGAAGGTGAAGGACCACCTGGTTGCCCGACTTAGCCGACCGTTCAATATGGATGTACCACCCCATAATCGCCCGTTTGACAGCATGTATCTGGGCAAGCGGACCCCAGGCCATCCAGACACCATAGGGAACAGTCGGTTGAGTGTTGCACCCTGTGTCCCACCAAAACCCGAATCGGATAATGTGAACGAGCCAACCGAGTATGGAGCGCCTGGAGCAGGGACAGGGCCCTTGGAGTCTTCCACGTCGACTCGAAACACCAGCAAAGTGCTCGGTTTGTTCAACAGTAAGAGGATGGTCAGCAGCTTTTTAAAGAGCCGAAGAAGCGAAAAGAGTCGAAGCAGCGAAAAGAGTGTGAGTGGCAGCGGGCAGAGCATGGCGGGGGAGGGTCCAGCATTCATTTAACGGCGGACGTCTCAGAACGTGCATCTCAGAAGCAGGCTTTTGGATGGCAGCAGTATCACGTTTGGTTGGATACCTGCATCGACCTTCTGGCCGTGCAACTACGCGGGAGAAGAAGCGGCACTCGCGGTGAACACACTGGCTGTTCTGTTGATATATTAATAAGACGACATGGTTGCGGACAGAACGACTAGCGTAAGCCTGTATAGGCTCGTATGCAGAGAATAGACACAAGACATATTTTAATCGGACGCGAGCTCTTGGGATTCCTCAAGCGAAGGCTCTCGCCTGAGGGTACTTGGTTGCTTTGGAATGAATACCGTAGACGAGGCTGGGGTGGTCCACTGTGCGGCCCATATTATTTTTTACAGTATTTGGTCTGCGCAGCAGTCTATGACTAAGCAAGGCTGCAATACCACACAATTTACTTTCAACGACAGTCGTTGCCAGCAGGTTTCATGCGGCACAATTAGACAGCAAATATGGTCAGTTCCGCCCCCAGTCATGCTCTGGTGGGTGCCAGCCAGTGAATGGGAAGCCCTTCAAGGTGTTCTCGTGCACTTTGCAGAGGTAATGCCAGCGGTGTTGGTATGGAATGTTTCGTTGTGCCAGCTTTGCACTTGCTTGATTGATCCCTTCAGCAGCAACGGCTCATGACGCAACTGTCGGCAAAGGCACTGCAGCTGCTGTGTTTGCAAAACGAGCCAAAGTACTTTTCTAAAGGTTCCTCTGAAGCCTTGAAAATAAGGGTGGTTGTTGGATATCTCACTGCCCGCCAAACTGGCCAGTCATGCTCCCGCACTTTTCCTGCCACTGAGCCATCCTTGTACCCCTGCTGACGACTTTGTTATCTGTTTGGAATTCGTGTTTAAGTTGGTTGTTTTCTTGATTCCCCGTGACCTCGCCTCTGTCCATCTGGACTTTCGAGAGGCTGGTTGCTTGGGCAGCCAAAACCATATCCCGCCGCAGTCCAACTTCAATGGTTCCCTTGAAGAACTCCCCCGCCACAGCTTCAAGTTCCGCCCTCCGCTGAACTGCACCCAGCAACCACGGCGATCAGTGTATGGCCACCGTGTTGTCGTCGCAGTCGTCCAGTTACACTGAAGCTTTCATCTCGAACCTCACATTAGCCGCATGACTGACCATACACACGCGGCCTTGTCTCAGCCGCTCCAAATGCCCTGTCAAGTCCTCCACCATCCCTTACCAAGAAACTTTCCGCCGCAGGATCGAAGAAGGATTGGTCGACCCATGAAATACACGCTCCGCTCCGCTCCCACCTGCACTCCTTCGCTCCAACGTCTCTTATCTCAATGCTGGATGCAAAGCTGCAGAACTCCCTCCGTCAATGGATTGTCGAGGGCTCTGATTCATTCAACGCAGGATGTTATGTCTCTGTCTCTCTGTCTCCCTCTCGAATCTATCGTCCTCTTGCTGCTGAAAGAATGCTGGCCGAGAATAAGGTTCAACAGGAAGAAAAGGACACTGTGTGATGTTGCCACAGGAAGAGCTGCTGAACCAATCTTTGGGTTGTGTATGAACGCGTGATGGAGTTTAACTTTCACAACACCACAAATCGCCACACATTGCCTTGTCAACGGCCACAACTCCGCTCTCTTCGCATTGGGATTCTTTCCATTCGATGAACCATGGCAATGTTCGACGATCACAAACGGGTCATGATCATGTTCCTCAACAGTTCTTGTTGCCCTGCCAGCCTGCTCGAGGACAGCTCAGGTATAAATACCTCTTCCTTTCTCTCGCTTTTCATTCTTCCTTTCTCTTCCTTTCTTCAAGGTGAGTATTGCCTCTGCTCTCTGCTGCTCTGCTTTAGATTGCACTCTAGATACTGCTGACTGTGTACAGATCGATCAAGACTCTGGTGATTGTGTGAGAAGAACTTTTTTGAGAAGTTGAGCTGGTGAGTACCTCGTCGCTGCCACAATCTTGTCTTTTCCTGCCTTGTTTTGCTCTGATTTGTTCTCCCACTGTTTTCCTGGATGGCCTGTCTTCTGACGGCCTTCGAGCTGTCAACTCATGAGGACTTTGATCCTGCAAGAAAGAACTCAGTTGTCTGCTATTCCTTTCCCTTCTTGCCTCTGCCCATGGTGCCCTCTGCCTGTCAAACATTTCCCAAAGCTCCTGGGAAGCAATCAAGCGTGAACCCCCAGTTGTGCCTTGAGCTTGCTCCCTCTTCATCTTCAGTCCCCTTGTTTTCTCTGTATCTTTCACTTCCACTGTGCTTCTGGGGAGCTCTCCTCAACCCAAGCACTCTTCAATCCCAAGCACTCTTCAATCCCAAGCACTCTTCAATCCCAAGCACTCTTCAATCCCAAGCACTCTTCAATCCCAAGCACT